CTAACCTAACCTAACCTAACCTAACCTAACCTAACCTAACCTAACCTAACCTAACCTAACCTAACCTAACCTAACCTAACCTAACCTAACCTAACCTTAAGGCCCCCGCCCTCACTGCATACTGACCATCAGGGCTGCTTGCTTCATCTGACCCCTCTTCGCACGCGTAGGTCTTCCCGGACTGGTTCGCAAACGGCACAGAGGCGTGGTGGGCCGATGCGCTGCGTAACTGGAGCGCGGCGGGCGTCGAGTACTCCGGTATATGGCTCGACATGAACGAGGCGAGCTCGTTTTGCGACGGTGCGTAGAGGCATGGCAACGGTGGAGGAGGGCGGGTATAGATGCAAACGGGGAGGAGAAAATCGTCAGTTGAAGCGAGGTTGGGAACAACCTCCGCCAACCCTTAGAAAAAGAACAGAGAACATGAGTACACATTTGACATAGCGGGTGCAGCAGAGGCATGAGCGAGCTGGATGTGCCCGAGGACATGGGCGGCACCTACAGTTACCAGGAGACATAGAACCCTTGTAACCTATACCCACCCGTAACCTCCCGCTCCGGCTCGTCTCGGGCTCAGGGTATACTAACGCAAAGCTCGCGTTGCCCCAGGAGGGCGAACCAGACCCGCATAAGCCGTGCGAGCTAGGTGCCGTTGAGGACGACAAGATCAAACGGAAACGGTGGCTGGACAAGCTCCTATGTGTGGCCGAGCTTGTACAGTGTAGGCGCGAAGTTGAAGTAGGCGGCGCGTTCGAGGCAGCGGTAGGCCTCGCCCTCATAGGCATCGCCCGCGGGGATCAAGAGCGTGAACAGGTGCGGGGGCCATACACGGATGCGGGGTGGGTGATATCGATAGTCGCTGCGGTTGCGGCACACTGGAGGGGAATAGCAAGGAGACCGATGGCCCATGCGTCGGCCATGCCCATGCGCTGCGGAGGAGAGGAGGGTCGAGGATGGACGAAGCCGCAGAGACAAGTACGCACATAGAGGAAGTTCTCGTCACCATGCTTGAGTCCGCACTCGAAGCAGTCGTTGACGCGGGCGGCATCGCCGAAGGTCTCGTAGCCGTAGCCTGCGCGGAATGTGTGCTCGCAGTCGTAGGAGGCGGAGCGGGGAGGAAACTGGGGGAGGACCCGGACGCGGCAAGGTTGGCGCGGCGGCAGTTGGCCTCTGTGACGTAGAGAGAGGGCGGGGTGTGCGGGAGCTGGCGATTGGTAAGCTAGACGATGAGCTGGATGGCGACGTGTGCGGGGTGGACGAGGCTCTGATCCGCAATGTTGACGGGACTCGGGAGCGGGGGCTCCGAGGCAATGGAGAGAGAGCGCAACGAGATGTCGAGGCGATCGACGAGGGAGAGGGCATCGTGGGCTCATGCGAGCTCGGAGGCGGCCGGCCAGCGGAGGTCTGGATTGTGGGGAGAGCAGCGGCAGGCGAGGCGACGGCAGAGAGGGACGCGGTTAACGAGAGCAGGCTGCCGTTCTGGGAGCTTTGGGCCTAGGTGAGGGAAGGTGGAGCGGGACTGATAGCGAGCGCGCTCATGGAGGAGGCGAGAGGGTTGCAACCGGTCATCGGACGTGCGGGCGGGAGGTAGGATGGATGGAAGGGCTGTGAATGGAGGTTGTGTCTGAAAGCCGGAGGACTTGCGCAAGGAGGTGTTCTAGAGCGATCAGGAGTCAGCGGAGTTGGAGGGAGGGGAAAGAAGAAAGGCTGCCGAGGCTGCATGTCTGGGGAAGGGACGTGCGGAAGGGATGTGCATGCGCAGGGTCGAGGAACGGGGCGCCGAGGAACGGGGCGCCGAGGAACGGGTGGACGGGAAGGATGAGGGCGAGAGGCACGCACCTTTGTACCGCTTGGCATGCTCATCGAGCGTGCGCCCATCGTCGTCGTCGTCGTCGTCCGTGCCCATCCCTCTTCCCAGCCCGTCTCTCTACCGCCGTCGCCGCCACCGTTTCTCTTCCATTTTCTCAGCCACGAGCCGATGAGGTTCAGTCGAGCACGGGACGGTCGACGAACGAGAGTTCGAGCGTGAGCGCTGTCGAGCGCGCGTGAGGGTCGAGAGGTCACATCAGCAAGAGGACGAGGTGAAGTGAGGATATGAGGATGCGGGGTCGAGCGTGTATGCGGTGTCGGCGATGATGCAGAATGAGGGAGGAGTGAGCGGAGGGGTGGACTAGAAGTCGGGCGTGCGTGCATGAGCTGGAGGAGTTGCGCGTAAGCAAATGTGGGTCGCAGGCAAGGGCGAATGCGTGAGCTCAAGAATTCCAGTGGGTCGAGGGCACTCGGCGGCGGGCAAGGGGCAGAAAGAAAGGATGAGAGAGGGAGGTACGGACCTCGGTAACACTCCTTCCTAGCTCACTCTCCGCCGTCAGCGGCTCCTCGGCCTCCTCTCGACGTGCTGTGATATTCGCGATGCTCTGTGCGCGTGCGCGGAGCGCAAGTGCAGCGGAAGCGGGGGGTTGGAGGTTCGGCGACGATGTAGGGACAGTGACTGTTGAGAGACGGCGGGGTCTCACCAGTGACGCTAGACGAGGGATGGAGAACGAGGGGATATCTTGCGTGGTGTCGAGGAGACGTGCGTGCGCGCATAGGCTTGGCGGCGGGAGCATACACGTCAACGGCCTAGGCGGTTGGGCACTGGGTGGGCGGTGGGCGTGGACTCAAGGAAACGAGGGGACGCGCGCACGCGGATTTGGGTCCCAAGCGAGGGCGGGGGCGTGCGCGCAGAGTGCGTCAAGCTCGGCGTGTGGGCACGAGGGCGGAATCGACGCTCGGGGGGTCGAGCGAGCGGGCGGGCGGGCATAGTGCCGGTTTTCAACAGTGCGAGTGTTTACGGAAAATTTGCAAGCTAAATCAAAAAAATACAGTACATAGAAAATCAAGGCAGCAGATAACAGGGCTTTTGAAGATGCAAGCTTTCTCGGGGCCGAGGTGGAGGCCCGTCGTCCGCTTGCATCACTCGTCCGCTTGCATCACTGAGAGTGCGAGGGAGGGAGAGCGCGAAGGAAATGGGTATCGAGATGTAAAAGGAACAAAAGGTAACTCACAATGAAAGGTTCGAAGTGCTGGTTTTGCGACCGATCGTCCCGTAGGAAGAAGAGGACGTGGACGATGGCCTGTCGGAAAATCTCAGGCTTGCAGGCTAGCAGAGGATGTCGACGTTGGCACGGACAGGGCGTGGGCGAGGGGTCGTAGAATTAGAAGGGTAGGGCAGACAGGTCAAATACGAGAAGTACGTGTGTGGACTGGAGTGAGAGACAACAACCTACCTCTATCCCTCGTCGATGGCCTCGTCCTCGAGTCCGTGCCCACTCTCCTCTCAGCTCGTCTCTCCACCACACTCGTTCCTCGTCCTCTGCCACCAGCTAGGTCTCATCTTCCTTGTTGACACTCAAACAGCTGCGATGCTCTGCGTGTTGACGGGCAGTGTGGGCGCGGGATTGTTGTCGGAGCAGATGCCGCCGCCGCGGAGACCATGGATGGTGGGTGTGGGAGTGGGATGTCCATTGACGAGGACGAGAAGGTGCAGGCGGAAAGAGAACGAGCAGTCGTGGTGTTGAAGGCGGAAGAGGTCCATCCAATTGATCGCTGGTGATGTGGGACCGCGGAAAACATCGCATGTTATGAGAGAAAGACTATGCGTACAGAACGGGTACATGTACTGAAAGCACCGAAAGCATCGAAAGCACTCAAACCAAAACAGACGCGGAACAGATATAGGAAACAAAACAAAGTCTACACTGCCCTATTGGATGGGCCAGCATAGCCCTGCGCCGCCAGCTGCTGTCGGAGGAAGGCAACCTCATCCTCTAACCTCCTTGCCCTCGCGTCGGCCTGTGCCCTCGCCGCTGCCTCCTCCCTTGCCCTCGCGTCGGCCTGTGCCCTCGCCGCTGCCTCCTCCCTCGCCCGTGCTTCCGCTGCCTGTAACCTCGCATTATTAGGACCAGTCCTCGCCTTTTCCACAACTTTCGTGAAATGGTGATTGTAACGTGGCAGAATGTAGTCCAGTGGTGGGTCTTTGGGCTGGATGGTGAAAATTGTGAGGAAGCGCCCGGCACGGAGAGGGTCACGGAGTGCGTGATCAACTGATCTGCCACCGAGGCGGGCGCAGAAGACGTCGTAGATGACGGCCGCATACCAGTAACATTGTCGCGAGACAACGTTGTAAATAGGCGAGTGCTCATACACCGCAACCGTATACGCGAGGTATGAATCGCGAGGAGACGTGAATGACCTGGATGAGTGCCTGCACATGTACGCCCAGGCAGCGACCTCGACGACTGCTCCGAGCGGACACTGTCTGCGGTACACTAGGATATGGGAGGCCGTCGCCACGAAACACCGTCATGCCTCGGGTGTCGGTGTTCGACGCGCGCCTGCAGCAACAGCTTCGCACGGTGAATATAGGGCGGTCTGTGCAGGCGCGACATGACATTCTCGCGAAGAGCCCGATCGAAAGCTCCCGCGCGGCTGCACACGCGATTCGAGAGGGAGAGCTGGAGCATGCGATAGAGCTGCTGGAGCATGGCCGGTCCGTCGTTTGGCAGCAGACGCTACGGCTTCGGCCGTCGACGGACAAGTTGCACCAGGTTTCACCTGCCCTCGCGGGTCGACTGTCCAAGACGATAGGTGAACTCGACGGCATGAATGTTGAACCATCTATCGACACAGTGCTGTGAGCGAACGCACGAAAATGCAGAGAACAAAGCTCACTGGCGCCAGGTGTGCGCCCTTCAGATTGGCGGCGGCGGCAGACGAGGCGTGTGCGGCGTCATCTTCCGTCGTCATTGCCATCGTGAACCCTGTCGATGCCTTCTGGACCAACTCTGAGGTGATGGGATAGTGCTTCAAGGACATGATCCTTGCATCGTTGCTTGCATGACGCACGTCCGAATCCGAATCATCCTGCGCCCAGGGCACGCGCGTGCGTGCTTTGGAAGCTGACTGGCGCTTGTCATCGAGCAGTGTCACGCCCTCGAATGAGCTCGCGTACCCACCGTCATCCTTGTTTGACTCGGCCGAGTGCGAACGCGATCGGCCTCGGGAGATTGTCGATCGTTTCCACCGATGGCGCTCGCCCGAGTCAGACGAGATGTTGCGTGGACTGGGGGGTGTGACGAGCCTGACACCGTGGCGCGCGTTCCCATTCACCTTGAGTTGGTGTTGCTGCAGCGTCGCGAGCCCGGCATCCTTCGTGACGGCGCCGTCAAACCCCTCCTCGGCAGCCCGCACGCGCACCTCCCAATCCTCACGCGCCCTACTGAGCGGTGGCTGCGAACCTGGTGTCGTCGTCGGGAGTGGTGATAGAGACGGAAGCATCGAGGCGGCAGCGTGGCCGCGTCGAGACGGTAGGGTCGAGGCGGCGTCGTCAAGTCGGTGTCGTCGAGTCGGTGTCGTCGAGTCGGCGTCGTCCGAGGCGGCAACTGCGAGCCTGATGTCGTCACTAGCACCGGCCGGTGCGCGAGGATGCGGATGCAGATGGGGCAGCTGCTGCCTGGTCGAGGAGGGCGGCACGGAGGAGGGCGGTGCGGAGGAGGGCGGTGCGGAGGAGGGCGGTGCTCATGGCGGATATGGGCTTGGAGTGGTCCTGCACGGTGCAGTCTCGGCCGCCGGCGCTGGGCATGGTGCGCCACAACTCAGAGGAGCGGCGTCAGCTGGAGGAAGCGGTGGTGGTGGTGGTGTGGGTGGTGGTGGTGGCGACAGCAGAGGAGGCGGAGGAGGTAGAGGGAAGGTGGAGGAGGCGGAGGACGTGTCGGGGTGGTGGACGGCGGTGGTCTCGAGCTGGAGCGAGCAGGCGAGCGCGGCGTCGAGCGGGAGATGCGGGTCAGTCGAGCGTGGGTCCGGGCAACGCATGCGATGCGCGAGGCGATGTGGACGATGCGGGCGAGCCGGCCGGTGGGCCAGTGGGCATGAGATCGTGCGAGGAGAGCGGGGAGGGCAGTACAGCGAGCGATGGGGTCGAGAGGGCCGGACGGGAGAGCGGGTCGGACGGGAGAGCGGGTCGGATGTGGGAGAGGTTGAGCGGACGAGAGGAGGGGGCGGGTAGAGTCGAGGGGTAGATTGTTGAAGGCGACATGGAGAGTCAGGTAGAAGGCGGGAGGTGTACGCGTACGGGGGAGGAACTGGGGCGAGTGACGACGTACCTTTGTAGATGTCCTCGTCGACCGTTTCCTTCCCTCTTCTGTGCTCCTCCTCGTCCTCCTCTTCGTTGTCGTGGTTGTCCGCGTCGTCGAGCCGCGCGAGTACGCAGGTGCTGGTGGAGCGGGACGCCATCGCCGTGGAAACCGTGCAGCACGCCAAACGAGACAGTTATTGGCGCAGGCGTGGGGTCGAAGGGATGCGTGTGCAAGGGGCTGAGGGAACGAGTGAGGGGTTGAGGCGGACGAGCGGGAGCTGGAGAGTCACGAGCTTAATTAAGTGGTCGCGTGCGCGCGACGCGAAGTTGAGTCCTTCGCACCCGTCTCTAACTCAACTCTGTCCGTGCGCAAACCTCAACCTTCGTCCCCTCGCCCTCGCCTCGACACCATGCATACCCACCACCCACTTCCTTCGCCTTCGTCCTCCCATCCTCCCGGCCCGATGCACACGCGTCCACTCGGCCACAACAACTCCTTCGACTGTTCCCTCACGCGCCCCTGCCGCCGCCACACCCGTGCTTCGCCCTTGCGCACAGCGTGTCGCAATCGTCACGCTACCCGTGCTTCAGCGCGTCGACGGCGAGGGTGAGGAGCATTGTCAATGAGAAGAGAAGGTGCGAAGAGGAATGCCATAAAAAATGTCCGTATCACTTACTTTCGATAGCCCTCCCCCAGCCCTAGTCCTGCCCCTCCCTGCCCGGCCCTGCCTGTCCCGCGCACCTGCGCACACCCGGAAGCGGCTCCTCGCGCCGCGTCTCTTCCCCTGCTCTCTCCTAGGAGGCGAGGGAACGACCACGCTCCCCGGTACCCTACCGCCCGACGCCTTGTTCTCCAAACACGCCCACTCGACGCTGCGCACCGCCGCGCACGCATCGCACGAGCGCACCCTGTCCTCCGCCTCCGGCTACGCGCACCACCATGTGGCCGGCGCTGCCAAGAGCACCACCTCGCCCACGAAGCAGCGCTACGTCGCGGACGCGCACGGCCTCGAGATCGTCAAGAAGATCCGGCAGGGCGAGGTCGAGCTGCACGATCGCACCATCGTCCTGTGCGACATCAAAATCAACGTCCGTCCAGCTCGCTTTGCGAAGCTGAGGGCCATCAAGGACACGAAGAAGCCAGGCAAAGCCCCCACCGCGATCCCTGCTGTCTCAGGTTTAAAACGCCTCCGCGGCCGACATCGTGGCGGCGCAGGGGAAAGAGGCGGCGGTGAGCGGGGGCGTAGGCGTGGACGAGGACAGAGACAGGGTCGAGAAGGGAAAGGTTAGTCCCTCGAGGATCTGTAGATAGTAGAAGTAGAGGAAAAGAGAAGGAAACATCATGTATCAGTACATGCCCTCGGCGATGCAGAGGCCCATCGTCCGTTTGCAGAGCCGAGTGCGAGAAATAAAGGGTACAATAAGATATAATAAGAACATACTCACAGCGCAGGCATCTGTAAGGTTAATGCTCGTAGGCTGTCTCATTCATGTAGAGTCGAGTTTGTGCAGGTTTCGTGCTTGTTGGCACGGCGGAATCCTGATACGCGGCTGACATGACGAGCCTCTCCAGCCGCAGCGAGGCTCGTCATGTCAGCCGCGTATCGGGACTCATCCCTGTCAATACGCGGCTGACATGACGAGCCTCTCCAGCCGCGGACAGGCTCGTCATGTCAGTGGTGTATCAAGACTCAGCCAAGCTGATACGCGGCTGACATGACGAGCCTCTCCAGCCGCAGCGAGGCTCGTCATGTCAGCCGCGTATCAAGACTCAGCCAAGCTGATACGCGCCTGACATGACGAGCCTCTCCAGCCGCAGCGAGGCTCGTCATGTCAGCCGCGTATCGGGACTCATCCCTGTCAATACGCGGCTGACATGACAAGCCTCTCCAGCCGCAGTGAGGCTCGTCATGTCAGCCACGTATCAGGACTCAGCCCTGCCAATACACGGCTGACATGACGAGCCTCTCCAGCCGCGGACAGGCTCGTCATGTCAGCCGTGTATATTGGCATGGGTGGCTTCTTCACCTCTTAATGGCCTCTTTAGCCCTGCCATACCCCTGTCCTACCCTGAACCTTCTAGCTTTTCAGGTTAGAATGGGATCGTGTATAAAGAGATTAGATAGGGATGTATCACGAAATTCTGTGATCATGAAACCTTGATAAAAGAGCAAGCCGCTTGAGTCCCAGGCAATGTGACCGTCGTCTAAGAATTCAAAGCTCTCATCAAGGTAATCATTGACGTCGAACAGAACAGGATTAGGACGCATTCCAGTCTCATGTAGTGTTATGCGAGGCACTATTGCAATTTGAATCCAACCGTCGTGATTATTGCGCGCCGCAAAGCCGATATCGCCGTTATAGATAGAGCGTGGATCGTTTACACGAATGAAGGAGAGCACGGAGATGGAATGAGAGGGAGGGAGTGAAATTAGGGACGCGAGGCACTCATCCAGAGGGACGATACGAGGAACCTCGTTGTTAATTACACCAGGATAGAGGGGACACAAGTCTGATGCGCGAAAAAGGGAATTGAGTGCTTGCGAGAAGGAGAGCGCCTCGATATACACGAGGCCTGAACGCGAAGGCAAAGCAAAGGCGGATAACAAGTCAGGTCCTCCGCTGCGCTCGAAAATCGACAAGACAATGTCCGTTTCATAGCCGGCCTGCGAGTCGTTGAACCGTTGGATTGTGACATGGTAATCAGGAACCAAATACTTACCTTCACTTTGCAAACCCAGAGAGGAGAGTCTTCGTCGGTTGGCTGAAGGAATAGATGCATTGCATCCGACAAACCAGGATGCGAATCCAGCGTGTTCGAGGCACGGTAACGACTGATGACATCCTGCACCAATTCCTCCGCAGACGGTGAATGCGAGTCTGCAAAAATTGGTATGAACCAGGAGTATATAACTAATGGCAGAGACTTACCCTCTGTGGATACCCATTTGGGTGTGTCGCGCGCGGCATCTCCATCCTCGATGTCCTCATCAGACGCACCGTCATCTAGATGACCTTCCTCTTCATCTTCCTCTTCGGTTAAGCCATCGGACTCTTCATCGTCACCTTCAGCGGCCGAGATGTCAAGAAACCGCGAGACCTTTCAAGATAGAGCTTAAGTACCTAAGTCCACATAGATGCCTGACCCAACTTACTGACAACAACTTTCTTTTCTTAAGAGGAGGCATTCGTGTGCTTTCAGTTTGTTGTTCAACGTATCGTACGACTAACTACTATACAACGATAATCTAACGGTCAAGAAATGGACATGTACTAAGGGGATGGATGTGGAACGAGAGAGAGACGCGTGAGACAGACGCGTGAGATATAAGAATCACGAGACTTTAGGGTGAGTTTGTCACCCAAATAAGGCAAGTCCAACCATTTACGAGCTGTGGCTGAGGCATGGCTGAGATGTCCCGAAAGGGCAGGTTACTTAGCTACTCGCTGTGGCTGAGACAACCTGAAAAGGAAGGTAGCTTAAGTGCGCGCCCCCCAGGCATCTTGAACGACCCTATTGAGTCATTGTATACGAAGCATAAGCCATGAAATGGCTGAGATTGTAGTTACATGTTTGCCTCACTAAAAAATACATCAATCGATTATTTTTGTCGTGCCCTTTTCACTGTAACATCACTGACGGTACTCTTGTAAACGAGCAGAAACGTGAGTATGAGGGAGAAGCCATACTGTTGTGTAGCATCGGAATGGCCTCTTTTACCTCCGACGTCGTTCCCGTCGCTGGACAGAACCTGGTTTGAATTTAAGCTAACATTACGAGACTGCGGCGGTGTTGGAAGTGATTTATGGTTAGTGTTTGAAGCCCGGAGTTTTGCGCGCAAGTCGACAAAGCGGATAGCAGGAAGAGGAGGCTGGGGGGCGATCGCCTTATGCGTCGGTGCGTGCGAGATGGACTGCGTCGGTGCAATGACCATCAAGGCATTCGCGACACGAATGTGTCCATGATTATCCACTAGATAAAGTGTGAGCCTGTCCGGTTGCTTTTGGAGACAACACTAACCTCCAACAGAATAATTATCAGCAGTGAGCCGGCATTGAGCACGAATGCAGTCGAAAATGTATCGAGCAACGACAACCTGAAAAAACTGTAAGTCAATAAATAGAAATACAAGATAGTAACCTACCCGAGGTGTCTTGTCGTACCATCTGGTATGTTATCGAGCAGCTAAGTCGCTTCATTTGATAAGAGGGATCAGTTACATACCTGGTTACAAAGTCAATGTCTCGCATTGAACTGCATACAAAGATGTCGGCCGGCATCAAGGCGTCAACGGCAGATCCGCCCTCGTACACTGCACCAGAGTTGAGTACAGAAAATGGATAACCCGACATCCTTACCATATTCTTCAATGAGTTCATGATCGACGTTCTTACTAAATAACGCGCCTGACTGTCCTTGAGCACGAGAGCGTAGATGGAGGAGAGAACCTACGAATGCCGTGGAAAATGAGGGGAGACATGTAGTTGCGAGAGGAGATAGACGAGCGACAAAGCAAAGATCAACCTGACGCGTGACATCAGATGACACGCAAAACGAGGACCTTCTCTACATGTTCAGAGGCACTTAGGTTGACTTATTTAACTCGCAAGCTTTACTTAAGAGATATAGAACAGCTAGACCAGATTTTATACAACGAAGAAGCAAAACAGAGGTAGATGAGAAGGTAAGTATAGTGGGGTGCCGCCGGCAAAGCCGGCGGCGGCGCGCTGTGTGTGGGGCAGGCTTTCGCACCTCACTGCCAAAATGTGCCTCGCGGCACATTTTGGCAGTGAGGTGCGAAAGCCTGCCCCACACAGCGCGCCGTCATTTTTACACTCTGCGCACTCAGTCTGCTGGAAAGTGGTCAACCGTGGGCATCCCTGACGTGCCACGCGGCGTGAAAGTGCCACGGAGGGCTGGCGGAAGGGTCGTCGTCGGAGACAGTACGAAGGTGAGGGGGGTGGTAGTGGCTGGTGTCCCCAGTGAAGCCAGCAGCGGCGCGCTGTGTAAGGCAGCGTGTCGCGCGGCACATTTGGGGTGTGATGCGCGACACGGTGCCCTACACAGCGCGCCGCTATTTTTCAAGCCAAATTCATGTCGCTTTAACGGGGGGATTCTCTGACACATAATTGAGCCACGCACCCTACGCAACTCATCCGCTGAGGAGCGCTCAACATCGAGCAGCACTTTCACGCTGCGTGGCGCGACTGGTTGCCCTGGACAGCGCGCCGCCGATTCTCGTCCTGGTTAGCCCTGCAACGAGATGTCGACATCGAGGTGCTCCAGCATTGTTTCAATCGAGTTGTGGGTGGATGGAGAAGTGGGATGATCCACAGGGCTAAGCGTGGTGGAGGACTGGGAAGGCGAAGGGTATGAGCGCGGAGGTGTGGGAGCGCGCGAGAGGCGAATTTGGGCCTCTTGCCGTGGTGCAACAGGTGGCGGTCGAGCGCACTGGGTGGCGGGTGTGCGTGGCATCGAGGGCGGGAGTGCGAACAGTCGAGGGTACGCAAGTCGAGGGAGGGGCGGGCGGATGGGAGGAATAGTCGGTCCACACATGCGAGGAGGAACCAGGGGGCTGAGGAGACGAATGCGTGGGGGTTCGAGGCGTGGATGTCGAGGGAGGTGCAGGCGGAAAGGGCGATAACAGGAGGTACGTACCGTCGTACCGCTCTGCCTGCTCGATGAGCGTGTGTCCGTCACCATCGTCTCGTCGCTCCACCCTCGTCTCTCGACAGCCGCTGTCCCTCCTCTGCCTCTATAACCATCTGCTCCTTGTTCTTCTCTTCAATGTGCTCAACCTAAGTGATAAGATAGTCGCTTTGCTCCACGCGTCATGAGACAGGGTGGGCGCAGAGCAGTCGTTTAAAGAGGACGGCGCCGACACGGATGTCGTGGATGTTGACAAGAAAAGAGAAAGCCATGGAGATGGAAGAGGGTGTGGAAATAGCGTGGAGTGGGTGCCCGGAGTATTGCAGCTGCAAACTGTAAGAAAAAATACTATCAGCAGTGCGCACTTTCTCTGAGCATCTGTTGTCTGCTGGCGTCGTCGAGAGCATGCAGAGGAAGGGTTCAGAAGAAGAAAAAGCTCACTAATGAAGTCTAAAATGTCCTGAAAGAGCAAGGAGACCTCGGCTGAGGAAGCGTGTTGCGCTCGATGTTCAAAGGTGCGGGGAGGGTCGACGCGACGCGACGTGGCGGCGTGCTTGATCACGAGACGTTGGAGGGCACTGTGTGCCGACACAGTCGGAGGGAAAACTCCGACTGTGTCCGACACAGTCGGACTGTGTGCCGACACAGTCGGAGGGAAAACTTGGACTGTGTCCGACACAGTCGGACTGTGTGCCGACACAGTCGGACTGTGTGGCGCGACAATCATCGGACTGTGTGCGGCACGGCCGGACTGTGTGGCGCAGATTCACCGCCAAATCTCGGACTGTCACCGAGAATCCGGACTGTGTGGCGCTGAACCAGCGCCAAAATCCGGACTGTGTGCGGTCTCGGCCGGACTGTGTGGCGCAGCAGAGAGACTGTGCGTGGAGTGACAACAGTGTGACAACTGTGCGCCCGCAATCTCCCGACTGTGTGCCGCCCTTTCCCGATGCTGACTAAACTGTGTCTCCGGGTTGCAAAATACCCTCAACATCACAAACAATTACATATCTCTCGATCCCCTCATCCAAATAATAAAATTAGGGTATAATATGAAAGGTAGTGTATGTAGGAGCATTTTATTAGTTTTGCAATGGAAATAAAAGGACAATTGTGGACTGGAGACTCGGTTTTTTGAGGTTTTCCCTCAATTCTGTATTCTGCCTATAACATCTTCAGTACTCCATGTCTACTAATGAAAATATTAGGGTACCGTGACGAATACATTTTAAGCCTATTGAATCAGACAGAATTGCGTGCAACCTCCGATTTGGTTCCCAAAACCCAGACTGTGCTTCACACAGTCTGGTTTTAGGGGGTAGACTGTTTAAATCCATATCTATTGAACCCCTCATTCAATCTCACTGCTTCTGGGCCTCAAAGTTGAAGCAGGGTATGAAGATTACAGAAAGGATTTTTTCATATTTATATTTACATTTAATTGGCAACACAGTAGTTTCGGATATCGGTGGACTCAAAAGTGTCGGTAATAGTACTAGGGTGCACATTCGCATCCGCGTGGTGAAGAATCCTTAGAGAGGTCTTAGGATCGTGTCCAATTGAAAGAGACCTGTGTTGGAACTAACCGATGTGTCGGCAGGGCGCACTGGAGACGGAAAGAATACTTGAGGACTAGTGCAGATAGAAGAGTAGCTGTCGAAGGCTGTCGATCAGCGCTTTTGACCACCCCGTCTTCAATGACAAGGATCAGCTTGTGGCTGTTCGGGTAGCCCGTCGTCACGAGTGAGTCATGCGTTGTGAATAGGTCCTTGACGGAAGCGGAGTACGCCATGATGAGGCAGATCATGTGCGCGAGCGGGTGGTCAAATGGCTCGAAGTCAGGCGCGGGCTGGGGCACGACATTGCGTGGGGAGAACGGACAGGGTTGTCCATGAAGCCGTGCGGGTCATTGAGCAAAGTTGAGCTCCGCGACGTGCAATGTCGCTTCCTTCCCTGTTAATTGCATTCGTCTCTTGTCTATGAAAACGGCATTCTCCTTTCAGCTTCCGCTTCGTTCTCCGTGCTGTCATTGCAACCCGCCTCATACTCCTTGCGGTGCTTCTGTAGTAGCGAATAAGGCCAGTCGTCTGCACACGATAGTTGTCGGCTCACAGCAGACAAGGAGCTCTGACAGTGGATGCAGTGCTGCAAAAATAATGACACACCGAGCTGTCGTGGCCCTTGACGTCTGCAGGTTTCTCCGGCTGTGCTAAAATGATCTTCGCGAGCACCTTGCCGAGCTCGATGCCCATCTTGCACATATGCACCCACCCATCGAAGGAAGCACATACTAAACGAGTTGATGCCCCAGATGATGCCCTGTGTGCAGATCTTGGACTCGTAGAGAACGATGAGCTAGCGTCGCGGGCCTGAGTAGCGGGAAGAAGATGCTGTTGCTCGGTCGGTTGCCCTCGACAACCTTACTCTTCATAAGCGCCTCGTTCGCTCCCGAGCCTACCTCCTAAGACAGTCAGCGTTCGTCAGCACCGCCGAAAAAACACATGCAAATCCTCAGAAAGTAGACAGAGGGCGAGGCGTACCCGGCAGACCTGCTCCTCGGTCTTGCCGAACACCAGCGCCTTGGACTGCACGAAGTAGTTACTGAGCAGGATGCGGCGGTGCAGGGAGCCACGGAGCGGATTGTGCGACATCCCAGGGGCTAGAAAGTCTGCCGGGACAATATTTGTACCCTGGTGCAGCAGCTGGTAGAATGAGTGCTGCCCATTCGTGCTGGCCACGCTCCAAATAACCAGCTGCAGCACACGTAGCACAATCAGTCTTAACAGGGGATAGTGTATAAAGAGAACAGAGACGCACGATGGTCTGATAGTCAACACGCTTGCTGCCCTTGGTGATGACCTTACCGCTAGACTTCATGTCGCAAGAATGTAAGTAGTCTGCACATTTGTGCGTGTGCTGGTCGTACGGAGCCGCGCATACGTCTGTGCGCCTGCAAGCACACACACGGTTCAACCACAAGAAAAGTAAGGGAATGCCGGAGCGCGCGCGCTGTAAAAGTACAAATTGTTGTACCAGAGCCCAATGACAGCGAGGAGCACGGGCAGGTTCTTTTCGAGTGGTGCGGTGAGGAAGTGAGCGTCTATGTCGTGCGCGCCGCAAAGGCGAGCCTCATAGTGTTCATACCCGATCACAAGCGTGATCGAGAGGCCGATCGCGCTCCAGAAGCTATAGCAGCCGCCAACCCAGTCCCAGAAGCCGAACATGTTCTCCTTTGCAATATCGAACACATTGACCACCTTCTCCTTCGTTCTGAGAGGGCAACAAAGTGCTTTGCGACGTGGGGGAGGCGCTAAGGCCATCGACAGCGTCTAGGAATTAGGCGCGTATGGTCTCCTGGGTGTCTTCGCTAGTGTTGAGGTGTTCACCGATGAACACCTTGCCGTGGACCTGCTCGACACTGGCTTTGCGAATGAGGTTGAAGAGAGTTACGAAAATAGGCTGGGTGATTCGGCTCTTGGAGTAATCGAGAAGGAAGTTGTTGGTAGGGTCGGAGGCAGCGGTGTATTCCTTGGAGAAGCGGGAGAAGTGGGAGAGATCAGCTGCGAAGAGGTCGTTCAGGATGAGCTGATCCTTCTCTGTGTCATACAGCTGCTAGAGATTCTTCTCTTCCAGGCAGGGTAGTCCGAAGGTTATCAGTCAACACCGTGCGCGAGATCGGGGAGGATCGCACCAGAAGTGAGCTTTGCAGACATGGTGGTAGGGTGAAAGGTGCAGATGGAGTGAACTGACGAGAATAGAATATAAAAAGTAGTGGCACAGGGTGACAGAGATGTGGGAAGTCGTCGTGTCCGTGTGGCGCATACCATGTACATTGCGAGTGTTGCCCGCGTCGCCCAATAATACCCGCATATTGTCTGCATCCTGCTCCGCTCGTGTGTGTCGCGTGAATTGATCGCGCGTCGCTCGCGTGTGGCTGATGGTCATCTATCGCCTGCTGTTGCGCAGGTCTATCGTCGCTCGCGTGCTTCAGTCGCGTATTGTCGGCATTGTCCTCATGTCTCTCAGGTTTCCCTTGTCACCCTCTGGTCCTCGCATTGTTCAACATGAACCATCCTTCTAGCACGACATTACTCAACACGATGCGACTAGGGGTCGCGATCTGAGCGTCAAGGAAGTTGGGAGCATGGTCAGAGAAAAGTATGCTTACCATCGTGCGTATCAAGCTCAAAGTGAGCTCCGGTATTCACTGCTGATGATCGTGCCGATGAGAATTGCGGCACAGTGGGTACTTATCTACGAATAAGCAAAATTGAGAGGATGGGTGAGGGATGAGAAGGCGGAAGCCGTACCTTTTGATACACTTGCATGCATAGTGCTGCCGACAGAGGACACTGCAGTATATGAAATTTTGTCGTGTGGTACAGTATTTGCGGTGCACTTGATGTTGCTAAGAGAGAACGAAAGGCAAGCGGGTACGCTGGTGAGTGTCGCCTCGAAATTTGTTGCACAGAAACTAACCGGTGTTGCACTCATCTGCCGGCGAACCTATGCCCTTGCAAAGGCCGTGAACCGATGGCACTGTGTGTAGATAACCTCTGCCCTTGCCGCTCTTCCATCTTGCGCCACGCGCTCGTGATGCCGATCCTGCAGGCATCCCAATCATAGACGCTATCCTTGCACATGTCGCGAACACCACCAACATCGTGCACTTCCCCTCTGACTCATAAATGCCCATGCGGTACGACCTGTACATGCGTGGAAGTGAGCAGTCGTGTCTTTCTGCCGTGTGTATGAGAGTGTGTGGGGATAATGCAGTGGTGTCCGCCATCTGTACGATACGAGAATACGAGACTTACGAGAGCGGCACTGAGAGCGACCTGTGCATAGCTCGAGGTGAAGCGCTTGGGCTGCAGAGTCGAGGTCGATGTTGTCTTCTTGAAGAGTTGAGCATGTCTATAGACGAGATGGATTCGTCGGCACTGGTGGTCGTGGCAACAAATGCAACGTCATCAAATTTTGCATGAGGGTGGGTGTCGCTCAAGGGACATCATCCGGAGATATACCTGCGAGGGTGGCTAATTGAACTGTGCTGGTCGTCGTGGAAAACACGTGTAACTATTACTGGTCGAGAGAGAAGGATGGTGCGCACGAAGAGATAGGTGCGTGCTTGAATAAGTCGTGAAGGGGTGCCAAGGGAACAAACCGAGCGAATGGATCAGTTGGAGATGGGAGTGACGCGACTTAAGGGCTGTGTGCTAGGAGAGTGAGAAGCGGGCGCAGGAAAGAAATTTGGGATGATCTCACTTCCAGGTAGGTTGGAGGTGTTGGGGAGGGCAGTGTTTTCACGCTCGATGATGCCGAGGGTAGTGACTATGAACATGGGGTGATCGCGGATGGGTGATTGTTGTGTAGGAGATACATAAAAAGGTCACAGCCCAAGGGCCAGGTAAATGAAGCCACGGTGCGGTATCGAACATCGAAAAGTACATAACCCCGCATCCACAGCTCGCACTGGCATTCATAGCCCCTCTGTGAACCAATTTTCGACCGGCGCCTGCCCAGGCAACGACGCTGCACCGCGACGGCTTTGATTTGGCTCCACCTTGCCCTCTTCCGTCGCTGCCAGGCCCGCACCATCGTCTAGCGCCCCCGCGTGCGGTGCACGCCCCTCCGGCGCCTTCTCCTATTGCCGTTGGCTTGGCCTGCGCTAAAGCCCGCTGCCTTCGTGCGCGGTGTGGATGCGAATACGAGGGCGGCTCCGTCTCTGCGTCCTCACCAGCACCTACCTCGCCTCATAATACATTTCTTCTTCGCCCTCGCCATCATCCTGCTCCTCCTCGACACTGCTTCCTTCGTCGTCGTCACCCTCCTCCTCACTGAGGTATCCGGCAGCACGCACGGCGGCGGCGACTGGCCCGCTGCGCTCAATGCGCTCGCTGGCAACAAGATAACGCTCGCAGAGCATGCGCACGTCGTTCCACCACTCCATCATGTCCTCGTGGCTGCGTGCACGGAAGCTCCACGCGTGCTGGCCGCTGCATATCCGCAGTGAGCCTGTCTTGGTCGTACCAGAACCGTCGCGCCTGCCTTCGATGTGGAACTTGTGCGACTTCTCGGTAGGCGCGGAGACGTGGCCGAGCGTGCACATAGAAAGAAAGAGGCTGAAGAGCGGAGAAGTGGACTGTGTTGGGTCGGAGGACGAGTACTCGTGCAAAAAGCCAGCGGGGGTGAGGACATAGTAAGACTCGCGGTACATGCGCGTGGAGCGCTTCTTGCGCTCGAGGTAGCCTGTGTGCGCGGTGATCACCAAAGGGTCTTTTTTGGAGGAATAGTTGATGGCTTCGGGGTTGCGCAGCAGCGTCTCAGGGTCGAGGAGGTGATCGGAGCGGGCGGAGAATGATATCCACTCCTGGCCAAGTGCGAGGGATGCTATGTGCTGGCCGAGTGTGCGCCATGTGTCTTGGACTGAAGGTGACACGCATGACTGCCACTCGTAGAAGGTCTGCCAAGCGGACTGGATGGTGCGCACGATGCCCTCCTCGAAATGCGCAGAGAGGTCCTGGCTCAGGCGGGTTGCCTGAAGCTTCAAGCGAGCGTTCTCTTGCTTGCTCAGCTTGAGCTGCATTTCGATGATTTCCTTCTACCTCCGCAAGTACGCGATCACCCGGCGCAAATAGGAAAGCTTCTCGTCCACGTCGCCTGTGGGCTCGGCCTCCGCAGGCGGCACAGAGCTTGCATCCTAACCTTGCCGGATGCGGGCAGCCTGCGAACTGATCGAGTCCGAGTGTTCATGGAGCATCTTGTTCTGCTCCGCCAACTTCTTCGACCTAGAATCAGAAATTTAGAACCCTATCGCGCGCAGGACCAACAGGAATGACTTGCCTAGCAGTCAAATCAGCGATCTCCTTGTCGAGGGCCTCCCTCTGCTGACCCCAGCTAGACTCAGACGATGCCAACTTGGCTTGGGTAGTCTCCGCAGCAGTCAGGTGTGTCCTCGCCTCGACCTGAAGCTTTGACAACTGCAGCTTCAAGCCTTCGAGGTCCCGAAGCGACTCGCCGTGAGCGATGACTTTGGTCTTGTACTTGGCCTTCGCAGACTTTGAACCGGCATCCAGAATATGAGTGCCAGAAGATGAGAATTAGAATGTCCTGTACGTACCTTGGCATGCTCCTCTCGCATTGTGCGATGTCCTGTCTTCCGCGATATGCTTCTCCGACATGGTCAGCTCGATGAGGGTATCCTCAAGTGTCCGCTTATCATTCGCCTACGACTCCCACTCCTTGTCAAACGTGCACTTCGTCTCCGCCATCACCTCCCGAGACGCCGTCAGCTCCTGCTGGACGACGTGCAAGTTCTCCGACAGAGTGTTATAGTCAGACTGCAACCCAAGTCAGCCATCGACGCAAATGTCCAGCATCCAACGAAACGTACCTCGTGCTTCACGAGCTGCGACTCCGTGGATGACTTGTAGTCATTGCAGGTCGCATTCAAGCCTGCTAGCACCACTTCATTCGCCTGGCTGATCTCTTGGAACTGCTGCACATGACCTCGTGCATGCGCCAGGTTGAGTTCGGCAACCTTCAACGCAGCGCTGCATTCATGAGTCAGTTAGCACCATAAGCCTCGCATTGGATATTAAAGGGTTAGGTAAGTGGAATAACTAGACTAGGTTTTATATAACAAGGAAGAAGAACGGGGGTAAATGAGAGGATAAGTATAGTGGGGTGCCGCCATTCTTGCACTTTGCGCACTAAGTTCTCTGGAAAGTGTTCCACCGCAGGCATCTCTGATGTGCCACGCAGCATGAAAGTGCGATGCGCGACACGCTGCCCTACACAGCACGCCGGCATTTTTCAAGCCAAGGGAGTTAAGGAGGGCACTGGCGGTAGTGCATGACATCGAGGGGGTGAGCATGCGTATGTGTCATCGACAACATGGGTGTCGATGGTTGAGGGGGCCGAGGGGGCTGAGTGTAGGGTTGTGCACGCACAGACGGATGACGAAGTTGGGTGTGTGGGCTCGAGACGAGAGTGGGGGTATTGGCGGTCGAGGGAGTGGCAGCTGTATAGCTAGGCAGCGTGTACAGCCAATGGCGGGTGCATGAGCTCGACAGCACGAGGGCGCACGCGGGCTTGAGGGCGGGACCGGTGTCAGAGGGGTCGAAGGTTCTATGTGTTGTGTGTACGTGATGTAAAAGATCGAGGGGGTTATGGGTCTGGTTGTCAAGGAGAACGAGAGCATGGCGTCGAGCGTGCATGGCGTCGAGCGAGAAGAGCATGAGATTGGGAGTGGCGTCAAGCAGGCATGGGTCGCATGGATGTCGGGAGTGTGCAGGGTTGAGGGTCGATGATCAAAGTGTGGAAGTGGGTCGAGCGGATGTGGCGTCAAGAGAGGAGAGTCGGTTGAACGGGCCAGCGGGCGGGGCTTCGAGTAGGCAAGCAGGCGGGGTGTCGAACAGTTCGAGAGGATTAAGTGGAAAGAGCGGGATTATTGATGAGCGGCTGTGGCATCGAATGAGTCGTGTGGGAGAGCATGAGGGTGTTGAGGGAGGGGTAGATAGACCGGACGAGAGCAGGAGGGACGCATGTGCAGGGAGGGGCTGGCATGAATAGAGACGACGTACCTCGTGGATAACCTCATCGTCCATCCCTTCTCTCTTCCCGGCGTGTCTCTCCGCCACCGCCCTTCCTCTAAGTCATTGTTGTCGTTGTCGTTGTTGACACTCGGTCGGTCGCGACGCTTGGCCCGTCATCGGGCAGCGTGGGCGTGAGGGCGTTGGTTGAGCAGGACGCCTGAGCGGCGGATATCATGGATGGCATAGGGAAAAGAGACGGAGGTAAGTGTGTGGGTAGGTGTGGATGAGGACAGAGGTCGGGGTCGGGAAGAGAAAGGTTAGTCCCTCGAGAATTTGTACATAGTAGAAGTAAAGAGAAAGAAAAGGAAAAAGTGCGAGCCCTCGGCAATGCCTGCTTTATCAGGGCCTCGGCGGAAGCCCATCGTCTGCTTGCATCAATGAGGGCACGAAGGAAATGGGTGCCAAGAAGGAAAAGGAACAAAAGGTAACTCACAACAAAGTGTTCAAAGTGCTCATTTCACTTATCTGGACTGGCATAGGCAGGAAAAAGGGTATGTTGACGATCACCTGTCGGAAGGTCTAAGGCTTGCTGGCTAGTAGAGTTTGTCGATATTGGCACTCACAGGGCATGGACGAGGGGTTGCAAAGATGGAAGGTGTACTTAGAGACTAGCGTAGACCAAAGAGTGGGATCGAGAGCTGTTTATAACGATCGAGAGGTAAAGTGGTGCTCCTTCCACTTTAGGCAGAAAATTTCGCTTACAAGTCGTGTGGGTGAACGGGGCTGAGTTCAAAGTATAGTTCTAAATACAATAATAAAAATGTCAAAGGCCGTAGGTACAGAGGAGCACAAAAGAAAGTAGCTTCGAGGTATATGCGCGCAAAGCACATGGAACAAGTCGCGTGGACTACGTGTATATCTGTACTCTCGAGACTGCTGGAACAGTACCAGTGCGTGTTCTGCTGCCTAAGAACACTCGTCTCAAGCGTGCTTAAGACCCTCTAGTGTATTGTGTTCGACGACGTCCTGCCGAGAAGGCTGTTTGTGATGTCGAATGTCAGCATCAGGAACACAAGAGGGGAGGAGAGGAAGAGGAAGAAGGAAGGAAACGGGGCCGGCGAAGGCGGCGGCCGCGTGCTGTCTGCGGCAGCCAGGCTCCCCACAAAGCCCGAATTCACCTTCGGCGAATTTGGGCTGTGGGGAGCCTGGCTGCCGCAGACAGCACGCGGCCGTTTCTGTACCATGCATGACTCGTCCACTGTGGAGCCCTGGATGTCCGGGGTCTTGGTATCGAAGGTCGAGGGTGAGCGGGAAGAGCAGGTAAGCTGGCGAGAGGGGATGGGAATGAGCGGATGTATTGTCAAGGGTTAGGATGTGGAAGGGAGACTGAAAGGCAGGATGAGGGCGGGAGTCGCTTGTGCGAGGGGGAAAGACCGGCACGAGAGGGGGAGGGATAGCGCGAGGGACGACGTACCTACGTTATCGTCGTCCATGCCCACCCACGTCTGTCCACCGCCTCCATCCATCGTCCTCATCCAGCCTCTTTCTCTGCCACCTGGCGAATCTCGTCCTCTTTGTTCACGTTTGAACGGCCGCAATGATGGCGCGTCCTGCGCTAGCGCGCGCGCGAAGGCGTCGATGGAGCGGCCTCGCCGTTCAGCCCTCGACAATGGAGACGTTGAGGGCGCTGTGTTGCGGGGATGTCGAGGCCTAGGGATGAACACGCGCGGGATCGCAGATACCGGAGTTCAAGGGCTCGAGGTAATAAGCTTGCAAGGTGCCGAGTGTGCGTACGCTAATGGTCGAGGCGACGAGCACGAGTGGGTTGGTGAGATGAGGAGGAGGGCGCCGGGTAGAAGCTGTGTGCGCATCCGAGGGAACGAGTGCGCGAGGCTGTAGGTGGCAGGACGCAGGCGAGAGTGAACGCGAACGAATGGAATCGAGGGGGCGGTTGACATTCGATGAGAACGAGGGCACCGGGGGTGCTAGGCGGCGAGGGTGTGCAACGTCGAGAGCGGGAATATTAACAGCAGAGGGGATGCACACAAAAGTGCTGGGCGTGCGCATGCATAGGGCTGAGTGTGCGCGGAGTCTTGGCAGCGACGCAGCGCAAGCAAAGTGCGAAATTGTGAATTGTGGAGGGGATGAGCGCGAGGTTTGCGCGGTCTGAGCATATGACCAGGTACGGCGTCAAGAGCGGGAATATCACCGTGGAGGGGGTCGAGGGGACGCATGTCGAAGGAGGGGCTCGAGGCCGCAATAGGAGAGCGGCGTGAGCAACTGGCTGTGGCGTCGAGTAGGGGATGCGGGCGTGTCGAGCGAGGATCCGGGAAACGCAGACAATGCGCGAGGGGGCGTGGACGATGCAGGAGAGCGGGCGAGCGGGCCAGTGGGTATGACATCGAGCAGGGAGAGCAGGGAGAGCGGGGAGAGCAGAAGGGCAGGGGATTGGTTTGAGAGGGTAGGACGGGAGAGAGGAGAAACTAGGGCGAGTGACGTACCCCTCATAGATGTCCTCGTCGCTCGTTCCTTCCCTCTTCTGTGATCATCTCCACCGGTGCCGAACCTCATCCTTATCCTCATTGTCATAGATGCCTGCGTCGTTGAGCAGTGCAGGCGTAGGCGTGTGGGCGTTGGTGGAGCGGGACGCCTCTGCGGTGGAGATGGTGGATGGCACATGGGGAGAGAGATGACAGGAGTGTGAGCGTGGGCATGGACAGCGAGAGAGGACAGGATCGGGAAGGGAAAGGTCAATTCCTCGAGGATCTGTAGATAGTGACAACACGCTGTCAGCAATGTGTGGACGCGACGCGACATTGCAGCGTGCTTGATCACGAGACGTTGAAGGAGCACTGTGTCCGACACAGTCGGACTGTGTTCCGACACAGTCGGACTGTGTTCCGACACAGTCGGACTGTGTTCCGACACAGTCGGACTGTGTTCCGACACAGTCGGACTGTGTGCCGACACAGTCGGACTGTGTTCCGACACAGTCGGACTGTGTGCCGACACAGTCGGACTGTGTGGCGCGACAATCAACGGACTGTGTGCGGCACGGCCGGACTGTGTGGCGCAGATTCACCGCCAAATCTCGGACTGTCACCGAGAATCCGGACTGTGTGGCGCTGAACTAGCGCCAAAATCCGGACTGTGTGCGGTCTCGGCCGGACTGTGTGGCGCAACAGAGAGACTGTGCACAGTGTGACAACAGTGTGACGACTGTGGGTCCGCAATCTCCCGACTGTGTGCCGCCCTTTCCCGATGCTGACTAAACTGTGTCTCCGGGTTGCAGAATACCCTCAACATCACAAACAATTACATATCTCTCGATCCCCTCATCCAAATAATAAAATTAGGGTATGATTTGAAAGGTAGTGTATTTAGGAGCATTCTATTAGTTTTGCAATGGAAATCCAAGGATAATTGTGGGCTAGAAACTCGGTTTTTTGAGGTTTTCTTTCAATTCTGTATTTTGCCTGTAACATCTTTAGTACTCCATGTCTACTAATGAAAATATCAGGGTACCATGACAAATACCTTTTAAGCCTATTGAATCAGACAGAATTGTGTGCAACTTCGGATTTGGTTCCCAAAACCCAGACTGTGCTTCACACAGTCTGGTTTTAGGGGGTAGACTGTTTAAATCCATATCTATTGAACCCCTGATTCAATCTCACTGCTTCTAGGCCTCAAAGTTGAAGCAGGGTATGAAGATTACAGAAAGGATTTTTTCATATTTATATTTACATTTAATTGGCAACACAGTAGTTTCGGATATCGGTGGACTCAAAAGTGTCGGTAATACTACTAGGTGCCTCGTGCCTCGGCGTTCGACGGCTTGATGGTGGATCTAGCAACTATCTGGCACCTGATTATTAGAACTCAGCGTGCTTCTTGGACCGACTGAGACACAACTATCGCCGTATTAATTAAGCTACCGAGACTATTGGTTTTGCGATTTGTGAGTATCCTCGACTCCGGCCGTCTTTGACTCCCAGAATGCGCGCCCACATTTCCCCATTGTTTCTGTTGCTTTTACCGCAGAATCTCATATTTTCTTCCTTTGCCTTTGCGCCGAATCCAATCCTAGTATCAAACGAGCTCGAACACCTCCTCGTCGACACAGGCGGTGCCAATGACGGTGGTTTCAAGCGCGCAATCACACCATGCACGAACTACGTGGAAGGGAGTCAGCTTCTGGGATGGGAGACAGCGGCGCAATGGATTCGAGTGGCCTTTCGTACGTGTTTAGCTCTGAGTTTTGGTGCCAGGCAGAGCCAGTCGCTGACAGCTGTTCCACCTTAATGCATGCAGATGACTTTGTTACTGCAGACGTGGGTACTGGCGTGGGCGGTTTGGACGCGTCGATTGGGTTCGAGACGCTTCGTGCCGAGAATAGTGGAACGGCTATGAACGACTCGCTCACATTCTTCGCGCCCTTCGTTAACGCTCAGGTATCCAGTAAGCGATGCTGGTTCTACAGATGTTTGCAATGGATTTCTCAAGAACGTGTCAGTGGCGGATATGATAGCGTTGAGCGTAGTGATGATGATAAAAAAACAAAGAAGACGAAAGAGGTAAGACGACGCTGAAAGAGGTAAGACGGCCCGGGCGCGTCGAGATTGAGCAGCCATACCAGCGGCCAGCGGACCTCATGAAGGATGAGGGGGGCGTTGCGTGCCGCGACGGATGCTGGGAGGCGAGAGCTCAATTGCAAACTAGGCTTCGAGGCAATCAGGCAGAATGATTTGGATGCACGCATCCACGGAAGAGGGTAGCGACGCGAGATTAAACCCGAGGAATGGACTGGCACGCAGAGACGCGAATCTCGCCGGTTGTGGACACGATCGGGGTTGCATGGAGTCATGCATTCGTGCAAGCGACGGATGGATGTTACACCAAATGTACGCGAAGGGACGACGAGAGGGGACGAGAGAGAGATGGAATGGAAAGAAAGAAAGACGGGCAAGGGGAAAACGGGCAAAGGAGACGCACGCTTCGTAAAAGCCGCCGCCGATCATTTCGAGGGAAAGGATGGAGCCCTGCGATCCGGCAGGGTCGTCGCGAGCGCGGAGAATGCGGGTGCGCGCATTTTGGCGCCGACGTTGGTCGCGTGGGCGGCGATTTTGTGCGCGGAGGAGCCCGTCGCGGACGGGGGGCGTGCGCACAGGTATGCTCTCAGGTGCGGTGCGCATGGGGACTGAGGCGTGCAGAAGGCTCTGAGCGCGCTAGATGTGCACCTGGGTTGCGTGGTTGGAGAGCCGAGGTGGCCTGGGCGAGACTGTGAGTGACGTTGAGCGCGCGCGCAAAGGCAAGGCATGTCGCCGCTCAAGAACGCGCACGCGGAAGGCCTCAGCGACGCGGGAAAGGAGTGCAGGGTAGACGATGGGGGCGCGTCAGCCGCCGCGTCTCCTCCTTGCCGATCTTCTGCGTCGCACGTCGTGCGAGAAGCTCCCCGTCCTATACCGCTCATACAGCAGCCAAGGGTGGAGGGGGGCGTGACGCCGGGGGAAGGCAAGGCCGGCCAGTGCGCGAGGATGCGGATGCGGATGCGGATGCGGCAGCGGCGGCCTGGTCGAGGAGGGCGGCGCGTATGTGAGCGGTGCTCGCCGCGGACATCGACTTGGAGCAGTCCTGCGAGGTCCGGTCGCGGTCGCGGCGGTTGGCGCTGGGCATGGTGCGCAAGGACTCGGAGGAGCGGCGTGAGGAGGTGGAGGAGGAGGTGGTGGTGGTGGTGGTGATGTGGGTGGTGATGGTGGTGACGGTGGACGAGGCATCGGAGGCAGAGGTGTTGACGAAGGTGGAGGAGGCGGAGGATATGCTAGGATGGTGGGTGGTGGGCTTGAGGAGACGCACGGGCGCGGATATGGGTCGCGAGCAAAGACGGGTGCGTGGCGTTGAGGAATCGCGCGTGCACGCATGAGCACGAGGGCGATATGGACTATGGAGGGGGCCGAGTGAGTGAGCGGGCTTGGCATCGAAGAGATTGAGGGGGTCTCGGGGACACAAACAACGGGCGGGTGAGAAGGCTGAGAGTGGGAGGTACAGACCTTGGTAATGCTCGGCCTCCCTCTTCCTAGCTCATCTCTTTGCTGCTAGCTCCTAATCACCTTCCTCGTCGATGCACTGAAGTGCGTGTGGCATGATATTTACGATGCTTCGTACATGGCCGTGCGTGGGATCGACGAAGGAAACGACATGCGACGAGAAGAGGCAAGAGACGCCAGGAGGGCAGCAGGCTGCATGATGTGCAGACTAAGCTACTCGCTAACAAACAAATATGGGCGAGAAGGCGGATGAGACGCACACAGAAACAGAACAGGCGGTGCAGCAGTGAGGAGCATGAGGGCGGAAAAAGGAGGGACAGGATCGCCACTGAGCCAGACGTGCGCAGGGATTGAACCATAATAAAAGGACCGTGAGATTTGCCCGGCAACTATTATCCTTTGATACGCCATAGCACCGCCAAGGCGGCGACGCTGAGCATGAGCACGCCCACCGTCGTCGACATCTGTGCTGAATGTTGAACCATCTGTCGACACAGTGCTGTGAGCGAATGCACGAAAACGCAGAGAATAAAGCTCACTGGCGCCAGGTGTGCGCCCTTCAGATTGGCGGCGGCGGCAGACGAGGCATGTGCAGCGTCATTCTCCGTCGTCATCGTCGTCGTGGACCCTGTCGATGCCTTCTGAACCGACGACTCTGAGGTGATGGGATAGTGCTTCAAGGACATGATCCTCGCATCGTCACTTGCACGACGCACGTTCGAATCCGAATCATCCTGCGCCCAGGGCACGCGCGTGCGTGCTTTGGAAGCTGACTGGCGCTTGTCATCGAGCAGTGTCACGCCCTCGAATGAGCTCGCGTACCCACCGTCGTCCTTGTTCGACTCGGCCGAGTGCGAACGCGATCGGCCTCGGGAGATTGTCGATCGTTTCCGCCGATAGCGCTTGCCCGAGTCAGACGAGATGTTGCGTGGACTAGGGGGTGTGACGAGCCTAACACCGTTGCGCTCGTTCACGTTCGCCTTGAGTCGGTGTTGCTGCAGCGTCGCGAGCCCGGCATCCACCTTCGCGACGGCGCCGTCAAACCCCTCCTCAGCAGCCCGCACGCGCGCCTCCCAAACCTCACGCGCCTGATTGATCCGCATGCGCTCCTCAGCCCATTCCTCACGGACGCCGCTCCACTAGCCCTCGACACCCTTCTTCCACTCAGCGATGAGTGAGGTGAGCGAGGCGCGCTCTTGACTCACCTCAGTGACATGCGACTGTATATCGGTCTGCGACGCCTGGACGAGTGACTCGAGCAAGGAGACCTTGGACTCAAGCATGGAGGTGGTACTCTGCGCAGCAGCCTGCTGGGCTTGGAGCGTGCGTGAGAGCTCGAGCGCAGATTCGAGGTGAGAGGTGAGGGCATCGATGCGCTCCTCGAACACGGAAGACGTCGAAGGCTGAAGAGCAAAAGGCTCTCGTAGAGGGGGCGGCGGCGATCGTGAGTGCATGTTGAGCACGTCAAGGTGCATTTTGGATCTGCCATGGATGTCCATGCCCATCCCTGTAGGCTCCGGTGTTATCGGTCGACCTAGCTCATCTCTCCGCCGCCGCCGCCGCCCCTCTTCTTCTTCCTCCGCCGCCAGCTGCTCCTCGTCCTCCTCCTCGACGCACTCCAGCTCGTGGGGCATGACGGTTGCGATACTCTGCGCGTCATCGTCGTCGCCGCCGTACTCGCTGTCGTCGTGGTCCTTGGCACGCAGCGTCCCTGAGCATTGTCTGCCGCGTACGCTGTCTAATTCGCATTTTTCCTTTATCAGCTCGCGGAGGGTGCTAACTTCACGCTTGATGGCTTTGTGCTCAGAGAGCATACCCTCCATGACGCGGATCTTATCGATGAAGCAGGCAAGAGAGACTTGAATGTCCTGCAGTCGAAACTGCAGCGCGATAACTATGGCAGGAGTTGGCGCCGAGTTCTCACTAGTGAGCAGCTCAGTTGGAGGCGGTGGCTGAGGCGGTTAGACGGGAGGAATTCATTGGGGGTATGGAGGAAGATTCGAGGAAGAACGTACCGATCGCAGGAATTCCCGCAATCAAACGACCCGACCCACTGCTCCTCCTCCTCCTCGCCGTCTCTATGCACCACGGCGCACGCCTTCTTCTCTCCCTCCCTGTATGCAAGCTGCTTCTCCACTTTCCTGCACTAGCACTGCACTGCCTCGGACACGCGCCGGGATGGCACGACTCCACACAGACGTAGTCCCCGCACGCGAGCCACTTTTCGCAAGCGCGGCCGCAGGAGAGGTCCACGCGCGCGGTGTCGGCGGTCGAGGACAGGAGTGCAGGGGCGGGGGACGTGCGGGAGCAGGGACGCGTGTGCAGGGAGGCTGGCGCGAAGAGAGGCGGTATACCTCGTGAACATCCTCGTCGCACGTCCCTTCTCTCCCCCCAGCGTGTCTTTCCGCCACCGACCTTCCTCATTGTGATCGTTGTTGTCGTCGACATCGCGGTCGTTGACGCTCGGACGGTTGCGATGCTTGGCCCGTCATCGGGCAGCGTGAGCGTGTGGGCGTCGGTGGGGCAGGATGCCTCAGCGACGGTGATCGTGGGTGGCACCGGGAAAAGAGATGGTGGCGAGCGTGGGCGTAGGTGTGGACGAGGTTAGAGGACGAGGCAGGGATGGGACGGATTAGGATCTGCAGACAGCAAAAGTAAATAAAAATAAAAATAAACGTCAGTACACGCCTTCGGCGATGCTTGCTTTCTCAGGGCATCGGCGGAGGCCCATCGTCCCGTTCGCAAAGTTGAGTGTGTGGAAGAGAGGGCATCGAAGAGTAGGTTAGAAATGTGCTCACAAGACTAGTCAGATTGATGCTTGTCCCGGTTTCGCAATCCATTGTTGCGTGGGCAGCGGGGAGACATGTTGTCTGTGAGAACCTCCGTGCAATTGGAAGCTGGATCTGGTCGAGTCGAGAGCTGGCGATCACTGTCGGGTCAGCGCAGGTCAGCGCAGATCGACGCTCTCTCCACAACTTTCGCCCACACGTCGTGTGGGTGAATGGGGCCATGGTGTAAAGACATAGCCTCTTCTTTAGGAGAGGAAGAGATGGTTTGCAGGGTCGTGATATACTTACAGAGAGAGAAAAAAAATCTAACTACAGGTAGAAGGGGTACTTGAAAAATAGCTAAGAGTGGGAGCGCGTATATGTGCACACAAAGCATGTGAAATCAGTTGCTGATAGTACGAGTGGGAGAGTATGTCAGATCCTCTCATGGCGTGTGTGTCAGGGTGCTACAGAAGGCGGTTGGAGCGCGTCGCCATGTCCCACCCATACTCGGACTCAATGTCAACATAATGAAGACTCACTGTGCAAACAATAACGATCCCTCACTTCTTCAGCGACCAATCTACCTCAGGCCAGCCTAGCTGCTCCCACTTGACGCTGCGTCGCAGTGCGGTGACGTTCCTAATAGACAAGGTGTGCTGTGTGCATGTGCGGGATGTACTTCTCGTGGCGCTCGAACATGTCCAGCACTCACTTGCGTTCTGTTTTCCCAATGCATGCTCGGAGCCATTTGTGATGTTGCAGAACGTGCTAAGGGCAGGTGTGTTGCCGGCGAAGCCGGCGGCCGTGTGTAGTCTGCGGCAGCCTGGCTCACCACCAAGCCCAAATTAACCTTTGGCGAATTTGGGCTTGGTGGCGAGCCAGGCTGCCGCAGACTACACACGGCCGTTTTTGCACTTTGCTAGACTTGTCCACTGCGGAACCCTCAACATCGAGGCGTGCGCGAGCCGTGTATCTTGCGCAACTCGTCCGCTGTGGATTGTTTGATGCCAAGCATCACCGACGCGTACAGGCAAGGGCAGTGGGAGGGGTAGAGACGTGGGGAGAGATGGAGGGGCTGGAAGATGAGTCTATATGACGCTGTACAGCTGAGCTTGCAGGACCGCACGAAGAAGTGCAGGGTGGGTGTGGGGGAGAGGGTGGTGCGCGCGCATACCTTCTGGAACGCGATGCGCACCGCGTCTTTGCAGCTTCCGCTTGAGGCAGAGTGCGGCGCGGCGCACACGGACTGGAATGCGCTCGCTTCCCTGCGGATATCGCAATTCCTTTGGCATGAGCGTGGGAATTGATCTGGGGAGCAAGAGGGGAGCCGGCGGGGACGACAAAACGAGGGCGTAGCATCAGAGCACTTCGAGCAGGCAAATAGGCGAGAGGTCGAGTGCGCATGGGGTCTCTATAATAACGCAGAACGAGAGAGGGCGGGCAGAATGACTGAAAATGTGAAATATATGTGAGGAGGGGAAGAAATGAATGTGCAAGGACAGGAGGATCGATAAGGTCGACAGTGGAAGGGGTCGAGGGGTCGAGGGTGGGGGTCATGGGTGGCAGGCGTATATGGAGTCGAAAGGACGACCATGCGTGGGTCGAGCGGAGGGACAGGTGTGCAAGGGAAGACTGGCGCAAGGAGAGACGACGACGTACCTTCATGACGCTCGTCCTTCTCATGAGATGTTGGAGGGCACTGTGTGTCGACACAGTCGGAAGTAAAACTCCGACTGTGTCCGACACAGTCGGACTGTGTGCCGACACAGTCGGAGGGAAAACTTGGACTGTGTCCGACACAGTCGGACTGTGTTCCGACACAGTCGGACTGTGTGCCGACACAGTCGGACTGTGTGGCGCGACAATCATCGGACTGTGTGCGGCACGGCCGGACTGTGTGGCGCAGATTCACCGCCAAATCTCGGACTGTCACCGAGAATCCGGACTGTGTGGCGCTGAACCAGCGCCAAAATCCGGACTGTGTGCGGTCTCGGCCGGACTGTGTGGCGCAACAGAGAGACTGTGCACAGCGTGACAACAGTGTGACGACTGTGGGTCCGCAATCTCCCGACTGTGTGCCGCCCTTTCCCGATGCTGACTAAACTGTGTCTCCGGGTTGCAGAATGCCCTCAACATCACAAACAATTACATATCTCTGGATCCCCTCATCCAAATAATAAAATTAGGGTATAATCTGAAAGGTAGTGTATGTAGGAGCATTTTATTAGTTTTGCAATGGAAATAAAAGGAAAATTGTGGACTGGAGACTCGGTTTTTTGAGGTTTTTCCTCAATTCTGTATTCTGCCTATAACATCTTCAGTACTCCATGTCTACTAATGAAAATATTAGGGTACCATGACAAATACATTTTAAGCCTATTGAATCAGACAGAATTGTGTGCAACCTCGGATTTGGCTCCCAAAACCCAGACTGTGTGAAGCACAGTCTGGTTTTAGGGGGTAGACTGTTTAAATCCATATCTATTGAACCCCTGATTCAATCTCGCTGCTTCTGGGCCTCAAAGTTGAAGCAGGGTATGAAAATTACAGAAAGGATTTTTTCATATTTATATTTGCATTTAATTGGCAACACAGTAGTTTCGGATATCGGTGGACTCAAAAGTGTCGGTAATACTACTAGATCTGTCCCTGTTCACTCTCGAGTGCATCAACTACTCAGGCCATCGCAGGCCCATTTCCTCACCTTCACCAACCCTTAGCAAAGAGTCTTCCTACGTCTCTGCAAACGCCATAGCCTCGGATGCCACCGCTGCCGCCCCATACACTGTTTCAGACTGGGAGAGGACAACCTACTACAACGGTATTTCCCCCGACCATCCTGAGCTCCTCTACCGGTCGGATCTCCTCGAAAATCCCTTCCCCACCCCCACGGGCAGACACCCTCATCTCCCTACCAAGACCGTCTATGGAGTCTTCAAGACTCCGCTCAACGCTGTCTGGGATACTGTCGCTCCCCAGATCCGCGAGTTCTTGAAATCCCGGAAGCTTTGTTACTCAGCCATCCAGACAGCTCGATTCGTCACCCACGGTGAGGATGCAAAGGATACTCTCGGTCCCATCGTGATTTGGATCGCGACTCATCCCACTACCACCACCGCCGAGAACGCGCACGACGCTTCCCCATACATTCTCGCTCTTCTCAAGGCTAATGGAGTCGAGGGTGCGGTGGTCGAATGGTACGAGGGAGCCGTGGAGAAGCTGTCAGGCCCACACCTTCTTCGCATTACTGACAACACCAACCCCACCCACTATGTCCGTCGCTTCCTCACTGCTGCGCTCGGCATGCCTATCGTTGCTGCAGAGGGGGAGGCCACTGATGCTCAGGGTAGCGCCACGCTGTTCTTCCACGAGAACAAGGACAAGCATGGCAACCCTAGTACCAAGCTCTTCGGTATTAGCACCTGCCACGTTCTTCGCGAAGCAACCACCACCACGTACGAGTTCAGGGGCGCTGGCGCACCTCTACGGCACGTTCGACTTGCTGGATTCCATCGATTTCAGCGCGGCCTCGACGAGATCAAGGCCTGCATCGGTGGCTACGGAACCGACGCCGACCTCTTAGCAAGGGAGGCTGTTGAGTTGGAGGCGAAGCCGAAGAGCGAGGACCCGGAGGAGGAGGCGGAAGACGAGGCGGCCGGGAAGGCTAAGCGGGACGAGTTGGTCAAATTGAAGAAGAATATCGACGTACTCGAGGCCTTCTACAAGGACATCAACAGCCAGTGGGGCGACCTTGCGCGCCGAAACATTGGCCATGTCGATTGGGCTCCCAAGATCTCCGTCGACGTTCAGGGTCGCAACTACACCAAGGATATCGGTACATTCGAGGTTGATGCGGCAAAGTTCAAGGCCCAGTTCAAGGGCAACGTCGTCGACTTAGGTGCGTTTTGCCTCATTTTTCGCACAAACACCTCATCCAATTAATATAACCTACAGGAGGCAAGTTTACTCCCCAGCAACTTACCGACATGTTCTACCCTCAAAGTGCCGGTAGGACGGCGTTCAAGTTCCCCACGAATCGCCAGCTCAGGATCAACGGTTGTCTCACCCGCGAGCTCCTCGGTGTTCCTGACTGTTTCGACAGCAATGGCGAGCCCTGTCTTATCGTCATGAAGGACGGTAACACCACCGACCTCACGGTTGGACGCTACGCCGGCCTGGAGGCCTACCTTTGCGATAATTTTGGCGTCGAGTCCATCGAACTCGCTATCTATAACTACGATAAGCAGTCCGGCCCGTTCTCCGCCAAGGGCGACTCGGGCTCGCTCATCTTCGATGGAGAGGGTCATATGGTCGGTGTTCTTCACTCTGGGATGCCGAAAGGCGGGAGCAATCACGTCACCTACGCCACCCCCGCCTGGTGGGCCATCGAGCAACTCAAACTCAAGTATCCGCACGCCGACTTCAACCGTCTCACCTTCTAAACGCGAATACACTTGTCGGCTATCTGCTCTCCCACCCCCACTCCTTCTTACCTTCCACTGTTCCCCTTACTTTTTGTTTCTGTGGTTGTTCTCATCTCTCGGGCTCATCCCTCTCCCCCCTGACTGTGACATCCTCTCCCTTCCTGGCTGTGTTTCCTCTTCGTTTTGACTGCCTGTTATCTGCCCTCAGACGTGTGTTTCTTTCCTTGATTCACTGTTTACGTTCGCCCTTTTCTTCTGACTTATGACAGTCTTGATGTCTAGGTCTTCAGCGACACTACACGCTTCGTTCGTTCCTTCGTCGTCGTCTCGGCTCTCTACGCTCATTAGGGTTGGAGGGGATGATAGATGCCTTGACCGATGAATGTCTAGCTTGGTTCGTTTCTCTCCCCGACCTCATCATTTCGTACTTATAACTAACGACATTGACGTCTAGGCTCTGTCCCTGTGGAGTCGTTGTTCACGTTTGTCTTGTCCCCTTCCCGTTTTTCGATTGGTGCAGCCAATAGCTCTTGCCAACGGTGAGGGCCTTGGTCCCGTGGATTCGTCGCCTCGATCGTTGTAGCTTCGCGTTGTTTGACACTTGTACCCTTCGTGTACTATTAATCCCTTTCTCGACTTGTATCTTCCTCCCTCCCCAGTCATCAGGGAAACGACCCCCCTCTATTATGTCTACACCGTAGATAATTATCTCTAATTTATGATGAGTTTGCACCGGACTTTTTTTGAATTACCCCCTCGCCCTAACCATGAATTGATATAGTAAATTAGAGCTAAGTCGTTTCAAAGTTCAACCCCTTTCCCGGTACGAGTACAACGAAAGAATTTTAAAATGAGCTATGGCAAGTTGATCATCCTGTGCCGGAACTCGCGCATCGCGCAGTTCTAGTTTTGTGTCGGAATTGGTCAATGGCGGTTGCCCGAAGGCATACTTTCATTTGAATGATCGTAAAGAAATGAGTGGAATACCAAGATCCTAGCATAGTATCATGATGTGACAGAAGATACAACATAGTACGCCACTTATCCGGCCTCCATATACTACAACAGCACAAGGTTCCGCCAAGGCCGAAGATGCTACACATTAGGAGGAATACAGTCATCGCAGCTCGCTGGTCTCCAAATTTGTCGCGTATCGGCCGCTGGCAAACCCCTCCCCTTTGCTTGGCTGGTGATCGTCGATTTCGTTCGCGTACGCTGAGATGTAATCAAACTGGTCATCCTCCGCGACCGCAGGCGGACTCTGTGTCTGCGCGGGAGAAACGGAGAGCGGCTGCGACTGGCTAAGGGACGCAGACGACCCGTGCCCACCAGGGCGTAGCGCGTATGGTGAGCTAGGCAAGCCGCGCTTTTTGAAGCTGAGAGGGCTTGTTTCAGCGGCCGATGGTACTGATCCCGCGGAAAAAGATCCTTCTGATGGGACACGATTCTGAGGACGGCGGAATGCTGCGGCAGAGATAGTGCGCACCCCAGAAGGAGGGGGCGGAGGTGGAGTGACGTGTGGCCTGGAGAAGGACGATTTAGGCGAAGTTGATGGCGAGGTACCCAAGCCGACGGCGGGGTATTCTGGAGGCGTGCGATAGGGCTGGGGCGTTGCGAAGTTAGAATCAGACTGAGGAGACGACATAGGGACTGGAGGTGGAAGGGAGATAGACGGCGGTGGCTGCTGAGGTGCATCTATCGGCGAGGAAGGTAGGTTTGGCGAAGGAACATTGGGAGAGGATGAGCGGCGAGGAGCCAGAGGTTCGACGGGACTCCTGGGTGTAGGCGAAATGCCCTCACGGTCGCGGTTACGGGTGAAGGGCGATGTAGGGTGGGAAGGCGAGTCAGTCTGTCGAGGAGAGCTAGGGCTGGGAACATTCATTGACGCAGTGGCAAGCGGCGGTGGCGGAGGAGGAAGAGGGTGCGATGGACTTGAAGGAGTAGGCTGGGCAGAGGGGCTTGGAAGAGCAGGCGGATGTGGAGGACTGAAAGTGAGGGCATCCAGTTCTCGCGAAACTTCACGGGCCGCTGCAGCGTTCAAAGCCTTCTCTTCATCTGGATCAAGGGTTGGTGCCATTGGAGGGGACGCAGGCCTATGCTGCCCTGATGGCTCGGGAGATGGTAAGGGCGATCCGGATGCTAGAGAACAGTCAATTACTGGGTGCGTAACGCCAATTAGATTATGTGTAGCTCACGAACCGATGTCTAGGCCATTTGCGAATGATTGTCGCTGAGGGGTCTTCAACTCGACAGGGCGCGACGCAAATCTCAATCTCCGCTCGGCCTTCGAAGGCTCCATCCACGGCAACTGACTATCCTCCTGATCTTCGTTTACCTTCTGCTGGCTGTACTCGCCATAGGATAGACCCTGAATAGCGGGAGGAGCTGCACCGGGCGGCGGGCCAGCGGGAGGCGCATAGTCTTGCGAGAACGGAGGAGCGACGAGGTCGTACGATGGCGCAGGTCCCTCGGGTTCCAGCGGTAAATGAGCACTAGGTGCCTTCTCGCTCGTGTCAATACGCGGGCTGCCAAGAGCCTCAGCAACTGAGCTCGAGAAGCTCTGGTTCATATCCCTTTCATCTCCCTCACTGAGTGGGGACGCCAGCATGCCCGGTCGCCCGCCTCTCACAGGGAAAGTCGCAAATTGGCCACCGCCGCCTCGGACAGCAGAGACATCTAGGCTGCTGGGGGAATCGCCGTTCTCGGAAAGCAAAGGTAGCGACGATAACGTCTGTGAGTGAGACACATCTCCTTGGGAAGAAAGCGCCCCGAGTTCATTGACCTGAAGGCCCGACGCATTGCCAGGGTTGAAACGATCCGGCTCGGGCATAGTCATATACATCCCCATGAAGCTGGAATTATCTTGTGGCGCATCTGTTGGGTGCGGCAGGCGATATTCGTTCGAGGCATTCTCAGGGAGTCGATCAGAGGGCGGGTAACCGTTGAAAACGATCTGTGATAGCGCTTGCTGTGCTTCAGCAACATACTTTTCTGTGGTCTGATTGCCGCTGTAATATGACCGCGGTCCACCGGGCTGTGTCAGATCTTGAGGAATTTCTGAGATCAAGAGCTTTCCGGCCTCGCCGATGATCTAGTCCTCGTCAGACCCGTATGCTGACAGAAACCCGGCGAGATACGTACAACGCCTTTCCTAGAGAGCTCCTCTATCCCTCCAAATTTCAAAGTCATCCATGATTTTGTAGCTGAACGTTTCAGATCCCCGAGCTTGGCTTCGTCGGTCATTATTTGCGAGTCCAAGCTCCTGATCTCATCTCGCAGCTGATTGAGCAGATCAGTCTGTGCTTGCAGGTTTTTGTGCTCCGGGTTCATCTTGTGGAGTTTTCGCTCGGCCGAATCCGCTTTGGAGGCGACGGTCTTACGTCGGCGCTTGAGTTCGTCCAAGCTTTCTTCGCCGGTCCGTACGGATTTCATGTGGTCGCGAATGCTCTGCTCATGGGAGGCGAATTTTGAGATAGCGGAGGAGAAGTGAGAGAGGATGGTAGTGGAGCAGCTTAGCGTATCCTAAAACACAGTCTGCATAAGGAGAAGATAACACGGATGATATTGAAAACTCACACCCAAGTCCTCGCCTTCACCGAGGCCCCAGTTTCTCAACGCTTCCGACGCCTTTGTAAAATCCCCGCTCAGCTTTACGAGACTGTCTGGTCGTCAAGCATGGAAAACCGAGCGAGGGCTGGAGGACGCACGATTGAACAATGGCCTTCTCCGCTGTGATCAGATCCTGTAAGGGCCTGAGGTCTTTGTTGCCACCTAATGCTGGTATAACAGAGTTATGCGCAATTCGAGTTGCGGCTGTCTTGAACATTGTGTACACGGGTGGAGAGGAAGTGACGTCCGTCCTACTGTCACTGCGATTGACTGAAGGCCCGGCCGGAGATCAGGTGATTTTGATTGGCGCGAGTGAAACTCGTCTACGCACAAAGATTCTGATCGTCCTCACCCTCCTTAGGTATCCTACGTTGCGAACGTCCAAGGAGACATATATGTGAACAGCGGCGCTCAGTGGGTGTGATCAGGCAAACTCTCACTTTGTGCCCCTTTGATGTGAGCTTCGGCATTTGAAGTAACATTGGAATTCCGGGGTGGGTAACCGTCTCGCCTTCCGAGCTCGTCTCTTAACGCCAGAGATTCTCGAACTTATATTCATTCACAGCCAGCGACAGTTTCGGATTAGACCGCGCGTTTCAATGCCTTTTTGAACGTGTCTACACGCCCGAATTACTTCTTGAAGTGATCAATCATGCTTCATGGGAGTGTGAGTCTGGTTCAAAGAGGGCACCCAATGATCTGGTCGGACAATACGCACGGATTTGGTAGGAAGGTAGAAGTCACCAGATAAGTGGATTCAAGACTCAACTTATCCCAGCTCTTACGTCTCATAGATCGTGTTTGCGCATGACACTGGGGAACGCTCGTTATCCCCTGTGCAAATCACTCGAAATCAAGCTCATAATCATCCTCTGCTGATCAAACAAATTAACTAGAATTGTCACGACCTCACTCCTGCCGATACCTCTCTGAGGCACTGGTTGTACCTCTGGACGTCTTGGTCACACATGTCCACCCATCGGCACCGAGCTGCAAGCAAACGACCTGCGCCTACAGCAAGGGCTGTTCTCTGGGTAAGCAGGGTGCAGAGATGAGAGGTTCCTGGAACTAGACGTTTCAGCACCGTCATGAGCTGGATCAACGATGAGCCGTTTGTTAATCCGCTTCACAATCTAGCGTAACGGGCTCACTGACCAGCCCCGGCACTTTATAGCGTACGCATCTTACAATGCAGATATACCATATTCATCAACCTGAACATCCTGCCTTTTCTCTCCCCTTTTGCAGATACCAACAGGTGCCCAGTGCATAATCCTGACGTACCTGTAACTATCAAGGCATATCGGCATGCTCACCTCATGTTCTCGGTTTGGTAACGTGGTACGCGTCGAACTACGCTCGGATATTCACAAATGCTGACTTGGAGGTGGATTGTACGATTGCCAGGCTCATTTTTTTGGCCATGAGGCCCAGTCAGAACCCAGCCTAGTTGGAGCTAGCATGCTCAACCATCGGTGTTGGAGATAGAGTGAGCTATGCCCTGATAGAAAAATGGCCCTTTACTAGATTTACTTACTCCGTAATTCTATGAGTATCTATTGGGCTATAGTGTCCTTGCGCCAGAGTCAATATTACCATCTGTGCTATTCCTTGCTATATCGCTAATGGCCTTGTACCTTATATTGATCCACTCTCCTATCACAACCTAGCAACTAGTTATGTCTATGATCGGTGTTCCTATTACGCCCTAGCAAATAGCACATTAAGTGCCCTATCCTATACCTAATTCTGCGTGTGATATATATTACTATCTAGCAAAGTATAGCATAATGCCCACTCCCACGCTCTGAAGAAACCACCCTAGATCACTCAATTAGCGCCTTCTGCTAGGTTAGCTGCCTCCTGTGCCTCGCGCCGCTTTCTGTGAAACAAGCCAATAAGTTAATATTATCACAAGCGCGCCGCCTTGATCACAATACATACCATTGATTTTGCTTCAGTAGTGTAGATCTGCATCATGACGTGAGGCCGTCAGAACATCGTCGTCACGATTACAAAAAGCGCAGTATACATACCTTTTTGTCCTGCTTGGACAACATCTTCCAATAGGTATCAAAGGCTTCCTTGGTAGCATCACAATTTTGTTCCTTCCACCGAGCTCCGCAAATGTTTCTGAATATCGGAATAGTCAGCACCACACACTACGAGAGAGAGTGGATACCTACCTTGCGGTCACCGTACGTAGTGGCCACAAAGGGTGGCCAGTGTCCTTCGCACTATTGCCGCCATCTCTCGCTTCAGTCGAGCTCGCACATGTGGAGGGAACTCCGGGATTTGATGCCATTGTGATTGCTCCCGAGGCTTGTTCTACGCTCACACCAGGATTTGGTGTCATCACGGTGGTCGTTGTTGATTGTTCTGCGGCAGCGTGCCCCTTGTTACTGTAGCCGGTGGTTGTGATGGAAGCGTTGGATGTCTCAACAACACTGCTGACAGTATTGTAGGTGGCTGGCTCAACGGGTGCGTTGGCACCACTCTCCGGACCCGCGGGAGATGCCCTATTGAGGGGGAGAACAGTGTTTGCGGAAGCGTTCTCTGTCAAAGCGACAGTGCTCGTGGTTGCTCCCTACCATCAGGTCAGTGCACTTCTCTAGTCACAATGATAACAAAGCCTTACATCGTGGGTGTTTGCAGAAGTGTTCTCTGTCGGGGCGACAGTGCTCGTGGTTGCTCCCTGCGTCTCGGTCAGTTTATTTCTGTCGAGTCACAATGATAACAAAGCCTTACATGATTGCTAGCAGTGACATATGGTGCTGAGGAATCGATACTACTGTCCTGGGTGACTGTATGCAAAATTGGCGTCAATAGTGTCATGGCAAGCAGGTCGGGGACACTCAAGGGCACTGTAGTTTGCCGCAGATTACCTCCGAACAGGTTCCCATCCCTGTCATCTGTGGTGAACGTCGTGTTGGCAACTTGGCCCTCTGCTGTTGGCGGTGATGATGTTGTTGTGAAGACATCGGCTCTGTAAACGACACACCGTGAGACCAATATGACAGAAATTGCAAGAACCTACAGAGGATCTTGTGTGATCGTAGCGACCGAGGGCATAGCATGGGTGCGTCGTGCTCGTTTGGCTGTGATATGTCTTGCAGATGCTGGTGTCTTGAGCTTCTGTACTTGCCGCTTGCCGCGAGACGATGGTGAAAAATCATCAATAAGGACCATATCACTGTCATGTTCAGAGTCGGATAGTTGGTTATTGTTAGAAGCATTTTTTCGCTTCACTGCACTCAATGGTGCCGGCCTGAGTAAGTGTATCATCTCCTTTCGCAACAAACCCTGAATGAATGCGGGGTAGTTGTCCGTAGCAACTTTCTTGGCCTTCCAATTGGCCGGAGAACCGCCGCAAAAGCGCAGTTCAGGGAACCGGTAGCCCATCTCTTGGTAGTAGAAATCTGCCGCACTCAGAGAGATATGCGACCACTTCGGAGGTGCTAGGCCACGCAGCAGAAGTTCATACCATATCTGATAAGCTCCCTCTCGAATATCGGATGCATAATATCCATCTATGACTTGACCGTGCTGATGCTGGACGTACTTCATTGTCGTATTGATCCCGAGGTAGGCATTGGTTTTACCTTTCTTCTTTGGAACTTGATTGGGGTCTGTGATGCCGTCCTCTTTCGAGACTTCGGCCCATTCTTGCGTCGTCCAGATCGTGACAAGCGGCACGTCCGTGCGTTGGACTGGTGACAATGGTTCACGAAGGCGAAGAGGGCCATTTGGCACAATGTTGCGCATGGTTCGCCCTGGATTTGTCGGAGCAGCTGGGTCTGGCATGGTAAAGTCCTTGGGCAATGTTGCATTGCTCAATCCAACAACGTCAGGGATTGCGGAGATGATGCCCTTCAATGCATTGCTGTATGAGCTATTAGAAGAGCAGAGCTTGTTGGCACCGAGCGATCGCTCACCGCAGCACATTGACTTCAGTTTGTAGTGCAACTATGTCCGCACCTGAAGCAGAGGACATTTCAACGGATGGATCGTAAATGTCATTGCTCTGTGGATTAGATCGAGGCGTGGGGGTACCAGGTCCATAATGGTAGAGACTGGTGCCCGGCCCTGCTCTTCCAAAGGACTGCGCTCCCTTTCAAAAGCATGTCATGGTGGGCTCACTGTGGTCTTTAAATCAAACAGTCATTGCTCACCGTGGGCATATGCATGTTTGAGGAACCCCATGGTGTGGTCGACCCCCTGTTGGATACACCGTGGCCATGGCCGAAGCTTGGCGTACCCTCTGACGACGAGTTGAGTGGAGTGCCTCCTCTACTGCCATTAAAATTGCGGGAATAGTCCAGAGGAAGAGAAAAAGGAGATTCCGTACGACGCTCTGGCGCGCCAAACAAGGCTCCAACAGCGTTGGTGCCGCTAGGTGTGGGTGCAAATGAAAACTCCGAGGCTGTTGACGATCTGCCCGAGGTCGTGGGCAATGCCATACCCATGTGGAAGGCCATGTTGCCAACGACTGGACTAGGGGAGTTGTCGCTCGATGTTGTGATGGAATAAAAAAAGGTCAGTGCCGAAAATGCCAAATAGAGTTTGTACAAGTCCCATGATAGCACTGTCTAGCACGATCGTGCTGCGATGGCGACCTTCGTATCTCACTCATTCTTACATTGCCATGTCCTCAAGCGATTTCGAACTGTCACAAGAGGTAGGGGAGCTCCCGAGTCCTCCTCGGATGCGCCCGAGGCCTGCTGACGCCCAGGATGCCATCAGAAGGCAAGTACAGAATCACTGCGAGTTCCAACGAGACGACCTTCTTACCTGAATAGATACCTGCTCATGTAGATTCCTGGCTCCCGGGGGCTACCTTGACATGCAAACCACTGACACACAGTATTTTCAACAGTGGGAATCAGAAGAAGTTGACAAGGAAAGCACCAAGGAAGGGGTGATCGATATCAGTGACGAGGGTTTGCATAATTCGAGTAAGCCTCACCTGAGTGATTCTGGTGTGAAACAGGAGGATTCTGGAGACCACCATGGCTACCGTGAGTGGCCGTTTGCGTTGGCATTCCCCCATTGACGTTGTGATGACCGGGGGGGATGGGATTCTTCTATAGGGATCCATGCAAAACCTTTCCTCCCCGACCAGTGCTCTGGGTGTGCAGAACTTGTAAGAATTCGCGCATATGTCAAGAGACTGGAACAGGAATATGCCCATGCGACGCGAGGACTATCCGACATGAAAGAATGGATGGTTGGGCTTCGGGCAGACCTTTGCCAACTCTTAGCATCTCCCGAAGATGCCATTCTGACTTGCGACGAAATCCGAGACTTGTCATCCAAAAATAGTATTGCATCGTTGGGATTATCGATTAGCGCGAGCGAAGAGGTTAGCGAGGAGTCGCAGAGGGCGTTTGAATCAGCCATAGACCAATACAATGAGGCCACAATCTTTAACACCATCACGACGGGTTTCTCTAGCTCAAAACGCAGACGTACGGATTCGTAGTGACGACCACAGTAGACACATGTTAGTGAATACATGCCTAGACTACTCCTCAACAGTCTCCTCGACTATGCCATCCATGCACGCGACATCGAGACCGAGCTTCTCAACTACAAAAAATCTCTCCTGCATGGCGGCGTGCGGTAATGTATGCGGCACCATTGCGATGCCAGCTATTATGCACTTGACGTGGATCACGGCGAGGGCTGCGTCACCTTGATGGATGCAAGAGGCGACTGTACCGGACGACTCATGGAACAATGTGGGGTCGGGGTGTGTGTATAAGCTAACCAGCGCAAGGGCGTGTTCCACGCCTCGAATGCGCATTGTGAAGAAGTACCTTACCTCTGCGAAGCGAGTGACACCCCCAAATGTTATCTAGCAATGAATCCAAACAAATTGAGCCCAAACAAATTGAGCGACTAAAAAGACAGAGTTGGGGGGCGACCGTACCTTGACATTGCGTGCTATTCGCACCTCATTGAGTGCCTTCAGTGACTCCTTCCACAGTGATCGTATGGCTTGTCCGTTGGGCAAGCATAGCCGGGCCCATCGTTGTACCATGGGAATCCATGCCGCCTCCGCACCCTCTCCCTCTGTGTGGTAGATACCCCCAGCTTCACGAAAATAACCTTTGATGACAAGAGCCTCACATGGGAGGACAGTGCGAGCGCACGAATCCTTCGCCCGAAGGAGTACAAAGTTATCTCCAACAGGGTGTGCCCCGCGCGGGAATTCCTTGACATTGCGCTCGAGGTCTGGCAGCATCGTCTTCAGAGCATTCACTTGTGCTCGACGCACACCACGTTGTGAGAGGTTTGCGTAAGGATTTGAATGCTGTTTTAGCTCACTGCCGAGATCACCGATCATCCGCTCCATTGTGTATTGAGTGGTGTATCCTGGAGGTCCGCAACGTGTAACCTGGCGAGCAAGATGGGACAGAGCATGGATGCTCTGGCGGCAGAAATGAAGCCGACTTGTACGGCGCTGATAGTATAGGACCTCAAAGTCCTCCGCATATTCAATGAGCAGACGATGCGCTCGTCTGAGTTCCTTCTGAGAAATACGACGCTGGTGCACCAGACGGATACCCGCGACCAACTTGCAGAAGTGCCGCCAGAAGATTGACGGCAGAGTTCCGTAAAGAAGTGTGGGAGTGAGGCCATAGATCCAAGTCATATATTCAACCGCTTTGTACCCGCTGTTGATCTTCTCCGCAGGATTGCGAGGTGGCCGGTCAAAGATACCAGGAAGATACGGTGTCGCAGCGGCCACTGCTTTACCATGTGCCTGCCATATCTGTGGGTCTCGCAAGACAGAAAAGGTCCATGAATCTCGATTGTCGGAGACACTGCAATCAAGCGTGCCGCGGAGCAAGCCCACTATCAGTTCGGTGAGATTCAAGGCACAGAGGTGCATAAGATCTGCGGGGAACAGGGCGGGAATGCGCAGCCGGTGTCTTGGATCTATCCCACTCAACAACGTAGGCTTGCAAAGACCTGTTTGGAGCCGCCGTGCACGGTACTCCGCCGCCGAGCGCGCTTCCGAGACATGGGTCAGATTCGACAAATATCTGCAAAGCATATGGTGATTAGCCCAGAGTGGCACATCGGGGGACATATTCTAACCTTTTCTCGGTTTCCTCTGCCGTCGGGACGATCATTGTCCGCAGGTCATAATTTGGATGATTTGAACTGGCGATATCGGAATCGACAGGCTTCAAGCATGCCGGGTAGTACTGGGCGCCCCCAGGCTTGTGGCGTCCTTTCTGAGGGCAATAAAGACGGCAACCATACGCCCCATGATGGCCAACACCACCAAATATAGAGGCCATGGCGGGACTATCAGCTGTCGCAAGGGCTAGAAAAGGACAACACTCGACAACCGCATCGTCGACTGCATCCCAAAGGTACATCCCTTCGCGCTGGAGCGCCGACAAGTGATACATCCCCGGGAATATGAACGAATCGAGATTCTTGGGCTTCGAAGGACCTGGTATGAAGCCCCCAGGTAGTACATATTTCTTCTTGTACCGAAGATCAGGAGATCGGTCCAAGATCACCCATATATATATCCAACAGTCAGAACCTTTGTTGCGATAGAGCTGAGCCCCGTCAATGGAGAACATGACGACAGGATCGTACTCCTTGATGAGTCCATCCTTCACGGCGTCGATAAAGTCTGTGCCGTCCCAGACGTCAGCGAAGTCTCTCAGTGCATGATCCTTGTTGATCTGTTGCATGGCAGAGTGGTAGCATGCGTGACGATAACGCATTGCTCTGGAACCCTCGACGGTTCGCCTCGCCGCCTGCAGCTGTGGGCCTAGCGGGATTGTCTGAAACTCCTGTCAAGGAGTCTTTGTACCTGGCTTCAGAGGATCGTAACGAGGCTCCCGACACATGGGACATGTCACTAGATCTCGGAAAGGTCCAGTGAACGCGACGCATGAGTTAACACACATATGATGAGAAATTGGGACAACGCCGCTTAATTCCGCAACACGGCGTTCGACTTGATCCAAGGACAGGAGCTGGAGGGCAGGGTCGTATCGCAGGAGTGACAAGCGAACATCCTCGTAAGTTTGCTCTGAAGCGTTACTGACTGCCAGGTATAAATCGAGCAACAGACGGAGAATGGGGTCATCGAGATTTGGAGGTCCCTTTGGACATAACTCTCGATCTTGCAGTGTCTGTACCTGGGGCCGTGGAAGATCGCCATTGCTCAGAGTGGCTGAACGGAGCTCCTGTATGAATTCTTCCGTGATTCGAATGTCGTCGATCAGAGAGGGCGAATTGTCGGCAGTTACCTCGGCCTCATTGTCCTCCGTGTCACCAGGATCCGCAAAAGGTAAGTCCTCTAAGTCTCTTGTGTCTGGGCTACCAATGTCCGGGGCAACATCCTCGAGTAGTTCGTCAGCGGATAGGAGCACAGTGCAGTCCTGTGCACCAATTGCAGGGGGGGGTGACTCCGCGGCAACCTTGCGTGGTTGGTGTAAGTCATGTGTGCTGCACAACGTATGGAGGTATATCCTTTCTCACCGAGATTGCTGGGAGTGGCGGTACACGCCCGCTGTCCAGGTCAACGTCGTTGACAGGAGGGGCTGCAGGGTCTTGGCCGAACGACGCACCGGCTTCGGTTTCGTGAGGGTCTGTGGCAGATGGCATTACGGGGCCTGCAGAGGCTGCTGGGTCTTGGCCGAACAACGTGCCAGCTTCGGTTTCACGAGCGTGTGCGGCGGAGGGCATTACGGGGCCTGCAGAAGCTGCCGGGTCTCGGCCCAACGTCGTGCCAGCTTGGATATTGCGAGCATCTATGGCGGATGGGATGACGGGGCCTACAGAGGGTTGAGAAGTGTGTGGTGGTCTCATACTGTCACGGTCCCATACAGGAACAGCGAGAGCGGAGCGTGCGGATGTGGCCAGGGAGGCTACCGAATGACCGGTGCTATGGGTCCCAATGGATGCCGGGTCAGACTCCCTGGCGATCTCATGAAGAGGGCCGGTTCTTAGAGCCTGTTGAATGAATGTGGTTCAATATAAGCACAGCAACGAGTCAAACAATGCTTACCGGCGCGGCCCTGCCACTGGTGAAAGGACCACCATGAGCATTTGCACAGGAGCTGCTAGATGCCTCCGTAGGCGCTACGGGAGCCAGGGTGGTGATAAAAGATTGAAAAGATATTGAGGATGGTTCGCGGCTGTCGCGTCGGTAGGGTGTATGTCGAGTATGTGTTCTCCGACTACGTTCTTGCCAATGCCCGCCGCAGTGTGCGAGACAGTTGCAATAGTACCGCCCATTAGGGGCTCGGGGCATGCTGAGAGGTGATCAGTTAAGAACAATAACGGAGAATAGTCAACTTACGAGGCCCGATCGGCGTACGAGACGCGACTAAGGTCCACTGGTCAACAAAGCGCGGTAGTGGCGCGGTGCGCGGTAGGTTAATCACATCACGTGCGCGGCCTTGCGGAAACTCGTGGAGTCGTTGGACGACTGACCCTGTTTGGAGTGTGCTAGTAGGGCAAATGCATACATAAGGCCCTGATAGACCTGATAGACCTGATAGCTAGGTTCATTGGTATTTGTCGAGAGGAAATCTGATTCATTTTACACTATTACTAGGTGATGCTAGGTGAGCCGATCATGTGATAGACCTTGCTCGTTGTGTCTAGCTCACGCTAGCTGGGGTTCTCACTGGGCATGAGGTCGTAGTCATGTATATTATGTCATCCTCATCGATCTTCACTGCGCAAGATGAAGTGAATCACTTGAGGGTGATTTTCTCGGTTCCTTTTGCTGATCATCGTCCCCATTCCATTTACTAGCTTTTCACCCGTCGCGTTGCGACGGCGCAACCATGCTTAATCTGAGTTTTTGTTACAGTGCTTGGTCTGATGTGTCTGTAAAGTTTAGTGTTCACAAAGTCCAGTGTCTATAAAGTCTAGTGCCTGTAAAGTCCAGTGCCCGTGCTTAATCTGAGTTTTTGTTGTAGTGCTTGGTCTCATGTGCCTGTAGAGTGCACTGACTATAAAGTCCAGTGCCTATAAAGTCCAGTGCCCGTAAAGTCCAGTGCCCGTAAAGTCCAGTGCCCCAATATCCCTATATGGCTCTTTTATGATATCCTATAAGGTTCTTCCTGTAAGATTCCCATATAAAGCTCCCTATAAGGTCCCATCCATTAGATTCCCCTATGAGATTCTGCCCTATGAGGCTCCCCTATTAGGACCCACCCATGAGGCTCCCCCATGAGGTTCTCTATAAGGTGCTAGGATGCCATTTCAAGCTTTAATGGCTGCTGAGGCACAGCCCACTCTAGTTGCTAGAGTTGCTAGGAGCACCAAGACATGGCTTACTCTGCTCACCCAATTTATCATGGATGCTTGCTTTGCTCACATGGTTTCTTATGTGGCCTACATAAGTGTAATCAAGGACATATGACTTGAGCTATTAGCCCAGTGCCACCATTTCTTATCGTCCCCTTTTATTTATTATTTATTTACATAAAAAAATACCTGCAAACAAAACCAAGAGCCCAGAGTGGTTGCCAAGCTAAGCCCTTGCTGAATGCCCCCTCATATTTTACCTGAAGAAATCACTGCAAGACAGTGCCAGGGGAAGAGAATTCCCTATGCTTAGGTTAGCTCCGGGCACGCGCGCGCTGACCAACTCCGTTTCAAGCTCCGACATGCTCTGTTTCGCGTCCCGAAGCCTATGGGACAGTGGTCTCGCGTGGTTTGTCGCGTGGGATTAGCCGACGGCTAGTTGCCACCGGACCCCTACTGTCGCCCTCTATATAGAGATAGTTGACGCTGGAGGATGTCGCACGGACGTGCTGCGCAGATTTGCTAATGATTGTCACAATATCGACAGTCTGCAGAGCATGATATGGTGAGCTTTCCCCCATTGGTTGATCACGGGCATTACCATGAAGCCTCCACGCTCCGCAGCTCAGTGGTTCGTACTGACAAGGACAGACACACGTAAGATATTACACTTATTGCTCAATACAATGCCGCGCAGGCCCCTCTGGGCTTCAATGTCTTCCACCTAGATATGCCTGTACCACGACCGGAGAGACACATCAATAACTTTAGCCAGTTATTCCTCCCCCCCTCCCCCCCTCCAAGCCTCAATGGACGACCGATACTGGAAGGGGCTCCATACTTTTTCTGAATCTCGACCTCTCGGATCTTGCTTCCGCTCGCCATGCCGCTGCCGAGTTTATGAGAAAGTAAGCGTCACTCAACGTCCTTTCCGACAACGGGTACGCAGCACTTTCTCGGACAATTGCCATGATTTGAGTTTGAAAGTAAGAGGCATCATGTATCCTCCTTTAGAATTCTTGACGATGCAGGGACACGATGGTCAATTCAGCATAAATGTACTCAGTGAGCAATATCTCATTCATATCATCTAACTCTCTGTCGACTCCAACCACCTACAAGACTTTTTTTCTTGTCTCAATGTCTCCTCCCCGTCCTCACTAGTACGGTCAAGTCAGAAGGTCTCATCCACAAAGTGCGCGTTGTGCATATGTCTTCAAATGGGCATGAGCTATTGTCAATGCCTGGGGGCACCGACTGGACGGCACCGAGGCTAGAAAATGAAGGCGTCGCCGCGCGAAGGAGGCTAGGCCTTTGGAAATTGTATGGTATGAGCAAATTGGTAACATTCCTTTTTTCGCGATTTTTCAACTTGCTGAGTGCTGATATTGACGTCTTCACAGAGAAATGTCTTGTTCTCGGTATCTCCAAGCGGCACATGGACGTATTGTTTTGAGAGCTTTCGCTTTGATATTAGGATCCACACCCTGCGCGATGGTCTTGATCTAGCCACTTTCTAAGCTCCTCGACGTCTGCTAGGTGGTCATGCAATCAGGGACTATCGTGGTGATCGGGCTTACTCACCTAAGGAAATTGGGACGTCACTGGGCCGAGTACCACGATCTTAATCTCCGGAAGATGCTTCGTGAGTTCGAAGGTCACTGCACGTTCTGTGTCGTATTCCAGCCACAATAATGATGAACATGGAGCAACAATATCAAAAGTGGTAAAGAATGTATTCAGTATTAATCGACTTATAGTTCATTGGACAATCTGACAGCAATTCGGCCATAACTTTCTCCACTGAACTTGTTATCTTATAGGTTGGCCATAGCTTAGCGAAGAGAGAACAAACTTGTTGAAGGATATGAATCTTGATATTTTCTCGGGGCAGAGGTGCACGCCAACCGCCATATTAGCATACCTCCGCTTCGAGCACCGAAAAGTCTTAGTGCACAGACGAAGGGCTTCGTGGTGATTTTGTCTCTCCACCATGCCAGATGCCATTGATTCGGCACAAAACTAAGCGCTCAGAGAATCGTCGAAATGGGTGGCATCAGCCTTCGCTCAACCGATGCCTGACCAACACGTACGACAACCAAGAATTCAAGCTTACCGATTCCTCTTGATATGCGATGGTCATGTCGACGAATTCATCCTCTGAGCCTAAGTGAGCTTCATATACCGATTACTTCTCTACGGCTTCCGACCATTGATGCTAGAAGCATCCTTGTGGTACGCATATTAGCTGTGCCTGAAATGAAACGATTCTGAGGAATACATCGTGATCAAAACAACAGTTCTAACCAACATACCATAAACAAATGGAGCGGTATCAGTCGAGCACCAGAGAAGAAGGGCGAACCTAAGCCGTGCACCGACATACCGTCTAGAATATATGTCATTCCCTCCGTGTTATCGACACATCGGACATCTGGATAAGAAAATCCACTTACCTGCGAAATTCTCCACATGCGGTGGACGGTGGACTGTCTATTGCATACACACGATCTCGTTGATGGCCTTGTCTTCAATGGTGCTAAGGTCCTCCTGTGTGATCGTCTTGCCCTCTTCAGCGGCAATTCAACAGGGCGCTCGAACGAGCCGCTGTGTTCGGCACGAAAGGGAGGGGAGGCCAGAGATACGGATATCTGGAGACCACGTCGGAGGTTGAAGGAGGATCGCATACGTTACTGCCTTTGAGACTAACCAGAGACGCATGTTGAAAAGCGTCAATATCGACGGATTGTGGTGTCAAGACTCAAGACTATGTCCATGTCCATGATCACGGCGAGTGTCTAGGGGCGGGCCTTTGAAATCATGAGCGCTTGAGCCCCGACGAATTACCATAGTCGGCCAATCGCAAAGCTTCCTTTATAGACGTCGACATCGCCTTTTCCATCGCCCATCTGTACACGTAGCATTGCGCCTATGCCCGGCTCAACATGGTGCTGCCCGAAGACATACACAGCGTCTCTTTTCACTCATTGAATAGATTATCAACATGAGGGCGAAGAGCTCGGGGATGACAAAATGGTTTCGATTGGCTAGTGCAGGATTGGTCGTTGCAAGTGAGTAGGCCTGCTAAATCTGAGGCGTCTAATTTGTGTTTATATACGCTCAGCATCTGCCTTGTTTTCTACGGCAACTTGTACTTCAATACCCCCTCCACTGCCATGTCTACTGTTCTTGCTGCTTTGGACCCGACCGCACCGCAGTCACGCCTTACGGCCAAAGCCGATCAAGAAGCGGCTCGCGAACGATTCGAAGGTGCATTCGGTATCGTCAGAGACGAGTTATTTGCGCACTTTGCAGCCCACAGGCTGCCGGCTGATGCGGTTGAGTGGTACAGCCGTGTAAGTAACCCTTGAAGCCCCCTTTTCTTTCCGCGGGGTCGAGCTGGTATCTTTACATAGGTATTGGATTACAATGTCCTTGGAGGAAAACTCAATCGTGGTGTTACGGTAATCGATACGGTCCAAGTACTGAAGGGTATCCCTTTAACGGACGACGAATATTTCAAGGCTTCTGTTCTTGGCTGGGCTGTCGAATTCGTGAGGGCTTCATTGATCTTGTGATATGTATTGGCTTATATCCACTATCCTATATAGCTCCAGTCATTCTTCCTTGTTGCAGACGATGTAATGGACTCTTCCATCACACGTCGAGGTCGTCCATGCTGGTATCGACAACCTGGCGTAGGCACGACTGCTATCAACGACGCGCTTCTTCTCGAAGGCGCCATCTACAGATTGCTTCGCACACACTTCAAGGGTACACCCTACTATGCCGAACTGCTTGACCTCTTCCATGACGTGAGCTCAAGTACATCTGTAACGTTGTCGTTACTCACTAGAATCACTCACTACAGGTAACTTATCAAACGGAAATGGGACAGCTCGTTGATCTAATCACTGCTCCAGAAGATAGAATTGACCTCAGCAAATTCTCGCTCGAGCGGCATGTGCTCATCCTGTCAGTTCGTTTCCTAGCTGACATTTGCTTTTGTAGACACAGCCTGATAGTGATCTACAAGACAGCATTCTATTCGTTCTATCTGCCCGTCGCTCTCGCCATGCTTATGTGCCGCATTCCCTCCGACCCATCTGAACCATCAGACCCGTATAAGCTGTCTCTCGAAATTCTCCTTCCGTTGGGGGAATACTTCCAAATCCAAGACGATTATCTCGATTTCGCTGGCACACCAGAGCAAATAGGCAAGGTCGGCACGGACATCATCGACAACAAGTGCTCGTGGTGTATCAACACTGCTCTCTCTGTGGCAACCCCCTCCCAGCGTGCTGTCCTAGACGCGAATTATGGGCGAAAGGACTCGGCGTGCGAGGCACGCGTTAAGGCGATTTTTGAGGAGGTTGGGATACGGGAGCGGTACGATAATTATGAGAAGGATGCCTATGAGAGGATCAGCGCTCTAATCGACGACATGCCTGAAGTTCAAAGTGCGGGTGGGAATGCAGTGCTCAGAAGGGACGTGTTCAGGATGTTTTTGGAGAAGATCCACAGGCGACAGAAGTGATGAATTGGTGTCTTCGCAACCCAGTCGTACGCAGGCGAAGGTCAAAATGTAACCGGATCATAATCGATTTCATTATAATCCTCATATATTATAAAAATGATGGGCATGCCTTAGATTATGAACGTAAATAAGAGGATATGTGATCAAGCGTGAGGTGCATCGTCGAGAACCGCTTGCCAAGCTGTGGAGACCGGATTCTTCGACTTATTCGCTGTAGCCTGCGGAAAAGCAGCAGGATTAAGCATCCCAAATTTCTAAACAGGGTGAACAAGTACTAACAATGGCCTTCTCGAGATCAGATTTTGTCGTGACTTTTTTGCGGCCTGTTCCGGAGTCAGCGGGGAGAGCGTTTGCAATGGTTTGTGCCTGCTCGATGATTTTCGCGACTGCGACATCCAGGCTCTTTGCGATATCAGTCGAGCTGGCCTTAGTCAGTTGGAGATAGTTGCCAACTGCCACATTTAAATCGTCATTCCCTGCGGCCTTTCCCTTTCCCTTGAGCGAGTTTCCAACAACCGTCTTTTTCTGTAAGGAAGCAATCAGTTATTAGAAGTAAAAGCGTCACGGGCATGCTATCATACCCGATTGTTGACAGTCGATGCAAGGAAGTTGAGATTCTTGTTACCGTTGATGACATCAGAAAGAGGCTGAAGAAGAGCCGCCTTCGACACTGATGACTGCGCCTTAATCATGGCGGTAATCATAGTACAGACTCCCGTCTTCTGCAAGGCGCCGTCAAGGAGCTGGAGTTCAACGATGTGATCTGTGAAGCGGGCAAAGTTTGTCAATCGTCGAAGAGGGGCGGAGACAACCATCATTACCGCATTGACTGTCCGGAGGAATGGCCTACACACGATAAACATTTTGATTGAAAGGCTTGCACTAGAAATATGCCACAAAAACTTACCGTTACAGCAGTTGCAGTGATAGTCGAAGGTGGTGTCAAGGTGAAGAAAGTTCCCTTGTTGTCTACCAGGCAGTCTTTGGCAGTCGCACCTCTCAAATTGAGAGCGCATACATTGTCCCTTCGACCAAGGGTGTGTAGCTCCGTAGGAAGTGCGTGGACCCGTGCAACAAAAACAGCGAATAAAAGGGTGGAGACAAAAGAGCGCATCATAGCGACAAGGGAGGGAAGAAAGGATAATTAGAAAGAGTGTGTAGTTGATCAAACGTGAGGATACTGCCAGAGTATGGAGGATAGGGCGTATTGTGCGTATCCTTTTGTAGACTGATTTTGGGCGCTCCCTGGAGGTGAGCGATATGGAGGATCAAAGCCGCACGCATGGTGGGCGCTTCTAGCGTCGCCTTGAAGCGCTCGCTTGAGGAGTTTGCTCGACAAGTTTCAGGACATATCAATCATTGTCCGCTGGCTATCAATACGCATTATGGGGGTTGTAAGCAGCATCTAAACTGCACGGAACAGCCTTGCCTCCGCAGATGTGATCTAATAGTATGGAATTCAGGATCAGACATCATGAGAGTGACGCCCTTCGTGCAGAATAAATTGATTGCTGAGACGATGCATAAATCAGACGGGATCAGGACGTGAAACAGATCAAACATGTTGACTAGACGCACTTCGTAAAGCACTTATCAGTTGTTTCAGTCATTGCTGACACCAGTCTGCCTCCTCGTCCTCAGCGCTCCAGTTACAGCTAAAGATTTGAGTCACCGCTGATTTAACCTTCAATAAAGTTTGGTGAGTGTCTCTCAACTACACCGTCGGCTCATCAACATCGAGGTATGAAATTACTCCCGCTCGAGAGTTCTGTACCTTGAACAATACCATGATAAAAGGGGTGGCGCATAAAACATGACAACAGAATATCCTATGGAGAGATCGTACTGAGCAATAATCACTGCGATCAAGTGTGCGGGGCAGCGATCAGAACCGCTGGCCAAGCTGTGGAGACAGGAGACTTAGACTGATTCTCTGTGGCCTGTCGAAAAGGAGCGCGGTTGAGTATGTCAAAGATCTCAACAAGCTGAGAGAATACTGACAACGGCCGTATGGAGATCAGCTTTGGTTGTGGTCTTATTGCGCCCCATTCTCGAGTCGGGAGGGAGGGCATTCGCAATAGCTTGCGCCTGCGCAATGATGGCTGCTACTTTGCTATCCAGGCTCTGTGCGATAGCAGTCGAGGCGGCTTTTGTCTGTTGAAAATAATTGCCGACCGCCTTGTCCAAATCGTCGTTTCCCCGTGGTGTACCCCTGAGCGACTTGCCAACAACAGTTTTTTTCTGCAAGCAATCATAGCTTATTTGAATGTACGAGTGTCGCAATCATGTAAACGCACTCGATTGTTTACAGCAGACGCAAGGAAATTGAGGTTATCGTGTCCATTTATGACATCAGATAGTGGTTGAAGAAGAATCGCCTTCGATACCGATGACTTCGCTTTGATCGTCTTGGTGATCATCTCACAGACTCCTGACTTCTGCAAGGCGCCGTCGAGGAGCCGGAGTTCAACGATGTGATCTGAGATATAAATCAAGGTATGGTGTGAGTCTTGAATTGACGACAAGCAACTCCTAATAAATAATCACCGCATTGGCTATTCGCAGGCAAGGTCTACACTCGACTTTTCAATTGGCTTGGATTTTTCGACCAGAGAAATTTTGTCACAGCTTACTGATACAGTAGTTGTAGTGATGGTCGAAGGTGGTGTCAAGGTGAAGAAAATTCCCTTGTTGTCAACCAGACAGTCTTTGGCAGTGGCGCCTCTCAGATCAAGAGCGCAGACGTTATCCCTCCGACCAAGCTCGTGCAGTTCCGGGAGACCTGCGCGGACCAGTGCGGCCAAAAGGGAAATGGGGAGGAGGGATGAGAAGACATACATTATAAGAAATCAGTGGTGAAGGGGCAGAGAATTATGGCTTTGTGTACAGGACGGATGAGGTTCAGAGGACGATATCACGGTATACTGAGTAGTCTGCATCGTACACACCTTTATATATACGGGTCATGGGCGCTTCCTAAAAGCAGGCCATGCCACGATATTAGGGGGCACAACGAGTTGGGCAGTAAGCTCTTCCAATTTTTCCGTGCATTCCGATTTAGACAGCGTATCTTCGTGAAAGTATGACGCAAAATGATCCTCGCGAGTTCCATCGCAGAGTGTTAATTCTTTGACAGTCGGTGTTCCTCAAACATTGCATATCGTTCTGTAGGCTTTCTAATGAGTCGCCAAAATGATGTGTTGCTTTCACAAACGATGGACACAAAATAGAGCATTCGAGTTCATTGCTAGTCAGAATGGCTTCCTTTCGAAATATCAATGGTGAGACGAGCCACCCGTTTAGAAAAACCATTACTTACCACATATTTTACTTGCCACATATTTGGCTTGCACGATTACATTCCTTGCGCGGTTGTGACGGCATGTCAAGAAGGATATGGTCGGACTATTGTGCACAGGTGACAGGTGGCGAGCCCTAATAGTTGCCAGACTTCATTTGCAGCGCCATGGCTTCCTGGAGAGCATGCCTTTTGTCGAGTTTGGCATTTCGACGTCGGAAAGTGCTTTGAAGATACATGTCTACCATATTAGTTAGACGATGTCAATGATCCTGTTGAATGTAGTACGTACCTCGTATACATTTGAAGCTCGTCTTAAACCACTCTCGAATGAGATTGGCACCTTGTATGCCAATGGTGAATCTTGAAACAAGTCAGGTTTAGATTTGCGGAATGGCGCTGTCGCTCAAGAAAAAAATCAAAATGGGAACCACTCAGGGAGAGTGTCCTAATCCACATCACCGCAGGTAGAATCGCGATGGCATGATGAGGATGTCTGTGTCTGCGCAAGTGTTCAGAAAAATTTCTGGAATATCGATCTATGTGTTCACGATCCTCGATGCAGCGATGCTCGAACGTAGTGGGCCAGTGCCGAAACCTCAATGTCGTCAATCGCGCAACTGCAGACGTGTCTCGTACGTAAGCGGCATCTCGGATCGACGACAGAAATTGTGAGCGCTTACAGGACTTACGCCGCGAGCGCTTCATGAGCGACGCCATGCATGCCTCTGAGACAGACACCGCATCCTGTCTCGATTGATGTAGCGATCAATCTCTGATGCCACGCCACCATTCTTAACCGCCCACCGCCTTAGTACACGCAATTGAGTCATCATCTGGCCTTTGAAGCTTGAAGTTCCAAGGTTTCGCAGATTACCTTCATCGTCTGCCCCTGCAGTAACTTCAGAGGACGACATATCCGCGAGGCATGGGTTCTTGGGACGAGCTTTGTCTTCTGTGCGGCATCTGCCCAGCAGGCGGCCCCTCCGCACTTCTTCATCGCAATGACCTCCATGACATAGCTTGCCAACTTGCGGCAGAAATCCGTGTCGACACCCTGACTGACGACGACATCCTGTCCATTGTGACCGAAGCTCTCACCTCTTCTTTTTCAGACGACGACCGCATGCTGGGCTACCGCCCGAAGTGGTTGCCGGACGGACTTGGTCAGCGTGCCGACCTCACCCAATGCACATGCATCGCAATAGGCTACTTCGATGTGGATAGGGAGGGAGAGGCCCCTATTCGTGATAATGGCAGAGTGCCGGATGGCCGGAATGTGGAGGTGCGCCGAGTACGCGATATCGTGGGCGGGGACTTTCGTGTTATCGTGAGGGCAATCGTCGATGAAGACGACGAACAGAAGGATTCAGAAACGCTGGAGGTGCTTGAACCGGAAGAACAGGAGGGGTCGGGAGATCAAGAAGAATGGACGGAGCGTGAGGAGGACTGCGATTCTGCATGCTCAGTCTCCGAGGTCAACCACCCCAATAATCCGAACTTCTGGCTCTGCGAGCGGTGCTACCAACTTCTCCATGCTTGGTTAGATAAAGATGCTCTCCCGTGCAGAAATCCGGCATTACATTCCGCTTCGGAGCCCATGTCGCTGGCAGGGGAGCTCTACGAGATCGTTAACTCCAGGGCGCAACGCCGACAGGGTATCCCTTAATCTATCTTTTTGAAGGACACCTTGTTCAAGGACAAAATCATCTTTTCACAGACGCTGATACAGGCCTGTTACCGTGCATCGATTACAATGGAATCGAAGCCACGCTCGAACAATGGCAAGTTCATTTTGCTCCTGGCCGGCGTGGCTCGCGGTACATAGCGAAAGGCATCCGTACCGGTCTCAGAGGCCCAGATTTGATACCCGCCATCATGCGCGACTTCAGATGTTGGATGTTCTTGCAGCCAGATCTGTGAGTTTTGATCAATGTTTGTGAACCGCACATCTTACGCTTACTTCACATGATACAGATGGCCCGAACCTACTGGCTCATATCCAGCATTCGTTCCTTTCCAAGGCGCTCATACTGATCTATCACCGATTATCGCTACGCTCCCAGTCGAATTGTTGATCCTTATCATGCGCGAGCTTCCCGTAGAGTCGTTACTCTCCTTAGCGGCCACCTGCAGACTCCTTCGAGGTCTTATCACGGACCCGACATTCATGGATCGTGTGCTTCGAGAGATACTGCTGTATGGAGACATTCGTTGGATCCTGCCCGCCACTCCCGACGAGATTCCACGTGCGCATGAGGTTGCCTCACGGTGGCTTTCCGAGCCTGGTACGAACGCATCTGGGCAGAACTTTTCGTCTCCGTTTGCGTCTCCGCGTTTTCCGTACCTGGCATTTGTCTACGCGTGCTTCCAATCGGACTCGATGAAGAACAGAAAGAGGATATGGGGGATGGTCAAGCAATTTGAAGGACTTTGGGTGGACTACCGAGTGAGAGGATGGGAGGTGGACCGGTTCTATCCGTCGAGCGACCTTCCCTGGCTCGAGAAAACTGTGGAATGACAGGTTCGCGGCGAGAATCTATTCTCATCTATTTTTGCTGTCATACTGTAAGAAACGCGCACCATTGATTGCGTGCATAGATCATTTCACCCATGCCATCCATTACGTGCAGTGTCATTTCTCTTCTTCAGAATATCAGCCCGACGGAGCGTCTAAAAAGGCATGTATACAGACTATGTCACCACGGGGTGCTTTCCTCCGCAAACAGTGTAAACTTCAAACCGTGCTGGATAGCAATGAGTCAACTCAACAAATTTCTCATCGTGATCTGCTGTCAAAACCAGATGACAAAACGCGATGCTCACGATGCATGGCTAATTAGTCGCACCAAGTCCAGCCGGGGATGACTATCGTTCTATCAACATCAATATTGCAGACACCAACAGCACCTTGTCCTTCTGGGTTACTGCTGAATTGGCAAACGCGCACACGCGCCCGCACCGCTCAGCTCGCTCAACCGGCGTTCCAGCTTCGCCGAAATGCCTTACACCTATCAAAGCGCTTGTATAAGGCCTTTACGAGTGATGAAAAAAAAATAGCGCTGACCTCGAGGCAACATGTGCGATCCCGCGATAGTGCTGCAAGCGACGTAGTCCTTGCAGATGCACTCACCTGTTCAATGCCTCTCGCAGAGGTAACGAAAATCAGAATGATAGAGAGTGAAGTGATGGAGAACACCGGAGATACACACGGTGATGCCGTGGACAGATGCTACAGAGTACATCAGGCGAAGTGACCAGATGGCTTGAGTACCTCGTTTTGATTCGCCTCACCGCAGACTCATTTCGACGAGTATCGAATCCGTTTGAAACGCTCAGGTATGAGCTCACCACGTAAGATAAAACCTATGTGTTGAATGATCCTGTGTGGACTACAGTATATTCTTCAGTAGTAAAATCCGTGCGAAACTAGAACGCATCTGCCAGCAAAGTACGTGCAGACTTGAATCGGGCGAATCGCCTCTGTGCTCACTGCGCACTGCACAGCGCCTGAGTTTCCGTGAAACCACTGCCAAAATACTCCGGAAAAGGTTATAAGACTTCGATTTCATCACATAGATTGTGATGAAATGATGGCATTGAATCAAACCTTTGTCCTATTCCAGAAGCTTTCGGGGCTCTGCCATTTTTGCTTTCGAGTGTGGGAATGGAGTGCAGGATGCCGAAGGATGCCGCACTGATGCTCCTGCCGCCTGATCTCTGCAACTGACCACCACATCCTGCGCATTATCATGCCTCGAGGAAACAATCACCACAATGCACGAGGGGGTCCAAGAGGAAGAGGAGGTCGCGGCGGTCGCGGTCGCGGTTTTCGAGGCAGAGGGCGTGGAAGAGGACTCGGATTCGTCTCCTATGATGATAACGATGATTTCTCTCTCAACTTCCAGTCAAACAGTACGTTCTGTATCCACACTTTTCTCATTTCAAAAGAAGCACTTGGCTCAAGCCCACAAGTGGTCATGCTTATGCTATGGCACATCTAGACTTTAGAGGCTCGCCTCGCGGCTATCACAGTCCAAACCCGGGCATGTCGACGCCCGTGAGGGGCGCTGCAGCCCCTCGCGGACGTGGACGCGGGCGTGGGGATGGAGGCTATGACTCCCCAGGTTATCAAGGTCGTGCACACCACAGACAGAAAATGCGCCTCACCAATGCTCCACTCTCGCACCTGCTCTACGAGGACAGGCCATTGCTCAAACCAATCATATTTGTACGCTCACAAGCAACTCCAACTCTTTTCATGGAGGAAGAAGAGATATTTGAACCAGTGATGGAATCTGCTAGTAAGTCCCACGTCCACGGATTTTCGAACAATCGCCTGACGATTTGTTGATCCCAGGCGATACGATACAAAGCCACATACCCACCGCCGACCGAGTATTCCGCGTTTTCAGTGGCGGCGATGAGCCGCAAGTGCATGGTGTTTCAAATGCTGAAGAGATCGAGGAGATTGACTTCCAAGATATGGGCAAGATGCTCAAGCAGGTCGAAGCAGCTGCGGCACAGCCTGCTGCCAGTGTAGGACTTGTGGACAACACTATCACTGTTTCGGCGGTCGAAGAAAAGTTTACAGGGTTCTTCATTGATACCAAGCCTACCCCGGTCGGTGATCGTTCCCCCACAGATAATATCGCTGTCGAGAGAGCTGGCGGTGATCTTCCTCTCGGGGCTGTAGACGAATCTGATGATATCATCGTGTACGTCGCGCCTCACCCTCGATCCACGAAAGCCTCTCCCATGGAGAATGCACTACCATCAAGCTCCAATCCGGGACTCGAGAGCAGCGAGCAAACGCCTACGGCGCAAGCTACATTTATTAACGCAGCGCCTCCTATGGCTTTCGCTTCCACTTCTACGGCTGCCTCCACATCGGCGACGCCCAAACATAACATACGGCAGCTCGCTGTGCGACCCCATTCTCTGCGAAAAGACCCCCGCTTGAATAGTATTGATCGCCGGCGCGAACAACGCCATGCCATGTTCGGATCTTTCGGTGCTATCTTGTCTGAAGCCCATCTACGCGAAGGGGCGCACGAGCGTGACCCAAGGCGATCGGAACAGAGGCGTGGAGACTCTGATGTGGACTGGGGAGACGATAGCGATGGCGACGCCGAGAGTGGCGTTGAAAAAACGGACACAGCAATTGAAGAAATGTCGAGCGGCCTAGAGGGAATGGAGATTGATGCCGACCTTGATCCCGCTGCTATGAAGGCCTTTGTTCAAGGTATGAGTGGCCAGCACCTAACGATGGACGATCTTGCGGATGCGGAACGGATGCGGATGGAAGAAGATGATGATGATGACAGGGACGAGAGCGATACAAGTGAAGATGATGATGAATTAGAAGAAACCGTCGGCGTAGAGGAAGGTGCGTTGATCGCAGAACCAAGAGATAAAAGCGGAGGCGAAGATGAGAGTGACGCTGAAGAAGATGAAGAAGATGAAGACGATTCTTCGGACGAAGAGGAGACACCCAAGAGAGGCTTCCAAGCCCGATTGCAGAGGATACGAGAAAAGGCTAAAGGCAGGCCAGCCCTTAGTTTGTTCGATGACGAGGCCGACAAAGATGACGATGACAACTTCTCGCCCGAGTTCGCATGGGGAGAAGATGATGCTCTTGTTGCTGAGGTTCAGGTAAATCAACAAAGGTTTTCTTCCCAATGGCCAACCACTCATTCTTCCTGGGTAGCAATTTATCGACCACCTTACACCCAGAAAACAAAGAAAATCGAATCGACTTTTCGGTGCCATCCACAATGGGGACTTTGATGATGAAGGCCTTGAAGTATACATGCCAAACAGTGAGTTTGGCGATATTTGCGTGGTCCAGTCTGATCTTTACTTCGAAAGGTCGTAAGAAGGCGAAGGACATCCCGGCAGACCTCCGTGATCGATGGGTTCAGGATCGTGCCAAGAAGGCTGCGCGGAAGCAGCTACGCGCACAAGCCCGCCTAGAGCAGGCAGCTGACCCTCTCATACAGAAGAAAGGTGGAAAAAAGGGTCGCAAAGCGACTTTGGCTGCCGCTGCCCTTGATCCAACAATTCAACTGCCGAACCAAGTTGTGGACATGATATCCCTCGAGCAGCAGATTCGTCGCTTTTTGGCTGATATTGGCGGACGTACTACTATGGCGTTACCACCCATGCAGAAGGACGCGCGAAAGCGTGTTCATAACCTCGCGATGGCGTTCAATTTGAAAAGTCAGAGCAAAGGGAAGAATGACATGCGGTACACGACTCTGATCAAGACGACGAAGAGTGGTTTTGTGGTCGACGAGAAGAAGGTGCGGTGGATCGTGAGCAGAGAAAGGGTGAATATTACGCGAGGTCCTGTACGACCCAAGGATGGCGAGGTTATCGGAAAGGTGTGTTTCAACGATCTATCGTCGGAAATATAAACTTACATCTACTGTAGGCTGCTCCAAAGATCGGAGAGTCCAACGTCGGGTTCCAAATGCTCGCTGCCATGGGATGGTCAGAAGGTGATCGTATCGGAGTTACAGGAGGGCTTGAAGTACCCTTGACCGCTATCATAAAGACCACAAAGTTAGGCTTGGGAGCGACGCGGTCATAAGTATCAGTCGATTCTTAATTGTATAAAAGCCGGGCATCACTTCAGCGAACGCCTCCGCACCGTTGATACTTCTCGCGTGCGTGTGCGTGTGATAGATTCACTAGTCCTAGGCTGGGAAAGATTTCGTGAATTATTCTGGAGCTCATGCCCACGGTACAGCGTCAATGCCCAGCTGTTGGTGAGCTTTGGTGAGCTGAGCCAGCTGGTCAAACGCGACTTACAGCCCCAGAAGGTGAGATGGACAACTGTCAAATCACAAAGTTTGGCCAAGTGTCCGATGGGAGCAGTGAGGAAGAGGCATGATGCAAAAGCCCAGAGGTAGCCAAGGTCTGGAGTCGGGATTGATATCACCGCTCGCACGGGCCGAAAACTAAAGCTCAGAGTCCAGTCGCGAGATACCAAACCGTCTAAACAATGCAACATTCAACTGTGAGGAAGTCTTGGGCTCTTTTGGGCAAGGCTGACGTGACCTTGAAGCATGATTCGAAGAGGACCTGGTTCCAGAGGATGGGAAAATGCAATATGAGATGGAACCAGGATGTAGGGAGGACATGCAAGCAGATGGCATCGCGGCAGCCGCCATTGAAGTTCTTTCTGCACATCGGCCTACGGCACTGGTCTCATCTTAGAAATCACGCTGGGTAGTATTTGGCGCGTCCTGAGCGGCGATTGTTATTATTAGCCTTGCTGTACGGATGCATCTCACATCCGAGGAACATGGCTACAGTTGCATATTGTGTCCACGTGTATGTCAAGCTTTCGTCGCATTTTTAAATCTAGTCGAAGACTACATCCAGAATCCATATCAGTCTCTGAGAACTGTTTAGATGCCATTCGCATTTTCGGAAGTCTTGGTATATCTCTGTTATTTTCAAGACTTAGGATGCTCCGAAACTTTCTATCGGTTAGACTTGCCTGTTCGCACATTCTGCTCATCCTGTTGTTTGTACAGGTCGTGCCCTTCTGCATGCCATCCACCTAAGGTCAATTGCTGGATTCTCTTCCTGCATGCTATCGTACACTCATTATCTTAGGCCATTGTGCTTCGCAGTGTGATCGCGGCCTGTTTATGCAGACAGATTTAGCAACTATTTGACGGCCTCCTTCATGTCCTGGTCGAACTGTACTGAGGGTTGAAAAGTCAGGATAGACGTGTAGAACGCATGCGGTGCGTGCGGTGCCCTAGGATACCTGCGAAAGTGCATTAGGCAAGGCCAGACCTCAATCATGAGATGAGCACTTACACGCGCAGTCGTATTTTGACGCCATTTCCTTTCAAGACTTTCTCACAGAGAATACCCTCGTCCCGTGGAGGATTCGACTTGGATGCTGGCCAAAGGTAGCTTAGCGTGCGACACTACATGGACGGGGGCGCAGTCAGGGTCGTATGCTGCAGGCTTCAATTGTTCTACATCACAAATGGATGAGATGGCGATGGCCATAGATGTCAGCATGAAAAACGTATGCCCCCAAGAAGTACCTCATCCTCATTCTTTTCCATTGACAGCAGCTCGCTTCTGTACCCATAAGCATAGATGAATGAGAATATGAATAAGAGTAAGATCTTGCTATGGTTTGATGGCCAACAAATAAAAGAACATCGCGTGCTTTGACAGTGGGTAAATTCCCGCTAGCAGATTCCCATCCGGCGAGGAACCGAATTGGTCTCTGCAGCAACCTGCAGAGAGGGAAATATGATCGTATCAATTCTGCGATATTCCGCATTGGAATTGTCAGAATATTCATTTGACAGCAGCGTAACAATCGTTGATCCTGTAGAAGTAAATGAAGATCAGAGATGATCTACGGACATTTAGATGGCAGGTCTGTACCTCCACCATGTTACCAGACCAGGAGCGGGAACTTGTTGTACCTAACGTCCGTCGGCGTGGGAACCACAGTTCGCACAGTGATTTCGTCCTTCAACTCGAAGCTTGCAAATCGTCCACGCAATATTCAAATTCTCCAGGAACCCACAGAGAACGCGGTATCTCGTTAACAGCAATAATTCACACCTTTCTGGAGGAGTGGATCAAGCCTTGTGACAATAATAGGCAGAGCGAACGATGGAAGAAATTCTCGAGTGATGTCGAATTCTCTGACAACGGAAGGGGGCGCGGCATTTTCTCGAATATAACAGCGAGCTCAGGATTGATGGTGGGGAAATGGGCGTTCTGTACCATGGTTGAGGAATTCGACCGAGGTCGATGGCGTGAAATATCGGCTACCCTCATTTTAAATCTGATCAGGCTAGCTTACGCGCTAAAGTTATATCAGATAGACTTCGATACTTCGTACGAAGAAAGTCATACATATATGAATCGGACCTTGAGTCGCTCGACTGGTAAGTACTGTAAGTCACTGCGTATCGGCCACTACAGAGACGGCGAGAGCGGATAGAAAGGCGGGATGTTGTGTGGATCGTGTGATGAAACAGAGAAGATGAGAGAGAAGCTCCATGTTGTGTTGCTGCCAGGATCATCACAATCCGTACATGGCTGACTGAGCACTTTTGACGCAGTAGTAAATACGACGCGAGGGAAGTGAGCAAACTGGCTGAAAGGATAGACGAGAGGAAGCGGACGGACCTGGGAGCCGCGGCGCGAGAAGATGCCCGTGATCAGCACCAAAATGTCCAATACTTAGCTTTAGGATTGGTAGCGGGACAAGTGTATGGTGAGTGAGGCAAACATGCCAGCCATGATTGATAGCTAGAAGATCGGGTCACAACTTTTTGGTCGATGATCTTGGAAAGTCGTGGCGGATCTCTCGCCGGACGAAGTTGTTCTTTTCACGAAAGAAATCTGTCAAGCCACTGCAGTGACCGGGAACGTTGAACGAAGACATGGTGACAAGAATGGGCCTAGTGAGGCGCGCCTAAGGAAACGATGCAAACAGCGGTTCAAGTAAAGAGGTTGTGGACAGTGTACGTTTATCTGCCTGCTGAGACAAATGACCAAGCGGTGACAGCAAGCTGGGGTTGTGTGTGAGTCGATCGATTCTACAGCATGAAATGTATAAGGTACCCACTGGAAAAGACACAGTTCGGAAACAGCCTTGATCCTTATCATACATCAGGTCAATGAAGTGGAAGATCACTGTTGGGATCAGTGCTACCATCTCGTTGCACGGTCTGCGCAAGCAGAATCAAATATCCGGAGTCTAACGTACTCGTGATGCACGAATAGACAAGAAGCACGGTAGTGAGCTGGAAGAAATGTCAGCTAGATGTTGGAGGGGGTCGTGGTTGATCGCGCGAGAAGGCGAGTTTTGGATGACTGGAGAAAGTTACTGTATAGCAGAGGCGCCCAGACGAGCGACGATAGGCAAGAAGCTCTGTCGGAGCGTGTCAACGCGTCAAATGTGTCATGGCGGGAGTACGTGGGCGTGTCATTTGAGTCAGTGTATGGAACTACGATGTCTGGGTCCACAGGACGCGTGTAGTATGGAACAGACATGATCGAAGCGGCAGACTTGCCATTTACGAGAATTGCCGCAGCGATGAGCGACCGCGAAGGAAATTTGGGAGCCTCGAAGAACGCGGAAGAACGCGAAAGATACACGTCCCACAACGGCATACTTTCTCCGAACGACGTTGAAATGCAAGTGTTCGAGCGAGAAGAGACAAAGGCACGCAGACTGATGCACGCCGCTGTCGAGGAAAATAAAGGGGAGAGAGGGACGTTTGTGCGGTCGGCGCTGCAGAGGCTAACTGATGAGAGCAGGGCGGCGCTGGCAGGACAGGGACGTTGGAGGAGAGATTAGAGGGCAGGTGAGTGGGAGAGGAAAGAAGGCGTCGAAGTTGTCAGCCACCGAGAGGCGAGCACGCGGCGTATTCACCCAACGCTCACGCTCACGCCCACGCCGTCTCTCACGACAACCACCTTCTTTTCGCCCCCGTCGTCCTCGACGTCCACGCCCATAATGTCTGCTCACGACGAGCAAGACTTCTCCCGCTCGGGCACCCCCGCCTCCCTCTCGACTCCCGACGACCTCGGGTCGCCACGATCGCCAGGCTTTCCGTCGGTCGAGTCCCCTCTCCTTCCAAGCACAAGCTCGCCAGATGCGTCCTCGTCGCTGTCTCCCCCGAAGCCCAGCCGCTCATTTTCCACCTCGACATTTGTGTCGTCACCATTGAATCCAAACTCCTCTCTATACCCGTTCGCTCGATCCCGCCCAGCCTCGCGAGGCAGCACGTACATCAACCGTGTCGCCTCAGAGGAGAGTCAGGCCCTTGGATCTCAGCTCATGGGCTCTCAGCGAGGATCTATGATCCTTTATCGCCTCGCTAATGAGGACGAGCACGGCGTGCTGCTCCCTCCACGCCCCATCTCCCACAATCCGCGGGACTCGGTCCTCTCCTCCTCCGGCGAATCGGTATGGTCCCTTTCCTCCGACTCCAAATACCCCGCCGGCACCCTTCCCTCACAGCGCGGTCTCGTGCCGTACGTGTATGACCCCACCTTCGACGATAAGGAGCCCATGGACGACGAAGACGCCTTGCACGAACCCGACGCCCTCGAGAAGGTTGGCACCATATTCACCCTCCGCGGTTTCCTCAACATTGGTGTCATCATTATTCTCATCCTTGCCCTCCTCACACTTTTCATCGCATATCCCGTTATCACCTACGTCAGGGACATTAGCCGCAATTTCATCCTAGACGGCAGCAACATTAACGTAAACGGTACTGATGAATCTCCTCCTCCCACCTTCCTCATGCCTTCCCTCGTCGACACACAAACTCCTGACGACGCCAAGACACGCATCGGCTCAGATGGCGAAGACTATGTCCTCGTCTTCTCCGACGAGTTCAATACCGATGGCCGCACCTTTTACCCCGGTGATGACCCCTTCTGGGAAGCCGCCAACTTCTGGTACTGGGCGACTAACGACCAGGAATGGTATGACCCGCGTCAAATTTCAACGAAGGACGGGTATCTCCATCTCCTCATGGAGAACGTCGAGACGAATGGCCTGCCATATAGGTCTGGGATGCTCCAAAGTTGGAACAAATTCTGCTTCACGAGCGGCTACATCGAAGTCAGCCTCAGCTTACCTGGACCGAATGAAGATACTCAGGGATACGTGAGTCTAAGCCTGTGCGTTACCCCGGTCTTCCGCTGACCGAGCCTTTTGACGGTAAAACGGCGCGCAGTGGCCCGGCGCTTGGACGATGGGCAATCTTGGCCGTCCAGGGTATGGCGCGACAACAGACGGAACATGGCCGTACTCGTGAGTACTTCACCCCGCGATCTCTGCGCTCATTGCCTGATTTCGCCGCTATTTTTAGGTACGACTCGTGCGATGTCGGCACGTTCCCCAATCAGACCCTCAAGGATGGCTCCGGCCCTGCTGCGGCCCTCCATACTGATTTTGGCTCGACTAAGTACAACAAGGAGCTATCGTGGCTGAGTGGACAGAAGCTTTCGTGAGTGGCTTCTGATTGCGCACTACTCCCTGGACAGTGCGTGATTAATGCGCCCGACAGATCTTGTACTTGTCCAGGAGAGGACCACCCTGGGCCCAGCGTAAGCAAGGGCCGGGGCGCTCCTGAGATTGACATTCTCGAGGCCGAGCGCAACAAGCACGGGACCGGTGGTGTTGTCTCACAATCTGCACAATTTGCGCCCTTCACACACGACTACGTCTACCTGAACGCGACAGAGGATCAATGGCACGTCTACAACGACACGATCACGACCCCCAATTCCTATCAGTGCGTGTAGCCCCATTCGCCGGCGTGTTCTCACATCTTTTTCATCCTGATGACTGGCCTTTCATAGCGGCTCCGCTGTGCAGCAGGCGGTGTCAGCTCTGACGCAGCTGCCGTCGGACATATTCACAGGCTCTGGACGCAACTTCGCGACGTTTGGTCTGTCGTGACATTTTTTTCTTCTTCCCAGCCATTCTCACGTTGAGCATGTAGGCTTCGAGTATTGGGCCAACCCGTCCAAGGTTGAAGAAGGGTTCATCACTTGGTACCAGCAAGGTCAGCCGACAGTGCGAATGGGTGCATCCGCAATGGGTGCAGACCAAGGGACAAACGGGAGTGGTGTCGGACAAAGACTTATCCCCGAGGAACCTTTGGTATGTCACAGCAACTAACGTTGCATTCGGGAATAGCTCACAATCACTCAAACATTAGTCGATTGTCCTCAATTTGGGACTATCATGTTAGTTATTCTCAATTCTTTACTTCGAACGGCCATACTGACAAGGCGACCGCTTCTAAGCAAACTGGCAGACTATCGACTTGACGACGATGGAGTTTCCTGCAGAGATGCTGGTCGACTATGTGCGCATCTACCAGAGGAAAAACGCCCAAAACGTCGGCTGCAGTCCTCCAGATTATCCTACCGAGGACTATATCAATAACCATTGGGAGGCATATAGCAGTGCGTCGTATTCTACGTTGGTTTCTGGTTTCCACTCACCGGTCGGTTCTACAGACGCGAACCTCACCAAGTGGACGTCAGGCATATCGGGTGCGAACTACACGTTCCCAAAAAACTCCCTGGTATGTGCAGCTCACCTCTTTATTGTCCTTTAAAATCTCATGTCTTCCCAGTACGACGGTTGTTAGCTGCCCTTGGTGCAAGTGCTACCAGGATTGTTTATATAGATAGTATCGGACTGCTCTCTCGTTGCTTGTTACCCATGCGGACCGTCTGGAATTCCACCCGATGTCATCACATAAGTACGTACATTATATTTCTTTCGGTATTAGGACCGTCCTCGTCGGGCTGCGAAATACATATAGACGGCCTTAACATCTATTTTCATGCCGTATATCTCGCCTTTCTTGCGCTCCGTACTGTTCGTCTCAGGGCGCAGACTAGTTCACACCGCTCGTAGCACCGTCCATCCTTTCCATCTATACTCTCCTTTACAGCGCTCCGAATATTTGCGATAAGAAGCCATAGCGCGGACGTTGTTCGACCGTGGTGGCATTATAACAGCTCTATCGGACTTGGCACTGGTATAGGTTCGTTCATGACTGTACTTTTATCGACTTTGACAAGGGGAATGGGTCGGTCCAGCGCTGGTTACTTACCTCAGTCAGGACTATTCATATCCCGCATTCGCGTTGGCTGCTTGACTTCAAATTTACTACATCCAAACACTCACACTTGGAGACGTCTGTCGAAGCGACCTTACAGACGCGACCTTTTAACAGATGCTCAAGGGTGAGATACTATACCTCGTGATACACGCAGGAAAACATCAATAGTACATCCTCCGAAACGCCTCATACAATTTGTCATACACAGGGTTATCATTTCACCATCATCCTGTCCGAGCACGGGCGCGCTCAAATCCCAGCATCATCCCCAACGTGTTGCAACTGGTAAATTAGATCCGAGTGTGCCGACTCCTGGACAACAAAGTCTCGAACGCTTTGCGTTATCTGTCTTGTCGCTTGGATACGACATGAGCACTTGTAATGTGGTGATCAAAAATAGGAGCAAGCAGAAGTGATCTGCTGGTCCATATGCTATGCAGACCAGAGATTGTCGGGCAAGATTTGATCCTATGTGATCTTGTTAAAGGTAGAGTTCGCCCTGTTCAGAGTGAGGCTACTAGGGCTAGCAGTGGTTCGTTCATGATTGAGCGCTGAGCACAACTCCGCTTCTGCACACTCCGTCCGGAACTGTCCGGACCCGAGATAGCCTCTACTACTGTCTCGTTCGACGTTCTTGACCTTCTCATCACCGATTCACCCTCTGACAGTCAAGTTGACTCAGTTTTCTAAGACGAGATGGTCTGGCGATTAACGAGTCTTCGATGAGGAATCCTTGGTCCTCGGGATGATGACGACACATACGCATGCATCCTGTTCGAGGACCTCGGGGCACCTACAATCATGCGAAGCATTGCGTGCGTGCTGGCCGTGGCGCTTGTGCACGGGAAGTTCTCTGGCGCAGCCACGATACGAAGTAGTAGAATTCAGACATAACTCGCAGATAAGTGTTGAGCATCAAATGGCCTGGAAGTTGCACCTTCTCATAAAGTCCCAACAAAGTGTCAGTACTCCATCAGTTGCGCTTGGTATATCAAATTTCATTAATCATCAACCATGCTCGGGAGCCCGGGAGCTTACCGAAGGCCTTACCTGCATCGAGAGGACGCGCATGCCCGCCCTCTGCATATTTCATCCTGTGTCAATAAATGGACACCTTGATGTGCCTCAGCAGAAGCTGAATAACATGCTAGACATCCATTCTTGACGGACGTGAGGTCGTGGGCGATTGAGGTGCATATCGAGAGTTCATGACAATGATAGCGCTCAGTAGCATTGAAACTGGTATACAAGACCCCATTTCTGGAATGGGCGTTGGTAGAGACGCTCGTATCTCCACTTTAGTGTCATTATTGCTGACTCTTTGTCTTGCTCTTTCCGCGCGCCCTGCTTGCTCATCTTGCGCCTCCAGTTGATAGCCGCAGAGTGTTCTGACAAAACCGATTCGCCTTTGACGACGTATCTTGCACAGACTCATTCATCCAAATCAACTGAGCTGGTGAATGATGTACATAAAAGGACGCCCCCCAAACGGTGATTCTACATCCAAGTTCCCCAAACAGAGCCCCCTTCCAGGAATAACTCGAATCCAACGACGACAATGTCTTCCATCAAGCTCTTTCAGCCCATCGAATTCGGCGATGTCACTCTTCAGCACAGGGTGGTTATGTCCCCTCTCTCGCGCTTCCGTGCCAACGCAGCGCACGTAAATGGCGACCTCTCTCGTCAATACTACGAACAGCGTGCCAGTGTCCCCGGGACCCTTATCATCAGTGAGGGTACCCTCATTTCCGCCAAAGCGGGCGGCTCTCCCAACGCCCCTGGCATATGGAGTGAGGATCAAATCATTCACTGGAAGAAGGTCAGCCTTTTCTGGGATATCAATTGAGACGCAATTGACGCTTGTTGTGATGCATCAGATTGTAGACGCTGTTCATGCGAAGGGCTCCTTCATCTACCTCCAGCTTTGGGCTTTGGGCCGCGCTGCCTATCCTGCTGCGCTTGTCGCAGAGGACCCAAGCTTCCCGTACGTCAGCTCTGGGAATGTTAAGCTCGATGACCGCGAAGAGACTCCTCGCGCCTTGACGATCCCTGAGATCAAGGAGTATGTCGAGATGTACGCCACCGCAGCAGCGAACTCTGTTCACAAAGCCGGCTTTGACGGTGTCGAAATCCACGGCGCGAACGGTTTCCTCCCCGACCAGTTCCTCCAGACTACAGCAAACAACCGCACGGACGAGTACGGCGGATCGATAGAGAACCGTATTCGGTTCACACTTGAAGTCGTCGACGCTGTTGTCAAAGCCGTTGGTGGCGCTCAAAGGGTCGGCTTGCGGCTGAGTCCCTGGTCGTCTTATCAGGGTAATTCATTTCCTCGGTTTTCGCAATTCAACATCTGACATGGAGCATTGGTAGGCATGTACATGAAGGATCCGAACCCGAGCTTCGCAGCCCTCATCACGGCGATCAAAAGAAAGCACCCAACCTTCGGATACCTGCATGTTATCCATGCCCGAGTCGACGGGGCGGCCATCCGTGAGATCAAGCCGGAGGAGAACGACGACTTCCTTCGCCAGATCTGGGGTGACAAAATCTACCTTAGCTGCGGTGGGTACACCCGTGAAGATGCCATTGAGACCGCCGACAAGAAGGGTGGTCTGGTGGTTTTCGGTCGTTCATTCATCTCCAATGTAAGATTTTTACTCCCCTCCGTCTGCAATCAGAGTCGTGATGTGTCCTTTCATAGCCGGATCTCCCGCTTCGTTTGAAGAAGAACTATGCCCTCGCTCAGCCGGATTACACCACGCTTTACACTGCGGAGAGCCCCAAGGGCTATATCGACTACCCCTTCTACTCGGAAATCGAGCCTGAGACGACCACAGTCAGCGCTAGCGGCGTTACTGTGAAAGCGTAGATACCGGACAATCAGATGATCATCTTATTATACACATTGAAATCCATCCTACTTATGTGCAATGCTACGTTGATAGATCCCCTCGGGTCTGTTGAACTGCGGCAGAAAGATGACTCATGGTCTCAGTGGTTGTCAACTTTAAGTGAGATTTCTGAGTTTAGCCTGGAAAGTGGTGCATAGGTTCGCATCAGTACCAAAAATAACCCTGAGACTAGAGTATATTGAGATGAAAATGATGCATACATTGCATTGGATGTCCCCAATAACAGATGTCTCAATAACCCCAACTCGAGGCCTCCTTTGCCGCCCTGCGAGAAAGACCCTCTGCGTAGCGCAGCAGCGCCACCGACAAAATCGGTCCTCGTTTGAGCCCTTTTCCCCGAGGACCGAAGGCAATCCAGTGGCTGACTAGTCGACAAAACAAGTTCACCGATGTCCCCGAATTCGACCTAGGATCGACAACACAGCCTTGGGCGCAAATTCTCGTTCTATCGTAGTATTGTCTACACCATATGCAGCGCAGTCATCTTGTGCCCTTGGAGGAGGGGCCGCCACTCAAACAACGCAGCATACAATTAGCCGACACTGCACATAAACCCGATTTCATTCTGAAACACCAACCGTCCATTTGTGCTGCACACAGCCCGCATCGTCTTCAGCTGACCTCAACTATATGGCGCCCCACGGGAATAAAAAGGGGGAGAGAGTAGCGTCTGAATCTTCAACGAGTCCCCTCCCGTGCTTCCGCTATGTACTTGTCGGCTGTCCCTTTGATCTCGCTTGGTGTGGTCGTCGCTCAGGCGGTCTCTCTCCCTTCCAAGCGCTCAAGCTTGACCTCTCTGAACGTGCCGCTGCTCAAGGACGATCACCTCACTGTATCCGGTGCGTCCCACAGATCATAGCTTTCAATGTGGAGTTGATGAAGTTCCTTGTGTCCAGACGTGGATATTGTCAACTTCGCGCTTACCTTAGAACATCTCGAGAACACATTCTATACCGCCGGACTGCAGAACTTTTCTGCGCAAGCGTTCGCGGACGCCGGATTCGCGGCTCCAGTGAGGGGGTTTTATGAGCAGCTTTCGCTGCACGAGAAGACGCATGTCGATAACCTGACGAGCATAATCGGCGCGGACAAGGCCGTGAAAGCGTGCACGTACAACTTGTGCGTCATACTGGTGATGTTGACTTTGATTGAATATCTGACTCACATTGAATGGACAGTGGCGAAAATCTGAACGTGAAGACGTTTGTCGATTTAAGTGACATGTTTGAGGTCATCGGCGCATCTGCGTATAATGGTGCTGCCCGGTTCCTGCACAACAAGGTGAGCGAAAAAAATCCGCATCCGTGAGCTGATCAAAACCCTTGAGAACTAGTATATTCTTACCATCGCGGGATCAATCCTTGCAACTGAAGCGCGGCAGTCCACATGGATCAATAATGCCGTACGCAAGGCTAACCCGTGGTCCACCTCATATGAAGTTTGTGATCCATCCCTATTCATTCACTTTCAGCCAATCGCTGAGCGCGCCTGACGCAGACTCCTCTCGATCTCAACCAAGTCTTCACCCTCGCCTCGTCCATTATCGTGTCCTGTCCCTCCAACAACCCTCCGATCCCCGTCTCCGCCTTCCCAGCGCTCACGGTCAGTCCATCGACCGCCGGGCCTGGGCAGAGTATCTCGATCAACTTCACCCTCCCGTGGGCGTCGAAGAGCGGTGGCTCATCGCTCAGCGGCAAGGGTCTGTTCGCGACGTTCTTGTCTGGGATCACGCCGACGTCTATCGCGCTCGAGGGGCAGACGGCCCCGTTCAAAGTCACGATCCCGCCAGAATTGAGGGGGTTTGTGTTTCTGGTGATCACGAACAGCACAACTGTGACGGACGACTCGGCGACAGTCGCGGGGCCTGCATTCTTCAACTTCGCGTTCGATAGTAATAATACAATTATTCAGCTGTCAGTTTGATGTGGATGGACTGTTCTTTTGGACTTCCTCGGATAATCTCTGTTCTACGACTCGTCGTGTACTTATATGACACCGGACGGCTTTTTGTGAGTGTATGCGTGCTATAAAAATGGTTTGTCTATAAAAGGCGCACCGTTCACTACGTGGATTTGGAAGGCACGTCCACGATGATCAAGCTTCAAGCTTCCAGTCAACGAAGCCAAGGTTGTACAGAACACTTGACCCTGAAAACTGTTATCGTTTTCCAGATTATTGCTCGGGTTGGTCTACTGAGTGACCGGAATTGATGTGGTTCCCTGGCGCTCCAGCAATAGCGCCCCGCCCTTGCTTGCAAGACAAATCACGAAATCATCGCTCTGAGGTCGCGCCCGCTTTGATGACCTGTTCGCTGTATACTAATCGTAGGTATGTGTTGCACTCACTGTATCAGCTAGATGCCCTGCACTGATAATGAGCCATCGAGTGTGCGCATTTCTGATAGATGTTCGTGTACACAGAAGAAATGAATTGCAGTGAGTTTGCCTTCGTAGGTCCAGAAACGGCCTGAAGCGGCCCGTGGTCGAGCGCTGGCGCTGAGACGCAACATGTACACGATGACTCATCAGTACGGCTTTGGCCACCGACTCCTCGAGAAATGGCTGCATCCGACATATCCATCCTCCCCATCGCCACCGTCCAACACGACTTTCCTACTGTATTGTCTGAAATACACTCTGGTGCCATCCCCTCCGAATCAATCTGGCTTTCATGCTACAAACACGGCGAGACGTCGGTCCATGGCAAGATCGAGGCTGCGCTCGATGATCATGACCGGGAGCGGGTCGCGTTTAGCCCCTCAGATGGTGTGGAGCTCGAGAGAGTGAGCGATGTGCGTCCAAATCGTTCACATTCTTGCGTTGTCTTGATCGGCCGACATGCTTCCCGTTTTGAGAATAGTATCAGTATAAGGTGGGATGCCTCTCGTTAGGTGTTGACGCGCGTGAGACGGCGTTTGTCGTCCCGACGCAGACGTACGCAGACCCAATTTACTCAGACTTTCAGCGCGTGCGTGATTATTTTGTCTCCCTTGGCTGTATGCGTAGCGAAACTTACTGGTGCTAGGGTTTTAGCCTCATCAGATCCCCACATTCGCGCTGTCTCGACACTTCTCTACCTCAGACCCACCTATTCTTGCAACAGGCCATACCGACGGAGCCGTTTCCATCTACATGCTCCCATCGACGAAAGAGAACGCGCGGCAGACGGCATACGCTTCGCCAGTATCGCATGCGGTCTCCCCATACGCGACTGGAAAGCTGCACAAATCGACTGTCACCGCCCTCCACTTTATTCCAGGACTAGAGTCAGCCCCACTGCTTGCCTCTGCTGGTATCGACTTTGCCATCCATATCACCCTGCTACCGACTTCCGCGCACGCATCTGCGCTGAGTTCTCCCCTGAGACTCTCCTCCAGCACGGAGTTGAAGGGTCACACACGTGCCATCACTGCGCTACTCCCTCTGACGTCATCCGACCCATTCTATACTCCCGAATTAGCACCCACACTGCTCTCCGCATCTACGGACGGCACGCTCCGTCTATGGGATGTGCACGTGGGGAAGCAAACGGCGATGTGGGGCACGAGTGGATGGAAGGGCGCAAACGCACTCGCGACCGGCGCGAACGCACCTGGGGGCGCCTCTCATTCTCTCGCACTTGTGTACGCGGCGCTTTCGACAGGGGGCGTGGAAGCGTTCGACGTGCGTGCGCGCACATCTGCAGCGCGTGCCGAGGTGCAGGGAAGTACGTCGGCAGCGACTGCGATCGCGGTTCAGGGTGGGGCAATGGCGGTAGGGTCTTCCGATGGGGTCGTGCGTCTGTGGGACTTGCGAGCGCTAGACGCACCGCGGGCTGTATGGAAGCGCGGAGGTGCGGGCGTCTCGGGCGTGGCGTTTCTCGATAACAATGAGGACGGGGAGGAGGCGGTTGTGGTGAGCAGTGAAGACGGCTTGCCGTACGCCGCTGCGGTGCGTGATCGGGAGGTACGTGTGAGGGCTGAGCTGGTGTTCGGAGACGTGGAGGCGGTGCGGTGCGTTAGGGTAGAAGGGGACGAGGTGTGGATGTCCGGCGACGGCGGTGTTGTAAGGAAATATGTACTCTGAGGCCATTGAGCTCAAGCTGTTGTGAGATTTCTTTCCTTTGAGTAATGTAAGGTGCACCGACTTGTACAACGCAGACTGATCGTGTTTCTTCCAGCGCAAGCAGACGAATCGATGCCAAATATAGAAACCAGTCTCTTGTCGCGCAGTCTGGTGCGATGCAGCCCGGTGGGGCCGCCAACTCGTCATTCATCGAGTTGCTGGCTTGCACAACTTCTTCCCGATAGAGAGAGTGTCCTTACATGCTCGACGTCACTATCAACGTCGATAACGCCGTCATGGCTTGCGCACTCGTCATCTCCGACACAAAAACATGCGTTCGAACGACCTCGCCGTATGTTTTCAGTCGCTCGCACTTGCACTCCTCTGCTCCCACGCGTTCGCTCTATAACACACCCCGTCCACAACGTACTGAGACCATTCTCGATCACTGCACTCACCATGTCCCCGACGCCTCTCACCGATGCGATCAAAGGTGATCACCAGGAGGTGTGTCCTGCTAGAAGGTTCCTTCGGCAAAACTGGCTTTTAACTTGATATCACATATCCTGGCTGTCACAACAGATGTATGAATATTATGACGCCTACAAGGCTGCCACGGGCGACGCAGATACCCAGGCGCGCTGGGCACATCAATTGACGTGGGAGGTCGCGCGCCACGCCGTTGGCGAAGAGCTCATCGTCTACCCCCTCATGGAGAAGCATCTAGGGGCAAAGGGGCTCGACCTCGCCAACCAAGACCGAGCCGAACATCAGGCTCGTCGCTGCATTTTTGTGCCCAGCTTTTAATTTGTGTTGCTCACAACCTTTGCGCGCTCACGTAGACCGTGAAGGAGCTGCTGTACAACCTGCCTAACAGCACGCCTGGCACCGCACAGTACGACGAGATAATCCACAAGGTGATGGCACACCTCCGGCCGCACAACGAATCGGAAGAGAACGAGGACTTGCCGATGCTCGATTCCAAACTGGGTGAGGAATACAGCGCAAGTGCCGCGCTGTCCTTCAAGCGGACAAAGAAGTTCGTTCCAACGAGGTGCACACTTTTTCTGTTCTTCCCGGATGCTTGCTTATCCATGACGGCGCGGACAGGCCGCATCCCTCGGCCCCCAATCGTCCTCCGCTCGAGACATTTGCTGGGTTCCTCGCTGCGCCCATTGACAAACTACGCGATGCGTTCGACACATTCCCGACGCAAGAGATGAAGGACAAGCTCTAATCAAGATAGTCAGACGCGCAAAAGGTTATCAAAAAAGACTTATGATAACGGTGCCGTGTAGTCAGCAGTGCAACTTGGCGTCCGGTTTCTGACGGAAACATGAGTTCTCTGCGTTTTGGAAGAGTCATCGAAAAGCTCACCTCGTTTGAAAGCAATCAAATCGCACACGCATGTGCGACATTCACGTCGATCGCCTGCCCATTCTTGCTTCCGGTTCTCTTTCTAGGTAGCAATATTTCCGTATGCTAGCGCCTCGCATATAAAATCAACCTGTTTCCACTCCCTCACCTTGATTTGAAAGATCATTGATGCCTACACAATATTCTACGACGAGTTGAGAATGTAGCTCCACATAAGCGTTCCGAGAAAGATGGGCAGAAAGCCAGGTGGAGAGACCCTGTGAGATGATGAGAGATATGTGTGTGTCTTACGCGGAAACTAAATGGAATTTTGCTTTTAAGTGAGACTGCGGTAATGAGAGACTACTCACGAACGCGGAGGCTTTTAGCCAGGCCTCCAAGTCAGTCAAATCCTAGAGCTCTCCTGAGGTTCTGGAGCAAGATCTAAGCGCTCATCAAAGCATGTCTTGATTTTGCTCGAAACCTAATGCGTAACCCACCAACTCACCGGACTCTGTTGGTATGTAGGCCCCCAACCGCATCCTCGCTCATGGGTCTGAAATCAGTTTAGGAACGTAACTTCGCAGCCGACTGCCAATATCGAAAGAAATCGTGCAGATGAGTAGAGAGCAACTCTCATCGCGCCGGGGACCATGATGTCCTTGTAAAAGTCAAGCATTATGATATTGGACACACCTTATCTATAATGGGCAGTGGGGCTAGTCAATATAGCATCCTGAGAAAATTCCACTGCTCTTCTATGATATCATATCGAGGTGTACACCACAACAGAAAGAGAGTACAACGTTGAGCTCGACGAGACGCAGCGTCGGGGGCTGTGTAAGAGTAAGTAGAAAGTGAAATGGTGTGATATCAAGACATATGAGCCGTGTGAATGGCAGATTTTCCTCAGCCAGCCGGATTGAGCCCCGCAAGATGAGCATAGCGCTTAACCATACCTTCTAAGTGATTTTGACCGCTTCCGTGCCTCCTCGTCTGAAGTGCCTCCAATGTCTCCAGACAATCCATAGCCGGCATGATTGCTCACCGACTTCAAGTCGGCCGAGACGATTCTCGATGAAATGGAAAATATCATCAATCTGCGCAGCGTTGGCGATGTCACGGGAAAAACGAGAAGCTGGCCGGGTGGATATTTCGCCTGCAGTCCGCCTCTTGCCACTGTATCAAAAAGGGTTTGCTTCGCTGACACTGCAATGATAGGACTGAATACATGATCACCTTGGTCCTCGCTTTATGTTAGGCATCGAAGTAATGTCAAGCGTCTGGAAACCTTGTTGAACGTCATTGAATCATAATGAGCTGTTCACACATCAATCACCTGTAGCAGTTTACAGACGTCGTAGAAACTGCGGAGAATGTGCCGGTGATTATGTTCGCCGCCAAGTCGTGACCATCGGCAAAATTAACATGAGAAGTTGTCGATGTCCTTCTAGACACCTCTGGGCCTGAACGGCTTAACCCAAGACAACTTGAGACGGTGTGGCAAATTACCTTGGTGTAGAACCCATTCCTGTTGCTGATCTGCTCATCTTGATTTTGCCATCAATGTTTACCGCGTACGTGGCATGCCGGCCGCAACGATTGTGACCATGGTAGAACGACGATTTCGTGATTGGAAGAGGTGACAGGGACAGTATTCATTGAAGGATCGACTTGCATGAAAAATGGTGCCTCAGTACGTGGCCAAGAATACGTCTCGGGAGGCTCACGTACCGAGGCCAGCGAAGAACGGGAATATTTACTTATGGTGAGAAATTTAAGTGGATGGTGGGGCGGTGTTCTTGTTTGACAACGTCATTCATGCAAAGTCAGAATATGTAGCGGGCACCACCGGGCACCGGGACCCGAAGTACTCGTTTTCTGATGACTGACCGCAAAGCTGGAGGTCTGCGGAGGTTTTGGCGAGATGGAGGTGTATGGAAGGGAAAGAAGAGAGCAGAATGTTACAATGCTGCACTTGCGCGAGCGCATGAAGCAGAACGAGGCGAAGAGGAATGCTCGCAGCTAGGAGTATACAGGGGACCGTCGGCAGTTGGAGCGCGTGCAGGCGCCGATCAAGTGCCAAGCGTCGTCTTAGTCAGCATCCGTAAAAGGCAAAGGACACATTGCTTGGCCATTGACCCGAGCGACGTCGAGTCTTGGAAGGACAAATGCACAAAGCACTCTCTATCCTTCACCCCTGTAAGTAAATTGTTCGATCCCATTCGTTTCTTCACTTGCCCTACTCTGCACATCTATCTCGTCGTTCTGCGCTGCAGAGCCGACCGTAATGTCTCCCACCGCCGAGAAATCATCCCCACCACCCTCCTCGCACAGAGACGAGGAGGTTCAGCAAGAGCCATGGTTACAGTCGAAACCCACCATCTGGAGTCGCCTACCGCCGTGGGTGGCCGGGCCACTGCGCTCGAAGAAATCTTGGAAGCTGCTATTCAAGTGCTGGCTGGCGTCATGGGCCGCTTTCATCCTCTTGTTGCCAAACCAATCCCTCAAAACCATGGGCAATGCGTGAGTCTGATTCCGTTTCTTCTTGCAATGATCATTGCCTGGTGGTCCTCCTGGTTGAGCTACGATCGCCTTGCCACGGGCCAAGGGAGCTTGCGAAGACTGCCGCGTTCTATTACATCGAATGAGCTCGAGGCCATCAATGTTGCCGTGGATGCCCGTCATGGGATACCCGCCGAAGCAAAGTTGTCTGTGTACTCTACACAGACAATGACCCCCAGAGACCCCTATTTCCCTTGGTTGTGATATTTTCGAACGGTAGCTGACTGGCCGTCGTAGTGCCTTCTTCGCCATGCTGTGTTCCTTCTTCCTTCCCCCTTCAATGCCGATACAACTATTTTTGATGGTAATCTCTACTATGGTCATTGGAGTCCTTTTTGGCTGGGGACTTGGTGCAGCTGCTATGCGTGCTGCTCTCGCCGTCCGTGATCAAGTCCTTCTCAAGTCTACGTTGCAGCAGGTTCAGAGCAGGTCCGTCGTGCATCAATATCCCATCATCCCGCTTATGTTAACACCCTATGGCAGCGCGGCTTCGTCTACGAATCCAGACGCGGTATTCAAAATAGATATCTTCCTAGGCTACTTTTTAGACACGCGGTGCGTTTGGTGCTACTTGTACCGCGCATAGGCATGCACATACCGACCCTTCCTTTACAAAATAGGTCTTCCATTGTCTTTGGTGTTTTCTTGGGCGTAGGAGCATTTTTCTTCGCGTTCCTGCGCGCCTATGCTCCACCCCTGATGATCATGAGTATCTTTGGCACGATCGGCCTCGACATCTTCTGCGTGCGTGCCTCCTCTTGTATGATGGTGTCTACGTGGGCTTGAACCGTCTGTATAGACCTTCGGACCACTCTTTCCCTTTGGGCAATATACGCTGCTCAATTCACTGCTCATCTCTGTCGCGATGTACATCGCGATTGCCGTGGTCGTGATAGTTTTGGTGTTCCCCGAGACTATGAACCACGCATTTCTCAACACAGTCTCCGAGCTGCTCACGCACATGTCGACTATTCTCAAGATGCAAGATGACGTGCTCTCGGCTATGCCAGGCGACTTCGCTGCGGACTCGCCGAAATTGGCCAAGCTGAGGGGCACACGATTGGGTATGATCAGCAAACAGCAGCAGCGTGAGTTCAAAGCATCTAGACTGTATCAAAGACATGCTTATATTAGTCTAGTGGCCACGCAGTCGAAATTTTTGGGCGCAGAGTTCAGTTGGGGGCGATGGAACGGCGAGGACGCAAAAGGCCTCGAAGAGCCGCTCCTCGCAGTCTCCTCTAGGATCAGTCAGTACATTACTAGCTGGTCCCTGCTCATATGCTAACGTCGAGCCAAGACGGCCTCATGAGCTTCGTCCGGTACTCCAGTCGGCGCGAGCGGCGCGATTCTGAAAGCCCAGACAGGTCCACGAGCTCTGTCAACACCACGTCCACTGCCGACGGCGCCACTACCGCTGATACCTACCTCATCCGCCAAATGTACCAGCGCAACGCTGCCGCCGAGGCCGCGCACTCCCTCGGGCTCCTCGACGTCCTCCCGCTCATCCGTCGCGCGACTGCGGACCTCCGCGCGGCATGCATCGCCGGCGTTTCCAGCGTGCAGGCCTTTATCGACTACATCAATAAAAACCGGTACGCGCGCGGCGCGGGGGCTGCCGCGGCGGAGCACACGCGCGCGCTGGACGAGGCGGCGGAGCGGCTGGCCCACGCGCTGGAGCAGTTCAAGACCTCAGGTCGGCTCGCGCTGCTCGAGCCGTACAAGCCGTTGCTTGCGGGCGCAGATACATTCGATGCACGCACACGCGTGCCTCTGCGTGGGTTGTACGTCGGGTACGTGTTCGGCGCGTCGCTGATCGCGGTTACCGAGGCGGTTCTCGCGCTCATGGATGGCGTGCGTGCGACGGCGAGCAAGCGCAGCGCGAATCGCTTATGGGCGCCGCGGAGCCTGCGTGCCGTTGCGGGGGTGCTCTTGTCAAAGCGCGGGGATGGGAAGGATTTCGGGGAGGAGGAGAAGGTGGAGGAGGTCAAGATCGAGGAGGCGGAGGAGCGATCGTACGGTGCGCCATTCTTGTCGCGTTCTGCGTTCTTAGAGCCCGCTCAGATTCGGATCTACGTGCAGCGCGTGATCCGGACAGTCGGCCCCCGACGAACGCTATCCAAAGGGTGATGCACGTGGTTCATAACGTGTATGCGTGGACAAAGACTGCAGAAGCAGTGGTGAGTACGACCTCCCCGGAGTCTACGCTGGCTCGCTGATCGCCTGCATTCCAGTTCATCTTCAAGTACACTTTAATCACTATTCTCTTGTATCTCCCTGCCGTTTTCAAGTCGAGTGCACGTGAGTGTCTCAGCGGCCTGAGCTTTTACTCGCCCGTTGATGATCGTCTGCAGATATTTACTATGCTCAGAAGGGGGTCTGGTATGTCATTACACATCTAGATTGCTGACGCGAGTGCTCACGCGGCATATGTCCAGGGCTCTCATCATGGCGCAAACTACACTCAACATCTACGCTGGTGATCAGCTGTTCAAGTATGCATGAATCATGAATTCCAAGTGCGCCACTGAATATTCTGCAGCTACGTGGTCCGGCTGGGCGGCACTTTCATCGGCCTCGTCATCGGCCTGGTAGTATGGTACCTAGGTATGTCATATACATCCCGTTGTCAAGGACGCTCGGCCTAATCTCGTCTCTGGACAGGAAACGCGAAGAGTAATGGCAACCCATACGGGCTGGCGGCTTCCGTCGGCGTCTTCCTCATCCCACTTCTGTTCATGCGCCTCTTCTCTCCCGCGCAGTACACGTCGGGTGTAATTCTCATGTGTGTGCGTACTTCAGCTCGCTGATGACGCTTGGACCTCCGGACTCACTACCTTGTGCGGTGTATAGGCTACCGTCGTGCTCATTGTAGGCTACTCGTGGATCGACGGCCACTTGCCCACGGTGTCGAGCCCCGGCATTGGCTGGCCCATCGCGTGGCGCCGGTGGACGCTCGTTACCATCGGTGCGTTACCTCCTATTCTCGTCGCGCGTACAGACTGATGAACACACCCAACTGCAGGGTCGGCAGCATCATTCATCGTGATGATGTTCCCGCCGCAGTCGGGACGCAAGGCGGTGCGGCTGCGCAACGCGGCGACGATTGCGGGGCTGTCACACGTATATATCTTCCTTATGTCCGCCTGGATCGCGGGTGCGGATGGTACGGGCGAAGAGGGCACGCAATCGCAGGGCTCGGGCGAGAAGCTTCCGTTGGGTAAGGGACAGGCCGGAGGACCGGCGTCCGGGGCGCCGTGGGTGCAGGAGTTCCGGCGAAAGTTGGTCGGAGTGGTGCAGCAGATTCAGACACTGCAGCAGATGACGGCGCTTGCGCGGTGGGAGGGTAACGTGCGCGGAGCCTGGCCATACAAGGAATACAACCGCCTGGCGGAGGTGCAGATGGACATGGTGGCTAGCCTGGCCCAGGTAAGTGGCCCGTAGTGTCTTGATCGGCTGTTGTTGACGTTATCTTGTCGTCGTCGCAGCTCGCAGGGGCGCTGTCGAAGCTCGCGGAGGACCGGCGGCTGTCGATGGTGCACCACACCGCGGTCGTCAACCCCAACTTTGTACGTCACCTCTACACTGTCGCGTGCGGTTGAGCTCATCATGTCCTTTGCAGATTGCGGACGCAATGTCGGTGTTTGCGCTCGTGTCGCAGGCGCTGCGGACAGGGGAACCGCTGCACGCGGTACTGCCGCAGAACCTGCTCGACAGGCTCATTTACCACCACGTCCCCGTCGCGCGTGCGCATTCGAGTGCTCGCGCGATGGAGACGGCGGAGGGCGGGGAGGAGGAAGGTGAGGGGCGTGGCCTTGTGCATGTGGAGGCGCTGGAGGAGCTGGACTACATGTTCTATGCGTCCGCGGTGATCGCGGTGATCCAGCTGCTCGAGGTGCGTTTTCGCTCTGATCTGCGATCGTTTATATTACATGATGCTGACTGGCTGCCTGAATGGTCTGGTGGGCATATGAGCAGGGCCTGGACGAGGTGCACAGGCTCGCGCGGGAGCTGTGTGGGGAGGTGCCGTTCGCAGGGTTCGCGGGGTGGCGTGAAAGCCACCAGCGGGTGCATGTTGCAGGGCAGGGTTTGCAGACGCCGCGGCCGGTAAAGAATTGGATGTGAGCAGTGCGCGCGCACAGTCGGTAGGTGGGCGAGGCGGCTTGTCCGGAGCGAGGCGAAGAATTTAGAGAGATATTTGTTTGCTTGGTGGCCCATTTGCTCGTTGGATTGTGAGTTGAATCTTTTATTTATTCATGTGGATCGGCCGCTCCCATATACAGACGGGCGGGCAGGCAGAGGTTGAGTGCCCACTTAGTGATGTGTTGATGTTTGCGAACGAGCGAAGCGCGTAACGCTCGGTGTAGTATTTCTTCTCGTGGTATTCAGCCTCTCGAGTTCATCTCAACATTACGCCTTCTACTCACCTTTTACCATCTCCGACGCTGTGACGTTGTATCTCCTTTCTTCCTGGTGTCCAGCTCGACAAAAGGAGAGGCTGAATCTGTCAGGTATGTTCTCAATGCCAGTCTTGGATGCGGCATGTCTGTGCTTTGAGCCATGGTTCAGTTGGTCCATGGACCGAACGCTTCCTGGCGCCGCAATTGCTGGCATACAATCCTCCATCCGATCTGCGCGATCTCCTACCGTAGTGGTCGGCTACAGAGTTGCACACTTCGCAAGCCAAAGTATTTGGGCTAAACGCAATTTTGCTTCTCGAAAATTGATGATCAAGTGGAAGAGCCGCATCAGTAAACGAGGGACTTCAGCTCAGCGAATACAACCGTCCGCTGAACTGAACACCTACGCATCATCTTTGTCATTATCCAGGTTGTCACCATGAACCTCGCTGACAACAACTTCGAATATCATTGAAAAAACGACTGCCGACGCTGCCTCATTCCATATTCTAATCACCCAGACCCGGAATGCCCCATAATCTCTAAGCATTTGACAGTCAACTAATATCTGCATACCGATGTCACGGCGTAGTTTCCCAACATAAAGGATCAGAAACATCGCACGTGCCTACGTGAGAGGTGATAACAAGGGGAGCCAAGCGGTTCCTATGTAGGATGCTTTCGACGAGTTCTCGCGCAGACGACGGCGATCCAACAATAGAGGAACCCGCGCTTATTAGATTGAACGCTGAACCATCTGGATCTCCTTATGGTCCATGGGGGCGTCGTATCACTTCTGTGCACGAGTAACGTCAACTGCCTCTGGAATGTAGCTTTTCCCGCCTATGGCAATCCCACATCTCTCTAACTCAATTGATTCTGGCCCCTCTCGTCCTCCGCCTCTGCCACATCGCAATCGAGTTCATTCGCGTAACAGCAGGATCAGGAAGACTATAAAACAACTATCTTCTGTGTAAAGGTAAGCCACGGAGACTAGGAAGACTAAGGTGAGCATGCGCTCTTAATCCCCGCGTTCCAGCATCGGTGAAGTGAAATTTTGTCTATACAGTCACGGCTCTCTGTCTTTCGCACAGCAGAATATTTTACAATCAACAGTAAGCATTTGCACACGGAAGCACAATGAAGCCCCACCCAAGACCGAACGTTCCATTACTCGCTTTCCTCGCTTTCCTCACTTCTCTTGGAATATAACTTTGCCTGCATGTAGTCTTCCCATATCTCTTGACCGAGTTCAGTCTGCCACCTCTCGTCCCCTGGCTCTACTACATCTTCTTCATCTCCCTCAAGCCCCAACGACTTCATGTAATCAAGGATGATATGAAGAGGAAAATCATCATCGATATCGCCTGCAAGCAAATTCGCTTTAATGCACCAACAGAAGTGGTCCTTCAAAAATCGGTCTTCTGGGCCGATCTGGTCACCTTTCGAACGGGGAAGATTGGTGGGAAGTTTGATGTTTCCGATATCGCTGAAAATAACGATACGATATTCATCCTATAAAGTGAGATTACACGTTCGGCACGGATAGTCAGTCAACGATAGTCATAATCATAGAAGAGCTGCGCACATCAACGTCAATTCCAAATGCGTTGTGGTGGAAGAGGGCGATGAGATCCTTTCGCATTACTGCCGCGTTCGAGACGTCGATGTACGAAGCATAGTTGAAACGGCTTGGTTCCGACCAATTGACCACCTATACGTATATATTGTCAGACTCTTCGACTCCCACAGTACTCGATAGCCGAAATGCCTACTTGATGTGCCCATGGCGGCGGGAAAATCCACGACATCCCGACGTCCGTGTCCGCGCCGGTGACGAAGCACGTCCCATCGCGCGCGAAGACGGACTGCTCAAAGGAAGGCGGGAGGGAGCAAGCTTTAGCTGGATTCCCGCGCTCTAACTGGATCGGCAACATACCATGTCAAGATTGCGGTGAATGCATGGAGAAGCGTGAGGTGGGAAAAAGAACTTGTGAAGGTGGAAGAACAACGCCTGTAGGACCTGGTTTCGGTGTTCTGAGATATCATCGATCATCTTCAGGCACTAAAAAAACATGGCACCGAAGAGGCGTCGTGAGAATGAGATGGATAAAGTGTATAGGGACATATGCGCGCGATGTCCTCAAATACTGAATAGGTCGCATGACGCACGCAAAGCTCGAGATGGACAGCTTGATCAGAAATATTGAAGGCCGAAACATTATGAAGATCAGCTTCACAGGCTTGTCGTATGGATTTGGCAGAATTATCTGCAATTTAAACGCTGGAACGTCCTAATGCCGCACGGAAGGGACCGAACTTCTGACAATTGTAGATGTGGAAGGTCGAATATACGGCTTCGATCAAGAAGCTTTCACTCGATCGTGGCGTCGTCGAAGATGTTCAGGGACATTGATAACGAAGATCTGAGTTGAATGAAGACACAGGAATGACGTCCGTGCACTTACCCGAATATAGTACAACACTCTTTAGATCAAGAAGTGTTGAAACCCGTCATTTGATCATGGCATCCAGGGACATCCACAAACGACAGAACTAAGACAGACCACTGACAGATCGCCGGAATCAATGATCGAAGGCATCACCAACAATAATGATTCTGGAAGGCCGGGAGCCTACTACCTGACCCTACTTGTAGGGCGCTGTGTGGAACTCCCCTGAGCTTATAAACCGGTTAATAACCAGGAGGCGTTATTAACGCGTTAATAACAAGTGTTAATAACCACGGTACTACATCCTATTACATCAGACAGTAAACACAACATCTGTGAAGTCAAAGTTGTGTTTTCTCGCTTTTTTCACTCCCTTCGGAGCCTGAGACAACACCTGCGAGGGCCGCAAGTCCACCGAAGTCTCACTTAGAATGTCCAAGAGCAGGGGATCATTCAGATTCACCCCATTCCCTTCATTATCTTCCTCTTCAAATCCATTTTGAACCTGAAATAGCAAGCCTTCCTCCCCAAGCAAATCGGGAGCTTCGTGCAACTTTATCTTGTCAAACATCTCTCAAAGCTCATTGACATCATCCCAAGCAACCTTTTCGATATTGGGCTCTCCTGTATCGGTGAAGGTGGAGTCTTTGAGTTCCTAGTTTGCAGCCGATTCATTGCCATGACATCCACTAACATTGACTGTAGGTATATCTTGACGATGGGTGTACTCAGAAAGATCCCGGAATTTGATGATGAGAGGACGAAGGAGAGTCTTTCTGGATTTGTGACACTGGCATGGATATGAGCCAAAACTCATCGACAATAGTAGAATTCTATCACATTACCTTGTTTCTTTTGTAGTGCTGCTGAATCCAAGTCATTCGAACGAGTGTAGATGCCTTTTGAGTGCTTCATAGGGTGGTGTTGAGGAGATTAAAGCGAGAAACTGTACGCTCCTCTGCTATTGAATTGGCACAGAGTGAGAACAACTTCACTGCAACAAGCTAGATACAACAATGAGTCTTGAGAGGCAGATTAGAGGAAGTATTACTCACCGATAAGACATTGGAGTCCTTGTGCTGAGTCAAGGCTTTCCAGTGGTAGAGTGGAGGCTCATTTGGCAAAACAGGACGTCAAAATGGGTATTCTTGTCAAGCATACACAGCAAATTGTCGGTGGAACTCATCCCAAATAGATTGGGCATCTGCAAACCTCTCAAGAAGGGAAAGGGGTGCCTAATTGCCTTTGATAGCAGCCAAGAGAACAGTGCCGAGATACTGTAGGACTTTTGCATAGCATGGGATTTCACGCTTGAGGTCATTGTCTTCTCTCAAAGGGGCTGCCTCACTCTGCCAAGCATCAGCACCATTGGGACCTGTGAAAGAGTCAGTCGTGGCTGTGCAGATGCGGATGTGTGTTCCAAGGGGATTTTGCTCAACATTGCGCAGAATTGAAGACTCGACGAAACCTAAGGAAGGCTCAATGTAAAATTTGGTAGAATAATGAAAAACAGAGCATATGGGGATAAAGGAAGAACATTGCAAGATACACTAACTTCCCTGGGCCTTTAATCATCTCTTGATACCGGCGGTTCACAATGTGCTGTATATCCTCCACAACATCTAAGGGGAGCTCGATATCTTCATTATTCTTCTTGAAGAGATTGAGGAACGATGCCATGACAGCCAGCCAATACAAGTAGACATTGGCTGGTGTCGAGTCAATGGCCTTGAGACACTTTAGTGCTTTCGCAATTGGTGCCAAAACAGACACCATTTGGTGAAGTTCATGGCCGAACCTCCACACAACTACTGAGTTCTTAAGAAATTGGAGTGCATGAGGTTTCTGTGAGCACAAATCAGCAAGTGCTAGGATATACAAGCAATAGTCCACTCACCTTTCCCCGCTTTTTCAACAAGATTGTCCCATCATCAACCAAGCTCTTGATAGGCTCGAGGTTCCGTTTAACTGATTTTCCTGAGTAGTACATTGTGCTAAAGTGAGTGTTCCCGATGCTTTTGAGCCCTCACAAGATGATATGTTGCACCTGACGGATCCTAAGATGGCATGTTCCATAGTCTGAGTTGCTGAAAAAGGTGATGATATCACAAATCTGCTTGATCACCTAGAGGAAGCTAGAATATTAGCAGTTAAACTAGTAACAGAATCATAACAACAAACCATATTGAAGATCTCCAGTTTGCAGATATCCTTGATGGTATTATTGAAATGGTGGCATGGGTCGGCAAGAGGGATGATCCAGGGGAAGAGCCCATGCAGTAACTCACAGGCAAGTTTTGTGTTGCCTGTTGAGTCTGAATAGGCTGCCGAGAACTTTTCTGGGCCTATTGACTTGACAAGCTAGAGAGTCCAAGATCAATAGAAATAAAACATATGAAAGAAAACATGCAACACACTCTCTCAAGAATGGCGGCAATATGCTTTGCAGTATGAGACTCTCCAGATGCTTCATTGCCTTCCAAAAGATAGGCCTTGCGTGGGTCTGATGTAGTTGCATGGAATGTGTAGATTAACTCCTTAAGTCGAGTGGTGCCACCGTCATATGAGATTGTCAGGTTATCAGAGAGTTTGAGCTCCTTGATAGTCTCCTGCTGGACGAAGCTTGCTTTATGAGGAATTAGGATGTCAGAGAGTGTTGTCAAGGATATTGTCTTGATACGAGGGTTAGCAATCCCAATCATCTCCTTCCATTCATTGTAGTCAACTATAGATGGGGCTAGACCTGCAGCACATACAAGATGTAGCATGGCATGGTTGAATCTCTTCTGCAATTCCTCATGGCCAATCACCTTTGCCTGATCATGGAGTGATGGCCTTTTTGTTAAAGTAGAATCACTAGTACCATAGGTACGTACTAATAACCCTGTCCCAGTCTCTGAATCAACAGCATCTACTATGCAGAATTTTTGTTGATGTGAGCCAGTTAAGATCCTAATGCTTGGTTGGAACTGGCTTTCAGAACGAGGTCTTTAAGGTATGGCATAGTGAAGTAACATTCCTCGAGGATGTGCGTGAAGAGGCAACTGCTTTGGCACCTACTCCATGACTGCTGACAACTGACTGCTGCACACTGGAAGCGCTACTTTCCTGTCTTCTTTGTACAACAAGGGATTGTCAATTTTTGGAGAAGCTCATCAGCTTTGCACCCACTTGTTACTACAGGTTTCTCCGGTATATCCTCAAGGTCATTAAATGGATGGTTCAGGGGCTATGGAGCCGAAGTTTGAGCAAGCGGTAAGTCCACTAGAGCACTGCACCACTCTAATAAATACACCTTCTGACCCAATTTTCCTGTCATCTTCTGCTTTTTTTAATTTTTGCTTCTTGAACCTCCAACATCAAAACTTGCTGAAGATTTGTCAGGCACATCTTTCCTCTTGAGAAATAAGTTAGCTGGTAATAATTCTTGAGTACCAGTGGCTGATTCTGATTCTATCGTCAAAAACAGTTGATGTCTTGGGCACTTCATTGCCCGAGAGAGATTTATGTATTATTTTTGTGATCATTCTGAAACTGCCAAAACTAAGGTACCTACCTCTTGGCCAGCATCTTCAAAGGCTTTGCATGCACTTACAAGCAGATCTGCTACCCATTGATGAAGCAGTAAATTTTCGCCTTGATGCTCATCTCCACAAATATATCGGCCCAGAACATCAACAACAGCTGTCAAAGCTGGGCCACGCTCTCGAAAGACTATTGGACCATTGGCCCGTGTACCTAAAAGAACCTCAAGGTCATGGTTAAGCGTGCCAGCCTCTGTGCCGGTATATTCTACCCAGTCTAGGTCAAAACCAGGGTATTGATCAAATCCATATGCACTGCCTTCAGGAATGCAAGAAGGAAGCTGAGAGAGATACAAGTGAAGTGTATGAAGTTTTGAAGCTATTGAAGGATGCCAGGACATCGTAGAGAGGACAACAAATTTTTATCAGGCTCCTTTCGGGCTTTCAGTCTCCTTTCTCCATATCACTTTACAGATTGTGCGGAAAAATGACAAAAATCAGGATATATTACTATCTTGGGAACTCCATTTTAAACCTTAAAAACCGAAGGGTCCGATATGCACCTGTTAATAACGCGTTATTAACGCGTTATTAATGTCTGTTAATAACTCGGTTAAAAATGAGGGGTTCCACACAGCGCCCTAGATGGTGCAGGCTTTCCTTCGAGGAAGCCATAGCTCGTGATTTGGCACGTGCCATTCACCCACTTTCCTCCCACCTCGAGCCTGCCCGCTATATCATCAATTTCGATTCTTGGGATAGTTGATAGGGTGATTAATATGGGAGTTAAGTCTCTATCCCTTTCAATTCCAATCCTACCCAACAGATGCAACTCAATGCTCTGCAGTCTGGACACAAGGGTCTCGCTCCTTTCGATCAAATCGTTCTGGATTTAAGAATGATCAAGCGATATTGAAGGGCGCCTTTATATGACTAAATGGTTTAGCGCTTGTTGCAACTTGATATAGGTTGAGTGTCGATCCCACCGTCGCGACTCTTACCCTCCCAAACAGGACACAGTGACCTACTATTCTCAGCCGAGCTTGTGCGATGGCTTCCGGTCGCCCCACTCTTCCACATAGATCATCGTCACCGTTAGGACTCTTTGCCAGCCTGAAACGTGAACAAAACATTTATTTTTCGACGTAGAGCTCGATCGTGTCTGATAATGTTAGTAGGTATTGCAATTGTTCAGGAGCCGAACGACAAACTCTTCGATCATTCTGGGTATCATCTAGTCGTCTCCATCGACGACAACATACAATGGCAGTCGCACGAGCGCGCTGCACAAAACTCCCAGCTCTTTTGGAACGAAGACGGAAGAATGCAAGTGCATCTTATTTCGCCTGTTCTTAATTGCTGTCGCTTATTCCTGCTTTCAGCTGGTTCTACCCATCGTCCACCATTAAGATCGAACTCATGCGCAAAAGCAAGCTGTCGCTCATATTGCCTCCCAGAGGGCTTGGAAGCCTGACTACAACGATTACGAGACTTTTCGAGAACAGTCAATATGTCTTCCGTCTCATCTCGTCTTGGAAGACTGACTTTTGCTTTAGATACCACGTATGACTTGACTGATGATACAGACCACAGGGTTGCAGGCATCAAAATTGAACTGGTCTGTGACTCGGTTCAGCAAATGATGGGCAGGGTCGATACAGTGCTTGCTGGCATGAGCAATAGCCTTGTTCCGAGCATTTCTGGACACGTCGGCACAGTTGCATCTAAGGCTCAGGGTGGCTACAGAGACGTTCAAGACCTCGGTAGCTGCATTGTGCCGCTTGGGCAAGCCTTGGATGCTGCAGCGAAGATGGTTCACAAGCTGTCTGATGTACGTGATTTTATTCTATGCTGGGATCCTGATGCACGCTTCTGACGGTAAACAGGCACATCCGATATTGAAAGTTTCTTGCACTATCTTATTATCTGTGTACGAGGTGAGCACAATAGCTAGTCAGGAACGTACAAAGACGGGGGTTGACGCTCAAATATAGGCCATGAAAGATCAGCAGCAGCAGGATGATGCCATCAGAGGCCTCGCCGAGACCTTGCGCGAGATGATCTGTGTCGCTAATGATTCGCCCGACTTACTCACCATTGACGGAACTGAGAATGTCATCGAAGCCATCGGGCGCGCATCGTTGCAAGCTTCCTCTGTGATAGACGAATATGCACGTCTGCCTTTCATAGGTGAGTTGACGAATATCCGCCATTTTTGAAAATTCAATTGTGCATTTTGTAAATGACTGTCTTCTGGCTACAAGGACGGACTCTGCGAGACTCGTTGTCCGAAGCGATGAAATCGCGCATTCGAGAGTCGCAAAACCGTTGTGTCGATCTGTTGGCAAAGTTTGAAAGAAGAATCGGAATCTCCACAAATAAACTCGTGATGAGAGGCTTCCAGAACTCGGAGGATGTCAAAATCCGTGCGTCTGCGTTTCGCTAGGCGGTGACTGCACTAAAAAATTTTTACTCTAACAGGGGAAGCCGTGTACAAGTGGTTGAATGCACCAGATCCATCCGCTAACCACGAAAATGCCAGAAAGGAACACAAGGCTGGGACGTGTTCCTGGTTCCTGACCGGCACCCGGTATCTGGAATGGAAACATCGTGGTGACTCGTATCTCTGGGTGCATGGAATCCGTATGTCTCATATACCATCCGTTCATCTTGGGGAGGGTCTGACTCCTAGCTTCAGCTGGGTGTGGAAAGACGATTATGTGGTGGGTCGATCTCAGGCAGCGTCTGGAAAAGAGACTCACGTATCGCTTGATACAGCTCGACAGCTATCGACGACGTCGCAGATTATTGCAGGGGTAGCCCATCTCGGGCATTTGCGTACTTTTACTTTGATTCCCGGGACTCGCAGAATCAACTCCAACTACACGATAACCTGATACGTTCTTTGACCAAACAGCTCTTAGTCCAATCTGGTACAATCCCTGATGAACTGGAGGCAATGTGTGCCGGCGGGCGTAGACGTCTCTCCGCAGACATGCTACGGACGACCCTCTCGCTCGTTCTCGCAAAATTCCAGGACGTCTATCTGCTTGTCGATTCCATGGACGAATGCACTCAGAGGAAGGAGCTTTTGGGCTGGATGAAGGAGATGAAAGCTTCAAAGACGGCAAACCTACATCTTTTGGTCACTAGTCGACCCGAACACATCATCAAGGAATGCATGGAGTCACTCGAGATAGGTCAAGTATGCTTGGAAGGCGACGGCGTCAACCGAGACATTGAAAGCTTCGTGGACGATCTGCTTCAAGAGAGCGAGAAGCTGAAAAAATGGAGCGAAGAGATCAGGCAGAAACTCGTGAACAACGCAGCGGGAATGTGCGTCCTCGGGATTTTTATGGTATCCTGATATATTGACGGCGCTTCCGTATCCAGGTTCAGATTGATCTCGCTTCAATTGAGGGAACTGCAAACCTGTCGTACTCAGCAGCAGATGAAAAGGCAGCTGGACACTCTGCCCAAGGATCTATTTGGGATATATGAACGTGTCCTGTCGAGGCTCGGTGACAGAGACCGCCAGGATGCTCTCAAAATCCTTCAATGGCTTGCCTACTCTGCTCGTCCACTACAGCTAGACGAACTGTCTGAGGTGTTCAGCATCGACTTTGACGCGCCAGATAGGCCTCGTTTCGACGCCGACTGTCGATATACAGACCCAAAGGAGATATTCGACCATGTGTGCCCTTCGAGTCTGGTCACGGAATCGGAAGGTGAGATTCAACATTGTACAAGACACCGAGTCGACTAACGAAGAAGGTTACAGGGATTGTCAAGCTAGCTCACTTGACCGTCAAGGAGTTTTTGGTCTCCATGCCTGAAGCGTCTCCATTCTATATAAGCGCCTCGGCGGCTCACTTGTTGATATCCAAGACATGTCTGGTATACCTCATAAAAATAGGCACCCTCGATACCATCGACGACGCCACCACTGCTGACTTCCCTCTCCTCAAATATGCTGCACGACACTGGCCGTTTCACGTACACGCACAGACGGATGACGAGTCAGGTGACTTACAGAGCTTGTTGCTTCAGCTCTTCCAGACCGATACCGCACTAGCGGCATGGATCGGCTTTTCGGCTACATATGACGCTTATTTCATCAAGCCTAGCGATCCCCACAAGGTTCCACAGCCTCTCGCTTCAGCGCTTTACTATGCATCGTCCATTGGCCTACATCGCACGTCGTTGGTCTTGCTGGAACTGGGAGCGGACCCGAATGCTCAAGGAGGATACTTTGGCAATGCTCTCCAGGTGGCGTGTTTTCGTGGGCACAAGACAGTCGTGAAGCTGCTTCTCGAGAAGGGCGCGGATCCAAATGCAGAAGGAGGGGAGTACGGCACGGCACTCCAGGCGGCGTGCGTCAATGGCTTTGAGGAGATCGTGAAGCTCTTATTGGATAGTGGGGCTATTGCTAACCCTCGTGCGTTGGAGACGTCTGCAGATATGGGGTCCGAGGCCAACGTGGCGCTCCTGTTGGCCAAGGGAGTCGACCCCAACATCAGGGTAGCGGAAAGTTTCCACGGCCACGCGCTCCAGGCGGCATGCGCTCATAATTTCGAGCCCGTCGTGAGGCTGTTGCTAGAGAACGGAGCTGACCCCAACGCTACCGAAGGAGCTGCTCTAGAGGCAGCCAGTTGCCTGAGCTCCGAGGCGAATGTCAGGCTCCTGCTTGCCAAAGGAGCGGATCCCAATGCGCACGTGGCCACAGATCACGACAACGCACTCCAGGCTGCGACTGTCCATGGATCGGTGGCCGTCGTGCGGCTCCTGCTGGAGAACGGAGCGGACCCGAATCTTCAGGGAGGAGAGTTTGGTAACGCGCTGAAAGCGGCCTGTTTCTACAACTTCAAGGCCATCGCGACGCTCCTACTGGAGTACGGAGCCACGGCAGCAACTGAGTTGGAGACGGCATCCATCATGGGCTCGATGGAAGACGTTACGCTCTTGCTCGCCAAGGGAGCTGACCCCAACGCTCGGGCGGACATGAACTACGAACACGCACTCCAAGCGGCGTCGGTAATGGGACATACTGATATCGTGAAAGCACTCCTTGAGAAGGGAGCGGATCCCAACGCTAAAGGAGGGGACTATGGCAATGCAATGGAAGCAGCATGCATGAAGGGACACGTCGTCGTCGTGCAAGCACTGCTGGAAGGAGGAGCCAACCCCAATACTCCGGGCGGGATGTTTGGCACAACGCTCCAGGCGGCATCCTGGCGTGGTTCCAAGGACCTGATGACGCTCGTCCTTGAGAGGGGCGCGGATCCTAATCTCCAGGAAGGAAGCTATGGGAGTGCGCTCCAGGGAGCGGTCTGGAGAGGCTCCGAGACGCTCGTCGACATGCTGCTTGAGAAGGGAGCAGACCTTGCTTCGCAAGGCGGAGACGCTCTGGAGACTGCATCTTGGAAGGGTTTCCTTCCCCTGGTGACCATGCTGCTCGACAGGGGCGTCGATCCGAATGCGCGGGGAGGATACTACGGGAACGCTCTGCAGGCGGCGTCGGCAGTTGGAAACGAGTCTATCGTCAGAGTTCTGCTTGACCGCGGTGCAGATCCAAACGAAGAAGGAACATACGGGACCGCATACCAGGCGGCGTCCAAGACCGGCCACCAGTCCGTCGCGCAGTTGCTGCTCGAGCACCGCGCCACTCGGCCTAACATCGCCGCCCTCGAGCCTCATCAGTGATCGCTCGCAACTATGCGCAATTTTCTTTTTACCGTTCGCGTGGAGGGTCTAGGTATCAAACGTCTAGGAGATTGGCATGATCATCGAGACGGACGGGCCATCGAGACACTTTTGGTTAACATTTGTGGGCGACAGGGCAGTGCCTGGACACTGATTGTGCAATATAGGAGAAGGATAGACACTGTATGCCCCTGCGCGGAAGTCACCGCGACCGGGAGGAGTGGTCTGTACCGCACCGTGCAACTCGCGTTCATGTAAACTCGATAGCGATGGCGGCGAGGACATAATAACGATACGCAGCGATTGTTAGGCCCTAGAGAAAAATATACCAGCTCTGAGTTCACGAACAAAATGGGATGTTGCATCGGCGGCGGCGGCGGCGGCGGCGGCGGCGGCACGTAGTGGAGTCCGGCCCACAGGCTCGCAAGATTGCTGGGATCGGGTGCCGCTGGGCTTAGAGCATCCTCCACCCTGCACGACCTGGTTTTGGCACTCTTCGTCGAATCAGCGAGCACGACGGGTGGACGTCTCGAGGGTCGCCTGTTGCCTTTGAGCCCGAGCGAACGCATGTATCCGAGGCGCCGCGCATATAGTCCCGTCGGTCGGATGCGCCCATGTTGCACGCCGCTGCGCGTCGGGGGATGCCGAGGCGATGACGTAAGACGGGGTTGTGTTGCGAGCGACCGGATTGGGCCATCGAGGCCATCGGGGGAGCGGCGATGTCGAACGCCAGCCAGAAGGCGGACCAGATCGCGCACAGATACTACGCAAAGCTCGCCATCCTCGTCCACAACGCCCGCGCACACACAGACTCACCCCCGCCGCCGTCGTCGTCGTCGTCCGCGCCCACCAAGTCAGACAAATGGGTACCCGTCTCCTCTCCTCTCCTGTGCAGCGCGCCACCCACTCACCCACTCACCCACCCACCCCCGCCGCAGTTCAACCTCGACACGCCCGACACCGACGTCTTTCGCGAGCACCTCCGCGTCTACCGCTCGCTCTCGTCCCTCCCCGCGCCCCCGCCCCCCTTCCACCTCCACGTCCTCCTCGCCGTCCCCGACCTCCCCCCGAACCACGTCCTCGTCCACGGCGCCGCACCCGCCCCGCGCCTCCGCATCGAGCCCACCCCCAAGTTTGTCCTCCTCGAGAGCTGGACCCTCGCCTTTGCCCCGCACCCGCACCCGCACCCGCACCCGCCACCCAGCCCCTCGCCCGCAGCCGCACACCCGCACGCGCCCCACGACCCCGAGCACGACCCCGAGCACGACCCCGACCTCGCCCCGCCCGTCATATACAAGCACGGCATCGGCCTCTTCCGCGCCCTCTTCACCCTCCTCCGCGTCCTCCCCGCGTGGAAGCTCCACCGCCGCCTCCGCAGGCGCACCCGCCCCGGCCCCGGCCCCGCACCCGCGCTCGGAACACACAGGACCGGCGCCCTCGCTATGCGCATCGCGGTCGGCGCCCGCCCGCGCGACGGCGCAGACGGCGTCCTCGGCTTCGGTGCGTCCCGCCTCCTCCTTTCTCCCCCTCCTAACCTCATGCACGCGCGCGCCCCGCACAGACGCGCCCCCGGCCCCGCACCACCCCCCGCTCCCCACCGCCTCCCACGCCTTCGCCCCCGTCCCGCACCCCGCCGGCACCCTCGCCCTCTCCGTCACCTACCTCGCCGCCCCCGCCTTTGCCCTCGACGACCTCGAGTCGCTGCTCTCCTCGCGCTTCTTCAGCTCCGAGCGCGAGCAGCGCGACGACGCAGACCGCGAGCACTACCGCGAGCACGACCGCGAGCACGAGCACGAGCGCGAGCGCGAGCACGAGCGCGAGCGCGAGCACGACCGCCCAGGCCACGCACCCCGCGGCTTCCTCCCGACCCTCGCCAAGAACCAGCAGCGCGAGTCCCTCTCCTCCGTCGCCAGCCGCAGCAGCCTCCCCGCCCGCGGCGCCAACGCGGCGCCCTACTCCACGAACGCCACCGGTGTCGGCGCGGGCGCAGGTGCGGGTGCGGGGTCGCCGCCCTCGGGCCTCGCGCGGTACGCCGCACACGCCCACGCCCACGCGCCGCAGCACGTGCGCACGGCGTCGCTTTCGGGCGCGTCGCGCGAGCCGCCGTTTGGCTCGTTTGGCGGCGGGGTCGGGGTCGGCGGTGTGAGGAGCAGGAAGGAGAGCGTGGGGTCGGGGTCGGGGTCGGGGTCGGTAAGGGGAGCCGTGAGTCCTTTTCGTTCCTCCATTGTCGTCGATCACTGACTTTCTGTCGATTGTTTTCTCGCTCTGGGTCCCTTCCTTCCTTCCTCTCGCCTCGGGTCCCCGTCTCTCCTCTCACGGCCTCCCCCACCCCCACAGGACCTCCCCTCCTCCCCCTCCTCCCTCCCCAACCCAAGCTTCTTCCCCTCCTCCCTCCCCTCCCCCTCCCCAGGCGCCCTCCCCATCCGCCGCCCACCCCTAACCCCACTCAACCCCTTCAAATCCGCCACCCTCTCCTCCGCCGGCGCCTCCGCATCGGTCGCCGCGTCCGCAGGCTCGCCCTCGCCCTCGCCGTCCCTCCGCCAGTCGTCGCCCCTCGCGGTCGGCACTGGCAGCGGGCCGCCCGCAAGGCCCGCGGCGCTGACGATACCGGCGACGATGCCGGCGACGATGCACCAGGCGGGCGCGATGTCGGGCTTGTCGGCGGGCGCGCCGATGCAGCTGTCGTTCCAGCAGCAGCAGCAGCACCCGCACCAGCAGTACTCGCACTCCCAGCAGCAACAGTACCACCAGCAGCGCCCGGCGTCGCCGGGCGGTCGGACGGTCTCGAGCCCCGTCTTGGGCGGCGCGGCTATCTACCCGGGCGGCGGCGGCGGCGGCGGCGGCGCGGGGAGCTTGTCAGGCGGGGAGGGCGGCGGCGGGGTCGGCGGCGGGGTCGGGAGCGTGGGGAGCGTGGGGAGGAAGCGGTACTCGAGTAGTTTTGGGCATCGGTATCGGGATGCGCCGGGGGGCGCGGGAGGGGTGGGCAGTGCGGGGAGTGCGGGGAGCGCGGGGAGCGCGGGGAGTGCGGAGCGGAAGGAGCGGCGGGAGCGGCGGGAGCGGCGGGAGGGGGAGAAGAGCGCGGTGCGTGCTCGGTTTGCTTTCTTGCGTGTGCGCGCGTGCGTTGCTGAACCTGCGCGTTGTGTCTTGCCCTTTTTATGTCTGTATGCATGTGCGTGTGCGTGTGCGTGTGCGTGCGCGTGGGCCATGCAGAGCGCCTCCTTCCTGGGCGCCAACCCCGACGAGGAAGACCTCTCCGCCTTCATGCACGCCACGAACAGCCCCAAGCCACTCGGCAGCGCCGGCCTCAGCAGCGCCGGCGCCGGCGCCGGCTTCGGCGGCGCGCGGTATCCGTACCCGCGCGCCAGCCACAGCAACTCCCCGAGCCCGAGCCCCAGCGCGAGTCCGAGCCCCAATGTGAGTCCACGCCCGCGCCCGCGCGCGCTCGAGCGCATCGGCGGCGGCGGCGGCGGCGGCGGGCACGGGCTTGCGGGACGGGCGCACGAGCGCGCGCGTGCGGTGTCCGAGTCGGCGCCTGCGTCGCGGCGGGCGGCGTTTGCGCGCGCGGGCGCGGGCGGGGACGCAGGTGGGTATTCAGGCGGAGAGGCGGGCGCGGGGGCGGCGGGCACGGGGGAGCGGCGCGGGGCGCTGTTGACGAGCGCCGCGGCGGTGGAGGAGGAGCTGCGGCGGATGAACGCTGCGTTTGAGGAGACGCTGCGTGCGTTTGGGCGGCCGCGCGTGCGGCGGCGGGAGCGCGCGGCGGAGGGGGAGGGTGCACGTGCCAGGGGAGAGATGGACGCGGAGGCGCAGAGAGAGGGAGAGACGGACGCGGAGGGGGAGGGGGAGGGGGAGGAGGTGATGCTGGGCGTTGGGGACGGGCTGTTGATGCTCGGTCCGCCGAGGCCGGGATCGCGCGCGGATAGCGTCGCGTCGGAGGAGGTGCTGGGACGGCTGGAGCTCGACGACGACCGCCGGCGGTGATGCGCGCGCCCGTGCGCCCGTGTTTCTTTCCTCGTGCCTGTCTCCTTTTCCCCTCCCCTTCTGCCGTGACGGCTGTTTTCGCGCGCGGCTCCGCTCGTCCCATTCTTATGACTGTTTGCATCCCGCACGCCCATCCCCATCGCCTCTCATCACATATGTTTTTCTTTTTCTGCTGCTGCGCGCATCATTCCTGCTATCGTACCGCGCCGCCGCCCCCTCGCCGTATATACCACGCACTCTACTCTCTACGTATGCTCCTCCGTCTTCCCTTCTCCTTCCCTCCCCCTCCCCCCTCCAACTTCCTCTCTACAACTTATGTCCTCCACGACCCCACGACCCGCCGTCCACGCCTATCAGTATGTATATCACTCACGCCGTAGGATACGACCCGCCCCTCACGACCTGGCTTTGGACCTTTGGCGGCGCCGCGCGTCCTTCTGTCTCTTCTTCTTCTTTTCTTCTTCTTCTGGTGGTGGCTCGTAGCGTAGCGTAGCACAGCGCGTCGTGTCGTGTCGTGTCATGTCGCGGTGCGCCGCCGTCGTTGTTGTTGTTGTCTATGTATGGCGATGCTTCGTGAGCAAAGGGCCTCGGAGCGCCTGCTTGCGTGATTGTTGACTGATGGGCCGGCGGTCCGCCGTCCCTGAGAACGGTGTGCTTCCGCCGACTCGTCCCACAGAACAAACGTGCGGTGGACCGCAGCCTGCACATTATGTTCTAAGCTCAGCGGCGCCCGATCTCAGCGATCTTGCGAGCCTGCGTGACGGCCCGACACTGCGTGCACCGTAGGGTTTTTCTCAGGATAAACCGCGGATAAAACCATGGATATAGATAAAGCTTTTGTTCCGGTTTATCCACTGAAACAAAAGCTTAGGTTTACCCTATATTTTATCACACCCCATAATAAGATATTGGATAAACCTTAAGTTTTTGTTTTCGGTAGTTTCCGCAAATAAATCCAAGCAGATATACCCATAGTTTTATCCACGGTTTATCCCGGGAAAAACCCTGCGGTGCACGCAGTGGCTCCATGGGAGAAAGCTCAGCTTGCCTGGCCGTAACGCCTCCGACGAAAACGCGCCGTGGCCTTTCAAAGCCCGCTTGGCCTATTCCGCTTGGTAAGCACGAGGCTAACCTGCCGCGGCCCCTGTCACTCATGGACACTCAGAACTGATAGATTTTTTCTCTGGAACCTGACAATCGCTGCGTATTACCACTATGTATCTGCCGTGCGTGAGGCCAATGCTATCGACTTTGCATAAATGGGAGCCACACAGTGCAGTACCGACCACTCCTCCCAGTCCTGACTTTGCCGTATCGGAGAAGGATAGATACCCTGCTTCCTTACCGTGTGCCCCACCGCCCTGTCACCCACGAATATTGCTCAATATTGTCTCAAGCCTCGACGGCCCGTCCGCTTTGATGATTGTTTCTTAACCCTTTGAGATGTAAACGCGCTCAAGGCCTAGACCCTCCACGCGAACCGTGATACAGATTCGCGCGTGGTTGCGGACATACGGCGCGAGAAATCACTGATGAGACTCCAGGACAGCGATGTTAGGCCGAGTGGCGCTGTGCTCGAGCAGCAACTGCGCGATGGACTGGTGACCGGTCTTGGACGCCGCCTGGTATGCGGTCCCATATGTTCCTTCTTCGTTTGGATCTGCACCGCGGTCAAGCAGAAGTTCGACGATAGCCTCGTGGCCCATGGCCGACGCTGCCTGCAGAGCGTTCCCGTAGTATCCTCCCCGCGTATTCGGATCGACACCCCTGTCGAGCAGCATGGTGACCAGGGGAAGGAAACCCTTCCAAGACGCAGCCTCCAATGCGTCTCCACCTTGCGAAGCAAGGTCTGCTCCCTTCGCAAGTAGCATATCGACGAGCGTCTCGGAGCGTCTCCAGACCGCTGCCAGAAGCGCACTCCCGTAGCTTCCTTCCAGGACATTGGGACCTGCACCTCTCTCAAGGAGGAGCGCCACCAGGTCCTCAGAACCACCCCATGACGCTGCCTGGAGCGTTGTGCCAAACATCCCGCCCTGAGCATCTGGGTTGGCCCCGCCTTCCAGCAGTGTACGTACGACGACGACATGTCCATTCATGCATGCTACTTCCAGTGCAGTGCCATAGGCCTCCCCTCTAGCGTTGGGATCTGCCCCCTTCTCGAGAAGCAACTTCACGATAGCCGCGTGTCCATTCACGGACGCCGCCTGTAGTGCGTATTCGTAGTCCGTGTTCACCCGCGCATTGGGGTCAGCTCCCTTGGCGAGTAAGAGCCTCACGTTTGCTATCGAGCCCATGAAGGATGCCGTCTCCAATGCAGTTCCCCCCATGGCCATCGGATCGGCTCCGTGCTCCAGCAGTAGCCTCACGATGGCCTCAAAGCTGTGGAAACATGCCGCCTGCAGTGCGTGGCCGAACTCCCCTCCCTGCAGATTCGGATCTGCTCCGTTCTCTAGCAGGAGCCGCACGACGGCCACCGATCCATGGACAGTCGCAGCCTGAAGTGCATTGTCGTAAACTGTGGCCACGTGCACATTGGGATCTGCTCCTTTGGCAAGCAGGAGCCTGACGATGGGCTCAGAGCCTATACAACACGCTGCCTCTAGAGCAGTCCCTCCAGTAGCATTGGGGTCAGCTCCGTTCTCTAGCAAGAGCTTCACAACGGGCTCGAAATCTTCAGCGCATGCTGCGTGGAGCGCGTGGCCGTATAGACTTTCCGCTACCCTGGTGTTGGGGTCGGCTCCCTTGGCCAACAGGAGTTTCACGTTGGCCTCGGACCCCCTATATGCAGACGTCTCCAACGCACGAGGGTTAGCAATAGCCCCACTATCCAATAAAAGCTTGACTATCTCCTCAAAGTTGTGGAAACACGCCGCCTGGAGTGCCGTGCCGTACCCCCCTCCCTTTGCATTTGGATCCGCGCCCTTCTCGAGAAGTAACTTCACGACTGCCTTGTGCCCACCCTCACATGCAGCCTGAAGAGCATTCCCACAGTATCCTCCTTGAGCATTCGGATCCGCTCCCAGCTCCATCAAGGTCAACGATGTACGCTGAAGGCCAGTGGACGATGCATAGTAAAGCGCTGAAGCGAGAGGCTCGGGAAGCTCCTGGGGGTCTCCAGGTATGAGAAAGGAAGACTCGTCTGAATCCGAATGGCTGATCCACGCCGCCAGGGCGGCATCGGTCTGGAAGAGCTGAAGCAACAAGTTCTGTAAGTCACCTAACTCGCCATCGGTCTGTGCATGAACGTGAAACGGCCAGTGTTGTGCAGCATATTCGATGAGAGGGTATTCGGCAGTAGTGGCGTCGTCGATGGTATCGAGGGTGCCTATTTTCATGAGGTATACCAGACATGTCTTGGATATCAACGAGTGAGCCGCCGAGGCGCTTATATAGAATGGAGACGCTTCAGGCATGGAGACCAAAAACTCCTTGACGGTCAAGTGAGCTAGCTTGACAATCCCTGCAGCCTTCTTCGTTAATTGACCCGGTGTCTTGTACAATGGATCTCACCTTCCGATTCCGTGGCCAGACTCGAAGGGCACACATGGTCGAATATCTCCTTTGGGTCTGTATATCGACAGTCGGCGTCGAAACGAGGCCCATCTAGCGCGTCAAAGTCGATGCTGAACACCTCAGACAGTTCGTCTAGCTGTAGTGGACGAGCAGAGTAGGCAAGCCATTGAAGGATTTTGAGAGCATCCTGGCGGTCTCTGTCACCGAGCCTCGACAGGACACGTTCATATATCCCAAATAGATCCTTGGGCAGAGTGTCCAGCTGCCTTTTCATCTGCTGCTGAGTACGACAGGTTTGCAGCTCCCGCAATTGAAGCGAGATCAATCTGAACCTGGATACAGAAGTGCCGTCAATCACAGACCTAAATATAACACATAAACCCAGAGGACGTACATTCCTGCTGCATTTGTCATGAGTTTCTGCCTGATCTCTTCGCTCCATTTTTTCAGCTTCTCGCTCTCTTGAAGCAGATCGTCTACGTAGCTTTCAATGTCTCGGTTGACGTCGTCGCCTTCCAGACATACTTGACCTATCTCGAGTGACTCCATGCATTCCTTGATGATGTGCTCGGGTCGACTAGTAGCCAAAAGGTGCAGGTTTCCTGTCTTAGAGCCTTTTATCTCCTTTATCCAACCTAAAAGTTCTTTCATCTCAGAGCATTCATCCATGGAATCGACAAGCAGGTAGACGTCCTGAAAGTTTTTGAGCGCGAGCGAGAGAGCCGTCCGTAGCATGTCTGCGGAGAGATGTCTACGCCCACTAACGCACATTGCATCCAACTCATCAGGGATTATACGACATTGGACCAAGAGCTGCTTGATCAGGGAACGTATCAGGCCTTCATGTAATTGGAGTTGCTCCTGCGAGTCCCGGGAATCAAAGTAAAAGTACGCGAACGCCCGAGATGGGTCACCCCTGCAATAATCTGCGACGTCTTCGATGGCTGTCGAGCTATATCAAGCGACATGTGAGTCTCTTTTCCAGACGCTGTGTCCGTATGGAGATCAACCCACCACAAGATGGTCTTTCCGCACCCAGCTGAAGCAAAGACTCAGACCTCTACCAAGATGAATGAATATGTGAAACGTACGGATTCCATACACCCATAGATACGAGTCACCACGATGTTTCCATTCCATATATTGGGCTCCAGTCAAGAACCAGGAACATGTTCCTGCCTTGTGCTCCTTTCGAGCGTTGTCGTGGTTAGCGGATGGATCCGGTGCATCCAGCCACTTGTACACGGCTTCCCCTGATAGAGTAATGTTTGTTTAGTGCAGCCATCGCCTAGCGAAACGCAGACGCACGGATTTTTCCATCTTCCGATCTCTGGAAGCCTCTCACCACGAGTTTATTTGTGGAGATTCCAACCCTTCTCTCGAACTTTGCCAACAGATCCACGCAACGGTTTTGCGACTCTCGAATGCGCGATTTCATCGCTTCGGACAACGAGTCTCGCAGAGTCCGTCCTTGTAGCCAGAAGACAGTCAATCAATAAATGCACAGTTTGATTGTCAAGAATGGCGAATGTCCGCCAACTCACCTATGAAAGGCAGACGTGCATATTCGTCTATCACAGAGGAAACTTGCAACGATGCGCGCCCAATGGCTTCGATGACATTCTCAGTTCCGTCAATGGTGAGTAAGTCGGGCGAATCATTAGCGACACAGATCATCTCGCGCAAGGTCTCCGCCAGGCCCCTGATAGCATCATCCTGCTGCTGCTCGTCTTTCATTGCCTGCATTTGAGCGTCATCCTCCGTCTTCGTACGTCCCCAACAGGCTATCGTGCTCACCTCATACACAGACAATAAGATAGTGCAAGAAACTTTCAATATAGGATGCGCCTGTTTACCATCGAAAACATGAGTCAGGATTCCGAAACGAGTATAGATAAATGTTACATACATCAGACAGCGTATGAATTAGCTTCGCTGCAGCATCCAAGGCTTGCCCGAGTGGTACAATGCAGCTGCCAAGGTCTCGGATATCGTTGAATCCATCCTGAGCCCTCAATGCAGCTGTATCGACGTGTCCAGAAATGCTCGCAAAGAGGCTATTGCTCATGCCAGCAAGCACTGTATCGACCCTGTCCATCATTTGCTGAACCGAGTCACAGACCAGTTCAATTTTGATGCCTGCAACCCTGTGGTCTGTATCATCGGTCAGATCATACGTTGCATCTAAAGCGACAGTCAGCCTTGAAAGAAGACATGAGGCGGAAGCCGTATTCACTATTTTCGAAAAGATTAGTAATCGTTGTAGTGAGACTTCCAAGCCCTCTGGGAGGCAATATGAGCGACAGCTTGCTTTTGCGCATGAGTTCGATCTTCATGATGGACGATGGGTAGAACCAGCTGAAAGCAGCAGTAAGCGACCCGGATAGCAACGCAGAACGAGTATATGAGATAGACTTGCATTCTACCGTCCTCGTTCCAAAAGAGCTGAGAGTTTTGCGCATCGTGCTCGCGCGACTGCCATTGTATGTTGTCGTCGATGGAGACGACTAGATGATACCCAGAATAATCGAAGAGTTTGTCGTTCGGCTCCTGAACAATTGCCACACCTACAAACGGTATCAGACACGATCGAGTTCTGCTTTGGAAAATAAAATGCTTTGCCCACGTTTCAAGCTGGCAAAGAGTCCTAACGATGATGTGGATCTATGAGGAAGAGTGGGGCGGACGGAAGCCATTCTTAAGCTAGACTAAGAATGGTAGGGCACTGTGTCATGTTGGGGAGGATAAGAATAGGGAGGGACGACTGTGGTATGACAATCGATCTATATAAAGTGATCATGGTAGACAAGCGCTGGATCATGTAGTCATATTGCAACTGGTAATTAGACGCGTCCAGTCACTCACAACCTCTCACGACGCAACGTGTTGCCCAGATATAGCGCTTGATTAATTCTATATTGGATCAGCAGGAGCGAGACCCTTGTGATCAGAGCATCTATTGACGTGTATTGAGAAGGATTGAAGTTGGAAGGGGGAATGCGACTCCAATATGAAATCGAAATTTCGTGATGTCCAGTAACCGCAGGTGACCCGGGCGCTCACTCAATCGATTTCAATTTCAAGAGCGCGACTTTCGCGTGCTACTCGATGATTGTTCAATTGGGCGCGGATCGGCATTGTCGATGTATTCAATCGAACATTACAGTACCTTTTGGATAGCAACGTTCTATCGCCTGTAAAATTCAAGCAAGGCAAGGACATGCGTCCACAAAAAGGGACGACTGGCGCTGGGACATAAAGTCGTGGATCAAATCCCAGACCATGTTTATGTGAGACCCACCTAAATACCAAACAAAAATAGCGACATTCGATGAGCATGGCACCGGCAGGCGTTGACATTCGAGCCTTAGCTCCCACTCACACTTCACACACGTCCACCTGCCAGTCTATCACAAGGGCGCTTGATACCCAACGGCATTTCGGAAGGAGATGAATGGCCTGGTACTTGAGATCAACAGCATGATATCACGTTGATTAGTCGTCGCGTTGAATTCCCAAGGAGCCATTGCTTAGCGCAATCTAAAAAGGTTATGTCCATGCATCCTGCAGCGACGTATAAGCGAGTCAATCAGATTAGAAGGAGAGCGGGACGTCCTAAGAGACGAGACTATCGGGATCCGAGATCGTATTTTGTTCCTTGCCTCCGTGGCTGTTCAACACGACCTAGCGTATGCGGGGTAGCTCCGTTAGATATACAGGGCACTTAGAGCGGTCTCCCAAGACAATGCCTCCTGCTTCCCTCGCCGCCCTCAGTCTTGATTGATGATCGTCTGGGACGTTCATTTTTTCAGCTTGATTCGATTCCAGACAAAATCGAGGATAATATTTGAGATAAATCAAGGAAGTTTAGTGGATTCCATCGTGAGAAGGACACAGGAGGACATGGGCGGTGAGGATGGCTGTCGCAATGTGGAGGGTTGAGTGTGAGATAAAATGAGCCCGCTGTAGTCTGCGCTTCGGCAACCAAAAAAGGAAATCATCATTATATTCCGTGCCTCGACGGTGCAATACGGTCCTTGTGGTTGACCATATACAGAAGGTGTTGCTCTGTGTATACGCAAAAAATACAGCTCGTAGTGTCATACTAGTGTTATCTGGGAAGGTTCCATCACTTGAGTCCTCAAATTTTTTCCTTCAATCTAATCACTAATCACATTGCCTCCTTGATGTCCGCTGAAAACCAGTCGACGTTCGTGCTACAACTCACATCTTTCCATTCCTCTGCTTCCCTAAGCGTCTCTTTCGCCTTGTCAACAATCACCGACCATCCGATACTTCCCATGGGTAGACGCAGCGGCGGCTTTGCCACGCCAGCAACATCGAAGATGACCTTCGCGGCCTTTCGGGTGTCGCCTGTGAACGGAACGCGCATCATCTGCTCGTAGAAAGCCTGCGACGGACTGTCCTTCGAATATGCTGGATGCTTGGGTACTACAACCATGCTATGTCGCCCGTTGGTCTGGAGGCCCCCGGGCTCGACAATGACGCCAGTGATGTTCCATTCCGGTGGCATCTCGCGGACGAATGATTCGGTGAAGCCTTCCAAAGCTGTACAAATATCAGGTCACCAATCTCAAGATGCTCCTGTGGACCACCTACCAAACTTTGCGGCAGAGTAGAAGGCCAAGCCAGGGTTTCCAGTATATCCTCCAATTGAACTCATATTGAAGATGCGGCCACCATGGCCGGGAGGGTTCACCTCTCTGAAAAATCTAATGGCCTGAGGAGAATCCAATATATCTTCTCGCCCATCACAACTTCATCATCAGTTGCTCACCTCTCTCGTGACGTTAGCGGCGCCCCAGAACAACACCTCCATCTGCAGGCGCGCGGCATCGTCTGGTGTCGCCTCAATTTCCCCAGTGAGTCCGTATGCTGCATTATTTACCACGACGTCCAAGCGATGGAAGTGTTCTTCTGTCTTTTTGAACGCATCGGAGATGTCGCTGGGCTTCGTGACGTCAACGCGAAGCACGAGGAGTTGCTCAGGGGGATACTTTTCCTCGAGGTCCGCGAGGTCAGACGGGTTGCGCAACGTAGCGACGACGCGCTCGTTCTGTTCAAGAACGTAGGTAAGGATCGATTTTCCCAGCCCCTGAGAGGTACCGGTGACTGATGAGGATCCCGTCAGCTGATATGTAAGGGAGGGTGTGGTGGCACTTACTGAACCACACTCGTGAATCCTTAACCGATGTCATTCTTGCTAGAATCCACCCCTCATCTTACCATTCGCACCATCGATTTATATGCTCCCCTTCGTTGATGATTCAGCGTATGAAAACGTCGCGCTTGAATGAAGGTCACTCGAAATTCTCTTTTCGAAGCCATCCCCAACGGCGCAGAAGAAGCAGTGGCATCCACACCGTATGCCCGACTTCGGATATAGGCTCTATCGTGCATTCCTCTTTGAATCTCCTATCCTCCCCGTTCTAGGCATGGCGGCCACCGTTACATCGTACCAGTGTGATAGAGCTTCGGGGTGAGCTCGAGTTGAGCTCGAAGATGCAATCCATCTATCAGCTGAAGACGTTGATGAGTGCAGACATTCACAAAGATGTTGACGGGAAGCATCTTAACGCCGAAGATCCTTTGTAATCGCTCACACATATATATGACGGAGACTCGATGATGTGTGCGTGTTTCTCAGTGCGTAGCCTCTTGTAGCCCATCTTCATCTGCAGTCTCATGCTTCATATACCGTAGGGTTCGTTCTGCCCTAATCATGACCATGTCCAGTAATACGGGTATAGATATTCCTCGTAGTTGCTCATCGGTTCTCCTTTTGTAGGTTCACAGATCTCCCCATATCTCGAGCGCTGTACATAAATAGCACATCTCCCAAAGTGCCTCATGACCGTACGCAAAGCCATGTAGCAGTATTACAAACTGACCCACTTCATCCTTCACTCCATATCACTCTGGCCTATGCTCGGTCGAACTTCTTCACTTCTATCGTCTAACCCTGATTTTTCCTTTTGAGCTGGTGAGTGACCATCTCGCAATCGAATACATGCTTCCTAGCGCCGTCGTCCATGCACTGGCCACGAATGCGTGGTGTTAAACACTCAGCACAGAATGCACTTGCCGTTAGTTAGACTTTGTCTTGAGATACCGAATTTGAAGAGCTGACTGCCTCAATCAAAAGTATGACATCAGGTGCGTTTCGGTTGATGACGGTCGTGCAGTCGCGTTTCGTGAATCATGCTCGCTCGCCATCAGTGCTCAGCCTTCACTGTCTCAAGCTCGTGAATTGGATACCTTGTGGACTCAGGTGACTTGGCCGACGAACCCTGGTGAATGTGGACGACATCCGCAGATCATCACCATCACCCAGGTTTCGGACTTCCAGCGTTCCGCAAGACGATCCATTGTGGCCGGATAGTAGCACGCTCAGTATCAAGGGTGCCGATGACGAGTAGGTGTGTCCCATTGTCATGGACCTCCTGCTCCGGACATATGACAGTGGGTAGGCCAAGAAAAACACATTCATTAAACGGACAAATAGAAAGATCACGACCTAGGGGAGAGCAGCCACAGGCTGTGCATACTCGACGCGCTGCTGCTGAGCTGGTCTAAGAGGAACTTGAAAATAAAAGGGATCTTCTCCAGGACGCACGACCACGAGCTGCGACCCCTCTGGCACGCTGTACCTATCTGTTCCCGGAGGCATATGTTGGTCTTTGCCCAAAGCTTTCTCCCAGGACACCAGCCTCCCCCTGAATGTAAACACACCCGGGTGGGGAACGTGCACGATCTCGTAGCGGTCGGGAGTGTTCACAGGTGCGTGGAAGAAGTCGAGGCAGTACTGCCCGTGCCGCTGGGCCAGATGCGAATCGCGAGCACCGAGTCGGGGATGCTGAAATACATTGTGCCCTGGTCATGTAGCTGTGGCGTCGCCTGGTACACAGACAACACAATCTGTCAGTACTCGCACAAGCAACGAAATAACGATAGTTAGGACGGCACACCCCAGTATGCAGCTTGCCGCCCGCTCTAGTGAAGATGTCGTCCCACTGCTTGTTATGTATCGCGAGGTACCGGGGTAGAGTGTCTTCTATGGCGCTCATCGCGAACAGCAGTTTCTTCACCATGTCTTCACCCATAGGTTGGTGGCTTGGGTAGGCACGATGCATACGTTCGTCGAATGCGCTCCTGAGAACGAAGGGAGGTTCGAGCGAGGGAGCGACTTAGGCTTCTATTCTGTTAGGCAGGAGAGTCTTCAAACTAATTGTAGAACAACACACGGTGTGGAGGCGCTGAACAGACGACATTTTGCTACGAGAAGGAGAAGTTCGGTTTTTGCGATGAGAACACTGACTGCAGCTTCTTGGTTTGACGTCACATTGGAAGGGCTGGTTCCTCCCACGGCCCGTCGTCGACTGTGGCAGCAGACACAGAAAACATAACTCACCATCGCACCCCAATACTTCAAGGTCATTGGCTCAATCCCTTTGCACTTCGCATTATCCGACAGCTATCGCTCAAGAAATTCGTGTATTCTTCGTCCCTTAACAAAGCCCGCTCCCACCACACGCGACGCCCACGCCGTGCCGTACAGAGAAAGCATCAGATATCATCATCGGCATCGGAGTGGAATCGTAAGAGGGGAGGAAGTATACGTAGGGCGCGATCGGCAAGAAAGAAATCAGAGACGTGGAGAGGGGTAATATGGGAGCATTGAAACAAACAGACACAGTACATGGATAAAACATCAACCACACACCGACCTAACTAGGCCTGGCCCGACATGCTGATTGTGCCCTAGCGCACATGCGTGAGACGTAGTCCCATAGGGCCACGAACGCCGCGCGCTCATATCATCATGACATCTTCTGGGCGGTTTGAGCTGTTCAGATGACCCTCCTGGATGTCGTTGAGCGCTTCCTCTTCCTGGTCGAGGTGCCGGAATGATAACCAGAAGAAGACGCCGCCGACGCCGGAGAGGACGGCCATGGTGCCGTAATTCCACACGAGCAGGGGATCAGACGAGAGCGCTGCATCGCAAAATCAAAAGCACAGTCAGCGAAGGGCCTAGCGTGTGGAAATGAAGGCGCGAGCGCGAGATGATACGCACAAGTGAATGCCTCGCCGAGTGCATTGGCGATAGCGGTCATGAACAGGAATACAGCCATGACGAGCGACTTCATGTTTGCCGGCGCCTTCGTGAACGCGTACTCGAGCCCGGTGATGGACGCGAGGATCTCCGAGAATGCGATGAGCACATACGATCCAGTCTGGATCCACACGTTCAGGTCTGACGTGAGCACATTGCCGGCGGCGTCTGTGCACGTCGCGGCTTGGTATCCACAAGGGTTGCGCTGGAGGGAGGGAGGGCATACGGTAAGCAGGAATGAGGCGAGAATGATATGCCACATCGTGACGTACCTTGTAGATGTAGTGCTGCACGACGGCAGCCCATATCATAGCTGCGGCACCTGTCAAGAAACCAGCGGCTATCCTACGAATGGGTGTCACCCTGATGCCAATGCGGCGAAGGAAGGGATAGAGCTGAACCCGCAAAATTATTCAGTGAGTGACCTCAACCATGCAAAGGATGTAATCAAACACTCACGAAGAGATCGCAGATGGGGATGAAGATGAGGAGAGCGAAGGGGTCCAGGTTATTGATGACGTCGTTCGGGAGGCCGTTCGTGACCATCGTGGCAGCCTGCGACGTTAAGTTGTTGACCATCTGGTTGTACGTGAGCCCTGCAGACCCGGTAGCAGTCAGCATCTATGATGATACACCTCAACCCAGCCAACTGCAAGACGGGCACTCACACCAGAGCGGGTACCACAGGAATACCTTGCAGGCCTTGAACCCTCTCCGAACCTCATCGACCCACTGATCGTCAAATGTCATCCACGCTGGGCGCTGGGATGCTTCGATCTTGCTCGGCTTCGCGTTCTCCCAGAAGTCGCTTGCTGTCAGGTTCTTGAACGTACGGTACGGACTGAACGACCATCGCCCGCGTGCGGCGAAGGTCCACAGGTGGACTGCCTTGGAGAGAACGGAGCCTTGCGGCGGGGAGCGGTTGTACCGTTTACGACCGACAAGGAGGACGAGTGGGCAGAGAAGGAAGACGATGGTAGGCAGCGTGTAGGACAGCCAGAAGCCAACGTACTGAGGATGCACGAAAAGTCGGGTTCAGTTGTAGTCTTTGGGAATCGAGGACGCAGCAAGTGGATGAGTACGCACCTTTTCAGAGTATGTCATGCCGATCTGGCCGACGAGCGCACCGACGTTGATGAAGAAGTAAAAGTACTATGAGAAGATCCATCCCGTCAGTCTCTGGAATCAAGGCATATAGACGAAGAGTCTGACCATATAGATACGAGCGGTGGTCATCGTTGGGTCCACGATAACCCTCTCGCCCTTGGCCGTTTCCCTGATGTACGGCTTCAACAACTTCTGCTGCTCAGCGACAAGTGGGGAGATATTGCTCTTGAAACCTCCCGTACCAAGACCCATTACGAGCATGGCGATGACAAGACAGGCGAGCGCGCCGTTCGAGTTCTCAAGCACGGGCGGAAGTGCAGAAACGACGAGGATAACATGTCCGACTAGGGCGATAACGACGGATCCGCAGATCGTGTTGAAGCGGCCAAATTTAGCATCAGCTAAGTAGGCACCGTACAGGGGAGTTACGTAGCACCTAGGGTGGGCAAAAACATCAAGATAAGGATAAGTCTGATAGATATGAACGCGGGAACAGAGTCAAGGGAAGCGCATATATGTTGCGATCATGGATGATGGCGACTGCGTCCGTCCTTCCCTACATCACGAGAGGTCGCCAACGCCTGCGCACGAGCCGTCCGATTGCTCAGGAGATCGTACTTACCAAAAGCTGAAGAATGTCGTGAGACCGAACGAAGTGCGCTGACCCTGATCGAGAGCACCAGACTGGCCATCCTTTCCACCTGCACCTGTGCGCGAATTTGGGGGCAGCGGTTGCTGGATGAAATTTGTCTGAAGAGGGCATCTTGGTCAGTCCCCGTGCATTTTTCACACCACCGTCACGCTCTATCGTAGTATATAGACACTCACAAAGACAATGGTACTGCCTGAACTCGAGATGTGAATTGAATAAGAGAGATCGGAGAGGAGGAGAGGGAGAAAGAGAGCGCACCGTAAAACTAAAGGTGAAATCGAGGACAACAGAAGACATCAGATTGGGAAATAAAGTGCATATATGCGCATATACGCACCGAAAATCGTTCCGCAAGCTCCACAAACGCAATCACTGTCGAGAAACGGCCCAACATCAGCCTCGCGAACCATGTCAGTCGAATGGCCTCGCTCCGCTCATGCCCAACCGTCTTCCGCTACGCCGATCCCCAGTCTGAGCCTAGCCACGCGGCCACGAAGAGCAAGCGGAGCGAGACGAATGTAAGATCACGCACTATAAGTCCCCCAGTTGATCGAATCAGACACGCGCCTAAGCTCTCCGAGCTCCTCCTTGGTGGGGTAGATGTACCCCTCGAGCTCGCTCTCCTGGTCGTGCGACCCGCTCGTTGAGAGTGCATGCTTCTCGTCGATGACGGCGGTGTCAAGGACGCCCGAGTTTTTTGCAGCCTCGCCCGTCGCGGCGAAGTATGCGTCTTCCTGGCGCTCCATGGTCGTGTCGTGTCTCTGCGCTCGCTGGGATGCGAAGATCGCTGCTGCAGCCTAGGCTAGCTTGTGAGAATGGAGGGGACGGACGCTGGGAGGACGGGAGACGCAGGAGGAAGAGACGCGCCGAGCGACGGGAGGAGAGTTTTATACCGCTCGCAGGTCTCGCCGGTGGAGAAGGCTGATGGGGCCCGCGGAGGGAGCATATGGTCCATGTCCATGCGTGCCTCGACCATCCATCCCAGGTTATCGAGCGGTTATCGCCCCAATTCACTTATCATTTTTCGTCGCGTTTTTTTTTTCTCCTCGATCTTCTTCCTGTCCCGCAAAAACGTAAGATAAGTCAAAATGGCCTCCTGAGATCGTCATCGCGGCCATTGCCAAGGCGTGCCCAGCATCAATGCATCACGTTCACGAAAGAGTTTGCATGAACGCGAACGCACCAGCAGACAGCGCATGGGAATCCGTCCTCGTCACGCGCCCCGTATTCCATTCAGTCGCCGTCTCATGCAGCAGCCTCGCCCCTCCTGCGATCCCCGAGGAAAGACGAGCGAGGTCAAGCCCGCCCGCAGCAGCGCCCGTCCACATGCACCCAAAACACCTATCACCCCGCCCTGCGACATGTTCAGCCCGCCAGCCCCGGCCACAACACCAACTGAAAACATTCGGCCTCTGATAGCACCACAAATGGGCATATGCGCCGACAGAGCGAGACTGGCCAATTTCAGTCCCATCATTACCATGCCCCCCGCAAGCGCCAGAGGCTAGCCCCATTTCTGTCGCTGCGATAACGGCCTCGAAGCCGCAAGCCGCCGCTTGTCTTGGCCTGTAAGCCTCTGTAAACCTGCCATACCGCATCGTCTCGGCGTCAGGGACGTAGGGCCCAATGCTCCGTCCATAGTCTCACGTTTCCACGTCCCTCCCGATGGCCGCCATTCAACACGAAAATTTTGCGAAAAGATCGCAATTCAATGCCATCCACCCGCCGGGACGCATCGGGCAGGCGGGACTGGACAGCAGCGGGACCTCGGGCACCTGCAATTTTCATCCACGACAGGTTTCAGCTCCAGACTCGATACCTGGCGACCCCATTGAGTCCATCGAGTCCATCGCCTTGTATCACCCCGTCCGCCATGGACACGTCATGGACAGCAGGGAGGGTCACAGGTGTCTGGTCCGCTAAGAATAGCACGGCAGAACGTACCAATCGAATAAGTGACTCCTACGGCATCTCCCTGCTCGAGTCGTTGGAGCCAACGACGCCGCGTCTGCACCCGAGCCCGACCACAACGAGCCCGCGCCCCCCGAGCGCGGAACATACGTGGGCCGGCCGCCCACAGCGCCTATCCAAGCTCGTCATTCCGATCTAGCATGTGGGTGCTCACCTTGCGTTTCGATGCGCGCGCCGTGCTTCCATTGTTTGCAGCGCAGCGGGGCAGACAGGGGCAGGTTGTGGTCGCGGGCAAAGTGTAGCTCTTGACGTTCCTCGTGCCCCTGCTTATTATTTCCTCATGCGCGAGCCCGTGCATCTCCTCCTTTACAACTCGGCGTGACTCGATCGTACACACGACGTCGGCCGGTACCTCGAGGGCTATGTGCCCTCGGCCGACTGACTGCGCCTCAGGCGCCTTTTGGCTCAGCGACACTCTCCGCGAGTCTGTATGAGATTGCACGGACGCAAAGGATATATTTTACAGCGCAAAATAGAAGTGTCTCTAGCAATACACCAGCTGGATCATACTGCTTCTTGCCTTGCAGTCCTCCGGGGTCCTTGTACTTTGCTGAGATCTCGGATCTTCGCGAAATGACAGAGATTTGAGAACAATAGCGTCTGACTTGCTCCCGTATCGCCGGAACAAAGAGGCACCTCAAGCAAGATAGAGAAGATCTTCTATCATTTACTTATCATCGCCCCTATTGCAGCGCTCGGTGTCTTCTCGAAAACTTGTTCTGAGCTCCTACCGGTGAATCATCCCCGAGACTCATCGTCGAACCAAATCTGAACTCGACACATGCAAGGATCTCAGAAATCCCGTGAATCAGACACCAATAACTTCTAACGCAGGTGAGACAAGTCTTCAAATAAGTTCAAACGCGAAGAGGGCACTCTGTACCTGGCAGAAGCTCTACAGTTGGGACTGGAGCGCCAATGTGCGCTACTGTATCCACATCCTCCCACTGGTTAGAAGTGATCTTGTACCTGTCACAAATGGCGTCATCTGCCCCACACTGGAGTAAGCAACTCGTCTTCCTGCGTCAACGTAGCATAATTGCGCCTACATCCTCCTACAACCCCTCTTGCGCGCTACAATGTCGCCAGGCACAGCGCTGGGAAGCGTGACGCGGAATACGAGCATCTGGTTGTCGTTATCGAGCCCCGCGTCAAAGGGTACGCCGAGCGCGATACCGTGCGTACTGATGAAGTCGTTGTCGGCCTAGTGGGTGAAAATGATATCGTGAAGGTTTCGAGAACAGTAGTCAGTTGAATACACGAAGGAGCAGGCGAGAAGGATGTGGGAAGCGGCAAGTGGGAAGCGGCGAGAGGAAGCGAAAGGAAGGCAATCGAAGGATCAAAGCTAGAATGAACACTTAACAGGCACAGATCGAAACCGAGGTTAGACGATACGCGGAACCTGGGCCCACCTCCATGGGGATATCAGGAAGTTAAAACGAAGCACGAGACGCAGAACGAAGGACACACGAGATCACAAGAATCTACACAGCGCGATGGTGAAGGACGCGAGAATGGACTTACGGCAGTGAACAGGAAGTAGTCGTCTGGGTACTGTGGGTCCCCAACGGGTGCGAGAGCGAGCGACTCCCATTTCGCATCGATGAGCGCCTGGTCCGCGGGGTCACCTGCATCGATATGAAACACGTCAGTCAACGAATTCGTGCGCGCAAGTTACGAACCGCACAGCGCGCAGAATCACTGACCATTGTGGAGCCCGAATCGTGCCAGCTGCGTCGCGTTGATGAGACTCACGAACCCCACATAATTTGCGGGTACGACGGCGCTGTCAAGCTTGCCTTTGGGCGAAACAGGGTTGGCGGGGTCATCAAACTTGGTACCATGGATGTCGGTGGCGCCCGAAATGTCAATGAGGTCGGCTTGTCTATGATCGATTGATCACCGAGGCAAGGCAAGACGGCGAAAAAACGGGATTAGTCAAGGGGCGGGGAAAAGGTAATCTCAAAACAAAGCAAAGAACATGGCGAGCGGGAGGCCGGGTGGGAGAAGGCAGCGCTACAGGACGAGATGGAGCCAAGACAAGTGGACTGGGAGGAAGAAGCGCGGGGACCTCATAACAGTGACAACAGCATGCGCAACAGCTCGTGCGTACTCCATGATGCCATGAGTCTAGGTCCATGCCATATCCTCTTATTTTACCTGCCCGTACTTATCACCTCAAATAAAAAATAAAAAAGCAAGCAGACGAAAAAGAAAAGAAAAAAGAAATTCGGAAAACCCAGCGATCATCCAGACCTCAAAATGATATTGGAAATGGAAATAAAACTCGAACGTAAAGCAAAGTACGCACTTATACGCCGATAACGTGTCGTCCCCTCCATGCCCACCCCCATCCCTCGCAAGCACCAAAAACACACCAGGGCTCACGAAATGCAGCTCGCTCGCTCCCAGCGTCTTGTTGTCCGTGTCCAAAGGAAGTGGCACCACCCACTCCCCTACTAAGCTCGGGCGGAACTGCGAAGGGTCCGAGATATTGTACGCAAGCAAGCGCGCATGCCGTGCGTTCTTTTTCTTGTTCCCACCATCTTGGATCGTCGCAGACTGGAGAAGGGCGTAGAGCGTCGCTCCGGCGCTGTCGGTTGTCAGGCCTTCAAAGCCTATGTGAGCGTAGACACGAAGAATGATCGATGTCAGCGTTCCGGCGCAATCATTATTTCGGACTAGATTGGCGAAATGCGATGGGGGGGGGGTCTCTCTCACCCTGGTTCCCTGCGCGTCCTGTATCCGGATCGTCCACAGACGTGAAATTTAGCTCGCCGTCGACGAGAGGAACAATCGCGTCGGGGGGCTGAATGGCCTGCAGCAACCCGCCTTGGGCGTCGAATCTGTAGATATAAGGCCCGTACTCGTCGCTCACCCAAAAACTACACCACGTGCGCGGACGATCAACGAAACATTCAAAGCAAAAGCCATGTCAGTGACTGATATCCCGCGCCATTCGACGCCTCGCCAGCTGTTCTCGAAGAATCGAGGGGTGTGGAGTAGGTAAACGGATGATAAAATGCGACTCACGAGCTGTCCCCATTAAGTACCAAACCCTCCAGATCAAGGCTCAGTCGATCCGGATCCCCGCCCCCGCCCCCGCTCCCGGCGATGGGTACCACCGGATCTGCGTCTGCCACTTCCGGAAACCCAGTTTGTGCAGCACGCACTCCAAGCGCATCGAGCCCAGTGGTCGTCTTGTCGTCCCTCTCAACATACAGGAGCGTATCGCGGTATAATAGGGCTAGAGTACGCTGGGCGGCGGAGAAGGAGAGCGGAGTGGAAGAATAGTAGGGTGTGAGGGTGAAGGAAATGCGGTGCTGACGCCCTTGGTAGTCAATTGTGCCGTCGCTGCGGGTGGTGGAGTGTAAGGCGTCCACAAAATTTGAGTGAAGACATGGGGAAAGACAGCTAGGTAAGCTTGTATAATGAAAACAAATGTGAACAGAGGACTGACACGTTGAATCCGCGATCAGGCTGCACAACCAGCGTTCCGCTGTAGGAACCATTCCCCAGCCGCACAAACTCCGCCAACGCGATTGCACTGCCGATTCCACCAATCGTATCTCCTATATCAATGTCAGCTTAATGAGTATCTGATCCTGTGTGTAAGAAAAAGAGCTAGAGCTTTACCCGTAGATTCTGTAGCGTTCGAGGGTATGAGCCCGAATGCAACAAGGCCCTAAAGATGCAGACGAAACAAAATGTGAGCCAGATATCAGTCGAGGAAATTCGTGAGTGGAGGGGCAAGCAGATGACAGGGAAGGGAAAGGCAGAGGAAACTCGGGGATATTGTTCGATAGCGTGATTGCACGTCAAAAACCACTGACCTTATTTACATACGTCTTCCCGTTCAGTTCTACAGATACAGCGAGCGAAGGGTCCGGCTGATCAGACTGCAGACTCAAGGACGAGTTTGGAAGTTGGATGCCACGAGCGGTAGAGGATTGCAAGTTGTTCTGGAAGCAGAGGGCTAACACTAACGACGTACAAATTCGTTGAAACATGACGAGAAGAGCAAGCAAGGAGCCAAGCACGGGTGTGGTGCTCTTATACCCGCACGTCCTTCTCTTAGCTAAGAATGAATAATAAGCGAAAGGAACACTGACCGACGATGAATCCAAGCTGTGACAGATGCGTGTATGAGATCGGACCGGCATCAGAAGCGTCTGCGTGAAGATACTCTTGCAAATCAGTCAGGTTCTCACTGACAGTAGTCCAGGTTGGCAGGAAGAGGTCGGGAGAACGGGCTGGGGTCATGAGGCAGAACAAGTCCTGGCAGCGAGCCCCCAATTGGGAGGAACCGAACTTGGACCAACGTGCCGCTGGGTACAAGAACATTTATAGCGCACGTTTGTCCCGGCGGCGGCGGCGCCCGACAGGCTCGGCCGCATGTTGTGCATATCACCAGACGCGAGTTCTTTCATGGATGCAGATTGAAATAGCGCCACAGACAGGTGAGTGCGCAGCCAACATAAAAAGGTGGGGCCCGGTGGAGGAACGAGGGGTGGGAGGACGCTGAAAATGGTGTGTTGGGAGGGTTAGGCAACGTTGTCGTTTTCAGCTTTGAATCTGACGACAAACGAGACAAATATCACGAGTAGTTGCAAGAGAAGACTAGATTTAATCAGAGTTTTGTCCTTCTCGTTGGCAAAGTGAACGTCGAGGAAAATGCGAAGGACGTGAATTCGATTTGGTAAGAAGTTCCCAGCACGTATGCCCAACGGCCTTCGTGGAGCATGACTCTTGCTGGTCGTCGGTTGAGTCACTGCACCTCAACGGTCAGATTCGCCAAAACCTGCATCATGTGCAACACCCAAGCATGAGACATGGCATGTAGCTTCCAATATTGAGCTTATAAGAGCTGTCAAATCCCAAGCAATCACCGTTAGTCAACGCCAAGGATGATGAACTAGAAAGCTACACCACCTTCAAAGAAATATTAGTCGAGAAGAACAGATCGGCTTGTTTTTCCGCAACGACTCTGGCGAAAACGTGTCGGGGCGGTGATGTCCACCTGGTTCCCTACAGAAGAAACGATATTAGTCAGCCGAATAGCTCTTCAGTTTACCTAGACTGACATCAATGCTGAATATAATTCCCAGAAAGCCTGCGTCCGCGTGAAGAATTCTAACACATCGGTGTCTTCTATCTCATCTATCTCTGCTCCGTTATGTGAACTGTTGACCCGATATGTCTATGCACAATATTGATGTCGATGTATATACGCTCGTTGGAGGTCCTGGTTTATGGTGGAAGCTTATACGGCGGTGAGCGGATTCAGGGCTATGGTCGTTGAGGAGAGGAGGTGTACAGTAGTCAACAGGAGGCCTGTTCGTCGTGATAGGATATTGGAAAGAAATGTGTACACGTGCAGGCCGTATACTTTTTCATATCGCAACTGCCAGCAGCCTACGCGTAGGAAGAGGTTGTAGCACTGGTCAGATTGTCAACAGCATTAAGATCAATTGTCAACGGAACACTTACCAGCGCTCACGACCCGTTCTTTGGTACATCAAGAAACTTATCTATCGTACAATAACTGGGTGGCGCTTTTTGTTCAAGACTCAATACCATGTACCATCCAGTCTCTGAGCGCTGCACCGCGGCGCATCCTTATTTCCACCCCATGTTCCCTCCACGTCCTCATCGCACCACTCACAGACCCTTCATCCAAACCGCCTGACTGGCGCAGGCACTCAAGTTCCAGCAGTGCGCGACCCTCTTTCCAGCGCTCCGTCTCCTCATGGGCTCGCACAATCTCCCAGCCTAGATACGCTCTGCAGCGTTGACATGATAAGAGTCGGATCGTGTACGCGCCGCTCGCCATCAGTTGTATGCTCGGCGGCGCAAGGTGGGTGCTGGCTGACGCACTGTTAGAAGTCATGCATGAGTAGAGGTTCGATTAGATGTCAGAGTGCGCCACTGGCAGGTGAGAGCGATGGTAGTGCGGAAGCACCCACACTTCACGAAACAGAGCGGCTTTACCACAGAAGCCGCGATAGTCCTGGTCAATGAACGATCAAAGCAAAGTGACGTCAGATCTAGCGCGTTTAGATATATCAGATAGATAAATTGAACGTACTCGAGACAGCAGAAATTGGGACGAGGTAATGTATGCATCGCAATTCCTGCATGCCAACGGGCAGTGAGCGATGATGCCGCTGCCAGCCAGGAAGTCGCGAACGCCATCCCTCTCATCATGTGCAAGCACGGTGGGGTGGGATACAAGATGAAGGTTAATGGCCGACGCAGCCAGTGTGGGTGATCTATACAAATCTGCAGCCATGAATAATGTCGGTACAAGGCAACCAACAGCTGGCTGGAAAGGAAAGGAGTGACGAAGGAAAAAAAAAAGAGAGTGAACACGGCAGCCTGAACCAATGTCGACGTCCAAAGAGGTATATATCTAGGGCAGAGTGCGTTCCTAGCGCCTAAGTCTTTTTAAATGAAATCTCGTCTGCGACATACATGGAACATGCCTGAACGCCGGAGCTTGTCCGCCCCTGGGCCCCAAATCACCGAACACCCAAAGAGTGTATAAGCCTAGATTCCTTCCTTAATAGCGCCGCGGAATTATGTGCAGAAATATGCGGATCAGAGGCGTTCAGCCCTGTTAACCCCAAAGAGCATTCTGAAGACCAAGACAGAAGACAGAGCACCATGGTTGGTGGAGAGTCAAAGGCCTTCCCGGCATCTTCCGTTTCTTTACGTTGAACCAAGACCGTTTTGGCACTCGTCATCCCACCACAAGCCCGACCTCTGAATGAGGCCGTCAATGATGAACTGGTAACAATGGCAACCATTCCACGCCCATGTTACTCATACTGTCATCAAGCTGCAGTCAAGTAGAGGCGTAGGTTGAACATATCCTTAAGGTTTGATTATTTGACAACGCTTTCAACGGCGTTGAATCGTGACCCCAGTCTACTGAAAGTTTCAGCACGCTGGCCAAAGAACATCGTGCCTATGCAGTTATCAGAAGGCCTCTTTGCACCTATTGATCTGCGAGCTCCATCTGACCATACGGCGTCGACCTAGGTTGCCTTGACGCTGTGCATTCCACCGTGACTCTATAGTCTTGGACCGTGGGCCGTTTGCTCATAAATAGGTCCTCCACTCTGCCTTCTCCAAATCTCCGTCGACGTCTTGCTTCCGGAAGCCCTGCATTGCAGTGAAAATGTCTTGACTTCGTTTTCATCCTGTATCTGGCCCCGCAAAGTCCTTCACACACCCTTATCACAGGCTAAAGCCTCTCTTCAACCGGCTCGGAATATGTGTGCAGCCCTGGTGGGACGATCATCATCAGGACTTATGGGGCATTGGACGGTCTGAGACTTTCAAGCCTTGAGAACTGGGCAGCAAGGTTTGTCATTTCCAGGGTGCGTTGCTTCCTTTTTTCAATATGGTAGGACGAACTTCATCCGAACTTTGACACCCTCGTGCCCTTTTAATAGGCGCTTGCCGTCGAAGATGATCTGTCTACGCATTAATGTTGTCAGCGCGCGTCAGGGCTGTGTGGATTCTCGTCATTATGATGCACCATCGCCTGTGCGATCATCATAAAGTCTCTACCCCCCATCGTGTACGCCGACTCTGACTGTCTTGATTTTGACTTTTGGTCTCGGCTTCCTAGTACACTCGGCGAATGATGATCGGTATTCAGCGGAAGCGGGAACGAGCCTGCGCAATATGCCATGCGGCGACCTGTCGGGGGCTCTAGCATTCTTTGTGGGTCTGGACACCAATGAATTGAGCTTATCAGGACAGAACGATGATCGTATACTTAATGAGATGGGAATCCAAGCGTAACAAGACAAGCAAAGACCGCGGAAACATCGGCAGGTTACTACAGGATACGCAGAGGGCTAAAGATATCATGGTATTCGGATACAGAGCTAACACCCGCAAAAGACCTACATCCCATATATACAACCCTACCGAAAATCATCCCAGATCGCCAAAGCAATAGGTAATCAGCGCGACTACCTTTCATTCAACTGCCACCCTTAGATAACCTTTTTCTGCTTGTTCGCGATGAAACGAGCTAAGTATTCAACTATCTTCGCCGTCTCCTCTCCAACTGGGCGGATCCACTGCGGCGGCAGTGCAAATCCATACTGTGTATGGTGGTTTTAGCGGGTCGGATGCTGGGGTCAAGAACTAAGCCTGACTCACCGTGCCCGTGTCACGCAAGTGTGCTGCGTACGAATACTTAACGCCCATCGTAGCGTACATCCAATCTACAATGTTCCCGGGCGCTCTGCATCATCATATGAGTATGGCGAGTTGCCTTGCGATACAAAGCATCCACTGCACCTGTATAATGTCGAACACAGCGTTCCAGTCTGCGATATGATGCGTCCAAATATGATCATCAGTTTGAAAACAATGTACGTACGGTGAAACCGGTCCCATGAGATTTCCGTACAGCGTATGCAGCCCCAGATGCAGCCTCCAGCTGGTCCTCAGCATCTTTCGGGCTCTTATTGCATGAGTACGAGTACGGCGCAGATACTGCAATACGATCCCATTGAAGGTCAGCTATATATCAATGACCAGACGTGGCGTTGAACGATCGGACTCACGCATCTGACCGTAACTACGCAAGTCCACGAACGCATCAAACGTGGGCAGGCTCTCAATATAGAGAGCAATGTTGTTCACCTCTGGCGCCTGGAACGGCCTGTGACCAGGATACCAGTGCGAGCACGAGTCTTTGGGCTTTGCGGCGCTAGGCGCCATTTTCACAGATCCGCTTTTGAATTTGTAGCCCTATAAGAGAGTTAGGGGAGGTATTTCGAAAGAGGATTCGAGCATACCCAGTTTCTGCATGCAAAGTCAGGAGGCTGAATGAAATAAGCGAGAAATACACGCACCTGTTCATGTCGAGTCCGACACACTGCGCGTGTGGGCCAAGATAAAGTCGATTCTTGTACCTATGTGCCGCAAGTGACTATGAATAAAAGATCAAACCACTTGAACAGAGAAGCGCGCACCAAAAACGGTCATGTTCCCAGGTGTATACATATCCGTCTGGATTGGGAACGGCGATGATATAGAAATTCTAGTGATAGCAAAAGTTTGTGAGTGTATTAAAATGGGGCTCATCAAGCACGTACGTAGTCGTCGAGTAGATGTGTCAATGAGTTTGGCTCCGACGCGTTGGCCGCTAGCGCATGGGCAAGGTATAGAGCAGCAGCAGATGCGACCCACTGCCGAGGACCGCACAACGTGAGCGAGCATCCTCCGTGGGTTGGTTGACTAACGACATGCGACCCACCTCTCGCGCATGTTGTGTGCCAGTGATAAGGAAGCTTAGTTTCTCATTGGTGCTAGTCTCGCCTTTCGGGTCGTGTGACTTGGTATTCGAGGACCCAATCTCGAGTGCATACAGCTCTCTACTCTCTCCTGTGTGACCTAAGGGAATTATCTTGACTTTGTCTGGATATACCGCTGCGAGATCGCGAAGGAAGCCGTAGATATCGTCAAGTGTGTGGTAGGACGCGTGATAGGTCGTATTGGATAGTGAGGGTAGATTCCAGTCTTGAAGCAAACCTCCCTCTGCATACATTGAGTTTTCGCTCAATGAGAGAAAGTTATAAGGCTCGATGGGACTATCGGTGTATGTGTGCAGAGATGGGTGGGTGGAGTGACTCCTCCGCGGGAAGTAGACATCGACGTGCGTGTCGGATGCTTGCCATACATCCCAATCTTTTTCCTAGATTCTGTGGTAACTCAATCATTTCAAGTAATTCAAACAAGCTGCTCACTTGGGCCCATCTCAAAAGTTCTTCCGCTTCCCGAATTGAGTCCACCATGAATCGCCGCACGAACGGTCCTTCTTGGGCATCGGTTTCCTTCTGAAGAACCTGCTGCGCGTTTGGGCGACAGGTGCCATTTACAAAGAATGTGGAGAGAACAGACAAGATGCAGGCTATCGCCAACGGCGATATCATGGTGGAAGGTCTCAGGAAGCAGCTGCAGAGTTCAGGGATTCATTTGAATGGTTCTGGCCACCGGTTAATTACCCTTGCCGTACTAAGGTTGGGGTTTTCCGGAAATGGATACGTCCAGACGGTCCAGACTCCAGATGCGTCCCGATTTCGCTCAAAAACTGTACTGTGGTTTAGTGACTTGATTAAGCTTTAGGCGCTAAGCTCTAAGTTCACCTTGCCTGCAAAACGCCTATGACAAAAAAGCGAAGAATTGATTCTGCCGCGCCACCATTTATCTCATACTCTAATGGAGGTACTTTCAAAACTCCAGACAGTCCGAAGGTTCATAATTTGACACCTTTTTTTGTTGCGCTTACCACAGACGAGCACCAACGAACCGACCCTGCAACTGAAGCGGCCAACGCAACTGAATTGTCACCTGAGGCCAAACAGAACCTGATAGGACAGTCGTCGATGCTTGGCGACACATTGATTGTCACATCATTTGAGAAATGGGTGAATTCAAGATAGGATACGCAAGGAGGATACCACGTATTCGGGGTTTCATAGTCTCCTTCTGTAGATTATAAGATGCCTTACCTGGATAATTCGAAATCGTATTGAGATTTCACTCCCTCTTTATCAGTAGGCTCCTAATGTAGTTTCGCATACCGTTCTTCCTTGTCCTCGCGGTCACCGTCCTCGTTGCGGCCAGCATTTATTGGGTTAACGAGAGCCGTAGTTACATGCCCAAATTTGCGAGATACTCCTGGGATATCTACTTTTGCTGCCATCAAAACTCGCCACATACCAACACGTTTTTTGCCCCTACACTCAAATGAGTGAGTTGGAGCCTGTGCGGATGCGCTTAGTATCGTCTATGTGATGGGCATGGGGAGTAAGTGGCTGCATATCGTCAGCGGGATGCATCGTTGGAGGATCACATCAATGCATCAAGGACCTAAGCCATAGCGAAATATCTTCGACAGATGTGTGAAGATTACGCCCCAGATGTCATGTTGTGGTGTGTCGTTTGTCTCATTGGATATCGCATATACAGCCTAGCATTTAAACAAAGGCTCCCGTCCGGCAGAGCAGTTGTCCACATCGCAAAGATCCCTAACACTATCAACGTACCTGCATTAAGGCGATGTAGTGCCCCTGGACCTCTGCCATAGGTGATCAACGACGTGCATATGCACTGTCGGATGCCATCCATCATACGTTCAGATCACTTTCCATTGACCTGTGTAGATATATCAGTGCCCTAGCCGTTTCATGATAGACTGAGTACTGCCTGCCTCCGATGAGAACCGATGCAGAAGTTGGCGACAATGGCAGCGCTGTAGCCTGTGGTGGTTGCAAGCGCAGTCGGCGTCAGTCAAATCATTGTTGCCTCTCGCATGATTCAATTTTTTCCCACGGCATTTCCCACGACCGCAAAAACAGATGGATAATATCGCACTCACCCATTTGATAGAATCATTGATATACAACGAGAAAGGATATTATTAAGTAGTTGATCTCAAGACATTGTGGACGATGGAGCTCCAAAGTTTGTCTCAGCGAAGACAAATTGATCTGACACGGAGGTTATCAACTTCCGAGTATAGTTGCGGAGCTTAAATATCCCATCCAGAAATTGCTGTGTTCAATTGATTCACAGCCAACACCTGGCGCTGCAGCTTGTCAATGACTATTAATATATTCTCTCTTACCGACACGCGCAGCTGTTGAGTAGAGATGCTGTAGAACGAACAACCATCAACATATCATGATCCTTGGGGCCGCAATGGTCATGGAACATGCTACGCCTGCATTCTGACGCCATCCCGCCACTGCTTGTGAGTGCTGCCGGACTGTCTGCCATGATCGAGATAGTAACGTGACGGAGTAGATAGTGGCGAGTATCCAAACCCGCTCTCCGAGATATTCAGTCGCCGGATGCGGTCGCAGAATCAGGCGCTGCTCGCGGCCGGCGTGATCTGACAGCCTGCGAATGATATTGACCACTATTCCATCGTGACTATAAAGGCGACGAGAATTCGGGGACAGACTGCCTTCCGTGGAGGGATCCCCCATCTCCTTGCTACTCTATTCACTCGTCATTGAGCTGCGGCAGCTGCGCACGTATCGCCCCTTCGCCCCCTGCTCTCACTGCAATATAGTGTATGATCAGCATGATGCACGGGTTTCCAACAACGCCTATAGGGATGGGCGCTGGACGCCTATTGGCGTGTAAGAAATGCGACACTTATATCACCTCCTCGCGGTACATGCTATCCTGCGTACGTCCGGGTCATCCTCCAATATAATGGCGTTAGTCATGTAAAAAAGGAGAAAAAATCTGATAGTGATTGGGCTATAGGCGTACCGAGGGTTGCTTGGCAAAGCCGCTCTATACCGCGAAGTGTGAGTCTCAATCTCTACCATCATCTTACGTTTTTTCAAGTCTAAACGGCGAATGACATGTTAGCTCTTCCACGACGACGCGTCTCGCCCCGCCCACAATTCAGCTGATGGCAAGCGGCGCATATACCGTTCGAACGCTTACCTGCCAGACGTGCAACTCATATCTCGGTATGGAGATCGTGCGCGCGTACGAGAGCTCCGAACGCTGGAAAGAGGGACGCACGCTTCTCGAGCTCGAGAGCATTGCCGAGCAGCGAGACGCTCCCTCGGTTCCCGTACCAAAAGAGTTCTTGCCTCCTAGTCTCGATAGCAGTGTTGCGGCTCAGATGGGCAAAGCCGACATAGTAGTGCAGGAGCGAGAGACTGGGCGGAAGAAGCCCCGGCGCGTCATGTTCAGGCGGACGATGATCATTCTGGAGGACATGCGGGCACGGATACCGGAGAAGCGGATGGTATTGCGAACGAGGGTATCGAAAGGAACGATCAAGACCGACTGACACGGACTTGCCACAGTATTGGAGTCGCGTAGATATACAGTTTCGTCAGCGATTGGATGCAATATGTTAGTGAATGATTTGATATTAGGGACAGTAGAGACCTTGCAGTTTTTGTCCATAGGCCGATTACTACCCTGAGCTTGACCGGGGATTCCATGAAAGATGATCGATGATCAGTGAGGTCATCGGCGATGCTACATGTCTGTTCTGGCCGTTGGGGTAACAATCTAGCCACAAGCCATCGGCGTGTCGTTGTCTGTGATCTACAAGCCATAGGTCAATGGTCGCGAGTGAATTAATGAGCTGGAAGCCCGGAAGTCAAGGAGTTGCATACCTGCATGAGGTACATGCTCATCGCACGATTGTCCATACATGAACGAGATTGTCTAGAAGAGGGCTCGACACAAGCTCATGAATACACGAAATTGGAGATCAGTGCTGAAACAAACGACGTGGATGTTGACCACATCGAACGTAACGTAGGTCGACAATCTGTTGCCTCGGGAGTGCAGCAGTATCAGAGCTGAAGGAAGTCTGCACGTGTCTGATAATCGGTTAGTGCGAAGGCAGTGATGAGCATGACACATACGCAATTTTGCAACGAACTCTTTAATGCCGACATATATGGAGAAGATACATAGCATTCAACAGTATCCCGCATCGAAGGTGGCCAATGGTCAGAGTCCATAGCAAAAAGACGAGGCTGCAGGCATCGCAATCCGAAAAATCTGTCCTCTTGAATCTTCTACGCTGTATATAATACAAGCGGGTTCTTCAGAATAGTTTGGACAATAGTGCACAAGTCGAGAGTGAAATTTGAACAAACCATTGGCTCGTGAGTCGGAGGCCGGTGTGAAGCGGCGTTGCAGCTTGTCTTTGCCTAAATATGTCCGAACTCGTCAGGTGACCAACTTTGACCAAAGAACTGCGTCTTCTTCCTGCGCCCCGCACTCATCAGTAAACAATCTTACCTTCGACCTCAAAGTCCTCTCAGGAGGGTTGACTCCATAAAAAGAAAGCCCCAGGATCTTGCTCGCTTTTCTACTGCTCTTCTCCATTTCTTCTCGGGTCGATGTTATAGCACCATCTGGACATGTTGCCTTGCTTGGTAGCCAGATGACACAGGCGTTCCTCGTCCGAACCCCTATATTCTTCGCCTCCTTTATGACTAGAAGATGATGCTAGGGATGTTGGTGCAGACTACATCTGCGTCATCGGATGTTGAGGCTCATCTTCCAGAACGACTGGAAGCGCTCAACAGGCCCCACTCCGCCGATATGTCTCAGACACTGGAGCATCTCTCATGGGGCGGATTCACAGGCAATGGAGATCAGGTGTACGAGCGATGTAGATCCATATACGTCGTGGCTTATTCCTTGCTTCAAGCCCAGGACGTCTATGCCAGCCACCAGTGAGTTCTTAGACACAACTGTATGTACTGCTTGGTAGACCGTCCTCCTCTTACTGCGATACTCCGACTGAGATTTTCAGCTTACAGGTTGACCTTTTTGTCCTTCTCGCCGTCTATATCAAAATGGTAATGCATATATGTGCGCTCTCCTTCTCTCATGGATTGATCAACCAAGTTCTAGTCTCATGACGACATCAGAAGAGTGTCGACCTTCGTTGCCAAAGCACATCAAAGCCGCCAGGAAGGAGACCGTGATACACACAACAATCCGATTATCTGACCCGAGGAAGTTGACATCTAGGTTGTGAGCGCTCGGGCAGATGTTTTAGTTTTATCACGTCACAGAAGAAAGCTCTCGCCGTTTAGCTCATTTCATGTCTAGCCCTCCTTGCTGCATGTATGGACTTATAGCGTGACTCATCCCTATAAGAACAGCTGTCTTTGAGCGTTAGCTGGCTATGGCTGATCTGTCCTTGGATCGGTTTGTGCTTGGATGCGTCACCGCGCCACCTGTATGCACGTGCAGAAGTTTGCAAAGGAGCTAGAACAATCTCGCTTGTCCTAGGCCGACATCTATAGCAGTCTGGAGTCGGGCGAGATGGATACAGGAAGTCATGCCCCTACAAGCCTTGTGTAAGGAGCTCAGAATCTGTTTGATTGGCATTCGAAATCTACAGCTCCCTCTGCCTATGGCTGAAACTATATAGCTCCGCGTGGATATAATCTGTGAGTCAATTCGCTTTCGCGGTGGAAATCCATACCGTCACCTCTGCGACAGCTTGCCCATACCCCGCTATGTTTGACATCTTGCCGAATGTCGATTCTGACTGGAATTTTGACTTAGACCAGAGCGCTTCGCATCCCTCGTTCCAGCGCCTTCCCCCCTGGGTTGCTCCTCCCATTGATACTGTGAACGGTATGTTCTGAGACACGAATCAGTTCGCGAGTTTTCAATGCTCATTCGATGCAGATGAATTTGCAAGTGCGATTGATGGGAACAATCCCTGGGGCCATGAGAGTCCGTCACTTATACTTTGTATAGTTGTTTTCATAGGCGCTTATATTGTTTGTCAGGTCTAGAATCAAACTCACTTCGAGAGCCGATAACCTTACATGCTCAGGCCTACCACGGAAATCACCTTGGCTTTCAAATTTCCCCAGTGGCGGAGATGTATCAGTCGCCTCGTGGTCCAAGGTAACAGGGTTCATCGTAGTCGTGTACACATACTGACTCGTCTCAAGTGTGACTTATCAAGCCAGCCAACATCCGCTTGCAGTTTCCGACAGTGAGTTCGATTGTGTTGATGCTTGTATTGAAGGGCTGAGAATGTATCTATATCAGGTCTCCGTTCGCGAAAGGACGCGTCCAAGACGAAATTCGTCTCTGAAATATTGGTGAATGTCTTGCTACTAAGTATCGTTTTTCTCTACTTCATATCGACTCTAGACGTCTGATACGGCGCCATTCAAACTCAAATATCATAGCCAACCTGGAAGATATTTGGAACGTATGTTTGGCGAAGCAAATGCAAAGCAACTCTTGTTCAAGCATCCAACAGACCCAGGAATCATCTCAGGAACGCCAGCAACCTCTCCCGGTCGTATTCTTGTCCAATCGCTACCCATTCCCTATAAGGGTACAGACCGAGAGGCTCAAGAACGCTCTAGAAATCCGCTTCCATCCCCATCCTTCTTCAGATGTGACGATGGGCTCGTCGGGGTGCCTCTTTCGCGTGCTGTACAGGGGTTTGGGTTGGCTTTAGATTCAAACCATGACTCGCCACTGGGAAATCGACAGACCGTGCGATTGAAAATCCTCGTATGTCGCGTACGGTCACCTCTTCCACTAATCCTGTTGAGTAGAATCTCCCATCTATAGCCTTCTGGATGTTCAAGGGCGTACGATAAGCAAATTAGCACTGCGCTTGCTAAGGGGAAAGGGTTAATAAATCTGCAGTGGTTGATGAAAACAATCGCGAAACATACTCGTGCGTTTCTGGCGGTACGTCGGCCATTGATTCATGCATAGCAACAACTCATTCTTTCTTTCATTAGACTTGTGATACTCCGGCAGACGAATTTATCCTTATTGGATATACATTCGTATCTAAAGGGGCTATCATGCCCATACTCCTGCTTCGCAGTCGTACGCTACCTTCTTACATGTCTAGATGTCCTCACCACTTACTCAAAAATATAGCGTGATACTCATTCTCAGAAAAAATTACTGGTCAGTCCTCATCCTAAAGTTTTGCAGGAGCTCTTGTCAACTGACTTGGAAAAAATCGACTCGACATGTTGTGTGCTCGTCCAGGTAGTTTTGTTTTTTGATATATTATCTGAGTCATGGACTCAAGTTTGTAGACCTAATTATACATGTCCCGCGCGTGGTAGCGCAAATAACATCATGAACTCCGCATCGTGCTCATTATCCAGCTTTGAATAGATTGACTCGGACAATGCTAGGTCATTTTTTTTTGGAAAGCTTGAGAGTAGCTCATTACATCCTACTCATAGCTCAGCGCGGCTGTATCTATGCATCGGTTCGGGGTCTTCCATCCAGCAGATAGGTTTAAGAACGATCTCTGAGCCAACAGGATATGTACGAGATCTTATTAAACAACGATGTATAGAGTATTCAACTCGGATATCACATTAAACGACCAAAAAGGGCTAAAAGGATAGCGGGACAGTGCTAGACAATGTTTATGTGCTCCTCAAGACCATCCTCAAGCACTATTGAAAGACCTAGGAGAATTCGGAGGTCAAGCGTAATTTCTACCTTCTCAAACAGGCCCTCGAAACACCCAGCATAATCTCTCACTAGAAGAATAGTCTCTTCCTTCGACATACTCACTAGGCTCTGCTTCACGAACTTGGGCAGTACGACAATAGGCATCCATGAGTGACCGATCCTGCGCCACTTGATTTGCATGCGGAGCGAGATGATCATAGCGTTTGGAAACGCCTCGGCAAAGAAGTTGCGGATCAGGTGTCGCTCGAGGACGAGATTGTATGAGGTAGTGAAGAGCGAATAAGGCTCTTTTGGCGCTAACATCCTGAAGCAGATGCTCACCGTGCGTACCGTGTGATGCACGAGCTCGTTGTCGTGCATCAGGTAATCTTTCAAGGTCTGACGGGACGGCCAGTCACGAATTCTCCGAGGTAATACGAGGGGCACTGAATTTGGTACAGGTTTGGGAGGGCGCTGGGTGGGAGGTTGAGCTTTGGAACCGATCTGAAGTTGTGTAGGTCGATGAATTTAGGAAAACAGAGTCTCTGGATCGAGGGCGTGTGCGAAAGGAGCGTGCGCAGAAGGGTGGTATCGGGAGAGCCGAAAGGGACACTGAGGTGTGTCAATTGAAAATTCACGGGCAAAGAGAGTACGGCTTGTGCGACATCCCAATGTCTCGTGGTGAAATTCATAAGATGGCGCGAGGCGGTCATTTTGGCCAGGGTAAGAAGGTACGGCTCTTAATTTGAGTTACTGTCAAAGACAATGCTCGTCCAGGGCACGATGTGTTTCTTCCTGAATAGCGCATCTTTCTCCAAACCGTAGGCCTCGAAGGTACAATTCACGATGACCACGTCGCGCAAGCCAAACATATTGACGACCTCGCGGAAGAACGCCTTGCTGATGGTGACTCGGTCAAGCTGGAGAGACTGCACTCGAATAAAGTCGCCGATTACCGTCGCGTACTTCTTCAAGATGGCTTGATTCACCCACGCCGACTCTTCAGAACGCGGCATCCAGTCATGGAAGTTCAAGCATCGGACGTGTTCAAGGAGTTTCTTGGCGATAAACGGTGGTTCGGTGATGGCACGACAGAAATCGACGTGGTTCTTCTGCGAGCCTCTGCAGCTAAGGAAATCAATGTGGCATGAGAGGCAAGAGGTCAGACACCTCCGCAAGGAGACCCCCGCGTGCCGCCCTGAGGATTGCGCAGACTGTTCGGGAGCGTGCGTGAGCAGACGCTACAAAATTTGAGGACCTTGAGATCATCGGTGAACTGGCACGGGTAGATGTGTGCGTCGAGCCTGGCGTACGTTGTGCAGGGGGATGTAGGAATGGGAGCAGGAGGAGCGACGAGCATAATCTCGCACCTGTCTAGCAGTGACGCCTGTCGAGAAGTTCTGGTAGGGAAGGGGTGAGGGCGGACGCGGTGAGACCGTTGAGCATGTCAGCATGTCGGTGAAACATATACGCACACAGGGTGAAAGGAACGATGCGGCGAGCTCAGGAGACCCACAACAAACATCCCGTGCTCGTGCTGGGCACCCGGCGCCTGCACTGGTCGTCCCTGCAACGACGAATAGAGGCACGCATCCGCGCGTCTGTCTCCCACGTAGGGTCCGCCGCGTGGCATGCTAATGCGCCCTAGAACCGACGCGAATGTTGCGTGCTCCGAGTTTCACACACTGCGACGATACGAGTTGATCCCAAGACCCAGTATAGCCTTGGAAAAAACACCCACACACATGTCCGAGCTGATGCAACAACCAAGCACCCAGCACCCAGAAAGCCCAGTAGAGGGATCGGTGCGTAGAGGTGAAGTCACTGTCCCGGACGCAGAAAACCAGCACCCCAGAGAAGCTCGACCATGTGAATTGTCGACGCAGCGCAGGCAAAGCGCAAGCCCGCACCCGAGCTCAAGCGAATGGCGGCAGAGAGGCCAGCCAATCGTGTGCGCTACGTGCTCGTGCCCAAGCCGCCTCTTCGCTCCGAGGTGGGTTGCGTGCGCCGCGTCGACGCATGTCTCGCGCGCTGGCCTCGACGCAAGCAACGGTGGGTGCCATGACATTCATCGAGTGGTCCATCATGAGCAGCGTCGCACGTGCGTGGCCCGGCTCCTGTTTCTGGGAGTGTGGAGGCGCGGGAGTCTCACGGGGGCAGGGGCAGGTGGAAAGGGCGACACAATGCATGGCTTTTATATAACATGGTGAGGAGGTGGGAACCAAGCAAAGGGCGGGTGGCTATGTGTCGGAAGGCCTGCAGATGGTGAGTGGAGTCGGTAGAGCAGGCGAGACATTAATTGTCGGGCGAAAAGCAAGAACCTAACGAAATCAGGCAAGTATCGCTGAGGAAATTGACAGCATGTCGCAGCTCGCAAGGCGGACATTTCAACCAGAGGAGGATTAGCGCGTTCGTGGACAGATCACCAAACAGAGACAACCGAAATTTCGAACATTGCGTATGGTAAGTGTAATAAAGTGCTTCCGCCAATTGAGACTGGTCGGCGGTCGCGTGCATTGAACTAATATGTGGCAAGCCAGGCAGAATGTTAACTCACCTAAAGAAATGCAAGACTATTAGTGGAAAGGACCTCGAGGAGGTGCAGTGGGCCATGGCACTCGAGTACTCCGTAACCCAAGCTCTCAAAGATGCCAGGACGAAACAAAAGGGAAAAACAGAAACGTCTATATTCCACAACGGCAGTTTCCAATCGCTACATCTTTTCTTTCCCTCTTCTCGTACAACAGCGACACATACACGCAACCGCAACTGCAAAACTTTCAACTTCCAATCAAAACGACAAGTCGCTTCGCAAAGGACATGAATGCTTGTTTACGCGGAGAGCTTCTCCTTGAGGACCTTCTTCAGGGTCTCGCCGTCCTCGGCGAACTTCTTGATGCCCTCGTGGAGCTTGTCGAACGCCATCTGGTCCTGGAGGAGCGCCCAGCGGAACTCGGGTTCGTTGTCGATGAACGACACCTTCGCGATCGGCTCGGCCTTAGCCGCGCTCGGCGCATCCAGCTTCTTCGGTACGGGCGCGTTCGACTTCTTCAGCTCCTCGAGCAGTGCGGGTGCGATCGTGAGGAAGTCGACACCCGCGAGCGCCTTGATCTCACCGATCTAGATGAGACCCGTCAATCAGCACTTATCGGGTACGTGAGAGGACATTCAAATATTTACGTTACGGAAGGAGGCACCCATGACGATCGTCTTGTAGCCGTGCTGCTTGTAGTAGTTGTAGATGCGCTTGACGGACTGGACACCGGGGTCCTCATCACCCTCGTAGTTTTTGCCCGTCGACTTCTTGTACCAGTCAAGGATCTAAAGGCCAACAGAGGCTGCGTGTAAGTGCCTGTACTATCATCACGCATGTCGGGCAGTCCATCCGACAGATGCTATGACGCTGATGGTAACGAGCGGAACTTACGCGGCCCACGAAAGGCGAGATGAGCGTGACGCCTGCCTCAGCGCACGCAACAGCCTGACCGAAGCCAAAGAGCAAGGTCAAGTTGCAGTGAATCCCGTCGTCGCGCTCGAGCTCGCGCGCAGCCTGGATACCCTCCCATGTGGACGCGATCTTGATCAAGACGCGCTCCTTCTTGATCCCGACCGACTCGTAGAGCGCGATGAGCTCCTTGGCCTTAGCCTTGGTGCCTTCCTTGTCGAACGAGAGGCGGGCATCAACCTCGGTGGAGACGCGACCGGGGATGATGGCGAGGATCTCCTTTCCGAATTCTACGAGCTGAATTATGGTTGGGCGGGACAGCCGTGGTGAGCGGAACATGACTTAGATCGGAGGAAAGGTGGGTGAACGACGTACAAGGCGGTCGACGGCGAGGTTGGCCTGTTCGTCGAGGTTGCTGCTCTTGTCCTTGGCATATTTGACAGCGGTGATGACGATGCGCGAGTACGCAGGCTTATTCACAGCAGCGAGGATGAGGGAGGGGTTCGTCGTTGCATCCTAAGTGAATCAAAGTTAGTGATTCCTTCGCAGGAGTGGGAATGAAAAAACAGAGATATCTCCACAGAAAGGTAAGAAGCTACGATAGAGGAAAGAGAGCAAAACATGGATCCCGAAACAACCAGGTATCCCCCGAAGCGGGATGGGGAGAGCGGATCAATGATTGGAGATCCGAACGTAGCATCGACAGACTCATGAAAATCAAGTGAATCCATTCCACACACCTGCGGCTTGTAGACATCGATAGCTACACATGTCGGTGGGGGAGTCATCAGATTGGGTTAAGAGTTGCGTTCCGGAAATATGAACGATGCCTACTTTCGAAATCACCAGAATCCGACACGACGACAGTGCCAGTTTGTTTGAGGTTGTCGAGCGAGGTGGTCATGTTGTATAGAGTTCTATGGGTTGGAGGTGGGGAGATGGTGGATTCGGAGGAAGAAGATGAGAAAGGATTCGGAGAGGATGATGTCGTTGTGGCTGATCTGCTTATCGCATCCCGGTCCGCTCCAGCCGTCCCTCTTTTGGAGATCCGCACAAAAGATAATCACCGATCAGCACAGTTCCCATAGAAATTATAATTTTCTGCCGCACTCTGGGACGAAGTCATTGAATCTGCCTGCAATTCCCGTTCCTGCCTAGTATGAATTCCTTACCTCTTGACGACGTCCACGATTCGGAGACCTTTGAGGCCGAGTTCCCGCAGAATCTGTACCTGTTTCCCAGATGCATGTTACTCATTGGAAGTGAATGCTTAACCTTTTTAAGAGAAAATATATCTCGCGACAACACGATGTGGTCGGGCCGTCAATGAACGTGAGCACCTGCTTGTTTATTGAGCGCTGAAAACACCAGAAAAGATGAGACTGGGAATTTCTGCATGACAAGTTGTTCTCACCACTCGCTAAACAGACGAGACCGAGCGCCCTTGAAGCTTTCAATCGTCTTGCACTCTGGCAAAGGGAGGTTTATCAGATGCGGCATGCCTACAGCACAAGATCTGTGACCATCATTCACTCTCTTATTCTTCTGTTCACTGAACCACTATCTACCTAGCTGATCCCTGAGATCCGGGCCCTGTAGTGGAAAATACTTCCTTGTACCTTCCCGGGTATGTTGCGGACCAACACCTCTCCTACTTGAGTATCACACGAGGCACGGGAAATCTTGGACATCCATGAGTTGTGGATGAACAGACCCTGCTCATCCTGTTATGGGTAGGCTTTCTTTTGGGCTGCGTGCTATGAATCATTAAAGCTGATCGAAGGCTTGGGGTATGCGCTGCAGACGTGCAATGAAGTCATACTTGAAGACGCATACATCCAGATGTCCCTGCGTGGATTCTTCTCAGTCTTCCTATCAAAGGCGTGTCGGACTGCCCTGGAGTCGTGGTGATTAACTATGCGTATCTTTGCCTTTTTCTTCATCTTTGCTCTGCCTACGTCTCGGATACGGACGATGGCGTAGCATCAGGGACTCGGTGCAGCCCGCAAGCACGTTACAATGACTTGTCAAACCCGAGCGGCGCTGTCAGTGGCCAGCTGTCAAAGGCATGCTCCAGCAACGCGGATGATGTCGTAGATGACGATCACATGCAGTCACATGGGGCGACGCGTCGCGCGGGCGGGAACAGAGACCACCATAGGTAGCCCCTCTCTGTGTTCGCCTCCGTCAGTGCGTCATCATGCGCTCATCTACTTCCATCCTCTCTTATATACCCGCCCGCAGCCCTCCCTCCAACCCGCCGTACATTCCTTCACCATGGACAAAACTACGTCTATCGTCGCTGCATTTAATGCAGGAAAACAACCGTCACAACATCAGATTAATGCCTGGATCGACGCACTTCTAAGCTCTGAGCTCCTACAGGTCGGGCAGTCTTCCGTTGGGGGAGAGCTCAGCGAGAGCGGCGTCAAACTCGCCAAGGATGCTCGAAATATTCTCCAGGCGTATAAAGCCTATGGCTCGAGCAAGAATGGTGCGCCCTTCAAACTTCTCCTTCTCGTTGCGTACTTGTTCTAACTGTTGAACAGCCGATAATCACCTTCAGGATGCACTGTACCAGCTCACACAAGCAGACGTTTCCGCTTCCTCTCTCAATGTTGATGCCCCTATGGACAGAGAAGAAGCGACTCGCGACTACCGCGCTGTTGCTTCCTCCCTTCGCACGTCTTTGCAAGTCCTATGGACCAACGCAACGACGGAGGGCGGCGGCGTCTTCACCGATTTTGCTTCCTTTTTACGCCTCTCAGTCGCAGACGCTGCAGAAGCCGTCAGCAAAACTGCCGCTCATACTGCGGAGAACCTGAGGCAAACCGAGGATGAAGTTCAAAGTGGAGACCGTGACGCCGTAGGAAGAAAAAGGAAGTCTCACGATGATGACGCCAACGCCGACGTGAAAGTCAAATTTGAGAAGGGTATGGACAGCGCAAAGGTCGCTGGCGCATCGATTATCAGCGCAGGCCAGGAGGCCAAGTCCAAGGCCGACGACATGGCTGCGAAATCTAGCCAGAGACTCACTGAAATGTGCACAAGGGTTCGTCGTGTACCCGATTTCTCTTATTCCTGATATGCTCAACCGCATTTAGATTGCTAAGCGTGCTCAAGAGGACGAGCAATATCGCAAATCGCTCGATACCATCTTCGATCTCGTGCAAAAATGGCTCACCTTGACTCAAGACGCTGCCGCCGGCGCTTCGCAAGAGACGTCGCTTGATTCCTTCATCCACGACCCCACGCCGGACAAGCATCTCATCAATGCCTTGCGATCCATTCGCACCCTCGTCGAGAATATTGCGGGTGGGAAGAGTCTCGAAGATTTGTTTTCCGCCCTCCGCAAGTGCGTGCTCGACATTCGTCGCGACAAGGACCTTCAGTCACTGGTGAACGACTTCCTTACCTTCGCCAAGAAGAGCTTTGCTACCGTCGGACTCGAGGATGCCCAGGAGCAAGAACGCCATGATCTTAAGAGGCGCTGGAAGGAGTTGATGGAGGGCGATACTGATTCTGCCAAGAGGTGGAAGGAAGACGTTGGCAGGTTACGGTCGCAGGTGGAAGCCTTCGAGGATCGTGTGCACAAAGATGTCGAACTCCAGAAGATCAGGAAGGCGCATGCCCAGTTCGGTGATGATCTGCAAGAGACGCTGTTCAAGGCATCTGCTACAGGACTGCAGTTGTCGTTGGACCACGCATCATGGGTTTGGCAGGATGCTTTCAACGCGTATCTTCCGAGACTTCTGAGCTTGGTGCAGAGTGTTCCCATTCCTAGGTATGTAGCACTCTTCCTCGTGACATTGTCAGCCTCTTATGGCCTCTTCCGCAGAACCGAATACAAAGATCCCCAGGTAGAATTCGTGTTGGAAGATCTGGATATTTCGTCATTCTCCATCTTACCCGGTCACATCTTCATCCGAAATATCACCGACATCGATATCACCGCGCCTGAGAACAGGGCTGCCACGACCGCCGTCGGCTCGCTCACACACGTACATGTTAAAGCGCTCCAGCTTTCTCTGCGCGAAGTATCGTTCTACTACCAAGACAAGACAGCTTCTCTCGGGCCTTCCGAGTTTACTGGTCTGGTTGAGGTGACGCTTCCTCCGCAGGGTATCGACGTCGACGTCAAGCTGCGCATGATCCCAAACACGCCCGAGGGCCTGAAAATGCGCGAGCAGTGTGGCGGGTATCACCGCATCGAGCGTGTCGACGTGCAGGTGTCGGAGGACGTTGCGTTTGTGATCAAGCAGTCGAATCACCCCGTCCTCGTGTCTGTGTTCAAGCCGATCTTTAACGCGCGCCTCCGGGACACGCTCCAGACAGTGCTGAGAGAGCAGATCCGCGCGACGCTGGAGTGGGCGGATGGCATGGCGTGGGACGTGGGTCGGCGCGCGGAGGTATTCAGCGATGCCGGCCTCGGCCAGGGCGCCTCGCTCGCCGCCGCATTTTGGAGCGAGCTCGGGAGGGTGAAGAGAGAGGAAGGAGGGCTGTTCAGCGGGTGGCGGGCGATGGGGACGGGCGTGGTGAAGGACATCGGGAGCGGAGAGGGGGGCGGGAAGGCGAAGTTTGCGATGGGTGCGGAGCCGCAGGTGATCAGTGGGGAGAAGAGAGGTCCGAAGGGAACGCTGTCGAAGCCGTTAGGTGAGACCGCCAAGGAGAGCGTGGGTGAGGCGACCGGGCTGGATGCGGGTCTTGACGCGGACACAGACATTGATATAGAGGGCGTGGCAAGTCACGTCGCGGGAGGCGTGAAGGAGGGTGTGCAGAAGGGCGCGCAGACAGCGAGGTCGTTCAAGAGTTTGATTGAACATAAGAGAGAGCAGGAGGAGAACAGGCCTGGGTGGTCGAGTCCTGCTTTCGACGTTGGGCGTTGAGGGGCATCTTGCTTATGCACAATGTCACTAGGTTTTCATTTTCTCTGTAGTGTATTCGTTACGTTTGGAATGTTGTACAATATATCGTCGATGAATGAAGAATTGATCTCTGTGAGCTTTCACAGTCCAAAAAAAAGCGTCTTATCATAATTAAATCGATGCCGATCGGCACCTCCGTTCATTCAATCAACGCCAATCTATCTCACTGTGTATGTTGGCTCATATAACATTCAACATTGATCTCTGCGATTGGGATTTGACTTCATAATTGACTTCTTACAATACAACAGCTTCATGATGGGTCGGATACCGCTCTCTGTTCCGAGCTAACGATCGCAATCGTGACGAATACGGGAACCAGGTCAGACCGCCGCATCACAGCGAAGCTTTGGTGTTGTAGCTCTTGACGAACTCCAGGGCGGCAGGCGGGCTGTTAGAAGGAAGAATCAGGATCCGGACAAAGGCGCGCATAGACAGAAAAATAGAAATAAAGGGAGGTACGCACCTCTCGGTGGGCGTGACGGGGTTGCGCTTGTCGACGAGCTTGCCGCCCTTCTCGAAAATGAAGTGGCTGCGCTTCGTCTTGCCGTTCTCTTTGGCGCCGAGAGCAGCGATGAGGAGGCGGTCGGGGTCGGAGATGAGGGGGTAGGGAAGCTCTTTCTGTAGAGAGAACGTATGTGAGTGACATAGTTTAGGGCGAAAAAAAGCGAAAAGGGGAAGAGGTACGTGCCTTGGTCTGCCATTTGGTCTGCGCGCTAGGAGAATCTGCGCTCAGGCAGTAGACATCAAAGTTGTGCTCGGTGAAGTCGGGGTAGACGTCCCGGAACCCGCACGCCTGCGTCGTGCATCCCGCTAGCGCCGTGATCGATGAGAGACCCGAACAGAGCGGGGGATCAAACGCGCGACTCACCGGTATCGGCTTTGGGCACCAGGAACATCACAACGCCCTTCTCGGCGGCGAGGCTCGCGACGTCGATGTCCTCGCCCTTCTCGTTCTGCAGCGTCAGCGACGGGAGGCTATCGCCCAGATCTATCTTTGCGAGCTCCGCCACGTCCTCCTCTGCTGGGACGATCTTTGGTGCAGGATCAGCAGCTGGCGTCTATGGATGTACGTTGATGATATTAGATCTGATGTCACGTCGACGAGTTGGTGTGTAAATGATCTAAGAACGCACCTCTGATACGGCTGCGGTGCCGTTTCCGGCGAGTCGCGCTGAACGTCTTGGTGCGTCGGACATATTCGTCGCGAAAAAGCGGTTTGGAGGGGAGAAGAGGGAGATGGTAGTGGTGGTGGTAAGAGTGCTGGTAGGGTTATCAAGCAAGCTCGGTCGTGGGCGTGCAAGCTGTAGTAATCCACCGGGTACTGAAGGGATTATAATGGGCCGAATCCCGTTGGAGGGTGTCCGCGACCAGCTGGGTTTGGGCTCCAGAAGCCCAGCCTTGGATCGCACAATCGCACACTGGCGTGAGGCTATCACTGACGGGAACATATGATGTGTGCTGAGTGAGCAGTGCGACAAAGTCCTGGCTTTCCCGTACTGCAGGCTTTGTGCAACGTTGTCCGGGCCGCAATCGCTGCACACATCTCACGGATACGCAAAAATAGATAGAAGGGGCAGGTTAGAATCTGGACGAGCCGTCTCAGACCAGCTCTGACCGACCAGCAACAGTGAACCGGGCGGGCATCAGTCGACATCCGATCAGTGAGTGTACTAGTGAGGCTACTGACGGTCTTGTAGGCCAGCCTTTCGGAGTTTAAAAAACACCAGATCCACGGTGAAGGGATGCTTGATAGGACCACTAATAGGTGTCTGAAAGCAGCAACAGTTACCACATGTAGTCCAATATGGCCGCCACAACGTTCTCCATGTCGTCCCCAACATCCTCCTATGCCCCTTCCTCGTCGGCTGTGACGATTCCGACCCCGGGAAGGTCTATCCTAAAGCGCCCGCCACCACCGAACCAGTCATTCTTTTCCCGCATCTCAAAGTTTCTCCCCAATCAAAATCAGCCGCAGGCCAGCGCCGGCGACGAGAGCAGGGCATTGCGTCGGGCGCACTTCATCCTCCCCGAGCTAACTACCATCTATCCGATCTCGGCTGCTAACCCTCCGTCGACGCCTCTGCTGAAGGAGGAGAAACGGTCGATAGAACAGCGGGAGGCTGAGCGGCGATGGCGGGTCGTGCGAGGGAGCCCGTCGGGATCTGGGGGCGAGGCGGACGAGTGGTGGAGCCTGGAAAAGGTCGAGTCATTCTACAGAGAGTGCTCGGCGAGTCGAGAGGACACCCCCAGCCCTGAGATTTCAGCTGCATTTATGGTGCGTGATACATCATGCATCATTCGAATTGTGATTTCCGTCAATACGTTACGAGGTATGCTCGCCCAGAGTAGAGATATCTGATTAGCCTCATGGCCGCGGACGCCTCCAGATCCCAGTCTCACATGCATCGCCGTGTATAGTCTGGGTGATCCGCGCTTTCATGTTGAGCGCAAATTGCTCGATGAATACGTCATGTTCTCTGCCATTACTTGCTCATTCTCGTAAATTCACTCGCGCAGCCAGTCGTAAATCTCATGGACGGCTGTAACATTTTTCATCTCTGGCAATAGACTTCCTCCTCCACTCCTGTCCATCTTCCGACGACTTCTGAATCCTCGTTTCAGAATGCTGCTGGCACAAATCCCCGCGCGGTAGACTTCTCTGGCGTGCAGCTCACTCCGACATCCGCTGCGACCCTCTCAGACGTATTTAACATCGAATGGGGCCTTCGCACGTTGACTTTTCGCGAGTGCGACCTTGACGATCGGGTGCGTATTCATTTGCCCATATTGGCTAACGGGAAGCCTGACCTGCAATCAGACGTTGAAACCTATTCTGCATGCCCTCCTTATCCCCGGCACCCTTACCTTTCTCTCTGTTGCATCAAACAGACGACTGAAGGCTCCCGCATTTCGTCTCATAGGTGCATTTGTCTCCAAGGTGAGTCTTCCGTGCCTAGCGAGCACTCCAGGTCGTCATGTGCGATGATAGGCAAAAAGCCTACAATTCCTGGATCTGTCACAAAACTCTCTGGATAAGAAATCCGTCGAGAGTATCGTTGCAGCTCTGCCACAAGGGCCGGAGCAGGGTATATCATCTATCAAATTAGACGACTGCTCCTTGCGGCCAAACACCCTAGAAACTCTGGGTGAGTGGAGTCATGCTTTTCTGACAGCATGGCCGTAAACATCAGGACAGCACAAGCCGTTCGCACATCCTCCTTGCGGAATATATCCCTGCGACATAACCGCATCAACGCGACGGGCGCAGTTGCGATTGCGCTCATGATCAGGGACTACCCGGATACCGTTACTGGCTCAACACCCACATCTTCCGCTCCATCGACACCGCCCATGTCTCCGCCACCCACGCATGCGATCCTTCCTCACACATCCCCTGTCAACATTGCCGCCGCCGCTGCCGTCTCTACTGTACGCTCGGGTCCGCTCCCGCCACCACCAAAACACCCCAGCACCAATCCGCAAACAACCTATACTCCATACATTCCTCGCTCGAAACGGGCGGTTCCAGCGACTAATCCACTGTCACCAAGCGGACAGCACGTACCCATCATCACGTCGTCCGCACAGGGCGGTGTGACAACGCGCCATCCGGCGCCTAGAAATGCTCCTCTCAACGGCTCTGGGAATAGTGGCTATCACGATCATGGCCCGAGCGCAGCGCTGTTGGACAAAGTACGAGCGCTGGACGCTCTGCCGCGGATCGGCGCGCTGAGGACCCTTGATCTCAGGGGGAACGACATTCGCGTGGGTGTCGACGATGCCCACAAAGTGTGCCAGTTATTAATTTTTGAGCGTTTCAGGGTGGTATCACGTACATTGCCCAAGTGCTGAAACGTAACCGGACGCTCAAGGTCCTGAACTTGAGCGAGAACAAGCTGGACATGCAGGGACTCGTCGCGATCGCTGAGGCTTTGGTACTGAGCGCTTTCTTGTTCCGTTTATTCTTCCACCTAATTGATCTGACAGAAATACAACTCGAGCCTGGAGACGCTGGACCTGAGCAAAAACCCTTGTTGTGGTCCCGGCCTGGATGGGGTGCGTGCCCATTTGCTCTTCTTAACCATCCTCTTAAGCGCGCGCCTTCCGTAGGTTCAATCTCTGCGGACGGCGTTCACGTTAAACACCGCGTTAAAGCGTCTCTTCCTATCGTCGACGTCGATGACTTCCGCCGGGGCTATCGCGCTGGCAGAATTCCTGCCTGAATCGAATTCGCTGCTACACCTTGACCTCACAATGAACAACCTCGACCTTGCGGGCGTCATGGCCCTGAGCGAGGGGTTGAAGGGCAATCATGTCATGCGTTGTCTAGATCTCAATATACCCCCAGACGATGAACAAATGGCTCGGTATGATCGTCAAGATTTTCTTCTACTTGTATCTGACAAGGTCCTCCTCCCAGAATGTGTCGCAATATCCTCAATACGTGTATTCGGAACACAGAAGAAGCCGAGCGTAATTCGCCGACGCCGCCCGCAAGCGGTCTCAGTGGGCGAGGGCAGGGCAAGGGTGTCTGGGGCATGATCGAAGAAAGCAAACTGGCCAAGATGATCCGCCAGGATGACGAGAAGAAGGTCGAGTCCCAACATCCTCATCAACACGACGTCCCTTTGCTCACCGACTTAGCGGAACAGAGTGGGAGCGAGATGGCCATGCAAGCGCGCGCGTGTAAGGAGCAGCTCGAGGAGCTCGTCGCCCGTGCAGAGCTATCCTCGCCGCGCGAACCGCTGGGCCAAGTTGATCTGGAGCTCATTTCCAAGGCTAAAGCCCTCTTGTCGTCTCTTGCAGGGACGATCCGGACGGTATCTGAACCAGCACGCCTTGAGGATCTGCTCACTCTCAATGACTCCCTGACATCTCTGGTTGCACACGCGAGTCCACGTCCAAAGGTCACGCTGACAGGATTGGGCATTGACCTGCATGACGTAAAAGGAAAGGCTAGCCCAGATACAATTCCTAATGGCGGGGGGAGCGATTTGAATGGGTCAGCCAATGGGCATATAGTAATTGCGGATAAGGAAGACGATGAGCATGAGACCAAGGCGGAAGAAGACGTCCCAGCCACTCCCAAGGTGGATAAGGGCAAGGGCAGAGCGATTCCGGAGCCAGAAGAGCCGGAGAAAGTTCTCAGTCCTAATTTTGTCCTTGAATCGGATGATGAGGACGGCCATATCCCCGAGACCGTAGAGGACGAGCGTTCGCCTACGAACATGTGCGCTAATATTTTTCTCACCTTGTTGTCCTTCTGATCACACATATCTCCAGGTCACGAAATTGGGTCGCCGAGGAGGGAGAAGTGTTCCGTAGAGGGAATAAGCTCTTGGGACCAGAGGAGATGGAGGGTGAGTATGCCGGAGAAGAACTACGGATAGAGGTGCGCTTTCCTATATATAATATCTTAAGCGCCCAGCTGATACAATCGTCATGACAGCTTCTCGAAGCCATGGTGGATCGTCCCCCGCCGCGAGCCATTCTCGATGACTTTGGCATGGAGATTGTTCCGAGTGAGCTTCCTACCTCACCCAAGGTCGAAGATCCGAAGCCCCTCCCTCGACCTTACATTTCCCGTCGGTCTTCTTCTGCCTCCGTCACCGGGCAGACGGGAGGTGTCACTTCTCCAGGCGCGACAGGTGACGGTGCTGCACAGAGCCCGAGCACTCTGCTCAGCCCCATTACACCCCTCTCTCCGGGTTCCCGGTCATATATGCCAAGAAGAAAGACGTCGAATGCCTCGCTGGAGACGCACTGAGACATACCGGACCGTGCGCCGCACCCCCTTCAACTGTGCGGTCTCTGTATGTCATGCTTACTGAATCCTAGTAGTTGGATGATGCATTCTTATCCACATCGTACAGAACCCGAACTGCACATTTCACTTGTCTATCTTTTTTGTGGTCTGGGCTAGCGCGTTAAAGAAACTTATCTGTGGATTTCAGTCTTGCATAACCCATGCCTGATGTCACTTTCTTTCGCTCACTTCACATTGACATTATATCCTCATATTAGTCTTCATTGGAGTCCTGCGGCAGACCCTCACGTATATCATACCTTCCCCCACATTCCCTCCTTTTCCAATCGCGCTACATATACATTCTCGTATGCTTTATGTGCAATAATGTCAGATTTTGGCTCCAATTCCTTTGCCTCTATAATGGGCCTAGTGGTCAGGGTGCGCGTGTATAATCTTACGAGCTGCGAGGTCATACATCATATGTAGATCACAATCCTGCATAGAAAGAAATCTGCGATAACTAGTAAAGGACACGGATACATCATGCTACAGAAACAAGGTGGACTATTACCGGGTGGACTCCATAGAATGGACATAATGAGAAATGCGTCTATGGATCAATTAATACTCATATCAAGAAATTTGGTCAACCTGGAGCAGAATAGAAGTAACTCGCCACACGCATCAGCTGGGCCCGCCCAGACTATCCCCTCACATTGCATCCATGTAATTCTTACACCTTTCCCACAGGCGCGCCCATCTCCCGCCGCCCCACTGTCTCATCCTAGCCCACCCATCATGGGGCGCTACGCGCTCGACCCAGATCAACACCGAACACATGGCAAAATCCGCGTACGAGAGCTCACGGCCCATAGCGACGATGCCATCCCCATCGGGTGCCCTGTTCTTGTCCAAGATAACAGCGAGAAAATCGAACTTCTCCTTCACTGCAAGCCAAGCCTGTTCGCGCTGTGGGCCCGGCGTTAAGTGTCCCGGCATTGGCGGCTGCGAGCCAGCATGAAAATGGGCCTGGCTGCGCTCAGGGAGGCGAAAATGGCTGAGGGGGACCATGATCAGCAGAAGTGGTTTGAGAACGATGTCGTTGAGGAAGTGGACAAAGGCAATCTGGAGCGCGCGCGAGCCGTCGGGGAAGACTGGGCGAGCGGGGTAGGTGGCCTCGAGATACTCGGCGATGGCGTTGGCCTGCGAGAGGACGATAGGTTGGTATCCTGGTGATCGTGAGGGGTCTACAATCACAGGCAAAGAATAGATTGGGCGGCCATCCCGGTGCTGTCCTGTCGGCGGGGCATTGATGGATCGGAGGGTACGTTCAACGTCGTGAAATTCAATCCAAACGGTGCGGTATGGAAGACGTTTATAGTTTAATATGAACCTGCGAAGAAGATGATTAGCTGCGGTATAGATAATGAAATGAGGTAGGTGAATTGCCTAATGCGCCATATATTTGGGGCCCATGGCTCTGGCATCGCAGAGGGAACATCGTAGAGTGTGATGCTTGGGGGAGCCATCGGGTGGAAAAAATGGTTGATAGTTTCGTTCGACCGCTACCGTTATTTATCAATCCGGGAGCGGGCTCGGCAGAGTAGGTCAAGGCCCAAACTCCATCATGGTCCACGTAAAATCCCGGCACATCAGAATGAATACGGTACCACATCGCTGAGTGAATGACTCCGTCAGCAGCGACACGGGCATCTGAATAGAGAGATGTACAGCTTGAGAGGTCAACAGGCTATATCGGGAAGACTTTTTTGAATTGACGCTTGTGAGCGTAGGTCCGGAAGGGCGTAGGTTGAGTACCGCCGATGGGGCCTCAACCGTTGGAACCTAGGAGAGCTCCCGGGTTTCTGACAATTCCGCTGTTCTCCGGTCGGCGCAGAATCATCTCGACGCAAACCTATACAGAGCAGATAGTGTTAATCAAGGATGACAATTACTTGTTATTTCCGACAAATATAGGCAATCGACAAAAAAAGAGAATTGGGAGGACATAGGGATAAATGCTGTCTCGGAGACTCAAAGAGTTCAAGATAACTTATCAAGTTACTAGAAAACCTAATAAAAAGCTTAACTCGACACGTGGCAATTGGTAGTGCTACCCTTCCTCAACAAAGCTCTCGGCGCTCTTTGTAGCCTCGAAGGCTATGCATCTCTTTCGCTGTGCTTGTTGCTGATTTCGTCCAATGACTTGTTCACTATTGAGTACTTTCTCGGGTCGATATTCATGGCGCCTCATGGCGGCCTCAGACAGCAAAGCAATAATGATAGAACAAAAGTTGCGTTGAATACAACCTAAATCTAATCACAGGCATGGTTTTACCAGCTATCTCAACGGGGAGCGCGCTATGTTTTCTATAGGAATGTTCTGCAGGCAAAAAATTACAGTGCATTTCAGGTCGTGTCCAGTGGGCGCGACTGTGGCGGTTCATCAAGAGACTCTTCTAGCTATGGTATGCACACCGTTAATTCCTCCTACTTTACCGCGTATCGTTGGATATCCTCTGTTGCATCGGACCCGCTTGCTGCACCGCCCTTTGGATAGTTCAGGTCTCCGAGGATTTACATGTCTTGTCATCTCGCTTTTCATTACAATTGTACCCTTATAACTATCAAATTCCTATCCCCCCGTGTTCATCATCACGGTTCCAGCCGTATTATGCCGTTTTAACTACCCATATCCTTCATTCCTTGAAGCGAGTCACATCAGACCACAATAGTAGCAACTCTCTATTTCTCCCATTGAGCGCCCACACCTATCCGGTTCCTTCTCCCGTAGATCGACTCATGAAATTTTGTGCCACGATGCAGCCGGTGCTTACTCCCTAATCTGTCCATGGCCCATTACAACAAAAGACAAATCCTCGTCGGACGTAGATCTTGTGCGCGCCCTCAACCGCGGTGTCACCCGTTGCCCGCTCGCCGGAGTTCCGAAATATTGGACCGTGTACGGTTGTACAGCGATACAAGGTGCGGCCGGTTTTAGATGCCATCCGTATATTTCACACTCCACTCATTTCTCAAGTGTTCTCAGGCTCATAAATTCGTTACCTCCGAGGTGTCCCGACATCTGCACCTGTCTACGGGGAAAATTCATGGTAACTTACTCAGGGTGAAGGATATGGTCTCTATGCTACCGGCACTGCTCAATCAGCGTGACTGATTCACAACGCTATTGCGCGTCACCAAATTTGTACTTTTCCTGAACTGCTTCTTCAATTACCGAAACGTCACAGAAAGGTGATTGCACCGTTCTTTACTATCTCGGAGGTGGCTAGCTGTCTAAAAAAACACCGCCGTCACTCGTCAATCATGGGATGCATGCCCAACAGCTAGAAGGCACCATAGGACTGAGGTCATCATCTCCCCATCAACTGTGAACACAGCAGAAAGCAGGACATCTCGCTGTTATGATCCGTCTACTCTCATCATAAACCGATGCACGAGCAGCGCCCGCCGCCCGTGGCTATATTATGTAGAACAAAGCTCGAGCGTTTGACTCATCCTAGGACGCTTACGATCTAGTTTAGCGGGTGGTTCTCAGCGCCTGCGTCGATACGTCATTTGAGTGTTACTATGATAGCGCCCTCAATGTGGTGAGTCTTCTGCCTTCTTTTCTAGAATTTATTTTGGTCGGAAATCTGGTCATTCACCGGGCGCCTATCCCCACGGGAGGCTTCAAAAGCGCCCTTTGATGTGCTGACAGGACTTCTGTATTTCAGTTCACCTCCTCGGCGCTTTGGTTAGCATTCTAAGAGGTACCAACATATTCGTGCGACTTGATACATGATACTTGTGGAACTCGTCGATAATACGGGGTTACCGGCCTGTAGTTACCTCCACAGCGACATGCCAAACAAAATGCCGCATCCTCTGCTATTGATTGCGATGTATCTCGGAGGCACCACTGCATTACCGATTGCCTATTGTAAATCGGTTTGTGGGCATCCGCGTTCTACGCCGCAATCGCATCAGCATGGGACAGCCATCATGTTTGCTCAATAGGTTTATGAGGGTAAATGCTACCGATCTCCTCATCAATCCTGTCGCATATATGCTAGCTCTAGCCAATTCATTGTCCAGACTACTTAGTAGTCCAGCCTGCAATACCTGGCGGGAGTAGTGGGAAGAATTCATGGTCGCGACCACACACGTACCCTCCATTGCCTTGCTGACCGTCATCGTCGAAGGTTTCGACTCCACGGCCTTCGATACTTAAAGAAGTTTCCCACCGCCTTCCGTTGATGGAAGACATAAGGATTGATATCCGCCCCATGAAGCAAGATGCTCGCCAAAACCAGCTTTCACTGAACTGCGATACACCTCTATAAACAATTTTCCAGTGGTTCGTCGAATGTAACTGGCTGCGGTTTGTGTGATGCTCGCAAATAAGCAATTGCACGATGCTATGGATTGGGATATAGCTACAGCTATACCAGCCATTATTTAATGTTGCATGAGTTCTATGAGACAAACACTCCTATCGACGGCCTCCAGAGGCAAATATCGATCTCGTATATGATACCATAAGAACTTGGATTTACCTGAAGAATTGCTTGTTTTATATGTCACTGTTCTTACAAGAAGATGATGCGGATCAGCTCAGATGATCACAGCGGTAGGATACATATTAGCGTTGTCAAAGGCTACGAAGATCAAGTACCCGACGATTCCACTGTTGGTCGAGAGGTGTCGATGATATCTATATGTTTTCTTTGAGAATGACCGATCTCCCTAAGGGAGAGATACTGTAAAGTACTGTATGCATCACATTGATCCGAAGGGAATGGAGGATTAAAACATACGTTTATTTTCCCTGTATGACGTTTGAACTTTTTCAAATCCTCCTAAGTATTCCAGATCGACATGTGGCCGGGCCAAGGATCTTATTGCAGGGTCGCATTGGATGATCAGGTATACATGAAGCGCGTCGCACAGCCAGAATTAAAAAGAGCTTGTTGAGATTAAAAATTTTGAGATAAGTGGTAGGGAGCCTGAGCGCTGCTCGGCGCTCAAGCGCTGCAGGAGATAAGCGCTTGTTCTGCCTCGAGGCAGCATCTCGGCTGCAAGTGGAGATGGAAGATGAACTCTGGATATTCACTCATCGACTTCTTTCATCGATGGCATTTCAGTATACAGGTCACAAAGATGATGGCAGCAGATGGCAGCAGGTACAGAATTGATCTAATCTTATCTAGAAGACATCAACGCGAGACGCGTGTAGATCACGTGCACTACGTCTGTTGATCAGGTCCAGACAAGGTTCACCGCTCAACAAGGTTCCACAGCTCCGTCCCTCTTGCTCTCAACTCTCATCTCCATTTTCTCCCATACCCATCTCATCTCTCGACAATCATATTATGCCTCGCAAAGCAGCAACTGCCGAAGACTCTACTGTCGCACCTCGTCGGTCGGCTCGCATCCGAGATATCCCCAAGCCTGCTGAGCCCGCTCCGGCTACAATAAAGAAGGCCACTAAACCGCGGGCGAAGAAGACTAAGGAAACCGACGCCAACGGTGATGCAGAGCATACCACAGATGCGGAACCCGATGTGAAGGAGAAATCAAAAGCTTCCGCACGCGGTAAGAAGAGAAAGGCAGCAGAGAAGGATGCTGACGCCGCTACCGAGCCTGCCGCTAACGGTGCTGATGATGGCGAGGCTGCGCCACCCCCGGCCAAGAAGGTCAGCTTTATCGACTCATCCATCTTAGATCGTGGTAATAAAACTACACAGGCCAAGCCTGCGTCCAAGGCTATTGAGAAGCCTGCATCCAAGGCTGTTGAGAAACATCCTTCTAAAGCTGCAGAAAAACCTGCATCTCGCGCCATGAAACCCGCCTCTAAACCCGCCGCTAAACCACTCTCCAAGGCTACGTCTAAGCCCACATCCAAGGCTGCTTCGAAGCCCCCCTCGCGTGCTGCATCAGCTAAGCCACCTTCTCAGACCAAACCTGCGTCTCGCGCAGGATCAAGAAAACCGGCTTCAAAAGTGCGTCATTTTTCATTTTTCTGTCTGTTCCCGCTTGACTTATGAATTATGGGTGCTCTCCTGCATCAATAGGCCGAAGGTGATAAACAAGAACCCGCAGTCGCACCTCAGGAGACTATTGCTGAAGAAACAGAAGAAGAAGCCAACGCAGCTGAAGCAGCCGTTGAGGTCTGTTCAGCCCATTTACCCGTGATCTAATAAGGTTCCCTCCATCTGACTGATTCATAGGCCTGACGTGAACACTTTTGGATATTTTCCTCTCCACTGTACCGACACGACCTGATGTTCATTCGCATATTGCCCCAAGGCACAAGGCAGACTTTCTACTATCTATTGGGACGCAAGCATTGTTGTCATATACTCAGCTCTGGCTCTCTGTCCGACTTCATGTTGTACCCACCATGCTGCGTAACGTGTATTGCCAGCCGAATTTCTCGCCCTCGTCTGTCATCTCGCCCACGACGCCCATCTATATCTGTTTCCCTTGCCTGGCTTATTGTCTCTTATCCTTGGTTGTATATATCCGCCTTGATATTGTACACGACTTGTCAATTCTGCTATGCCTTCGGTTTCCTCACCGATGCCTTCACACTGATCGTGCCTCTAGTTCTCGGTTCTTCTTCTACTGTTCGCGGCGATGCCTCCCCCCATGCATGTGGGCCATACTCTGATATATTGTGGTCCACGCGCTTTCAATGACATAGCATCATTGCGCACAGACCTTGGCCAGCCCATAAAGCATAGTTAGTCTTTTTGGAAGCACGTGACCGGATCCGCGTTCGCGTTGTGGTACTTAAGGTAGGTCGCAGTCTCGCAAGTCGTCTCCCCCACCCCCATCAACACCGTCCTGGCTCACTCACTCACGGACCGAAAGCAAAGACCTCGTGGGTAGTATTCAAACAATTTGTGAGTACTGATGTTTTCCATTTTTCCCTGCTATTTGACGCAACTCTATGTTCAAGCCCCTTCTCAACTATAACCGTTTCTCAGTTCGTCGCCATGACTTCTAGTGCCTTCAATATCAAGGAATGTACAGCGAAATGCAGCCCAATCATTGAACTCAGCCACCGCAAACCACATTATCTGCAACCCGTCTTTTTGACTGTCTCACCCTGCATATGGTGAGATCGCGAAGCTGTCAGGGTGGTTCATCATCCGAGACTGTATCTGGCGCGAGTTCTTTCACGTCATGAATAGCAAGTCTGAGGACTTGCACCGTCTCTCAGTCACATTTTTTGACCGCTTTGGGAATATCCGCCCGGGGATTGTACACGACAATTACCACAAAGGTCTCGGCACATGGGGCGAAGAGCTCAATGATGGAAGGCTAGTTCATATTAAAGATATAAAAGTCAAAGACGAGGTTTGTCTTCAATCCAATCTCGCATTTACTTCGATTGGTTGATTGATTTTCCTGCGGTAGCTTAAGCATACAGGAGTCGATTCTCTCTGTTTGGACTCTTTCCTGAAATCTGTGCATGTAGACGCACAAACCTTTGTCTTTTTCTCTCCCGGTAAAAGGCTCCCGGAGGGCCCCCTGAAGGAGCTGTACGACCGGCAGACTGAATTGTTCAGAAAGGTATGCATGAGAAGTTTGAAGTATACCTAGTACCTCGACTGACCTCGCGTTCAGTTTCATAGTACCTCGACTGACCTCGCGTTCAGTTTCATAGTACCTCGACTGACCTCGCGTTCAGTTTCATTTCCGCCGCGTTGGGCGTACAATGTACCTTGGGTACTGCCCAAACAAGGAGCACCCGTCGCGCCAGGTAGCTGCAGCTGATGACATCGGCGACTTCCATACCCGTCCAGAAGGTGCCGAAGCTCAGACCACTCATTGCACATCCTGGGTACGTGATGAATGGCGAGAAAACCTCGACGAAGCCGGGATGAAGTATCCCCTGCGGCTTTGATGTACAAGTCCACGCACGCTGAGGCATTGAGCGTATGCATCCATGCCACTCACGCTATGGCTCCCACTCTGGTGCATGAACAGGACGATCTCGGCTACACACCTTTGCATATCGCGGCGTCCTTGGGTAATGTGAGAGCGGTGCAGGATCTCATCGCGCTTGGAGTTGAGGAAGACCTTGCGAAGCGAGACTACGGAGACGGAAGGACGCCGCTCGAGGTTTGCATGAAGCAGGCGTGCGATTCGAAGGAGAAGCAAGAAACCTATGTCGAGCTAGACACAGACTACCTTCGAGTTCAGTGGCTTTTACAGCAAGCGATGGGATATCCAGGTCTCGAGAACGAGGTTCTGTACGTGCGCAAACGCAAGTTCGGATGCACGTGCGAACAATGTGAAGATGGCTGGCTGAGCCCCCGTATGAGGTTTCGGTTGTATTGTAAGCTTTTGCATCATCCAGCCCGCCTTTGCTTGTGACCCATGTCCGCAACTATTTTCTGTAGGCACTGCGGGTCAAGCATACGACTTGACGAGTTTTAGCTTCATACAATTCCCTTGCGGTCCAGAGGATGCACGGTTCGACCTCATCCTTCCATATCTCCCTGTCCCTCTCCAGCAGTATGTGACGAAATCGTTCTACAATGGCTACCGCACGCTCTTCAAGGCCATCTCCGCGACTCTCAGTAACACACAGCCCGAAATTTCCAGCATCCCAACTCGTCAGAACCTCCTTGACCAACTGAACCTATCCGCTCCTGTTCCAAGTGGCCTGGACATCTTGAGCGCCAATCACTATCTCGAAAAGCAGGGTAAGGTGGAGTATGCGCTCAATTGCGTCCTCAGCTGCGCGACCGATCAAAGCCCGTTGGGCGATTACACTTTCGATGGGATGTGGGATAACGATGAAGATGAGGACCGCGACTACCTTGATCTTCCGAAGTGTGCGAACGACCTCAATATCAGGCAAGTTAGCGTCAAGTTAGGTTTGGCTTCGTTGCCTCGTGGGGGATCCTGTGAAATCTAGGATGACAGAACGGAGAAGAATACTGAGTACTGATATTTCGTGACGAATCGGACTAATCCTTTGCCTACCAGATTACGACTCATGCTCATCAAATTACAATGACGCCGATTCGATGCCTCCTTACCTTTTCTTGTGCCATCTTACCGCAATTCTTCCCCGTGTAAATATCTTCACGACTGGCCCATCGCTCAATTGACAGCTGTGTACCGAGACTCCCGTGCATGTAGTTTCATTGCAGCTTATCTTGGAATTGCATCCAAGCCTAGAGCCAGCCGAGTCGCGCGACAGACCAACACCGCGTGAGCCCGTGTGGGTGTTGCATCGGTTGCTGGGCTCACTCGATAGGTGACTTCTCCCAACCCTAGATGTTCTCGCCGCTGCTTTTGGACAACTTTAGTGTAGGACCGCTCTGTATTGCGCACGGACCTGGTCCACGATCACGTGCCCAATGCACGTCGCGTCCGAATTTTCAAGTCGTAATACCACCACCGCTTTTGACTCACATCCACCGCCTTTTGATGATTTAAGGCGTAGCCCATTAATTCTCAAGATCGACTATCGAACCTGGATTATTCTGAATACGCGGCCCAATCTCGTACATCGCCCAATCATAAGCTGGTTTTTTGCGGTCATTGGCAATTATCTGCTCTCCAAAGTGTTCAAGTAGCCATTTTCTCAAAATGATCTTGATCCTCTCAGCTCCTGATATCTAGGTATCCATTGGCGCACCCTGTGAAGCCATACTACAGGAACAAACTTCTCTGAGCTTGCATCTTGCCGATTGATTAAATGGTATTAATCACTGCGCGAGCTCCCCGCGACCCTAGATCTTACTATCAAAGTCATGTTACTCCCTACTATGGGAGTTGATGGCTTGCCGCGGAATCGCTTTCCAAGATTCTCATTGCGCAGGAGTGATATATTCTAACTGTAAGCTTTTGTGGATTGCTAGCGACTTTGTTGACGTCTCGGGCGTCTGGCACATCGGCGAATGCCGCACAGTATATCATGATAAGCCCTCCTTGACTCGACCCGGCCCCCAACGGCCCCCAACCCCTCCAGCTCACATGAACCCATGGAATATTTGTAGACAACAGCTGTCGGCTTCGGCGGGCGTGCGCCTGGTGAAGTCATTCTGCTAGGAATTGCCTACAGGCTCTTGGTACGTGTGTCACACCCGGTCGTACCATGCGCTATAGTGAACAGTTTAGCTGCCTGACGTCCAGCTGTGGGGGTGAGCATCGTTTCCGTCTCGACTGTAAATGATAGGCCCCAACTCATACCTGGGAATTCCTCCCCTTCAGCTGTTGCCCTACAACTCTGAGCCTTTAATCCCACCTCCATATAAATCAATAGACACTATTCTATGTGCGTATCTCCTCATTCCCTTGAACTTTCTGTATGGCCCTTATGTGCGACAACGGTGCGGATAGAGACTTTCAAGAATTACTGCGAGCTGCGACAAGGGGAGATGTCGCCCTCGATTTGCCTGGAGGCCTTTGGTGTAGCGTGGTTCCGGAGTCGCCCTTGACCGAGTTCCGGACCCCTCCGACTGATGCTCAGACGGAATTCGACGCCATCCTTGGGATGGAAGCTACCATCGAAACCCATTTACCAGGCTCTATTCACTTCATCCATGGAGCTCAGAACGTTAACGTAGAGGATTCTAAGTCCCACTGTGCGTCAATATCTGCGATTCCGCTGCCATCATTCGTTAGATGTTGATTTAGACCGTCTAGCCTCAACACCAGACCATACGCAAGAGCCCGTGTACCATGTTGACTCCAAACCAGATCACCATCCCATTTCGCTTGTAGCACCCCATGGGCGTCCTCACAGCGATGCGGACAACTTCTCGTACCAAGATCTACACAATAGGTCTTTCGACTCGTCGAGTGTCAGCTTTCATCAAAACGCAGCTGCTGCCTCACCGAGTGAGGCATTTCCCAATCGATCTCCATCGCTTGGTCTCCCCCCAACCCCACTGAATCCTGGAGGTGCGTCGCTCATCAATTTGATGATACGCTGTCACACATGTCAATGTTCCACTTCATAGGAGACCTTGCGAACGATATACTTGTCCACTATGGTGAGTGTACTCTGAACAGATGCTGCTCCTAATCGTAGAACTGTTGTACTAGATCCCCGTGCCCTTCCATCTGCCATGTCATTCATTCCAACCCAAAGTGGATCTGAAATCTTGACTATCCCACACCAGCCTGGACAATTGCGTGTTAACAGTGATTACGGCCACGGTAGCGTTAAGAAAGCTGCTTTTTATAAAGGTGAGATCGGTTTACATTCCCGACGTTTAGCATGTCTATGTACTCACATAGTTTAAGCCTCGCATGTTCCCGTTGACGAGCACGTGGTTCATACTCAGACAGAGACAACGATTGGCGGAACCTACTTAGAGCAGACATTTGGTATAGATGGCGTAAAGTCACTGCCGTTCGAAAACCCTTCCGATCCTGTGATACAGACAGCACCATCTCCGCCCGGCCGCCCCGGCCACGTCTTTTTGCAAGATCTGTTCGTGCCCTATGACAGGACAAAACGGACGTTCCAAGAGCGTTCTATGGGCACCTTACATTTCCAGATTTTTTACCGGTTTGAACTAATGGATTCCTTGGCCATATCTACAGCCTCGTGGTTGGCCAGGATCCTACAATTCACAGCTCTCCACAGCGAGCAAAGAACGTGTATCAATCGACTTGAAAAAGCTGATGAAGCTCATCGCAAAACGCACTCATCAATTCCTCGAGAAGTCAGTATTTGCGATCAATGATCATGTTCCTTCATCCGATGGGTTCCGTCAGACCTTCGCTGGTCCACCCGATGAGGTTCTTCTTATCGGGTATACCTTCGTATCGAAAGGGGTGATAATGCCAATTCTCTATTTCCCGTCCGGATGGAGATGACCGCAAGGGCCTTCCCTTTCTCATGTCTTTCAGTCGAGATGCGGATTCGATGGGAAACTAGTATAATTGACTAGCGCTTGACTACTGATGTGACAGCCTTCTGTATCTCATTTCTTCTTGGGACGGCTACCCATTCCGAGCCGTCGTATCTACTCTCGATATGGAAAAAATCCATATATACGTACATCATATTTTCATACAGGCAATTGACTTCGATTTCACGCACAGCTAGAAGATTGCAGCCGTTGTCTCGACGTATTAATTTTAGCTAAGCGAATCGACATATAGTATATCTCAAGCACCTGCCTGAGAATCAGGATGAGGTGAGTTGCAGGAGACAAGGGAAGAGAGGAAGTGAAATGGTGAGGATGCAAGGCCTTCCCGTCAATGAGGCACATTATTTTCTCAGACGGTCGGGCCCCTGTACACCTTCTCTATAACGGCCACGCGCTCGTTAGCCTTGAGGCCTTGAGGAGTTAAGCGGCATCTCTATGCATCTGCTGAGGGAGAGACTCCCGCAACACACAGCTCTCTATGTACAACTGTCTCTGCAGCATGCATTCTTCTTCGCACCCTGAAACTCCTCTTCCCTTTTTAGCTCATTCATGTACTCTTGGTGTACATTCGGTCTACTCGAACATTCGATGGTCTAGGCACAGCAGGCAGTTCATCAAGTGGGGTTTGGCTTTACAGGCGACGCGGGGCAGTGGTTTCCATTGCCCGCCTCAGCAGGGCTAACAATTCGGGTCTTGACTGGACCCTTTACTCGCTACATACATACGGTACCCATCTCCATCTTTACTTTGACCGCCACTGGTGTTACGCCACGCAGGATATCTCTGTGTCGATCGTTTTCTATAATAATTAAATGCGGGGCAGTGGTTGAGCGTGAAGTGGAATCGGGCTTAGCTGGGCAACTTCTTCGAGCGGCGGGGGTTCAGGCGTCAGCGAGGTCAAGTTAGAGGCGGGAAGCTCCACTAGATGTTTCCCCGAAAGCTACTATTTTTAGGGCGAAAATATGACCTTCGGAAAGCTGCGGGCATTCATGTCAAGTCGTTACCTGTCCTGTCGTTACCTCCGCGAGCCTCCGAGCACTTCCGAGCATCGTCTGCCTTCTTCCGCACCATTATACACTCAGCGTCACTCCTGTCTTCTGCCAGCGTCTGCTTCCGCGCTGCTTTCGCTTCTCTTTCGGCATGTCCCTCAGCGCTGCGGAGCTTGCTAATCTTGTGCCAGACAGGCATTCACGGATTCGAAACATACGCTTCAATGAACTTGATCTTGTCTCAGCATTTTCGTGCAGGGATCGCAAGATTGAACTACACACGCACATGAAGGCAAGCCACCTTCTCTATCATCTTGGCTCCAAAGTCTTAACAGGTGACCATTGGGATTCCATGTGGCTCACATTAATACCCGCTTCATGCTAGAAGGCACTTATGAAGCCGAAGGTAAAAGCAGCTCTTACTGTAGCTCAATCTTCGAAAGCAATCGGTCAAAATGTCAGTATTTGATTTTTTTTTTGCAAATGTAATGTATTTCATTGATTCTCATGTATCTAAACTACTGCAAGTGCCCGCGACGAGTAAGAAATAGGCAGAAACGAGCAGAAACCTGCGGAAACGAGAGAATTAGTGTGACATTGTGTGACAAATTATGACAAATCATGACACACGTGATCATCCCTGTCGGAACTACTCTTTTTCTGAGTGAAAATTGGCAAAAGTTACTATTTTTTTGGCTGGATTTTGAGGGTTTTGATGGGGAAACATCTAGTGGAGCTTTCCGGGGCCTCAAGTCAGGCCCGCACACATCGACGAGCTGGTTGCTCCTGCGAATTCAGACATACCTCAGGATGTCGTACGCGTCCTTACCACGTCAGCCACAGGGATTGACCATGAGGACGCACTAGCCCTGAGAGTTGGGTGCGATGGTCCACGCACGCGCTCGTCTTGTAGGGACGGGAGGGGAAGTGATGAGTGGGGCACGTCCGTGGTCTGCGTTTGTCTCGTACGAGATAGACGCGGTCGGCGGCAGGCGACACACCTCACCGAGTTCCCCTCTCTGCAAGGCGTGAGCATCAAACGAAGTTCCTAGACTACCCTCGGGGAAACGTCGACGAATGCCCACGCGCCCGGCCAGATCTAGAATCCCTATGCCTTCGAACAACATCGGCGTCATGGCCAATCTCCGCGAAAGTGACGGGGGATCGCACCCTAGAAGGATTTTGGAATGCAAGAGGCCTGTCTTCTCTCTCCCACGACAGCACCCACACTGCCTCCCTATCAATGAAAAGAATTGCACACTCGCGACCCACTGCCCTTTCACATTCCCTCGTGGCCGCCCGCTGAACGATCTCGATGCTCTCGGGCTCTTCTTAGTTCCATCACCTCGCTCCGCACTGACCCTTTTGGCACCACTCTTTTTTTTTTTTTTTTTTTTTTTTAATCAAAGCATTTATATCCCGCACAGCGTAGCGCCAGAGGCGGCATTATGTAAGTAAGAGTAGGCAACGAGTATCGTAGCGCGTTGAGGGTTCACTTAAGACCCGGTCTGTCCGCCCTGGGGAGGTGGGCAATGAGTTAAAGGTAAACGGAGCAGAAGTTACAGTATTGCTAGTAAATCCTCCGCGTTGAGCGGGGCGTCTTCGAACGTGAAAGCAGATGGGTTATTTCTAAGGAATTGAATAAGACCGGGGAGGGGGTCGTGACTAGATAGGTATCTTGCGACCGTGAAGTCCGGCGGGCGTTGATAGTGGGTGCACCCGAATAATATGTGCTTGCGTGTTTGTGTCTCGTGGCACCAGTTGCAAGTGGTCGTTTCGAACGGAAAGAACCTGGACCTGTACTTTTGGCACCACTCTATGCACGCGTGTAATCCAGTATTCAATCAACGGGATCCGCTTGCATCCCTAAATGTTATTCCATCTACAAGTCATGTCCACTTCCAGGGACAATACTTACTATTATCCTAATTCTGGAAGATTGCAGAGCAAGAGCCCTACAAGACGCTCAGAGTTCAGTGTGTGTCGAGGAGTGTACTGCATTTCTATGAGGTCCGCTGACTCAGCGCCCGCGTCCCTCGCCGTGCACACCTCGAAAAGAAATGCAACATAATAGGACCACCCTGAACCACTCCCGCTTCGCAGGTCTCACTCTTTCGCACTCTCCACTGCTTATGGGGCCCGTGAGGTGTAGCATTACTATTTAGTTGGCACTACAGCTCTGAGCCTTTAGTCAGATTCTTCTTAAAGCACACTTGCAGGGTGTTCTCTGTGCGTATCTGCTCCTCGCCCGACCTTTCTGTTTCTGCACGGTCTCCATGTACAGCGAAGCTGATACAACCCTTCAAGGATCCTTGCAAGATGCGACACAGGGTGATGTTAGTGCACTCAGTGGGCTTTTCTGGTCCGGTTCTGCTCTAGATCGGTCGCCTGCCCAGTGCTGGGACCCTCCACCTCATCGTCAAATGGCATCGGACCTTGATATCCATTCACCACGCTCATTTCACTACATGGATGGAACTCAGAGCATCTTCAGCGTAGGAGATTCTGGCTCACACTGTACGTCGATATCACGATTTTGCTGTGGTATGCTGATGCTGCATTGCTCCAGACCGTCTAGATACAGACATCGTCTCGCACCAAGATATACACAATACCTTTTCTCATGCACCAGGTATCAGTGACCATCAAGACACAACAAATGCTGTGTTTAGTGAGTTTTTCCTGATCGGGCTTCTCGTCAAGCCTTCAAACTCATTCCCAGGTGAACACTCAGAAGCACCTCCTTCTCGAATGCCTTCAGAGGAAAGTACGCATCCTGGAGGTGCGTCGCTCATGTTCACTTTTTCAACATTCCATTTAACAATATATCTAGCGAACGATATACCTGTCCGCTATGGTGAGTGTACCTTCGAAGGCCGTCGTCTCCGATTGTAGAATTGCTGGCAGATACCGTGGATCCCCACATCCTCCCTACGATGCCGGCATCCTCAACTCAAAGTGGACAAGCGGGCTTTCCTATCCCACACCAGCCTGCACAGCTGGCTATCACGGCGAACCTTGACCATGGAGGTCTTGAAGATGTCAATGTTAATCAAGGTGTGTTTTCTTTTCCGGGTGTTCCTATGTCGATGGGCTAACGGCCTACTGCTTTCAGGCCCGCATGTGACCATCAACGACCTGATGGCCCATCCTGAGACACAGCGAAAGGTTCTCTTAACTCACAACCAGCAGTCTGAATCATATCTGGAGCGGACGTTCGGTAAAGAAAATGTTAAATTGCTCCCGTTCCAAAATCCTTCGGATCCTATGATTAAGATTTCGCCGCACGTTTCGGACTCTCCCGTGCAAATTGTCGAGCAAAAATTATTCATCCCCTACGACAGGACGAGGAGAGCACTTCGAGAGCGTTCTCGTAACCTTCTCCCATCCCCAACCTTCTTGAAAAGCGATGATGGGAGTATCGGTGTGCGTCTGGGCCGTGCTACGCAGGGGCAGGGCTTGGATCCCGATTCAAATTATTTATCGCCGGTAGGGGATCGTCAAACTTTACAGTTGAAGATTTGGGTACGCTAGTCGCTACCTCCCCGTCTTCCGTGTTTACTCAATCGGCCATCATTGTTCGCAGATTAGTGATACTGCAAAGCCCGATTTCGACAAGCAACTCTCAGTGACACGCTTCACAGACTTGAAGACGCTGATGAAATCAATCGCCAAGCGTGTTCACCAAATTCTATCGGTACGTCAATCGTGATGTCTATACCTTGAATTTTATCAACATACTTTCACTAGACCGGGCCTTGTCAAGTTGATAGCCCGGACGATTATGTTCTCATCGGGTACACCTTTGTATCCAAGGGCGCTGTCATGCCTATCCTCCGGCGTCCTCAGACTATCATCGTTTGAAACCGAGGCCAGTATCCTCCACGCATCGTCTTTAAGAATCTATCAACAAGGCCCGTGACTGTCGAAAGAAGGAAAGAAGTGTCCGTTCCGCATTTTGAAAACTTGGCGCTAGTCGTCATCTCGTTCCTCCATTCTCAGCAATAGATTCTCAACAATTGCATAGTTCTGCATCGACCAAGCATTCATCAACATACGGCTGGCTCACTAATATTCAATTTGTGGGGGAGAGCACACATCACATGGTGATTCCACAAAGATGCCATTCCCCGTTCTTCCCCCATCGGTCTGTAGCGGTGCTTGTCCCTTCGTCGTGTGTCTTACGCATGCGCCTTTTTTTAGAGACCCGTGAGAGCCCCGAGGGCTTATCCTCTCCCATCATTGCGCATCGCGCGCCGCAGGGCGGTATATACCATCGCGCCGCCGCTCGACTCGAAACAGAAACGAGCAGATCCAGGATCGGACACAGCAAGTAACGTTTGAAGCATATCGAAGATCGTCATAAGCGCCGGGCGTGCAGTATATCAAGATCGGGGAATGGCAACGCTCTCCGGTATGCTGTAATGTGTGTGATCCTAATAGACACGGTCAATGAGTGCGCAAATGGTCAGGCTGCTAGTGTGCTATTCGGATCCCTAAGCGCCTACATCTTCTATACTTTGGAAACAAAGAAACCAGATACGTCCTTGTCCGCCTGCCCCCCTGCAACACGCACAACCTGCTCTCTTACTCTGCCACACTCGCGCCTCTTCCTTGTCCATTGCCACATGTTATCCACTCACGAGCGTATGGCACCGGTGACAGGCGAATTGGATGTTGTACGTGCATATCATTATTGAAGGCCAGTCGCCCATAGTTGGTCTCACCTCGTACTTATGACCATTTGGACGGCTGCATGATTCACAAAGACGCCGTGCGGTGCGTCAACAGATCGGTATACACTCGTCCGACAGCGATGGAGGCACTCGATGGAACGAAGGGGGACGAGGAACGAGGCACTATCCGAGGCGTGGCGTCTCCTGATTCCCCTCAATTACAATAACTCATACTCCAAACTCGCGAGCACAAACGCTGCTGCTCCCTTGAGGTCATTGATATCAATGGCCTGCGAGACATAGTACTAGGCCAGCCAAGACTCATCAGCACGCACATCCCGCATCAAGATAGCGAAACGCACATCGTAGTCATTCCCTGGCTGCAAGCTCCCAACGACGACAGTGTTGTTCCAATTCATCGTCCCATTCCGCTGCGGCAATACCCAGTTCTCCGTCATGTACTCGTATGCCTTCTTCATCGCCATGATCTTTCCCCCGTCCGCGTCCTCCACGAGCCCAGTGCGGATCGCGCGCAGGACGGCGTACACGAACATTGCGCCGCCGCTCGACTCGAAGTAGTTCCGCGCGAAGCCTGGCTTGGACATCACGAGCCACCAGACGCCCGCCGCCGGCGCGTCGCGCTGCGCCGCGGCAACGAGCCGTGCGACGAGCGTGTCGAGGATTGCTGCGAGCGTCTGGCGCGCGGGGTGCGAGAGCGGGAAAAGAGGGATGACGTCGACGAGCGCCATCATGTACCACCCGAGCGCACGATCCCAGATCTCGGGAGAATGTCCGCGATCGGGCGACGCCCAATTCTGCACGTGCGAGTAGTCGTAGCCGTGGTAGAGCAGGCCTGTGTACGTGCTGTTCGAGTCCGTCGACGCGAGCGTTTGCAGCGTGTTGTTGTACATCAGGGTGAACTGGAGCAATATATCATCTAAGAGGATCGTCAGACCAATACCGGAGATAGGCGGGTCATAGCTGCACTGACTCCACGCGGTCTGATTATTTGGTTGAAATGCAGCAGTGTACGTGGCGTAGAATACTTCTCCCATGTAGATACCGTCGAGCCAGCCTGCACCGAACTGAGCACAAATACGGGACGAAGGCAGTTTTCGCACATGCCTTGATTCGGGTAGATAAGTTTGTGCCAGAATTGACCTTGCGCAGTTCGCGGATGCGTGGCTAGCTGTCCATGGAAGACGTCCGCTGCCTTTTTGTATTTTTCTTCTCCCGTCTGGCTGTACCTGGAGCCAAGTCAGGACAAAAAATAAAATCACAAGATACCGAGGCCTGAGATGAAGCACACAGATAAATGAAAGACGGGCCCACTCGCAGCGGGTCAAGCTGATATTGTGAGACACTACAAAGGACATCCAGCCGCATATAAGCATGGGTTCAAAAAAGCACAGTTGCCCAACTCAATGCACTCACTTGTACCCGCCTCCAACGCTCCCATCCGAGCCAACGACGCGATCGACACCGGCCTTGATATACTGATAATAGCTCGCGTTCCCCGTCTTCTCGTACAACAGCCTCAGCGCCCATTGGAACTCGCCGTGCTCGTAGCTCACAACAGGGCTACCCATCGCCGAAAGTCCGTTCCCTTGTCCGCGAGACATGATTGAGCCCGCGGCATAGGTCGAGTATCTGGTGGCCCGCACAAAAGGAAAGAGCGCAGCCGCAGCTGCGAGGAGAGACCAGATAACCATAGTGTATAGCGACCTGGGAGGGCAGGGATGTGCGATGCCCACCTTATATTATACAGCACTGATGTTTGGCATCCAAGCCCCAAGGACTATCCTCGAGGCAAGGCTTCTGAAGATCGGCCCGCCATGATATTCCGACAAGCTGCTACACGATCCAGTTTATGTTGCGCGAATAAAGAAAAGAGATTGGAAGAAACACCTCGATCATAGACTTGGAGCACGTTTTGAAACATATCACACCGAAACGAACTCGTTCATGAAATTTCGTGCAGGCAAGACTCGTCAACATTATGTGCCATTAACCCAAAGTCCACAAGAGTCCACCGTAGAGGAGGTCACAAGGCAAGGTAATAAGAGGAAAGCCAAGTAGCGCGTTAGGACGCGTGATGGTGGCCATGACCGCTCGTCGGGCCGGCAAACACCAGATTTGTGTTCGGTATACGCCGAGATGTACTGGAACGGGTTTCTCAAGATTATTTCGCAGTATATACAGGATCTGAAGCTGAAACTCTGAAGGCCTAGGATACCAAAGAGAACGAAGACAGGAAAGGTAAAGAACAGATGGCATCCAGGCGTACGAATTCATGCGAGGCAATGCGCAAAGACTCAACCCGAAAGCGACTCACAGCAATCAAGACAAGCTGCCGGTCTGAGTGGCGGGAGAGAGCAAGCGAATGGACAAGAGCAACAAGAGTGGCAGGAATCAGGCTAAGGACGACTATCCAGCGAGGTCTATACTGGTCTATATGGTTTCCCCGAGGTAGTCGAGTAGATCGCCGTCGACTTTCACATCAACACCATGGAGTAGCTCGATCACAGATGACAAATAATCAGACCCAGACGAATCTGCCGAAGTAGTTGTGAGGTTGACAAGGACGCTTCCCCCTCCTTCAACCAAGTCTTCAGCGCTATCGCTGCGAGAAAGTAATCCAAGATCCAAGCGAGCTGAGGCGGACACAAGATCGGACAATGATTTCGGCGAAATATCCTCCAAGACCGCGGCACCAACAGAACCTCCATCGGCACCAACAGTAACATCAAAGTCATCGTAGTATGGAATTGATTCACTGCCGACGGGCGAAGGGTTGGAACCACCGTAAGGACTACGAGGCTGATGGTCGCCGGACACAGGGGAAGAAGTCGACTTCGGGGCCGCAATTCCAACTGAGGCCGCTAAATTCGCAGTCGCCGAAACGATGGCTGTGACAGTCACTCCGATATCGATGCTAGTCAATTCCAAGGCGTCTTCTAGGATAGTTGTTGTGCCATCGATAGCTCCCAATACAAGGGAGGTGTCGAGACGGCCGCGTATATCATCGTTCCGTTTGACCTGATTGACTGGGGGAGCGGAGGATGTAACGCCTTCTGGAATGCATGAATCTCTGGTGAGACTGATTTCGAAACCGTCTCGGCAGCGATTGACGACGCATCTCCCAGAGAGACATTGAACATCGAGAACATCCGAAAGAGCGCTGCAATCAATACCTGCCGGTTCTTGCTCAGAAGAAAGGGAAAATGGATGGGGTATCACGCATCCACCACCTGTAGCATATGATATATGAGCTGAATTCGGGTATATTTATAAGTTTGTCTTACAGCTCTGAAGCGTGACCTGGGTATCGAGACACTCAAATCCGGCGGAGCCGTGATCGACGCCGCAGACGGTTTCATCGGAGGTGCATGTCAGCTGTGCATCGTCCAACGTTCTCACCCCATGCGTATTGACTGCTTTAAGTTGCCTCTTGGAGCGAGGGATAGCAGAGCCGCATCCCTGCGACCACGGTTTAACAAGACCCTCAACAAGAAAACATAAGCAACCCACCTTAGGAAAATGAGCGCATTGACCGTTGCATTCGGAATATGGAGGTGGACAATCACAATGACCTCCGCGGGGTACGTACGGAGGATTGCAGCTATGGCCGCAGGGATCGTTCATAGAACACAAAGGAGTGGAATGCGCAGGGTACGTGCAGTGCTGTGAGCTGGGTGCTGAGTTTATCTTCAAAAATCAGGCATTAGCAGTCAAATTGCATGCAAAAGCGTCAGAAAATACTCGCGATTGCAGACAAAAAGGCATCGACAACAGTGTTGCCAAGCAAATCCGTGAGAACCTTCAGGTTTGCGTTTGTCTTGAGAGCAAGGGGAAGCGCAGAGAGGCACAGGCAGAGGTCAAGATCGGCGAGGATATCTGCTGGAATACCGATGATGTTGGTCTGAGCGAGGGTATCGGCGTCGATATATGCGCATACATCGAGTAAAGCGCGAGATTTATGGTGTTGGCGCAAAGGGCGGTCTAGACGAGCGAAAACGCAAGGGAGAACAAGATGCAGCGCAGAGAGCAGAGGAACAACTGATGTGAGACGCATAACTAGCCGACAGAGGTGGCTCAACAAAGAGGAGGTAGAGGAATATGAGAAACGGAAGGAGGAAGGATGTGGAGGCAAGATCGCATCCCAAGTATATATACCGTTTTCGAGTCGTCTAGAAAGGGAAGCCAAGTTCCCGATCGGCTACTCGTAACATGCACTTTGCTCGGGAAGAAGTACATAGGATCATGACCGAGATAACCGTTAAAAATCGAGGTAAACCAAGGTGTCCAAGAAAAAGGTTATGCCTGATTTTTTTGCTTGACGAAAAAACCTAGAGCATGTTCTCGGAGACCATTTGTGATAAGCTCGACAGTAGAATGATGCCACAAAGTTCCTGGAGAGTGAAGAGGAGACATCGTGACGTCGAGTCAAAGGAGCAGCCGAGGTCGGAGCTTGAAGTACACTTTAGTGCCGCTTCGGCAGCCTCCAAGTGCACTCCTCCCTACTCCTCCTAGCCTTGCTAACGCCTCTTTTGGAGTAGCTGATAGCTCGCGCACAGACTCTTTGCCTGCTCACCGGCCTTTTTGGTCTTTGAGCCTACGAATATCACTTGTGCGAGTCAAGCCTTCCGGACATAGAGACGATAATCTATATTTTCAGACACGTTCTGTAGCCCTGACGCGAAAACACCTTCCTTCCGGCCGTTTAGGCATGTATAACCAGCCAACTACAGGTTTCGTATTCTGTTCGCTCTACGAAGTCACTATAGGTCACAATCCCTATTCGATGAGCAACCTCGTTCTGGCCCAATCCTCCAAGTTCTACGTTATCATTTTTTCATCGATCGTTCCCCACCTACGCTCCATTTCTGTCAGGAGTCGCTCCCATCGTCCTCCATCCCACACTTTGACCTGTTTCCACGCCTCATCCCGACTGATGTTCCGAATCATCATAAGCACTGCGGTCACTGCAAAATCTGCGTAGGTCACTCCCGGCGGCTGGAACACGGGGATACCATTCGCAGATCTTTCCACCTCGTCCCTCTTTTCAGTCTCATAAAATTTCTCGCCTGCTTCTGCTGCCTGTGCAAGCACCTTGAATGCTGCGCGGAGTTTGGCCCACACCTTCTCCCGCTCGGCTTCTCCGTGCACCTGCAGATCCTCCAGCCGCTCCAGGCCTCGAGACTTCGGCTTGCGGATCGCATAGTCGACCTGATCGATCGGAAGTTTCGTATCGTATAGCGCGAGGGTGAAAAGATCGTAGAGTGGAGGCTTGAGCACGTTTTGCACGTGGTGTTCGACGAGGGCGTGCAAAGCGCGTGATCGCGCAGGGAATAGCTCGCGCGAGTGGGGGTAGTCGTCTCCTGCTCCCGGAGCAGGAAAAGATGCCTCCGGGTATGCTTTCTCGAGGTACTCAATGATGTGAGTCGAGTCTGTGAGACGCACGGGCTCAGTAGAAGCTTCGTGAAGCTGTGGTGTATAGTCGATCAGAGCTGGAAGAGTGTAATGGGGACCGCCGTCAGACTTCGTTCCGGATGCTGGGATACCGTTCTCGATGCATGTCTGTGTCGCGAGGGACGTGGGCGTCCACCGGGTGGTGTAGGCGAGTCGTTTGAAGTTGAGTACGAACCTGAGAGCTCGTATCCGTCCTTGGCTGTGAGCTGGACGTCATTGGTCGAATGGGGTACTCACCGGAGCTTCCATGTATTTGGAGAGGTCGGGATCCCAACCTGCGTCGGTATGTCGAAGAACATGATCTTGGTAGGGAACTTTTGCATGGCCGATGGAGACACTGTGATTGTCCACCACAGCTGTTCAATGTTAGGGATGAAAGGTGAACCTGCCTCCAATTGTAACCTTTTATATGATCCAGGGACTCATCGGCGCGTGATATACGCTCTGGATACCCGAACTCGACTTTACCGGATGGTTTCTCTCGAAGCAGGTAAAAAAAGCTACATTTCAACAAATGAGGAGAGACAGCTGACACGGAAAAGGTCAGTGAGAGGCAGGTCGCTATATATACATCGCGACATAGATGCATGCGTTTTCAACAGCTTTCCGAGTTGACAGTAGGCACGACGCCTTGGCCATACTCACATCAGGGCTGGCAGAGCTGCAGTTCGTCAATTGCGTTGTCAAGCAGCTGAAGGCATTATGCAGGCAAATTTGAATGCTCAAAAATGGACCATGCGCCGACCTCTGACCTGGTGATGAGCTAACACTAAATGAAACACTGCAGCAGAATAGATGTCGACATCGTAGGGATTTGGTAGACAACGCACATTGATTCTCAATCATAGTCTCTCGATGTCCTAGCCGTGTAGTCTGCTCAAGAAATTGTTTGATAGTTGAGGACAAAAGTGGCAGCCTAATTTAGGATGTTCCAATCTCTCAGTCCAAACACTTGACGTGGATGGCATGAGCTATAACAACAGCTTTGGTGATTCTCCTTGAGCCTTCGAAGTGGTCTCAGGATGCCTGTGTCTGATCGAGAAGAGCGTTCAGCAGGAGCTTCTCGAGTGTTTAGCAAACAGCACGCGCCAAACAAGTGCACACCGAAGCTTATTCCTACTGGTTGAACAAAAGGCAACGCCTGTAAGTTGTCTTTTGAATGCTGTCTCCCAACGACAAACTGCCTTTATCAGAAGTCATGCATTTTGGTATTTTCAAGAGGCGCTCTCCGAACAGGACAATGGCCTTCTCATTGCAGCTTCTTGTGTCTTTCCCAGGCTCAAAATACCCGTGTGATGTCCTCATTCGGATCGTGCAATCCGCTGGATAAGTAGCGCGATCTGTCCCCGGCAGGCGTCGGCATATTGTGATGATGGCAGAAGCTCTGCACTGTGCAGACGCCCTACAGACCACGATTTCGCTTTCGCCGCTCTTCGACATCGTGGTGAATCTTGTGACGTGTCGATGCTTGTTTCTCGTTGTCTCCGTGCGTCTCCTGCGAGCAAAGGTGCACTCAGGCGCAGTTTCTTCACGAACGGCGCGTCGTCTAGCTCTTCTAGGAAAGTGTTGACGGGGGGAGTGGTAACATTACTCATCGGCGGCGCCTCTGGATTTGCGCTATCTGACTATCTTCGCTCTCACAAAGCGGGCATACCAATCCCTCAGCCGACGCATCCCACTAAGCCTCAATATGGATCTGAAGCTGACTTGACTAATGCCCTTGACGCTTTGCGCAGGGCATTCCCTGACGACAACATCGTGTCCACGGATGAGGGCGAGAGGCTGTCTTATGCTCTTGGTGTAGCTTATCCTCCACCCGGCACGTTAGCATTCAGTTGTCAGAATTTCGCACTGCATGGCTTACACATCCTTTCATCCGAAGTCACACCTCACAGGGTCGTTGTGCACGCCCGTTCCACCGAGGACGTTGTCACAGTGGTTAATATTTCTCGTAAATTCCGCATACCAGTTGTTCCCTATACTGGTGGGACAGGCCTTGAAAAGGGTATCGAAGGGGTAAAGAGCTTGCCGCCTTTCTTCAAGACGTGTGCATACTTCTGATGCTGATTTTGTGATGTGTAGTTGAAATCAGGCACTATTTGCATCGACCTGTCTGGAATGGATAGGATTCTGGAAATAAATGGTTGGTGTATTACGCAACGTTTTTGATGCTACCGTATAAATATCTGTATTTTCAGAGGCAAACGCAGATGTCGTCGTTCAGGCTGGCGTATCCTGGAATGTCCTTAACGACACGCTCAAGGAGAAGGGTAAGCATACTTCTAGACATATTAGCCTAATCACTAAGAAATACCCTATGCATAGGCATTCCTTTATTTTTCCCTGTGTGTGCAGGTTCTTATTATCGGAAATTTTCGTTCATGTCATCTTAGCTTGATCCAGGACTAGGCGCAACAATCGGAGGCATGATCAGCACAGGATGTTCTGGAAGTATGTCCAATGTGTTTAGCTTTCCATCGACCTGATATCTGACAATTTTCAGCAAATGCAATGCGATATGGTACTGCGCGAGGCGAATGGATATTGAATATGGTGAATGGTCATCATTAAATTCATATCATGTATTTTGTTTGATCCGCGTTCTATCACGTAGACTGTCGTCCTCCCATCTGGCAAAGTTATCAAGACTAGACAGCGCGCCCGAAAATCCTCTGCAGGTTTTGACCTCGGTAAATTGTTTGTTGGCGCGGAAGGCACGCTAGGGATAATCACAGAAGGTAATGTTCTTGATTTCAACATGATGTGTTCGCTCACCATCAAAATAGCTACTATTCGTCTTGCGCCAATACTCCCAACAACTGTAGCCGTCGTTCAGTTCCCTTCTGTCCGTCATGCGACAGAAGCTGCTTGTGAGGTTCTTAATCTCGGTGCACCAATCCGTACGTACAGTGCCTCATCCCATGAATACCTCGTCCGCTAATATGTTGGAACAACTCAGAATGCGTCGAACTCCTTGACTCAAATTTCCTGCGTGTCCTCTCCACATCGCCCTTACGTTCCACAAGCTCGCGCGGTGTCCAAGACACACTGTACATTAAGATTCAAGGCGCACCCTCTCTTCCCTCAGCCCCGTCCGCAGATATAGACGCACAGATGTTAGCCACATCGACATTGATGGAGCACGTCATGAAGAAGCACGGCGCGACTGGATATCAACTAGCGAAGGACCGAAACGAGGCAGAAGCGCTCTGGGCGGAACGACGAAGTGCCCTGTTTGTGCTGACGGGATACGCGCAGGAACGCGGGCTCGTGGGCTACGGAATGGACGTTTGGTGCGTGCATCTCTTCGAAGACTTGCCATGTGTATTCGGGGGTTTGACGCCGTATTGGATATATGCTGCGTTGGTTGTGCCTTTACATGCACAGCGTGCCGGTCTCGAAGCTCCCGGATCTGGTCGACGTTGCGAAGAGAGAGTTCGAGAGAGCTGGGCTGTTTGGGCCCATCCTAGGGCATGTGGGCGATGGTAAAGTGATTTATCTGCCGCGCGGCGCGCCACCATGCTCATTTCAAACGCGCGCGAAACCCTTTATCTCTTCGTAGGCAACTTTCATGCTTTCCTAACATACAAGGACGAAGAGGATCTCAAGCGCGTCCACGCGGTGGCTGACAAAATTGTTGAGACAGCCATCGCCTTGGAAGGTACATGTACGTCGTTGATTTCCTCTTAAACATCATAGTTAGTGATGACTGGAGGACTGCAATGGTCAGGTACAGGAGAGCATGGTGTCGGGACTGGAAAGAAGAAGTACTTCAATTCGGAACTGGGAGCTGAGACCGTCAAGACGATGAAGGGGATCAAGGCGACTCTAGACCCACTTGGGCTGTTTAATCCTGGAAAGGTAGGACTGTCATGGATCTCGTCAGACACCTGCGATTGAATTATATTTTCCTACTCAGCTATACCCAGAGTCGCTGGATGAGTAAAGAGTGTATCGCCTACTATGTACATCATCAATATGGGTCTCGTTAACCCTCCAAAGCTTCACCGCTGTGCAAGAACTATTTTTGGAATGTCCTTGTCGATCCATGCTGGCTCTCGCAGATCCATCGGTGAGTTTATTTTTCGGAGAAATAGACATTCGAACCTCGGGGACATGAGTGAAGCATCACGCGCTTTGTGAAACATATGGCCATGCTCCATACTCGTTCTGACTGCAGTCGACGAGCAGAAGCTGAGACTCCATCTGACCTTGGTCGTGTGCGGATCGTCACTGCTCTTGCGGGCCGTCCACTCTAGCAGAATGAGGCGGAACATTGTGTTAATTTTGTATACCACCGCACATCTCATCTGACTGTCCCTAAAAGTCAGTATGACAGCAAATTTTCTCCATTCCTCCTTGAAGGTATATTTACATTGGCTTCCGCTTCCACTTCGAAGCATAGTCGTTGTTACGAAACTGCCATTGTTTTTGGGATATATCAACCTCACAGATTTGGAGACTGCCTTCAATACCACAGAATCTATACTTTTTCGAACACAACAGCCGACCTTCGCCTCGATATGTCTCTCCTAGTCTTCTTATTTTCCCTCCCTCTTTTCGCTCTTGCTTCGCCTTCTGGACACGTTCGTCGTCAATTTGACATAACCGTTCACTGTGGCACTTGGGACAGTGTCACAACTGGCCCTTACAGCATCAACCTCGATCAATGGGGTGCAACTGGTGCAACATCTGGGGAATCCTGTGCGCGCTGGATATCACTCAGCGGTACGACGGCGTCTTGGGTCAACAATTGGACATGGACCGGCGGAACGGGCGTGAAGAGCTACACAGACCTCCAGCTCAACGAAGGAATCAATCAGCAGCTTTCCGCTATTAGAAGTATGCCAGTGCGTCTACCATCACTCCTTTCAAGCCACAGAATTATTGATGTCTTCAATGGTGTATATAGTCGAAATGGTCTTGGAGCCAGAGCACGAGTGGATCTATTGTGGCCAACGTCGCGTACGACTTCTTTACGTCCACCTCTTTTAGTGGCTCGGCCTCGAATGAGATTATGATTTGGCTCGCCAACTTCAACGCGGGTCCTATATCGTCTGTTTATGGATCAGACGGTTTGCCGACGCCTATCGCTAGCAGTATTTCTATTGCTGGAAATTCTTGGTAAATAAAGATCAGTAAGGCTCAGTGTGCTAGCTAACTCACCCATTCAAAAGGAATCTATATCAAGGCTCTAACGGGGCGAACAACGTGTTCTCCTTCTTGCCTTCAAGCAGTGGAACAGAGATCACAAACTTCAGCGGTGACATCTTCGGCTTCTTTGATGTATACTCTTTCTTTGACAACTCCTTCCAATCTTTTTGTCTTACCGATTTTTATCTCTGCCCAGTACCTCATCTCGAATGAGAACCTTCCGTCCTCTCAGTACCTCACCACTGCTCAAGCAGGTTCCGAAGCCACCTCTGGAACGGCTACCTTGACTACGTAAGTCCTCGCCGGTACTATATCAATGTGCCTCATACTGACCAGCTTCTTCAAACAGGACTGCCTATAGTCTGTCGATCGAGTAGTGTATATATGATTTGTATACCAGCCTTGTATTCATATGGTTTTCTATTTGCTGCATTCCGCATCTTCTCTTCAGGACGGTACTCATTATCAGTCTCGAGAACATATATAGAAGAAAGTCCTGGCCAACCACTCTCCGTTGCTACGGTGCTAACGGCAAGACCGCGCCGGCGGGCAGTAGCTGGTTGTCAGGTAGAATGAGTCATCTTGAGGCCCTGATCGGCCGCTGCCGAAAAGTAGCCCGTCGTAATTAGCCGACGCTCACTTTCTCCGAACTTCCTTTGAATCTCACTACTGAGACTACGGCTCAAATGTGTAAGGTTTCTCAATTGCTCTCCAAATCGACCTTCTTCTGTTCTTAATTCTCTTTGCATTTTTTCAGGTCGCAGTTCCGGCTGCACTTATTCCAGATGGTGCGCGATCGGGAAGGTCATAAACGTCGATCGGTCGACAATCATTGACCGTCTTGGCTACGCTGCACGCGGACACAGCGCGGACCGACCGTTACAACGGAAAGATTTGCTGGTCCAAATGGCCGTGACATGCATTCAAGGTATGCACATGGGTGTCCTCATCGATTCGCTTGATCCGAGCTTCAGAACTGTTCTCCCAGTCCCGGGGTGCATGTCACTGTTGCCATGGCCCAGTTGATTAGCTCCGGCATAGATCATATAAAGGCAAGGCCATGATTTTTCTCCGTTCAGCAGCTTTCTTATACACTTCCGGCCTCGCATCTGCGCATATTATCATGTTCCTTCCACTCATTACACTCACGCTCCCTATTCTTGCCCTTGCGGCTCCTCTTTCCCGTCGACTTGATACCTCGAGCTATTGTGGTCACTGGGACACCATCCCTGCCGGCTCATACACCGTCTTGCTTGACCAATGGGGCACCAAAGGCGCAACCGGACAGTCCTGTGCTCAATTGACCTCCCTCAGCGGTTCGAACCTTGCTTGGGTCACCGACTGGACGTGGTCTGGCGGAAACGGCATCAAGAGCTACACGAACGTGCAGCTTGACAAAGGCGTCAACCAACAACTCTCGGCTATCAAAAGCATGCCAGTGCGTTTTTGTTCTGTGTTTTTGAGTGGCCGTCGGATATTCAATCTATATAGTCGGCTTGGTCGTGGAAACAGACCACCACCGGAAAGGTTGTCGCAGACATCGCATACGACTTGTTCACCTCGACTTCGGTCGGGGGCTCTAACGCGAACGAAATCATGATTTGGCTCGCCAACATAAACGCCGGCCCCATATCATACAACTGGAACGCTGACGGCACCGCGAAGCCCGTCGCGACTGGCGTTTCTATCGAGGGACACACTTGGTACGTCCCAAATCCGAGCTGGCAGAAAGTAGATTCTCATGATCGATGATCAGGGATGTGTACCATGGCTCAAACAACGCCAATCCCGTTTGGTCATTCTTGCCAACCTCCAATGCCCAAATTACCAACTTCAGCGGCGATATATACAGCTTCTTCAAGGTGAAGACTATTTTTCCACCCATGAGGTTCCGACATTGATGCTTGGCATCTTTTCAGTACCTCATTTCGAAGCAAGGCCTTCCCTCTTCTCAATATCTTAAGACCGCACAAGCTGGTACAGAAGCAACCTCCGGAAGCGCAGGGCTGACAACGTACGTCGATAATATCAACATCTATATAGCTCTAAATATCCTTGGGCTATTAGGACTAGGTACAGTCTCGCAATCGAGTGAACCAACAGATTCCATATACTCGAATTCTCTTGATATGGTTATAATCCATCATCGTGTGCCCATTCAAAATGACGTTTCAACCATTTTCGTGAAGCGAGAGGCCTGAGGAGGCCTGAGCACGAATTTATGCCGAAAGACGGCCGATGAGATTCGAAAGTCATCTGAAGAAGCGATGAACGAAGCGATGAATCCAAGTGCTCAAGATAAAAAGGATCCAGCCGATGGATGTATTGACCGCTAGGCGGCCATATCAGGTAACTCTCAAGGGTTTATGTGATAGCAATGATCTGATCTGGTCAAGAGAGACATGATGAATTGATCACTCTTCCAATTACCTCGATATAACCCTTGAAGAACCCCGGTCGCCTATGATGATCCGTACATGCTTGAAGTTTAGGCAATAAATTGCGCGTCTGCCATGCGATTGATGCCATCGTCACGTCCAGGTTCCAAGACCGTGGTAAAAGCAGTCGTGCCCGTTCCATCTGCGCCCATCACACCTGATGTTTTAGGCATTCCTACTCGAACGATGACCATGTAGAAGGTAATTGAAATTATAGGCACTGCCTATGAGAGCGACGAATGGTATATGAGCTATCAGAAGGTCGTAGAACTTAGAGGACCCATACCAAGTCCAAGGTAATTAAGACTCCGTTTTGATCGTTGACAAGACATAGAAGAGAAGCTAGCAGAGCGATAGTGTATATGGCGCCAGCATCGATGATCACAAAGATGATAGGTATCAGAGAGAATGCAGAATACACATCGGCCTTTTGAATGGTTCGATTTGCTCTCCAAATCCCGAAAGATAAAAGTGCTAGCGAAAACATATCAAGGGATTGTCCACCAAGGCATCGGAAAAAGATACGCACATGTATACAGTAAATTGGCGCTCAAGGTCAAGATATAGAAAGCTAGCATCCACCCTAGTGTAGCGGGAGATGAGGTAGCGTAAGCCCAAACGCTGATGGCGCCAGTCACTGCACACGGTTCGATATAGGTTTGCAGGATGGAGACAGATCGATGACTGAACGCACCGCCAACTCCGCATAGCATTGTTATAGGCAGCAAGATAACATAGAATGACTGCCAGACAACGTAGCAGCGGTAGATCTGGGGCTTTATTAAGTCAGATACTCGAAGCTATCGCGGTTTTATATGTACGCACTATTATTGCGTCACCGGTGATCGTTTGCGACCAATAAATAACAAGTTTGAGTATGAACGGAAGCTCTGAGGAGTTTTGATCAATTATAGGATATACGTTATGAACCAGGCCTTGGATACTGTAATAAATATTGATCCCAATATGCTAGCCATTCAAAGAAAAGGCATCAGTGACATTCATAAGTAAAGAAGTTGACCTACGATAGTACTGAATGTGAAGAGCATAGCAGCGGCAGATACCATGGGAACACTAATGTCTTTCCTCGCTCGGCGAAGAAGAACCCATAACGTCTCGATGAACATCATCAAGGAAAAGCCTGAGAATCACCATGAATCACCATGAATCACCATGAATAAGTTTATAGAGGATCGAGACAAAATACTCGCACCATACAGAACGGCCTCTAATGCTGTCGATATTACAGTAGCTTTACCCAGAGATATATCGTGCTGGGTCATGTTGGAGTCGGGATTAAGCAAGCCGCAGGGCAGGGTGAAAGCGTTAACGCGAGGCCTTTTGAAAGTTCTCGGCATCACACAGCAATGCGATCTCCGTCATTGAAGTGACGGCCTATCGGTGCATAATGTTGAATGCGACCAAGCGGTGGACGAGCCATCATTCGCATGTGCCGATCCAGCCAAAGAGAGGCTGTTTCAGTCCCAACTGGATATTTAAGACAACCACATAAATCAATGACACGATCACGTCTGGCAGGACTGGCCATCCAGCTGCAACACTCAATCCCCTATAATGATGAATAAATGTCCAACAATCAAACCTTTGCTGTTTGATTTGTGGTTACTGCACAGCTAGTCTCCTCTTCAGGCGAGAATGACATGATCCCTGGGACCTGATTGCTGACTCACCGACCCCATGTTAGATCAAGAATCGAATTACAGTGGCCCACGCTCTGAACTGTATATGTATGAGCAATGATCAACGTATGCGCATTGAGTTGCTTGTTCTTGGCGATGTCGTTGACGGAGAGAAGTAAGTCGAAGTCAAAATGACCTCCGCGTTACGCGGTTGCGGATGAAGCTCCGACTCAATTCCGCTTGCCATTTCCAGTCTGCTCATGATATTCACCGATACACTCAAAGTACCCGTCACTCTGGTACAAAGGCTATTCTGCTACTCAGACTCATCAATTATCTTGACATTTCTGCCTTCTCCGCGCTGCTCTTCAGCTGCATCAGTTCCACGAGGCGCGACGGTGGAGGCGCGTTCGTGCGGCGCCGAAGACGTGACGTTGTCCGATGGTTTGTTGCCAGATGCCTGAGCGGGCTGCGAGCCAGATATTGGGTCTTGGAAGGGATCCTGCGCAAAAGATGTCATGAGTCCCGTTGAGCGATGATTACAAGGAGCCCGCGTGCGTCGCGATGCAGAATTCGGCGCTCACTTTGTCTTCTTGCTGTCTTTTCTTCAGCTCCCCCGTCTTACGAAGCTGTCCTTGCTCGACGAGCTGGGGATTGTGCGACAGCTTCCCTTTGATCTGTTCTTTTATGCCTGTGATTTTCTCGCCCAGACCCTGCGGGAATATGTCGTCAACCAGGCCAATCAGGACACCTCGAACGTAAGACGCTCACCGGGCCCTTGCCGTATGCTGGACCGTAACCCACTGCGCCAGCATGCCTCTGCGGGGGATAGTCGTCCCCGCCGGATCCTGTGCCACCGCCAGAATCAGATCCGGCGGTCGCGGCGGTGCTGACGTTGGAAGCTGACGACTCGTTCGCACTGCGTCCCAGCGAAGACGAGTTTGAGGTCTCTGTGTCAGACTTGGGCGGCGGTGGCTGTTTGGTGTTGTCACCCGTGGTGGTTGGTCGGTCTGGGGCAAACGTGATGGTCGAGTCTCTGGTGGTAGGCGCTGGCGGCGAACTGGAGGCGGCATATGGGGCATCAAGGTATGAAGCATCTCTGTCAAGAGACGGCGGGACGGTCTTCGGAGACTGTTCTCTCGTGAGTCGATGTCCAGGCGAAGGTTGTTGTTTTTGGGTTGACATGATTTTGTTCGAATGTGGTCGTCAAAAATCGGTAGATGCCACTGGCGAGGGATACGCTGGGTATTGCGAGTCCCACCAACGAATACTGAAGCTATATAGCGATTCAGAGGCCATGACGAACAGATCAGTGTGGGGTATGAAGCGTGATGATGTCATACTAATAGGTTGGCTTATTTTTAGAGCATGGAGTAGCAGGTGCGCGAATGGAGGTCTTTCAATATTCGTCTGGTTTGATGACAAAACATTTGCATATAATATCAGATACAACCCGATACACCGTCCAGAATCATACTCCTACAATACCGCTGGTATACATTCTCCGGGAGCAGTGTACGACTACTTGTTTAGTTCTGCAGCACGGGCCCTCAATTCCTCACGGCTCTGATTAAACTAGGTTGAGTACGGGTAGGCCAACAAGTAAATGCTAACATGCTGACCTTGGGAGGTTCGATTGAGTTCGCGGTCGCCGCGCTGGGCACGTACGGCCCCGGTGTATGGAATGCCTCGAATTCGGGCTTGGAAGTTATGCCCGCACCCGGCTGAGGCGCGAGATCCGCTGGGTTGTTAGTTTTCTGTATGAATGCCATCAGAACGGGTTGTGGATATGGCGATGGGGAGGAGATGGAGCGCACAGCAGGGTGGGGCTGGATGGAGAACTGCTGTTCTTCGGCAGCTTCGTTGGAGCCACCAGACGTGCTAGAGGCATCGCTGTTAGGCTTCAGCTTGCTCTTGATATCATTGATGGAGCTCGACATGGCTCGGGGAGGCGTATGGAGTGTTATGCGAAATGAAGGAATTTGATCGGGTTGAATGTAAGACGGATCAGAGGGGGAAATGGATGCAGAACACCAGCGGGTCGCGAATTTATAGCAAGGACTGCGGGGCGCTCGTATGTCATGACGTTCTTTGGCAGTGCACAATCATATTATGGAGAGCCGCGCCCTTTGGTGAGACATCGGGCGCTGCCGCGCTGACGTCAGTGGCAGTTGAAACATAGCACGTGTGAGTCTAAGTCCAGGGCACAGAACGGAAGGAATGAGATCCGGAATGCATTACGGAGGCTCGGTTGAAACCAATTGGGTAGCATATCCGAGCCGGTGCCTTGTAAATTGTAGGATGAGCGTTCGTGGCAGATTATGAAGAGCAAAGGCGAAAAGGCGAATAAGCAAAATGAGAAAGGAACGTGAATAAGCGATAAGACAAAACAAAGTGGAGATAAAAGAAAGGATTCCAATCACACAGAGACGCGCACTCTAATCCCAGTCGTCGTCATCGTCTTCCTCGTCATCGCTGTCACCCAACTTCTTATTTCTCTGCAGCAGCGCGGCCGCCAACGCAGCGGTAAGATCGCCGCCGCCTCCTCCGCTGCTGCCAGAAGTGTCTTCGGCGGGAGGCGGAGGCGTCGAGCGTGCCGGCGCCGAGCTCGCATCGGTCTTGCGAAGGGTATGTATGCCCTTGCCTTGGATTGAGGCAAGCAGGTCGCCGCGACCAGGTTGAGGTGCAGGAATGACTGCTGCAACGCCAGGCGGGGGCGGGGGCGGTGGTGGTGGGGGTGCACCTCCACTTGGGCCCGGAGGAGGAGGAGGCGGGGGAGGTGGGGGAGGTGGGGGCGCACCACCCATTGGAGGGGGCGGGGGAGGGGGAGGGGGAGGGGGAGGAGCTGGAGGAGCTCCTGTTCTACCTGGAGGTGGTGGTGGAGGTGGCGGTGGCGGTGCTGGTGGGGCGGCGCCATTCATTGGAGGTGGAGGTGGAGGTGGAGGTGGCGCCGGTGGCGCTGTTGAAGTACGGGCAGGTGGAGGAGGGGCTGGCTGTGAAGGCGGAGGAGCGCGATTTGGAGGAGGGGGAGCGCGATTTGGAGGGGGCGGAGGGACTTGCGAGGATCGAGCAGGAGGCGGAGGCGGAGGAGCAGGCGCTGCAGGGGGAGGTGCTGATCGGGAGGGCGGAGGCGCAGGGCGAGAGGGCGGGGCAGGTGGAGGGGGCGCAGCAGACCCAGCCACGCTCGACGTGGAACCCTGATGCTCGTGTCCTGCAACGTTGCGCCGAGGCGCAGGCGGAGGTGGTTTCTTCTTCTTGGCTGCTGGAGGCGCAGTGGTGGCCGCAGCGGTCTTTTGTGCGTCCCGCACGAAATCTTTGATGAAGTCCATGTTTTGATTGATGAGCTCGTGGTCGATGCCATGCGACTCGAGGTCGGTCAGGAAGGTGTTCCAGGAGGGGTCGACGCCGGAGGAGACGAAGCCTTTCTCGGAATCATAGCCCATGTGTCCCACGTGCTTGAACGAGCCTTCAGTTGGACCAGATATGAGCGACTTGTCAATCTTCCCAGATTTGTTGGATGAGGTCTTTTTGGTAGATGGCGCTTTGGCGGGTTTAGCTGGATGAATAAGGATGAATGGCTGGAATGGGAACGACAAGTAGAGACGTACACTTCGTGTCTTTCCTCTTCGTCACTTTCTTGAAGAAGATCTTGGCTTCACTCTCTTCCGCGAAGACGAGGCCAATCATGCATTTCTGTCGTGGCATGAGCACTATGGAATGGACGAAAGACGTAGAATTGACAACGCACGTCACCAGGAAAGGAGTGGAAGAACAGACGATCCTGGAAGTATTCAAACCCCTCGTAAAGCTCATGCTCCCAGATGACACCTCTCGTTCCGACGAGGTCAACCATGCGAAGGAAAAACGTATTCTTGTTGTTGTCCATGACGAACGCGAGGGCCCCTTGGAGCCCGCCATAAGACCACGAGTTCGGGTCGGGGTGTGCGAAGTAGATGCGTGCAAGCGCAGCGGTCTGAATCTTGCCTGTAGGGACGATCGCGGCCTTCAGCTTGTTTTTTTCGTCAGCCGTGAGAGTCGACTGAACAGGCATCGTCAATGGCCAGGCAAGCCTTTGGGAGGAGGTAGAAGGTTCGGGGCCTTGAAGCTACTATAGACAGCGGATGGTGAGGTTGTCTCACAGCCACTCGGCCTGTGGTTGGTCGACCGGCTGACCGTGGAATGTTCTTTCCTTTTCTACAAGTCGTTGAGCTTATCTCAAACTCTGCCTCTGCTCGTTCTTTGAAACGACAAAACGTCTGCTCTACAGCTGATGAATACTGAACACGTCCAGTTGTTCCTGATATGCTTGATTCGCAGAAAACACTAGAGCAATATCGTGCGACAAGAAATCACCAATATGTTGCGGCGGTTCCACAGGATCCGCTGTCGCTGAGCGGACTTTGACATCTCCAACCTCTTGTCTGTCTCAGGGACTCCTACGATAGATGTCACCTTGACTTTCTTCGAGGTAAGCATTCTAGCTCTTTCAGCATTGATATCCGTTATCATCCTGTAAGTACCCCAGTTCTGGACCCTGGCTTTACGAATGTTAGTCCTTCCAAGATCCAGTCTCTCATCTCATTTAATTTTCGAAATGCAGAATGCGAGCAATCCGTTCTATCGCGGCCGTGGTTCGTCCTTATCTAGTCCTCGTGCGCTGAGATCTATCAAGCTATACCTCCTTGAAGGGGGCTTTTCTTACGAACATGCACGCTGCGCATCAACATTTCGCTCATGACGAGTCTTCAAATTAATATCATCCGTCAAACCTTGCTGGTGGATGAATAGACGGCTTTTGCATCGTAATGGGCTGTTGTTGTCTGGTCAAGGCACAAAGGATCTGAACGGCGTGATTACCTCCTCGTCTTCCGTGCTTTCCTGAAAAATGTGCAATGCCAATTGACGTCGGACACGTATTATGTGAAAACGGGACATGCCTCGCCCGTCGCCTGCTCGCACTGTTGTCGTGTACGCCAACCTCCAAAGTTCGATGCGTTGCGCCCACGGCTGGCTGAAGACATGAAAGCCTTCCATAAATAGCATAATGCGCCAGGCGATTGCCGAGATGGCCCTATACATCACGCCGCGTGACTGGGACCTCAAGTAGCTCGGGTGAACGTCCCATCAACCCTCCTCTCAACCACCACTGGACGATCCTTTGTCTGCCCGCTACCAATTGGCCCTTTGTCGGTTTTTTCATGGCTAGAAATTTTGGGCACGACTGATACTCTCTCTTCCAGGAATACTTGATCTTCTACGAAGACTGAAAGATGGCCGATCAACTAGTGAGTATCTTTGGCAATCGCTCGAGGGTTCCTAGGATTCATTCTTCGTTGCTTCACTTTTCGAATGGGGATAGTCTGAGGGTGCGGATTTTTATTTCTCAACCATAACCGCCATCTGAGCTCACTCCATGGAACACAGAGCAAATCTCTGGTATGTCTGACTCAAATGCACTAATAAGACGAATAGAACAAGGCGTTGATTCTCTTCTGTGATAAAAGAGTTCAAGGAAGCGTTCTCCCTGTTTGACAAGGGTGCGTGATCTTCTGTTCCAAACCTCTCTCTTACTGACATCACCCTTCTTGTTCACAGACGGCGATGGCACTATCACTACAAAAGAGCTCGGGACCGTCATGCGGTCGCTCGGGCAGAACCCCACCGAAGCTGAGCTCCAGGACATGATCAATGAGGTCGATGCGGACGGCAATGGCACCATCGATTTCCCCGAATTCTTGACGATGATGGCGCGCAAGATGCGCGACACCGATAGCGAGGAGGAGATCAAGGAGGCTTTCAAGGTCTTCGATAAGGACGGAAACGGCTACATCAGCGCTGCGGAGTTGAGACATGTCATGACGAACCTCGGTGAGTAGCATAGCACAGCCACTGGCTATTCCTGTGTTCCATTATCGATCCTTCGATGGGGGTTTTTTTTCGCCGATTCCGAAATGTTTGTCGGGCATGGCTGATCATTCTGTTGCTTGCAGGTGAGAAATTGTCTGACACTGAGGTCGATGAGATGATCCGTGAAGCCGACGTGGATGGTGATGGCCAGATTAATTACGACGGTTCGTAGTGCCCATCTCTGACATTTTATCTCGGAACTGACCCATCGTTCATTCTGTAGAGTTCGTCAAGGTCAGCCCTCTCAAGTTTCAATCTCCATTTTCACCGTTTGAGCTAACGACTACATTCGTCCCCAGATGATGCTGTCAAAGTAGATACTTTACACACTTGCCGTATTCGATACTTCTATTCCTTTCGTGAAGTTCCTTACCCTAAACGCATGTATGTGATTTGGAGTCTCTTTTGTCTTGACGCTGTACATCTCTTCTTCGTTGGACTCTTGCCGTTGTCTGGTTCGTAGTGAAAGCTGGTTGTAGGAGACGACGACGTTTTGATTCCGAAGTCTGAAATACAAAAAGAATTTGGAGATGAAGATCTCGTTTTGCTTTTCTGGTCTTCAATGATTTCGGCACCAGGTACCGTGACATTATCCGGAGCGCGTGACACCGTGTGATGCGTATGGGCGACGCGTCACCGTGTCCATACACCAGCCACCTCCGCACTCTGCACCACGCAATCCTTTTCTCTCCACACACTTGTGCTTTCTTTGAATCTCAACGACTCGGCCCATCATGGTATGTTACTTTGACTCACGGATTTCCTGAAATTCTCGCTCGGAGGCCGGTTGAGGCTGACCGAACAATCTAATCGCATATATAGTCGATCATGGAGTATAACGGCGGCTCGGTGGTAGCGATGGTCGGGAAGGACTGCGTCGCGATTGCTTCTGATTTGCGCCTCGGGAACCAGGCAATGACTATTGCCACGAACTTTGAGAAGGTGCGTAACCTTCATGTTTGCCTACGCATGTGTATTCACTGGAGGACGCGGTTTGGTTTTCATCTAGGTGTTCCCTGTAACAGACCGGATATACCTTGGGCTTCCGGGTCTGGGGACTGATGTAGCGACCCTGTAAGTACATTGCTCAAACCAACGATCATTGAAGATACTCAATCAGGGTTTATAATCCTGGTCCGCTCGCGCCCTCGTATATGGTGATCCACGATCGACAGACGTGAACGCTTCCGGTTTCGGGTCAACATGTACACTATCAAAGAATCACGCGAGATCGAACCGAGCACATTTGCGCGTCTTGTTTCCTCAACATTGTACGAGCACCGATTCGGGCCGTATTTCATCGAGCCGGTCATCGCAGGCATGGAGCGCACAGCAAGCGGGAAATATGAACCATACATCGCTGCAGCCGACCTGATTGGATGTCTGAACTTTGCCAAGGACTTTGTCGTCGCTGGAACGGCGAGTGACAAGCTGTTCGGTGTTGCCGAGGGTCTTTGGGAGCCAGGCCTGGACCCAGAGGATTTGTTCGAGACTATCAGCCAGACACTGATGAACGCTGTGGATAGAGATGCCTATTCGGGCTGGGGGGCTGTCGTACATGTAATGTGAGTGTACGTTTGCAGTGTTGTCTGCTGATACCATTGCGCAAGCCCTGCGTCGAAAGGTGTTCGTTCCCACCGGTATCCCCGCCGGTATCTCCGTCACATCTACTTCCTTCCTTTCTTCTTCCATACATCCAAAAAGCTCTCCGTGTTAACGCCGTGCTTTGTTCATCCTCACAGCACAAAGGACAAAGTTGTAACGCGCACGCTCAAGGGTAGAATGGATTAAAGTGCAGAAGTATCATCGTCTCATTTTCTGTGTTGTAATTGCATGGTCTCTTTCTATCTCCTTTTTCCGGCCGATCATGTCTGAATCGCAACGAGCGCTCCGTCAGTCATCTGAGCGCCAATGCTTGAGATGTAGGCGTCCGCGGAGGACGGGATGACGAGCAGAGCTCGAAGCTGCACTGTACGTGGGATTCAGGCGGGGACAATGCTGTAAAGCTTGCATCGATGTTTGATGCCGAGAGCCCAGGTATCATCCATAGAACGTTCTTTTTTTTTCTCCCACCCGTTATATTTAAACATGAGGATTCCCGCAGTTGATCTCTAGACCAGCTGCCATAGAGTATCTGTCACCCAAGGCATGCCTCTGGCATGCTCGCTAGAAGACAATGAGGACACGGTTCACTAAGGGGAAGCTGGAGAGAATTTGTGTTAGGGACCTAGCACTTCTGTTCGGCCACACACGCCAGTCACTGTAGGTAAGCGTTCCGTCAAGGCGGACGCTGAGCGGCGCAGTGACTGATCCCGCTGTTTTCAGGATCACGGCTTGAGCTTGAGCGCTTGAGCCGCACAGCAGCCTTTATGACAGCGAAGTCAAAAGTGATACCCCTTGGGGATAGCTAAACAAATACGTTTGCTCACGACATCGAACTGCAGGGTGGCCAGCACCTGTCTTACGGGTGACGCCCACGTTTTGGGTAGTTATACATAGCTGATCGGCCTATCGACGTCATCCTATCAAGACTTGCTTCAGGCTCTATGGGTTTCTGCTTTCGATTCCGCACATCCAAAATCTATGTAAGGTCATATGTATCGTCCTTACTTCCAGAGAGCCCCGAGGCTCGAACCCTTGATGCCATGCCACCATGGGAAGAGATGGAAGACGTACCTCGGCGCGCCTCCGAAGATCGCTTCTCATGAGACTGTCCCACAATTTCCTGCGTACGTCACTTCTAAAATTTAGAATCACAGTCCAATCGACTCATAATCCAGATAATGGGTACACATCTAGATGCAGCCTTTTCTGGGCTCACAAATCCCCGAGGGTGAGTGTTACATGAGCTGCTTAACCTCTGATTGTGCTGTGTTTTCTACAACCTTGACGATGTAGGAGGAGCTATCTATCAAATAGACATCGCTAGTGAGTAGATTATGCTCAGAAAAATGTTGAAAACTGGCATCTCGGCTTATGCTTGACCGAATACCTTCCATATATGGCAATAGTCAAGTCTGAAAATAGTAAGCGAGCGCCAAGTTCTTCTCGCGTCTTTCATTTTAATTTTTTACTCCGCTCAGCACTTTGGGGTCATACGGATACACTTCGCCGCACCGGTGAATGCATGGCAACAGACGGCAACGGAACCCAGAGAATAGGTGGCGTGTGTGCGTTTAGCCCCCAGACCGGCGCCGTTTGCTCTCGGCTTAGCGGGACATGACATTTCGTGAAACCGAGAAGGACCGAGAACCACCAGATGGGGAGCACGCACAATTCATCCCGGCTGCGGCGAACAAGTCTTCTGTGAAGCATATCGGAGCGCTAGCGGCGGGCGTCCCAACACCCTTAAATTCGACTCGAGGATAGCTGCCGTTCCTTTATCCTCTCCTCCTCTTTCTCTCAGTCTCCTCACAGTCGGTCTTTTCCCCGTCCCTTCCTTTTGCTCCTTCTTCTCCCTGTCCTTTACGAAGAAGAGCTTTCCCCTCCCGAACATTACAGAAGAATCCGCTGATTAACTGCTTGATATGAAATTGTCCACCGCGTTTCCGCTGTTGGCGGCCGCTGCTGCCCCAGCCCTTGCGTCATCCCATAATCGCGCACTCTCTTCCCGCCAGGCCCATGTCGGCCGCGGTCTCATAGACATATGTGTAGGCCTTGATGTTGACCTAACGCTTCTCGACGTTCAAAGAGATGGTATGTCCTTTCGCTCCGCACTTTTTCCGTGATTTTGAATCTTCTTCGATTGTGATAGGACATCCGCTCGTTGCCGGACATCTCGACGTTTGCTTGTGCTTGTCCGTCCTTCCTGACTTCGTCAAGTCCAACTCTGTCTGTCAGTCTGCCGCGCTCCTGGTCGGCGAGCTGAAGGTTCAGTCTATCCTGGAGGACCTCGTACGTTTACTTTCTTTCCTTACTGTTTGATATATGGGTACTAAGTAATGGGAACTAGATCAACGGCCACAATGATAAGCAAAACTGCAAGTACCCCAACCACTGTACCCCGCTTTGTCTTCCCAAGGCACCCTGTAACTTCCAATGCAAGGATGGCTACCGTCCTAGCTATGCTCCCGGCGCAAACACCACTGACCCCAACGCTGTTCCCACCGACTGTACTTGCCCTGCGCCGCTATCTGAGTGTAATGGACAGTGCGGTAGTTTCCCTCACGGTTGCGGTACTCAGGCCCCCTCCTCCCGCCGTAAGCGTACGAATGCGCCCAAGTGCGACGCTGGCAAAACTGTTTGCGGTGTCCCTGGTGGCAGCTCTGGTAAAGGATGGGAATGTGTCGATACCACGCGGGACCTCGAGTCATGTACGTTTTTCTTTGTATCTCTTCCTCAGTGGCTACAAATACTGAGTGTAGGCCTGTGTAGGTGGTGGTTGTGCGATCGCCTCTCCTTTCGATACCTTGGCTACTCGCGCTCCTGGTGTTGACTGCTCTGCCATTCCTAACGTCTCTGCTGTCGCTTGTGCAGCGAGCAAATGTGTCGTTTCCACCTGTGCTCCTGGATTCATCCCTTCCCCCGCTAAAGACTCTTGCATCTCCCTTAACAAGCGCGATATTAACGCCGCCGGTGTTGAAGGCGTTGTTGCCCATGTCGGTGGTCTCGTTGGTGTCAAGGAATTCGGCGCTGGTGGCGCTCATATTGGCCGTGATATTGACGCTGCTGGCGTTGAAGGCTTAGTTGCCCATGTTGGAGGTCTCGTTGGCGTCGCCGAAGGTGCTGCTGGAGGACTCCACGTCGGTCGCGATATCAAGGCTGCTGGAGTTGAGGGCATCGTCGCCCATGTCGGCCATCTTGCTGGTGTGAAGGAGGCCGGTGCCGGCGCTGTTCACGTCGCACGCGATATCGATGCCGCTGGAGTTGAAGGATTGGTTGCTCACGTAGGCGGCCTCGTCGGTGTTGCTGAGGGTGCTGCCGGTGGTCTTCACATCGGGCGCGACGTCAAAGCAGCTGGTGTTGAAGGTGTTGTCGCACACGCCGGTGGCCTTGTCGGCGCTAAGGAACATGGTGCAGGTGCTCTCCACATTAGTCGGGACATCAATGCCGCAGGTGTTGAAGGTGTTGTCGCCCATGTCGGTGGACTCGTTGGTGCCAAGGAGTTCGGCGCTGGTGGTCTTCACATCGGTCGTGACATCGATGCTGCAGGTGTTGAGGGATTAGTTGCCCATGCCGGTGGACTCGTTGGTGCCAAGGAGTTCGGCGCTGGTGGTCTTCACATCGGTCGTGACATCGATGCTGCAGGTGTCGAGGGATTAGTCGCCCATGTCGGTGGACTCGTTGGTGCCAAGGAGTTCGGCGCTGGTGGTCTTCACATCGGTCGTGACATCGATGCTGCAGGTGTCGAGGGATTAGTCGCCCATGTCGGTGGACTTGTTGGCGTTGCCGAAGGTGCTGCTGGTGGTCTTCACGTCGGCCGAGACATTAATGGAGCTGGCGTCGAGGGTGTGATTGCCCATGTTGGCGGCCTTGCCGGTGCGAAGGAGTTTGGTGCCGGCGCGGTTCACGTTGGCCGTGATATTGATGCTGCTGGTGTAGAGGGGTTAGTTGCCCACGTCGGTGGCCTTGTTGGTGTAGCTGAAGGCGCTGCTGGTGGCCTCCATGTCGGTCGCGATATTAATGCCGCCGGTGTAGAGGGGCTCGTCGCCCATGTCGGGAATGTTGCTGGCGTCGCTGAGGGCGCGGCTGGTGGCCTCCACATTGGCCGTCGTGCTTAGAGAGCCAGTTATGGATTATGGATTTAGGACTCGCTAGTTGTCATACCCACACTTATTCGTCGACATACCCCACTCTCGCATTAACCGCTACGATTCCACTATCTTTTAGATCGTTTACTTTACGTGGGTGTGCAATAGAAAATGTAATTCAGGTGCTGCTTATCCTCAGTCGTGATTTGATCTTGGTGAAAGCTCAGTGTCCATTACTCCCAATCGACTCCTTCAGATCTTCCCGCGACTCAAGTCGTTCCAGTAACAGGGTAATCATTTAGTATATAAAGTTCTGCTACCTCGCATCACCTCCAAACTTCTGGTCACCGGATGGCATAGTGAATTCACGATGTAGCCTCCAGTCTTTTCGCTCTCCGCTCCCCCGTCAAAGTCGCAAGTTCATTGTTATCAACGGGTCGGAATATCCAAGTGAGCCAGTTCCCTCCACTTCGCATCGTTCGAAGACCCATATCTTCAAACAGATCGTCGGCTGCTTGCGGCCAACTATCGGACACGAATGATGTCAAAGGCTGCAATTCTCATGGCTATAAAACGAAGCACCACTCACTCGAAGAAGGCGAAGCTGGTGCTGTAACTCTCATTTGCCCACAAGAACATGTCGGGATAGCGTTGCCTATTCCATGCAGCGACGCGTTGACATTCTCTGAGTGCAACTTCACAGGACGGGACGTGCAAAAAGGAGTCTTCCAGAAAGTAAGAAGAAATCCAGTGTGCCGATGCCTCAAAAAGATATGCAGGGTTCGTCGTGAACTACAGAGGTTCAATTCCGACTGGTGTGAGCTCCGGCTCAAGGGAGAAAGTGGGGCAGGACTTACCACTCCCCCGTTGATGGCGAAATCGCGACGGTCGATGCTCTTTGCGGGAATCAGGCCTCGATATATGAGTGTGGTTGCGTGCTCTGCTTCAGACAGCCTTGGAGGCGGATTGGCCAGAGAGGGATAATCCCATTTGTGAAAATCTGTCGGCTGCTGCTTCGTAAGACCTACCTCATCTGCAAGTTCGTCTGCATCCTATTCAATGATGACAGAAAGAATCTAGTTAACGCACGTGCCCACCTTCAAATAAGCCTTTCCACGATGATTGATATCCTGTGGCCAGTATTACAGCCTCTGCGTCTATGACTTCACCCGTGTTGAGTATGACGGAATGCCCATCATCACCGAAACTTGCAGCACGAGCAGGCGCCAGCAATTCGATTTTGTTTTGACGAGTCAAGGTGTAAAACCCGTCAGGAGAGCCCACACCTTCGTCATTGGTACGCAAGGACCAGAAAATTGAGGGTGAATTGCGGAGAGGAGACTGTTTTGGGACGGAAAACGTCAAGAACTGTAGTGATTGCAGTTTCAATGGTCATGTTCAGTCATGGTGAGCGACCTCTGACTCACCGAGCTCCATCGAAGAAATTGATTGAATCCGTGGATGAGCCAGCTCCCAGGGGTGGTCTGATGGAGAAACTTCCTGTTTTCCAGGATGGCCTGAAATCAGTCACATATGTTTTCTCTTATAGGATCAAACGCACTCCAAACGGCTTCTCATGGGATAATGACCGACAAAAACAGCCATAAATCTGTGGCAGAGAAGTAAGCGATAGGCCTGGATTAATACTAGTGCAGAACACTCACCGACTCTTCCGAATCGCAGCAGGCAGGGGGACCGGACTCGCGAGGATAGCGTCCACCTTTTCAAAAACTATCTTAACTCGACGCCCCTGCGACGCGAAGTAGGCAGCAATACTGTTGTACAGAACAAGTAGGGTCGCTTAGTTCACTCGAGTGAGCCCAAGAGCCTGTTGCTTACTCCTGCGCCGATTTCCCCCCGCCGATGACAAGGACAGTTCCGCGAGTGGACCCCTCCGAGGACGACTCGGATGCGGCAAGGATCTTATGAATGTTTGCATTGAAAGCGGACGAATGGATCACCGGGCCTCTGAATTTGCTGCGGCCCGCCTCCAAATTCGGCGGTACAAACGGGCTGCTCATGCCCTGTGTCGAAGGGCCCGCCGCCCATATCATCTCATCAGCCCAAATAATTCCTTTCAAAATGGACCGACCGAAATAGAGACTCACGCCTGTACAGAGCACAAGCCTGTCAAAGTGCAGATCCTCTGCCGCTGCCTCGTGTGCGCCTGTCGCCGCGGATCTGACGCGCACCACCCAGCCGGAGCCTGCGGGCCCACGCTCAATACGGACAACCTCGGTATTGAACCTGATGCACCCGCTAAGAAACGTGTCTGCATACGCCTCCATGTACATCCGCACGTTTTCTCCTGTCAATCTGCCGCCCGTTTTCCGGGAATCCTTCGGATCGGGCATCGGCAGCCCAGAAAGCCAGTAGTGGCCATGAACACTGTATCAAACAAAGTAATTCTTCGGTTGAGTTCGTGGATCATGAGGAGGAGTCGAGACAGTTGCCTGTTTATCTTGAGCGCAGGATACACGCGCTCTGCCGCCCAGGTGCCCCCAGGGGACGCGTCGCGTGTGAGTAACGTGACCGCGAAGCCATCGTCTCGCAAAACTTTGCCTGTCACCAGTCCCGCAACGCCAGCACCGACGACACACACTCTGCCCTTTGCACTGTTGGCCTGCATCATAGAGGAAGCAATAGCCTGTCGGGGTGATTTTTCTCACAGGGCACAGCAGCGCCCTTGATATAGTCTTAGCGCATCTAGGGACTCCGCGGCACGACATAGCACCCTCGGACACCCTGCAGAAATGGAATAATCTGACCATAGAACGGCTGTCTCCTGTTGATCTCAGCATTGAAAGTTTCATCAATCCATCAATTCAAGATCAACCCTTGTTTTCATCGTCAACCTACTTGCCTGCTTGTTGCGGAGTCTGGCACAAAGTTATTGTGATCAGCTCATGAAAAGACGCTAATTCTCAGCTTGAATAGCCATCTGTGTCGCCTTGTTGGAGCTTGTTGGATGGAGTTCGGATATAACGAGGTACATGTTGATGCCTTCACGATTGAATGATTGGCCCCACATCTAAAGAAAGATCAATCAGGGACTGTTGATGAAATCCCTGCACACCAGCGTCAACGAGGGCTCAGGCAAGCCAAAGGGTCCTCAGAGCCACGCTCTAAACTATCCATTAGATGCGCATTTGTTTCAGGTCAGCCATGTTGCAACCGTGACCGGGCCGCTATGGGTATCAATTTTCTCAATGGGAATCTGTCAATGAACCTGTCTCTTTCCTACACTTGACATATACACACGCCTCGTATTCCAAAGGCCGTGGCCCAGTCCCCCAAGGCAAGGTTTACCTCGAGCTTGTGATATCATGTATGCCTTTTTTCGGCCGTTTGCGCGCTAACTGTCATGTCCAAGCTGCGGCCTCAAGGTCCTTCAGGCTGCCAGCTGACGCTACCATGTTCATGCGCACGTCGATCAACATGTCGCATCGTAATGGTAACAACACTTGCTTGCATGCATTGCGTCTACGCACTGACGTTCCACATGCCTATCTGCTGAACATTCTCGATGCATCACGTCTTTTGTCATTAGCGCAGCATTCACCTTGCCCGCATCTGTTGGAGGTTATCTGTGGTCACTCAAGCACAATATGCTTAGATGGACCAGAAATCTGGATCAACCAACTTGATGCCGACTTTCGGCAACTTGAATGGACCCCTTGCCCGCCCTCTGGAATGCGCACCGTACAGAACGATGCGCGCGCGTGCATCAGATCCCCGCGCGCGCGCTTCGCCGCCCCATCTCGCTTTCAATATCCTTGCGATGTGGCCTGGCGCCCTCGTCCGCACCCTGCGCGTCCCTGCACACCGCCTTGCCGAGGCCCGCGTTTCATGGCCTGATACGCGGAATTTTCTATGGGGACTGGCCGATGGCTCATGGTGGCCACGCTGGAGCGACGTCGGACCGACGTATCTCCGCTGACGGGCAACCTGGGGCAACGAGGCGACGCGTTTCCGAGCGCGCGCGCAAGGTATCATCGACCATACACACATGGTATGTCTAGGCCCGCCGAGGGCCCGTCGGCGCTTATAAGTTTTGTCAGAGTGATACCAACACATATTGCACCCTTTTTTCCGCCTTTCGGTCTGCAGGATATCCTCGCGCCCGTCGAGAGCCCGTCGAGGGCGCCGAGGTTGCACATCACTTTATCTTGGATCCAGCGCTCCGCTCTGCCCTGCTCTTGTTGCTCAGGCCCTCATCACGCAACAGGTTCCAGCTTTCAAAGCCTCGGCCTTCTTCGTAAAGACGGAACGGAGCTCGCAGACGATTGTGGCCACTGAGTTGCCTATTTCGTCGCCATGTTTCAGCCGACTCGCGCATGGACTTGGACCCGCAGAAGCGTATGCATATATACACGTATATTAGTGTCTACACTGGCCCAGGCGCGGCGGTGCCAGTGCCCATGACCATGGCTATAGTAACGACGTTGCGCACCGCTTGACCCTGGCATCCATTTATTATGTGTACGCACGATCGCCGAACTGCCCGAACGTGTCGTAAACACTTCGTACACGCAATATAATTTGTGGGTACGTCGTTTGATACTGCTGCACGATTTGTTTTTCTGCACGACCGGACGCGCAGCACCGACAAGTCACATACGATGACGATGACGATTCTGGCAATGTCAGGGATGCCGACGCGATCAGCTGACGGAGGCAGTACTGCTGCCTATACTATACGGGCCTATACGGTCAAAATCAGCGACCCGGCCATCATGCATCAGCGTTGATGTGAGCGTTGGTGTTGATGCCGAGTGGCTCGATCTATTAGCTCGATGCGTGCTCGACCTTGCGTATCTGTCCAGCCTCGATCTGGGTACGGAAGGTTTGATGGTGGTGTGTCCAATCGCCGGTTTGCACTGATGATCGGGATGTCCGAGGGATCAGACGCAGGCGAGATCATGATCAAGTAGTGAGCAGGCTGCACATCAGGCTGAGAAAGTGAAGCACTTCGGAGAGTGCGTCGACAGGACGGGCGCATGATGCATGGCGGGCCAAGGAACGTATGTCGCACAGGCCTTGTGTCAGGTGCAATCGTGAAGTCTCGCAGATGCCAGAGTGTTCGACAGGAGACAAGGCTCTAGACACATTCGATGTCAGCCAGACAATTGGCAATGCCTCTTGATGGCGGCGGTGACGGCCGCTCGGGCAATGCGTCGACAGGTCACGACGGGTCGGAGATGGATCCCGCGCAGACCTGCGGCCTGACAGAAGTACGGTGCTTCGGTGACGCAGGCGGAGATCCCGAGAGTGTCCGAGCAATGAACAAGAAGACAGGCACGTTCCAGTCACTGTTCCGCAGACAGGTGGCAACGCTCGACAGCGGCAGTGGCGGCGGCAGCGACAATAATGAATTGTCTCATGCCTCATGTCTCGGCGCGTCCTATACGCACTAGTACGATGATCAATCCCGTTCACTCATGCAGCTGAAGCCGAAGAATTGACCTCAGTAGGGACCGATCGAGATGAGCAAGACATCTCGAGTGAAGTGAGACAAGCAGGGTCTCACTCCAGTCAGCGATGCCGTCGTTGCCTCCGCGCAGAGCGGATACGCGGTAGGGCGCGGTACGCATCTATCAAATGCTTTACTCACGGGCGTGAGGCTATATGCATATATGCACGCGTACCTACCCAGTACCTACCTCTCGTACATTCGCTCGCCAATCGTCGATCCACCGGAGGACGCGCCCAATAAAGAAACAAAACGCCGCATAGAACACCGTTTCGTCGAATGGCCGGATGCTCCCACGATTTGAAGAGTCGAGACCGACGCGGCGAGACGTGCGCGCGTCCGTCGGCACCCGTTGGTGGCGCCCGCCGCGCGCTTCTCGGTCAGTTACCTCTAGCTCACGCGATGTTACGCGGCACCGTCAAGCACTCGTCCATCGCGTTACGCGGCGCCACAGCGATCAGAATCCCCACACGAAAGCGGCAATCGCTGATCCATCCTTGGAGCCGCAGTCTAGAAGCCCCAGGGGCAGTCGAGTCGGACAGGCTAGTGAGGTGAATGCGTGACGGTATTTCGAGCGTAGGAAGACAATCACAAGTAGATAGTGGCGCGACATGCAGCTGCACAGCGTTCTTATGGGACGGCCGGGAGGGCCGAGGGGATGATGAGGGAGAGAAGACAATAAGTATTATAGACAAGGAAGGGGCTGTCCTTACTCGCTCTGCTCTGGGGCTCTGCATGACCCGCAAGCAAAGCAACTGGGCTGCCTTGAGAGATGTGTAAGTAGCTACGAGCGTTCATTAGAGAAATGATGAATGGAATGGATGGCGTTGCCACAGCCTGCGTGAAGAGGTGTGATCTGGATCCGCAATGGGAGAAGCCGGTCCCGATCGGGGACTGAATTTGCATTTTGCCCGCAAAATCGGGCGATGTCCCTTTTTTGGCGTCCTCGCTGAGACGCTTTTGGGCATCAGCGGGCTGCATACGTTCCATGCTGCCTCGAGGCGCACATGACGCCGCTCTCGCTCCCGCAGCCCTCTCCGCGTGCGCCAATGCGCCAATGCGAGCAATGCCAACGAGGGTCCGAGTGCCGTCATGCACAGGAACACGCCAGAGATGCTTATTTCGAACTGTGTGCGAAAAATGCCGGAAGGGGGAGATCAGTGGGAGATCCAGCGAAGGATAAGTGACCGGCGGGGGTGCGGAGTGGGTGCGGACGAGTGCGGACTTGCCGGCGACGCGCCGATCGGAGTCTGATTCGAGATCATGTCATCGCCCATGGGCCGGTCGGGCAGGAGTCTCAGAGCTGTGCGCTCGCTGTGTACCGCCTCGCTGAGCGTGCTTCAGCTTGACGCAGGGGCTGTGGGCTCCGAAAGCAGTCGGACGATATTGTCTGGCCATGGAAGTGCGCGGGTCCCAAGTTATTGTGCTTGGTGTGCTGGAGGCGGGTGCGGGTATAAGTACGGCAAGGATGCGGGTGTGACCTGGATAACCTCCCGTCCGAAGCCCAGAAGCCTCCCTCGCTCGCGTCGCAGTGAGCATTTACAGTCAGGAAAGGAGAGGAGAACTCCGCCCTAGAGGAGCGCCGTAATTTCGTCACGTCACCGCGTCCGAACTTCGAACATTTTATTCCAAGTTTCGCAGGCCCTGCTTCCTCTCTCCCTCACTACATATCATTGTCCCTCCTCTGTTCTCCCCTAAGCGCCTATCGTCGCACTCGTATTTATACCTCTCATATCTATCAGCCGCATCGCCCCTCGTTCCCCACGACCCACATACAGCCAGCGATCGAACTACCTTCAAGCTCTGTACAATCCACATAACATCGCGGTATACCCACCCACCCAATAGCTGCACAGATCGTCCCGAGCCAGACCACCGCCATCATGCCGGCCCTCACCCTGACAGACATGCCCGAAGAGCTCCTCGAGCGAATCCTTCTCTTCGCCCTCTCGCCTCACCCCGCCCCTGCCCCTGCCCCCGCCCTCACCTCGTCCCCTGCCCTGTCCTCCGCAGCCTCCCGCCTCGCCCCGCTCTACACCTGCCGTCTTCTCGCCCGCATCGGCGCCCCGCATCTCTACCGTGCCCCACGCATCCGCAGCGCCCGCGCCGCCCGCCTCCTCGCCCGCACCCTCGAGTCCTCTCCCGCCCTCGCCCGCTGCGTGCGCAAACTCCGCGCCTGTGCTTCCTACGCCGCCCTCGCCGTCGTCTTCCGCGCATGCGGCGCCGCCTCGCTCCCGTCGTCTCCTTCCGAGCCCAGGCGCGCGCTGGAACTGCTTGACCTCACGCTCGATGCGGGCGTGGACGACGCCGAGATGGAGGGAAAGGACGTCGAAGGCGGGCGGTGCTTCGGCGACGCACTGGCCGCGCTCGACGTCCGCGTACTCGTGCTGCGCAAGCGCGAGGCCTACCTCACGCAAGAGCGGCCCAAGGCAGTCATGGAAGGCCTCGCGAGGGCGGTCACGAAATGGCAGAGCCTCGTGCGTCATTTTTCCCTCGTCCTCCCCTTTTGGAAATCTAGCTTCTGATGGGAGGTTTTTTTTTTCTCTTCTGTTTCCGTGCGTTTCGTCTGTATTTGGGCATGCGCACGCTATATACAGACATCCGTGACCATCGCGTTTCGCCTGTCCGATCCCTCCCGCACACGCTCGCGCTCTGAGCCGGGCTCCCGCCCGTCGACACCCCCGTCCGCCGCATCGGCCGCCGCACATCCTGAGCACGCCGCCGCCCTCGCGAGCGCGGATGCGGACGCGGACAACTCGGGCGCCCCACTGACGCTGCCCGCTGCCCTCGCGCGCTCTCCGCGCCTGCGCACGCTGCGCGCGTCGCTGCCGGCCGTGTGGAACCCCGCGCTGCTCCGCATGAGCAAGAACCCCGCGCTCGAGCGCATCGTGCTGACTGTTCCCCGCACCCGCGCGCGCGCGAGCCCTGCGCATCCCATGCACGTCGCAGACGCCTCTGCAGACGTTGCGGAGGAGCGCGTGTCGGAGTGGGACACGGACGACGAGGACGCGCGGGAGGAGGTGCTCGGGTGGGGGTCTGGCCCGCAGCTGTGGATGATGGAGGCGAAGAAGCACGCGCGGCTCATGGAACTTATCAAAGCTGGCAGGTGGGTGTCTGCTCTCGGTCCCTCTTCGCCTTCTCTTTTTTTTGTGTTCCTGCCTCACCCGCTTCTCACGCTCTCGTTCTTCTGTCTGTTTCATCGCCCCTCCCCTTTGTTTGGGCTATCGTAATGGTGGATATATGCTCATGCCAATCATCTTCTTACAGTCCGATGGTCCGCGCCCGCGCGCATACACTCAACGCCAGCATCGCTCTCGGCATGGGCGTCGGCGCTCGCCGTCGGAGCCTTTCCCCCCCTGCCGAGCACAAAGACGAGCACCCCGTTCCCGCACCCGTATCGACATTCTAAACAGATGACGTCAGTACTCGCTATGACGACAAGAACAACGAGGAATGTAGTAGAAGACACACACCACACACAAAGAAGAGATACCCGCATCGTGTATATAGCGTCGCATCCTGATACCCCGCATCGCTTCCGCTATCCTGTTTTTCCTCTCCCTTTCGACGACTTTCCTTTGGTTTTTTCTTAACTTTTTTTCTTCGTTTCTTGTCTTTTTTTCCATGTTTGATCGCGTACAGCTATAATACGGCCGCCTCTACCGCACGCTGCCCTGTCATTTCGAGGCTCTTGTTGATGAACACTTCTTATTACGCCCGGCCCAAGACTTATGGTCCTCTCTTTCCACTGCTACTTTCGGCTCCTTGCATTCCTTCCCGCCTTCGCACTGTCTCTTTACGACTTTTCTCTCTCTCTCGCACAGACTTTCCTTTCTTTTAGTATTAGTTTGGTATCCTTGGTTTGGTCTGGTCCGTCCGGCTCCAGTTTGGCTCAGCGCTAATTGCTTGTTACTTATTTACGACGTGGCTTGTGGGTTCTTTATTCGCTGGCAATGCTAGTTAATTCTTGAAGGTATGATACCATGCGTGCGCGGCGAATCGGTTTCGAGGAGGTGGAGCGAGCTTGGTGGGTGCCGGGAGGTGCCGGGCTGAGCCGGGGTGTGCGACTTGGAACTTGAAAGGTGTGATGGATTCAGTTCCGCCGCCACCTTCAATGCGAATCAAGTTTCGCATGTCTACAGTACCCTTTGTGGAGGATGCATGCGAGGCCCGAGCAACGTCAGCGCGCGTCGTATTCTCTGTGCGCACTCCAGAGGCTGCGTTCGGGCTTCGGACGTGCATCTTTCTTTAAGGAGTGTCTTCGGACAAACGAAAAACTCTTGTTGATTTCTTTCCGAAACATCGCAGACTGGCGGCACAGCAGCAGCTGCTTAGGTAGGCGGCGGTCCTCTTTTCGGTCGACCGAGGTCTTCGCATCCACTCATCCGCGGCTTCGCTCTGCGACGCGTTCTCTCGGAGTCAAGACGGGCATTGCGCCTCGTCGTTCTTGCTCATCGCTACCTTGAACAGCGGGCTGAAAGCTGGCGTGGGTCTTTTTCTTGATAGTGGGTGGATTGATTTGTTGTCAGAGCGAATGTACAGGCTCAGTGGGATCGGGGACTCGAAACCTCGAGCCGATCGAGGTCGAGATCCAGGCTCGCAGATATTTTCCAGGCAACAGCAGCGCCGCCTTGATCGCGAGAGTGGTGGAGCAATTCAATAGCGGTCAATCATGCATCTCGCAATCAAACGGAGTGGTGATTATTGATTCAAACTAATGTCTGTGAGTTTTCTGATGCAGCGAAAGTCACTGACCCACGAACGACGGTGTCATAGAGTGAGGTACAAACGACTGCAAGTACTTAGGACCTTCGGGAAAAGCCCCAAATCTCACTCGTTCCCCCCGGCCTGGTCCGCCGATACAAAATTCTCTGTATTTCCAGTCCCAGCCAGCAGTGATGCGTTCGTCCATTTCCTTCTCCATGCCCACACGATGATAAAGGTTAACTTTATGTTTTTCTACGAGCATCATCGTTAGCTCATACACCCCCTCCCGCCTGGGTTCTCCGTCTGATATAGGCTCGATCTCCCACGTCTCGGGGTTGCGATTCTTGTTTCTGATTCTCCCGATCACAATGGCCCACGTCTCGCGGTCATCGTACGCTCTCATGTGTTTCCTCCGCCAGCTCTCTGCATTCTCTCGATCCTCGAGACTGACCAGCGCAGCCTTGGCGGAAAAAACGAAGTAGCCGGAATCGGTCATTTTGCCCGTAGGTACCGGACTGGGCAGGCCCACCGACCGCCAGGCTCGCTCTGCAGTGAATGCTTTCATAGCCAGCACTTTACCCCCGCTCGTCTGGAAATACGCGCGACCGCTCTCGCTGGTCTCAGGCATCTCAGGCAGCGTGGAAATCTCGCCCGAGGGCTTGACCCAAGGCGCGATGTAAAGCCAGGTAGCCCTCCCGCGTCCCCGTTTCATCACCTCTTGTATCAACCGTATCGTCGCCTTCGTCCTCTCGTCCTGGTGAAACTGAGATACGTCCAAGTTGACACCCAGCAGATCCATCAAGCTGAAGACCATGTCCACAGGCCGCGAAGACGAGCGGGTGTACGCGGACGCCCAGAGGCTGGTCAGGGACGGGCGATTTCCCATTTCAAGGAGCAGGTTGAGAAGCTCTGCTACCTCTGCGGTTATGATTCTCACTGGGAACTCGTCGCGGCGCTCCCATCGGTCCGGCTCGTCGACGTGGAATCTACCGACCCCAACCCACAAATGGAAGCAAAGCAACGACATGTCGCAGGCTGCTGAACGTCCGTCCTCGATGACGGTCTCGACGATCTCGGAGAGGCTGCTGAAGTCAAAGCCGTACTCGGCACCTCTGGGGCATTTCTCGTCGAGGAAATCTTGGAAGGACGAGTGGGTGAGCTCAAACAGGCACTTGATTTTTCCCTTGCCCGGGGCGAGAGCCTCTTGGAGCGTCCAAGCCCTGTCGGCCCACGACGTCGGCTCTGCCAGCCCCGCCAGCCTGACCAGACCTCCCGGCAAGACAAGACAGACTGCACATGCCGAGTAGATGCGATACATCCGCTGGATCTGCCAGTTCTTATCCGCCTTGCTCGTTTGAAGTATGCAAAGCCGGTCGAGCCAGATATGGGTGCAGGAGAAGAGCTTACGAGCCGCGAGGCAGGCAGTGCGCAGGACGTCAAGTGAGATGGGGTCGGCGTGCGTGGCACCGTTGACGGCGAAAGAGGGGACACTGGTGCCCGACGGGAGCTGGAGGTCGCGCCAAGGATAAGAAATGGCGGCGAATGAGGGCATTGAAGTGGTGGGGCTGTCAAAGGAGATAGACGGATACTGAACAATTTTCAGCACGTCCGAGTCGAGGAATGCGGCACAGTCGATGAGTCGAAATTGGCATGGCATCGTAAGCGCATCCAGGTTCACGGTAGTCCCTGCTAGATGGGAGACTGGAACAGACAGGACTACGTGTGTTGAAAGTCCCGCATCATCTCCATCTAGATCCTGGTGAAAGTTTGTATGCTCGCTAGGAAGCTGTGAATGCGGTTTGTTGTTGGAATGGACTCTACCGAGAAAATTTGAGGACCACGCAAAGTAACTTTTTTTTTTGGAACTCACTCGACTGCTCGCTGTCTATATAGCATTTCGGTGTCTTCGTCTTCTTTTCGAGATTGCATACACAGTCTTAGTGCATGATGGTGAGCTGTACAGGGTTTGGCCAAGGCATGCGTACATGGATACGTGCTCACCTGACAATCTTGATCAAGTTCAAGAAGGACTGGAGGGAGAACTTGATCAAAGGCATGAGTGCGACAAACACGTGTTGCTGACGTCCGTCACGCTCAGACAGTCTCCCAAAAACAGCAACGTAGGTGATTCTCCTTCAACCTGAGAGTCAATATACGAGTTGAAGATCTCACGTTCACTGGTTCAATAAACCTTCGGAAGCATTGCTACATAGAAGGAATTACCCACAAGAGATAACGATGAGATCAAACGTACAAAAAACCATTGGTTAACGACTGGCTGCAATAAGTCACTTTGCTTTGGGTCAGGCGAAGTCTCAATGTCAATAACAACAGCAGCACAGAAAACAGGATTGCCCAAGCGTTGACTTCTCGCGTCAGGGAAGTAGCTTATACTTCCCCCGCGTGCTTGCAATATGACATATCACTTGATTCATCTACCTCGTCTTTCTGGCTTTCTGTGGGCTGCGTGAAGTGGACCTTGAGTGGCATCATCGCAAATTCTAGGCTCTGTGTTTGACTGATCGCGTTGCCAAACCCAGACAGGTCTCCCATCGAGACACGGTAGTTGAGGCACGAGAAATGACGAGAGATTTGTCTTGAGAGGAGGGTATGATGCGAACTAAGAGAGGCAAGCAAGAAAAAGATTCTGAGTGGGCTTGCATGAGCAATGGACTCGAATGAAAAATAGAAATGCCAGCGGACAAAAGCGGCGAGCACTCTCGAGCCGGTCATAGAAGGTCATAGACCATATCCTAAGGTTAGGTCGTACCTTCCAACCTCAGAAGTGTATATAGGAGAGACCCGCCCAATCGGTTCGTCATCGACTATTTATCAGTCTGCTGAGGAGACTATGTAATCAGTAAACTCTCCTAAAACTCCCTTGTTGTGTCCTATTCTCGACGTCATCAGAAGAATCTCGTCTGCAGTCTAAATTATCTACGCTAAAATACCCATTATGTCTTCGACCTGCATGACAGCAAACAGTCCACCAGAGGGAAAGCGAAGAGCCTACGACAACGAGTTCAAGATGCTCAGTTCTCTCCTAACGGTCGTTACTGCCATCAACAACATTGGCTCCTCTACTATACATGGTACGAACAACCGACAACCTTACCATACAACGCCGCTCGATGCGGTAACTTCCGTCATCGTTAGGCGCTCCGAGATCGTTGCAGCCGTTGCTGGTCGAGCCCAGGCAACTGCGCCCACTGGTCTCTCGTCCGCCCCTCAGCCCCATCTCCCTATTCCACCGCCCGCACCAGACCCACTATATTACACAGCACTGACCGCGTCTTCAAAAAGCGATATTCATGTGTTGGCCATGGAGCAAGATGCTGTGGAAGACAAAGACAAAGACGGCCAGGCCGGATGTACAGCTTCCGCGAATGCAAAGTGTAGAGACAAATCTGGCCATGACTGTATGCTACTTGTCAGCGGAAATTCCCATTGGCAAACAGTCAAAGGCGATGGCCTGAAGGGCTTGCTCATTGAGTGCGTTTTCTTTTCGAAAAATCACGTGTTGCCTTCGTCTCTTTAACCACATACTCTACGGCAGTGCAACGTATGACCCGCTTTGCAATCATATCGCAACCTTCACAGATTTCTTCAAGGAATATCGCGCAGCATCTCTTGAAGAACGGACGGACCTCTTCATGACATTCACACATTATCTGATCACGACTTCGTGGCCGAAAATGCTTAGCAGGATGTCGACTCCATCATCTCGGGCATATCTCTATGATCTCTCTAAGCTAGCGCCCTATTTGATAGAAAATGCCTGGGCCGATTTCAACTTGGAAAGGGCTCAAGGCCGTGATTCAAAGCTGATTCAGTATATTGCGACTATGGACGCAGATGCCTTTGGCCTTTTCACAGAGTCATACCAGTTTCCGGGCGACAGCAGTCTGCCAAAGCTGCGCGCGTTATGCGCAGATCTCTACAACAGGAAAGAGCGGGTATGCGTTTATGACAAGGACACCTGCACCGAATTCCATCACCTCCTAGTTGGCGTCATGAACGGTTACTGGATTGCCCTTGACCGACTCAAGGCAGGTACGATGCCATTCCAGAGAGAGCAGCAGACCATCTTCAAACTGAAGAAGAAGAAGTCGGGATGGGTTCTGGGGGCGAAAGCAGAGCACGTTCAAAGTGTACAGCTCGGGTCGCTGGAGGAGATGATGGCTGAGGCGTCCAAGGGGGGCCTAGATAGAACGAGACTCAGGGACTGTATCGAATCACTATCTCGACAAGAATTAGATCACTGGATCACTACCTCCGAACAGAAGCTCAAGGAGTGGTACAAGCCTTTGGAGAAGATCGCCACACGGGTTTGGATTCTCAGCCAAGCTCTATGGGTCTTGGCGTACTCTCAGTCCCTTCGTTTGCACCTCGCTTCTCTGGCACAGGCCGCACTTCTCGCGGTACCTAATGTAGGACACATGTGGACAAGCGATGATGTCAGGATTGGAGCCGTACAACGAGATGGACATCCCACAGGCGTCTGTTTAAGGACACCTAAAGCACCAATGCTCGAGGAGAGCAGTGATATTGAGGACGATATCGATATCGAGACAGAGTTCGGTCAGGTCGAGCCTAACATCGGGCAAAGCGTTGACCGAATTGAGCTATGGCTACGGTGGATCCGTCTACACTCATCTCATTTCGCCTCACTGCACGTCTTGAAAAAATTCTGTACTCGTCATAACATAGGTTTCGAGGTCTCCCTCCTCGCTACGCCTAGAGCTACGTATTCACACAAAATAGGGAAATGGCACCCTGCAGTCTCGAGTCTCTTTTCAGATGCGGAATACGCCAACTCTGTATGTGACACGTTACGAAGGAAGATACTAGCGAACATCGACTTGCCTCGCGCTAGAAATGATCGACCGCTCGCGAACATTTTCAAGACTTTCCAACAAACTTTGGCCGAGGATACGGAACTCGTGTTCTCAGGTACTGTACATTGCGAGGCCGCTCTGGCAACGGCGGCAGCGGCGGCGAACTTGGACGCTGGACAATTCACCGACTTTGATATTGTATGCGTCTGCGTTCTTTTGTCTTCGCTATTTGCTAATCTGCTCATTTTCAGAAGGCTAATCTAGATTCGATGTCGTTATCCAGGCTATGTTGCCCAATCTGCTGGGACTTGTTGGAGATGCTACGGAATTATCTTCAGGAAGCCGCTATCGCCGGAGATGACTGCTTGCAGGTTCGAGGTCGTCACTCCACTGTTTGGCCAACCGAACTGCCACCCTGGACTCCTCTCCCGATCATGAAGATGATGGTGAAACGGTACCGAGGTCTTGTTCGTGATGCTCTTGAAAAGATGATGCGGGCGGCCGTGGCGCCAAGTCTTCATACCCCAAAGCCATCGTCTTCGATGAGCGACTCGGGGTTGGCCAGCGACTTTAGCTGGAGCAGTGACGATGATGACATAGGGAAAGCGATATCGTGGCTTAGCACGAAGTTCAAGGAGACCCCGATCGATCAGTAAAATCATGAGCGTCAATACGATACGAGTCAAAGGTCAAAGGCTCTTGTAGCAATGCTTCTTCATTGGGTAAACACACATTCGAAGGCAATGCTATATCGAAGGATCTACCTTCATGAGATAAAAATGAGAAGAGACATACGAAAAGTCATTGGTTAACGACTGGCCACATTCGACAAGTTACTTTGCTTTAGGTGAGGACTCGCTGTCAATAGCAACAACAGTTCAGAAAACAGGACTGCCCGGGTGTCGACTCCCCCCATTGGGACGTGATTCATACCTCCTCAGCGTGCTTTAAAACCTATCACTTCGTCCATCGACTTTGTCTTTTTGGCTCTCTGTGAGCTGCGTGATGTGCACCTCGAGTGGTCGCATCGCGTAGTCCCGGTTCTGCGTCTGGCCGATCACGCTACCAAACCCAGAAGGATCCCCTTGGTGTGAAGGGATGATCTTCGTAACGCCGACACGAATGATGACCATGTAGAACGCAATCGAGATGATGGGCATGACCTGACACCACACGCATGAGCACGTCAGTGCGTTCGGCTTCAACGGTGAAGGTAGAAACAGAGAATAGGCGCTTACCAGGTCAAGGACAACGTACTGGCCGTTGGAGTGGTTGACGAAACACAGTAATGCTGAAAGGAGGGTGACAGAGTATAGTAGACCAGCATCAATGACGATGAGAAGTACAGGCATGAGAGTGGACCCGGACCCGCCATTGTTCCGGACACGAGAGTTGATCTGCCAAATTCGAAATGCGAGGAGGGCTAAAGTCAAGAGGAAACGATATGAACGACCTGATGTGGCGACCCATATGCAAAGGCGTACATGTGGAGATGAGGTTGGTGGACAATGTAGATGCATAGAAAGCCGTGATCCACTGCCCCGTTCGTTGGAAGAAAATGCCACCCTGTGATGGATCGGCCTGTGAACAAGCCAAACCACTCCCAATGGCTGCAACTGTAGCATTAATCTAGTAATCAGAGTCAGTGAATGACCGCGAACGAATAATCCACTGACCTGAAACCCCAGCTAACATGACAAGGGGAAATATGATTACATAGATGGATTTCCAGACCATATAACAGCGATATATCTGGACCACCGTCGGACGTGAGAAATAGCTATCAAAGCATCATCAACCGGGTACTAACGACTACACTATCACCCAGCATGGTCTGAAAATAATAGATCACGTTCTTGGTGACAAACGTGGACTGCGAAGGATTGGCGAACCACAGGGCAGGGCCACCCGGATAGTTTCTGTTATCGATTAATCCTAAAATAATTCGATGGATGTCAACTCCAAGATGCTGATCGTTCGTTCTTTCAGCAGGGCACAGTTGGAGCTCAAGTGAAGTGCGTACGGTGGTACTGAGCGCGAAGAGCATTATCGCGACGACAACCATGGGTCGATTGATGGTCTTCGTTGGTCGGCGGTAGAGCAAAACCCATAGTGTGATACCAAACATGAAGAGAGAAAATCCTGTGTACCTATGTCAGTCGCGAGAAGATCATACCATAGGCTCAGCAATCTCACCATACAAGACCCCCTCTATTACTGTTGAGACGATACCAGCTTTATCTAGTGGCACATCGGTAAACATGTCCATGATGGAGGGACGAGAGTGAAGGATTGGGAGGGAGGATGATTGAAAAAGAGTGATGCTGTAAGATGGCGAGGACGAGAAGATATCATGGTGCAGGATGTCAACCCGGTCTGGGTATGGATGGCCGAGTTCAGCAAGCTCTGAAACCTCCATAGAGCGCTTTGCGATGTCCTATCTTAAGCACTCTCTCCGACAACCACGTCTCCTTGCCATCAATCAAGATGATCACGAATCAGGCGCACCGCCGCAAAAATAGATGATCATTCGTCTGAGATGTACCAACGAGGCGAATGTCTGTCCGCCTCGATTCTCGGTCAATCGTCCATTGTACGGAAAGGCTGTATGCATCGACGTCACTGTTGATCTAAAATCCTAAGCTTGTATATGCCTACGTAAAATCATTTATGGATCATGGGGATAACGTCACAGGCCTTGTTCTCAACTGTGTCCTGCTCGTCCCAACACAGCAATTGTCCCACTCCTCGTAAAAAAAATCTAAGCACGACTGCAGCGCTGTTATATGTTACAATGCATCGATGTGTCGTCCGGTGCCAAAGTCTTGGGCGACTGGATAACAAATGGGTATATCAAATGACATCTTGTCATCAACTTGCTCAAACCTCGCACCCCGATATGTGGCCCGACGACCTCCAATCACTGCGGGCACAGTTCGATCCTAGAATGATTACCTAATGGTTTCTTGCCCAAAAGAATCAGCATTAGATCTATGGATAAATTTTGAGCAAGAAGAGAATGTGCTCTCTAATTTTTGCACAAAGTGTGCTCAGAATATATCATGATCTGATTAAAAACTTGTTTTGGTATAAAATTAGGCCGGAATTGATTATAAATTCCATGAATTCCACAACATGTGTCCATGGAGCACAAAAGGAAGGACATTTGAGCTAAAATCACAAGAAACTCGCAGATCACATCCTAAACTCATCCTAAATGGTCAACTGATCCCATTCTAATCCCATTCTGATCCCATTCTGACCAAGCTGATCCCATTGTGATCAAATTATTGCTTGATCATTTAATCACAATAGAATCAGCTTGGAATCTGTGGACTATTTAGGATGAGTTTAGGATGAGATCTGTGAGTTTCTTGTGATTTTAGCTCAAATGTCCTCCCTTTTGTGCTCCATGGACACATGTTGCAGCCTTTATAAAATTTCAGCCTTTATAAAATTTCAGCCTGATTTTAGCCTGATCCTATTCTGAAACAAAATTTTAGTTGGATCATCATGTAATCCAAGCACACTTTGTGTGGAATTTGAGGAGCACATTGCCATTTTGTTCAAAAGTTATCTATAAATTTCATACTGATTCTTTTGGGCAAGAAATCATCAGGTAATTATTCTCGGATTACCAATCCCATGGAACTTTGCCCGCAGTGAATGTAACCTCGACACCCTGATGCACACGAAATATCCTTGGCAAGGTAGCTGCCAAGGTGCTCTTGAATTGGTACTTGTCGATGCAGTGATGTTATTTGTCCGATGCAACTCGAGTTTAAACAGTTCTGAGATAACAGAACGGCTGTCTTCTGTTGAGGTCAGTACCTGAAGACTACCTCTGAGCGAGCAGCATTCGCGCCGATGGCAAAACCTGCTAATCCTGAGGATGTCGAACTTGCGCGCTCATGGTGCCGTAATCCCAGACAGTTAATATCCTCCGACAGATCTTGTGGCGCCGTCGAACTCAATCCCTCCCAGATCAATCTTGATCGTCCAAAGCAGCGACTCGGACTTTATCTCCGTAACAACCTGGTACTGTGTACACTGTGGTCGCCCTTTAGACGGGCATCGTGAGCGCTATAGAGGAGGTCGGACGAGACTAGATCTGCAGCGCACAGTGTAGTATTCGACGTGACTTTGACTTGGAAGCGCGTCATTGTTGGCTTATTATAAGCACACACATGCCATCCCCGAGCATTGTGAATTCATGGCAGATGCTCGGAAAATTACCAATTTGGGTCGCAAAATTTAGCGATTTCCCCGAGCCTTCCGTATTTGTATATGTGCTTAATGGGCTTTGTGGATGGAGGATCGAGCTCGAGGGAATAGATGATGAAGAGACGGAGAGACGGAGGTTATTTTGGATGTCTTTTGGATGGAGCGCTGCCACTGGGATGGTGTCCCATGACGAGCTGCTGACTTGGCGGCGCGGCGACGGTCGCATCGTGCGCGGACCTCGGACCTGCGCGGCGCGTCGTCATTTCGTCCGATGGGCCTGTCCCGCGCTTTCCCCCTTGTTTCCGTTCCATATAAACCCGTGGCACCGTGCCACAACGACGTTCTCTACGACTGACTGCTACCGACCGGCTCGTCGCCACTACCATCTTCTCGTCTTCCATCTCCCATCTCCAGCCCCGGCCTGAACCCAACCGATCTCGACATGGTCAACTTTACAATCCTCGCGGGAGGTTACTCCACCTTCGTCGCGTCCTACCTCTTCAACACAGATGCGTCCACGCTCACACTTCTCAACCAATCGCCTACCGGCGCGAACCCCTCGTGGATCACGCTCCACCCTTTCAATAGCAGCATCTTATAGTGCGTGCCCACGTTCTAACATACTGAATACGATCGCTGATGTGCACGATGCATGTGGAATACTCGACACAGCGCCGTCAATGAAAACTCACAGGGAGGGCTCCAATCGTTCTTGGTGGGACCGCAGGGCGCGTTGAATGGCCCGTTCGACCAGACAAGCTCGGGCGGCGACAGCCCCGCATTCACAGTGGCGCTCACGACGGGCCAGGTGGGCATCATGAACGTGAGTTTCTCGTCTCGTGAATAATGCCCAGTGGCATCCTTGCGTATGTGCTTACTGGCGTGTCAATTTGCGGGCTGGACAGTACGGCTCCGGCAACGGATTCGTGATCCCGACGTCGCCCGACGCGCTGCACTTTGACGCAGACGCCGCCACCCTCATCACATTCCCTGCCCCCGTGTCCCATCCCCACATGATCCTGGAGCACGGGAACGAAATCCTCGTGCCGGACCTCGTAAGTCACCAATGATTCGCTTCGCCGTGGCTATTTCTGATCAGATTCGAATACGGGCCGCGGCGGTTGGAAATATGTAGGGTGCGGACAAGATTTGGAGGCTGCAAGAGGATGAGAGCCCCGGCAAGTGGGCAATCAAGGGACAGATCCCGCAGCCGTCGGGCAGCGGCCCCCGCCACATCGCAATATCTGGTGCGTCTTGCGCGCGTTCGTGTGTCGCTTTCCTGATGCCGTCTGCCGACTGTCTTTCAACGCCAGATGAAACGCTGTACACCCTGCACGAGTTGGCGTCGACGGTCACCGCCGAGCGCGTCCCCGCCCCACCGAATGGCACGTCCATCATCACCTCTGACCTCTCCACCGTGCCCCCGAACAACCTCACCGGCGCTACCTGGCAAGCGGGCGAGATCCTCATCCCCAAGCCCAATGCAAAATTCCCGGCGTCCTACGTGTACGCCTCGAACCGCAACACCGGGACCACACTCGACCCGCGCGGCGACACCGTCGCGATCTTCGCGACCTTCCCAAAGCTGAAGCTCGTCGCGCAGGTGTACACCGGCCTTGAGCAGATCCGGGGCATGCAGTTTGGCGGAGAGAACGACGAGTTCCTCATTGCAAGTGGTGTGGTTGGCACAGGTGGCGTCGTCGTATTCAAGAGGACAGAGGGTGGCACAAATTTGGTGGAAGTTGTGAGGAACACCGATATCCCGAACAGGACGAGCTTCCTGTGGGGTAAATGGTAAGTAGATGACATTTGAGCGTGAAGAGTATGTCCCATACCCTATGCCTATAAAAGGGCATGCTTTCGAGTGAAACGAGATGTTTGGCATCAAAAGCGAAATATTCATTCTCTCTAAGAAACGAGTCATGGAGATGATCTCATTGTGGAATGTTGACATACCCTATTAGTGAGATGGCTTCAGCCACAGCCGGCACCCTGCACCCTATTCTCACCTCGTCTTCTTGAGAGTGTGTTAGCGACAATCTTCATATGAGAAACAGATGAAGTTGAGTGAATCACTGACGACGGTGCCACTGAGAAGGAAGTTAATGAACCCAAAATTACAGAAGAGAGAATGCCGGTATGGTATGCCTGAAAATCCTGAAATTAGACTGAAGAGTATCACGCTGTGCCGAGGCCCAGGACAAAAGACTTCCAATAACGAACGCGACCATCAAGAAATTTGCCTATGCACACAAAGCCAAGTCAAATACGAAACAGCTAGCTAAGTCCCGTTGGAAATCGTCATGGGAGCGCGAGCATGCATATGAAGCCGAACCAAGAGTGCGAACTGTAGGTCCTACCAGGGGGTAACTGGAAACCGAGATGAGCAAAGCAGCATACTAATAAGCTCTAGCTAAGAGCCTAGGGCCAGGTCATCGACTGAGAAGCTGCGGCCAGACAGATACAACCATGAGATATGCCTAGGATGTCATCTTGGCCAGAGAATAGTCTTCAAGTTAGCAAGAGATGTGCCGTATTTGAAGGGAGATCGGTGTATGCAGATTATATGCGCAACAAACATAGCATACAATGACGCAGGGAACTCGGGGGACGGAAGTTGCGCGGACGTTCAACGTTTTGATCGTCTGTGTTGCCTGTGTCTTTCGCCGCAGTGACCAACGACAGCAGAGGAGGAAAGGCTGTTCGGATAATGAAAAGGCTAACAATCTATGACACGATCAGACCCAACGCAGATCGCTCATGCTCTGACTGCTAGATGAGCTCGTGGAGGTCCGGGTGCTATCAAACCAAAGTCCTCGTGGTGAAATGATTCAGATTGAGAGTCATCCGCCAGGATGGGGCCAGAGAATCTCAGCGTAGAAGTAGAGCGCAGACCCAGGCTCGTGAAGCACAACACTGGACTCTGGAGACGAGAAAAAAAAAGTCAGTAAACAAGTAAAATATGGTGTTATGATACATGAATGTGGACTGCCGGTATCGCAGAGCCATATGCAATGTGCACTGTTGGCCGTTCTTTGGAAATCCGATATTGCTAGTTTGCTACATTTCAAGAGAAACACCGTAGCGGGACGAGGAGGTTCGGTCGAGGTGCACAGATCCAGCCGTTCAAGCTCCGCCATTTTCGTCCACCAGGTCCCGTTCCTCAATTTATCATCACTTCTTTCTGGAGAAGTTCCCACCTCTGCTCCGTTTTTGGGTCTCCCTTTCAACCTCGCACTGAAAGAGGGTTTGCGATTTCAAGAATGTGCGGGTAATTCGATGACCCTGGCTCATGAACGTTACCGTCGTCGCCAGGCTCCTTCCTAGGTTCGATTCGGCCTTTCCGCTGCAGTGAGCATCTTTGCCTGAATGCAGGTTGTTCTTTCAAGCGGCAGTCCGTCGATCCTCCACTGTTGCCAATGCCATCGTGTTCGTTATCGGCCTTGTGCGGAAGACAGCCACTCCCTTGTTGCTCTCTCCGCCTCGTTATGCGCTGGTGTGAGTAATTGATTTTGGAAGAAGCTCGTGAACCTCGGTAATTCGGCAGTGAGCTCGCCTCCATATCCTCTCTGCACGCGATCCTGCTGACCGTCTCTCAGCCGATAGGACCCTATAGGACCCAGCCTTCTCTTCCAGTGAAATTGATTTTCTTGTCACAATGGTGTGTGGAGTCCTCTGAAATCCTCCGCCGAGCTCCGAGCGCCTATTTTGCCACGCTATGGACTATGGGCCTGCGCTTCCCGTAATTGATCCGACACCAGGTTCCTAGAAGCTCTTCTGGCTTACATTGCCGCATTGTACGTCGTTCTACGGCTCGCTCGTGTGCATGACCATCCAGCCGTGTCGCTTGTCAGGCAATATACACTCGTATCCTCTGGCGAGCGACCATCACGACCATCACGGTTTGGGAGCCGAGCGCCAGAAGTCGAAGAATTTACAGCATATAGGGAGATATAGGGTCGGGTCCGCGCGCCGCTTATTTCAGCTGAGTGGTCCGCGGCCATTGGCTGGACACTCAGGAAGCAATCTGCTTGAACAAACGGACTGACGCATTCGGAAGAAAGCTATTACTCGATTCGGTACGACTGCATTCCGTCATTGACGCACATAGATGCCGATGTCCGTCTTCGCTAGGTATTTACATGGCAATCGTCTTGACTTCTTTTCGGTTTCACTGCACCTCGAATTTTCTGTGACCTCTAGAATAGCACACATCGGTTCATCGCATTTCGTCTTCATGATATGCGCTTCACATTCGGTGAGCTGAACTTTTGCATATCTCAAATTATGGCGACACAGTAACAAGCAAGATTTCGAGAAGCCAGGCATGTACCTTGACCTTCGAAACCGGCGATCTTCCTCGGTCTCCCATATTGCAGTCGATAGCACTTCGGTAGCGGTTTGTCCCTCAAAATGCTCGTCAAAGATATTGCCTGCATTATGTGCTGTCCTGTGCTGTCTCGAAGGCTTTGTGAAGGGAGGATGCAGAATGTTCTGGAAGGACCGCATCGACTAACACTCATTTTCTCTTTCGATTTTATATATATTGAGGATCAATTCTGTTTTTTCTAGTGGCATTTTACGGAGCTGAACACCCGATGTACTCCGCTGTACGAGATACGTCCAAGTAATCAACACGCATCCACTGCTTATCTCATTTTCTCGTCGTTCTTTCGGGGGCCCTGCCTCGAGGCATGGACTAGCTACATCTTCATCCCGCCTTTGCTGCGGGCATTTGCAACTGCCGACGCTGATGCTTTCCCCTCACCGCAGATCGGTCAGGCGATCCTGCGAGTACCAGATTCGGGACTAGAAGCGAGCCTTCAATCGAGACACGAGATCCAGGATACCACGACATCAGATCCAACTTTTCACCCCCTTATTCTCGCGTTACTTACGTGATCCCGATTGGGGCAGCATGAGGAGCGATTGAGGACTAAAAAATGCAACAGACAGATAGCCACCGTCATTCCTGGCATAGAGCTTATCTGCAAAAGGCGGTCAGCCGATGCGGAAATTTGTGGTGAGTAACTGCTACCAGAGGACTAATTCTCGGGGTGCGCCCAGAGCCGCCGCGACGGCGCCACCGTGGGAAAGGGGAAGCAAAACTCAATGTTACTGCATTTGCGCGACCACATGAAGTCCCCGATGCCTGTAGAGCGTGAATTTGAACCGCGGGGTTGTCAAGGATGTCAAGGAGGATTGTTGTCAGGTGAAAGAGACTTCGACAATCATGACACGGCAGAGCGCGCAAACTCTTGAGAAAAACAAATAAACAAAGTATCATTCGTGCGTAATTTAAGCTACAATCAAACATATGTTACACCCATGGACACTGCGGGGAATTGACAAGAGAGTACACTGTGATGGCAGTCATCGAGACTTTTTTCAAGGCTTGGGGAGGGGAAGGTGCATGCCGAAGGTCGAAAGAGCAGCGACTGCCTCATCGGTGTAAGGGGGGTAACGGAACTTCATGTACGGGTCCGCGCTAGGAACGTGGAGTTCAGCATGCGATCATCACAGAGAAAACAATTGAAACATACGCAAGAGGGACATGGATGTAGCCACGTAATTGTGTGAAGGTGTCGAAGGAGGTTTTGCCAAGGTACGCGCCATCTGCAAAGAGCGATCAGCGCTTAACGAATACTCAGGGTCGTGTCGCTTCAAAACTTACACCCAGACTCGCCCTGTCCACCGAAGGGCATCTCGTGCACCGCAAGCTGTTGGTAGGTGTCGTTCAAAACGATAGTACCGCTAGCAGTGCGGTCCATGACTGCATGTAACACATCAGTCAGAACTAATTCTCGAAAGTGTGAGCAGTAAACGTACATTTATCCCGAATCGATTCATCTTGCGAGAATATGTAGATGACGAGGGGGGTCGGCCTTTCAGCAATAATGCGGATAGCGTGATCAATGTCGTCGACGGGGACCAGGGCAAGAATTGGGCCGTAAATTTCGCTAACGAGGAAAAGGTTAGATGAGCAACAGGAACATGGACCGATGGGCACGCACTCGGCCATTAACGGATCATCAATCTGCACGTCCTTCACGATCGTAATCTCCATTTTCGTGTCACCGGCGACGCCGCCACCGAGAACGACTTCTCCGTCAGTGCTGCCCAAGAGATTTTGCAGACGCTGGCGATGGGTGGAAGAGATGATGCGGCCAATGTCGGGGCTTTTGAGCGTTCCTTCGGGGAAGAACTCGCTGTGGACTTTCTTGAAGGCCGCAACTATCTCGTCTTGCAGATGGCGGGGCACAAGAACGTAATCGGGAGAGACGCAGATCTTCGAAATGACACATCGGCCGGGTCAGGGGACCAGATATCCGATCATCAAATTCGCCACACACCTGTCCCAAGTTGGCCTGTTTCCCGTACAAGATACGTTTGGCCGAGAGTTCGATGTTTGCATCCGGGGCGATGACCACGGGACATTTACCGCCGAGCTCGAGAGTGAGAGGGGTGACGTGCTTTGCGGCAGCTGCGGCGACAACACGGCCGACGCGGTTGCTGCCAGTGTAGAAGATGTGCTCCCAGCGGAGTTCAAGGAGCTTCGTCGTCTCTTCCACAGCACCGTTGACAATGGCGTAAGCATTGGAGTCGAGATACTTGGGGAAGAGATCGGCAAGTGCATTGGAGACAGTGGGGCACAATTCGGAAGGTTTGATGACGGCGGTGCATCCTGCGGCAATCGCACCCACAAGTGGCCCGAGGGAGATAATGTACGGGTAATTCCATGGCCTATCGCAGAGGTGTCAACACCTGAGAATTTGACAGGCAAAAGACAAAGACACACGTAATGAGCAGAGCAGCGCCTTTGGGAGTCTTGTAGGTCGTAGTGTCCCACCCCTGACGCCACTCGGGGAGGGTCTTGATATCGGCCTTCTCGGGTGCCGTCCACTCTTCGAGATTCTCAAGGGCACGGACAACAGCGTAGACAACGACGCCCAAATCGGCGATGGTCGCCTCCAGCCGCGGTTTGCCAACATCGATGTTGATCGCTTGAACGAGGCGCTCTTCGTTCTCTTGAAGCATCTTGCCGAGCTGGTAGAGCTGCTGTCGGCGGTATGCGAGGGGACGAGTGACGCCTGACACAAACGTCGTCTTCACTCTCGCGTGAATCTGAGAGTCTCGGGTCAGCGCAATCCGAAAGCGTTCATGGCCAAGAAGTGCCATACCTTCGTGATCTCGTCGAGGGGAGTGAACTGGAGGGTAGAGGCCATGGCTGAGAGTCTGAGTGTTTGGAGTGGGTAAGTCTGGGAAGGAGATGGTGTTGAGGTGTGGTTCAGCCAAGGGCTTTTAAAAGATGATCAGAGGGGCAGTGAGAGGACCTGTTCTTGGAACAAACGTGATCTAGAATTCGGAGGGGGGGGGGGCCACTAATCGTAGCCGTTATGGAAGCTTCTGATGAGAGTTATCGAATAATGATCTCTTTTGATAAATCACATAACTTCGCGGAATCATGGTATCCATGAATGCACGATGCATGATGGAGATTCCTCGAGCCATAGTATGCATGTCTTCGATATGGAGAAAGACACGCCTGTGACATGGACTCTGCCCTGTCCGGGGTCCTGACGCGGACCCAAAGTGGGATCAAATTCTTGCCACCTCCATTGCCACACCCTGGCCTACATTGGACTGGCTTTGTATATCTGCTTGCCATATTGCGTATGATATTCGCATGCACATCCTGTCATCGGTGCGTGATGATATCTATCAAGTATATGAGCCTGACGCAGACGTCCTGACACCCGTTGTCCTGCAGCGCTACGTGCCGACTTTCATAGCACTGGATTTGCCGTCATCTGTGCGTGGCAATCAAAATCTGGCGAATATTTTGTACTGTGGCGCAGTCGTCAAGCTATGCTCGTTATCGGAGTCAAATCGCGTACCTTGAGCCATGATGCATGGTGCATGACCCCTTCAGCTTGAAGCCTCCATCCCCTTCAAATTTCCAACTTGGGTCAGATTGTCGCACGAACCCCTGGGTAGCATTTTTTACAAGCCCGCCGGCACTCAGGTGGCGCTTCCTGGCGAGTTACGACATGGGAAGGGCTGGGAACGGTCACTGGGCACCGGTTCACGAATCATGCGTGTCTGGATTCTACTGGGTTTGCCATGGGTCTAGGCAACTAGGGCATCCGATGGCGAACGAAGCCAAGCGAACTTTTGAGGTGGTTGCATCCCGTTTCAGCGTCCGCCTCTGCCCCACGAGCCTGAAGTGGTCCTCGGGGGCCAGCGAAGACCTTCCGGAGAAAGAACACTCTTTTGACAGTGCGCTTGATGCAATTCGTTCGAAGCGGAAGCCTGGATATGGGACTCAGTGACTTTGGCGCTCAAGTATCTTAAAAATCCATGTGAGACTCGATATTGCTCGTTCGTTCACCTCCTTCCCCTTTGTAACCTTGAGTGTTCCGTCCCTCCGTCATGACCACATACAATGGTGTTCCCCTCGACAGAGCTGGTATCGTCTCGACTGTGATGGAAGGGCTCTTATATGGTCAGCTTGTTGAGAGCTTCGTTTGACGTTTTGAGACTGACATACATGAAATCAACGCGCTCAGGGTTTTCCCTTTTCATGTTTGGTATCACTCTATGGGTTCTCTTCTATCACCGGGCGACGAAGGACGTCAATAGACCCATGGTTGTCGTTGCGGTGCTGCTCTTTGCGTTCAGTACCATGGTACGTATCTCACTCAGGCCAAGGGCTGCGCTTCGCTGAATGTTTTGAATCTTAGCATCTCGGAGTCGACATACATCGGATCATGCAAGGTCTTGTGGATAACAGAAACTTCCCAAATGGCCCTGCCGCGTGGTTCGCCGATCCTTCACAGTTCACGTTCGTCTTCAAGAACGCGATCTATTCATTCCAGACTGTGCTGGGCGACGGTGTAGTGGTTAGTGTTCGGTTTATTATGTGTTCATAGTCGTTCATCCTTTTCCAGATATATCGCTGCTATATGGTCTGGCAATCTGTCTATATAATCATATTTCCCTTGATCATGTTGTCTGGTGTCGCAGGTGAGTCAAGTATCTATTCGCGAATACTGCTTTGTTCTAATTACCATGACTATTTGTGCTACAGTCACAGCCGCTGGAAGTGTCTGGGCTTGTTCGCAGGCCACTCCAACGCAAGGCGGTATTTTCTTCCAACGCACAGGACAGTGGATCACGGCCTTCTACTCATCTACGCTGTCCACCAACCTTATCTGCACATGTACGCCTTTCGATTCTAGTCATGAGTTCCAGTTGGTTGCTGACACCATCTCTTTTCGACTTTGAGTCCTCCTTGCATTCCGGATATGGCAGATAAATTCTCGCGTCCGAAATCACCATGGCGGCTCCACGCTCATGCCTGTGCTGCTCATCATCATCGATGCTGGTCTATTATACTCCGTCACTCTCCTTTCAGCACTATTATGTTTCGTCAATCATTCGAATGGGCAATATGTTGTCCTTGACATGGTGCGAGCTTATCACTGTTCTCTCTTCGTTGGCGTGCCGATACACTTCCGAACCCTTGGTACTAGGTTATGCCGATCATCTCGATCGTATTTTACATGGTCATCATTCGTGTCGGTATTGCGAAAGTCACCCCTTCACATCAAGGCGACTCTTCAGGGTTTGGGAATGCGCTCAGTCAGACACAGAACCGGGACTACGCGATGCGACCACTCGAGGTACACATCTCGCAACTCACGGAGAGCCAAAAAGACAAAATCGATCAGCGCAGTGACGCCTCGATCTCAAAGCACGCGGAAGAAGTATGAGCTACTTCTCGATAATGGTGCGTGCAGATAGACGCGAGGAGTTGGCCCCTGTGTAGCCCTGTTTTTATCAGCCGTTGTTCCGATTGACGGTGATACCCCCCACCCAAAGTGACCTGTCGAATGCAGCCAGTCGTTTACCATTTGCTTCTTGTATGTTTTATTATTTTCTTTATCTCGTGAAGGGACATCCTTCCAATGTACCAACGCTTTCGAGGCCCATCAATGAATACTAGTTTCTACAAGAGCGCCCAACCTTCAATTCACATGCTCCGTCATCAAACGCAGTGGCTCGCTTGTCAAACGTCTTTGACCGCCATCATGCTTTAGAATATGCTGAGGTATCAAAATCAATCGTGCGGGGTCCACAGCCGGGTAGTCCGCGGTGCCAACCTCCACGCTGGGCAGACTCGGCAGAAGTCTTGGTTGCGTTCTCATGGAAGAAACAAGCCCTCCCATCTATCGTTAGCTAGGTTGAACCCTCGCTTGCATGCACCTTACTAACCGCATCCGAATGCAACGACCGTCCAAAATCGTCCACGTTCGGAATTCGCGTGACGTTAGTCCGACCGCTCATCTCCGGCATCCTGCGAGATGTTTACACTTGATGAGGAAAACCGGTACCCAGCAGGACCCTGGTCAAGAACAGTGACATGATACCCGCTGAATACACAGCCCTCAGATGACCGCTGGTGAACAGCATGCTTCGGAGGTCTCAGAGGTCATCCGGTCATTGTTTGTATCCCGGGCACCACGCAAAGTTTCGCTTTGATTGGGGCAGCAGCTCATGATGCTTAGATCAATGGCCTCGTAAGTGCCATAAAATTGAGTGCGAACGACTGCAGACGACCGCCCAGCCAGCAGTCTATTGTTCATGCATCTGATGGAAAAAGTACAATTAATGTGGGTCATTGTAACCACCTCAATCAATAGCCATCGTGTCACTGCCACAAGTATCAGCTTGCATGATGATTCTGATGGCGGTAGTGAATATGTCAAGGCGAAAATTAGACGCATGTCATGCAGGGTCATGATTCACTTGAAAATACTTGATATGTTAGACGCGTTCCAATGACTGCCAGGGGCTACGAAACAAAGATCGCTTGGCATGGGAAGGAGCAAGCTGCCGCTCTGACGTTGTACCTCCTGGGAGCTGAACACAAAAATAATGCCATCGCTGAAGTAAGATGCGATGTGAGGGATATAATCGTCACTGTTGCTCTTATCACTGTGATTTGGAGGAACAAGATTCGCTGACAGGTGTAGAGCTCAACAGAGAATTCTGACTTCGTGCGACCATATTCAACTTGTCTTTATCAGAAATTCGAAAATATCGCATCGTGGTTCCAAATGTTCAAGAAAAGCGTGCGCAGATAAGCATACAGAAGAAATACACACCTACGATTCTGTTCAAGTTTGTATCAACACTCACATATTGATCAAAATCCCGCCTGTGCCGCCTCCCTTTCCGCCAGACTTCCCCGCGCTGCCCACGCCTTGACGTGCGCTAGGTCCTCCTGCTCCTCTAGTTCTCTCTCTACCGCTTCGGGGAGCCCCCAACCGCCGCCTCCGGGCGTCTCGATCAGCAGCCGGTCGCCCTTGCCCATCCACACCGTCGCCTTGCCGCCGATATTGACCCTGCGCGGCTCCTGCATCTTCTTGGATTCACCGTCTAGCAGGTCGCCATCGCCGCGCCGCGCCTGCTTCACCCAGGTGTTTCGCCCGAGGCCGCCAGAGCCGCCACCTTCAAGTCCGTACGGTTGGCGTGTCCTCCGCTGCGTATGTGCAGGGTGCTGTCAGCCTCATGTCGTATGGCGAGAGAGATAGAGAAGGACTGACCTCGGAGAGAATGGAGACTTGCAGCGGCTCCGTGAATTCTATCTCTCGCACGACACCTTCTCCGCCACGATATTTACCATCGCCTGCCGAGCCCTCTCGGAGTCCGAACTGGTGCAGGAGCAGCGGATACCGCCGCTCGAGAATTTCGACGTCTCCGATCCGCGTATTCGTGATGTGCGTGTGCACGCCCGACGTCCCGTGCCACGTTGGCCCTGCGCCCGAGCCGCCGGCAATCGTCTACGGTTGAAGCGCCATCACGGTCAGTAGCCGACAGCTCCTAGTTTAGGAGCAAGCATGCAACGATCGGGTGTGGGAAAACGTACCTCGTAGTATCCCCACCCGGCGATATTGTTCCCGTCTGCGTCTTTGCCGCCGGCACCGAAGGTGAGGTTGTTCGTGCAGCCCTGGCTTGCGGAGCACGCGTGGAAGGCCTTGAGGACGACGTCGACAATGCGTTGCGAGGTGAGAACGTTGCCGCCGCAGACGGCCGCCGTGCGCGAGGGCGAGAGCAAACTGCCCTTTGGTATCCGAACTGGTGCTAATCGTCAATACGAGCATGTTATGATGGCATAGGCAAGGGACATACTGTCGAGGGGAACGAGACAACCAGCGTTGAGAGGGATGTCGAGGTCAAGCATGGACCGCATGCAGTATATAACGGCGGAATGCACTACCGAGATCGGGGCGTTGAGGTTCCCCCGGACTTCGCAGCCGGTGCCTTCGAAGTCCAAAACGGCGGAGCCAGCCTTTTCATCAATCTCCACTTTCAGGTGGATCTGGAGAAACGGTGTGTGAGGGTGCGTATGGGGATGAGGAGAAGGTACGTGAGGTGTACGAACGGGAGAGCCATCGTCGAGATAGTCGACCGCGCTGAGAACGTTTGCGCCGGATTTTTGGACCACTTCGCGGAGGAGATTGCGTACTGAGGCCTCGGCGTTGGAACGAATGTGCAGCATATATTCCTGGACTGTCTCGAGGCCATAGTCATCCACGACTGCATTTGTCTCGTCGTTAGTATACATGTGCGATTCCTTAAAAGGGATTCTTTACATACTTGAATGGATGAGCTGAATGCCCTTGTGGTTAGCGGCAATTTGCTTCGGGACATAAGAACCTTAGGCCAACCCATTTAGACATATGCCGAGCCTCGGAGACTTACCGCTTTAAGATCGCTTTCGACATCTCTGATGTTCCTACACCCCGAACTACCGGGATATTGGGCCGGCTTGTCGAGCATGTACTCGTAAAGACCCTTCTGGTCAAACACGCCGTTGTTGACGACCTTGAAGCTGACGATCTCCGCACCCTCCTCGAAAATGTTCACCGAGGTCGGAGGCATAGAGCCAGGAAGAATACCGCCAATATCAGCATGGTGCCCGCGTGAGGCCGTGAAGAATATGATCTCTTTCGTCTTCGGGTCGAAGACAGGGCTGATGATAGTGATGTCGGGGAGGTGACTGGGAAACAGAATTTCAACATATACGATCTGAAGATGTGAGATAGCGCGGTGGGCGCTACAACACCTAGGCACCATTGAAGCAAAGGTAATGACTTACGAGCCGCCCGCGTGTGGGGAGTTGGTCATCAACACGTCCCCCTCCTTCAAGTCCTTCCCATAGAGCTGCATCTGGTACTTCACAGCGCTACCACACCACTTCAATAATGTACAACTGCCATTGCTGTTGACAGGAGTTACTCACAAGCTCATAGATCCCAAGTGAATGGGAATGAACGGCGCGTTCGCGACGAGGTCTCCATCGGGCGCGAAGAGCGCGCAAGAGAAATCGAGGCGCTCCTTGATGTTGGTGCTAATAGAGGTCTGCTGAAGGGATCGTCCCATTGCTTCTGCGACGCTCATGAAGCGGTTCGCAAACAGCGTGAGGAGAATCGGGTCAGGCCCTTTGATGGTGGACGCGGGGACTGGCATGGTCGAAGGCGGAGGAGAGAAGAGAAATTGGCTGCGACGAGGTTGGAAAGGTACTCGTTATATTAAGTCGTAACTGACTCGGGGCAGGTCCAGTCGGCGAGCAGATAACGTCGGATGAAATCTATAAGGCGATCGTGATTCGATCTCTGCAGATGTCTGTGGTCGATGGTTAACGTTTACTGTTTAGATGTGATCAACCACAAAAATGAGTGTTATGGAAGTGCTCATTATGGCGATGTTTGAAGATGCTGCCTACCACAATTTGAACCAAAGCTTCATGAACTCTTCTTCAAACTGTGGATGTAGGAGCCAAAGCAGGTTCGCCGGCGGCAGAGCCAGCTTCGGAGCCGGCCGTGCCTCGCTGACCCTAACCCGAGGTGGTCGATCCCAATGCCGCCGGCAGTGCTGCTGTAGGGCTGTTGGGTCTCCCATTGCTCTCAAAAACATATCACAGTTACCGCTCCAATCCTTTCCAGCCTGCTTTATTTTCATTTGGACCTCAATCCTCATAATTAATCCTGCGACACACATAATGGCCGAGACGCTGATGAACTACATAGCCTCCCAAGCTGCCCTCGTTCAAGAGGCCGCTGAAGCTCTCCCTCATCAGTTTACGCACTGCACCTACTCCCTCGGACACATTCGGCAGGCCGTGTATCTCTGCCAAACGTGCGCCGCTCCCAGAGGGATTTGCTCAGCATGCTCTATTGCCTGCCACACAGACCACGAGCAGCTCGAGCTGTTCCCGAAGCGTCACTTTCGGTGCGACTGCCCTACCGTGTCCCTCTCGCACGCATGTACGCTTCATAGAACTCCGGAGGAGGAGAACGCGTCAAACCCGTACGGAAAGAATTTTCAGGGTGTTTTTTGTAGGTGCGGGAGACACTATGACGCGTCCCTAGAGAGAGAAACGATGATCCAATGTCTGGTATGTGAGGTGAGTCTCGAATTTGTTTCTCCTGAGCTTCATTACACATTCTATGCGTACCATCATCCGGCTCGAAATAATTACCAAAAGAGGGAAAGTTTGTCTCTATCTGTGTCAATATAATCCGCGTCTTTCGTTGTGTGGAAAAGGGAATGGTTCTTGGAGATCTCTTTTACGACAATTGTTCTGACTCTAGTTTTCATTGTTTGTTCCTGTCGTTTTTATTTCATAGCCAACCAATTTGCCATGTTGACATCTTCCCAGGACTGGCTTCACGAATCCTGCCTCAACCTCCGCGACAAGCCGTCCTCGCGCGAATCTACGCCCGCACGTGAGGACCCCGCGCCCACAGAATCCCACGAACATAGCGCTGCGACGAGCGATGGCGACGATGACACCCATTCTGAAGCCTCCTCCTCAGGGCTCCCACCCCCGCTGATCACAGGCACCGACTACGATGCGCTGGTCTGCGGCCCCTGCGTCGCGCGCATCCCCATCCTCCGACGATGGGCGGGCACAGAGGGCGTTATGATGGTCTCCCGCGACGACTCCGGTGCGGCGTGGCACATCGTCGAAGGCAGCGCTCCGAGCGCGAACGTGAACGAAACTGTAAACGTCGACGTTACTGATGACGGCCCAGTCGAGGTCGGCACAAAGCGCCCCCTCTTGCCTCTGGATCCGAGCGCGCAACCGGACGCCAAGAAAGCGAGGTTGGTGCTTTCGGAGCCATTCTCGTCTGGGGAATTGTCTTCTACACGGACGAACGCGTGTTTGGCGCCAGTTGCCAATCCTGCTGCAGAGCACATTTTCGCCGCGCTCGACGTGAAAGAGCAGGACCCATCACAATTGCTAGGGAACGGTGATATTTTCTTGACCGGCGACTGGCGAACGCGATGGTGCCGTTGCGACTCGGTAAGCTCGCCCAGTTTGCTATTCTGAGAAGACCATCTCACGCCTGAGCTATTCATCTATATACGCGTGTTCACGTTCCCAGTGCCTCCCACAGCTACAGGAACATCCGTATCTGCTTGATGAAGAGGAAACATACGAGCCACCCGAGGACCCTGACTCCCGTGCGTGCTGTTCTTCTTGAGAAAAGTCTTCCTGAACGAGACGATATCTGACTGGCGCTGATGCTGTCTTGTCTTCATCTATCATCAGAACTTTCCCTCGAAGAACTGGGCGCGCGGGCGCTAGATAACATCCCGCGCGAGCGAGCGCTCGATGGTATTCGTGCATTCAATGATATGAGGTGCGTGCCTAAGGCGCCTTCCATCTCTTCCTTGTCATCCTTGAAACAATCAAGGAATGCTGCGTTTTTGATGAAGGCTGACGCTCATACTGATGCTGATTATCGCGCGCGCGTGCGCTACAGGAACGACCTCGTCAAATTCCTGCGCCCGTTCGCACAGGAGGGCAAGGTCGTCGCAGAAGCTGATATCAGAGAGTTCTTTGAGGCTAAAATCGAGACTACGAAGCAAGGCCAGGGGTACGCGGCCTGAGCAGGTTGTCCCCATGGGGTTCCGTGCGTCTGATGTTGATCGTTTCGCTTGGTCTTCATCGATTTCTTTTTTCACTTTTCGTTTCTGGTGTATACGCTGATACAAATCGTCACGCTCATGGTTCAGGTGCTCGGGGTCGCTCTGATGTAATTTTACAACGCTTTAATATCTTCCCAGTGCGCATTCTCATCCTACGGATGATTCTCGTCTTCAACCTCTGCCTCGAGTCGTCTTGTCGCTCGACTACCCTAGCCGTACGTACAGTGGTGGCGTACCTTTCGAACATCTTCGGCAGGACAACGGTTCAAATTCGGATCCTTCTTTCGCTATCCAGATGAAGAACGTGGCAAAGAATGTCGCTCTGATCATCTTCATTTTTCTTTGCTCTTGACAATGACTCGCCTGAGGTGCACAAACTGCTTCCCATCTGCCTCAGGATCCCGATTGGTCACTTCTCTTTTTTTCTTCTGAAGGTTGCGCTCCTTCATTGGTGCGTCTCGTTCTGTGTCATTGTTCCGGCCGGCGCACTCACTTCTGCCTCGCGGTTGCTCTAGGCTAGGCTGGCAAATCTTTGAGTTGTTCATCATCTGGTGCGGAATAGAATGAGAGGAGCTCTCATCATCACCTTTGTCGCTCACAATGTTGATCCTCCCTACAACGGCCAGCGATAATAGGCGAATGGTATGTCTCATCATCGAGAGCTGTACTTACGTAGACCATGTCTCCCCTAGCCATGCCTGCATTGGGCTTCCATTTTCGTATCTCTGAAAAAGGTTATTTGTACATCGCGTATGGCACTTTCATGAGGGCCCTCTTCCACGGCGCGCTGTTCTTTCTGACATGATTGTGATCTGACACTGATCTTGCTCGAATGGAAGCACGAACCTTCGTCGTTGCTTGCACTGCATGTTTCTAGGTATGTCTAGCGAAGATCCAGAATCAGCAGCTCACTCATAATTCATTATTGCTGATTGCTGGCCAAATTTTGGCTCAAGTTCAGTATTTATTTCGAGCCTATCGAAATCTAGGTTCACCACTCATAAATCTAGCGAACGAAGGTAAAGGACGGAGACAGAGCTAGTTTATGAGTGTGAGGTGTAAGACGGGAGGACGAACACTTTTTTGACAGCAGGCTTGATGGATTGTAATGATGGGACTGTGTGGCTTTAGCGCATAAGTACAAGGGGTCCATACGCCAAAAAAAGTCCAGATTTGCTCGTACCTACACCTCCCTCCTTCGAGTGTCTTGCCCTTCCGTCATGGCCGCATTCAGTGATATACCCCTCGAAAAAGCTAGTATTATCTCAACAGTAATCGAGGGGGTCTTGTATAGTGAGATTGCCGAGCGTGTCCTACAATTTCTTCGCGACTGACATACACTCAAACATTGCGCCTAGGATTCTCCTTCTTTATGTTCGCCATAACACTATGAGTTCTACTCTACCGCCGATCAACGAAGGACGTCAACAGACCCATGGTTGTTGTTGCGGTATTGCTCTTTGCGTTTAGTACCATGGTACGTATTTCACCCTAAACACGGGCTGCCCCTCGCTGAAAGTTTCGAATCTTAGCATCTCGGAGTCGACATACATCGAACCATCTCAGGTCTTGTGGATCACAGAAACTTCCCAAATGGCCCTGCCGCGTGGTTCGCCGATCCTTCACAGTCCACGTTCGTTTTCAAGAACGCGATCTATTCATTCCAGACTGTGCTGGGCGACGGTGTGGTGGTTAGTGTTCGGTTTATTATGTGTTCATAGTCGTTCATCCTTTTCCAGATATATCGCTGCTATATGGTCTGGCAATCTGTCTATGTAATCATATTTCCCTTGATCATGTTGTCTGGTGTCGCAGGTGAGTCAAGTATCTATTCGCGAGTACTGCTTTGTTCTAATTACTATGACTATTCGTGCTACAGTCACAGCCGCTGGAAGTGTCTGGGCTTGCTCGCAGGCCACTCCAACGCAAGGCGGTATTTTCTTCCAACGCACAGGACAGTGGATCACGGCCTTCTACTCATCTACGCTGTCCACCAACCTTATCTGCACATGTACGCCTTTCGATTCTAGTCATGAGTTCCAGTTGGTTGCTGACACCATCTCTTTTCGACTTTGAGTCCTCCTTGCATTCCGGATATGGCAGATAAATTCTCGCGTCCGAAATCACCATGGCGGCTCCACGCTCATGCCTGTGCTGCTCATCATCATCGATGCTGGTCTATTATACTCCGTCACCATCCTTTCAGCACTGGTATGTTTTGTCACTCACTCCAACGGCGTATAGGTTGTCCTCGACATGGTGAGAGCCTGTTCTCTATTTCTACTTTCGCCATTTACACCAAGTATTCTGACACTTCCGTGTTGTTGGTACTAGATCACGCCGATCACCTCGATCACGTTTTACATGGTCATCATTCGTATCGGCGTCGCGCAAGCTGCCACTTCACGCCACGGGGACACTTCTGCGGTTGGTAACAGGATCGGTCAGACGCAGAATCGGGGCCACGCGATGCGGCGACTCGCGGTACACATCACGCATCTGACGGAGAGCCAAACAGACGATGTCGATCAACAAAGTGGGCCGATATCAAAGCACGCAGAAGAGGCATGATTTACTTTCCGACGCGGGAAGTTGATATTGGCAGTCTTTGTGCCGCTATTATTGTCGACAGACTGACAGTGAGACCTCACCCAAAGCAAAGCGACTCGTGGGATGCAGCCAGTCGTTAGCCAAATTCTTCTTGTATGTTTCATCATAACATTGATGCGTGAAGTTGTACCTTTCATTATAGCAATGCTCCTCGAAGTCTATTTCACCCAAACTGGTGTTGACACTCGGTGATATGGCACGTCGAGTAAAAGTACAGGTTCATTTGTCTGCTCAGCGTCGCGCTCTAGAGCATGTCGGGGTAATCATGTGGGGTCCATGGCGAATTTTCTGAGTTGTTCATCAGGCAAACCATGGAAGTGGTCTGAACCGTTCATTTTTGGCCTGCAGTATGGGCTTTTTGATACCACAGCTCTCAGGTAACAAATAATCCGATAACTAGCGAAGTCACGCTCAAGTTGCGACATTACCCGGCATTACTCAGTCTCAGACATCTCATTTAGTAGTACATTCGAGGCAAGGAAACCCCGTCTTCCTCTCCGACGAAGGTTTATGAGCACAGTGCCAGCTAATGTTCGGCTCGTCTGTGCGATTAATATTGCCAAGAAAGTACTACTGTAGTAGTTGTGCGTCGTGTTCTGGATCTCCCATGCGGTGCACGTGCTGTTTGAACTCGCGCGTTGCGCCCGATTTTGGTGCTCGCGACGACTGACGACGACGACCAAAGCCTCTCTGCAAACGTTCTGCTACCAAACAGATTTCAAAGGCCACCTACTCCATGAGGATCTCTCCCCAACCGTCCAGTTTATTGCTCCCTAAATCTCTACACACCCGACGTTGCATAGACAGTTAGGCCTGCCACCGACTGCACTCGCAGATGGGCTATTGTCACTACAGCAGACATTGACACGATGTGTAGAGGATCAGATAGATGGCAGACGGAAGCAGGTGGATTATTTCGAAATCCGAGGGATGGAAAAGGGTATGTCAATTTAAGGAGCCGGGAAGTTTTGTTATTCTCCCTAAGGCAGCACTCTCCGATGTGGTCTCCGTATATCCGTATTCTTTGTTGACGAGGCTCGCATTCAAGGATTTGAAGGGTCATTTTGCGATATTCTTCGCCATTGCAGAGCATGGCTCTCCCGTTCTTATCTGATGGACCCACCTGGACCCACGTCTATCACTAAAGCTCCACACTGGTCATCGACACCGATTGGGTATTGTTTTAGCACCATCTTCAGGCGAATGGTGCGTCTCCTCAGGAGCAGTACGTAGACCATGTCTCCCTTGCCCATGCCTACATCCGGCTTCCGTTTTTGTATCGCTGAAAAAGGTTATTTGTACATCGCGTACGGCGCTTTTATGATGGTCCTCATCAAACTTGTGCTGTTCTTTCTGACATGATTGTGATCTGATCCTGATCTTGCTCAAATGGAAACATGAACCTCCGTCGTTGCTTGCACTGCATGTTTCCAAGTATGTATGGCGAAGGTCCAGAATCAGCACCTCACTTATTCCTTGTCGCTAGGTGCTGAACAAACCCCGGCTCGAAGTCCAGTGTTCGTTTCGAGCCTATCTACATCTGGGTCCACCACTCATCAATCTCACGAATGTGGTAGCGAACGAAGGTAATGGACGGAGACAGAGCTGAATCCACCACTGTGAGGTGTAGGACTGGAGACTGACGAACACCTTTTTAACAACAGGCTTGATGGAATGCCTTAAATCAATGATGAGGCTGGGTGGCTCTAGCGCTCATAGTAGGTTAAGAGGTCCATGCGCAAACAGAGTCTAGGGTTGCTCGTCCCTACACCTCCCTCCCTCGAGTGTCACGCTGCTCCGTTCGTCATGGACAAGTTTAGTGGTATATCCCTCGACAAGGCTGGTATCATTTCGACAGTTTTGGAGGGTATCTTATATGGTGAGCTTGCCGAGCACGTCATATGATCTCCTCGCGACTGACATACACATGAACATCGCACCCAGGATTCTCCCTCTTTATGTTCGCCATAACACTATGGGTCCTATTCTTCCGCCGGTCAACGAAGGAAGTCAACCGACCAATGGTTGTTGTTGCAATACTGCTCTTTGTGTTCAGTACCATGGTAAGTGCATCACTTTGATTCCAAGCCGTGCTTCGTTGAAAGGCTGGATCATGAGCATCTCGCAGTCAATATACATCGAATCATCTTGGGACTTGTGAATAACAGAAACTATCAAGGTGGCCCTGGCAAGTGGTTCTCCGAGCCTTCGCAGCCCACCTTCATTTTCAAGAACGCGATATATACATTGCAGACCGTGCTGGGCGACGGTGTAGTCGTAAGCACCCATACATCGAGATTTGATCCTCATTCACAATGGTGTTCCAGATTTATCGCTGTTATATGGTCTGGCAATCCATCTATATCATCATATTTCCCTTGATCATGTTGGCTGGGGTTGCTAGTGAGTAGGACATCTATGCACGATTGCTCTGACTCTGATGGGCGCATACATCTACGCTACAGCCACAGCCATTGGAAGTCTTTGGGCTTGCTCGCATGCCCCTCAAATATATCATGATATTTTCTCACAACGGACTGGACATTGGGTTACAGCCTTTTTGTCATCTACGCTCTCTACCAACCTCATCTGCACACGTACGCTCCTTCGTCGGGGTTGTAAGCTTCGGTTGCTAATATCCCCTGTTAGTCCTCCTCGCATTTCGGATCTGGCAGATAAATTCTCGCGCCCGAAATCACCTTGGCGGCTCTACGCTTATGCCTGTGCTCCTTATTGTCATTGACGCTGGTGTATTATACTCTGTCACCCTTCTTACAACACTATTGTGTTTCGTCGATCATTCCAATGGACAATATGTTGTCCTTGATATGGTGAGGAGTTTTCACTATTCTGTCTTTGGCATCGTTGTTGAGGATCCTGACGCCTCCATACCTTCGGTGCTAGATCATGCCGATCATTTCGATCGCATTTTACATGGTCATCATTCGTATCGGTGTTGCGAAAGTTGCCCCTTCACGTCAAAAGGGCTCTTCTGGGGTTGGTAACCCGATCGGCCAAATGCACAATCGGGACTACGCAATGCGGCCACTCGAGGTGCACATATCGCAGCTAACGGAGGCCCAAAAAGACACAATTGATGAGCGGAGTGATGTGTAGATTTCAAAGCGCGTGGAAGAAGTATGAATTATTTCCTGTTGGTCGTGTGTGTAGGTTGATGCGCCACGAATATGTACTTTTTGATATTGTTGAAGTGTATCGTCTCACCATGTACTTGTTGCTACAAGGGCCCAATTTTGAACTTGATTGCTGCTCAGTGATATGTTGTGCCGTTCAACTGCGCTTTGCTTGTCAAGCACCATTGTCTTTGGAGCATTCTGGGTTTGTGATTGGGCGGGGTCAGAACAACGCTGAACGAAACAATTCTCTTCATGATGATCACATTCAGTAGAGGGGTCGAGTTCATTTTCATGAAAAAGGCAACCAATTCAATCTACATACTTTCAGGGATATTTGTCCACGACGTATGGCACGATCACGTGCTGTTTGAACTCGCGCCTCGCGCTTCATTTCGTTGTCTGCGACGACGACGACGACAACGACAACGACAACGAAAGCTATCTTGCAAACACTCTGCTAATAGAACGTACGTCGAAGGCGACCGCAACATGGAGATGTTGCCGCAACCGTCGATAACGTCACTCCTTGACTCTCTACACACCCATCTCCAATCTCAGACACAATTACTTCCGACATTGCATGGGCAGCTAGGCCTACCACCGACTGCACTCGCAGATGAGCTACTGTCATTACAACAGACATTGACACGATGTGTAGAGGATCAGATAGATGGCAGGCGGAAGCAGGTGGATGAATGGCTATCGAAATGCGAGGGGGTGGAGAAGGAATGCCACAGGTATGGTGTTGCATTGGGTGGCCATATCAAGGGGCCAGGAAGCACTGTTGGAGAGGCTCGGAAGGAACATGTTCTCCCCAAACGCTATGACGTGCTGACAGAATTACAGGAAAAGCTGAGACAGGTGCGCATCGATGAATGTGTTCTCGTCGTTTACATAGCGTTCATGTCCCGGTTTTTCAGTTGTATCATACGAAATACGAACAGCTGCTCACCCTCACGAATCGGATTGCCGTGCTATCCCGAACACTAGGGGAGGGATTCTTTGCGGAAGACATTCTTGAGCCCAAAGTCGCTGGGGAGGGGAATCTTTTGAATGCTGCGAACGTGCAACATCGGGACGTCACACCCGAGCGTTTCTCGAAATTGGAGAAGGAGCTTGTTCGTGGCAAAGGTGAAGTTGTGAGTATCATTTTGCTCGCTCCCCTATAAACGCCTCTCAAGTATTATCAGGCCAAGCGAGTAGCGCAACTGCAATCGATATTCGTGCAGATAGATTGGCTTTACACAGAACTTGGCATCGCACCCCCTTCCATCTCTGATTTCTCTCCGGACTCGAATGCAGCCTCGACGTCCTCTCTCCATCTCTCCGCCCTTTCTCGGCCCATCACAACGCGGACCAGCAACTCCAACCTCAACCTCAACGCCGATCCTTTCCTTTCCGATTCCCTCGCCACCCCTACACCAGGTTCGCGAACGAGACCACGCACACCCGCTCTTTTCCTCACTTCCGAACCCGACCGTCCTGAGACGCCATACGAACTCGTGTTTGCTCGCTTTGCTGCTCGGCTGGAAGAAGCAGACAGCGAAGGCCTGGTTGAGGGCCACATAGTCGGACTTGAAGGTGTAGAGCCGACGCCAGGGTTGCTGGCATGGGCTGAAGGTGTGGTTTCTGACCTCGAAGATACCAAACGTCGTCGCGAGGGGCGCATACAGGCGATGTATGATCAACTAGAAGGTCTTTGGCGGCGTCTGGGTGTTCCTGACTCGGCTATGGATGGGTTCGTGGACGCTCATCGAGGGAGTACGGGGGACACGGAGCAAGCGTATGAGGAGGAGTTGGAGCGGATGCTCGAGCTGAAGAGAGAGATGATGGGCACATTCATTCAGAACGCGCGGGATGAGATCAGCAAGCTTTGGGAGGAGCTAATGGTCGGGGATGAGGAACGCGAGGACTTCGCGCCCTTCTTCGACGGTAAGTTTACGGTTCTCAATCTTCAGCGGTGATGTCTGACAGAACCATCAAGATGAACACACGGAAGAACTGTTGACCATCCACGAGGACGAGATCAAACGGCTCAAGGATGAGCGGCGGATGAAGGCCCACCTACTTGGCAGCATACGGAAGTACTTTGACATCTGCGAAGAAGAGAAAGAGCTCGCGTCCGCGGCCACCGATCAGAACCGCCTCCTAGGTCGTGGGCCCCGCGATCCAGGGCGGTTGCTGCGGGAAGAGAAGATGCGCAAACGCGTTCAGAAGGAGAAACCCCGCGTGCGTTCAGTTCGTTCTCATTCGCCCGCGATATTCTGACCATCCTGGCCTTACACAGCTCGAACAAGACCTCCTCGCATCCATACCAGCATGGGAAGCCGAAGCCGGCCGGCCCTTCCTCGTCCACAGCGCCAGCATGCTCCAGATCCTGCTCGAAGCCGCGGGCCTGAGCAGCGACAAGGAGAACGCGCGGCGCAAACCGGGACAGCGCGCAGGCTCGGTACCCCCGCGCGCCACGACGCCGTCCAACTCAAACTCCGCGCACGCGCCCGGCTACGGCCACCATCTCAGCAGCAGCAGCAGCAGCAGTGGGAAGGGAAGCATCACGCCCGCCGTCCGCCCTGCCTCGAGCCAAGGCTTGCGCTCCGTCCCGCAAAAGCGGCCCCGCCTCGGCGACGCGACGGCCGCGTACAGGAACGCGCCGGGGAACCCACCTGTCCCGCGCATCCGCCCGCCGTCCCCGAGCAGAATTGCAATGCCCAAGCCCGTCTCCGCGTCGCTCTCGCTCTCGACGTCCACCGCCGCGTCCTCGCTCCCCCGGCCGACACGCAACGTCTCCGCCCCGCGGCCGGGCACGCAGCATCACACGCTGGGGATCGGGCGCGCGCCGGCGCGCGCGTTGGGCGCGTCGGTGGGCCCGGGCACGTATCGCCACGCACCGCGCACCGCGTCTTCCACGACGGCGGTCTATCGCGCCGCGCCGCCGCCGAATCCGCAGGTGCTCGCGCGCAAGGCGTCGAGGGCGCGGCGGGAGAGCTTCAAGCCTCGGCCGAGCGTCGACGGAGCGTGGGCCTCTGGTGCGCCGGGTGGGCGATACGGTGGGTTCGGGGGCGCGATTGTGAAGGAGGAGGAGGATTACTGAGCCCTGCGCCCGCGCAGCGAGCGAGCGAGCGCTGGTCAAAAGACGCATGTCTGCCGACCGGGTCGCGCGCCGTTGTAAGTGTCTAGAGTGCCGCGCTCCTTCCGATTCTTGTACTTTTCTTGTGCTCCATGCCTATCTATCTACCTGGCCCAGTCACGACTTTGTAACGATGGCCGTGTTCATTTATTCGTCTCGTTTCCTCTCTCTCCCCTTTCACTCTCTCGATTCCGTTCCTGTGGTCCCACTGGCTTGTTTCTGTTCCCCGTCTTAATATGTTCCGATGCCGTTGTGGTTCATGCGATTGATCATCGCCGCCATGACTCTTGTGTATGTTTGTCTCAATAGCGATAGTATCAACTGGTCCGCGAGCAGTCGACGGACATCACTATTATACCAAACCGCCCATACTGCAAAGACTACCTTGTCGGGGGCGAGCTGCGGGTCTCACAATCATTATATTCAGGGATTGTCAGATACAGTTAACTTATTCAGTACGGATGCAACCACGCCTTCGATAATAGCAGCGCAATACAGCCCTCAACCGCGCGTGGTCGATCACAAGCTCTGCGCCTCGCCATCAGCGCATCAGGTCTCGCTCTTCCCTCTACAATACAGACCTTGGCAGGTATACAAGAGCCTGATGCTGCTCAGTCTCCATGGTGGTGGCGCTCGCACCGCAGAGTCTACTCTTCAACACGTCGCTAGGCCCATCTGAACGAGCGTGTTCGCCGCCTGGATGAAATAGTAGTCACCTGTTCGTCCCAACCATCAATCAAACGGCCAAGAGAGACAGCAAACGCAAAGATGACATGCAACATAGGTAGCGATGGGCTAGGTATAAAAAATGGCCGGGAGGTGAAGCGGGACTGATGGATAAACAATGGCAAAGAAAGAGGGCAGAAAACTCACCGTACACGATGCCGGTGTCGTTGTTGCCCGTCGTGCCGTGGTTGTTGACCGTCCCGTTGGAGAGCAAGCTGGCCCATTCAGGCTTCCAGAACGCGGACGTTGTATCATCCAGGATCTAGGGACAAACATTGAACAAACACATTTGTGCGCAGGCACTCATACACAGATCTCCCCCGCAGATGCACAATAGAACCTACCTTCGTAGCCGCCTGACGCCACACTCCCGCCCCCGAATCGTTCGCAGGCTTCAGGGCTGCCTCCTGCTGCGCGAGCAGCAGCAGCCCATTAACCACAATCATAGCCGCCGACGAGTCTGCGGGGCGCGGAGGCTCAAGCGGCGCGAGGAAGTCCCTGGCGTGTCATGATCAGCGGGCAGAGGAACAAATTGCGATGTTGAGGGGTGATAGGGAAGAGGGGTATACCAGGGAACGATGCCGCCCGCGGGTATGTGGTTGATGAAGTACTGCGCCATTCGCCGCGAAGTATCGAGGTAGCGCTGGTAACCTGTGCGGCGGTACACTGCCAGATAAGGCATTAAAATCAAGTGCGATCAGTTAACAGTCATACATGGGGGATGGAGCAAGAGAAGCATTGCAGCACGCGCATCCGAGTGGCTCTCGTACATTGAGCCGCATCGCCAAGACAGCCGATGCTAAGAAAAAATGAATGCTCACTGTTCGCAAACCCATACACCCCCCACGCCTGCCCACGGCTCCACGTACTCCAGTCTGCGTATCCCTGCGCAGTGCGCCGTTCGAAAACAACTCCCGTCGTCGCATTGTAATCCACGACGTGAAACGAGGAACCTGTGCCGCAAATCCCGAGTTCATACACGGCGCGCGGGGGAAAATGTCGGCACGTATACAACGATCGGGAGCACGAAGAAACAGCGACAGACGAAAGGGAGCAGGCGGGTCAGAACGTGAGGTTTTCATAAAATGCGCTGCTGCGTACCGTCCGCTCGAACGTGGTTCGTCATCGTCTTGTCTGCGTGCGAGATCGCGATGTCGCGCAGCGTCGTGTTCCCGGTGAGGTCTGCAGATACGAAGAGAACCTATGGAAGGTGTTGATGCGTGAGCCGGTGCTGCCAAGCGAGTAATTACGGACACAGAAATGCGCGCGGAGTTAGGCGGACGCATGCATGCTAGTAATGCGTTTACTGCAAGTGATATGTGCGCATGTAAACAGCACTCAAGTCGGCGTGGAGCGCATATACCCGCCTAGAAGCATATTCAAGGCGAGAAGGAAGCATGTACACAGATGAGGACGGCCAAAAAACGTGTGCATACACTGAAAAGAGGCGCTTTTCGTATTTTCAGCGTGCTCATCCAAAATACATGCACATACTCATCGACACCCACCCAGACTCCTTATTACCCAGCCATACACTCTTTTGTTTTTTATTTGAAGGAATGAAAAATCAACAACAGAACGCACCTCGAGATTCATCATATTGTCGATGATGACTTGAAAATCCTCCGGGTCCGCCGCGTCCCAACTGCGCGTGCAGCCGACGATGGGATTGAAGCGCGCAGCGAGCATGGACGCAAACGTGTTCACGGTCGCACGCGCAGTGACGTTCGTGGGATTTCTATCAATTATGCATGCATTCGTTCATCTTTTTGCGTTGAGTACAAGAAAACGAGCACGAGCACGAGCGCACTCGACCCAGATAGGCGCGCTTACATGGTCAGCTCGTCCACAAACGGGTAGCTCAAAAAACCGACGTCGTGTCCCTGGTGGTTCAGCACCGTCAGGGGGTCTTCCCCCGTCGCCCACTGCCGGCCTAGCGCCAGCCACTGCGCGCTCTCGTTCCCGAAGCGCGCGGGGCAGAGCGCCGCGCGCGTGTGCAGGGCGTAGAACGTCGATGGGAGGAAGCCGGTGGTCCAGGTGTCGGCGGGGGCGAGCTGCCACGCGCCGGTGTCGCGAGTAGTCTGCGCGGGATAGTTCGTGGGGATGTGCGGGGAAGAGACGAGTGAGGCGGTGGTGAGGAGCTTGCGAGAGACGAGCGAGGAAAAGAGTTCTGGAGGAGGTGGGGAGGAGGCCACGAAGGAGAACAAGAAGAGGAGGGGGAAGAGGAGGAGCATGGTGGTGGTCAAAGGGAGAGAGCGGGAAGGAGAGAGCGCGCATATAAGGTGGAGAGCCAAAAGAAGCTACATCGACAGCCCTGGTCCTCTGCGTCTCGTGATCGCCCTTCGCCAGCTGATGCCCACAGAGGTCCTGGCCAGGTCACCGCGGGGCGAAACAAGCAGCCAGCAGTGGTCATGAGGTGATCCCGTTCGGCGCGAACGGAGTCAGACGCCAGCACACCCATTCGAGATATATTCGTATTGGTGATGGGCCTAGGGTGAGTTCGAGCACGCAGCATGGTGAGCTGGACGCTGGATGGAATGGAGTAGGCTGGCGTAGGGCCGTAGGCTGGCTTAGCGGCCAGGGCCCAGGACGGCTTTGTCCGAGGGCCGAAATCGATTGGAATCCCGCGGCATTGGCTGTCTTCAAGACACATCAGATGAGAGGGCATGATACGTAGCATAACTAAACAAGATGTCAACCAAGAAGTCTGAGAAGACGAGGGATCACAATTCGCGATCGATCACAACGGCGGATACAACAGGGAGAAGAGGACGAGTCTGGCATATTTACAAGCATTCACCGGTTCACCGGGCAACCCTTTACAGAACAACACACAAGGCTCACCGACAAGGACACGGAAGAATAAATTCATACCAATCACTCTTTAAATGCCCTTCTGAGTCCATCATGGAGTCTCATGTAGTCTATGGTGGTAAAGCCATCGGCCAAAGGTTTTGATTGCAAGCTGTCTTGCATTTCCCGAGACGCAAAGCGAACAAACTCGAAATCCTTTTTATCATACAAGCCGTGCTTACTGAGTATCTGGACATGGCGATTGTGGAGGCCAATATGGAACACGAAGTCTAGAACATCTTTGGCGTGTTCGCGGGTAGGCACTGTAGGGCTTAGAGCTGTAGGAACGGGATCAGGTTCTACCTCACCACCGGGCGCAACCTGTAACACCGATAAAATCAGCGCAACGGACAGGGATGTCCGATCAGATAGTATCCACTTTTTGGGTAGTATGACGATATGCCAGATCTTCTGAAAATACCGATCGCTCTCGTTTCAAAGGAATTGACGGCGCCGTAAAATTTTGTTTTGAGGTTTCTAAAGAATACTCGGCTGATCAAAGGATGGCTTGTTTGTCCACGCAGTTCCTCAAACAAAACCGCTGCTCACCAGCTGTTTGTTGAAGTAGAGTTGAACTTCGAGGAGGTGGGCTTGAATGCTCTTGCTTTTGCTGGGGCTCAACAGGTTCGAAGTCGCTACCAAAATGCGCTGGCGAGATTGATGCCTTCGGGGGATCATTGACCAGTGACATCCCGGATCCCTCATTCCTGAGCTGTCCCCGATGAGACGCCTGACAGTCCGCAAGAATGGGAAGTAGCATGTAAGTCTCAGATGCAATACAATTATATCTACCGGTGAAGAGCGACGAGCATACCTCTCGCCTCTTGTATATGACCTGCGCTCGTTGTTTCATCTGATACGACTGCAAGTCATTCATGGGCGCCTGTAATTCCGACGTGCGCACAACTGCAACAGGACAACGGGTCAGAATCATGATCAGCAAAATGCGTGTCGCAGAAGCTCCCAAAAGAGGATACTATTACATGGTGCCACCGTGCCCTCCAGCCTTTCCGAACGTCTCTCTCTGGCACTACCACCATCTGAAGAATCTAGTAACATTGATCCATCCACCTCAGATTTTATCACAGTATGATCAGCCGGGCATCTTTCGTCATTGTCGTTGTCATTGTCATCGAGAGTGACGTAAGGCTCGGTTGTGGATGTGGCGGATGTATAGATTTTGTCTTCGTCGAGGTTGTCGTTCCACCTATTATTCTTAATCTTGAAGACGGTGGCAGGTGATGCTCCATAGTATTTTGTGAGTTCGATGCTCGAGAAAGATTTTTTTCGCGGTGGATTCACGAACTAGCGCGCGGAACAGGCGCGACGGCGTCTTGTGCCGACTGTAAGGGAATAAAACCTGTAAATATGATGCTGATGTTGGTGATGATCGTCAGACTCACGGGCCTGTCATTGTTGCACTACCAGCGCCGCCTTCGTGAGTCGCACGGAATGCTCGTCGCTGCTCGACGACCGCGGTCAACCTGACTGGAAGTCGCCGGTTTCGCGGGACTGATCGGCCGGCAGCGGGGAACGGTCCACTTTCCCACGTGTGTCTTCCCTCCCCTTCCGCCTAGCGCTCGCCAGTGCATCTCCACCCGCTGTTCCAGCTTCAATCAACATCTACTCAACCCTTTCTCTAATTTCTACACCTCTGTTTTACTACAACTATCTCCCATAAGTACATATACGACATAGGCTATCAAGCCTGCGCCTTTCTTTCACGCACTCTTCAGCGAACCGAACTCATTGCTCGGATCACTCTGTACATGCCGCCATGTCGCACCTCGGGCACAAACACGCAGGCTCTGTAGCTCAGAACCACAAAGCTCAGCTGGCCACGGCCTACAATGATCTCGGTAAGGAGCTCTCGTCGTCGAAGATCAAGGTTGTGGGGAATTATACGCTGGGAAAGGTCATTGGAGAGGGTGCGCAGCATTCCTTACTCGCTTTCTTGCACAGCGGTCTAAGGCTTGGAAATTCTTTCCGTCTGCTCCCGAAAATACCTCCGTACCATTCTACCTCAATGCTATTGTGGTGTCGCAGGTACATATGGAAAGGTGCGCCTCGGGACCCACCGCCTCACCTCGACCCGCGTGGCCATCAAGCAGATCCCCAAAGCCCTCTCCGCAACCCTCACGCGCGAGATACACCACCACCGGCAGCTGCACCATCCACACGTCACACAGCTATACGAGGTGATCGCTACGGAGTCCTCCATCTGGCTCGTCACGGAACTCTGTTCTGGGGGCGAGCTTTTTGATTTCCTCGCCGAGAAGGGCCGCCTTGCAGAGGACGAGGCGCGCGTTCTGTTCGGTCAGCTCTGTCTTGCCGTTGGCTATGTTCACGAGAAGGGCATTGTTCACCGCGACCTCAAGCTGGAGAACGTGCTCCTCGACGAGAGATGCAGGATTAAACTCGGCGATTTTGGTTTCACGAGGGAGTTTGAACGTGGCACGTATCTCGAGACGTTCTGCGGGACGACGGGGTACGCTTCTCCAGAGATGCTGCAGGGGAAGAAGTATCTGGGCCCAGGTACGTTATTCGTTCACTCACCCATCAACAAGATTCCACCTGTCGCTCCTATGCGGTCGCTCATATGATGCGCCATGGCTTTTGCTTTCTTTCAGGTTTGTTTCCTCGTTCTTGTTGAGGCTATGTGTCTAACAAAATGAAGCAGAGGTGGACGTTTGGTCACTCGGTGTGATATTGTATTGTTTATTGACTGGAACGCTCCCGTTCGACGACGATGACGAGGCTTTGATGCGTGAAAAGGTCATCAAAGCTGCATTTGAGGACCCTGAGTGGCTTTCGGAAGGCAAGTCGTATTTTGAATCTCCATTCGTGCCCACAACCAGCTTGCCACCAAATGTCCTCTGCCAATAAACATGGGAGATTGTTCAACTAACCTTGCATGTTTGCATAGATGTCCGAGATTTGTTGCAGCACATCTTGCAAAAAGACCCGGCGAAGCGCCTTACCATCGAACAAATCCTCGCGCATCCTTGGTTTTCTCACAGCCAGACCCCTCAAGCGTCCGCGGCCCCGTCCACATCTGCATCACCTTTGAACCCTTCCGCGCAGCCCACAACTCCGCCAGCAGATTCGGCTGCACATTCTCGCTTCTCCTATGAACCATCTGGCTCGGTCACGTCTGAGTCGACCTCTACTTCTACCTCCACTTCCTCCGAGCTTGACCGCTCGTCAGCCACTACGCCAGACCATGACGACGACGACGAGCTCTCCCACGAGTCGCTGGCCACCTCGTTATCTTCAAAATCTGCATTGTCCGATCAGCAACGTGTTCACAGGAACGCGAGTCAGAGTACAATCAAGAAGACAGAAGTCAAAATCCCAGAGAAGGGTAGAGATATAGAAAAGGGAAAGAGCAAAGCAAAAGGCAAAGGGAAAGAGAAAGAGAAGGAAAAGGGAAGGGGAAAAACTAGAACGACAGTGCCTCCGCATCCCGAAACAGTTGTAGAGGAGGATGCGCGCGCGCCTCATTCGGCCCCACCTCGCAGTTCGTTAACTCGGCCGCGCCCGCGTTCACCATCGGGCGGGTCATACAAGGAGCCTCCCGCACTCCCGACGCGCACCCCCGTTCGCACTAAGAGGCGCTCTGTTTCCTCCACGCTCTCCGATCCTGAGTCACCTATCACTGCGGGCATCGATGCCTCTGCTTCCACGCATGCACACATCCACGCGCCGCAGGACTTTGCGACACTCCTCCGCGCGCCCGCACCCATCATATTTGGCACGGCGCTCGAGCGTGCTCTGTTAAATAATTTAAGCGCGCTCGGGCTTGACACGGCGCAGATTGTGCACTCGGTCCTCAGCGACGCGTGCGATGCCACCGGGGCATTGTGGTGGATGCTGAAGCGCAAAGCGGAGCGCCGCGCGCGCGAGGACGGCACGGCCGGTGTCGCAGCACTTTCGCTAATTGAGGAGAACGATGACAGCATGGAGGTAGATATGGACGACCCTCAAGCGCGTGGGAGTGTCGAGATGAAGCGATGGAGGGAAAAGGGGCGGGACTCAGGGAAGGAGAAAGAGCGAGGACATACGGAATCGCAGCGTGGTTTGAAACCTGAACTCTCTACTGCACGCTCAGCGCCAGAGCTTGCGTTCATCCCGCCGACACCGACAGTGACACAGCAACGTCCTGTGACCCCGCCACGTCCTCGCTCACCTAACAACCCGTTCTTGTCGCCTGCGCCGTCCGTGACAGAGTCGATGCTCAAATCGGCCACGTCGACGCCCGCGGCAAGCCTCAAGGACAAGGACAAGGACAAGGACAAGGACAAGGACAAGGATGGGTCAAAGGGTCGTAGAGAAGGCAAGGCGCGCTCGGGGAGCGTGAGCATCATGCAGCGTGCGACAACTGCGCTCGAGGCGGCAGGTCTGGTCAGGAAGAAGTCATCGGAGGCGGTGAAGGATCAGCAGGCGAAAGAACGAGAACGAGAGAAAGAGAAAGATGTCGAGAAGCGTGTGGCAGCAAGTGAAGAGCGCAGAGACTCGTATGGTAAGATCCCAAAGTCCCCCCCCATGAAAGCGATCAAAGATAGCGTGCTACCAACCACACCGTCGATGGACCTTGCATCTGCTCCCGTCAATCCGAGCTCGCCGTGGGTCCTCCCGGGCTTAAGCAGTTCGCCCCCCGGCTCACGCACCGCTACACCCGTTACTTCGCCAGGCGATACGCTGACCGCTCTCCCAAATATTACGGAGAATGGCATCAAAAGCTCAGGGCACCACCGCAATCGCGCGAGTCTGCTGTCTGCGTTCAGAATGTGGTTCAACGAGGACCGCAAGGCCAAACGCAAGTCTGCTGCGGGAGGCGCGCACGGCCTCTCCTACGGGCATGCTGTTGGAGGTCGCTCGCCTTCTACAGACCTCTCCAACCGCGGAACCATCAAGGTCAAACGCCGTACGAGTAACAACGCGCGTAAAGGCCATCCCGCCAAAGGTCATTCAGTCTCCTCCCGGCGGTCGAGCAGCGTCAACTCGCGCCGGTCTTCGACTGCATCAATGCACATGGTGGTTTTGGACTCTCCGCAGTATCTCGAGCATGCGATCGGCGTGAGCACGTCCCGCCAGCGTTCTGATCCCAGCAGGCGCTCACTTGGTAGCCGTACGCCAAACTCGGAGCGCGGCGAGTACGCATCTGCCTCTGCATCGCGCCCGTCCTCGGTGCAGAGTTTCTCCGTTCAGCCACGACACCGTAAGTCCCCCTCTGCAAGCTCGGCAGGCTCGATACACCTCGTGCGCACCGCATCTCCATTCCATCGGCGCGCGGGCTCTGGCTCCGGCTCGTCTACCCGCGTCGTGCGCTCGCCGCCGCCACTTCGTACTCCGTACGCCCATACACGTTCAGGGTCCACCACTTCGTCGGTGCCCTCGCTTCCGTCCTCGCGTCCAGGGTCGTTCTACGAGCCCTCAGAACCTGACGGGACACGGACCGCCTCGCCTTTACGGACTCATTCCCGCCGCAGTAATGATGACTCGTACCACCCTATTCCACCTCTCCAGCAGCAGCAGCCCAGGCGCGCAACCTTTGTAGCTCAGAAGCGACCCAGCGCGCTCGGGAACTACTACGGCTACGGCGTCCGCTCAGGCTCAGGCTCGAGCTGGAAGAAGTCTTGGGGGACGGAGCCACCAGGCTGGCAAACGCGCACGGTACATGTCCCTGTCGATGTCCAGGTCCTCTCAGTGTCTCCCAGTCTCGTTGGTCCAGTTGGCGATGGCGCAGGCGGTCTCAGAGACGTATTTTCTGGACGGCAGTCATTGAGTATGGGCGACGAGGATGACTGGGTAGATGAAGAGGACGACGTGCCGGCATTTGCGGGCGGGTTAGGCCAGATGTCCGCGTCAGTCAGCACGTCGGCCCCTGGGTCGGCTTCGACATCGCCCTTTGAGTATGGAGGGTATTCTCATATGGAGGCACCCATCGTTCTTGGGCCGGCGCCGAGAGGGAATGTTGGTCGTGCAGCGACCAAACGGGCGGGCAAGGCGGGCGGTGCTGGCGGTGTTGGAGGAGCACCTAACGCGGGAGGAACAGGTGCTGCACGGACGAAGTCTGTGCCTTCGCCGATCGGGCGGATATCGCCACTACCAGCTGACGTGATTGTCGAACCTCCAGAGGCAAGGGGTGGACGGCGGCAGCTTCCAAACAATCGCCCAGGGCCTGCCTTCCGAGGAAATGCGATCCAGGAGGAGGACGAGGGAGAGGAGGAGTAACTGGATTGTTTTCGTCAGTTTTGGTTCGGCGGATTTCGTGGTCTATCTTGCATTAACGAAAAGTTTTGCTGTAGCTTATGGTCTGGGTTATTTTTGCCTCGATATCTCGCAATTTTCTTTACTACCCTGCCTTCATCTCTAACTTTCGACCGCTCCCTGCAGTCACTATGGCTCCGACTTATCTATATACATATACATACTTCCGTCCGCACACACGCCCTCTTTGATACCCTTTCTTTTACATTCATTTTATTTTCTTCCCCATCATCGTTGACATACTCTGTGCAACGCTGTGCAACCACAGTGGACCTACAGTTGTTTGGATCTAGAAAAGCGTGAGAAACACGGCTGGAATTTGCCGAATTTTTGAACTCCGACTGCCGCAGCATCGACTCTGGTATCGGCACAGCGCCTAGTATACCGAAGGCACGCAAATTCCATCAAGGTGAGCAGGATTTTGACATTCAGGCGTGGAGATGCTGTGAAACGCGACGAGGAGAGTACGATGATTCCATAGAGAGGCATATTGCATGGAGTTCCGGTCATTCAGAGGGTGGATGACAGACGCAAGCTCGGGATGACGGTGGATAGTTGATTCAGTGACTAACAAGACTTCGTCGCTTCGTCCAATTATTCAGATGGTGAGTGCTGTATATCTTATGCCTCTCATCGCACGCTCACCGTCCCGTCTCGGAGAGTAGAAGGTCGAAATTGACTCTTTCTCCGGTTACAAAATCTACCCCAGCAGGGGCCGTCTTTTCGTTCGTGGGGACAGCAAAGTGGGCTTCTTCACCTTCCCTGCACCCCTCGACAAGTTACTCATACCACAATACTGTAGATCTTCCGCTTCTCCACGTCCAAGACCCAGTCCCTCTTCCTCCAGCGAAAGAACCCCCGCAAGATCGCATGGACACAAGTCTTCCGCCGCATGCACAAGAAGGGTATCACAGAGGAGGTCGCCAAGAAGCGCTCACGCAAGACCGTGAAGCACCAGCGTGGCATTGTCGGTGCTGATCTTGCGGCTATCGCGGCCAAGCGGAACCAGACAACGCAGGTCCGCACCCAGCAGCGGTTGGCTGCCATCACCAAGGCCAAGGCCGAGAAGAAGGAAAAGGAGGCTAAAAAGCCGAAGGTGCGTTGGTCCTGTCTGCTCCCATCCTGCATCGCTCAACTGATTTGTGCAATTGCAGCCTCAACGCGCGGCTGCCCCATCCGGCTTCAAGAATGTCTCGAAACAGGGCGCAAAGGGCGGCAAGGGTGGTCGTTGAGCGATCGTGTGCTGTGTTGTTGACCTCTTGTTTCCTTTCTTATGGTCCATGTATTATGACTTCCCCCCGCACGGAAAACTCTATGCGACCCTGCATGCCTCGTCACCATCCGACCGTTGCAGTACTTGATCGCGCGCATTGCTCCCAATGCCATACTCTTCCTGTGACTTTGGTGCCTTGTTGCATGGTGATTCGTTCCACCGTTTAACCTTGGTGGAATGGTCGCTGTTCCAATGGTAAGCCGCATGATTCACTCATATTACATTGGCAGTCAGTATCCCCGTCGACCTCAACAAATCCAGTTTGATAATTCGTTAACTGCAAAAACTGACTGTGGTGTTGTATACAACTTGCATACTCCATCTGTAGGATCAGAACTCTACTGTACGCGGTGCCGCATTTCACAGGATTAGTCTCCTAGCAGCAGAGGTGCGCGACAGGGCAAAGTCCCGGAGCCCAGCTAGAAATGCACATACTCGTCTGCTACGTCGCCTTCCAACATTGTAATATCTCTGCGCTCATGATCCCGAGGGCCGGCAGTGACTGTCATTGTACGGTGGACCCCATCCTAAATGTGACAGGTCAGCAACATAGAGTCAGCGATTCATTCAGAGGTGGCACGGTGTGAACAACCCCCGGTAGCACCCTTCTCACCATCCTGCTGTGTGCCAGTCCCGGATGTTCTGCTACCTCAGCTTCTCGCGATGACATCTCGACCTCAGCTGACTCCGGCCCTACAGTCTCAATGTTAGTCCCATCACTTGCACTCACGACTGTCCTCGCGCCACGTCCACCGAGCTCAATATCAGTGAATGAGGGAACAGGAGCAACAGGAGAATGGCGATTCCAAAAGAATATCTCAGGTGCATCGGTGCGCTTCTTGCCTGCGAGGGCGTGGATTTGGCGCACGGCGGAAAACAAGGGGATCGACAGACCATCTTTACGTTGGCACATTAGTACAAGTGATACATAATTGAAATTGAGGGCATCGTTCAGTGGATGCGGGATGTTATACACTCACGAACAACGATGGAACAGAGAACGATGAAGGCGACGATTGGATGCGGGGTGGCAGTCAATAATTGTTGGTTTTGAGAGGCATCTTGAATCTTCTCTAGGCGTGTGATGGCAAGTGTTGATACGAACACCGCTCCAACGCCTATCTGCAACCAAACGATCAAAGGGTCTAGAAGCCTTCCAGCCATGACCGTTAAACTCACAGGACCTGTCAAGTATCTTCGTCAGTACGTCTGAGCCAAAAAATTCCCCTTCATACTTGAATCGAGGAAATACTAACCGAAATGCCTCGCAAAGAGTGCCTGCCGCCAATTTGCGATTTCTGGTACGAATTTGTATAACATCAACGAAAATGGTATGCGTCTCAGGGCCAGGATTATCAGAGACAGTACTACGAGGCGCCATGGCGTGATCCCGAGCTCGGCTTGATTGAACTGGCCGAAGGGTATCCATGCGCCGATGTAGATGAATGCGACGCAGTTTAGGACCAGATCGATGACAGATGAAAATCCTTCATTATCGATCTGTACGTTGAAATAATTATCCCATGATATTGCACTGCCTGTGGTTTTGTTCAGGCCGCCTGGACGAATGAACGAGGTTTAACGGCGCACCGGCTGCAAACGCTGCGAGAAGATCGTCGCAACCAATTGTACTAGTCACACCGACGGTGAATATGGCCAAAGCGAGGAATTGTACAACGTAAGATTCACGGTCGATGAAACCCTTCGTATGAGTGTATCTCATCAAGTGGTAGAAGACTCGACCTGGAATAGTCAGGACAACTATGAGCTACCACGCATACTGGGGAAAAACTGATTTACCAATGATAATCCCTATCACGATACCTAGGATGACGATCTGATCAAAGAGAGAATTAATCTTCCATGTCTGTCTCCCGTATGTGGTGATCAGACGCACATAGCCAACCGACGAGAAACCAGTCACGAAACGCATGACGATATGATTCTGTAGTGAGATAGAGTGAAATACTCAGGAAGGGGTAGGCCAGTCCATCGTTGGATGCTGACTCGGCTACTATCAATCGGCGGAGATCCGCAGGGACATGTTCTATGGCAAATTTTCCGCCTGCGAAAGAGACTTTAGTGATGCTTCCTCTTTATCCTTTACATGATCATACCAATGATAGCAACAGGATCTGTAGGTGTAAGACATACGGAAATGGCCAATGCTAATGTGTATTTGAGGCCAGGGAACAAGAGGTGCATCAGGCCTTGAAGCCGATAAACAGCCATACAAATGTGACAATGGCAATCAAAACATTACCTGCACGTACGAGCCACCCAAACGCCATGGTTGAAACAACCATGGTAAGAAGGCTGTTGATGTGTTTCCACATGTAGGACTGTGGTAGTTCAACACCGATGGCGAAGAGCCCAGTAGCAAGAACAACTCGCATGACTTCGAGAGTCACTGCGTTGTTCTCAACATTCCAAGAATGAGGGTCAAAAACATTGGCAACGTGGGGTCCCATGAGTATACCAAAAACCGGTACCAAGAACTACTTCGTTCACGTATATCTGTCCTTGAATATATGAGCGATTGTGCAAGAAAATAAAAGTTAATATCCATGTCACACTTTCTCCCTGATAAGCAAGGCCACCATGCTGAATTGTGATGCGGTATAGCAGGTAAGTGTGCTAAAAGTATTCCTGATCGGTCATTCAAAGTATGAATGAGATGTCAGGGTTTGCTCACCGTTTGACATTTACGTAGCAAGCTCAAAAGTTTTAGGAAGGAGAAGGCAGAGACCTGCAGAGACTGATCGCTACTACGAATCCTCCGAGCAGGATATATGCCATTCCAGGCGTTGTCACCTGCACCCGGCACCGATAAATTTCTGGAATGTGTGCGGTCAATCACAGCGAATAAAATAAGAGATACATCACGAACTTCCATTAGTTTCATGGGGAGATAGTAGAGCGATGAAAGCACACTAAGATATACCTTCTAATCAGTCAACAAGGTTGGTCGTAAATAATAATAATTTCGAGATATAGAGTCAAAGGAGCCCTCGAAGTCGCTGACGGACTTGACTTCGACTCTGGTGACTATTTATGTGACGTGACAGACGCGCTCGTCACATTATGTCACGGACTAAGACGCGTCCGGAAATCGAGCTCGGGCTCGACATTCATCGAACCTTCACCCGAAAACCTCCTTTGCTTCACCAAGCTTGCGCTTGCAGGGCCCTCGGAATCTAAACCACTCGAGACGAAATATGGCCCGTGGATTTAATGGACGACAGGGACAGGGTTCGTTTCGGGGGTTTCGAGGAGGCCGAGGCCGCGGCCGAGGGCGGGGAGGCTCCAACGCGTCAAGACCGGACGCCGTGCTTTCGAGAGATGACGAGGGTACAAAGCTGGCAGAGAGGTTTGAGCAAGTTAGAGTGAACGATGAGATTGACGAGAAGCTGGGTTTCGCGCGGATACAGGAGGGACCGAAGAAGGAGGGGTGGTTGATCAATATGCATCCGGTACGCCGCGCAGTCTCATTTAATGTCTTCTGTACTTACACTATTCATCCTAGACAATCATGAAAGACTCTGACTGGCCTAGCGGCAAGGCAGCGGTTGATTTTTACTTTATACAAGATGACGGTGGCATGTTTAAGTGCACCTACCAGTACGAGCCCTATTTCTGCGTCTCATGCACGGTGAGTAGATGTTTCCCTTGCAGTCCTTTTAATGTAAATGGGACTCCGGTAGACGTAGGGTTTATGAGCCATCTACCCTCGCAAAAGAAAAAAAAAACTAGCTGTTTACTGATTCTTTAACTTGGGCAGAACGGTATGGAAACAATCGTCGAAGAATGGCTCATCAAGAAATACGAGGGTCTTATTTGCCGCATCGTCCGCGAACGGAAGGAAGACCTCAAGATGCCGAATCATCTTCTCGGCCATCGTCGCCTATACCTCCAGCTCTGCTTCCGCAACGTTTCCGACTTACTAGCTGTCCGGCGCGACATCGTGCCCTTAGCTCTTGCAAACAGCGCAAAGCGCAGCGCTGTTGATGCCTACGCAGAGGTAGTCAGCGCCAGCGCGCACAATGATGTGAACAGAGCATGGGGTGCTGAGACGGATGATTTAGCAGCCAAGGATAAAGATCCACGCGAGGGCATTATCGACGTGCGCGAGTACGATGTACCGTATTATCTGCGCGTGGCCATGGACAACGAGATTCGCGTTGGGATGTGGTACGCGATCACGTTCAATGCGGGGCATCCTGCGTTGACACCAATCATGGATCGAGTCAAGCGCCCTGATCCCGTGGTCATGGCGTACGATATCGAGACAACCAAGGCGCCATTGAAGTTTCCAGACCAAGCCATTGACCAGGTCATGATGATATCATATATGGTCGACGGTCAAGGGTACTTGATCACCAATCGTGAAATTGTCAGCCAGGATATTGAAGATTTCGAGTATACTCCGAAGGAGGGATATGAAGGTCCGTTCATAGTGTTCAATGAGGCCGACGAGGTACAGCTACTCAAACTTCACGCGCGGTCTTCGCTAATTCAACTTCTAGGCAGCTACTATTACTCGATTCTTTGAGCACATCCAAGAGGTGAAGCCAACAGTGATGGCCACTTTCAACGGCGACTTTTTCGATTTCCCCTTCCTTAATGCGCGTGCACAGGTGCATGGCATCGACATGTTCCTTGAAACAGGATTTGCGAAGGACACTGAAGACGAGTACAAGAGTCGGACGTGCGTGCATATGGATTGCTTTCGATGGGTGAAGCGCGACTCGTATTTGCCGCAAGGAAGTCAAGGCTTGAAAGCTGTGACTGTTGCTAAGCTTGGTTATAATCCTATTGAACTGGATCCAGAGTTGATGACGCCGTGAGCACTTTTTACTACGATAAAATGCTCCCATGATTGACCAAGGGTTCTAGATACGCACTTGAGCAACCACAAACACTAGCGCAATACTCAGTCTCAGATGCAGTCGCGACGTACTACTTGTACATGAAATACGTTCACCCCTTCATCTTCTCGCTCTGCAACATAATCCCGCTTTGTCCAGATGAAGTTCTTCGTAAAGGTACAGGTACTCTTTGCGAGACTTTGTTGATGGTTAGTTATTTCTGTTCCCTCATTACGTATCTGATCAATCTTGTACAGGTAGAAGCCTTCCGTGGGCATATCATTATGCCGAATCGACATGAGGAAGAGCATGGTAATATGTACGAAGGACACTTGTTGGCGTCTGAAACATACGTCGGTGGTCACGTCGAGGCCCTCGAAGCTGGCGTGTTCCGCAGTGACATCTCGACACATTTCAAGATTGAACCGTCTGCAGCGCAGAAGGTGAAAGCTTTTTCCTTTAGATGATATCAAGGGTCATTGACATCCTGCTCCCTAGCTCATCGATGAATTGGACGCAGCCTTGTCGTTTTGCATCACAGAAGAGTCCAAATCATCCCTCGATGACGTGGCGAATTATGACGAAGTCAAAGGCCAGATTCAAGCCGCCCTCGAGGAAATGCGGGATAATCCCCTTCGAATGGACAAGCCATTGATCTATCATTTGGACGTGGCAGCCATGTATCCAAACATCATGTTATCGAACCGTCTACAGCCAGATTCGGTCGTCGACGAATCGGTCTGTGCTGTCTGCGACTACAATCGTCCGGGAAAGACATGCGACCGCCGCCTAACTTGGGCATGGAGGGGAGAATTTTTTCCCGCGCGACGCGACGAGTACAATATGATTCGACATGCACTGAACCAGGAAACATTCCCACCCAAGAAGAATGGCGGCCCCCCGAGGAAATTCGTTGATCTCTCGGAGACAGAGCAGACGGCGCTGATCCACAAGCGCCTGGGCGATTATTCCAGGAAAGTCTACAAGAAGATCAAGGATACCAAGGTGGAGAACCGTGAGGCGATCCTCTGCCAACGCGAGAACCCTTTCTACGTAGATACCGTGCGGCGGTTCCGAGATCGTCGTTACGAGTACAAGGGCCTCCACAAGACTTGGAAGAAAAACCTGGACACGATCGTATCCGAAGGTCGCTCGCTCGCGGAAGTTGACGAAGCTAAGAAGCTGATCGTTGTCTATGATTCCCTGCAGCTTGCACATAAGTGCATCCTGAACTCGTTCTATGGCTACGTTATGCGGAAGGGCGCGCGCTGGCATTCAATGGAGATGGCTGGTGTTACGTGCTTGACGGGAGCTACGATCATTCAAATGGCTCGCCAGCTCGTCGAACAAGTCGGTCGACCCTTAGAGTTGGATACCGACGGCATTTGGTGTATGCTTCCCGGCGTGTTTCCCGAAAATTTCAAGTTCAAATTGAGGAATGGAAAAGCCATTGGTTTCTCCTATCCTTGCACCATGCTCAACCACCTCGTTCACGACCAATTCACCAATCACCAGTATCATGATCTTGATCCAGAGACGGGCGAACACAAAGTCCACAGTGAGAATTCTATCTTCTTCGAACTGGATGGTCCGTACAGGGCGATGATTCTACCTTCGTCCAAGGAGGAAGACAAATTATTGAAGAAGCGGTATGCAGTCTTTAATGACGACGGATCGCTTGCAGAATTGAAAGGCTTCGAGGTCAAGCGTCGGGGCGAGTTGCAGCTTATCAAGATCTTCCAGTCTCAGATTTTCGAGAAGTTCCTGCTCGGATCTACAACTGAAGAATGCTACGCTGCCGTCGCTCAGGTAGCCGATCAATGGCTAGACGTACTATTCACCAAAGCAGAGGATCTCTCAGATGAAGAGTTGGTGGAGCTTATTGCCGAGAACAGGAGCATGTCAAAGACACTAGCTGAGTACGGTACACAGAAGTCGACATCTATCAGCACAGCCAAGCGTCTTGCAGAGTTTTTGGGCAGTCAAATGGTCAAGGACAAAGGTTTAGCCTGCAAGTTCATTATCTCGGAACGACCTTTTGGAGCGCCAGTCACAGAACGCGCGATTCCTGTAGCCATTTTCTCAGCCGACGAGAGCGTGAAGCGGACGTATCTTCGAAAGTGGCTTAAGGATAATGGCCTTACACAGTTTGATCTGCGATCTATCCTGGACTGGGAATACTACATCGAACGCCTTGGTTCAGTCATTCAGAAGCTCATCACCATCCCTGCGGCTATGCAAAAAGTCGCCAATCCCGTCCCACGTATTCGCCATCCTGATTGGCTTCACCGCCGAGTCGTAGCACTAGACGACAGATTTCAGCAACATAAAGTCACCGATTTCTTTAAGCGCATGACGGTCGAAGACAAAAGCCAGGCCACTCAGCCCCCGGATATCGAGGATTTGCAAGGGCGCGGTCTGCGTCCCACACGTCCGCGAATTGCTGTCGTCAATCGAAAGGGCAAGCGCAGATTGCCTTCTGAGGAGCCTGCGCTCCAGATTTCTACGGAGCCGCTTCCAAACCCCTCTTCTAACTACTCTGCCTGGATCAAGGCAATGAGACCTCGCTGGAAACAAAATCGCATTGCGCGTGCAGGCGATCCAGATTCACCTATGATACCCTCAATGTTTGGACCTACGAAAATGAAAAGCTCTTCCCGCTGGGATGTTGTCCAACTTCGCCCAACTAGGACACCTGGGCGGTACAATCTCTGGCTCTCAGTTGACTCGAAGTTGGTGTCTGCGCCCCTTCGGATCCCTCGAGAATTTTATCTGCATCTAAGGAACCCTCCTTCAGATGACTTTTTCCGAACCGACCTATACTCTTGCGATAAGGTTGTGAAGAACCTGCCTCGCAACCTCCCTTGTGTCAATCTGTACAGGGTCGCGGTTCGTGAGGACATATACCAACAGGCTCAAGAGCACTTTGTGGACCTCACAAATGATCCAAACGTCGACGGCATTTTTGAACTGCAGGCAAGTTGTGTTGTGCTGCTCGCCGTTCCCTGACATGTTCTGACCTTTCAACCCTCTAGGTTCCTCTCGTCATTCGTGGTCTTCTCAAACTCGGCAAGACCTGTGAGACCAAGGACAACATTACTCTGAATCGTGCACAAATTACTGGCCTAGATCTTGATGCCCTCCAACCAGCTCATCCTAATTATCGATCCAAGTACCTTGATGAAGGCAGAGCTGGAAAATATGTATTTTTGTATCACGCATGCTCGATTAACCGCCCTACTCAAATCTTCGCCCTCTTCCTCCCTAACGGCAATGTCAGACTCCATCTCGTTGATCCTGCGACTAGGCGACAGCCGATCTCTCGTCTTCGTGAACTCTACGAAGAGCAGTGGCAACAGCATCGGGAGAAACACGGGACCAGCGTATCTCTGGAATATCCTGCTCACCGAAATTTCAGCCCTGCAGATTACCACGCCAATGATATCACGGCTTTAAAAGCCGTGTCGAGAGACTTAGGCATGTTGGAAGACCAATCGCTTACTGTGGTCATCTCTTCGGTGAAGGAACAAAGTTATTTCGATGCATTCCTTCCCAAGCTTTCCAAGTTTCCAGTGCTCTCCATGCCAAAAGCCAGGGCACCGCATAGTCTAGATGTCTTCCCTTGGCAAACCCATTTTGCTCAAAAGATGCTCATCCGTTATTTTTCGCTTGGTCCGTGGCTGGATCGGATGGTCTCCCTAGCTGAATACTACAACGTACCCATTGGCCACATTGACGGCGATCAGCCACTGTTCCTGTCTGATCTGGACTTTGCGCGTCGGTTGACCAATCAGGATACTCTCTTATGGTGGTCACCAAGTGGACGTCCTGACCTTGGCGGCATGGAGGATGATCGACGATTTACCGAGGAGCTTCCCCAGACCGATTTTGTATCTCCAGGTTGTTATTCGAATGTCAGCCTCGAGATCACCGTGCGAAATCTCGCGGTCAACGCTGTCCTTCATTCTGTTGTCGTCAACGAACTTGAAGGCAGTGGAGGAACCACCGCTTTCGACTCGGTATCCCACATGATCGACGAGTTCGCGGAAGGAGAGGCCAAACGAGATCTCACCTTAGGCGAATCCAACATCTCTCCGCAAACTATCGGTGTCATGAAGTCGATGGTCAAGACGTGGCTACTGGACAAGATCCGCTATAATTTCGAAAGCCCTGCATCCCTCGCGATCGACCATTTCTGGCGATGGATCAGCTCAAGGGCATCTCATATGTATGATCCCAGTATGCATCGTTTCGTCCATGGCCTCATGAGGAAGACCTTCATTCAACTCCTGGCTGAATTCAAGCGATTGGGATCGCATGTCGTCTATGCTGACTTCAGCCGAATTCTACTCGTCACCTCTAAACCTCCTGGTACAGCGCATGCGTACGCAACATATATCACCACCGCAGTGACATCCCACGAACTCTTCCAACACATCTACCTATTCACCGAAAAGTTCTACGACTTCCTGATATTCATGGATGAAGCCAACCTTGGCGGGATCGTATGCGAAGATCCACTAGCCGTCGAACCTCCAGATGAGCTCATCATCGAGATGAACTGGAATATCCAAAAGCATCTCCCAGTCGCGATCCAGAGGGACTTCATCGACCTCGTTCGATACTTTATCATTCATCTATACAAAACAAAGCAGAAGGCGAACGAGAACTCGCGTGGACCCCTTCGTATCTTATCCAACGGCGCACCTGACGTGACCCAGAGGGATGCTGCGAGAACGAAGGAGATGGACAGCGTCAAGGATTTCCTTGCCCGGCGGCTTATGCGGAAGCTATTCATGTTCATCGACAGTGTGCAGACACGGCATCGGAATGCCTCAGTTGACGAGGAGCTTAGTGCCGACTTCGAGTTTCCTCTCCTCCCGGGCTCGTACCTCAATATGTCCGACCCTACTCTCGAGTTCATCAAATTTGTGTGCGCCGTATTCGAACTCGCGAAGGATTACCAGAGCGAAGTTGGGCTCTTGAAGCGGAACGCACTCGAGCTGATCGGCGTGAAGTATTTCGGAGATGAAGTCATTTTCCGGAATCCCTGTGACCCTCTCAAGCTGCCCAGCGTACCTTGCAGGCACTGCGACGCCCTGCGCGACTTCGACTTCTGTCGGGATCCTGACCTGCTCCCTAACAATCAGGAGATATCGCCAAAGTGGTCATGTTCAGACTGCGGGGGCGAATACGATCGGGTGGCCATTGAGCTAGAATTGATGGAGTTTGTGCATGGGCTAGAGAGGACGTTCGCTCAGCAGGATCTGAAATGCGGAAAGTGCAAGCAATTGCGCTCAAACAACGTGGCGAAGCATTGCCAATGCTCAGGATCGTTCCAGCTGACTATCAATAAAGCAGATGTCAGGAGGAAGCTGAAGACCGTCTTCAATGTTGCAATCGTCCACAAGCTGGTGAGACTAAGGGTACGTTCTTCGCTTTGCTTTCGACGGAGTAGAGTGCAGACTGACTCTTCATACAGGAAACCGCCCAAGTTGCACTAGGTAGTTCATGAAACCGGAACAGGAAGTCCCCAGCCTCGGTGCTATATTTACTCTGTGTCTTTTGAATTCTGTTGCTACATTGTTTTCGGCCATGTATTTCTAAGCTACAACTTGTCGTTCATGCTATGTACTATATCGCCACATGTTTCACGTCTTTCCGAAGTGGTTGATAGAATGTCTTAGTGCTCGATCAGAAACACTAAGGTCAATATACTAATATCTGTTCTCCAACCCGGCATTTTTTGTGTGTAGCGCAACGAGTCAGCGAGTGGTCAATTGATCCTCTGACGGGCCATGCGGGAATCATAACACCCGTATGGCGACTGTAGATGAGCATGGTCCGTGCGCGGGCACATCCGTATATAAGCCGGCCATCATGCATGATGATTTCTTCATACTTACCTTGAAGGCACAGGCTCCCTCACGTACCTGGGCTTGTGGGCCATGGGGACCTTCCATAGCACGGCGACCCTGTCCCCAGAGGGTACCTGTGGTTTGTATGTGCCTCTGGTGCATGCACTTTCTAAATATTTGGCTTGTTCCACCTCGGCCACTCTGGCTGGGTGGGCCTTATTTTTTGCCGGTCTGCAGTGCTAACCCTAACCTTAAATTAAACCCATCTAATCTTATCTTTACTGCAATGTCAATGATTTACTCCCAATATGAACCAAAGTATGCACTAAAACATGGCTCATTGTGTGTGAGATGTTCATTGGTTGCACATGTCCTGTCTTTACATCAAACATACAGATGGCTGAGATATCACACTTCCCACATGTCTTCCTTGAGGCATATGACTACAAAGGCAGATTGGCACAACAAGCATATGCTACAGAAATATCTACCTACAGAATGTATCCTCCCTTATCAATGCACCAACAAATGTGTCACATCTACACTAACATTGTTCAACACACATACATTGGAATGTCATTAATGGGATACTTCAATAGAGCTACTGGGAGACACCCAAATCTATTCATCAATGTCAATGTGACAGAGACAGACCCATGACCTTGTCAATACGGTGAGGGGAGATGAATGATAGATGTCGAAATGGTCCCCCTCCAAGCAACAGTGCCGATTCAGGAAGGAACACAGCTAACCATAGACGAGGATAGGATATTGAGCGCCGGGAGTCAGGGATAAGGGCATGAGTCCAGAGCAAGCACTTGCAGAACCCGAGGAGATGAATTCACCGGGACATTTGCATGTTGGTCCGAGTTCTAAACCCGTAAGGATTAGCTGGATAGCATTCAATCCCGATGATCCCGCCCGCGCAATATGTGCATATCGCCGCTGAAGAACCTGGAATATGGCGGATGTTCAGGACCGTCCAGTCAGCTGCGCAATTGAAGACTCTGGCGGCTGAGTGTGCGATCTCAATCATGATGGCACGGATACGGAATAGAACGTACCTAGTTGAGGGAACTCAAATATCGAAAGTGTGTCAGACCTCTGGTCTGGTAAGCCGAGTTCACGCTCCAGCAGTCAGGCGACCAGCTGCTTAGCCAGGGCTACAAAAATGGGGAAACCTTGGGAGATGATGGCGAGAAGCCACTAGTCAGATGCATTCAGGCCATGATGACTGTAATCAGGGAGCTCAGCGCCTTAGGAGACCAAAAAGGAGCGATGAAGTGGGTCCCAGTTGAGAACGTGGTGGTTCAAGACAAACCAGTCGAAGCCGACCAGGAGCCACAGAACGCTGGTGACGTTACCTCACTGTAGTTCAACCCTGCCACATCCTCCCTCTGGATTCACAATCCACAAATCATTCATCGTATTCCCGCAGCATCATTCGGAAGTACCGGTTGGCTACAGACGTGCTGAGCTGACGACGACAACGACGACAAACGAGATAACGACGCCAAACGACCTCCCGATCTTCCAGATATCGCTGCCATGAATTTCTTTAAGACAAAGCAGCGGACACCGCCCGACCTCGTCCGGGGCCTCCGGGATAACATTTTGAAACTCGAATCGTCGCCACCAGGTGATGCGCGGAAGAAAGTATGTGCAGCTCCATGCTCAGCGCACTTAGCTGACAATAGAGGTATTTCATCCAACTCTATCTTTACACGGCTCTATACAGGCGAGCGAGGAGATCAGCAAGCACTTGCAGCAGATTAAAGGGTTGCTCTATGGCGATGGCGGTGCGCAGTGATTCTAAATGCCTCAAATCTTATCTTGACCTGCATTATCCCGTATACAGAGCCCGTCCCGGAGCTCCTCGCTCAACTCGCTCAAGAGACCTATTCCACAGATCTGCTCTACTTTCTCGTACTTCACATCGGCCGGTTCGATTTCGAGGCACGCAAAGACGCAGTGCAGATCTTCAACAACCTCTTGCGGCGCCAGATCGGGACGCGCTGGCCCACGGTCGAATATATTTCGTCCAAGCGTGAGGTGCTTTTCGCTGCTCTGCAGGGGTATGAGAACGAGGAGGTTGCGCTGAATACGGGCATGATTTTGAGAGAGATGTTGAAGCATGAGCAGTTGTGCAAGATCCTGCTTCACTCAGAACAGTGCGTTAATCATCATCGTTGTTCTTCAAAGATGTTGCGTTGGGTGTGTGGGATGCTGAAATAACTTGACGGGGAAGGTTCTACAAGTATCCGCATTACATCGAGACTACGACATTCGGGATATCATGTGATGCGTACTCCAGTCTGAAGGATACACTTACGCGACACAAACCCATGGTTGCGGAATACCTTGACAAGAACTACGATCGGGTCCGTCCCTTATGCTACATCTGATGCTCTCTGTGCTCAACATATGTCACTGCATATACAGTTCTTCAACTCCTTCACGACCCTCATCCTCTCCACAAACTACGTTACTAAGCGCCAATCACTCAAACTCCTCGGCGAGATCCTCCTCGACAGAGCGAACTTCAATGTGATGACGCGCTACATCGCGAACGAGGCTAATCTCAAGATGATGATGAACTTGCTCAGAGATAAGAGCAAGAACATCCAGTTCGAGGCGTTCCATGTTTTCAAGGTCTGACCTCTGCCTGATTGTGTCACAACTCCTGAGCTGATTAGTGGGATATATAGGTCTTCGTCGCAAATCCCAAGAAGCCTCCGCAGATTGAGAATATTTTGAGGAGGAACAAAGACAAGCTTCTGGTATATCTGAAGAACTTCCACAACGATAAGGATGGTGCGGCCCACTCTCAGCCTTCCGCTTTTTAGAATTTCACTGATCAAATTGCTGGTATCATAGATGAGCAATTTACGGTATGCTCACGTTGATGATGAAGCTATCCTGATGCTAATCTATTCCATAGGATGAGAAACAATTCCTTATAGTGCAAATCCAAGGCCTGTAACTTGCACCATCTCCTCTCTTCCCTCGTACCCGCAAGTCGATCGTCCAATTGTCCTCGCCGCCACCCTTGCCATCATTTCAATACCATCTATACACCATTGTATGATCGCACCCCCTTGCTACCCGGAGCTGTGGCCCCAGCCTCTTTTGTGCCTACCATACCATGCCGGCGCGATCAACTGTTCGCGCCTCATACCTAATACGGGCCGGCCATCTCTTCATCGCCTTTTACCTACATTCACCTTGCACATCACGCGCCAATCACTATCCCGCTAGGCTTGCCCGTCTCGCTTTCTTGCTCGCTACATTTCCGACCATTGCCCCTGCAGACATGATCTGGTCCAACCGTGTCGCACCCTTGTTGATTTGTCCTCCGTTGAGTTGCCGTGTCCGTTGATCCTGAGCGTGCGCGCCCTGTGTGCATAGCATGGACATTTGTACCCGTCGACGCGCATCTGCCGTTTGACTCTTGCCAGCTACAGACGGGCCGCGTTCTTTTGTTTGTTTCTGCCTGCGATTTCGTGTCTTGGAGCCATGGTCGGCGTTGCTGTCAGTCGTCGTCGTCGTTGTACAGTACGCAGAATGGGCCATCGAATGAAAAGATGTGGATTGTAACCTGCGAACCCGTCCAAGAAATTAGAATATGTTTTTTGCACGCCAGAGCACTTGGGAGTTTACCGGGGTCTCGTCACTAGACACACCGCCTGCGCACGTGCTGTTCCGCCATGGCTATGTCGAGTCGGACGCGCTCAAATTCCGAGCCCTAAAGCCTGTTTCGACGTCCTCTTGTCTTTAACCACCACCATCTCTCGTCTTCCCATCTCCCACCTTCCGTTCCAATTGACATGCCCTCGTTTACGCCCGACTCTCAGCTCGACCTGCTCTTCTCTGCCCATCTCATCCCTCAGAAAGTCAGAGATGAACTTCCCGCAGACCTTCATGTATATTCGCCGGACTTGTCGCATACCGTGATAGAGTCAACTAATGGGGCCCACGCAGATCCGCCCACTGGCTGCATCGGACTACCACCGCGGGCACCTCGCAGTTTTGAGCGTCCTGACCACCGTTACGGACCCAGGCGAAGCCTCCTACGTTGCGCAGTTCAACACACTCCGATCGATACCGTATACGTACTATACGCTCGTCATCGTGTCGAAAGAGACCGACCGCATCGTCGGCGTCGGCTCTATCTTTCTCGAGCGCAAATTCCTCCGTGGCCTGGCTACGGTCGGACATATTGAGGATATCGCGGTCGACGCATCGCAGCAGGGCAAAAAGCTCGGGCTGCGGATCATCCAGGCGCTCACGCACATCAGCGAGAACAACGGGTGCTACAAGACGATCTTGAATTGCAGCGACAAGAATATCCGTGAGCGGCCTTTTGACATCATCCTGTGATTGGCATGGCTGACGGGTGGTACATTGTTCTACGTAGCATTTTACGAGAAATGTGGATATGAGAAAAAGGAGAACGAGATGGCAAGTCGGTTGTCCCCGTAGTCTGCGATTGCGCTCTGACACAGACATGACAACCCTTTCATCAGGCTAAATATGCGTCGGAGCGCGCGCGCACACCAAGGCTGTGAAACATAGCCCACGTTCACACTTAGATCATTTCGGAAGTTAGAGCACCCTTGCGTTGGCCATAGGACTCATACTCATACCCTTCGTACAGGCTTGTCATGGACCTCTACAGTACCATATCGATCTCACCATTATATATTCATCTAGATACCTTGCGCGGCCCGGCTCTTTTTAGCTTCCTTGGCCTCCTATCTCTATCCACATGACCGTGGCGTCTACCCTAGCTAGAGTCTGTTTGATAATTGAATAATCAACACCACGCCATGATGAGTGACGGGTTACAGAGAGCGGATGACTAGGAGTTTTGAGTGACGGGTACAATTACAGTACAAACTAAGCGACAACTACGCCGACATAATAACGCTGTGATATTTTATGGCACGGTGGATCCATACTGGTATTGAGATTCGGGAAAATGGGCGCATAGTATTCCAAAACGAACGAACATGTCTTATCCTGGGCTTCAATGTTCTCGATCCATCCGCAACACAAGAGTAGCGCTCATTGACCATCTAATATTTAATTTTTTTGATGTTTGAGCGAACCAGGCCCTCAGATAGATGATTGATACTTACAGAGTGACCGCTAAACCACTGAATGATCATCAAAGACACGTTTGGACTTTCCCTTCCGATGCGACCTTCCTTGTTTCTACAAGGTTTATGAATAGGGAAGTCAGTCTGCAGAAAAGACTAGGCACACCTCGCCTTGAACGAGACTCGAATCGTTCTCAACCTGTTTCTTAGTAGCTGTGGGACTTAAGCCAGACGCTGCCTATAGGGACAATGATCGATAGACCGTCGGGCACAGACGATGTTCACTCACTTTCGCCTGCTTTGTGTCTTTCTTGCGGATATCCTCTCTAGCCTGTGTGTATCCCACTGCTAGGGACGCCTGGCGGTCCTCTTTCTTCTGCGAAGGAGACACCTTCAACAACTGACCTTTCAACACTGTTCCATTCGCTCCCTTGACCGCCTCGAGAGCGTCTGCGTGCTCAAGGAATTTTACAAACCCAAAGCCTTTGCCGCTTCCGCTCTCGGGGTCTCGTGGGATGTTGATGGAGGTGATTCTGCCGTATTGTTTAAAGCTCGCCCTCAACTCATCTCTGGTCACGTTAGGATCGAGCCCCCCGACGAAGACGGTCGTGAACTCGGATTTCACCGCGTCCTTGAGGACCTGGCGATCTTGTTCCGCATGTATAAGGCGCCGCGCTACCTTTGCGCCTACGCGATGGGATTTGGGAATTTTGGCTGAGTCGGACGGGACTACGGTGTAGACCAGTCGATGCAATAGTTCTGCCGTTTGAGCGACGTCGAAGCGCATGAAGCCGTAGCCGTTATGCATGCCCTGAGTATCCGTCATTTTTTCAAAAATGTGCATGCACTGCAAGACCTTCAGATGGGGTCATTGAATTCATACGTCCATACGCACGTCCTTGTCAACCTGCTCTTTGGGATCGACGATGATCCATGGCCACGAGATAGCGATGCTCATGCTGTCGTCTTAGGGGTGAAAAAGCTGGAAGGGAGGCGGATGAAGGCGCAGAGCTCATCTGGAGGGCTTATAGCTGCCTCGAGCATACGCGTCCCTACTCAGCCCTACACCCATGACAGAGGTGTGGAGAGTTCTAGCGATCATAAGCACGCTGAAGCTCATTAATTTTACTAGGTTCAAAGGTAGATAAGGTGCTTCTTTAAACGGCTCGAAAGACCTGGCACAATTCACCCTCATAAGCCATTCAGAACCACTTCAGTAGTCAGTGGAACAAACGCACATAATGTCCTCCTTTTTCTCCAACGGCAGAAAGACCAGAACGACATATGCTATCGGAGGCCAATGCTGCGAGGCGAGAGTGTGAGACTGTTGTAGGGGGTATAGAGGGGGCGATTTGGGAAGCGGTTGTAGGGCTCGCCGCCACTGGCCGAAGCGGTTACGCGGTATATAAATTCGTTAATTTTAAAAATAAAAATAAATTAAAAGAGTGTATGAGACTGCGCGAATGCGTCATGGTGAAGGCAAGGCTGCAAGGAAGAAGTGAAAATGTGAGAAAGACCAGGAAAGACCCCGGACTCCGCAGTATAGGCTTGGATGACATCCCCTCACTTGCCATCTCTTTTCATCAACTTCTTTCCCAGAGTCAACTCCTTCAACAGCGCGGCTCTCGACCGCAACTTCCTGTTTTCGCTTGCAATAATTGGACTTCGAATACTCAACAGACTGCTATCGTCGTTCATATGAAGTTCCGCCTAGTCGGTCCACCAAAGCTCGAGGCCCACATTGAGAGCCTAGATGACACAGCGTGGCAGCAGCCAACTCAAACACAGTGTGTCCATTCGCTAGCTGTTTCTAACGTGCAGCAGCTAACTTACTTGTCTCGTTTGTAGTGTTGCGACTCCTAGCAAATCTTCCGGGATACACAGGCGCAGTCCTGATCTTGTAAGACAACGTTTTTCTCTTCTTTTACTTGCAGCCTCAAATTTACTTGATAATGCGCTCTACTTGGTATCATATGTTTAGGATGCTCGACTCGCAGCAAGGATACATATCAACGAATTGCCCATCGAGATCCTCTCAAACATCATTGAACGACTTGTCGACTCGTCTACCTCCCTGGCAACCAAACATTTCCGTGATCAGTTCATAGCCATGCTCGTCTGTCGTTTATGGCGAGCCGTTGCCATTTCATCGCCCTCGTTATGGACTTTTATAAATCTCTCATGGGATGGACGGCTCGTGGAGGCATTTCTTCGAAGATCGGGGGCGCTGCCGTTGACGATATATAGCTATGGATGTACGATACCTCCGTGGCTTCCGGACGTAGCAGCCCGCCACAGCCTTCGTTTTCAACATATCGAGATTGACGAGCAGGTATATGACGTCGATTCCTCGATACTTGCCCATCCCATCCTCGAGGCGCTCTCATTTCCAGCTCCACTCCTGGAGACGCTGAAGATCCTTATCTACGCTCCCGGATATTTTTCTGACGAACCACAAGGCATGATTTCTCTGCCTCCGCTGTTCGCAGACGTGACCCCGAAGTTGCGTACTCTCGAGCTGTCGCACTACACCTGCTGGCCAGGTAATTGCTTCACTGGCATCATCAAATTCTCCTTCGGACCCCCTTCCGACGCAGGACATCTTTTGACCTCACAGCTCTTTGAGTTCTTGGAGGCCAATCCCACTCTCCAGTGCCTTGAATTCTCCCAAATCCAATTGATGCGCAATGTGACAGATCGCATCATCACCCTTCCCAATCTTCAAACTTTAGGAATATATGACTTCCAGCCAGAAGATGCTCTTTACTTGCTGTCTCTACTGGGGCTTCCAGCCTCCGTTGTAGTAACATGCACATATCCCCGCCTTCACAATGTCGATCACGAACGCGGACTTGTTTTCCCTCACAATATACCCCTCGTCCACATACGCGATTCTGATGTCCTGGCTATCGCCGGCAGCGTTGCTATTCACTCCCTCAAGGTTTTCGCCGTCTGCGCAGATGCTAACGTGAGCTGGTTCGTCGAGCACTACGTTCGAACTGACCACGTCTTCGATACGCCTTCTTTCCACCGCATCATCGGCGCACACTCCTTCTCCCAAAGCCTCAGGGGTGTGACCAGGCTTTCTATAACGTTCTCACGGGACTTCGATTTCGTCGGGCTGTCATCCTCGGTTTGGGCAGCTGCGTTGGACTGCTTTCCGAAACTCTCGATCCTCACGGTCGAGTTCGGGAGACTGACCGACATCGTCGCGGCGCTGCAGCCCACGCCGACAGACCCCGATATTCGTTGCCCACACCTCTCCCGCCTACACCTCTCCAACGTGCTGGACGACGACTTCACACGCTTCCTCGACCTCGTGGAGTTCCTCCGGAAGTATGGGCGTCCCGCGGTGCAGGGCATAGAAGTCCAAGTCCAGGATCGCACACCGCCGGGTTTGGAGATCGCGTCTCTCCGCAAGCACTTTGACTTCGTACAGGTGTCTAGGGGCGATTCCTCAGTTACGATCACAAGGTGGGGTGCTAAGAATCGTGAATAGGATAGGGTTTAGCAGGGGTTTCCGTCCCGGATTGTCACACATGGTTTGTCGTTAGTGTATAACTGTTTTCATACGAGTGCATGCAGTCGATGTAAGTTAATTTACAACCAACAGGTCATCCTAGTAGAACCTGGACTTTTTGGCTGGAGAGGGGTCTGACAACATTCGGTGCCGTATGTATTTTACCAGAGCTGGATTAAACACTCCAAGACCTCCCAAATTCAATTGGAAAAATATATAGATGCTATTCTCATGTCCTTTCATCGTAGGATCTGCACCATGCTGAACCTGGGGCCGAACCATGTCGTTGTAACCTTCTCGCAACGCCACCTCCACCGCAGTCCCATATCTCCTCGCGCATTCGGGTATGCACCCTTTTCAAGGAGCAACCTCGCTGCAGACATTCTGCAGTGCCGTGCCAAAGAAGCCACTTCTCCTGTTTGCATCTGCTCTTTTTTCCAACAGCAGCTCGACAACAGACTGATGACCTTCGGCACTTGCTGCCTGAAGCGAGATCTCGTTATATCCTTCTTCTGCATCAGGGTGAAAGCCCATGTCCAGCATCATTCTAACGAGTGACTCATGCCCGTGTTCGGCTGCTGCTTGAAGAACAGTGTCATAGTATCCGTTGTTGAGTTGTAAACTTGCCCCCTTCTCGAGCAACAGCTCTACGATCGATTGGTGACCTCCGCCGGCAGCCGACTGCAGAGCCCCGGCCGAATAGCTTATTCTGTAATTAACATCTATACTCCACTATAGCAGTATCTTGACAATTTCTTCGTGTCCTTGCGTGCTCATATGCCCTCTATAGCGGTACCCTCAAAATATCCATCATGAGTTGGACCCTCGTTGATGTCCACACCCTTCTCCAAAAGCAAATTCACGGAATTCTCGCCTCCTCCGTAAGCTGCAGCCTGCACTGCGCTGCCATCATAACCATAAAATTTTATGTTGAGATCCACGCATTACTCCAGCAACATTGTCGCGATATCTTCGTTTCCTGCTCTACATGCCATCTTGTGGTGAATCCCCCTGCTTGAGCTTGAGCATTTGGGTTTGCACCCATGTTCCAAAAGTGCACGAGATTCTCGCTGTGAACCAGCGGCTGAGGCGAAGTAGAGAGGTGAGGGGATCGAGTTAGATGGATATATTGGTTTCGCGCCAGGTATCCAGGCAAAGGCATGCATCTGGGCCCACCTGGTGAAGGGGACGCTCTTGGCTTGTAGCAGGTCCATAGTAAACTTGTATATCAAATTGTCATGGCCCGCTTCAAGGGTATGGAATGTCCAATACTCCGCCGCATAACGGATAAGAGGAAGGTGCGTCTTCAAGTCATCGTCTCATATATCGAGCGCGTCCAGTCGCAGGAGATGGATGAGACCTGTTTGATAGATCAGCAAACGTGGGCCCTGCGCACTAATAGCGAAACGCGATCTCGAGGTCAAGTACTCCTTGACTGAAAGTTGCGCGAGCCTGATCACTCCTGGTTAATCGACATCAGCGGGTGAGTGCGCATATCGGACTGTAGGCCTCACTTTCACACCTGGTAACAAGGCTTGAACAGATGTCCAAGACACTCTCTGGATTCTGAGACGGAACTCGGGACGGCCATGTGAGTATTTCCTAGCCTTCTACTCCTGCTAGCCATCGATGGAAACCGCGACAAAGCAGTTGCGCGCCCAGTTACGTGCTCCGGTCTCTTTCATCGTCCTGATACCTGAATACCTACCAAAAAAATGCCGTCATCATTCACCACCGGATTTAAATCGCAATGGTTCTATATCGACGAACCTACCCAGTGACCGACGAGCCCGAACGCATGCACATCGAGCCCGCCCCTTTGCGATTGAATGCTAGTGTGCCGCTCGAACGGCATACAGTGAAGGCCAAAGCAACGGGTAGCAGGGACCTGTAGTCAGTGGCTATCAGTAAAAACAGCAGCTGTCAGGGACCCACATATCTCGGCTGCCCGCAAGAACAGTCCACGACCCAATGCTTGAAGGACTTCTGCAACGCTTCCACAAAGTCACGCACCGGCATCGCACTGCCGCGACAAATAGCGCGACAGCTGCGCTCGTCGATACGCACGCTTCACAAGAACTCAACAAGCCTATATCGCTCCGGATGTGTGGACGGCGGCCGAGCTTCAATGTTGCACGGAGGCCGCAGAAGCATGCTTGGGCCGTTCAGATGGCAGTCAATGAGACCAGGTCAATCGATCATCTGTACATGTAGCATAAGTCTGGTTTTAGACGGCACTCGAATGTTTGGTTTTCAACGTCGAGGTCGAATATTGGTCGAATATTCGGAGGATCTTCGGAGAACGAAGTCAGCATCGTCATCGGAATGTGGTAGCGGCTGGTAGTGGCTCCAAACATTCTCCAAACGCTACTCCATTCTCCAAACGATAGGGCTGGCCACACACGAACACTGGTGCAGCTCTGACGCGTTTGGCGGACGATCCTGGGTATATTCGCATCGTGAGTCTTTCGCAGTCAACGAACAGCAAGAAAAAACATTTTTGAACAGAAAGAGAATCAAGACACCTGTCCATAGAAAATGAAGCCATGTAAGCCGAACGAACCAACGCTACGCCCACGCCCACACCAACTGTTGCCCGAACGAGCAGCTGCACCGCCCTCCTCTCAGCAACAATTTGTAAGCGTTGATCGGGCCGGCGAGAGGCGATGCAGCAACGGATGGGCAGGAAGGCGAAGACCAGAAAGAAAAGAACTATGAGTATTTGCGCATAGGTACAACACAACACATCACATCCAACGGATGCACCGGGGATAGGGCAGACGTATTACGGGAATAAGAACAGGGAGAGCGCGCGGGATGGTCGGGGAGGGGCGCGGGGAAGGGGAGGGAAGAGCGGAGTGGCGCTCTTTCAGTGCTTTGTGGCCTTGACGATGGAAACGACGATGATGACGATGATGATAGCGATGGCTACACCAATGATGAGCCGCATCTGAGGTGGCAGATGGTCAGAAAAGACATAGGTTATTCGCGAAATGTGACTACTTTCATGTCTTTCCACCTGTTGTTAACCATGCGAGGAAAAGAAGAATGCTAATGTGAGAAGAATCCACGGGGGTTATACCGGATAAATCACATACCACATATTCTAATGAATAGGAAAGAAGGTTATACTCATGAGCTCCTAGCGGCTGAAGCACAAAAAGAGCTCACCTTCCGGACACGGTTGGCATTGCGACGGAAGCCTTGGGCCGAGACCGCAAGGTTGTCTGACAAGAGCGGGATGTAGGCGGTCAGCAAGCGCCGTTGTGCACTGCAAGAGAAGGGGCAAGGAGAACGGAAAGATAGGTGGTCCTAATCGAACAGTGGCCCCCGATAGTCCAAGCATGCTGCCACAGTCAAACTGACGATGCTTGCACAGCCTCGATGCTATGATTCAATGGAAGGGGGGATACACACCTGTCTTGTCCTGCAGCGAATCGAGCCTCTCCTGTCGCTCTGTAACCTTGGTGATGTTGTCCCTCATAATGTTCACAGTGTCGTCGATTTGAGCCTGGATGGCGGCCGTCTTCGCATTCCCAGCACCGCCGGGAGGGTTGGAAGAGGAGCCGCCGCGGGGGAGGTAGGGGTCATAAGGCTCGGACCTTCAGCGTTTGACAACAACATCGCGAGTCGGAGAGGACGAAGGAAATACGATGGCGGGGACGTGCGAAAGTAAATGTGGGGTAGAGAGGGTCAGTGCGTGCGTGCTGCGCAGCGAAATCAGGGTTGAACACTGACATGATGTTGTCGTGGGGTCTGGCAGAAATTCACAGAGAAATGACAAGGGGCGAAGAAAGCGAGAAGAGGGGAGAATTAGACGGGGAAGGAGGAGAAGAGCACCAGGCTCACCGTGTAAGGGGACGAGAGGAGAGGTCGGGCAGTGGGTCGTTGACGTTGCGCGGCTCCCATCACACGGCACAACACAGCCCCCGCTCGGCCACTCCCGCCCGAACTCCGGTCGCTCCGCCCGAACCTCCTCATCCACCACCGTCTCTCTCATCGTCCATTCACCATCATCCACACAAATGCGAAATGGGAGGTGGACCGTGTGGTCAGCGATCTCATACACCCATATCTCTGCCACTGTTGGCTCGAACGGTGTACGCGCGCAAATTCGTGTTGTCAGCTCACTTGACAGTGCAATTGGAGCAGCCGGGAGCGCTGCATCATCTCGTCTTACAGAGCCTCTGTTTGCATACGGGGATGTCTGTCATCACCGTAATATTCCAGGAACCTTTGCTGTGCACGGATTTGGGAGGATATCGAAGTCAAGTCGAGGTACGTCGTATGATACGTTCACACCCACATTGGTATTCAACTGGAGAGATTGAATGATACGGGGAGTACCAAATTTCTTAGCATCGACCTTGCAAGGGTCTTTGGTCTGGGGCGATGGCCCTCCCTGTGCATACCCCGTACACATATGAGACCATGATACTTAGACGGTTGTCTGTATCTCCGTGCAATCAAACAAACAATTTGCTACGATTATGCTCGGAAAGATCTTGCGAGCAAGGTAACGTGCAAAATACACGAGCACTTTCACATATAATATTTTTTCCTTCAAAGTACGCAGGCGCTATTCATTAGGCACTGACCATATGAAAATGCAGATATCAGGACCAGGATCAGTTGGTCTGAATGGTAGGCGGGCCTTTCGCCTTTGTGACATCCGTTGGGGATAGACATCCAAATCGGATGACGTGCAAACAACGAAAGATGTATATGCACCTCCCCGTTGCAGAATCACTCACAATCCTTTTGAAGGACTACATCGAACTTGCGTGTGACCTTCACAGACCTCTTCTCATTCTAGACTTCCTTCTAGATCGTTCACAGCAACAGGGACCTCTGTGTGCACATATCGTGGGCAGCTGCTGCCTTGAATAGCACGGGCGCGGCCAAGAACGTTGCCTCATCGTTTCGATCGCTTGCTTGACCTGGGACATGGTCGATATCACCCTTGTCCGCGTTACTGCACCTCCTGCGCTTGCACTGCGCGCTCGCCTGGTGATATAAAGCGCCTCGCCATTACGGTGTGCTCACCCTCCTCACCTGATCACATCCCTCGACACAAGCACCCACCGTCTTTCGGTCGTCGCACCTCATTCCCTCGATGCTATCCCTCTCCTCTTCCTCATCCTGCGATATCTGCTTTGAAACATACCAACCCAACGCTTCCTCCACCGATGATGTCCGACACCCGTCCTCACTCGACTGTGGACACGTGTTTTGCACACCGTGAGTGGTTCACCGGGGGACGCTCCCAAACAACGACAGATCGAGCTGACCGCTTGGCATCTCCGACACAGCTGCATCGATGCGCTCGAGAGCCTCATTTGCCCCACATGCAGAAGCCCGTTCGACCGCCGCTCGGTTAGGAGGCTCTATGTCCCCATAGACCCGCCATCCGATCTGCAGGCACCCGGAGATCGCTCGGCACCTGGGAGCATCAACTTCTTTCAGCAGTTCTCCTCCGCCATTACGGCCGGCAGCCACGCATCGTCTACCTCTAATTGCACCACACTTACTGCCGCCATCAAGACCTTCACCGACGCCTTCGTCGCAGAGCTTGCAAAGAACACTTCGCCAAGCGGTAGAAGGTCTGGCTCTCCAGACAACATGGTGGATCTGCCCAGGAGCTTCGCAAGCGCCTTCGCCGCATCCGATGCGAGGGGTGGCGTGATCGCTATCCACTGGGGCGCCACAGATTTGGTTGTCCCGTCATCTTCCTCGACCAGCTCTGGAGCCAGCTCTGGCACCGTTGCCGTGACGTTCGACGTTCATGCAACCACAGTTTGGGGAGGTGCGTCTCATCGTCGCCGATGTTTTCTGCTCCAATTTAAATCGACTCTTTCACAGAGAACATCTATATCACCGGCTCCGTCGGTGCTCTGAAAAACTGGTCTCCGAAGAACGCCCTCCTTCTATCAGCGGCAAAATACCCCACCTGGAGCAGTACGTCTTTTTTCAAGTCTGCTATCTCATGCCAGTTATTGATATAATTGTCCTCGCTCTTCAGTCACCATCAATCTCCCGGCCAACACGCCGATTCAATACAAGTACATCCGCAAGTACAAAGGTGCCACGACCTGGGAGAAGGATCCCAACAAGCGGATCACCACACCTTCCGGCGACACGTGCATCGTGAAAGACAGCTGGCGTGGCCGGCGTTAGATGCGCCCGACGCGGCAAGATGCTATTCATGATCAAGAAAAGCTATGATTGCATGAAAATGTTCTCCTTTTTGTATTACGCAGTATGACTATACCACAATCCATCACAGGCTGCATGCGTTGAAGGTCATGGAATCGCGAAGCTCTTACTAGCGAGGGGAGCGGACCCACATGCTCGAGGTGGACTCTTGGGAAATGTACTACAGGCAGCGACGGCTGGGTTTCGAGGCAATCGTCAAGCTCCTGCTTGAGAAGGGAGCGGATCCAAATGTTGCAGGCGGGAGACACGGCACTGCACTTCAGGTGGCGGCAGCTAGGGGTTTTGCGGACATCGTTAAGCTTCTGCTCGAGGAGGGAGCTGATCCACGCGTTCAAGGCGGAAAATAACAAAACAATTATGGCACTGCACTGGAGCCCTCGGCCACTCCCGCCCGAACTCCGGTCGCTCCGCCCGAACCCTCCACCACCCATCACCGTTTCCTTCATCCTCAGCTCACCATCACCCACACCAATGCGAACCGAGAGGTGAACTGTGTGGCCAGCAATCTCATACACCCACATCTCTGCCACTGCTAGCTATCGGCATGCGCGTGCAAATTCGTGTTGTCGGCTCACTTGACAGTGCATTTGGCGCAGCCGGGAGCGCTGCATCATCTCGTCTTACAGAGCCTGTGTTCGTATACGGGGATGTCTGTCATCACCTTGTTATTCCAAGAACCTTTTCTGTGCACGGCTTTGGGAGGCCATCGAGGATAGTGAGCAGGTCAAGTTGAGGTACGTCGTGTAACACGTTCACATCCACGTTGGTATTCAGCTGGAGAGGCTGAAAGACTCGGGAAGTGCCATGTTCATCGTCAATCACCTTGCTTGGGTCTTTGGTGTGGGGTAATAGCCCTCCCTGTACATGCTCCATAAAAATTTGAGACCATGATTCTAAGACAGTTACTTGTAACTCCATGCAATCATCCAAACAGCCTGCTATGATCATGCTCTGAGATCTTGCTAGCCAAGTAACTCGGATATATCGGAACAAACGAGCACTCACAAATTATTTTCTTCTTTCAAAGTACGCAGGCGCTATCTTGTTCATTCATTGGGCACTGACTAGCAGACGCCACTTTTTTTTAGAATCTAGATTCGAGAATTGAGCGACATGAACCGTCACCATTCAAACTGTGAATCATACTGTCACATTTTCACCGCTCGCTCTGGGATAGTAGCTATAAGTGGTAGGCGTCCCTTTCGCCTTTGTAACATCCGTTGGGGATGGACATCCAAATAGGATGACGTGCAAACAATGAAAGATATATATGCACCTCCCGTTGCAGAATCATCTATGTCTTTCTTGAGGGCTCGGTCGGGCTGCGTCAAACTCGCGTGTGACGTTCACAGATTCGTACCGGGTTGCTCCCAATTCTTATACAGATCTTTTCTCACTCCAGACTTCCTTCCAAATCCTTCGCAGTAACAGGGGCCTCTGTGTGCGCATATCGCGGTCAGCCGCTGCCTTCAATAGCCCGGGTGCGACCCAAAACGTTGCCTCATCGTTTCGAACGCTTACCTGACCTGGGACACGGCCGATACTGCACTTGTCCGCGTTGCTGCACCTCATGCGCTTGCACTGCGCGCTTGCCTGCAGGACGATCGTAATATAAAGCGCCTCGCCATCACGGTGTGCTCACCCTCCTCGCTTGATCGCTTCCCTCGACACAAGCACCCACCGTCTTTCGGTCGTCGCACCTCGTCCCTCCGATGCTCTCCCTCTCCTCCGCCTCATCCTGCGACGTCTGCTTTGAAACATACCGACTCAACTCCTCCTCAACCGACGAGATCCGACGCCCGTCCTCACTCGACTGTGGACACGTGTTTTGCACACCGTGAGTGGGGCACCGGGGGACGCTCCCAAACAGCTATTCTCCGCGACAGATCGAGCTGACCGCTTGGTATCTCCGACGTAGCTGCATCGATGCGCTCGAGAGCCTCATTTGCCCCATATGCAGAAGCCCGTTCGACCGCCATTCGGTCAGGAGGCTTTATGTCATCATCGACCCGCCATCCGATCCACAGGCGCCTAGAGAACGCTCGGCTGCTAGGAGCATGAAGAGGCGGCTCCCAGATAGAGAGTCAGATGACGCGGCGGAGAAAGAGTGGTTGAAAGATAAACTGATCGCAATCGCCACCGACAGTGGCCCGGATCGCGTCGACGTCGAAGAGTACTTGGACTGTCTACAGAGGGCCGGGGACTGGCTTACGCGGAACAGCCCAGGAGAGGTTCATGTTCATTTTTCTCTTTGACCATCCATCGACGTTGACTTTCCGCAACAGCATCAAGATCTCAGAGCCCTATACAAGCTCCACAGCCTCTTCTTGAAGTACTTTAGGGAGCACAACATCGCCATCCTCGAGGTGAAAGACCTCACCAAGCGATGTCGCGAGTTGCGCGATACGTTGGCGTCCACGGAGGAATGTGCCCGCTTGGAAATTGAAGAAATCATGAGAGCGTTTGAAGAAGCCGACCGCACGAGCAATGTGCGAGGAGAACGAACCAGGCTGTTTCTCAAGTAGGTCGACGGCTTCCATACTATCGAGCAGCGTTGACATGATTTACTGTGCAGTAGTGTGAGTCGGCGGCCGAGTGACATCCAGCTCCTGACATGCTTTGCTCACTGTGCCGTGATATTTTGAACAGACTGAGCCTTCAGAAGGTTCATCCTCGCATGAAGAGGAGACGGAGTCTCCAAAGCCGTCGCCCGTCACTTCCGAGTTCTCGATATACTTTCCGCCCTTCTGGGATACGACTGCGCGTGGCTCCACCGATGTGGCGCACATGGGCGCAGCTGTTGAGAGCTTGATGCTGGGCGAATCCGCGCACGTCGACTTCGATCGCTTGGCCTACCCTGGACACCTGTTTCACTGAACCCTGAATATAAGACTCGGCAGACAGCGCCATTCACAGTCCCGCAGGGTACGAGATGTGTTTGGAAACGTAGTGCGCAGCCAGCGCCACCTCCCTTGACCTTAGTTTACGATGCATATTTATATATCACCAATCCTGTACACGCCTGTAATTGTGCTCATCGAAGGTAGAATTTATGTTGTGACGCATGCGATTATCTAGGATTTCTCCTCCGACCCGGTTCTGTGAAATGGTGGCGAGCCTCAGTATCGCATTGTTCCTTCGGGATGAGATGCGCGTCCGCTGTGGTGATGAGATGCCGGCTTCTCATCTCAGAGGCGTAGTCTATCCAAATATATTGTATAGTCTCCGTCATCTCCCGGTGAGTCGCAAGCCCCTTCAGCAGCTCGACTGCTCAGCCAATCAACACCGACCAATGAAAGGCAACGAAAGAGCGCTGGCAGCGAAGATGACTTGATGTGTGCCGTGATTGTCTCCCAGATACTACCAGCGGTCAGGTAGATTCTCGATGATCTGTCGCAGGGCAATGGGCAGTGTCACATCAGAGCCAAACCTCCTTGAAGAGTGTCAGGTTGAATCGCGAAGCTCACTGCGAAGCGAACAGGAGGTGCACTCAAAAAGGGAGAGCGTCAGTCGGTTTTCATATCTTCCAATCCATCGCCTCCGCATCGGCACGGTATCATCGCTCATAAAAATTTTAGGAGATGGCGAGATGGATATTCTTGTCGAAATGAACAATCTATGCTCCACGAGGCTTGTGGCAGGCAACCAATGCACACTCTGGTATGTCGCTGGGCCTGTCCGGCTCGGCGTAGCCCTTCGGCGAGCAGCGAAAGAGTCGAAAGGTCTCCTTCCTGTAAGACTGTCATGCGCTCGAAAGAATGGGGAACAGCTGTTGATTTGGAGGTCGAGAGAAACTGGAATGCATAAATTTAGCTATCTCAGCAAGGTCGATATCCCCGCTGATCGAAGGGCAAAATGACGTGAACCTCCAGATATTTCGTCAAGAGAAGAGATTCGAATTGTGTCATCCATTGGCGTTATTCAGGGCATTTCGAAGAGGTTCATTTCGGCGTCAAGAGATGGAAGTAAAGGGGAGAAGCTTGCGCCCACAGAGAAGATTGCAGGATCGCCGCCTTTGTCCGCGAGAGCTATTTTGAGATGACGCGGAATAAGGGTAAGGTTTGTCTTTCATTGTGCTTACGACTGTGTGGGCAGCCAGAAGCACGAGACAGGGTTGTGCACCCGCTCGGCAAGTGTGCCAAATTTCGAGAACAGTAGGTGTGGTACCTGAGTTTTGCCTTCTGGGGTGCCACTTCCAGACCCTAAGAAATATGGCATCGAAAAAAAATATCGTGAGAACCATGATGATAGAGGAGAGAGAAATAAGGCACGATAGCCTTGAGCGCCAGACAGCTCCCATGGCGCACAGGAGGAACAGCTTCCTTCGGCAGAGAACATCAAGGTGTTGAATTGTTAGATTCGATCCAACAATAATCAGCTTCGCAGGCGTCACATGGGTTAGCCAGAATTGTTTAAAATCAAAGCGCTGGTGTAGTGGGCAGTGCAGAAGAGATCCAGAATCTTTGGCTTCTGACGACGTGCATAGTGGGGTATAGCAGTTGAGGTACTCGTGATACGCTGCGCCGACAGAATAACTAATTGCTTGGATGTACTGCGTCACAGAACGTACATGGTGGATGCATGACTCAATTGTGCTGTATGTTCACAATAACGTGTTGGGAGCATACAAGAAGACGTACTTCTTCAGGCGATGAATCCTTTAGCTGACAGTCAGGGTGGCATTGAGTAAGATGGCAACAAAAGGGAAATAATCACGATCCGTGTCACGTCTCAGACCGCCGAGTCGATGATCGAATTCATCGCCAAGGAGAATAACGATGCTTTAAGGTTGGCGTGAAAGCCTAGGGTGTGGTGGCTGCTTGGAGTTGGTATGTTTTGAGGAAAGGTCCTGGCGGGCCCACTTACGGCAAGTCCCGGCGGAACTCACAGGTCTCTCAAGGTCTTTCGTGACTACGCCTCCACCGCCCTTGTTTCCCCTCGGATATCTCAGTCTTTGCAGAACGTCCATAATGGAACGATCAGTGTTCTCTTCTATCATAATCACAAGATCTACGCTCCTCGCATGGCCTTGAACAAAGCGATTTACATGGGCGCAGCCTATCTTGCTGTAAGATGGCGACATCGAGCAAGATAGATGTATCGTCTAGAAGTCGCGTCATAGCAGTCTTTACAAGCAGGCAGTAGCGATCTCAGAAAAAGGCATCAGATTGTCTTGCAGGTATGTTGCATCAAGGATTTCACCAGGTATTGCGGCACGAAGAGGCACACGTTGACGGCACGAGGCCGAAATGCAGCTACGGCCCACGAAGAGCCAAAGTAGTGGACAGATGTTCTCGTCCTCCGTTATAGTGCCGGTCCAGCTTAACAGCCACCCAACAAGAGCGGACTGTATGTGAGAACAGGAGATTCATCTTCGGAAGACTCCTGCGAAGATTCCGGACTTCTAGATATCTCGTGTCTTGCCTCTCTTATCGCTCGTTCCTATCCGTTCTCTAGACGCTCCACCGGCGAATACCACGATCGTGACACGAAGAGATGGACGCTCTCGGCTGCTGAGCTGAGCATCTTCGGAATCGGAAGATGTGCCGTGACCGTGGCTATGGCGTTGTCCGCTGGAGACAAGCTCCCTTGTCCTCGTGCTGCCCTAGGCCGCCTAAGTTATATACTGTCGCTAGCTTGCCGCCTTGCGCATCGCGGCCTGCCAGCAGATCGGCCCCTATCGTGTTTAAAAAGCATCCCTCGGGCATGTTCTGAGCCTTCCTCCGGTCAACACCCACACCATATTCACTTGTACCTCTTCCCCCATCATGCTCATCCTCCATCCGTCGGCATCCTGCGATGTCTGCCTAGAGCCTTACAAGCCCGAGGACATTCAGGGACCCGTTCCCCGACCCCCTTGCGTGATTGAATGTGGACACGTATTCTGTGGCCGGTAAGGGTTATACAGTTCGTTTTCTAGCAGCGTCATGCTCAACCTCTGTTGTCACTCCTCAGCTGCATCAATAACCTCTCACGTTTAGCATGTCCGCTATGCAGAAGTCCATACGACCCACTCACCATCAGAAGGATGCACGTCGATATCAGCACTTCTGATGCCAGTAGCCCTGAGGACACCGAGAAGGGCCTTTTGTTGAATAAGATGATCGCCGTAGTACGCAATGGCGCGGCGGGGCTTGAGTATCAGGAGACCATCCAGAAGACCACTGCATGGTTGAGAGTTCGGGATCTTGACGAGGTGAGTACTTCGATATCAAGTTCGACGCACGGCGGAGGACACTTAATCTCCAACGAACCTTTGCTCTCTACAAAGGGGTGGGATGTTCGTGCGATGTACCTGCTTCTAACGCGTTATCAAGACATGCACAAGGAACACCAGAAGGCCCAGTTCGAATCACATGAGCTCGTGCAGGAGTGCAAGGGCTTGCGAGAACTATTGGCGTCCCAATCTGACAATGCGCGGAAGGAACTCGAAGACATCAGAAGAGAGCTGGAGGATGAGAAGGCAACAGCTTCGGCGGTGGAGCGGTCTTTACGAGACCATCATGCCAGGGCCGATGTTCAGTGGTCGCGGTGAGTTGTCCTGCCGTCCGTCAAGTCTGCTGAGAGTTTATAATTGTCTATTTCTTGTGTACTTCTTCGTTTATAGCAAGGTACGTTGTACCCCCCTATCTCGATAAACTAGGGCTAATTGATCTCCATCTAGTATGACTTGATCATGGACGAAGTTCGTAGGCTGCGAGAGGAAGTGAAGGTCATCTCCCGCGCTCGCCATAACGACAATGGTAGTCGTGCGGTGGCTCCTCAATCTTCATATCTAGCTATCGAAGGGGGTGATCCCGACCGCGTGCATGATATGGACGTTTCCACTGAGGCCGCAGATCCCGAGGGTGATGATGATCAGAAATTGGGACATTTCTCACCTCTTCCCCTTAGCCTTTCGTTTCCCATGGCGCTTAGCACGTTCAGCCCATTACTCAAGGGGAGCTCTGAAGACGATGGTTGCGAAAGAGCTTATTCTCGCGGATCGCGCAAGAACTCTGCAGGGGAGCGGGAGCGGGTTAATGAACCGATGGATGACGTGCAAAGCTCCACGACCCAGCCCCTCGCCATCGCCCCTCCCACGAGTCTCATTTCCCGTTTCTACGACGCCAACCCCCCAGAAGGCAGTGCCTCACTCCCACATCCTGCCCCCGCCTCCCTTTTGAACAGGCGTGCGGAGAAGCAGCGCGAACGAACCCCGCGAAAACATTCGTACTCCAATGCTCGCGATGGAAGAGTTGAGAGCCTGCGAGCACCCAGATCGAATGCATTGGACGACAGCCTTCCGGTCGACTCGGGCGACGAGGCGGAGTGGAATGCACGGAGGCGCAGACAACTCGACGAGCTGTTCACGGATCCTATCAGGAACATGCCACTACCTGCCACGCCCGGCGTTTCCAAGGTCGAGTCCCTCGATACTGCTGGGGAGCAGTCGCAGTCTCAGTCGCAGTCTCAGCAGCCCCCCGCCCAACCGCCTCAGCCTCAGCAGCTAGCCTCTTCGAGACCTCCGCATGCCCAACGCACGACGCCGCCGATTTACGTCAACCAAACGCAGACTCGCAGTCGCAATGGGAGTATCTACGTCGAGCCTCAGCCCGTGTCTGCCTCGACACTGCCTCGAACGGTCTACTCCTCTTCCTCCGCCTCATCTTCGAGCTCGATTATGGCCCCTGCTCTAGTTCTACCGCATCGGCCGAAGGCCATCTCGCGCGCTAGCGAAGCCGCCGAGGCGTTCGAAGCGGAGAAACAACGACGGAAGCTGGAGGCAGCCCGCAATACCGAAGGTCAGGCTGCAGCTTCTGCGCAAGCCGCGCCAGCCCTGAAGGAATCGACAAATGCGTATGATGGGGGCTTGATGCGGAGGGTATCTCTCGAACGAAGACCAAGTGACCGTAAACCAGCCATCGACGGTGGTAGTCTGAGATCTAGGAGAGTGATCTCTCCGATGGAGTCGTGATTTTCAGGTATGATGCATTGTAATGATTCAATCATGCGCGTGTTCGTCTTTGAGCTGTGCTCGTTGTTTTGTTGTTTATTTACTCATTTGACTTTCCATGACATCCATCATCACGGTTCAACATAACGTTTGTGCTTTAGGACGCTATGTGTGCTCGGTTTAACAATAAATCTTGGCATATTCACTGTACGATACTTGAATCTATATCATACCCCTCCTATCATTTGTACGAACCTCATGACTTGCATGCATATTATCTAGGGTTGTGAACGAGTCAGAGCTAGTCTACATCGGCATTGCGATTCCATCCATCGTAAATCGGTCCCCTCAAATCAAAGACAGCTGAGAATTTCTATACTTACAGTATACATCAGATTGAATTGAACGTGGTTCTGGTAGTGAGGGATCCCATAACGGTGGGAACAAAGCGAAGAACATTGGAGAGGTCGGAATGTGGTACATGCCTGATCGATTGAGGACACATGCAGAGTGGGGCGAAACCAGGAATAGAACGGCGAGAGGGTAATAATAGATGGCGTCAACAAGAATACTGTCAAGCGGAGCAGTGAAGCCCTGCGCCGCAGAACTGTGCCACGATGAGATACAGAATGACCTATATAGATACCGTGTGTGAGTGCCGCTTCACAATTCGCAAAGAGGTGAGTCAGGCGCACCAATGCGACTAGAACCCCTAATGCGACCACCCGCTTGTTCTTCCACCACATTTGTCTCCGAACGGTCCTCGCTCCTCGCCTGAACGCGGTAGCCTGACTTGCCATGGTATCCGTTTTGTCAACAAGTAGCTCAATCCGTTCCCCACGGCTCAGTATCTGTTCTACATTCTGCACCATGATATCTTTAACTTGAGCCAGCTCGGATTGGGCACGTGCGAGCTCGTCCGTCGGCGGATTGGTGTTGTATGTATACATGAGCTGCGAGATTGTTGGGCCGAAAGATGATTGAAGAGAGAGATGTACGGAGTCCGAATCGAGGCTAGACGACGACGGACTGGAGGCAAACTGGAACAGGTCCGCGTTGATAGTCACAATGGAACGCGGTGGCATGTGTAGCGTACCTTGCGTTGTAAGTCGCCGAGAAACGTGAATGGCATTCGTCTGCATATTCCCCTGTGAGACCGGCGAATTGCTCGAGGAGGAAAACTAACCTCCCAGCAGAATCGTCTGCCATTACGAGGTATACGAAACCTCCATCTGAGATGTAATGGAAGAGGTACTGTTCCCAAACATAAGTGAGCTTGCTATTGTTCGGAGGGATCTTCGAAAGTATCGTTTGCGTTGCTACAGAAAAGGCCACATCCTTCAACAGAATTGAAGGGAATCAAGATGTCAAATTCGAACCTTGCGAGAAGTCACGCTTGCCAGCCTGATGCTCAGCAAGAATTGTGGACCCTTGAGCGACGAGTGCGTGAATCTGGAATCGTCAAATCATAATCAGAAAAAGGACAGACTCTCGGGCTTTACATATGTCGGTTCGCTCACAAGGGACATTTCTGGGGTAAAGAAGGTTGCCGACTAAGAGTAATAATACGCTGTGCTGTAGCAGGGAATTGGGTGGTGGTTACTGTAGGTGACGGCGGCCGAAGTCGGCACTACGTCGTTAAACTTCAAAAGGGAACTCAATCCCACGGTAATTTGCTGTGGGCGTCACACACACCCGCACTGCGCAGAAGCGGATTCCGGAAGACTCTAAGCTGGAAGTCTGACGATGATATAAAGTTCAATGCCATCATAACCCTGGAATCTCAGAGTAGTGTTATCACAGCGTAATGGTAGTACAAGACTTCGTTATCTCCTGTTATACTCGTACATGAACATAGCCCCTCAAAGCCTGATTCACTTGGTCGCATGAGCAGCATCGTGAGGAGGCTAAAATGCGTATCTCGCTTGTCAGCCAGAGTTGTGGAGCAAATGAAGCTAACATACAGGAGACGTGATGTCCAGCACTCGAGCCAACGCGTTGAACTCGTTGGCTGTGGGAGTTGCCGTACCAGTGCACACTAAAACACAGAATCAGCGAACCAAACCGGCGCCCATGGGAAAGACCCAGGCAATAAATCAAGGAACACACGTGCGACAATGTGTTGCTCGGGAAGCCCCAGTTGCTGTGCGATCTGGCCGTAGGAGTAACCTGGATATACGGAATGTGAGCTCGAGCGAAAGTCATTTTTGTGGGAGCAGAGTTTTGGTACTACCTTTGCGCTCCTTGGCCGCAGCGAGAGCCGCGCATTGAGGGTTGGGTGCCATTACTCAGTGAATTTATTTCTTCAGCTTCAGTAGCGAGCGAGAAGGGGGATCAGAAGAAGGCACAATGAACAGCTGATATACTTTTATACTTGTTCACCTGGGCATACTTTGTAGTCACGCGGGAGCACGGCAAGCCAAAGATCAAACCGGAACGTGATATGGAAGGATATGGATCCATCGCAATTGGATGAGCGACACGAGACTGTTTTGGTAGTGAGAATGGACGCATGGTCATTCGTTGTGAGCAAAAAGCTGGCGATATCGGGCCATCGGATGACTGTCCTGAGATTGCATTATCGGTACGCAATCTGTTGACCATTTTGAACGCGACTCTCGAAATCGTAACGGTATTTTCCAAACGAGGCAAGATCAACATCTTATCGTGCACGAGCACAGCACCATCTATTTCAGGCGTCCGTGGGGCCAGTGCACGGACTTCTGAAGCCGGTACCAGCCTTCGGAGTACCAAGTATGGGGGGAAGAAAGACGCTGTGGTGCCACACATCTGACGACTGCTATAAACCGGTCGGCCGTCCTGGTCGAAGCACCGGGTGCGAAGTCGGTGTGGGCGCAATGGAACGCACGAAGATGCGTGTCCGCCACTGCTGTTCTGACACTCAAACACGAGGCTGCGCCGAGAGTCATGCGGTACGCTAGCTCGGAGGCCTGAAATTTTTCTCGATAAGTGATTGGGAAACACGACTCGAGGTGAAGGCACATACGGTATCGAAAGCTTGCATATCGCGCAAAATGCCGTGCAAATTCACAGTGGAGGTGATATTCGCCAAGCGACACCCGTGGATTGGCATCCAATGAGCAGTTGTATTCATCGATGAGTGATGCGTTTGGGTACATGCACCAGCAGGAACTGAATATCTAATGATGGAACGGCTAATGGATTTTGTGAATGAAGTGAGATACAAGGTATCATAGGCTGCGTGTAGACTGCCTCCGATGAAATGGAGACCAGAATTGCACTGTTGCAAGGCTGGTGTACAATCATGCATTTCATCTATCATCGTCACAGCCTTGACTTACATAGAAATGCCCTACCGAACCGAGGTAGGTTGGTCATTGTAATACGAATGAGGCTCCGTCGATGGCACTCAGATGAGAAGCCCCATCGTCACTCCAGGAAAGGGGTGGGCTCTAGAATTTGCACTGACGAATGATGAGAGCAGTACAACATCTGGTATCGGATTCTCCTCACCGGAATACCACAGAAGCCCAAGTGGAAATGCTGTTCCGTTGGAATGTTCGCGAGAAAAACGGATCTGAAACGAATACGATAGCGATGACCGTCGATCACCATGGCTAGAGCCCGTCTATAGCAGATCTTGAAGTTTGATCGTGTACACGGAGATCCTCAGTTTTGAGCGTCTTGCAGTGGAGTTTCAATGAAAGAGGCATCCGGGATAGACAATAGTATGCACTATACCCATCGAAAGTACTGCGTCTTTCTAGACAAGCTTATTAGTTAGACTGGTATGGACGAGGCTCCGCATTCTGAGAAGAACTGGAGCAGAAAGTCAAGGCTATCCAGAAGATGCCGTTGTTTGCGAAAGGTTCCGATATGATCATAACAACCTCCGAGCTTCTGCTTCAACGTGTTGAGAGTCCAGAGAAAACAGAAGACCAGGTGAGGGACGTGCCAGGATGAATCAGTCGAGACTATGAAGTGTTTGCACTTGTTTGGAAATTGCTTCGGCCCGATATGGATAGCACTCCGCCACATCCTGCTCGACATCATCTTCAAGCACAACAAGTTCCATCCACCTAGACCTCAAGTCTGCAAAAATGGTGCGTTGTCAATCCTGCATAGACGAGTTCATCGCGGTGGACGAGTTCGTCTTGGGTGAAAACGCATGAATTGAGATGGATGGCAGAGCTGACGTTTGGATGTACCCACTCAGCCCCCCAAGAAAGTTAAGGCACCCAAGGAGGAGACGACCGTTTCTCTTGGCCCCCAGGTCGCGGATGGCGAGCTTGTCTTTGGCGTGGCACACATCTACGCGTCGTTCAACGACACCTTTGTTCACGTCACCGATCTTTCTGGCAAGGAGACCATCTCCCGCGTCACCGGTGGGTTCCATCCGCGAAATTTCACATTGCAAGTGACTCATGCGGGCGTACAGGTGGTATGAAGGTCAAGGCCGATCGTGACGAGTCTTCACCGTACGCTGCCATGTTGGCCGCGCAGGACGTTGCTACCCGTTGCCGTGAGGTTGGCATCACTGCCCTCCACATCAAGCTTCGTGCTACTGGTGGCACTGGCACCAAGACCCCTGGCCCTGGCGCCCAGAGTGCTCTTCGCGCTCTTGCCCGCTCTGGCATGCGTATTGGCAGAATCGAGGACGTCACCCCCGTCCCGACCGACTCCACCCGTCGCAAGGTACATTTTAACATCCTCATGTTCGCTCCAATCACCGTTCACTGACCTGCACTGTGTCATGTAGGGTGGTCGCCGTGGTCGTCGCCTGTGAACGAGTTTTCTCCACACAAACACGGGAGAAACCAAAATTGTCTGGTGGATTGTACTGTACTTTGTTTGATGATCAATATGTCGCCGCTCGACGCGCAACAAGCTTCGGCTTGTCCCGTGGTCATGCACTGTTTTGAATTCACATTGTCGTGCATCCTAAGATGTCTCTTTATCACGAAAAGTCAAGTTTGAGAGACGGTCAGTCTAACGCAATGTGTTGGCCGACGGTTAGTTTCGCGCGCACGAGATTGATGACATAATCGTCAAACACGTATCACGTGCCTAGGATCGAACACCTTGCGCCACCTCCGCGTTCGTTCTCTTTCCTCTGCCATCTTCAGGCCTCATTGAAATCAGACCGCTACACATTCTACTTGCACTGAGATCACTTGAAAGTGTGTCAGTAATCATATTCAGAAGAAACAGAAATATCAACAATGCGCTTTGGCGTCCCTCAGTCTAAACCTGCGTCCCCAGGGATCAGGTATATACACAACATAATCATACTCGTTCGAAACATTTGAACAGGCTTTTTTCAGGTCGAAAGATCATAGGCGCTCTGGGTATGGTCTCAAGGACCTCCCTTCGTCCTCGGACGAAGATGATCGTGACGCTTCTAGCTCTTCGGAAACAGAGTCGGAGGCATCCGAATCATCATCAGACTCGTTTATGTACCGTGGCAAGTACGAGGCGCCATCACGTCTCCCGTAAGTTAATTCATTCAACTTGAATATCTGCTGTGATTCTCATTCGCGCGAGATTGTTTGCAGCCGTGCTAGTACAAGCTCGCTGAGCCCTACCCAGCGGAATCATATGGAGGACACGGTAGCTGCAATTCGGCTGCGAGTGCGACACCAAGATCCATATGAAGAGTGGGAGAGGAAGACGCGGATAGATGCATTTGTACGTTCCTTTGCTTAATGTGACTCAGTCTGGATGCTGACAGTCAGTTTGCTATCGCAGCATACTGCTCGCAGAGAAGAAGCAGAGACCCAGTCGCAGCACCATAAGGAACAGGAGACATCACGGCTACATGACTCAAAACGGCAAGCCGATTTGTTTGCGAAGGAGTTTGAGACCGTTCAGGCACAGCTCTCCGCACTCAAGATCCGCAAGCAGCGAGAAGAGCAGGAGATCATGGCGAGGTGGAAAGTCCGCGAGCGGAAAATATGGGAGCGCATTGATGCTGCAATCAAGCTGGAGGAGGACCGGTCGCGAGTCAAGTTGGAAGCGGAGCGCAAAGCCAAAGAGGAAGATCTGAAGAAGAAGAAGGCTGAGGAAGAGAAACGCAAAGTTGAGGAACAGAGAAAAAAGGAGGAGGAGGAGAGGAAGAGGAATGAAGCTGAGGAGGGAAAAAAGAGGAGGGAGAAGGAAGAAGAGGATAAGAAGAAGCAGGAGGACATGGAGAGAGTGCGGTCGGAGCTGTTAATGAATGAGGTTGAACAACGTCGGGCGTTGGGGCTGACGTTTGCAGAAGATGATTGGAAACATGCTCGGGCAGCGTTGAAGGTACGTTCTTTCCTGCCTGCGTCTATGATTTTGCTGCTGCTGTCATGTCTAAAGCCTTCTCTACTCCTAATTGCTTCCCTTGTAGCAACTGAAAGCGGGGCCCATGAGGATGGTGAAGGGAAATAAGGAACTGAAGAAATTGTGGAACGAGCAGAGACGCAAAATCGTCCCGAAAGTCGGACAACTGACAAACGACGCCCAGTCCATTTTTGAGATCGTACGTGTATTGTCGTGCTTAAACGTCCTGTTTACGCTTACTCTGAGGAAAGTCACAACAAATCGTGACTTTCTTACATCCTGAACTCCCGCGAGAGGTGTACTATGCCCTCCTTTCGTCGCTCTCCAAGTCTATTCTCCTGCAAGCTGAAACCGAAGTCACGGCGGAGAAACGAAGCGCGGGCCCCCTCGCACAGATGACCATCAACCTCATGTGCTCCATTGAAGGCTTCACGGAGATTTTCTGGGCGAAGCTTTGCCAGCGCGTTGGCGGGTGGCCGGTCCCAATTTCCATTCCATCGACAGACGTTGATGGACCCTGGACAAATGACACGAGGAAGAAGGCGATGGGATATAGAGAGGAGGAGAGCGCAGCGGACTATACCATGCGCGTCACTGGAATTCTCAGAGTCTACTTTGCGATGATGTTCGCCCAGGTCGAACAAGCTCTGGATAGGCCATTTGCAACACAGAGATATTGGACGTATTTTTCCAGGATGTTGGGGCAGCCCAGTTTGTTCGCGTCGCCCCTGTCTGCGGAGATTCTGTCAGGTTCGTCTTTGAATTTCACGTGATCAGGCATGGCAAACCAACTGATTCATCTTTGGGCCGCTCTAGTTGCGCTTGACGTGGGTGGTGCCCAGGCCAAAGATATCTGGGGGATGCAATGGATCAAGATGCTAGCTATGGTCTACGAAGGCGTGACGACAGGGATGACGGGCACGGGTATGAAAATCGGTGGGGATACGCCGGATGGAAGAGCCGCTCAAGTTCGAGTGCAGTTGGAGGTTGAGAGGGCATTGCGCGGCACCAGTTAGACTCCTGTCTTGCAGCACCCGTCCTGTGTCGGTAGGGCGTCTTTGCACCTGCTAGGCCTTGATCGTGTGATTGCTGACTGATCCTTTGTCCCCATCACAGTCTTCTCCTATGTCTTTGGCCTTCGACTTTGTTCATGTTGTACGGCTTTAGTGTGTCTATTTTTCCATCCTGTTCATCGTTTCGTGCTCTCGGTCTTTCGACGTACTGTACATTTCACCCACGCCCACGCCGTCATCCACCTACAATTCTCACGTGCACTCTCATACATTCATAACCACATGCTCGACGATTATTGCCTCCGATCTGGATTCCGAGCCGTGGATATCTCCTTCCACTTGCGTGACACCTTCGTGTTCCTGCGACGCTTCGATGGTAAATAGGCTGCGGCCACTAGGAGATAGAGACCTGCCTATCTCGCCGTCTGGCAGTCTGTCTATCGGTGGGTCTTCTTTGATCTTCCTATCGTTCTCCCGCTCGGATCTTGCGGTCACGCTCGTCGAGGTTGGCTATATCGAGGTAAGTCTATTTTGAAGGCGTCTCATCACAGGGCAGCTGGACTGCTCCGGCCTTGATCCCTTTGTACAGCGAAGCTAGGTCCGAATGAGTCCAGGTACGTTCGATCCAGAATGTATGGCGCTGTAGACGTGTCTCGTTCCAGCTGCGGTTGTGAGCTCCGTGTTCTGCAATCGGGCTGTCGCTCAATCAGCCTGGTGCTGCTTCCAGGCGACCTGTGGCGTGCATGGGTCAATACTTGATCCAGATCGACTCTTGGGGCAGCGGAGCCACGTCTCGGAACACGCGATCGCTGCGATGGGAGACTCGGCCTCGGGGACGGAATAGGGTGCAGGAAGCCGCCCATCGGATGTGGTCTACAGTCCGGCTTGAGGCCAGCAGACTCGGATCAGCTGAGCCTTTGCAGGGACCACCGCTGAGCATATTTTGAGTCCACCACAAAGCCTGCTGCTTCGGGGTTCTGAGTGCGCAGTCGGCGTGTCGCAAAGGTGGCTCGTCACGCACGTCCCGTGCATGTTTCGTCTTCTCGTCTCGTGCTTGGCCTATCTCGGGCTTGGAGTGTTTCGTCCTAGCATGGCTAGCGGGCGCCCGCAGAGGGGTCGAGCAGGATGCCGTGCTCCCGGCCTAGGGGGCGCGCTTCGATGCACACTCGCCAAGCCCGCCATCTCCGTATGTTCGTATGCTCGGGTGTTTGGGTATTTGTGGGTATGTATGGGAGCTAATCCGGCATCTTCTTCTGGCCGTCCTCCTCGCGATCGATTGGCGAGTGGATTTTGCTGGGTCGATCGGGCGGGAGAGCCGGTGGCCAGACTCGCGCTGCTCGAGCTCCGAGGCAGCTGACGGCGCACGCGCGAGCGTGCGCAGTCCGCTGTGTGCTTTTCTAGGACACGACTTGATCAGCGTTCGTTGGACTATTTGGAGCGCGCTCTGCGTGACGTGCAGGGAAGGAAGGCCCTGTCGCTCGCCTCGGTCGCCGTGAGCGGCCCTCCTCCTGCTCCTTCGAGCGGCAGGCGTACGCGTCAGGTGTCAGCACTCCCGCTATTCCCAGCGCAGCCACACGCGCACGCTCGCTCGTTAATGCCTCTGAGCACACGTTCCCTGCGCGATTTCTGCGGCGACAGGGCTCCACGCACCCCATGCACCCCATGCACCTGCCGTTCGCGTACAGAACGCAAAGTCGCCCACGGGGAAGATCTTCCCCGCCTTCTGCCAGTGGCTCTCGTCTGGCACCGCGCGCCTTCGACTTCCCACTGTGCCCTGCGCACCGTATACGCACCACGCACTTGCCGTTATCAACGTACCGAACGCCAGGTCGATCGCGGGGGATCTTCTTTGTCTTCTGCGAGTGGCACTGCGCGCTTTCTGCGGTGCCTGCCCTGCTCGCTACCAGCTCCACGCACCGTTACACACACACGCACGATCGATCCCGCGAGGAGGCGGGGCGGGGGCTTCCCAGTCTTCTGCCAGCGCCTCCCGTTTGGCTGAACCTGGCCGAACCCCCTTCTGCAGCATCCACCGAACAGAGCCCCACCGTGCCGCGTCTGAGAAGCAGGCGCCCTCGCCGTCCCTCGAGTGAATAAGCGAGAAGAAACAAGGCCTGCTCCTGCCCGCTCCCGCATCTCGCCCGGATCTTCTCCCGCCGAGGGCTCCGAAGCGTCTCGCGTCTCGCTCCAATCAAAGGGCCCGTCAAGTCAGCAGGGACTCCTCCGTCGGTTTCGAGCTGCCAACCGGGGTAAAACCCCATCCCCATCCATCACACTCATTCAATATTCCCTATCCGCGCCCCGCAATGCACATGCATCGACGCATCGACGCATCACGATCAGGAGGCCGCATCACGGCAAGCAAGACCATCGCGCCCGTCCCGCAGCCAGGTCGGACCCAAGGTGAAAACCGTCCCCAACAAAAACGCATCTATGTATATGTGTGTGTGCAAGCCGTGGCACGCATCGGTATCGGCATCGGCACGTACGTACTCGCAATATAGGTACGACGACCGCGAAGCAAAAAAAGAAAAGGCATCTAAGCCGCCTCCTTTCGAAACGTCCTCGGAGCCTCCACGAGAAGCAGCGACATCCAACCATACCAACAATCCAACAATCCAAAGACCAAAAATCGAAACGACAAACGCGTCGAGTCATTGAATAAGGTGTATAGTACCAACCGAAAATAGGCATCCTGTCGATCCTATCGTAGTAAGCGTATGTATCAAAGCAGCCAAAGCAGGCAGGACACGACGAGCGAGCGAGCGAGCTCGACGCGCCGCCGCCGCCGAGTCGTGTATGTATCGTAAATACCATCCGCATCCGCATCCGCATCCGAGACCTGGCCGAAAACAGTCCTCTGACGACTGGCACCGGCGGGTGTGTCCAGAAGTAATTAGGGGGTGGGGGGGCAAGGAGGAAGGAGGAAAGAAAAGGGGTGGGGGGAGGGTATGTGGGAGAAGGCGTGAAGAGGCGTGTGGTACGGTCGTAAGGACTTACTTACTACTAAGCGTATCGAGAAAGAAAAGAGACGTGCGTAACGAAAAACCGTGACTGGAGAGAAGAGTTGGCTACAAACGAACCGAGACGAAGCGTAGTGAGGCTAGACGGTGCTAGACGAAGCAGGCAGGCGAGCAGGGGGCGCAGCAGCAGCAGCAGAAGCGGGATAGGGATAGGGATGGGACAACGAACAGTCGCAACAGAGCACCGCGCCAAGTACGTCGGCGCGTCAAATACAGCAAGACGAGACGTCCGTCCGTCTGCCGTGCTGTGGGGTAGGCTGTGGTAGGCGGGGTAGGCTGGGGGTAGGCTGGGGTAGGCTGGGGTATGTGTGGCAAGAGGCCAAGCGGGGATCTCGATCTCGAGATAGGGGCCGGATAACAGGCCTGGGGGAACTGGGGACGCGGGGACTGGAAACTTGGAACAGGGAACAGGGAACAGGGGACTGCAGGCTGGGGACACGGGGACGCGGACGCGTAAGAGTCGAGAACAGAAAAAACAGAAACAAAAGAAACGAAAGAAACAGAAAAAAGAAAAAAAGAAAGACTAAAAACTCGACCAATAAACTACATACGAGAAAGGAGCCGAAGAGCCGAAGCGCAAGGTGAATAAACAGCGTGCAAACCGCCAACCGCCAACCGCCAACCGCCAACCGCCAACCGCGACCCCAAAATCCATCGACGCAGCCAGTAAGAAAGAAAGGGCAAAGCAGGGCAGGGCAGGGCAGGGCAGGGCAAAGCAGGGCAGGGCAGGGCAGGGCGGGATAGGGCAGGGCAGGGCAGGGCAGGGGGATAAACCGCGGCCAACGAACCAACAACGTAGCACGCAACAGTGCCACGACCAGATAACACAGAACAAGCAAGCCTAAAAGCAAACCAATAAGTAGACGAATAATACGGGTGTCCGGGGAGATGTATGTATATATATATGTGTGCGTAAGCGTAGGCGTGTGTAGAGGTATTGATGGACGGATGTGGTGGTGGTGGCGCGAGGCGAGGAAGGCGGCGCGAGGCTAGCTCCGCCGTGTCGTATGAATTGATAGCGGGCGGGGCGGGTCGGGTCGGGTCGGGCGTAAATCGAGGCGTGTCGAGAGACGGGGAGGGGCAGAAATAGAAGCAGAGCACGGAACACAAAACACGAAACACGAGGCACCGGAGTGAAAAAAGGACGGAAGAGAAGATCGATGGCTTGTTCCGGGCCCGCAGAACGAGGACGAAGACGAGGACGAGGACGGGGACGAAGACGGGGTCGGGGACGAGGGCGAAGACGGGGTCGGGGATGGGGACGGGGTCGGAGTCGGGGACGGGGACGACGGCAAAGACGGGGATGGGGTCGGGGTCGGAGGCCAAGTCGCATCCAGAACAATGCCTCGCGAAGCGCGGAACAGGAGACACAGGCGGCGCGGACCAACCCGCCAGCGAGCCAGCGCGCCCGAACAAAGCGAACGAGGGGACTCGCGACCTACGAATGAACGAACGAACGAAAAAACATCAGTCAGCACCACGCCCCGCGCACCACGCCCCGCGCACCAACGTGCGTCCGAAGCCCAGATCCGACGACCCGAGGCCGCGGACGCGTGGACAGGGGGCAAGGGACAGAAAGCGAGCACGAGCGGGAACGCGAACGCGACGCACCTGGGCACGGACGGACGGTATCCGATACGATCTCTAATCTCCCATCCGCCATCCGCCATCTCCCATCTCCCATCTCCCATCTCCCATCTCCGCATCGCCCATCTCCGCATCGCCAGCCATCCAAACCCGGCACCAAACCCGGCACCAAACCCGAACCCGAACCCTCGCCGACCAGAAACACCAAAACACCAAAAAACACCAAAAAACACCAAAAACACCAAAAACACAAAAAAACACAAAAAACCAAAAAAAAAACCAAAACCAACCGCCAAAGAACCGAATCAACAGACGCGGGGGTCCAAAGAACGAGCGCGCCCCCCCAACTCCTCAACTCCCCAACTCCTACTCCTCAACCCCGCCCGACCACAGCCCCCGCAACCCGCGGCCCCATCGGCCTCGCCCCCGCGGCCCCCGCGGCTCCCGCAGCAGCCGCCTTCGCCGCCGCCCCGCTCGCAGTCGTGCTCACCGGCGGGATCCACACCTCATGCGCGCCCGTGCCCGTGCCCGCCCCCGCTCCGGCGCTCGCGTTCAACCCTAGGCCCCGCGGTACGGGCGCGGGGCTCGATAGCGTGCGCGTCTTGCTCTTCGCAGTTGGCGTGGACGTGGACGTGGACGTGGACGTGGTGGTGGGCACGCGCGAGAGCGGCGAGCTCGGACTCGAGGTCGGGAACGCGTGCGATGGGTGGTACTGCTGCTGCTGCTGCTGCTGGTGGGACGCGTGGGAGGTCTGGGCGGGCGTGCCCGCGCGCTGTGCGTGCCCGAACGTGAGCGAGTGCGAGAGGCTGTGCGCGTGCGCGGCGGGGGTTTGGGTGCGCGTGGGCGCGGTGGACGGCGCGCGGGCGAGGCTCGAGCCTGTGGTGGCGGTGGTACCGGTGCGGTGGAGGGGCGCGGCGGTCGCCGCGCGCGCCATGCCCAAGCCCATGCCCATGCCCATCGCGGACGCGGACGCAGAGGCGGGCGCGCGGGCTACGGGGGCTGGCACCGCCGACGGCGCGCGGCCGATCTGGTGCGCGTGGGTGCTGTGGGTCGACATGCTGAGGCGCGTGAGCGAGGGGAGGAAGTGGCTCGCGTGCGCGTGCGAGTTGGCGTGGGTGGGCGAGGAGACGCGGGTGGAGGGCGGGGATTGGGACGGGGCGCGGGAGAGTGGGGGCGCGGCGGCGGAGGTGGAGGTGGAGGCGGGGGCGGATGTTTTTGGGCGGGGGAGGGCGTGGCCGTCTGTGGCCTTTTGTGTGTGGACCTTCTGTGCGGAAAGGGGGAAGCGGGGGCGGGGTCAGTATGGAAGCGGGTGCGGGCAGAAGGAGTGCGAGTGCGGACCTGTCTGTGGACGAGACGCGGGCGAGTCAGCGATGGGGTAGAGACAAAGGGAGGCGGGGGGACGCACTTGAGGAGCTCGATCTCGAGTTTGCCCTTTTCGATCTGGAGCTCGTCGATGCGGTCCTTGAGGGCGTTTTCTGCGACCTTGGAGGCCTTTGCGGCGTCCTGGAAGGCGGTGTGGTTCGCGAGGATGGCGCGGAGGAGGAGGGCGCTGAGGTAGAGCGAGGAGGACTGCGGCGGAGTGGCATGGGCGGTGGCAAGGGCGGTGGCGGTGGCATGGGAAGCGGAAGAGGGGGATGAGAGCGCGTTCGCAGCGGCGCGGGGGAGGCGGGAGGAGGGGCGCGAGGTGGAGCGGGTGAAGGAGAGCGTGTGCAGGCTACTCACCGCATCGGGGTTTCGCGCGTCGGCGGCGAGCCAGTCCGTGATCTCGCGATGGAGGCCCGCGATCTCGTCGACGGAGCACTTGCGCGCGGCGAGCAGCGCGACCTTGCGCTCGAGGGCGGCGCGGGCTGCGTCGGGCGCCGCGGCGGCGGCGGGATCGTGATGGGAGTGGGCGTGGGCGACGAGGGAGGCTTTGAGAGCGAGGTCAAAGGGAAAGTCGTCTTCGATGAGCGGGGCGCGGGGGCTGCGGGGGCTGCTGCGGCGGGGGGTGCTGGCGCCGCTGGGGAGGGCGGAGGGCGGGGCGGAGGATGTGGTGGAGGAGGAGGGCGGGGGCGGGGGGACGTCGATGCGGACGAGGCGGATGGTGGCGGCGGAGAAGGGGTCGCGGCAGAAGGGGCAGGCGGGGGTGCGTGTGCGGGGGGTCTTTTCGATGATGGTCGTGCAGCACGGGTGGCAGAGGACGTGCCCTGTGTCCGCGAGCGAAGAAAAAAAGATGAGTCAAGCGAAACGGGGGTGGAGAAGGGTGGACGACGGACCGCAGGCGATGGAGTGGGGGAGGTTGCGGGGGCCGTACTCGACGGCGCAGACGTCGCAGAGGGAACCGGGCTCGAGGGCGAGCATGGCGTGCAGGAGGAGGGAGGGAGGGACGGTCGTCGTCGTCTAGCGTCGTCGCATTCAGAAGGGGCGAAAAAGTTTGCACCGGAAGCGCCCCGCGGCGATCTAAATACCTCCCACCCGTCCCGTTCCCACACTCCCGAGTCCGAGCCACCACCGCGCCACGCCGACGTCCGAGCCCTGCGCTGCCCCGCGATGGCCATTGCCTCCGCGTGCCTGCGCGGCGGGGTTAGGGTCCGAGCGACCACGACGCCCGCCGACCGCCCGCCGACCGCCCGCCTCAAGCGCCGCACCCGCCTCGTGACCCCCTCGCACGACCACGACCACGACCACGACCCCCGACCCCCTATCGTTATTTCCGTCCCTCCCTGCCCTCGCATCATCGTCGTCGTCATCACCACCACCACGCCCCTCGATCCCATCGCCGTCATCGCAGTCGCAGTCGCCCCTGTCACCCAGCCGTGCAACTACGCCGCGCGTCCTGCGTCCTCCGTGCCCTCTGCCCAGCCGCTGCCCAGACCCACTCGCCCCCGTTTCGTGCGCTTGCGCGGCCTTGCCTGAAACATCTCCATCCCCAGCGCCGTTGCTGGTGCTTCGCCACGGCTCCCACGGCCATTCCCTGTCATTGCCCGTGCGTCGATCTTCCCGTCGCCCCCCGTCGCAGTCGTCGCGGCCTTCGCAGCCTTCGCCCTTCGCGCCCTGTGCCCTGTGCCCTAACAGCACAGGCGCACAGGCACCGCCGACGCCCGCGCCGCACCCAATCGAATCCTCGACGAATATCGAACGCCACACGCCACACGCCACACACCGCACACCAAAACACCAGCCGTTCAACGCCAAACACCCAACAAATCTGAAGCCTGTGCCGGACCCGAATCCGAAAGCGGTGCCAAACCCGATCGATCGAGCGGATGAAGTCCACCTTGGGATCAGTAAGGCAAGGCAAGACAAGGCAAGGCAAGGCAAGGTAGGAATGCAGAAAGACAGGCATCGAGCGATCGACCCCGTCCTCGCGCCTTCGCGCCGTGCGTCTGTGCGCAGTAGTTGGATAGGAGCCCGCATTGCGCGCATTCCGTTCCCCGTTTTGGCTCTCCGTCGTCTCCCATTCTCGAGCTTCCGTCTTGGTCTTGATTTTGATCTTCGGCGGGGGGTCGTCCCCCCTTATGTCATCTTCACACGCGCTCGTGGAGTGTGGGGTATTTTGGGTCTGGTATTTTCGTGTCTGGCGTCTGGTGTCTGGCGTCTGGTGTTTTTCCAGGAGGCCGGGTGTTCTTGGGTCTCGGGTTCGTTATTTTCGCGTTCGGCGTTCTCGCGCGCGGTGGTCATCATCTCGCGTTCGGCGTTCTCGCGCTGACCGTGCGCATTGGCCGCGCTCGCTCGCGGGTGCGCGATTCGCGTGCGACGGACGAGGGTGGCGGTCTAGCTATGTGGCGGTCGGTGGACGACGGGCGCGACGCGCTGAGCCTGCGCGCGCGCTCGCCACGGCCGCTTCGCCGCACCCACACCCTGGTTCGCCACGTCGCGCCACGTCCGACGGCTCGGCTATCCGCCCGGCCACTCGCTCGTTCGCTCGCTGGTTGGATGGTTCGCTGGCTGGCACCCGGTGTCTGTGTTCGCTTGCGTCGTGGCGCGCGGCGGCTGGTGGCTATTGTCGGATTGCGGGGCGTCGCTTCGCTGCTCCGACACGTCCGGCTGCCTCCCGCAGGTGCAACAACGCCGGCGGTGTCGGCCCGTGCGCTGCGCGGTGCAGAGGCGGCGCTCGTTTTGCTGGCACGATCTGGGGCTGGCCTCGTTCCTCGAGCGACGTCGCTTCAGCCCCTTGCTCGAAAGCGCGCGCGGCTCGTCGTTTTGTTTTTTTTGGCGAGGCGAAACGCTCGCAACGAGCGGGAGAGGGGATCGCACGCATACACGCAGCGCGCGCGCGTATTTTTTTTTTTTTTTTTTTTTCGATTCGCATCGTCGCAGCCCTGAAGCTGTTTCCGTTCTCTAGCGTCGACGCATCGGGCGCTCGCGTTTCCGAACGCCACCGTCCGCGCGCCGTCGCGCACTTATCGAGGCCTCATCGATAAAACTATCTATTATATCCCATCGTCGCGAAAGTTCGGACCCCCGCGCGGACACGTTGCGCGCCACGTTTTTCTGCCCTTCGAGCGAGACGAGTGCGAAGTGGCGAGCGTGCCGTGGCGCTGCTTGTCTACGCGCCGCTTTCATACAACAGTTTCCTAGCCCAAGCACGCGGGCTTCGTGGCCAGATCCTCCTGCGTCTGATTCTTCCGATTGTCGAGAGGCGGTCGCCGGAGTCGTGGCCCGGGCGTGCGCGCGCGGGGACTGCAGGGTCGCGAGCGCATTGCGAACACGAGGCGGAGGTGGCGCTAGGGACGGAGTGCCGTGATGGCTGTTATCGCGAGCCGCGAGTGGGTTTGCGGGACGCGTCGTGCGGCCCCCGCGCGGCCGGGGGCGCGGCGCGGGGGCTGTGCGTGGGAGGGATTGGGGAAGCGAGGAGGGGCGCGTCGGCGCCGTCGTTTCTCGATGCGCGAGTTTTCTCTCTCTCTCTCTCTTTCTGCTCGTCCGGCCTCGGTCGAGAGACCGCAGCTCGCTTGCCTGTGGCCAATCGAGCTGGAATGGGCCGCGTGTGGGTGGCTCCCTGCCCACGCGAAGCACGGCTCGCGGGCGCTGTTGCGCCCAATCCTGGCGCCGCGCTTACGCTGGGCAGCAGCTTGTACCTCATCCTTGCTCCCGCCTTCGTCTCTTCTCTCCCCTCCCTTCGCCTCCGCTCCCACTCGTCCTCTTTCCAGCATTCGACTACCCAGCCGGCGCGCTTCTGGGCACATACGCACGCACGCACGCGCGCGCGCGCGCGCGTACGTACGTACGTACGTATACACGTATGTATGAGTAAAGCAATGATGACGCCCCCGCGAGACGTCAAGCGCAGCATTGCCGCACTTACGTCTTCGAAGCGCGTATACGCACGGGGGTGCTTCTCCGGAGCCCTGCGTGCGCCCACACTCGCTCATACGGGGGGGGGGGGGGGTGCGGACGCGCCGGGATGCAATTGGGCCTGGATCCGGGGAGGGATCCGTACCGCGCAGGTCGAGGACGACAGCGGGCTGAACTCTATGTGGCAGGCCCGAGCGGGGGCCCATTCAGTGCTTTCGGTACTTTGGGCGCGCCCGATCGGCGGGATGACGGCAGCGGGGCGACGGCGGGTGTGTTGCGGGATGGTGCCGAGCTCTGCGGTCCTGCGTCCACCGTTCGCGGTGTCTGACGTTGGACCCTCCCCCGCCCGACGTGCACATCGACCGCTCGATATCGATCGTGCGGCATCTCGACAGAATACTCCCGCTTCTGCAAACGCGATCAGACGCCGACCGTGGCGTTCATCTCCGAGCTTGGCGTTCATTTACGAGCTCGTGCGGTGCTTCCCCGCACGTTTTACGAGCTTTGTGGTAATGGATGGCTCTCCGCGGGCGGGGCGCGTGTCTGGAGGAGTCTGGAGCTCGGGCCTGGCGAGGGCTTCCTTTTTGCGGGGTCGGAAGCGTGCGCGCCGACTGGATAATCGCGCATCGCGGGGATGCGATTACGGGTGTGTACGTCTCTTGTGCTCCCCCCCCTCCCCTCGCCGTCGTCGCCGTCCTCGAAGCGAGTCTATCAGCGCAATTGTTTGCCATGCCATCACACTGTCTGCGCGATCTACTGAAGAGCGATACAGGAGATAGGTATGTTCGCCTGAGTTTCGCGGTTGATATGAACGAAGCGGCGCGGGATGTTCTTGAGACGGTGCCGTCAGTGCTGCCGTCATGTTTCTTGCACGCGCCTCTCGCGCGGTCAAAACGGAGAGATCCAGTAGCAGCTTGAAGATGGGCACGGCGGAGGATGGTACTGACATGAGAGATAAGGTCTATGGTTCGTACACGTGTGTTTGGCGTGGCCGCGCTGAACGTTAGACGCAGATCCTGAAGTTTGAAGTTCGAAGGCCTGAGGACGGGTTCCAACTGGGACTCGGCGCTCCATCCTGCGAGAGCGCGCAGACGCCGTGCGCCAGTGAATGCGCCCGATTCTGCTTCGAGCATCCAGCGTGCCCGTTCCGTCGCCGCTCCCCTCTCGTAACGCGGCGAGTCGACTTGGGATCTGGCCGCCCGGTGTCTTCGCGTTTGCGCTCCGTCTCGAACTGGGTTTAGCTTTCGGGTTTGCCCAGGACGCGCCTGGCGGCGTGCTGTCAGGTCTCCGTACGCGTTTGTGGACAGCGGCGCACGCGCTTCGGCGACATCACGCATCTGTCATACCGTGCTCGGTGGCTCGCTCCTGCCTGCTTCTGCTTATCTTTGCTCGCGCACTCCTGCAGGCGCGCACCCGGGAGGACGCGTACGTACCTCGCATGTATCTCCGTCCTCAGCGTCGCCTTCTTTGGCTTGCATTCGTCTCCGGCCCTGGCTCTGGTGCTATCTATCCAGCATGCGAGCTCCACGATGCACTCCTCATAGGTGGACCTCCTCGCTTAATTAGAGTTGGCTCGCACGAGATGTGATGCGATGCGGTGCGGTGCGGTGCGGTGCGGTTGATGCGATGCCGTATTTTGACGGGTTGGCAACAGAGATCTGCTTGGCCCCGTTTGGAATCGTCTTTGGCCCGCGTAGGGCGCTGGATTCGGTTTCTGGATCTTGCATTCGTCAGGCTTCGTCGGGACAGAACATTGAACTTTGTTTCCTTGTTTCCGAGAGCGCTCGCAATTGTACGCAAGCACGCACGCACGCACGCACGCACGCACGCCTTCGGAATGGCGTGTATACGCCGTCGCGTTGCGCCACATCTGCATCTCTGCATTGGTCAAGGTGGCAAGGGCCGAGACGCCGGCGTTCCGCGCGCGAGAAGGGCATCTATTAAGCAAGCTGTGTCGTCGCGAACGTCGTGGCGATGTCCCTGCCTTGCGGCCCTCGCGAGGCGCTCCCACTCGTGCGCAGGACGACTCGGAGAGGCGGTTCTGACCGGGCACCGCTCCCGTCCTCCCGACTTTCGAAGTTCGACGCGCGGAGGTTCGAGGCTTCGCGGCGACCGAGAGGCCCCGAGGAAACCTCTTTGCGCGCGGGCGGCGCACGATTCAAGGGACGCGCTTCGTTGTCGGCGATCGGTCCCTCGCTGGATGCTGGACGAGGCACAGTATGGGTCTATGCGGTGCAGGCTGCGAGGCGCGAGCGTCGACACGCCACGCCCCCTTCGCGCGGCACGGGGCGGGTTCCCGGAAATCTGACAAGCTCGCTCCGTCCAATGGCAGTCGTGCGGCGTATCAACTCTGTCGAGCTCTGTTGTGGCTCCGGACGTTCCGAGTCTACTTTTCGTTCTTGCGAGGCCTGGACGTTTGGATGTTTGACGTGCGCAGGGTCGGGAAGGCTGAGCGTGATTGGAGGGATGTTTGTGCTTTGAATGAATACGGATACGGAAGGTGGGTTCGCACGGGCGGCTACTGACAGTATGTAGGAGGCAATGCGAGCTTATTGAATGGCGAAATACAACATGATAACAATCGGACTGAATCAGCCAAGCGCGTTTGGCACAGGACAGGGATACACATAATGGCAAGAAATACAGCTCATCTCGTTGACCAGCTCACAAAGGGTCTTACTGTGAGACCAAGCAACTTAGCGTCCATGGACCTGGACCCGTTTACGCAGAGCGTCGTACATTTTCACAAAGTCGAACGCCGTGAAGCCATGCTCTTTGAGCTCGTTGCCCAGGATGTCTAACGACTCTCGGGACATGCGTCCCAGGTCGTCTAGATCATCCGCTGTACGGACACCTTGCTCGGTCAAAGCAAGTACATTGGACTCTTCCAATCTGAGTTCACTGAGGAAATCTCGGATCGCTTGATGCGGCACCTCTGTACGTGTGCCGCCGATTTCAGGAGGCATGATGGTCTCCTCGAAAGGGCCCGCAAGCTGGGGAAGGTTTGATGGCGTCAGTTTTGTCATGTTGAACATTGAATGAGGAGTTGAGCGTGAACACCAAAAAAGACGTACGGACTGCCCAATTGACGAAGACAGCCTTGGCTTCGAGGGATGAGGTTGAATTGACACGAAGTCAAATTCAAGGCGACGTTTTCTCCCTTCCTTGGCTTCATTATCATCCATTGAGCTGGCAAGTGCCGATGATCGCAGGGTCAAGGAACGTTCTCTGAAGCCTATCTGGGACAGGGTTTCTTCTATCTTCGGGATTATATTTTCTGCTGGTCATAAGCGTCAATAGCCAGGGAGCATGCAATTTGGATTTCAAGCGTACTTGATGAGCCCGAAGCTTTGCGTGCTGCCCTCGTAGAAATTTGTCTTAGCACATTGGTTCCAAATGTGTGAACTGCTCATAGATTAGGAGTGAGTGGGAGATTCAATGAATAAGGATGGTGGATATACTAGTAGGGACTTCACTGTCATCTGTGAGGTTGATAAAGTTACTCCAAGGTATCGAGAGGACGTGATCATCCTCCCAGCGTGAGTCACCCACACTTGCTTTGCTCACCACACGCTTGACTGTCTGCCGTGATATATTGTGGTAAGCAGCAAGTTTTCTCAGAGGAACCCCGCGCTTTGCAGACTCCCGAATCATGGCACGTTGCGGCTGGCTTAGAGTTTTACCAGAGGTTAAAGGTGATTCAGGGAGCTGTGAAGCGAGTGAGGCATCCCATAGCATCACTTACCATCGGTGGGGATCGTGTCCCATGTTCGGGGAACCTCTGTTTTCATAGCAAGCTGTCGGCGATGCTGGTAGTGCGTGACGGCGACCTCGGAAACCTGGCAAAGACCTCATTGCAACTCCGATCTATTCCGAAACCTCCATCTAATCTAATCTCGCCGAGCCTCGCCATCAATCATTTTCCCTCCTTGCCTTCTCCTCTGCCTCTGCCTCCTCTCCTCATACATCGCCCATCATGCCGCGCCAATTCTTTGTTGGAGGTAACTTCAAAATGAACCCGACCACCCGCGAACAGAAGCGGGCTCTGATCAAGACCCTCAACGGGGCTACGCTCGACCCTCAGACTGGTATGCAACATCCACCTCCATCGCATTCTAATCGATCGTGAACGTTCTGTGTGCGATTTTCGGCGTGGTTCTCGGAATGAGTAGAGGTCGTCATCGCGCCTCCGGCTCTGTATTTGATCCCGCTGTTGGAAACGTTGAGGAAGGACATCAAGATTTCGGCGCAGAACAGCTACACCAAGACTGCGGGTGCGTTCACCGGCGAAATCAGGTGCGTCTCATAGCTCCATACACGGAGGACGTGGATGCCATAAAATACATTTCTCCCATCGTAGCCCCGCCCAACTCGTCGATGCCGGAATCCCCTATGTCCTCCTCGGTCCGTCCCGATTCAGCTGTGCATGCGCGATGCTATTCGATCAGACTGACGACGCGCACAGGCCACTCTGAGCGCCGCAGCATCTTCGGCGAGACCTCCGCCTTGGTCGCGACCAAGACGCGCGTGGCGCTCGATGCCGGGCTCAGCGTGATTCTCTGCGTCGGCGAGACGCTCGATGAGCGCGAGAGCGGCAAAACCCAGCAGGTCGTCGAGGAGCAGCTCAAGGCCGTCATCGACGTCACCAAGGCGGAGGACTGGAGGTGCGCGCCCACGCCATCCATCCAGCACCCCGCATGTTCTCGGCATTGATAATTCTACTTGTAAACAGCAAGATTGTCATCGCCTATGAGCCCGTGTGGGCCATCGGCACCGGCAAGGTCGCTACCTCTGCCCAAGCGCAGGAGACGCACAAGGGCACGCGCGAATACCTCGCCAAGGCGGTCTCGCCTGCCGTCGCCGAGAGCACCCGCATCATCTACGGCGGAAGCGTTAGCGCCGCGAACTGCAAGGAGCTCTGTGCGTAAACATGCCCTACATTATACCGAACCCTCAAATGCTCATACATTAACACAGCTACGCAGCCCGATGTCGATGGCTTCCTCGTCGGCGGCGCTTCGTTGAAGCCCGAGTTTGTTGACATCGTCAACTCAAAGAAGGCATAGATACCGATTGGGAAGTGAAAGAAAGAAGTGAATCAGCAAGTGTTCAGCGAAGCATGTACTACATCAAATCTATAGACATGATGGTCCCCGTCGAATATCGAACATGCTTTCGGCTCCTGAAGAGCCGAGGTGAGTTGCGCCCAGACCGTCCTATATACATCAAAAGTACACCCGAGTATGCCATAAATACATAGCAGCGAAAGCAGAAGAAAAAACAGCAGATCCATACACAGAACACCGAGGCCGAAAATATTGCGGGAGAATAAAGAAGGTAGATGAGAGGGGAAAAAGAAAAAAAAGTTGAAAAGTTATGTCGGTGACCATGCACACGCACACTCGTCGTCGCAGGATATCTTAAATCCATGACAAAACCATCAGACGACTAACCCATGAAGAATAGATCCCATCAAACGACTAACCCTCTGTAGAATGAATCACTCAAAATCACATTCCACCTCAACTTGGAACCTGCGCCTGAGACGTCGAGGCGTGACCCGACCGCGAACTCGCCTGCGTCCGCGAACTGAGCTGCGAATGCAGAGATGCCATCGACGCGCCGTACGGCTGTCGCATAGCGGCGGACGTATGGAGCTGCGGCGCCGGCGCGAACGGCCACCCGCGCAGCTCAGTGCTCGCAGGCTGCACCCAAGGCGAGGGCACATACGGCGTGCTCTGCGCCTGTGCCTGCACAGGCTGCCATGCAGTCGCGGTCGCATTCGCGTTTGTGTAATCCTGTCCTGGCTGCGGGTGGCCCATGGCCGATACTAAAGATACCTGGGGCTCAGAGAGAGTGCGGGGCCGATGCCGGGATGTCCGGGAGTTGGGACGTGTGGAGCGCTCGTCGCGAGCCGTCGGCGGTCGCGAAATATCCTGCACCGTCGGCGGTCCCCCCCATGTACTTAAACGTTGAGCTATCGGCCGATCGTTATGCTCGGGGCGCCCTTCGCGGTCCATGGAGTGCGAGGTGTCCTGCGTGTGCGGCAGGCCGCCCCAGGTAATCGTACTCTGCACTCCTGGCTGGACATTGACCTGCGACGATGATGTGGGGGCGACAGGATATGCATAAATGCTGTTGGCGGCGCTGTGCATGCGCTCGTGTGTAGCCCTTGGAATGGGTCCGCCAATGCCTAACAAGCCAGAGCTGGGTATCGGTATAATCGGCTCGAGCGACTCCCTGCTCGCATTGCCCTCCGGCGGTGGACCAAGCTGGCGTAGGCGAGAGTCATTGAAAATGTTGCTCATGCTCGAGTTGCGTGAGTGGTGTCCACGATTTGGCTGCGGAATGCCCCATGAATCAGTGCTCGTGCGCGGCGTGGCGCTGTCTGTGGCGGCAACAGATGGGCGCGAGGCGTTGTCGCGGTGGCGATGGATGTCCACATCTTGTGCGGAAGGGGCATGAGGCTGGGGCGGCGCTGAGGCGGATGTAGAGCCATGATTGAGGTTGCTGATGTTGATGTGGGATGCCATTGCACTTGCGGTGTTGACAGCGTAGGGAGTCCACGCGACAGGCATGGCCACAGTGGGCACAGGGGCAGGCGTAGTCGATGACGTGGGCGGCGGTGCAGCCCATAAACCTCCGTGCGCCGATTCTCCCATACGAGGTACATGCGACGCGTTAAGTGCACTTAGGCCAGAGCTAGGCACTGGCGCGGTGACATTGGCGTTCGTGGATGAGGTGCTAGTGCTGACGTAGCGCATAGCGTTGGCACCTGAAGCCGACGTTGACGCCTGAGGCTGTGGATACAACGCGTAGACATATCCTCCTTGAGGAGGAGGCCGACCAGGCTCATTGGAAGACGGGCCCACGATGGCAACGGCCTCCTGGGACGCGGATCCAATACCCAGTAGGTTTCCGGGAAGGATGATGCTCGGCTGCCCCGAGTCATCTTCTCCATCTCTGGCGCGCTGTTCCGCGATTGCACGCTCGCGGTGCCGTCGCTTTCGCTCCTCGCGCTGCTCTTCTGTCATGTCTTCCTTTCGCCGTGATCGATGGCTATGGTCCCTCGTAGATTCATGATGCTTGTGTTGATGGGATGGTCCTGGATAGGAGAATAACTCAGGGGGAGGGATTACGCGGTCTTCGTGCCGCGCCCCAGGTATGAACGTCGCGGAGCCCGTGCCCAGGTAAGGCTGAGGTTGGACTTCGGGGATGGCCGTCCGTCTGTATGCCGCAAGCGAAACAGGTCTGGGGGGCGGAGGGAGAGGGTTGTTCGTAGTAGAGTTCTGCGGTGTGCTTTGACTATCTTGATCGGAGTCAGACGGTCGGTCTACGCGGTCAAGCGAGGCTGAGTACGGAATTTGGTCATAAGCAGGAAAAGTGCGGTGCCAGTATTCGAGCTCTTTATCCTTCTCTGCTAGCTTGGGGCCTTTCAGTATTTGTGAAAGCGGTGATCTAGTGACATGATCACGCATACCTGACTTTTTTTTTGATAGCCGAAGTATGTTGTCAGTAAATGCTTTCTTGAGAAAATAGATATCGATCACCTCTCGAGCTGTTCCACTCGCGTGGTCAAGCTCTCCTCGACGGCACGAGTATTTTGGTCATCGGCGGTAGCCATCCTATCTCTTCGGCGAAGTCTAATCTTGTACTCGCGAAGAGTGCGCTTGTCCTCTTCCCGCTTACTTTGAAGCTCTCTGTACCTCTGAAGAGCAGCAAACGCAGCGCGCAGAGCCGGATTCTATCATTCAACGATCAATAAATTGTTCAAAGTCTCACTCGAAGCCGTGGCGACAGAGGTTTTTATGCGTAGATTTTGAGACCTTACAGATGGGATTGGAGAACTGAACCGGCTGCGCGCTCGAAGGGATTAATTGAAGGGGTTTGTACACTCACCGAGTCCGGATTCTCCGCATGGGCTTCTAACCAGTCGTTCACGTCGACAATGACTCCGTTGACATCTTGTGTTGGCGCCCTTGGTCCGGAAACGAGAGCGATACGCTCTATGAGATCCGTTGCTTCTCGACGAGCCTGGTCATCAGTCACTGGAGCAATGTGATCGACAATCAGCCGTTTGTAATCTCGAAAACTGGCGCGACAGAGTGGGCATATAGGCGGCTCCGTCCTTCTCAAACATCTAAGGCATCAATTGTGAGCGCTGTACTACGATCAAACCACGGGTACCACTCACGCGAGGCAAAATATATGGCCACAATGAATGGCATAAGGTGTCTTGTCGGTTGAGTAGGGGTCGAGACAGACATCGCAGGTGGAATCAGGGTGGGCGACCAGCATGTCCTCGCCGTTGTTCCCGACGACGAGAGAGCAGAGAGGGCGAGAGGGTGGAAAAGAGGCGATGTCTGCTGCTGTGCTTGACAGGCGAATGGCAGGTGATCATCGCGAAACAGGGGCCACGTTTTCCATCTCCTTTTTCGGGCGTCCCAGTCTTGACTGGTCTTGACCCAATCGTGAACTCTCGACTCAGAGAGTGCCGCCGTAAAGCCTCAGCTCGGTTCATGTTAACAAGTATAGTATTGGCACGCACAAGTCCATTCATATTGGGCGTTTCAGATTTCCTACACTGAAAGTAGTAGACCACCTCCTTAAAGGCGATGCCGGTATACTTGGCTCCATTTATCACGTTTTGAGCGCTGAAATCTTTTCTTTGCACCCACAGCAGACCACAGCCTCACTTGCAGTCCTTGACTGCATTCACTTCACACGGGTCACCGACGTGGCTCTTCAATATCAAGTGGGGATCGTAAATCCTCATTCTCACTCATTGCTACCCTGAAGAGTAGGTTAGAATCTCTAGCAACCTTATTGATGGTACATTGACGCAGTCTCCAGATCTCGAGGTTGTGGCCAAATTTGAAGGAAAGCACTTAAGAGCTCGATACGATCGCTCTGTGATTGTCTCTGTCGATGAAGGGGACAGATGGGAGTCAAACAAGCGCTCACCGGGGTCACGCCTCCTTTGGGAGGAAGATCGTGAATTGTAAGTCATCTTTGTGAGCTGACAATGCGGTCAGTTGGCTGAACGTCCATTGATCATCATGTAGCTTGTTTCGGCCCTCTTCAATGATGAAGATCGAAGTTCGCACGCACACATTGTTCCCATCAGGCATATTTTTGCGTCGAAAATCTCATATCGCTGGGGCTACGACCAAAAAGGTGATGGAGTTACTCAACGGGAACGGTCGGTTCCGCATCCATGTTCTCGGAAAATGCTTGAATCTGAGAATGTGTAGATGCATTTTTGGACTTGTCGGACTCAGAGGGCGTTAAGGTTGCCATTGTCAAAGTCGGCCTAATATTAACGCCTCCCATAGATTTGCTGAAGAAGGTCGATATAGCGGTCGCGAGCATGGGCGGTAGCAGGTTCGCTGCCAGTTCTGGACATGTCGACTTTGGTGCCTCTACGGCGCAGGCGGGATATAGTGATCCACAAGCGATCGGCCGTTGCATTTCCCCTCTCGGTCAAGCGCTTCAAGCTGCTGCTAACATGGCGCTTACTGTTTCGGAGGTGCATCCGATTCCTTGTTCTGTCGACCTGCATCTCGCATGTGACTGTCTTAACGAAGGCTCATCCGATCTTGAAAGTTGCATGCAACGTCCTCTTGTCTGCCTATGAGGTGGGTACCACAATGGTGCGTCCGCCGAAGGTACGATGTACATCCTCTTGTTACAGACCATGAGAGCTCAGCAAGTCCAGGACGACGCCGTTCGAGGCTTAGCAGAGTCGTTGCGCGAAATGGTCGGCGTTGTCAGTCAAACGCTTCACTCACTAGTGGTCATTAGCACCGAAAATGTCATCGATGCCATTAGACAAGCATTCTTACAAGTCGCCTCAGTCATCGACGAATATGCAAGGTTGCCATTCATCGGTAAATCACATAGGGAGTTAATGGTTATAATCCTCACACGTCCATAACCGCATGACAAACGCTACGAAATGTATTGTTTGAGGATATGAAGACTTATATCCAACAGTTGCAGAACCATTGTAAAGATCTGACCTCGAAGTATGATTGCAGATTGGCGATGCAGACAAACATCACTGTGGTAGAATGGTTCCAGAAATCCGTGGACGATGATTTTGGTACGTCGGTCCCAGAGCCTATTCGGATTAATCATTGACCGTACGCTTTCTTCCTTAGGCCGGAAGATAGAGCAATGGATAGACGCACCTGACTCCTCCAAGAACTATTTCAATGCGCTAGAGAAGCACCAGAAGGATACCTGCTCCTGGTTCATAAATGGACCACAATTTGCCGATTGGAAGAACCAAGGACTTCCATTCATCTGGGTATATGGAATTCGTAAGCGCGCGCCGTTTCCATCAGCGAAAATAAAAGCTGAATCGTTAATATAGCCGGCTGCGGCAAAAGTGTTCTGTAGTAAGGGATATTTTACAACCTCAGAGCGTAAGGCGCATGTTGACGATCCCATGCTAGGTCAACCGCGATACGGAACACCATCGATCATTGCAGCGACAAGGCTACATTGGCTTTCGCATATTTCGCATTTGATTCTAGGGATGGGCAGGATGTATTGAAGTGCTTTCAGGGCCTGATCCGATCACTGGTATCCCAGCTTACCGTTCAACGGCACTTTGTCCCTGACACCTTGAAGGCGCTGTACGAACAAAGTCCGTCGCACGCATCCTCAGGTTCCCTCTGTGATATTTTTCACAAATTCATCGACGAATTCCAACGAATGTATGTTCTAATCGATGCCCTCGATGAATGCATGAACACGGAAGCGCCGCTCGTGTTGAGGTGGATCGAAAGGTCTTCGGGAGATATCACGAAACACTGCGTTTACTAGTGACGAGCCGGCACGAGGGCGATATCGAGGTGAGTATCGGTTCGCTCTGCCCACAAGGACACGTACGCGTTGGAGAGGATTTCGCCAACGAAGACACCGGGATATATCTTGATGGAATGCTTGGAAGGCACACAAAGTTGGCAAAACGACGTGAGGAGATCAAGGCCAGTTTGCTTAAGAATGCTCAAGGAATGTATGGTTGCCTCTCTTCGTTTTACATCCGATCAAAATTTATGATGGCGTCTAGGTTCGGACTGGCTGCATTGCAGATCGAGGATCTCATCAAATGCCGGAAGCGGAAGGAAATGCAGGAACACCTGGATCGTCCTCCAAGCACGCTGTTCGCGATGTATGATCGGATCTTATCACGGCTTGACCACGGAGGACGCGAGGACGCGCGGAAGGTCCTGTTGTGGCTCGCTTTCTCAGTTCACAAACTAAATCTTCGTCAACTCGTCGAAGTCATTGCTGTAAACTTTGACACCGAGGATGAGCCTTGCTTCTATCCCACTTCCCGATACGAGGACTCATAGGAGATCTTTCGTGTCTGCTCTGGGCTGATTGTTGGTTTGGAAGGTGATGCTCCCACCTATAAACTCGCTGAATCGATTATTCTAATGGATGGCGCAGATGAGATCAAATTAGCCCATTTGTCTGTCAAGGAATACCTGGTGTCGTCCACATCGACATGTCACATTAGCGAGAGGGATTTCCACACGCTGATATCTACAGCTTGCCTGACTTACCTCCTACAATTCGATTCGCTCGATTCTAGTGGCAGCACTGTTGAAGCCTTCCCACTCACCGTATATGCCGCACAGAATTGGATATCCCACGTCAAGTCTGCAGGTGAGAACGGCTCAAATAGGATCTTGCAGGACCTCATGCTCAATCCGGAGCGCCTCTGTTCGTGTCCTGGGTTCGTGTTCACGGCACTATGGAAGAAGCAGGTCGCTATTCGCTTATTGCGCCTTACTCCGTGCTCCTACCCACACCTTTCCATTCACCCCTCTACTATGCTTCGTTGGCCGGTCTCGAATATGTGACACACTCTGCTAGACGAGGGCATGGACCCAAATATTCAAGGGGGGTCATATGACAATCCCTCACAGGCTGCATGTGCTCACGGTCACTATGGGGTTGCGAAGCTTTTACTCGAGAGGGGAGCAGACCCATTTTCTCAAGGAGGAAGGTTCACCAACGCTTTACAAGCTGCATTGTTCAGCGAGTCCGAGGCCATTGTCAAGCTCCTGCTAGAGAAGGGAGTTGATCCAAATCCTGGCAACACCCTGCAGGTGGTAGCCTATTATGGTTTTGAGGCCATCGTGACACTCCTACTCGACGATGGAGCTGATCTAAATATCCAGGACAAAACCCACAGAAATGCCCTACATGAAGCCGCCATGCAGGGTTCCGAGGCGATCGTCAATCTGCTACTTGAGAGGGGAACCGATCCAAATATCCAGGGCGGTGCATTTGGCAGTGCACTGCAGGCGGCAACATATCACAATCGCGAGGCTATCGTTAAGCTTCTGCTCGAAAAGGGAGCAGATCCAAATTTTCAGGGTGGCATATATAGCAATGCATTGCATATCGCGGCGAATCGTGACTACGAGGCCATCGTCAAGTAGTTTCTTGAGAACGGAGCTGATCCACATGCCCAGGCTAAATTATATGCATTGCAGGCAGCGGCATATCGCAGTTTCAATCCCATTATCAAGCTCCTAATCGAAAATGGAGCAGATCCAAATGTCCAGGGTGAACAATATGGCAACGTACTTGGTTTGGCGGCATTGAACAATTCCGATGTCATCGTCAAGCTCCTGCTCGATAATCGAGCTGATCCAAATGTTCAGGACGAAGCATTAGCATATCAAAATGTGCTGCAGGTGGCCGCTGATCGTGGCTCCGAGACCATCGTCAAGCTCCTGCTTGAAAAGGAGCCGACCCAAATGCTCAAGGCGGAACATACGGAAATGCACTGCAAGTGGCAGCCTATCGTGGTTCTAAGGTCATAGTCAAGCTTTTGCTTGAGAAGGAGGTGGATCCAAGGGTCCCCGGTGGAACATATGGCAACGCACTGCAGGCAGCGGCCTACTCCGGTTCCGAGGCCATTGTCAGAGTCCTGCCCGAGAGGGGAGTTGACCCAGATGTTCAGGGCGGACTATTCGGCAATGCGCTGCAGGCGGCGGCCTTGCGTGGTTCTGGATCCATCGTCAAGCTCCTGCTTGAAAAGGGGGTTGATCCAAATGTGCAGGGAGGACGCTACGGAAACGCAATAACAGCGGCCGCGTGTAACAACTGCTGGTGGGATGATGGCAGAGAAGTTGTAACGAGGCTTCTGCTCGACTACGGTGCCATTCTCTCCGATGCCCCCTAGCTTGTGCGTAGACTTGTTAGTATCCCTCTTTCGCAGTCAGTGTTTTGCCTGAATGTCGCCGTCATGACTGTCTATCAATTTCGCTCCTTTTCTTATGTACATCTACTTCCGTCCATTGGTTTTCCGGTTTAATGCCCAAGGTGTTGTGCAAAGGCTTATAAGTCTTATCCGAAGAGCTTGCAGCGATTGTGTGTGTTGAGCGTCAGGTGAAATCAGCAAGGAGGCTGCCGCAGGGTCTAGATCGACTCGATGATCTCCTGGTGAGTGGAGCAAATGTTCCAGCAACACGCCCAAGAGAGCTTGTTCCACTCTTTCGGTTTCTGTGAGGCAGAGCTCGCGTCAAGCCGCTCTCTGTCCAGCTGCCATTTATCTGCTAGTGTGTGACTTTCCGAGCAATCATGTGTCGCTCGGAGAGCTCACAACTTCGTGCTGATCTGCAATTTCAGGTTCGTCTTGGGCTTCATGCATTTATGCCCTTCTCTTTTCCTCATATAGTGTTCTGAAAGGAAGGCTTGATATGTGGTATGTGATTATGTGACTAGTATGTTCATCCTCTTTAGAATGTGGCGAGTTCTCCTGAGATCTATTCTTGATTGAGAACTTGTCAATATTTGGTAGGACTGTTGTCGAGTCAAAAGATTCAGAATGAAAACGCGAAACAACCGTGTCACTCCCTGAGATGCAACCGGTCGGTTCGTTTCTGCGGAGCTAACATGAGTGTCAAGTAAGTATCATATCGGACAACATGAGCTGAACAGAAAACACGGAGGCGAGGCACAACAATGCATAGCTTTCGTCTTCTTGCTTTACCAGCCATGTCCGGAAGTCTTCTATCTGCAAAAAAAGGGGCTGTATGGAGGCACAATCAGTAGTTATCCTCCTCGTCGTCCACTGAACGATCATCATCTGAACGCTCGTCTTCCCAGGCAGAATCGTCCGAGTCCGGATAATCCTCCCATTCATCGGCGTGATCGAAATTGTTCATCATGGATACTTGCACCTTCGTTCTATCAGATATGTCTGCGCCATAACAACAATCAACCTGTTCGCTCAAGTAGCAGATGCCAGCGACACTTACCGTCACCAGCCAATGGCAAAATACCACAGATTTTTCTCAGATGGGCGGCACTGAATCCCGGCTTCTCGCTCTCCAGAGATAACGCCGCATGTTGCTCGCCATCGTTGCCCATGTACCCGTCGTCGCCGCGCGCTGCCTCTTCCTCGTTCATTGCGATCTCAAACGCAATGCCGACGCTCGCGAGTATCAGCTCAGCCGTCGTCCGCAGGCTCACCCGCGCGCCGAGCCCACCTGCTTCGGAATCCTGCCCAAACAGAGCGTCGTGTACGCGCTTTAGGTCGGCCCTCGTAATGGAGCACTGACTGCTCTCGTTCCTGCGCTTGTCTAGGGAGAACCAGTCAAAGGGAGTCCAGCCGTCGGTGCGGTGCGGGTGCTGGACATCCTGGACAGGGTGAGAGGTGATACAGCTGATGGGCTTGTCGTTGACACGGAAGCCGAGGGAATAATACCACGCGACATGCTTGTAGTGCATGCGATAGTGGAATATGAAGTGGACATCGACTGAGCGAGGCGACATGGGCGAGTGGATTCTTGAGATGACATCTGCATCTTGAACCTGGTATATATTGAGTATAGGAATATTGTATACTAGTCTGAGTATTAGAAAGAAGACGCACGTCGTATTTCACATAGCTGTCCTGTACGTCCCTACTCAGAACGGAAATGCTGTCTGCGATTTTTTCCCATTCTCCTTCCTTGAGTCCGGTTTCACCACTCAATGCAACAATGACAGCGTCCCTGAGATTACTCAGGTAAGCGTCCATCTGTTCTCCGATCAATCTATTCATCATGTCCTGCGTGAGAGCCTCGGCTTGCTTGCGACGCAAAATTTAGTCATTCCAGCGCGGGGACTGGATCGGGTCGATGAGGGAGAACAGCGCATCTGCACGCTCGCGGGGATTGTTTGGAAGGATTCCTGGATTGCGCGGGGAGGAGGCGGAGCATGCTTCTATGTGTGGATCTTCAGATTAGTGGCTGCAAATTTTTCTACATCCCATAGAGGCAGCAGGGTGACTTCTGTCAAGGAAATTCAACGTCAGCACAGCTGCGCGGGGCTTACAAATCCTAGAAAAGACAGAACTCACCGACAGGACCTAATGAAACACATCAGTCCATAAACTCTGTGCTCAACACGGGAAGCGGGAATGGCATACCCAGTAAGCCACAGGTACCCTGATGATTTTTTCTAGCCTCTCCATGATCCACCATAACGAATCAAAGATGCTGAACGGCATCTCGATCCAGTCTTGCGATGACGCATTGACTTCTTTGAAAAACTCCTTGATGTCATCAAACTCTGCCACAATTTCGAGCACGAGCGCGTCCTCTCCATCTTCAAGGAAATTTCCGCCCGTCGACGAGGATGTGTCACGTTTGCGAGATTGCGCTCGGTCGTATTCTTCTTGGGAAAGACGCAGGTTTCTGATATTTTTATCCTTAGGAATGGGCGGACGCTCAATGGCATGAGTGCCCACATTGTCGCTGGGAGCTCGAGGATGTTCGAAGAGAGGTACAGAGGACGGAATATATAGCAAATGAGAATAAAAAAAGCCTAGTGGCAAACACGATGTTCAAGATAAGGTTCAAGCACGCTACCCGCACTCGAGGGTAAGAACAAAGAGTTAAGGCCTGCAAGATGCGATTGAAAAAGCAGAGTGATATTCCGAGGGAGTCCTTGATTGTAGCGGCGTGGCGTCCTCGCGTACTTTATGAGCACCGGTTGTCAATTGAGTAGACGGATCAGCGAAATATTACAGTGTCGCCTACAGGCCTCTGAGGTAAGAGCTGGGATATGTGACTCCCTTTATGAGTCATTGTAAGAAAATTTAGAGCATACAAACAATGCGCAAATTCGTGCGTTACGGGATGCGCGAGTCCATATGGAGCCACTTCCCAAATCCCAAATCACATACAGTTTTGTGCTCGAAGCACATCACTATGTGGATCCGCCAAAGAAAAGCTAGAATGCCTTCAGGAAGCTAGTTTGGATTCCATGTAAGTAGATATCAATTCACATGGGTTCAAGAAATGGCACGGAAAAGCTGAATGTGTGCTCACAGTCTCGAAATTTGGATCTCTGGACGCATGACAGCTTTGTCCTGGAAACAACGAAGCAAAGATGCAGATCAACGCGTATCATGAAGCATGTACGCGGGCGAATCTACAAAACCTCTTCAAAAAGGAACTGGAGAGAAATCGACATCTATTGACGCCACTGTTAATCCACTTGCTCGTCCTCAACCTCGTCCCCGTCTTCATCATCTTCATCATCACGGACAATCTCAGTGTCCCCGTCAATTGCAACTGTAACGAAACGCTTGTGTCAACACGATCTCTCTGAAAAAACGCTCATTTACTGACCGTCCTCACATTTCGTAGCTTCCACCAGGGGCGTGATCCCGCAGATTTCCCTCAAATACGCGGGATCCGAGCCAGGCTATTCGGTTCCGAGTGCAAGCGAAGCCGAGGCGGCACACATACCCGTCACCGCCCCCATTTTCAGTTGCGTATCTCGAATGGGATCTCGGCGCTCACGAGAAGCAGCTTCGCCGTCGTCAGCAGGCTCATGCACTCGCCGAGCCCGCGCGCCTCTGATAATCCAAATAGCGCGCCATGCATGCGCATACCAGGTTCTCACCCGTTACGCCGCGTCCGCTGCACTTACGGATCCCGCGTGCAGGATTTGCCCTGAAAAGAACCAGCAGAATGGGGTCCTGCGGCCGTTGGACGTGCGCAGTCATGATACCGGAAATGGACGTCGACAGAGCGTGGGGAGACGGGCGAGTGGATGCGCGAGATGATGTTGGCACCTTGGATCTGCGCGCGAGTCCGAGAAATAAGTCAGCGCTCGACGCAGCGCAGGGCGATGGCAGGGTGCGTGTGAAGTCAGATCACGAGCACACAAGGGGGTTTTGCGATCGTCCTTAACGACATTGCGCAGCGGAGGGACACCGTAAGCCACTTATCCTTCTTTGAACCTTGTTCGCTTCGCAGTGCGCCCTTGACTGCTTTGATGCTGACCGGAAAGATATCAAGACCACCGCTTTTGTCGTGTCCAATACGTTCTGCGCGGGAACAACAGCGCGCTGTCAGTGCGTGATATAGTCCTTCCAACTTGTAGATGCTACGAGATCGATGAGCACAAAAGTGCGGTTGCGCGTGCATGATTGTTAGAACACTCGACTAGAGGGAAATGCGGAGCCGAAGCGTACTTGCAGTGATGGATTTTTGAGTGGGTCTTGGAGAAAGCTTCTGCCAAATAGAGGTTAAGTAAGGTCTTTGGTCAAATCGAACACCTCCGGCGGTTTAGAGCTACACAGCAAGGACTGTTGATTAACTGGTGCGCGACCCAATATGATCAAAAACGTACCTAATACCACGAGACCTCTGTTCTTTGACCGCAACCTAAACGAAACCCGAAGGATAGACTTGAAAACCCCAACCACGACATGGACCCAATCCCGTCCCGCCTTGGTAGGATCCGTAGCATTAGCCTTTCTGAAGATCGCCTTGACATTGTCCGAGACAGCAAGAGTTTTGGTCGGAGTAGAGAATTCCTCTTCTGATTGAATACGCAGCTCGCGAAAGGTTTTTAAGACTGGGGACTCGATTGCGCTTCTGAAACTTGATGAAATCGGTTTGACAGAGGCGGGTACCTGTGAAATCGCCGGGACGAGGCAAACAGACACACAAGGAGCCAGTTATCAAAAAAAATTCAAGCCGAGCGAGCAGGAGACAGGTAACGAGACTGACAAGACCATGAGGTTTGCAGATTGCCAGGGGCGAGAAATGGGTGGGGGACGTTCAGTGGGCTTGGGCTTGGAGTTGGGTTTGCAGGGTTTATATCAATCGATAATAAGGGATAAGAGCAAGATGCTAGATCAAAGGCACAGAAGAAGAGCTAAACATCATATGAGCAGAGCGTCCATGCTCGCAAAGAGGACGGCTATATGCGCCCTCCGGAGCAGAGATAGCGGTCTATATTGTATTTTCCGACAACCCCCAGAGACCTGACCGAACGCATGCGAGTACAAAGGCGAACCGTGCGTGTAGCTCTCGAGACTCGGATACATGTTGATCTGCTGGAAGCCCAACTAATCTAGTGCTTTTGGTCTACTGTCAGAAGGTAGCGTGTGCAATCCTGATCAGAAGCACTGAGAATTCCGAGGTGCCGTTCGAAATGTTGCACAACAAGAGAGGTAGGTAGTAGAAAGCAAGCGCAAGCAAGGCCGCCGGGACTCGGAGGAGTGTCAGAAGTCAGAGAGACAAAGTCCAGATCCACGTGCGCAAATAGGGCACAAACAAGGCGCGTAATCGCGTGTAATCGCGCGTCTATTTTGACCACGAGCGTCCAGGCCTGGTATGTAGAGTCGCCCCTATTGAAGTCAACGCCTGCACTTCGAAAACTACACGACGAATGTCCTTTGTTCTGCGACCGACTTTCGAGCGACCCTTCCTCAGTATTTACAGCGGTGAGAAACCTAGAAACAATGACGAACGTGGCCCAGAAGTAGAACCCATTGCAGGGGTCACAAGCTATCCATATGCGGTCCCAATGTATCCGACCCCTGCGTCATCCAGCATTCCATTAGATCGGAGGCATACAGCGGCATAAAGAAAGCTATCTAAACTTGGTGCATGCTCACAGCCTCGGCCGGCATAGCAGCAACGAAGACAATGACCTCATTGAGTTCCTCAATGCAGCGCTCTGGGAACGCCCCTAATCCCAGCACTATATCACAAGACCTGCCCTTCCCGCACTCCAGGGAGATCACTACCATCATCCCATCTATACCTACTCGCCATGGATACTACTGCTGTCGTCCAGCCTCAGCCTCCTCAGCCTCACGCTCCCAATCTCTCGCGCCGTCGTGGTTCGGTGTCTGCTGGTGACCCCTATGGCCTTCACGAGTCCAAAAATCTCCCCAGCAGAGACAGACGCATGACGAGCAGACTCACTATCGTGCGCGTTGGCGGCGCTGAAGCTGTCGAAAACAGCTCACGGCTTTATCACTCGGATGATCTCCCCCCAAAACCGAAATCGCATCTGTTCGATGGTAATTCGCATACGACGACGTCTGCGAACAATCGTGCAGCCCCTAGACCTGGACGACTCTCCTTTGTATCGACGTTTGCGCGGGGCGCGCCGTCAGGGGGTCCCGCCCTCCCGAGCATACCTGCCAGCACCCGTCGTCGCAGCACCACCGTGTCGACCTATTCCCCTCGAGCTTCGCTCACTCCCGCACAAGTATATGACCTCGCGCGCTCCTCTGTCAAATCTGCCAGCCATTCACCCCTTGGTCCCTCATCCCCTACGAGACAAACTGAACTCGATGCAGTTCAAAGAGCACGCATTTCAGGAGGAAGTCCGGCGAACTTCACACTTATTCCGGAAAAACAGTTTCTCCCGTTCATCGATCGCCCCTCAGAGGTCTTCGAGCTTCTTGACTCGTCTCCGACGAATCGCCTTATGGCCCTCCTCGAGCATGCATTCCCAGCCTTGACTACGAGTAAGACTCATGCGGAACAGTCAGACGAGTCCCTCGGGAATCAGATAGACTTTTCGAATCCCGAGACGTGGCCCTATACTACGCTGGTCGCATGGATGTGTAGAGTCACCCGCGCAGATATCGATGACGAGGAGTGGATCCGCCGCGTCCGCGCGTGCGTCATGACGCACAACGAACAGATCTGCATGAGCCTCCTCGCCGCTCTCGGTGCGCCCGCAGATTTCTCGTTCGACTCTCCCGAGAGCGACGTCCCCTCCTTCCACGGCCACTTCCCCCGCGACTTTGACCGCAGCTTTGACCGCAGCTACCATTATCGAGACCTTGAGAGGGACAGCGAGGGTGCATCAGAATCGCCTTCTTCTCCGTGCTCCCCGCCGATACTCCTAATCCATCCTTCGCCTGATAGTTTGACGCTCACGGCAGGGCCTCAGGAGCGGCAGAAGCATGCATCCTCTGGACGACACGGATTGGAGGAGTATGATGCCCATTTCCCGCTCGACATCGTTCCCGTGCCTCTCTTCGACGAAGAGAAGCACCAGCTCCATCTCCATCATCTCCAGGCGGGGAAACCGCTGGACACCGGCAATGGCGCCGCTGGCAGTAGCGGCACCTTTGGCAGGCGCTCGCGCTCTGGGAGTGCATCTAGCTGGGGGTCGTCGCGATCGAGTTCGCGTCTATCGAGTGCGATGGAGAGCATTGGGGAAAGTGAAGGTGAGGGGGAAGGTGCAAGCGAGGAGGATTTGACGCCGTCTACTGAGGTGATTCTTGGCGCCCTCTCGGTGGGTCAGGATACATCAGGTGTGGAGACCGCGCGCTCGAGGACACCTATCGACACTAGCGGGGCTTCAAAGGGAAGACATGGAACGGACGAGTCCGAGCACGAAAAGGACGACTTCGGTCGCGCACACATTCCAGGTTCGAACGGCGCGCCTGCAACATCCGTTCCTCCGAGTGAACCCGACGCGACATCCTCCTCGAATTTCAAAGGCCTCCGCATCTCTACCGACTCGCAGCCTTCCGCCCCCTCTCCGACACACGACCCTTCGCCCCGGCCCATGAGCCCCCTTCCACCTATCACCGTATCTTCCAATGCCGCCTCCGCTGGTGGTGCTTCGGGGCTTGACGATGCTCCGCGTCCCGGCAGGCGCCGCAACACCGTAAACGTCGCACACGTCCTGTCGGAAGCGCCAGGCCATGCGGGATTCAAGTGGAGCGCGGGGGGTCCACGGTTCCCCGCGTCGTTCGCGACCGTGTCTGCACCTGCGCGCCGGCGCCAGTTTCCGAGCGCGAGGGACGAGATCGGGGATGCACTGGATGTTGTTGGAAGGAAGTTGGCAGACAGGTCGGTCTGTTACACTACGATTGATTGTCTCACTGTGCTCATCATTTTTTGTTTTGCTTTCAGTGCGCAGGCGGAGTCTGAGCAAAGCTTGTTCGACCCTTCTCCTTCGATTAGTGCTTCTTCAACCCGTGCTCTCAGGTCTTCGACTGTTTCTCAAGCTCCTCACACTAATGTATCGCAGCGCAATGTGTTTTCGTCTCAAAAGTAATCCTATTAGTGCCGCATATGCTCTGTACTCTAGCATCTTTTCCATTCAGTTTCTCCTGTCCTGTCTGTAATTAGGGATTTTACCAGCATAATCATGATAAATAGCGCATTTTTCACTCCACACGGATATCATCAACTCCTGATCATCAACCACGCGAAGTCGTACAATGCCCTTGAACTTAGCAAGTTCGAGGGCTTAATCGGACTTGGCTCGAACTTCGGCTTCAGCCTGAGCCTGTGCACGAGTCCAAGCCTCATGTCCAAGGATCGCGGCGTGGTTCTCGAACTTACGTCGCAGGAATTGCGCTTCGCAAAGGGTGGTGGCCCTCGCGGCATCCACTGGGCCGCGACGGGTGCTCCACGGCTGTTCCTTCAAATACTCGAGGAGACTGATCATCGTCTTGTATCGCGCGTTGAGGATGTGGCGGATGAGCCTGTGCGAGAAGATGAAGGGTATGGCGGGGCTGCGCCTCTCCTCGGCGGGGGTCTCGTACTTGACGAACGGGTTGCGGGGCGGGATGGGCGGGCGGGCGAAGTACGCGTTCGCTTTGTCGAGGGGCAGGGAGAACGACGCGGGTGTTGCGAGGCCAACAAAGACTTTAGCACACGCGGTGAGACGGCGGAACCTGGTTGGGTCTCGATGAGCGGCGATGTGAGATGAGATTCGAGCGGCGTGGCTTACCTCTTGAGATTCCCTTTGGATACAGTTCCGCGGTGAGTGATTTCATAGGTCGGGAGCTATCGAAGGATACTCACCCTTTACGAAGTATTTATGCGACTTTGCTATCAAGAAGACACTAGCGGCTGCTGTCGCACCTAACCCGACCACGCCCGCGACTTGACAGACACGTCCCAAAATCCCTCCGACACGCCCCAGAACTCCCTCCCAACCGTGAAGATCAACTGCTGGGATTTTCCTTATAGCAACCAGCAAAAACTGGTTGTTGCCGAGCGCGCGACCGAACCTCAAAGCCCAGTTCATAGTGCACCTGAACACGACCGACGCAAACCAGCTGTACACGGCTCCCATCGCGGCACCCCCGAAGATGACTTTGTACTGTGAGATCGTCTCGGGTAGCTTCCGATTCGCGAGCAAGCGCGACGCGAGAAGGGAGGAGCCATATACAGGCAGGTGCAGAACGAGTGCAGGTACGAAGAGGATAAAACGCGGGTCGAGGAAGGCGAGGATGAGCCTGAGGATTAAGATACGGAGCGTCTGAAATACGGTGGGCACCGTGTCCGAGTGCTCGTAAAAGAGGGACGCGGATACCGCGCTGTGGGTCATATTCGCGTACTGCAGGAGTGCGGAGTAATGTAGAAGGAGTTTCTTGACACGCTCTTGTTCTTCGGACGCATTTCCGGGAGAGAAAATATCAACAATGCTGGGGATGGATCAGCTACACGTTTACAGCGATAGAATCGAGGGTAAATGCATACGTCTGACTGATGTCGGGAAAGTTCCATAGATGCATGTCGTCATCGGGCCAGAGGATGTCTCTCACCATCTGACATGCTTGGTGAGTGTCCCTGGTGGGCAAAACTGATCAGTATCCGCACAGTGTTCACTTGATACGCAGGGCTCTCCCGGGCGATAACCCAAGTCGTGCCCGACATGAACTAGAAGTAATCGTGATGAACAGCATTTACCAGTCAGGCGCGTCAATTGTCAACTCAAGCATCCTCGAATTGATCTCTGCGGTCAGACGTTCAACGGCCACGTGCGGGGTCGAACCCTCGTGAGGGTCCAAATAATCAGAGAGATAGCGGTCGATAGGTATGGGGGCACCATAGCTGTGTACACTGTTATTTCAATCCAAGGGAATGATAGACTGATACCCACCTGACGACAATCTGCCAAGAACGAAAGTCATGCAATTAGAAGGTAGAGCTCGATGACATTTATGGACGAAACAGAACTTGCACGACTGAGATACTGAGATTTGTCGGTGTAGACAATTCCCACCGGCACAAGGCTCAATTCTGCTGTATACGTCGGGCGCTCCTTTGGTGCCGCTTTGGGTTGGTTGTAACCACGATCCCAGACAAGTCCTCCACTTTGCTGCGTCGTTTGCCAGCTCGGTTGCCACTCTTGTCGTGCTGATGAATAAGGTTGCTCCGTCCGACTATATTGTGGTGCATAAGACGCCGATTGATTCCCTTGCAGCGGAGTCCAAATCTCAACGTCGGTTGTCGCGGTTGTCCAATTGAGAGCGGCGGCCTCTGCGATCTGCATCCCTGACCTGAATTCGTTCTCCTCCATCACGGCGGACCCCGCTGCGGACTCTGCTGGGGTGTCGATGACGATGGCAGCCCCATTTTCTGCCTCTTCTTCTATCTTTTCTTCCGATCCTACTTCAAAGTTCCCTTCCTCAGCCCTCTCTACCCCCTCTTCTGCTTCTCCTAGCCGTTCGTCTCCCTGCTCTCCATCCACACCCGCACTTACCTCCAATTCCTGTCTTTCTTCTCTCTCTCTCGTCTTGTCCACTGTGTATGTCTCCGCTTGAACGTCCACTGCAAGCTCCAATTCTGATTCCGCCCGTATATTCGCTTCCATCTCCTCTGCCGTCTGATTCTCCTCACTTGCTCTTGCCTCGGTTTCCAATATGGCCATCTCGTTCCGCTGCCGCCATTCCTCCCATGCTCCATCTTCTCTCTCCCTTGCCTCCTGTTCCTCCGCCTCTAATCTGGGCGCCTCCTTCAGCTGCCATGCTATGTATTCTCTCTCCGCATTCTCTTTCGCCTCCCACTGCTCCTTTTCTATCTTTTCCCTCTCCTCCCTCGCCTTCTCCCACTCCGCCACCTCCTCCGCTTCCCATTTCGCCTTGTCCGCTCGCACAAATTCGAGAGCGGCAAGCGCTGCGCCCTCTTTCACCTGCATGATGCGTGGCTCGGTGTAGCTCGTGCCTTCGGGAAACACACCAACAACGCGACCATCGAGAAGTGCGCGAGTAGTAGCCGCAAATAGGGAGTCAGCAGTAGGTTCGGTGGACTCGGAAGGTTGCGTCCCATTCGGCGTTGCACCACGGCTGTTGGGGTTACGCATCACAGGGATAGCTCCCGAGGATTCCATAATGAAACGAGACACAGGATTTTTGAACATCGACGACTTGGCCCAGAAGGACACCTGTCGCTGGTGCGGGATGGTGACAGCTAAGTACGGAAGTTAACAGAGTCTCTCGCTGGCAAGTGACGAGAAGGCGAGACGCACCAAGAGTAGCAATGTCAATGATCTCATTGTGATGGCTGGAACAGCTGTACAATAGAGCGTCACGCCGTTCTTCAACACGAGTGTGGGAGTGGCAAGTTGAAAACGGTTTGGGCTTACATGATGAGTGGCCCGTTTTGTGGGATGTTCTCCTGGCCACGAACTGTCACCTCCGAGTAGAACGTGGACAGTGTCCATTCCGAGATTTGACGCAGCGCCTTGTAGACAATTACAGGCTCCGACATGACTGAACCTGTGAAGGAGAGATGAATGCGGTTCAGCTTGAGATCACGCCAACCGTGTGATCCCGCTTAGGACCAGTGGCGCGGAGACCGAAACCACCAGGACGGCACTTGGACCTCGGAGACAATCGATATCATATTTCTCCTCAGAGATCCGCATCGTACAGCGTTGGGATAGAGAAGCGGCCATTAGCACGACTGAGATCGATGGACTGCAAGATCTCAAAATCGTATCGTCCTCTCTTGGGAATATTACAAAACCGTTCGATGTACCACAACTTCAACAATGATGTCGATTTTCCTGACCACAAGATTCTACGTAACGCCATCTCTGCCACCCAATCCTGTCTCTTCAAATCCGTCATTGATCGTCATCGCAAATTCTTTGAACCAGGTAAACTGGTCGCGCGGCGATGCCCATTCATCATCGTTACCTCCGAAGAAAGTGCTGCATGTTGCACAAGAAATCATTTGAGAATCAGCCGTGAGACGATGCGCGAAGATTACGCGCCTGAAAAATAGACCAGAGAACCCAACCAGCCCATTTGTCTGACCGTCGTCGTCTCCATTAGCTGAAAGACTCATACCCGCATCTATCACCTCTGCCTCGCTCGCATCCTTGTCGCCAATGATGACGGGCGCGGGCGCACTCCAAGGTACCACATTGACAGCTCCATCCCCATAATCGCGCGCGCGAGCCCTTAAATCACCCTCATCTCGCGCAAACGTGAGCCCGACGCGGCGACTTCCGAGCAAATCTCCGAGGCCCCCAAGCAAGCCGCCAAGTAGCCCGCCGCCGTCGCCGCTGTCGGGTGGAGCGGATGGCGGCCTGGGTTTGGGTGTCGGCTTCGGTTGTGGTTTCGGCTTCGAGTCTGGCTGCTTATTCGGCTGCGGTTTGGGGGGCCCATGCGACCCTGTGCGCACGTGTGCATCGTCACTGTCTCCATCGTTGTCTCCATCCCCGTCCTCGGGACTGTCGCCTTCGCCATCGTCAGGCGACGGAATACTTCGATAATACACGTCCCCTCTGTCGATCACCACCGTATCGTCAATCTCCAGCCTCAGCCCACCGTCTTGCGCCCCAGGTGTGTTCAGCACGACCGTCTGGCGAACGTGCGTCCATGCCCCGCGCGCGAAGTGGAAGGAGCCTCGTGCAAGGGACAGGCCGTAAGTAACATCGCAGACGGTTTGGGGCGGGAGAGCACAGAGGGCAGGGGTTTGGTGGGTCTTCGGAGCGTACTAGGGTAATGGGAGAGCGCGCAAGATAATGTAGGTAAGAAGAATGAATCGTAGGGGAGGAAGAAAACAGCGAAGGCAGAAGGAAGGAACATCGGAATAAAGACTTACGAGATATACCTCACCCTTCCCGCCCTCCCTCCACATCAACCGCGTACTCCAACACGTCTTCGCATCGTTCCCCCCACTACACCCCTTGTGCCCCCCATACAGCCCTGGCAATTTTCCACCCTTCACCCAATCAAAGTCGGCGGGGAAAAAGACGGAATAGTCGAGTGTAACGTTGTGTGCGGCCGTTAGATTCAATGGAGAAGCGTAGAATTCGGCGCCGCCGATGGGGGCGTGCGAGTTACCGGGGTTGATAGAGAGGGCAGGATAGATGAGGCGAAAGAGGGTGGGAGGTAGAGTGAGATTGGAATTAGGGTCTGGGTTGAGATTGGCGAGGTTAAGGATCGTGATGGGGTTTGGGCTCGGGCTTGGGAGCGGGACAGGAGTCGCGACGGGAGAATCAAGCACGGAAGTCAGCCCAGATTCAGAAGAGATAGCAGATGTAAAAGCAGTGCTTGTGGCTCCCGAAGACGTGGGGAAAGAGCTTGATGCAGATATTGATGAGAGTGCTGAGGCCGAGGCCGAAGCCGACGCGATGTCAGGAATCCCGTCTACAAAATTTAGATTCTGCTTCCCGCTCGCGAAATGGGTGACGTTGAATGAAACCAGATCCGTCATGGTCGCGGGAGCAGCCCATGCAGTGGCTGGCGTAGGGGTCAGCGATGGGACCGGCGTTGGGTCTGGATCCGGCGAGGTGGTGGGCATCGACGTGGTAGAATCGGCGGTCGAAGAGCTCTGGGTCGTCGTAGTATCATGAATTGACGAGGGCAGATTTGACGCGAGCGTGCTCGATTCCTCCACCATAGTCGTCGAAGGCGCGGAACCTTGAGAGGCGGATTGTGCGAGCGAGGCAGTCGTGTCGGTTATCAAAGTAGATTGTGCAGTAGGTGTCGGGAAGAGAAAGACCGAGCCCCCTGCTAGACCTGCAGCGACAATAGGAGGCGGCGACGATGATGGTGGTGCGTCCAAGTCCGATGCATTCCCAATGGGAGCGAGAGGGATGCAATGCGCCCGTTGTATGTGGAAGTGGAGGAGGAGGAGTACAAGAAGACATGAAAGGGTCGAGAAAAGAATGGACGAGACGGCCTGCGTCATGCAGAGTAAAAAAAAAGTGGAAGCAAATAGGGAAGCAGGGAGAAGGACGAGAGCGTGATTGACCTGTACGTCGGAATACTTTGACTCTTGAAAAGTATTGGATTCTCGACTGACACTGCGACGCGCCTGTGTGCTAGTTGACATCAAAACGACGTCGAAATGAGAAAATCTAGACAACCAGGTAGAGAACAAGATATCTGTTCAGGATTCAGTCAGGAATAAAATGCATCGTACAAGACATTATGAATTCTGCGCGTGCGATTTGTACAGTGAAACTTGTTCATCAGCCAAGAGCCCCATTCTCCCGCGCCAGTGCGGAAGGCACAGAGGTGGGTGGACATCACGCTCATTGGACTGGCGGTGTCGGTGCGGCCTGGCGAGGATGGTATCTAATATGGTAGGTACATCTTCGGTTCGCACGTTTCCCAACCTAATGTACTCTTAGCTTGACTGAAACGGAATTCAAGGCAACATGGTGGAAGTAAGGGGTATTATATGTATGAACGTACCAGTCTCCAAAAGGATAGACCAGCAAGTTCGCCGCATACCTATTTTATATACATCAGTCGTCCAATCCAACATTCTAGCTGGAATTGGGAGAAGAAAAATGACAACGAACGCGTACTTACTTGTGTCCGCCGACGTGCCCCACCTCACTGACAACCACACGTTTGCCCAAGCCAGCACCTTCGAGGCCGCGCTTCCACACTTCTGTTCTCAATGCATCTGCCACTTGTCCTCCCCAGTCTCCGCATCGGCAGTCTTTTGCGCCATGCGTGCAGACGTATAGATAGACTGTATCGTCAGCCTGGATCCAGTCTTGCCCTTCAAGCACAGGTCTTGGTGGATCCGGCTCTAGAGAAGAAAGAGATGCTACCACATGCTGTTTGACCTTTTCGGCTACGCTGTCGACGTTGTCAATCGACACGCTTGGAATATCGAGCCTGGAGTTTGAGTGGCGGCCGGTTACAAACGCCGTAGCGCTACAAACCTCACCTCCGCCTGTGGCTGTCCTATGAATGAAGTCGTACGGATTTGGATAGGCGGGATTCCAAGCGAAGTTGACGAGGCCACGCCATTCGCGTGCACGAAGCTGGAGAGCGGAGCGGAGGGGCGAGGGAAGAGCTGCTGGGAAGTCCTTGGGGCGGTGCTGGCTGTGGAGGAAGATGTAGACATTGTGGGTAGGCGCTGTTCCGACAAGGCTGTCGACACTGGCGTTGGGAGGTGTTGATGTTGACAGGAGGCGAGGGTGAAGAATGTGGATGGGACGCGTCGTGACTGCTCGGGAAAGCATCTTCGATGGCCGCGGCGCGTCTTGACTCAGCTTGACTCTTATCCCGCTGCCTCCTGCTACCACCACCGCTGCATGTATACTACTCATTGTGCATATCGATGCCCCAGGCTTGTCTGCGCTCAAGGTCTCAATGCCCATGGAAGAGCTTTTTCGGGCAAAATGCTCAGTTTAGTGCGTGCAGAAAAAACACTAGCAAACATCTCTTTCAACTAGGAAACAGCATAAGGAGTGGCCCCACAGTCAAGCAGCACAATGACCTCCGTACCATGCTCAGCCTCCTCCTCCAGTGCATAGCCCCTCCCGACGTCTATATAAACACCCCTCCCGAGCAAGACTTTTGTGATGGCCTCCAGAACCACGGAAGGGCATTGCCAGGTTGACCCCCTCGGTGATCGAGACCAGCGCCATTGTCGAGCAGCCCTGACAACGGCCTCATGACTATTTCAGGCCGCGGCCCGCAGTGCATTATCATAGCGTTGTCCACCCTGAACATTTGGATCAAGCCTTGTCTCGAGTGGGAACTTCACAATCGCAGTAGAGCCATTAGCCTCCGTGGCTGTCCTTACACAGAAGACAGTCGCTCTGTGTATAAGCATGGCTATAAGTTAGCCACACCTTCACTTGGCACTACGACTGCCTGTGACCACACTTTCCAGGACCATCGATGTTGATACCCCAATATTAGCACCGCAAGCACAATTCTAGTATGAACGTGAGCCAGGGAAGATGTGAGTGTTTGTAGAGCGAAACGATGAACGCGATAGTCAGATCATGAATGTCAGCGGCTTTGCTAGCGACAGGAGCTTCTTATGCAATGCCTAAGGTACGTGGTCAACAATACAGCCTGTTCACAGTTAACGAAGTACTGGAGATGTGGACGTGATGAATGACGGTGTACAAGGATCCCCGAAAATAGGGAGTAGGCCTCAGCCAGCATTTTACCAAATCCCAAAAACAGTTCGGACAAAAATGGCGAAATTTTGCGCTAGGGGTTCGGATCTGCCTCTGGTTTTGGGCCAAATGGGCATGATTTGGCCAGACGGCAGCATCAGGCATCCCGGCATCCGATGCCTAAAATCGGTCGGATTGCTCAAAAAACCAATTTTCTTTCCGGACAGCTTGGATCTGGCCTCTAAACCGTGGAAGTGTTCGGACCCCCCTATTTTCGGGGGTCCTGGTGTACAGTAAGTATGGTGGGTCTTACAATACAAGTTGATGGTGCTTGACGAGTTCAGGACGGCCGGACATACAGCATGCTGAAATATCAGTGTAATGGACCGCGGTAGCCACAACTCGTAGGTTGGGAGCAGGGGTTGATGCCGAGTGCGCATCTGAATCAACTCCATTCTCAAGCATGAGCGTGAAATCTAGCCTTGAGTTGACGATATACCGCGATCTGCTGTGCAGTGCCATATTGTCTACACACCTCCTAGCGACTTGCTATATTACAAAGCATGACAGGTTCGTGCACGATCCGATGATCAACCCAGTTTACTCTTCAAATATATATCGGAGTAACTAAATTATAATACCCACTTCAATCGGAGAACCCAAACTCGCCACCGAGCGTGTGTACTTGTTAGTCAAATTCTCGGCCACCGTCAACGTTTATCTATGAGTGATCATCAGCTTACAATACTCGCCTAAAAAGCCGTGAAAATATCATCACGCACGCATTGTCCTGTGATAAGATGCGCTTCCTTGGATGCGAGGAAGGAGGCCACTGCGGCGATGTCATCTGGGACGCCAACCTTTCCAAGTGCAGCGGCTTTGTTCAGCTACGTTATGGATTAATATCCTTTTGAATTCTTGCGCATAAAAAATAACTCGCCTCTTCTTCGAGCGTACCGGGAGGTCCGCCGATGATGACTTCGAGATCGTCATCTGAGGCGAGGCACCCATCAGCTTCGGTTCACGAGGGTCGTATCTAGCAAGAGACGGACACATCTGGGTCTTGATGGGCCCAGGGGCGTACGCGTTGACGGTGATCCCGTGCTTTCCCAATTCCAGCGCTGATCACGATCGACACGGTGAGCTACGTCGTTTCTACGTGATAACGGAAGGAAAAGGCACACACCTGCAGTTTGCGTGAGCGAACGGATACCGAACTTGCTTGCAGAATAGGCGGCCAGGGTTACTTGGCCTTACGAGCCTCAAAACCCACGTCTTATGGCTTAAGCGGCTTGAACATACCTTTCTTCCCCGCACCGGAGCATGCCCCTAATACCGAGAAGATATTTAGAATCGAAAGATACACCGTTGAGCAAGGAACAAATGTGTACCAATGATCCTACCCCCTCTACCTTGAACAATCATTTGCTTCGCTGCATACTTGTAGCAGAGGAAGGTTCCCCGAATATTAACGGCAAGTATACGATCCAATTCATCGGCGGTAGCTGGAATAGGTCCATTAGCTGGCCCAAAAGCGACTGTGCAGCGTTTAACTGACTTTCGATGAAACTTTTCATCAGCACAATCCCTGCATTCGCTACCATCTGAAGTCTCATCAGCGGCCCTGTTACTGAAGACACGATCGAGACAAAGGATGTTCCTCACGACGTCGAGCCCGCCCAGATTTTGAACTGCCTCTGACACCATCTTCTCGACCTCTGTTTCTTGTGAGACATCCGCAACGATATATCGTGCACGACGACCTGTGCTTTCAATGAGAGATGCTACCACCTTCAGGCTGTCCAGGTTTGCAGGTATGTCGTTGATAACAACATCAAAGCCGTCTGAGGCGAGACGAAGTGCGACCGAGCGACCGATTCCTCTCGCGGCCCCAGTGACTAGCGCGACGCCCTTGGGGGATGGGGAAGACATATGGCGAATTCAGACGTGGATTGTTGGAGGAATGCTTATATGTGGGCGTAGCCTGACAGGGTCTGAGCGTTTGCTTTCAGTCAGATGATTCGCATCATGTAGTACACGCCGTAACAGGTCCTGTATTCTGTTCCGACGATGGGCGCCATGTCTTGCACCGAAACGAGGATTCATCCAAAGATTAGAAGAGCTGTCAGTTATAGACTGCATTTAAACTATCTGAGCGAAGTGAAGCAGGCGAGAGGCGAGCAGGGAGCGAAATGCAGGACACTTACCAGATATAGGCTACAGACTTTTTATGCAATGTGAATGAGGCATCGAGGACTACGTTCACTTAATGTTCGAGCATCCCGTCTCCTAGAAGTTGGGACGAGCTGGAGAGGCTGCGAGTAAACCAAAGGACATTCGCCTCAAAAGAGCAAAAAGAACAGCAATGACGTGAACATGCTCGCCGCAGACCGCTGCCGATTCGGCATCTCCCGACAATCCCGCCCAGGCTCTTCCAGCAGCTCCCGCCGCGGTACTTGCCCAGTGCCCACCAGTATCCGACGACGAACAACACAGCTCGCAGCACCCGCGTCGACGCACGCAACCGTCCGACATGACGCTGACGGGCAGCCCGGACGTCCATCCGCACGCAATGCCCTCCTGGGGGGGCGCAGACTCGATCGCCGAGGGCCTCAATGCGCTTGAGACGTACAGGAAGAAGGATCCTTCCAAAGGTGCGCACGCGCGCCTCTCATGCGTCTTGGGGCTTGCAGCGCTGACTGACATACTATGTGCTGATGATCGGGCTTGTGGTCGTGGTCGTTGATGTGGACATTGTTGAGTTGAACAGTTGTCGTGCGCTTCAAGGCGGTCGGCAATGCACCAATCATGAAGCAGAATTTCTTCAAAGTGACAGTTTCGAATCGTTTCCAAGCAGTCATTCAATTTCTGCGCAAGGAGCTGGGGTGGAAGGCCGGGGAACCGTTGGTGCGCCTGTCCGTCTCGTCTATCGCAAGAACGCGCCCTGACGGAGACTCCGTTGTCGACGTGCAGTTCACGTATATCAACTTAGCATTCTCTCCCGCCCCTGACGATTCTGTCGCCAACCTATACCGGGTAAGCATATTTCATTTCTGTGTTGGATCCCTGTTAAAAGCAGATTTGCTCTCAGTCGTTTGCTACCGACGGCCACCTCATTGTAAACTATAGGTTCGTCTTGAATGTCACCCTTTTGCATCGTGCTGGAATGCTGATCTCTGGCAATGGCAGTACGACAGCTGCCTGGGGTTAATATGTACTTGTACGAAGCCCAATATGGGGCTCCCATTCTCTATTATCAGTAATACGGTCAGCAGAAATACACAACAAAGACATCTCGAACCGATGCCGAAATATTCTACAGCATACCCATCCGGCCATTCTGCCTCATTCATCGTACATGAACAAACTTGCAGACTCGTATCTCACGCGTTTTTCTGTTTTCACTTCGCCGTCCCGTAGTTCGTCTTCAGCCCGCGCTTCGGGCTCGGCTTCAACGGGATCTGCTCGTCGAGCCTGAACACGTCTTCTTCCCCGTGCGCATTGACCATCTCGTCCTCATTCTCGTCCATCAGGTCAATGTCTTCTTGCGCCCATTGTAAGAGCTTGGATTCGCTGATGGCACCCCGGAACCGTGAGCGGCGGAACGCGCGGACATAGGGCGCGAGGCGCTGGCGAACGGACGATGGAGGGTGCAGAAGAATATATCCGATGCAGAAGAATCCCGCGCTGTTCAGAGAGAGGTGTAAATGTCTTCGTAAATATAGTCCGATAGATCATTCGAAGGACGTACGCCGTGCAAAGCAAAATGGTCATCATCGACGCGCGGGAAGCGTGCTCGGAGACGGGCGGCGGCTGCGTAAATTTATCTTTATCGTCCTCTGGCGGTGGACGGTGGCCCTCGGTAGGCGGCGGCGTATGGTCTTTCTCGGGAGAATCCTCGGAGGGTGGAGGCGGCTTCGGCTGCGAGGGCACGGCCTGCGAACTCCCGCACGCATGCTTCGTCTTCCAGCTGAACGTGTGTGTCCCATTGAAGGTCCAGCCAAACATGGGCTCGGAAGACTAGGAACTCCGTGTCAATGGGACGAGATAAGTACGAGACGGGATCGGGGAGCATTCGGGGATACGGGCAAAAATAGCGCGCGCTGGGACACTTTTGGGGCACGGAATATGGGAAAAAACTCACGTCTGGAGCTTTGAGATCACAGATAAACTGGAATAGAGCCTTCTGTGGCGTATCCACATAGTATCCACCGTTAAGATGTACCCATAGAGAAGCTGTGAAAATGGGGTGCAGCTCAGTAAGGGTCGTTTGCGAGCGATGCGTTTAGGGCATGGGCACAGAGTGCGGACAGCGTGTAGTACGCACGAGGGGACTTTTCGTGCGCCTCGCCCAGCATCGCGTGCACGCTGAAGCGGCTTGCAGGCGCTGCGGACGATGCATCTTTTTCGGAGAAATTGGCAACTACTGGCACCAATTGAAGAATTCTGGGTGCCTCAGAGCGATGGTCTGGGCGACGGTTAATAGCTGTGTACGGTTGAGGACGGTGGTCTATACTATGAGGCTTGGGATCGCTCACTTGTCATGCAGAACCAAGTCCCTTGAGCACACTGAAAAAATGATATAATTTGAATGTAGGTCAGTTGTTTCCGGATTAGCAAGTTACGCGACGGTATGTACCTGTTCATGCTCAGGCAATGTGGTGTCCCTCTTCAGCGGTCCATCCAGGCTCAAGTCATATACGACCTTCGTCACGGTCGGAGGGGTCTGCCTCTCAAACTCGATCGTCTTCTTCCGCGCTTGCGCGCTCTTGAACAGCGGACACAGATCGAATGTCAAGCGGCCGATCGTGAACCGGCAGTCTCGGGTGAGCGACCTGAGCGGGACCGGGTCAGACGCCGTCGCCGCAGAGGCCAGGGCGGAAAGCGTGAAGATGGCGACGACGAGCATCGTGGTGGTTGTGGACGGCGAGGGCCTGGTGTATTTTTGTCATGGGAAGGCATGCTGCATAGATAGTCGTCCTCGGCATAGCGCTAGCTCCCAAAAGACTCTCAGAGGTGGAGCCAAGCCGCAAGCCACGTGCTCATCAGCACCTGTCCTCAGTCTGTCCTCGGACTCTTCCCGCTCTTCTTCCGAACGCTCGCGCCCTTTTGTCCGAGTCAGCTGGCCGTTCTTTCTAATGCGTGGCCATTTTCTGTGCCTTGTCTTCCACTATCTGGAGGGTGTTGAACGTTGAAAAGCTGCATAGACCGCTGGGACCATGATGCGTTTGTCTGTGCGAGTGAGAGCTACGGGGTCAATAGAGCTCTCCGGCGTGTGTTTCTTGCGCAATATTCTTATCTTCGGCGCAATACTTGCATCCTATGAGGGGTTCTGGGCAGAGCCATGGAAGAACTAAAACTCAAGGAGGCTTTCGTATCTTCGCCCTGGCAGAGCATGGCGGAAGGCATTGTTGATTGGCTCGACCGAACGAGGGTGTGGTTCTCGAACAGTCATGCTTGTGATCACCTACAAATCGACTCGATTCACGAACGGGCCGGGTCATATTGAATCAACAGGTTCACTTCTCAACTTCGCGCCGACCGCTCTGCATCCCCGTCACCTGAGAGGCTGGCAAATGATCATGTCTCGAACCATCCACGTTGTTTTCAGCAGGTATCACCGGGATCACCTGGGCATATTCGAATGATCGCCGCCTTTTGAGTTTTCCTGGGCTCCGTCGCCGTTTCTTTCGAGCTAGCAGAGTGGGACTTCGAAAGCATCGGCACTGCGTCAGCCCAGCCTCGTGATATCAGCCAATTTACTTGACCTCATTTCACGTACCTGTGTGCCAGCCATGAGTCTTCAAGGCGTCATCCACCGCCCGCACGGTCCGCTCGGAGTCGCATCTGCATGGAATGATCTCCCCGATCCCTCATAACTCACACGGCTCCGCGTCTTCTCGACGCGTTATAAAGCCTGGTGTGCATCGGCGCGTCCGTAACACCTCGCAATTGTCCCCCTCGTTCTTGCGGGAACGCTGCACGTACGTACGATGTCGACGCAATCTGCTAAGGCCATTGCGGCCGACGGTGTTGATCTCAAGTGGCTCGACGGGAAGGCGCCCAGTACCACGATATCGGGTGCTGCGTTTGGTGTTCCGTGGCCGCAGGGCGCAGTCGATAGGACTACATCCATTGCGCTCACGTCCTCAGATGGCAAGGGGGTTCCTGTGCAAACCTGGCCTTTAGCATAGTAAGTATCCCTATATATTCGCACCTGGCGTTTTCGATTTCTGATTTTTGCATACAATAGCTGGCCGGACGGAAGTCTGAAGTGGACGGGACACGCTTTGGCCGCGAGCGAAGGCTTGTCAGACGGGTATTATCTCGCACCTGCCACGCCCACAGAGCCTTCTGCACCTGTGGATGTCACCGACTCTAATGGAAAAATCACTGTGACGACCGGGTCATTCTCTGGTGTGCCCTAATCTATCTTCACACCTAATTGGATCATTGAGTAGAAAACGCAGCGGTTTTCAACAAGTCGGGATCTACTTTGATCGACAATTTGAGCCTGAATGGCCAAACAAAAGCCAGCGCAGGGCAACTCATCATACACATCCAGAGTGCTCCCGACGAGCCTGAGCTTGCTGGCTCGAAACCTTCCGTACTAGCGACTGTTGGAAACATCCAATCTGTTACCGTAGAGCAGGATGGGCCCGTCCGCGCAGTTATCAAGGTGCTCATCCAAGTCGATCAAAGTACTTTTCCCCTCGAAGCTTATCATCTTTGCAAGGTCTCTGGCAATTATCAAGGCGACGGTCACGAGTCGTTCTTGCCTTTCACTGTCCGATTTTACGTTTCCGCAGGGTCTACCGCGATTCGGATTGTCCATTTCTTCATCTACGACGGCGACCAGTTTAGCGACTTCATAAAAGGAATTGTAAGTAAACCTACAACGATCTACTTTACATTCTCTAAATCTATTTTATCTCTCAGGGCCTGACATTCTCTGCACCTCTGACTGACGAGTTGTACAACCGGCACGTTCGCTTTGTCACTTCAGAGGGCGGAATCTGGGGCGAAGCTGTACGTGGGCTGTCAGGACTACGTCGCGACGCCACCGCCGCGGTCCTCACACCCCAATTCGAGGGCCAAGCGACGCCCGACATCTCCACCTGGGTCACGACCATCTCATCCGAGATCGACCAGCTGCCCGTCTGGTCCGACTTCACGCTCGACCAGCTCTCGCCCGTGCACTTCACCGTCGCGAAGCGGACGAATGCGGGGAGCAAGGCGAGCTTCCTGCGGAACGCGGGCTTTGGGGACAAGGCGGCGGGCGTGGGCTACGTGGGCGGGGCGACGAATGGGGGCGTCGTGTTTGCGCTGAAGGACTTCTGGCAGGGCGCACCGAGAGGGCTTGATATTAGGAATGCCGGAGATAGCACGGGCACTGTTACGCTTTGGGCGTATAGTCCGAGGGTGAGCGAGGCACGTCTTCTTGCTCTACATTACTTGCTAAGATCATCCCTGTCAAATAAAAGGCACAAGCTATGGATATGAGGCACTACGACACCGTTGCTCATGGCGTACGTGTTTCTATACTACGACTCTAGATAACTTTGACTCACACCAGTGCCGCATTGTACAGCTTGACCTCACTTACGAAGACGTGGGTGACCCAGACCCCAACCCTATTGGTGTTGGTCGTTCCTACGATATTACCCTACAAGTGGTACCTTCCACTCCATCCCGTTCAGATCTCGCTGCATTTGCTTCAATTATCGTATGTTTCAACACCCGTTCAGCACGAGATCAACGTTTTACCATGAATTGTATAATCAGGCTCAAACTCCACAAGTCATCGCTTCTCCTGAATTCTACGTATCCCGCCATTTGTTTGGTGGCAGATGGCGAGTGACAGAAGTTGATCCAGCCTCGAAATTCCTCTCATGAGACGTACCATAATTGTTAGGAACGTACCAGACAAATCAACTAGCGGGGCCAACGCTATCGAGAAACAAAAGAGTGATCTCCTAGACTTTTATGTTGCCGTGCGCTTTCTTGCTTAAACTTCGCATTTTCTATCTTACTTGACTGACACTTTTGTTTACAGGAGGTGTCTCAGAGACAATTCTATGGATTCTGGGACTATGGTGATGTTATGCATACATATGGTATGCCATTGCATCACGATTGTAAATTTTCTTGTTCACAAATACTGCTTGCTACGATAGATCAGACGAGACATACATGGCGATATGATGTCGGCGGATTTGTGAGGCTTACTTGAGCTTCCGAGTACATGCAGATACTGACATCTCCAAGGCATGGGATAATGGCGAAATAGGTCAGCATGATCAGCGCTCAACCTGGTTGTAATCCTGACGAAACTTGTGAAAATTGTCGCTTGTAGCCACGGACCTCTGGTTATGGATGTCTTTCCTCCGGACAGGACGCGCAGACGTCTTCCGCATGGCGTCTGCAATGACGCGTCACCTTTCAGAGGTCGACTTCCACCACATCGGGCCCTTCGCTGGCCTAGGCAGTCGCCACCATGTCACTCACTGGGGAGACGGCGCCAAAGAAGCGCGCATCACAAGCAGTACGCTGAAGCGCCCATTCTACTACCTCACTAGTACGTTCGCCCTCCAGACCATCCTGCATCTGATTTAAGTGCTTGTATCAGCGGACGAGTTGATCGGCGACATCATGGAGTACTCGCTTCAAGCCGACCAGACCTTGCTGAAGTGGGAGCCCTTGCGCAAAGTGTCTGCTCTGCCACCCCAAGCTCCCAGCCGTGTCCGCATCGGGCCAGACTGGACAGCGCTGGCGGGCAACTGGTTCACGCAGTGGGAGCGGACAAACGACCCGAAATGGAGAGATCGTATCAAGGTCGGCATGGTACGTATCCGATTGATTTTTGGATACAACATGACCTGTCTTGACTGATTGCGCGGGCAGACGGACATCGCTGGGTTCAAGTACGGCTTGTTCACGGGAAGCGCTGCCGCCGTCGGATGGTTCCCCGATACTGCTCATCTTGTAGACGAAGGCGGGGAGGGTACCTCAACGTAAGTCTGTTTCGAACGTGCGAGCCGCTCAACGCATAATGTACCGTTGCAGATACCATCTGTCCATGGTGTTCGGTGGCGGCGAGTTCCTCATGGAGCTTGTCGAGACGATTACGGACGTGCCAGGCTTTGACTCTGCATGGGTCGACTTCTGCAAGTACTATAATGCGTCTAATGCAGAGTACGTGAGATCTGCTTCCCCCAATGAGTTCAGACGCTCATGTCTATCTGCCCAGCCAAACCGCGCGGTACGGAAAGCCAATGACCGCACGGACTTTCTCCTACGTGAGTGACTCAACGATATCCCCACGAATGACCTTGATAACTGAAGCTTTTTCTTGCCATCTTTTTGCTTTCATCCGGCAAAAAAGTGGTATGCAAAACTCCAAGCATATGCAGGTTCGTCTGTCCCTAAATGACTTTCGCTCCATCAAGCGCCCGCACGCTGACCGGATCATCCTCCAGGAGAGCGGCTCAACGACGACTCGATCAAACAAGCCGCCTGGGCTGTCCTCAACGCCAACAACATCGGCATTTGGCCCGCCGTCACCGAGGTCGGCGGGACCGACGTGCCCAATCCCGTCAACGAGGTGCGCGAGCCCCCTATCACGCCAAATCCTCTTGTAGCGCTTCTGAAATTCTACGCGCTAATGTTTGTTGGGTATGGTGCAGATCGTTAACGTCGCCACGAACGACGCCGCAGGCCTCTCCCTCACACAATACGCTGTGCTTGCCATCGCGCCGCAGTTCGCGCCTAACAGCTTCATTAGTGCGGACCTCCCCGTGCTCAGATCCTCAGCGCACACCGCAGAAGGCGATGAGGCGACGCTCAACGGGACCGCCACCATCACCAGTGCCGACGAGGACGTTAATGAAAAGCGCGGGGCCAAACTCGAATCGAGCGCACATGCGGTGACGTCTGGCGGGCGGAGGAAGACGAAGGCGCTGTGGAAGCGGGCGCTGTGCCTGCAGTGACGGACACGGGACTCAGTGTAGCACCGATATCAACTGGCAGTTCAAGGCGACGAGTCGATTCGAAGCGACTGTTCGTATGCTGGTCTGCTGATCGGCGATATATCAGATGCGCATGTATCTCCGCGGTTTCTCGCAGTTCAAAGTATCTGCTGACTGCGTTTCCAAGCAACCGAGTCTCGAGTATGCATGTTCATGCAGTAGGCTGTGGGCCCATGGACACCGCTTCCACGCTCACAATGCAAGACAGCGGGCGTGCTTGCGCCTGTGCGAGAGTTCGACGTTTAGCAGCAGGCACGTGCGAACATCCTACCCCAATGCACCAATTGTTTCAAGCAGGTGCTCAAGCTCAAGGAGAGATGATGAGTATGAACGCCACGAAGCCGCGATCACGCATTCGCCCCGACATCACGCGAAGAGGAGTCAAATGAGTGCGCAGCCAGACGCGTCGTAATAGAAAAGACAGACAGGAGCAAAGGAGGCTAGATCACACACAACAGGAGACTAAAGTAAACAGACAAATAGCCATACAGCCAGACAGACAGATAAGCAAGCGACCAGACAACCAAAAGAGGGACACAGATCACGTTAGTCGTCTCCACGTTCGAGCCCTTCAAAGGTCCCGACTTGTTTTGTTTTTCCCTTCCTTTAATACAAGCCAAGGCTGCCTCCCACCCTCCACTCAATACGGATATCATAAATACGCGCGTCGGACGCACGATCCTGCCGACGCGCAAAGAGTTCAGGAAAGTTCAGAGGCTGTCGACCCTACAAACGCCATCACAGCCACGGCAACACGACGCAACGGCCCCTCCAGTCAGCGCACTATACGACAAAACGACGACAAACAAGAAAGAAAGAGGAGCAGACGCACGTCCTCCGGTCAAACGTCAGCGGCTCCTTCGAGTCCTCAAATTTGTACGTGCTCGGACTCGGCCCGGGTCCGTCGAGCATCCCGCGGTGCAGGTGCTGCTGCGAGTCCGTGCGGCGATCGATGCTCGTCTGGACGACGATCTCGAGCGGCTCCAGGCGCTGCGATGAAATCAAGAAGGGAACGTCAGCTCAGGTCTTTTGATGACATATGATTGAAACACGAAGATGGAAGAGAAAGGTAAGAAGGCGCGACGAGATGAATAAAATGGAAGTCGTCCCCAAGACACATGGCAACAGCAAGAACAACATCATAGAACAGAAGCGAAGCGCGAAATGAAACGCACCTTGCCGGTCCCAGGACGCGTCGTCTCGTCCGTTGTCGACGGGCGATTGTTTGCGCTCGGGTGCGTGATGCGCGACAGGTGGATCGACACGCCCTCGGACACCTTGTCGCGCAGCAGCTCGCGGTTGTTGAGGCTGTCGCGCGCAATGGCACGGAGAGGATGAAGATTGCCGACGCAAAAAAGAAATGCGAACAGGGGTACAAATAGCGATGTTGCACCATCAGCCAGTCACATAGGAATGAAACAGAGCGGGGAAGACGCACATCGCGAGGTACGCATTGACGTACACTGCTCGGATCCGAAGACGAACATGGTGAGATCAGAGCTACTATACACCACGAACAGGCACACGCACGTTTGCTTAGCTGGATATAGAACGCGATGAAAACCATGTTATTCGGCATAGCCGCGTACTATATGTGCGAAAAAAAAATCAGCATGCGTCCCGAAGTATATTTTACCTGCTGGAGAGCGAGCCTGAAGCAAGGGAAGGGAGAGAATGTCAAAGAAAGGACTGACTAAAATCATCCCAAGCGTTGCGTCGACGCTGTTCGCGGGGGCATCGAAAGACAGCACCGAAACAACAAAGGAGACAATGCTTTAGTGACAATCGCTAGCCCTTGGCGGACACCCAAATACAAGCAGAAGACGCACGCAGTGAGCAAGCCTATACGCATCGTCAGCAAAATCACGAAAGCAAAAAAAAAAGTGAAAGAGGACGCACCAGTGTTGATGGTATACAACATCAAAACATTGATGATCGAATCCGTACGCCTGCGGCACACGAGAAACAACACAAAACATGAGTCGGACCCACGCCCGCGCCCAAAAAAAAGCAATCGACAACTCGAATAACGCACAGGTTGAACCCGCCAGTGCGCGACTTGTTGAGAAAGTAGCACAGCACGACGGCGATGTAGACGTCCGAGGACGTGCCCGCGGCAAAGTTGAGGTAGAACAGCGTCTGCAGGACCCGATCGGGCGCGTTAGCGCCGGCGTCGCCGTCGAAGGACGGAGAGAGGGACGCACGGAGAGCTTGGACAGGTTCTCGATGGACGATAGCGAGAACGCCTTGACGGTGATGACTGATCGCGCATACGACGGAGTGCGTGCGAAGACAAGGCGAGCGAGGTCAGACGCATGGAAACGCGTTCGAGAGGAAGAACGCACCAAGGCCGACGACTGTATGCGCACACAATTAAGGATACAAGTGGGCACCGACGCATATACGCGCATATATCCATACGAAGGAGATGAACAGAAGAATGAAAGAAAAAAAGGCAAAAAGGGACGCGGAAACGTCAGCACACTCCTAATGGCGGCGAGCAAAAAGCAGATGATTGTGCGATCGGATCGGGAGGATCGGGAGATAAGAGCTGCACACCAGCGGCTGATCGGAGGACGATGGCAATGAATCGGAACCATGATCCTCTCGCCACAACCCGCCAGATCCGCCGAAGCGAAAAGCTGGGAACAAGCAGAAAAACAGATCGCAAAAGCGAAAGCACACGCACCAAGATCGAACGTCGAGGTCGCCAGCTACGAACCGCGACAAGTCAGTGCGCGTCCCGCTCATTTCAAAACAAGACGCAGTCGGGGTCAAGGACGGGGATGAATGAAAAGGAACGTACGACGAGCCCGGTCAAGATCATGTTCTTGTTGCTCACTGTGAACAACGTCAGCATTCACGTCGCATCCATCCGATGAACCCTCCGAGCGCGAGGATAAAAGGACACGGGACTGAACAACAAGACAAGTGAAGCACGCACGTCTATATATCCGCCTGGCGAACATCCTAAACACGTACACAAGTGAGTCAGCATGGACGCGCGTGCAGGACCACAGAGACCCAAAACATGGATCCGAGCATGAGCGGGCAGAGAGCGAACAATGGAGCTCGCTGGCCGGAAGAGGTATGGGCGGGGAGAAAAGAAGACGACGTACGCTCGGACGAGGAAATCGGTGATCGACTGCACGTGAGCGGGCGGGCGCGCATGAACGCAGAACTAAGATCAGCCAACGCTGTCGCTCGGTCGCACGTGCCCGAGCGCACCGCGACTCAAAAAGACAAACGCACCGTGATCAAGACGTGGATCTGCACGAGCAAGTGGGTCACGTTACGGACACCCAAGCGCCGTCAGTGCGCGAATCGCGAAATACGGGAAGAGATGGGCAGACGCACCAGGAGACTCCTACGCGTTGCACATGGGCATACGCGGGGACGCACGCACGAAAGGGGAAGTCGCAAGTCAGATTCGACGCTCGAAGGCCCAGAGGAGAACAAGGAGAACACGCGAATCTGGGCACGGAAGGTATGGAAGCATGGAAGCGAGGAGCATAGGGACATATAACCCGTCCTCGGAAACCAGAGATGGTACAGCTTCCCACGGCCAACATGACACGAACGGACAAATAATGAGGAATGACACGCACCAGACGGGCTTGACGGTGAGCGCAGCGGGGGTGGCGAAGTTCGAGATGAGGTAAAAGTACATCATGTGCGCGTCAAACACGAACTCGAGCGTGTTGAGCAGCCTGAGCGTGGGGCGCCGCGATGCAGGGAGCACGAGGAAGGATGGAAGCGAAACGAGCGTCAGACCACGGGACAGGTGGAGCGAGAGACGGGGAGCGCGAACCATAGGAGGGCGACCTGTGGAGCGACGAGAACAGATCAGCGTTGGTCCAGCGCAGACGAAAGTTTAGTAAGACGCTATGACTGTGGACAGAGGTGTTGCAAGAGGTGGTGGGATGGAAGATGACAGGGAAAGAAAGAGAAGGGACGCACGAACGCCTTCAGCGAGGGCCGGTCGCCTGCGCCGCGCTCGTAGTAGACATAGGTCTGGGTGCATGTAATGCCGTAGAGTCTGTATGCGGCCGACGATGAGAGGCAGTAAGCAGGAGAAATGCGGCGGAAACGAGGGATGGTAAAGAAGAGGGGACACACATGCCGCTGATGAGCCCGCCGACGAGCAGCGCGCCGAGGGTGTTGTCAAACGAGAATGCAGAGAGCACGGTCGACATCGCCTTTCCTTATCGTTCGTCCTGTCGTGTACTTTCGTGTGCGTTCGTTTCGCGCGTGTCCTGCCTTTCTTTCTTGCTCAGCGCGAGTCCTCCGGCGCATGAAGGTGGGAGCCCCTGGACGCACCGTGAGGAGAAGGTGAAGCGAGCGAGCGAAACGGTGAGCACCGGGTGAGAGGAGGGGGACCAGGCAGCGTCGGAGGGAGGGAGGAGTAAAAGAACGGTCGACGAGGAGGATCGCTGAGGAACGTGAGTGCGGACATTCCCGTATTCGGCGCCGCCAGCCGTCCGACGTCCGGCCTCCATGCAGCTCCATTTCCCACTTGTCTTCTTTTCCTTCATTTTTTCTTGACCGCCTTCCTGGGCCTTGCATTTGTCTACCATAGTCACCCCTCCTCCGCAACAGCAACAGCCCGGCCTCCACTGGCCTCCATTGCCCCCTTTCCAGAGCCTCTGTCACGAGCCTCTGTACGTGCTAAGTCTCTACACAACGTCGCCACGCCACCTTGCACGCAAGCACCGACCTCCAGCACTTTTGTCTTGGCGTTTGATCTTTCAGACTTGAGAGCAACAAACCCGACGGACGACAGCGACACCGTCCCAGGATACCGAGTGACGCCAGGATGCCGAGTGACGAGTGGTGATCACGACTGTCAACACTCTCCTGAAAATCTTACGGGAAAGAAAATACCCATCATGACAGCCTGTGCCCGACGAGCGCAACATGCTCTCTCGGGACAGCAGCGACGCGCCCTTGTTGGCGGTCTGTAATGCACACACGCAGGCGAAGGGTGCTATGCGGCATCGGGATTTTTATTATCCATGACATACGTTCATCCGCTGCCAAACTGATCCTCCCCTTCATAGTGCCATCTCGACCTATCCACATCCGGTGGTGATCGTCTCTCCCTCACCGGCTCTTCCCATGGAGAGTCCGGAAGACAGCGTCCTACGCGCAATGCACGACGCACATACAGTCGCGTCGCGTCCAGCCCCCTCCAGCCCCCTTTACTTCTTCAAACTTTATATTTCGTATGCAACTCACAGCCTTCTCGCGAAATTTTGTGTCGCTTCGTCCAGCTTCGTCCTCGGAAATTCGCAAGGTACGCTGGGCACGGCATTGGAGGGCATTGGCAGGCTGCGGCAGTTTGCGGCGGCGGAGATTGGCGGGCCGGAGCCATTATCCTGATTTGGATTAGACTTTTCCTTCTGGTCAGATCGGGTCTCTGGCATTTCGGTTTTCGTGTCCAAGTGGATCTCCGGCGAGTGCTGGGCTTACACCAGGCGAGTTGTCTCTTCTGTTCTGAGATGATAACAACGACGACGACGACGAGTCTATATAGTATGAACTGTGATGTTTTTGGTCCCACCATCCCCGCATGGGCTCTTAAGATCGATCATGCATGTCACAGGCCCATGTGGTTTCATCTGCTAATTATGCCCATGTCCCCCCAGTTTTATCGACCATATTTGCTCCACTGGCACCAGGTGCTAGTCGCTATTGCTAATCAACCCAGACATGCAGTCGACTTGCCTCATTACCCGGGTGCATCCCTTAGAAGAGCTACTCACAGAATGCGTTCGTACACGCTCGGTGCGAGTGGTGGACTCGGCCTGGGCTGCGAGGGGAGGATAATATATGTTATGCGCAGGTTCGTGCGATGACTCCACAGTTTTTAGCATAGTGGCATGAGACCGTCGTTCTCCGCTCCCCCCTCCCGCTCACCATCACATACGGTTCTCAGGGCGATCTGCATTGTACGTCGGAGAAGCTTTGATATAGCGATCTCGTCTCTTTTGCATCTCTATCAGCCTTTATTGAGCCGTCGCCCGATCCGGAGAGGGACGCAAGCGTGAGTGTGCGTGCCGGACCACAGAATTCCGGAAATAGACCCGAGGGGATGAACGGGCAGAGAGCGAGCAATAGAGGCAGGGTGGGAAAGCAGACGACGACCCTCAGACGAGAAAATCGTTGATGGACTGCATGCAAGCGGGTGCGCACACACAAAAGCAGAATCAGGATCTCCCATCGCCAGCGCTCGCGCCCACGTGCCCGGGCGCACCGCAACTCAAAAAAGACAAACACACCGCGATCAAGTGGGTCACGTTACGGTACGCCCGCGCACCGTCAGCGCGCGATTCGGCGAGAGAGGGGCAGACCAAGAGTCTCCTACGCTTCGCGCACGGGCGAACGCGGGCACGCACGCACAAAAGTAGGAACAAGTCAGATTCGACACTTGTAGGCCCTCGCAGGCCCAGAGGAGAACAAGGCAGAAACACATATCTGGACAGCAAAGGCACAGATGAATGGAAGCGAGGAGCACAAGGTCGCAAAACCCAACTTCAGAAACCAGATATGGTATAGCTTCCCATGGGCGACATGGAACGAACGGACAAACAACAAGGAAAGATACCCACCAGACACGCTTGACGGTGAGCACGGCGGTGGTGGCGAAGTTCGACCGTACTCTCTGCATTCTCGTTCAGCACCATCAGCACGCTGCTCGTCGATGGGCTCATCAGCGGCATGCGCGTCCCCTTCTCTGCCGTCCCTTGTTTCCGCCGCATTTTCTCCTATTTGTTCCCTTAATTGTCGGTCGCATACAGACTCTACGGCATCACATGTACCCAGACCTATGTGTACTACGAGCGCAGCGCAGGCGATCGGCCCCCGCTCAAGACGCTCGTGCGTCCCTTCTCTTCCACTGTCATCTTCTATCCCATCACCCATTTTTGCAACACCTATGTCCACACACCTCGCGTCTCCCTCGACTCTCGTCTGCGCTGGACCAACGCTTATTTGTTTCTCGTTACTCCTCAGGCCGCCCTCCTATGGTTCGCGCCCCCGTCTCTCGCTCTGACCTGTTCCGCATTCTGACGCTCTTTTCGCTTCCCCCCTTCCTCGTGCTGCCTTGCATGGTGGCGCCCCGCGCTCAGGCTGCTTAACACGCTCGAGTTCGCGTTCAACGCGCACATGATGTACTTCTACCTCATCTCACCGCCTTCCTCTATCGTTTGTCCTGTCGTAGACTTTCAGGTGCTTTCGTTTCGGGAGGGTCTTGCCTTCCTTTCTCACACAGCACGAGCCCTCCGGCCCATGAACATGAGCGAATAAGTGAAACGAGCGAGCGAGGCGGTGAGCACCGGGTGAGAGGAGGGGGACCAGTCACTGTCGGAGGGAGGGAGGAGTAAAGGGACGGTCGACGGGGAGCATGAGAAGGGATACGGCCGAATTCGGCGCCGTCAGCCGTCCTTCATTTTTCCCCATCGCCTCCCTGAGCCTCGCATTCTCCCACGACAATCCCCCCTCCTCTGCAACAGCCTGGCCTCCATTTCCTCCCTTCCAGAGCCTCGGGCACGAGTCTCTGCGATAAGTATCTGCACATCGTTGCGATGTCACCTTTGCATCGTCCCAGGGTCCCGAGTGACAGGTGATGGTCACGACTGTCAACACATTCCTGAAAATCTTACAGGACATAAAATGCCCATCATGACAGCTTGCGTGCGCGCACGAGCACGACATCCACTCTCTAGACAGCAGCGACACGCCCATCGACGGCGGTCTGCACACATACGTAGGTGGAGGGTGCTATGCGGTACCGAGATTATTACGACCCATGATATACACCCATCCGCTGCGAGACTAACCCTCTATGTTGATAGTGCCATCTCGACCTGTACGTCACAACTGCACTTTCGCCTCATCTGATCTTGATCGTCTCTCCCGCGCTTGTTAGATGTGTACCTCGTCCTCTCGCCAACAGCTCAGAAGGCAGTGCCCTGCGGTGCCGTGTGCGCAGCACATGCATTCGCGTTGCGTCCAGCCCCATTCAAATGTTCACATCTCGTGCACATTCTATGCCATTTGCCGCCTAATCGATTCTACCGAAGCCTTAGCTCCATCGCCTTCTGGCGCTGACTCTGACAACTGAAACATTCACTCATCATGCGTTTATATTCGGCGAAGTGCACATTGCCTCCCATCAATCAGCAAAGGTGCTCGAGGAAACGACTCCGAGGAAATGACGGGAACGTGGAAGAGAATACACAACGTATGAATGTTCGTACTTTCTATTAACCATTCCTAGCGCAGCAGTCGTCGACTCGAGTCTCACTGGATTATTCCCCAGACAATGATTCTCATCTGCTGCCTCCTTTTTGACTCTGTGAGGAGCGCCTTTCTTTGGTCGGCCACCGCTCACATCTACTTTCTCGCGCCACTAGCTTGTCGCTCATCATGATCCGCACTTTGATGCGGTGTAAGGTTTCGGAACAATGGCAGTGCGCGCCGCGCAGGTCACAGTACATAAGACAGACAATATCGCAAGCTGCTTGCAAGTCGCCAGCCCATCGCCAACTTGATGTTCTACCCGGAGAAAATGCCTCAGTCCGTAGCAAGCGCTTCCGACCGACTTTCAGTCCTCAGCGAGCAGGTATGTGCAGCATATTATCGTCTCTCATTGTCTGGAATTAGTCAGAGATCGATCAAATAGCTGACTCACATTTTTAGACGCTTCAATCTCCCTTTCCATATCCGCCAACGGAGGAGAGCGTTAAACGAGCGTATCGAGCGCACTCCTTTACTAAATTGGGGCTCAGACTTTTATGTTCCTTCTGGCCCTGCAGAACCTCTGCTAGACGATTCCAAACAGAGGCCTATGTCATTTCGCAGAAGGTTCTATTATACGTACACTGCGTTTCTTGTCACTCTTGCTGTTGGACTAGAAATCATGCTTCATGAATCGAAGATATATAACGGCACGTTCTCTCACAATGCTCCTACGCATGGTTCACTACTAACAGTCTCAATTGTGAAATAGGATTTAACTACAGCCATTGGGGTATACTTGGGAATGAAGACTTTCAGATCCTGAGTCAGTTACTGCATATAACGCGCGTGCGTCATGCTTCAATATAATCGGCATACAAGTCACTACTCAAAACCCCTGACAGACAGCTATCCCTACCGCAGTCGCTATGATTGTGACAGGATTGTGGATGTGGGTAGATGCCGGAATCAAACGGTTGCAGGTGCGTTCACTCCATGTTATGATTTCAATTGATAGAACAATCGACGCATGAGTTTTCAGCCCTATGTGGATCTTGTTCACGGTGGCTCGCCCGCGAAAAGGAGCCTCCTGTTGGATTATACTCATATACAGTGCGTTTCAGTTCTAATGATCCATGGCTTCCATTGAACGGAAGTCATATGGTCACAGGCGATATCTTGTATGGTATACGGCGAACCGCAACAAGCATTACGCCATCTTTATATCGTCACTCGTGTTGATCGTCACGGCCACATTTCAATTTCTGGCGTCATCGCTCTTGATCGTTCAGGACATGCCGATAACGACTCAAAGTAAGTTCATCTTAGTTGTGTTTACTCATGTTGCCTAAGCGCTTCTGAAACTTTCGGATACGAGTTACGCCACCAGGCCACTGCTTTCATTTAATATGAATACGACGGACAACAAATATTTGATCAGTGCGTCTCTGAGTTTTGCACGCTGCGCGCTACGTGATGCGGGATTTGACTCTTTGCTGTGCTGTCCGCAATTGAGATGCCGTCGGAGCATCAGGTTATGCATCTGCTATATCTTTATTCGGACTTGATCCAGTGCCGTTCGTTCAGGGTGGTTATACTTTTGGAGACCTTGGGACAGCAGTAAGTGCTTGAGGTGTCGGAAATATCCACGGGTGGTGTGTGATGTACGCTCTAGCTTCCGATGAACCTGAACGCGACGGTGTGAGCATCGACCACTGTCATTCACACCCAAACCAACTGCATTGAACCAGACGTGGTGCGTACGAACGGGCGGCCTCTTGGCAACGGGACTGATTGTCCAGTCAGGTTCCTACCATTTATAGTGACAGTCTTAACAGTTCTTCATACCAAATTGACACAAAATTCCAAAACTGCTCTCAGACAACGAATTTTACCGCTGCCCCTGGGGACGGCATATACGCGATGGTACTTCCTTTCGAGCCTTGCGATGAAGATTCACAAGTTCCCAGACATTTCTGGCCGATATATGTCGCCCTTTATGCCTTCGAACCGAGCCCCGCCATATCGGTCACGAGGTGCTCGCCAACGATCACACTTCACAACGCCTCTGTCTTCATTGGCGTACAAGATTCCACAGTGCAGAGTGTCACTCTTCTGGAAGATCCACAGATGGATGAGGAAGATAACAAGCTGTCACAAAACATTTCTACCATTCCGGACGGCCTCTTGAGTGCAGGAGATTCGTTCATTGGGCTCAATGGATTTTTTTGGGATGAGTTGGCAAACCTTAGCGATCTGTACTGCGAAAAGACAATAATAGACCAGTTCAGAACGGTATTATGGATGACCGTGGAGAACGGGCCGGGGCTCGACAGGATATTCGCGCCACGCAACAACCTGACCTCGATCGTGGAGTCTTTATATGTGAGCGGGTCGGTGATTGATTGTGAGGCTCCGCTGACCTCGATGACACAGGAACCCTACTTGGCCATGCTCGCGCGAAGCTACTATTATACCGAGTACGACAACGTGAGGACGACATTGAAGATCACACAATTTGAACAGCGGCTCAGTATGAAGTGAATCTTGACCTTGTTGAGCTGATCGACACAGGCTGACAGGCATATACAGTGATGTCACGGTGCACTACCTTGCCCTCGCATTGGTCATGTTTGCGTGCGCTGGACTTGCTGTTCAGGAACTTCATAGACGAGATAGCCGAAAACTGCGTGTGTATTTCTTGCCTGGGACGATCGCCGCGGCAGCGGTTATCACGTCCGGGTCCGCATGGGCAAATGAACTCGACGGCCGGCAGAGCCTCGAGCAAGTCACTGCCTCGCTCGCGGAGAGGACTTTCACAATCGATCAGAAGGCGAATAAGATTGTGGAAGAGGATGAAGCTCCGGTGATTGATGGACGCAACAATTCCGGGCTCGACTTCGAAATGACGGCATAATACCGCTCGCAACGATTGGCGGACTCTGTTCTGGACAACATGTGCGTTACAAGGAGGATATTTGTGGGTTTTATCTACATGATTTGCGTTACATAACAGATTCTTTTAATGGCTAATGCTATAGACTTCAATTGACACCACTACAGCATATCTAAGAGTTCGTAGCCGAAATGCCTGGACACGGTCCTGAGAAGACCAGCCCTCGTGATTAGGGTTTGTGTACAACGCTGCCCAAATACTAACCGCAGGGACTCTCAGTCCCCTTGTTGACCGATTTACAAGGAATCTCACCCAGTATGTAGCTTACACAACAGTCAACGTCAAACTAATGCTCGACTAGCGAGCATAACGATTTGATCCTGCAAGGCGATGAAGGCTATCGGTGGTCCTTATATGGAGCGTCTTCTCCTACTCTCGCTGATAACCATATATGGTCATCGTTCTTCTCCGTGATCGACGAAATAAAAGGACCAGTGTGATATGCAGTGTGATTCACATTCAACGCCGGACCTGCACCGTTACTTACTGACATCGTTTTGACGAGCCGATCGACACTCCAGGTGAGGACTTACTAGCAAGGCGGAGGTTAAGCTCAAGCTATTCCAATGCGCATAGTGAGGGCGTATGCTGACGTTGTTCGCAGAAAGCCATATCTAATCTATAGTGAAAGCACTGCTGGACAACGAAGGGTGCATATCATCAACATCAGCGATCACCGTACTCTAGGGTAAGTGGTCGAGAGCTTGCTGTTTATCATTGTAAGCGCCTCGGCTTCATGTTTTGTGGTCCTCCTTGTTGATTGATGTGTCGAATCATACAGGCGTCTCGCACACGATGGACGGGCCTGACACCGCAGGGCCCTCTCGCCGCCACAGTTTCACGGACATGCACATACCCCAACCCTTACCCCTACCGCCACCGCGCACCAAGCACATTGAAAGAGGCAGAGGCAGGTATAGAGTCGGAATGGCTCGTCAAAGGACTACTATCGGCCAGAATAAGCCGAAAGATATCGATTCCCTCCCCGCCGAGCTCCTGGAGGAGATCTTCCATTGTTGCATAGAAGCCAACACGCCCTGGCACAGCACCAAAGACACCTGGCGCGCCGAGCGACGCTCCATCTCCACCTCCATTACTCCGTTGGGCGTTCCCAAATGGATCACCCTCACCTACGTCTGCCGGCGCTGGCGCCGCGTCGCGCTTCGCAACCCTCTCTTCTGGCTGCACATCCCCACCACCATCTCCCTCCCCTGGATTAACACCTACCTCGCCCGCTCGCGCAACCAATCATTGACTATCGACCTCGACGTCGTTCACATCGCCCCAGACGCATTCAGCTCGCTCGCCACCGCCGTGGCGCCGCGACTCAAAGCGCTTTACCTCGGCCGCGCGGGCTTCGATCACAGCGCCATCACCCTCGAGCGATACTGCGCCCCGCTCGCGAGCGTGCCCATGCCGAAACTCGAGTCGCTCGTGCTCGACATCAGTGTGCCCGACTGCGAGCTCCTCGACACCCTCTTCGCGTCCCAGGCGCCGCGCCTCCGCAGGCTCTGGCTCGGCCCGGGCGTCTTCGTGCGCCCGATCTCAACTCTCCTCCCGAACCTGAGGTACCTCAAACTCCAGACGGCGCTCTCTGTGCCGGAGCTGCTTTCAATCGTCAATCAAACGCCGCTCCTAGAGACGCTGTACATCGGTGACCTCCTGCTCTCCGAGTACGCGTTTCGCGACATCGGCACGCTCCCTAGAGATGCGAGAGTGAACCTTGCGCACCTCGCGCATCTGACGATCAAGCCGAGCCAGGAGACCCATCCCGCCATGTTCGTCGACGTGTTCGAAGGACTTGTACTCCCCGCGACCGTGCACGTCGACGTCAGCATGACCATCGAAGCGCCCGAGGAGATCACCGAGAGAGAGCCCTGGATACGGCTGCTCAGGCGCATAGGTATGCATCTCGATCTCATCCAGGGCTGCCTGAAGCAGCTGTACATCGACGCGCAGGTCTGGAATCCGTGCTCGCTCACCGTCGCATGCTATCCTGCATTCCTTGTCTCCGCACGGAGCCCTGCCGACGAGGGGCGCTCGCACCTAGACTCGGACATCGTGGGATGGACCGGCCACGGCTCCTGCGACAATAAGAAATGCCCGGCGCCCTTCCACCTGCACGTTACGTTCCTGGGCCCTGGCAAGTCCGTACCCCTCAACGACCTCGCCAACCTTCTCGATCGGCTCACGCCCGCCGACCTTCTCCATCGGTTCACGCCCGCCGACATGCTTAACATCGAAGCGCTGCGGCTTTCGCTCGCGCTCACCCCGTTCTTGGGCACCGACGCGCTCACGCTCACCGCGCGGGCGAACGATCTCGTGCCGTGGCGCAGGATGTTCAGAGGGGCTAGCATGACGGTGCTCAAGGTCTCGAAATATGCCGTCGTCGGTGCCTTGCGGGCGCTCATTCCCGAGCCCGACCCTGAATTCATGGACCTCGATGACGATGACGATGACGACGAGCCCGGAGATGCCCCAGCGCAAAAGTACCCCCCGCTCCCTTTCCTCGAGACGCTCGTCGTCGACAGCTCCATGCTTGGATGCAACCATTGGCAGAGGAACCAATGGCAGCCGGAACCGCTCGTGTTCCCGTTGCTGAGGACTGTGTTGGGAGAGAGGATGGAGTCCGGGTTCGCGCTGAAGACACTGGTGCTCCAGCATTGCGAGTGCGGGAGACAGTACGTGGAGTCGTTGTCGGCGTTCGCGAAGAATGTAGTGTTTAACAGCGGAGGTGCTATCGTGGAGAGAGAACTGTGATCGATGAGTTCGTGATGGACGCTGTGACCGTATAATCCGTGTATCATCAATCAGCCTCTTTGTACTCGACTGACTTGCGACCAGGTTCTGTACCAATGACATACCGAGAAGGACTTACCGGAATAATTAAACGTCGATGGACAGTCGTTCGGACACAACGGCACCTAGAAACGTGTATTTACACCCAGTCACGTGGACTCAGCGCGCAGAGAATATCGCTGCATCGCGGTCCGCGCAAGGTCACCTGCGCTGCACCTGCGGCCTTCGACGGGTTTGCAGAAGCCATGTAAGATATGACTTGCCGTGCGAGAAACGAGGAGCGGGGGTATAAGATCAGAGAGGGCGTCCTGCGCCGAGGCGCTCGGACGGTCTAACCTGTGAGATCGCACCAAGATCACCTTGCATCGAGCTGTGTGCAGGGACCATCGCAGTGCGCAAGCAGTGCCGCTGATGCATCGCACCTCCTGCTTCCTCACCGTGACCCTCCACCTCCTACTCATCACATCCCCCGCTTCGGCCCAAAGCACCGCCATCGACCGGCACGCCCTCGTGACGCGCTACAACCCCTCCCGCTCTTTCTCCTCCCTCTACCAAAACGCCTCCGCCCTCCTCAACTACACCACGCCCCTCTCCACCGGCAACGGCAACCTCGCCTTCAACGCCGACCTCACCGGCCTGCACACCCTCCTCCCCTTCCCCACGCTCTCTTCCTGGAGCTTCAAGAACGACTCCCTCCCGCCCAACCGCACGCTCGCGGACCTCGCCACGTACAGGGGCGTGCGCTGGCCCGCGCAGGGCGGGCGCACGGACGTGCAGTACCTGTTCGGCGTCGGCGGCGAGGATGCGGTGGTGGAGCAGTGGCTCATCGCGAACCCGAACCGTGCGGACTTGGGGCGCGTCGGGTTCGTGCTGCTCGATCCCGACGACGAGGCGCCGCGCGCGATCGGCGCAGAGGACGTGTCCGAAGCGCACCAGACGCTCGACCTCTGGACCGGCGCGCTCACCAGTACGTTCACACTCGCCCCCTTCGCCGACGCGCCGGTGACCGTACGGACCGCGTGCGACCCCGCCCACGACGCGCTCGCGATCGCGATCGCATCTCCACTCCTGGTGAAGGGAACGCTCGGCGTCTTCCTCGACTTCCCGTGGAGCGACGGCTCGCAGAAGTTCGGGGCGCCGTTCGTGGGGTCGTACGCGGCGGCCGACGTGGGGAAGCACGAAACAGTGCTGAGCGTAGGCGGTGTAGGCGGAGGCGGCGACGCGGCGAAGGCAATATGGGCGAGCGTGCGGCACACAATGAACGCCACGTTCCATACCACTGTGTACAGTGACGGCGAAGGGAACTCGTTTGCCATAGCGCGCGACGGCCTCGATACACACAGGTACACCATCCGCCCTGCGCCGCGCACAGGCGAGTTCTCCCTTGCTGTCGCTTTCTCGCCCACGCACCCACAAACCACCGCGCCGAGCCCGCATTTACGCGCCTTCGCGATCATGCAGGCGTCGGCCGCCGCCTGGACGTCGTACTGGAGCACCGGCGGCTTCGTCGACCTCGTCTCCGGCACGAACTTTTCGGATCCGCGTGCGGACGAGCTCCAGCGGCGCGTGATACTGTCGCGGTACTTGATGCGCGTGAACGCGGCGGGGGACGCGCCGCCGCAGGAGGTGAGTGCGCTCGTTGTCGAAGACCGATCTGGCGCTCACGCCCCACGCGCACCATCGAATTCGTCGCCGACGTAGTCAGGCCTCGTGAACAACGGCTGGGTACGTTGCCACCCTCGTCTTCCTATCAGCTCACCAGCGCTCACTCTCTCGACTGCGCGCGCGGCGACAGTATGGCAAGTTCCACATGGAGGAGTACTTCTGGCACGCCGCGCACTGGGCGCTCTGGTCGAACCAAGACATCCTCCGCCGCTCGTCCTCGATCTACGGACGTTTTCTCTCCAGCGCGCTCGCGCGCGCGCAGGCACAGGGGTGGGTTGGGCGGGACGGCAGAGGCGCAGGGGCGCGATGGCCCAAGATGACGGACGACACAGGGCGGGAGGCGCCAGGCGAGATCAACGAGCTGTTGATCTGGGAGCAGCCGCACGCTCTCGTGTTTGCGGAGTACGAGCGGCGCGCGGCTGTCTCGGCCGGCGCGGGCGGAGGCGGCGGCGGCGGCGGAAAGGCGGGGCCCGCCGAGCGCGCGGTACTGGAGAAGTGGGCGCCCGTCGTGCGCGCGACGGCGGACTGGATGGCCGCGTACGCCTGGCGTAACGCGAGCACGGGGTGGTACGGCCTCGGCGCGCCGATGTACGTCGTGAGCGAGGACACGGCCCCGAACGCGACGCGTAACCCCGCGTTTGAGCTCGCGTACTGGCGTTTGGGGCTCGGGCTCGCGTCGGGCTGGCTCGCGCGCCTCGGCGAGGAGGTGCCGGGGGGGTGGGAGGAGGTAAGAAAAGGGCTCGCGCCGCTGCCGCTGGAGGGTGGGCTGTATGCGGTGTATGAGGGCATCGGGGAGGGGTGGTGGGACGTTGAGGGTTACGTGGACGATCATCCGGCGTTGGTGGGCCTGTACGGGTGGTTGCCGGCGACGGAGGGGTTGGATTTGCGGGTTCAGATGCGGACGGTGGAGAGGGTGTGGGAGGGGTGGAATTTCACAAATTGTTGGGGGTGCGTGCGTCGTTGCGTTCGGTGTCGCGCTTAGCACCAAGCAATACGAAGCAAAACTGAACTCGAGCCATTCTTCAGGTGGGACTTCTCGATGCTCGCGATGTCTGCCGCGCGAATGGGCGAAAAGGAAAAGGCAGTGGCGTGGTTGCTGGACCCATTGTTCGCGTTCGACGAGGTGGGGATGCCTGTGGGTGGGGTGCGGGTGCCGACGCCGTATTTCCCGGGTGCAGGTGCGCTGCTGTATGCAGTCGCGATGATGGCCGGTGGATGGGACGGAGACGGGTATCCCGGGAACAGACGAGGGGAGTTCAACGGGTCGAGGAAGGGAGTCGGGTTTCCAGACGGGTGGGATGTGCGCGCAGAAGGGCTGATGAAGGCGATGTAAGGCAAAGGCCTTTACTTCTGTGCTAACACGCACATGTTCATGGGTATCGTCATGAGTCTCGACGGAGTAGTAGCTGGACGGAGCATTGAGTAGATCGTACGCGACGCCATAGCACGTGCCTCGGACATCAAAAATTACATTGCCGAACAGCGTGTCTCTTCGTCCTCGACTCACCATCCTCCGCACGCGGCCACATCCTCAACTGTTCGGCACGGGGTTCTGCGGTGGATCGAAAACGAAGCATTGATACCTATAACGCTCGCATTTGTCTCCGCGTTCTAGAAACGCCGCTTCCGCTGCTAGCGTCTGTAGCAATACTATGCTCATAGTGCTGATCAGTGGTCCTGCCAGAGGTTGTGGTACTACACGAAAGGTCGCGGAATTTCATGAAATGACCACCTCGGCAGCTCTATTACTACTTTATCGCTTTCTGTTTCTCACTGACTTTGCCACACGAGGTTTTAGGCGCTCGGTTCTTATCTTCGCCTCGCATCCACAGCCTTACTCACAACACCCGACTGCACTCCCCCCACTTCCCTCGTAGACGGCTCTCTAGCGTGGTCCATCAAGTCCAAGTGGGGATGAAGATACCTCACTCTCCTACATTCTTACCTTAAAGAGTGAGTTATAAAATCGGGCTTGACTTTTTATGAATGGTGATCTCAAGTCTTAGCTGGCGGCTGTCGATGGTTTGGAGGATATCATCAAGCTCTTAGTAATTTAAAACGAAGTCTATTTCGAATCCCTGGGCGAACGGCGTGGCATTGCTTTGTGTACAGCGGCATCTATTGGTTCCGAGTCTATCGTCAGGCATCTGCTCGAGTGGGGAGCGGATCCAGATGACCAGGGTGGATGGCATGGCACGGCACTGCATGCGGCAGCCAATCGTGGCTTCGAGGACATTGTTAAACTCCTGCTCGACAACGGAGCTGATCCAAATGTTCAGACTCGAGAACTTGGCACTGTGCTGCAGATGGCGGCAGCTCAGGGCTCCGAGGCCATCGTCAAGCTCCTGCTCGAGCAGGGAGCTGATCCAAATATTCAGGGCGGATTCGATGGTAGTACACTGCAGGCAGCAGCAGCTATTGGTTCTGAGGCCATAGTCAAACTCCTGCTTCAGAGCGGAGTCGATCCGAATGTCACTGGACGACATTATGGCATAGCACTGCAGGCAGCAGTAGCTGAGGGTTCTGAGGCCATCGTCAAACTCCTGCTCGAGAGTGGGGTTGATCTGAATGTCAAGGGCGGAGGATATGGCACTGCACTGCAGGCGGCAGCCTATAAAGGCTCTGAGGCCGCCGTCAAGCTCCTGCTTGATTGTAGAGTCGATCTACATGTCCAGGGCGGATATTATGGCACTTCACTGCACGCAGCCGCATTTGGCAACGGTTCCGAGGCCGTCGTCAAGCTCCTGCTCAATAGTGGAGTGGATCCAAATGTTCAGGGGAAATACGGTGCCATTGCGCTGCAGACGGCAGCCGGTCGTGGATACGAGGCCATCGTCAAGCTCCTGCTTGAGAACGGAGCTGATCCAAATCTCCAGGATGGACACTTTGGCATTGCACTGCGGGCGGCGGCCTATGAAGGTTCCGAGGCTGTCATCAAGCTCCTGCTTGATAGCGGAGTCGATCTGAATATCGAGGGCGGATTTAATGGCACTGCATTGTAGGCAGCAGCAGCGGGAAAAGGTCCCGAGGCCGTCGTCAAGCTCCTGCTTGAGAGCGGAGCAGATCCAAACATCCAGGGTGGAGCGCGCGGTAATGCAATGGCAGCTGTGCATAGTAACTGGTTCAGAACGCAAGCGAACCGTGATGCATTAATTCAGCTTCTTCTTGATTATGGTGCTACTGATTCCTAGCTTTCGCATAATTCTTTTCGTAATTCTCTCGAAGGTGTCGCTGTTTCGCCTGACGTTATGACAAGTGCCGATATGTATGTATCTGGGGCTATCACACGGCCGGTAGTGCGGTTGCAAATCTTCCTACCTTCTTTCCGTACATCAGTTTTCGTCCGCCCGTCTACATATTTGTCCATCAGTCTGTCTCGCGCCAATCGCATTTTCCAAGTCTTATCATCCACACAGCTTGTAGTTAATGTCTTGCTACCAATCTTCTTGCGAATTAATCAGTTACGAGCGCGACTATGTAATTTTCTCGAATTCAATGTTGTTCTCGCAAGTTAAGTTCACAGGCAGGTGTAAAGCTCGATAGATTCACAGACCGAGTCCCAGGAATCAACCATCCAACACAAGTGACGTGCACACAAACCGGCGAGGAAGGAACCAGATGAATGAAGATTCGAGCCCTCGTGAGGAGTATGACGTGACTGGCAGGGCGCGTACCTTACGACCCACGCTGCAGAATAGCACGAAACCACAAGCGAATACAGACCTGCACCGGTCGAAACTTGTACTGAATATGACGAGTTTTAAGTTCAGCCTGCCGGAGATAAAACGTATATCCATGATCGGTCGCGCCTCGATTGGCAGACACGTCGAGCTCACATTGTCTATGGAGCGGGCGTTGATGCTTGAGCAACATATGCGTGGCCCCTCACTAAGAGCACAAATCAATGTCCCTGAAACATGATTAAAATCGTGGAGTGCCAGCCCCTTGAATTGATCACACTCACTGCATTTGTTTATTTTCGCAACAGTCTCGATATTTCCTGATCATCTTGATCACTTTGCTGGACTTGAAAGGCCGGCGGATATATGAAGATGCGCAGTAGTGCACACTGTGTACGTGTGTGGGGTGATGAAGCGGTGATGCTACTGCGTCGGGATCGGCGATATTTTCAGAGAAGAGCGGCAGAACTGTGGACATACCGTCACTTGGTGCTGTAAATTGGACCTTGGTCAAATCGGCCATATCTGTAACAAAGGTAGCAGGTTAAGCCTGTCATGAAGACTACGGTGCCCGTCCATTGGGCCAAAGAGTAGATGAGTTGGGCGCATGATCGCAGGGCAGGGTAGCTGGCATATTTTTCATGTCTTCCATATCTTCCAAGAGCGTAAATGCCATCCTCACGCTCACGAGCACAAGCTTCACCGCCGTCTGCGTTTTTGTGCACACGCCGAGCCCACCTGGACATTTTCGCGTGCATATGTCACGGGTTTGCGCGAAAACGAGCGTCGTGAGTCCAAAACAGACAAAGCTTGACTGTGCCCGTGCTGCGTAGTGCACGGGGGACGCCGGAGGGCATAAAGATCGAGCTCGAGGAGACATGAGGGGCGCTGTGATCGGATCTTTGGAAGAAAGAAAAGTTGGGGATTTCAAAACCTTTCAATCAGTGTACTTGAGGCGTTCCTCCACCGCGCCCGGAAATAGCCTGATCCGCGTGGAGAGGGCTGCTACATTGATGTGCCTTCTGAGTAGATGCGTATCTTGTTTTACTTCTGCTCGGTATGCGATTGTCCGCGGTCGTGTTACATAGCGAAACAAGACGCACCTCAACCATCAAACGCGCTTTCTCTGATGGCCACGACGCGTCTCATCCGCACCCGTAGCTCTCGTCTCTTCTCGTGAACAGTCTCTGCTGCTTTTCTGCCTTTATATGGGCGCGGAGGCAGAAGATGACAGAGATCAAGGAGCTGCTAGCGTAGGAGCAGCAGCGCGCGCTCGTGTTTGTAGAGTACGGGCTAAGACGCTAGAGAAGTGGACACCTATAGACACCCTCCGTGCGCACAATTCTATAGACTGACCACAAGCGCGTGGCGCAATAAGAGCTCGGGGTGAAATGTTAAAAGCGAGGACACGGCCCCGAACGCAGCGCGCAACCCTGCGTTCAGCGAAGAGGTGTCGGAGGCGTGGGAGGCGAGGATGAGTATGCCTGTCGCCTTGCCATCGAAACGACCCCAACATGTGCGATGATGTTCTTATCTTCTAAGTAAGGACCAGATCACAAGCCCACACGTATTTTGAGATGGCTGAGAGCGAGGAGGGCTGAGTGAAGAGTGATGACCATGTGGCGTGTGGATTGAAGACGACAACTTGGATTCATTCGACGTGGGAACGCGTTGTCGAGTCCCCTTTTCCTCCGACTACCACAGTCTCCAGTCAGACCAGCATGCCTTGGGACACCATCAAGCTGAACGATGGTAATTGTTCTCCATTTCGACTGAGACCGAATTTTCAAACATTCCACATCCAGGACATGCCATTCCAAGCATAGCGTTCGGGACCTGGACGCTTGGGAATGGGCAGGGACCCATTGACCAGGTCGATCAAGCGCTTAGCATTGGTTTCAACCACATAGGTGTGTTGTTAAACCTGTCATGTCTATGTTACCCCAGCTCTTACAAATTGTCAGATACTGCGCAAAGCTACAGGAACGAGCAGGAAGCTGGCCAGGCTTTTCGTGAAAGCGGCCTCTCACGCTCCGATGTATTCATAACGACGAAATATTCTGGGTTGAACGGTTTGGACATCGAGACATCTATACAGAACAGCCTGAAGAACGTGAGTATCTACGCTTGATTATTACAAACTGCAAATATCGTCTTTACCCCCTCGCGGATGCACATAGCTAGGCGTGTCATATGTCGACCTATACCTGATTCACCATCCCCGCCTCGCCACTCCTGATATCCCCACCGCCTGGGCGAAGATGGAAAAAATTAAAAATGACGGCTTGGCGAAGTATGCTTTAGTTGTCCCACAATTCTATGCGCTGTCAACTCATGAATGGTTCTAGGAGTATTGGTGTCAGTAACTTTGGAGTGACAGAACTACAAATCCTCATCGCGTCCGCGAAGATCAAGCCAGCTGCTGACCAGGTCCGTGCCAACGCTCGAAATCTCCATGCCTTTGAATTCATCGACACCGTCCCCCATCTAGATTCTTCTTCATCCTTACGTTTACGCCAAACAAGCTCCCATTTTGTCATACGCAGCTCAGCATGGCATCGTCATTGAGGCTTACAGCGCTTTGATGTAAGACTCGGCTTGTGTACCCGTTTTGCCTCTTCACTGATAACAATGACGCCCACATCAGTCCCATCACACACCAGCCTGGTGGACCAGTTGATAAGCCTGTGAACGCCATCGCGTCTCGTCTCAATGCGACAGCGGACCAGGTACTCCTTGCCTGGGTAAAAGCTAAGGGTGCTGTTGTTGTCACGTAAGTCCCCTCTCAAGGCACTGAACCTATACCAATGCGTCGCCTCGCAATAAATTAGGACAAGCTCAAAAAAGGCTCGCCTGGAGGGCTATCTCTCCGCGGCTAACCTTGGTTCGCGATTTATCTACCATTTTTGTCCATGTGTCCTCATACCGTATATTCACCTCCTCAGCGTTGACCGAGGATGACGTTGCTGCTATCGACGCGGCGGGGGTGAGGGGCACTCGTCGGCAGACTGCGCGCACGGTACTGCGCCGTGCCGCAGTTGTCATGCTTGTCGGCGCAGCCGCACTCAGGATGTGTGGAATGATACGGTTTGGGTTGTAGGTGTCTCTTCTGATTGTGTGTGTGTGTATTTTGGCAGAACTGGACTGAGCATGTACTTGTATTTTGGCCCCTGCTGGTGGTCTTGCGTTCTGTTTCTTGGATGCTACTGATAGTGTTCGTGATGGAGAATCAAGTGCAACTTGCGTGAGTCTCCCTGTGTGTGCAGTGACTTCTGAACAAGATGGTCTCTGCGAGCCAGAGCAGAGACAGTTCGCGTGTTTGGGTTATGCTTCCATTTTGGGCATTTTAGCTGACTGATAGTGTGATGTCATCCCCATCCTTGCCGGCATGAATCCTGGAACACCGGTAGCGATCTGAACCCTGTAGGAACTCACAAATATAGTCCGGTGGTATACCTCTCAAGGCAGCCACTGCTACGGACTTATATCTCGTCTTTGTTTGAATCGTCGTCAACAGTTGTATCAGAGCGTGAATTTGTGACGGTTCAGCACATATAGCTTAGTCATACACTTATGATTCTGACGCGCGCCCTGCTCGCTGCTTTGTCTTCTCCAACATCCAATGCGGCTGATTTTCATCGTAAATCGAGGGCTTTCTACACGTATGCGGGAGTTCGTCGAAGATGGATCAGTCTTATCATCAAACGCAGGTAGGTAAAGGGACTGAGTATCGGGTTGGAATCTAATCAAAGCTGAACATTTTGCGTCGAGCCTCACGAGTATCTAGTATCATTCGCCGATGATCTATCTAGGCGTCTATCAGGACTGAGGGGTTGCAAGAGCATCTCAGTCTCATATAAGTCAAGCGCCATTACAAGGGTCAATTCCAGCTAGAGCCTGTAATCAACTTGCTGAACAATCCATGATGGTTTGAGCGCCCGACCGTATATATAAAGTCTGTCTTCATGGTATGCGGCGCTTCACTATCTTCGAGAACCGCCTCCTTCCAGGATTCTTTCTTTGGCGTCTATTCGCCATGTCTGTTCAGTCCAAACTCTTCGAGACCATCCGCGTCGGTAAATGCGATCTCAAGCATCGCGTGGTCATGGCTCCCCTTACTCGCTTGAGACATAGCGCGACCCACGTCCCTGGGCCCGGCGCCGCAGAATACTACGCTCAGCGGGCCAGCACCCCAGGAACGCTCGTCGTTACAGAGTCAACAGTGATTGCTCCCCAGGCCGGCGGATTTGAGTATGGCCTAAACACCCCAGGCATCTGGTCCGACGAGCAGATCTCCGAGTGGAAAAAGGTATGTGGAATGCCGCGGCTCGCCATCGCTCTACTCGTTTGAACTATCCAATATAACCATACAGGTTGTCGAAGCCGTACATGCGAAAGGATCGTTCATCTTTGTTCAGCTCTGGGCTATGGGACGCGCCGCTAGCCCTTCCATACTAGCTCTCGACGGTCCTGAGCTTCCTTACGTTGGGGCCAGCGACATTCCCCTCCGTGGACGCGACCATGAACCTCCCGCCGCACTCACCATTCCAGAAATCAAAGAGTATGCTCAGTTGCATGCCACGGCCGCCATCAACGCTGTTCACAAGGCTGGTTTCGATGGGGTGGAAATTAACTGCGCCATGGGATTCCTTTTGGATCAGTTCTTGCAGGACGTGTCGAACAACCGGACTGATGAATATGGCGGATCGATTGAGAACAGGATCAGGTTTCCGCTTGAGATGATCGGGGCTGTTGTTGACGCGGTCGGTGCAGACAGGGTGGGGTTGAAGCTCAGTCCATGGAATTCTTTCCAGGGTAAAGACTTTTCAAAACATATATCTCTTGCACTGACGATGGCCTTGTCAGATATGCGCATGGCCGATCCAGTTCCGACATTCAGTGCCTTGGTCACTCGTATTCGTGATGTACATCCTGAATTCGCCTACATCAACGTCAAGGAAGCTCGCATCGAGGGAACCTCCGAGAGGCCTACTACGGCTGAAGAAAATAACGAGTTCCTCAGGAAGATATGGGGTGCGAGACCGTATCTTGCATCCGGAGGATACAACAGGGAGGATGCCATCAAAACCGCTGATGAGAAAGGCGGACTTATCGTGTTTGGGAGGTGGTTCATTTCAAATGTAAGCCCTTGCATGGTTTGACTGGTCTGGATGCTGATCACATCTTGATTAGCCCGATCTTCCCGTTCGGTTGAAGAAGAATATTCCCCTCAGCCCCTACGACCCCAATACATTTTACACGCCTGATAATGTCAAAGGGTATACGGACTATCCCTTCTCAGGAGAAGATTGGTAAAAGATTAGATTCCGAATTGTAAAATACACACACCGATGAATGGTTGTGACAAGATTGGCCGTAATTTGCTAGCAGCTTAACGATGATCGCGGCGCGTCTTCCACTAGTGGAGCATGGTGGCAACAAGGTATTAGTACTGTTGTATACGGAGTTTGATGGCCATCATGATTACCTTGCATGAAGGAACACCATTGGGTCCGTGAGCAAGTTGCGTGGAGCTGCAAGGAGTGCAGATGCCGATGGTGGAGGACCGCTGCACTAGAACCTGGTCGCTTCTTAAGACATTGAGATGACAGACGAAGATGGGTTAAACAGCTCCTATATCTTCTTCCTATTGTTTGTTTGAACGGGTACGGCTTGTCGTCTGGTATTAGCTATTTGATAAGGTTTGAATCAGATATATCTACTCGGTCATGGTGGCCCACAAAAAACTGATCACATATAGCTCGAATGGCCGACGTGGGGGTTGGTGCAGGCATCCCTTTGTTCGCCGCTGTGTTTCAAATTTGGAGCTCAACTAATTAAGTAGACCTGGAACGCACCTTCTGGCAGTCCCCAACCATCCCTCACATCATTCAACTAGGTCTTCGAACCGTCCATAAGCTCATCATGACCTCAGGCATCTCGAGTCCGTTACACCATCCAGAACAGTTGTCAAAGAGCAAGTACGCGGAAAGTCGAAAAGAACTCCTGGAACTGGTCAAGCAATTACGCGCCATTGGGTACCATGTTCACCGCTCTGGCTATCACTATACGTGTTAATCAGTATCGGCTTCTGTCTCTCAGAGCTCAGGCAGACCTCGATTTACCTCGCATTGTAGTCATAGGGAATCAATCCGCGGGTGCGTTCATACACTTCTCATATATAATACTAAGCCTCAATTATTCGTTTACACTACAAAGGGAAGAGTAGTGTTGTTGAGGCTATATCAGGGGTGCGTGTTGTTGCTTCGAAGGTGTTTATAAGATGGACGTTGCAACTTTGGCTCAGATAAACGTACCGCGAGATGCAGGAACATGCACACGTTGTCCTATGGAATGTCGCCTCTCGTCTTCAACCGGCCCATGGTCTTGCCAGGTGTCCATTCGATGGGAGTTCGATTCAAAAGGCCGTCGTAAAGTAGGCCATCCATTCGAGGCCATTGGTTCAACGCTCATCTTGTCATGTAGGAAGAGGTTTCGGAGGTCCCTTTTGGCAACGCGATCACAAACAAGAGCGATGTTGAACTCGCATTGCGCCGAGCGCAGGCTGCTGTCCTCAACCCACACCTCGACCCCCCGCAGCTGTTAGCGATGAGCGCGGAACAGCTTCAAAGCGGAATCAAATCGGGCAGGAAGGCGTTGCCATTCTCACGTAACGTTGTTTGTGTTGATCTTGAAGGTCCTGACTTGACCGATCTTGCTTTCATCGATCTTCCGGGTGATCATTCCGTGACCCTCGTCTTTAGAGGCTGAATGCTAATCTAGGTGCATAGGTATTATACAGAACGCCGAGCCTGATGTCGTTAAGCTTGTGGAGGATCTAGTAGTGTCTCATATAGAAGGCAACTGCCTGATTTTAGTCGCTTTGCCTATGATAGGTGTTTTTGGGTAGTCTTTTTCACGGAAAGGCGCTGACCGTCTTGTCTCAGATGATATTGAGAATCAGAAGGCCCTAAGGCTTGCACACCAGGCAGACCCTGAGGGGAAGCGGACAATAGGTAAAGTAACTCCCCTTGCATGTAGTTAGCAAATCACCATAACTCTTTTAACATTGATCACGCTATCTCTAGGCGTTCTCACGAAGCCCGACATGCTTTCGTCTGGTACAAAGGCTCGCAACCTTTGGCTCGACGTCATCGAGGGGCGTCGCAGCCCTTTGTTACATGGCTATTATTGCACGCGTCAACCTGATGATGCTGAGCGTGCCAAGGATGTCACGTCTGCTCATGCGCGCCAGACTGAGGCCACTTTCTTCGAGACAACTGCCCCTTGGTCTACTTCCGCGCACAAGCATCGATTTGGAATTCCAAACTTGGTGGCGACCCTAAGCGCATTATTAGAGAAAATCATCAAGGACACGTACGGCGTTTCACATTGAACTCAAGGATGCTGGCTGATGTATACATTTGATCCCACAGGTTACCGAGGGTGAGCGCAGAGGCGACTAACCACTTAGAATTATGCGACCGCGAGCTTTTTGATATACCGGAACCTATGGTTGGTGAGCCGACAACCTATATGCTCAAGTGAGTTCGTTGTCGTCTACAATCGTCGTTCAGCTGCTGATCTTCAATATGCGCAGCCTTGTTACAACTTTCTGTACCACGGTGGATCATTATGCCCGAGGAACGCAATCTTTTGAGCGTCTTATTCAAGAGAATAGGAGCATTTTTAGGACGTTCAAGACCACTATTCGTTCTACTGCCCCTAATTTCGTTCCATATATCAGGAAAGAAGGCATACCATCCACCTTCCAGAACTATATCGGTGAGGGTGAAGACGAAGGTCCTGGAGAGGGTCTCATCAGCAAAGATTCGTACTTCTATCTGGACGATATGACACGGCATATAAACAAGTACGTGACTTTTCGCCGCGGTCTGGATCGTAAGACAAGGTCTCTGACCATCTCGCGTCGATAGGTCTATCACCCGGGAGTTACCTGACAACGTACCGTTCCCTGCCAAAGTCACGCTCATCGATGCGTTTCAGAGCCAGTGGGAGGCTGCCGCCCATATATGCTTCGATCTCGTCCGGGACGTTATGGTCGAAGTACTCTTTGCGTGTATGAAGGCCACCTTCCATAGGTGGGAGAACTTGCATGCACATCTTCGGTGAGTATCGCTATTGTGCTTCGCCCCGTGCAAAACATACTTACTTGTCGAAATTTACCACGTTTGCAGCGCCTATGTGAATGAGTTGGTGAAATCTTGCTACACAGAGTGCCAGCAATATATTGCTACAATGCTGGAAGTTGAGCGTGCTCCATTCACGCAAAACACGCATTATCTGCAAACGTGCACAGATAAATGGCTTGTTCACTATAGCCAGGCTAGAGCGGGCAATGCTGTCATCGCACAGGGTAGCAACCCTCCGCCTGCGAAAAAATCGAAGATCATGGATGATGATGGGTCGGCTGTTCCCCACATTTCCCAAAAGGTGCCATCGCCGCTCGCGCCGCCTGCTCAGTCTCCAGGTACGAGAAAGACGCCGGCTGGTCTATCGGCAGCTAAGAACGGGGCTACGGAGGCGCGCGGCGGCGGGTTCCCTGGGCTAACATTCACCGGCCTGGCCTCTGCACCATCGCCTTTCGGTGCTCAGGCTGCTGCTTCCGGCTCGTCTAAAAATCCGTTCACGTTCGGAGGGTCAGGCGGGACCTCTGCGGCTGCGACTTTTGGAGTCTCGGTAGCTGGCAACGCCGCCCCTGCGTCGCCCGCGCAAGCTCAGCCCACTCCCGCTAGCACCACTGTTCCATCCATGTCTGATGTCGACACCGCCCAAAAGGTCAACGCTGCTTTGGCCGCCCTCGCTGAGCTCGGCTACACCGGCCTGAGGGCGGAGGACCTGGGGAAGCTGAACCCTCTGGATGAATACCAAACCGAGTTAGAGGTCATGGCCGAAGTTCGGGGATATTTCCAGGTCGCATACAAGGTAAAGAACCTACACATGCATTGGCCCGTCGCCTATCCGTGCAAAGCTGATACGATCGTGCTCGCGCTCGCCCGCAGAGAGTCATCGACAACATCCCGTCGCTGATCGACCACATGTTCGTCAAAGCGTGAGTTGCCCACCATAGCTCTGCAAGCTACCGTGTCTCTGACGACGGAGTGTCATCATCTTTCCTCTAGGATCAAGAACAAGCTCCAGACCTTCCTCATCAACAAGATGGCTCTCGGTGCCCCGGACGCCCCCCAGCGCTGCGCGCGACTCTTGGCGGAAGACCCGAACATCGTCGCCCGACGCGATGAGCTCACTCTCCGCAAGAAACGACTCGAGACAGTCCGTGCCGAACTCTACAACTTTGGATTGTGATCTCTGGAATGCAATATGCAGTACTGCATGTTCGGTATTGGCTATCATACACATGTTGGTTATGAGACTGTCATTTACGGTGTTCAGTTGGCCTGATAGAAATCGTCCTGGAGTAGTCCTCTGACGGACTTTCTTCTGGTCTCTGTGTTCCCACAATTGTCCTTATGGTTGTGCGACTGATGGACTCCATATAATGCATTAAGAAGGAAGAGAAGGGAAGACCGAAAAAAGACCTCGTACACCAATGCCCACTTGCACGTACGAAGCGACCCGCCGCCCTCGCCAACTGAGCAGTATCACCAAGTCCTATGGCGCCTCCAGACTCGACGAATAAGTGCCCTCAATCATAGAGAGTGATGGATCAGTCGGCGGCGAGCTCGAGCTTGATCTTCGCGATGGCCTCGGCGGGGTTGAGTCCCTTCGGGCAGGTACGAGCGCCTAGACACCGAAAGCAAAGAGGGAAATCAATAATCATCTCATGAGGGAATAGTAGACGCGTGAAGCAGATCTGTAGTAGGGAGAGACGACACTCACAGTTAAAAATGGTGTGGCAGCGGTACAAGCTCATCTCATTCTGGAGTTTTTCCTTCCTCTGCGGGCCATACGAGTCCTATTCCGTTCAAAAAAAATGCCAAAGCCTTGTCAGCCTCATGCGTTTAGAAGGGAATAATCAAAGGAAAGCAAAACGAGAAAAAGACAGCGATCAGGGTGTCTAGAGTGCGGAAACTGGCTTACACGTGAATCCGCGATCCAACGGTACGCCTGCATGAGCGCGGCGGGGCCGAGGTACTCGTCCTGGTTCCACCAGTACGACGGGCACGACGTCGAGCAGCACGCGCACAGGATGCACTCGTACATCCCGTCGAGCTTGCGGCGGTCCTCCGGCGACTGCAAGAATTCGCCCTGCGCGGGCGGGTTGTCGTTCTGCAGGTACGGCTCGATGGACTTGTATTGCTTGTAGAACTGTGTCAGATCCGGGACGAGGTCCTTGACGATGTACACTAAAGGAAGGAAGCGCGGAGATCAGAGAGGATCACGCGAAGCGGTGGGGATCAATGCGGCGAAGCGGAGAGTCGGGGAGGGTCGGAGGTGCTCGGTACGAGGCTGCGGGACGTGCGAGGTGGTTTGGAGTGTGCAGAGGGTCTCGTCAAACGATCACAACATGGCGCAGACACTCACTATGCGGAAGAGGGTAGATCTTCGAGTCCTTGTTCTCAGTTCGATCAATTCTGCACAAGCAGGCGAGGGTGTTCTGGCCGTTGATGTTCATTGCGCATGAACCACAGATGCCCTCTCGACACGACCGACGGAAGGTCAGTGTCGGGTCAATCTCGTTCTTGATTTTGATGAGGGCATCGAGAACCTGGGGCCGGCGTCATGAACTGCGCGCCCAAGGTAACCGCGTCGGTACTCACCATTGGACCGCACTCGTTCAGGTTGATGTTGTAGGACTGAAGTTCCGGCTTCTTCTCAGGCTGATCTGGGTTCTACAAAAAGACCAAGAAATATCATCTCAGCACGACCTCCTAACCAACCCCGCACCAAACCCAAGACGAGAACCCACCCAGCGGTAGATCTTGAACTCCTTATTCAGGACCGGCTTCTCCGTCGGCACTGCCTGACGTGTCGCGGCAGACGACACAAAGCCGCGCACTGCTGCACGCCTGAAGTTGTTCGTAGCGCACCTTGCGACGAGGGACTGCATTGCGAAGATGATGATGGTTGAGGAGAAGGTCAAGTCAGTGCGATGGACGACCGGGATCGGCTCGCTCGTTTGTCGCGTGAATTCGGAATCTGGGGACCGGCCGGCCGTTCAAGCTCCGACCGCCCAATCACACCCGTCCTGTTCTCAATCACCTCCAATCCAAACAGTATTCGTATTACACATTCCAAACGTTACAGCAATGCTTGTCCATCAAACACGGTGAACAAGAAGACGATAGCTAAGGGTCTCAGGCGCGGAGATTCACATTCCAAAGCTGTATAGCTTCCCCTTGATGGCCTCCAGCCTGTCCTTGCGCTGAGTGAGGTCCTTTCGGTTGTGCAGGACGTCCGGGTCTTCCGCAAGGAATCTCTCGCATCGCGACGCGCCAGCATGCGTACCAAGAGCCATCTTCTTGATCAGGAATGGTTGCAGGTCGTTCATAACGCTGCCGCAGGAGAAAAGAACAAAGGGTGAATAGCGGTTGAAGCACTCCGGCCAAGGATGCTCACGCTTTCAGAAACTTGAGATCAATGACGGAGGGGATGTTGTCAATGATCCTCTACGGAGACGCCAAATAACTCAGCAGAGACAGTGGCAAGGCCAAGATAGAAGAATCATACGGCACCTTGTAAGCCACGTCGAAATACGCCCGCACCTCGCCCATGATATTGATCTCCGACTCGTAGTCGGTCTGCTTTGTGAGTCGCGCTAGATCTTCAGGCTTCAACCCTGTATACCCGAGTTCTGTGAGCGATGCGAGCGCTCTGCTAAACTTCTGGTTGTCCAGCGGGAGGATGTCTTTCCCAGTCTTTCCTGCCCGCTTTTCCTTATACTTTCCGGTCCACCCTTCACGCTTCTTGTGCAGGTGCTGCGCGTTCTGCGTGTATGGAGTGCGCTCGATCTCCAAAAAGGTATCGATGAACACTCGACAGCGTTCGTGGTGGTCTTTGACCAGCTCGGCGATGTATCCGCTGCAGTAATCGAGTGGTTCAGTGAATGTCTCTTATCTGAAGTGGTTAGATCTTACCACATCTGCGCTTGCAGGTGGTCCCACCTCCCGAACTGGTGGTTCACACGTTCTATAAAGACTCGCAGGGCAACCTCCCGCACCTGAGTGAAGCACTCGTCGGCCGCCGTTGGCCACGACTTTTGGAACTCGCCGATGAGAGAGACCTTGGCCGGGTAGGGAACGTTGTTCGGCAATTCTCGAGTGACCGACCTGGGAGCTGTCAGCAAACAGTCACAAGTAAGCAAAGGATGTGTTCATTACTCTTCAATGTGTCTCGTCATATCCTCAAGGTAGAAGGGCGGGCCGACGGCGTTCAGTTTTTCTGTGCTTGGTTTTGTATCAATCGGAGACACAGGAGAACGTTTAGCAGGAGTCGCCGATTGTTGACTCTGTTCTCTTTGTTCTTCCTCTCTCGACAAAGGAATAAACTGTGGGGACGTGGAGTGAATGTCCTTCTCGAACTTGGCGAAGATGGCCCTATTCTGTTGAATGAGTGCTTCCGCTCCTTCTACTCCCCGAACGTAGCGCTGGATGTCGCTCGTAAAAGACGTTATGAGGCTTTGGTGTTACAAAGCAGTCAGATCCAGCAATAGCGAAACACGAAGAAAAATGCTGCACCTGAGCATATATGTCGCCGGATCGGCATCCAAAGGCTCAGGCAGTTTGGCCAATTCCCGCTGGCATGCATCCAGGCATGCGGAGGCCTCTGCGCTGATTTTCGGCATCCTGTAGACAGCGTCGGCTGCTATGCGCAACACACACATGCTAGAATATGAAAGGAACGTACGTGGTCTTGATGACCTGTTCCAACAACGTGCTCAGCGATGCTACCAGATTATTCGTCCCAAAGCGATCCTTGCGGAGAGACGTAGCCCAAGGGGCCGTTTTCTCAAAGAACAGCGACTCCGCTTGGCGGGCCTCCACCGACGAGATGTGGTTTGCGCGCTCAGCGTCGTCGGGTTGGCGTGTACAATAGTACCCGTGCAGCAGGGGGCTTCGGCGGCCTTCTATAACGTCTAGCCACAGATTGCGAGCTTTCGTGCCCGCGCTGAGCATGTCCGGCTTGGTGAGCACGCCTTGGAAAATTCGAAGGGGTCCAATCAGGCGTCTGAGAACACAGTGACCGCGATGCAAAAAACATGCCTATCGTTCGCTTCCCCTGGGGATCTTCTTGATGGGCCAAGCGAAGTGCCTTCTGGTTCTCAATGTCATCTTTGAAAGAGAGCGGGTGGATGTCAGTGCCGATCCGAGAGACTGCTGCTAACATGCATCATGCTAACCGATCATCGGAAGCGCTACTAGGATAAGCGAGTTTCCCTTGATATGGGAGACGACCAGGTCTTCTACGAGCTTGACGATGTCCGGCTCCGCATTTTGTATGATCCCTATCGCAGCGCAGGCGACCTCGTGAGCGTTTCGCGCGTTCGCATGAGACACGAGAACGAGATATACACACCCGGCAGATCGATGAAGGCGAGGTCGGTCAGATCAGGGCCTTCGAGATCGACGCAAACGACGTTGCGCGAGAACGCCAAGGGTTTCTTGTCCGACTTGATGCCCTTCTGGAGCTGCTCTGCGCTCATACCGAGCAACTGCTTGGCATCGATGTGGGGGTTGAGCACGGCAGCCTGAGCGCGGCGCAGAGCCAGCTCGACCTCTTGCTTGTTCAAGATCAACCCTCCGAATGGCACCTCCGTCACCTCCTCCTGCGACGAGAGTAAGAACAAAGTATGGCACTACACGGTCAGACTAACTGACCTTGCGCTGCATGTAGGAGTCAAACTCCCATCGTATAGACACCTGGCAGGACCATCTCGGACCCGTTGACGAGGTAAGCCGGCACTCCATCGGGCATCGAGTGCATGTCCCCGAGTCTCGAGGAACATTGATCTGGTGGTGACGGTGGGTTTCTGTCAGCATCTTGTCCGTCGGAACAAATATTGGGACGCACGCCTGATATGGCCTCAACCACGCTACTTTTACCTTGAAGCCAGCGGAGAAAGATCAGACGGCACCCGATTTTGTGCCAAACTCGATACATACCGGCGGATTGGTTGCCGATAACGACGATGCGAGGCAGATCAACCTCGGCTTGCGCACTATTCGAGAGAGGTAAGTGCGTCACCACCCGCAAACGATAAATCATGGTAGGAACAAACCCGATGGCTCTTAGTTGCTTAACGAGCTCTAGAAGCTCTTTCCGCTGTTCAGCGTATCGGCTGCCGGAAAGTTGTGCGGAATGAATCATGTCAGTCCGTCTCAGGGGGGAGGAAAGTAGAGAAGGAGTGGTTGGGGTGGAGCGCAGAGACTGGATGTGTGTATATATGCTAGCTGGAGCACACGAGGCGGAGTTCCGACAACATGAACTCGAAGATAGATAGACGCATACCTCCTGTTGCACGCAGGGCACCTTCACTCCTTCCGCTGCGCGAACTGGCAGGAAAGACTACGTACGACATGGCGCCCACGGCACGCAGTCTGCTTCAAGCTGAGGAAATCGCCCTTGGTTCGAAAGGACCAGGCCGCAGGTTGCATCGCTCGATAAGGAAGCACTCTGCCTCATAACAAGTATTCGAGAAATCGCGATCGGAAGACGCACGCACACGCAGATGACTCCGGTCTACGCAAAGTGCCCCTTTCCGTTGAAGGCTGTCGGATGATGTGAAGCTAGATAGAAGGAAGTGAGAAAGTCGCAGGATTCGCCAAAACAAGCCGCCAGACACGGCTGCGACTGCGCAGCCCAACAAACACGATGCAGAGATAGAATTTCTATCGACGGCCTGCGCACGATCAACATGCCCGTTCGAACAAAAGACACTGTGGTCGACGACAAGCGGCATCGATTGTCGAGATCGCAGCCCTACGCGAAATAGGTCAGTTGATGTTAGCGCAAACTCGTGCACATGTGTGTCATCCTCGCAATGACCCAAAATCAGCGGGAGCGTCCTGCGAGAGCAAATACAACTCGATTCTTCGACGAAATCGTGCACTAAAACATATAGTCTATTCGAAACAACATCAATTCCATCGCACAACGCCAGCGCGATCAAAAAAAAGAAAGAAAGCCAGAAGAAAAAGACTGTCAAGCTACAGCATCGCAAGCCTCGGCCCGCCAGAGCGTAGGGTACAACATAAAAAAGACAACAGAAAAGAACGACAACGACATGGAGAGACGCACTGTTCTCGACATCTTAAACGATCAGTCGCTCCTTATACCCAACCGCACGTATCCATATCTCACCCGGCCGGCTACAACGTTGCAAGCCCATCAACACACGAACACACGAACGCAAAAAAGAGAGATAGAACGACACGCACCTGCGCTCGCGCAAGATCCTCCACACGCACCGCTCCCGCTCCGACTTCTTCACCAGCTCGGCCCCGGCCCCCGTGCGCGGCGGAAACGCGCCCCAGCACCGCCCCTGCAAGTCCGCGAGGCCCTCGTTGGTGCCCTCGGCCTCAACCACGACCTTGCCGTTCCACCCCAGGTCGATCGGCAGCCGCTCCTTCGTCGGCAGGACGAGCATCGGTGCCGCACGGTGCTGCGAGCGTATCTCGAACGACGAGCGGTGCACCCATCGAATGACGGTATGAAAGCTGCCCTGCGGCCTGCCGGGCGCGGAAAATCCAACCGCGGTGAGCAAAAAACAAACAAAAAAATAGGCGAGCCGATGAAAGCGCACGTTTCAGTTTTGACGCGGTCCTGCAGGAGCTGCAGGTTGGCCGCGATCTCAGTCCCCCACGGCGCGACGTCGATATGGCATATCGGGTTCTTGTGATCCCCCGCGGTCCGTATGAGACGATGGAAATACGACGGAGGAAACGCCAGGGACGGCAAATACGGCGGCAAGTCGCCCATGTCCGAATACGTGTAGTCCAAGTCCTGCACCCCAAAAACAAAGAGAAGAAAAGTTATAAAAAAAAGTGATAACCTCGGACACGAATGCGCAACGAGAGCCTAGCCAGTAGCCACTCACAATGAGGAACCTCCCGTCCCACACCAGCCGCCCCGTATTCCCCTCGTCCCCGACCGCCATATCCCACACCACATCTCCAGGCCGCAGCAGCGCCACCACGCCCGCCTTGCGCAGCTCCATCTCGCACTCCTGCACGCTCGCGTCCGACAGCCACTCCCCGCCCGGCGACGGCACGAACACCCGCAAAAGCGGCGCGCGCCGCAGCCGGAACAACGGCGACCGGAACGCCACCCCAGCAGCAGCAGCACCGCCGCGCGCGGGCGGGCCGTCGTCCCGGTAGTGCGCGAGCGACAGGTTTGACTGCGACGGCGCGTGGTGCGACCACGCCGAGGACGTCGGCGACGGTGCGCGGCTCGACTGGCGCGAGAACATGCGCTTCGGCTGCGCGCGGCCGTTGTCCCACGCCAGCGGGGGTCCGGCCGACCGCGCGTGACCCGCGCCCGAGGAGGGCAGCGGTGGCGCCATGCGCCGCGCGGCGGACACCCGCTCGGCCTCGTCCTCGGCCTGCGCGCGCAGGCGGAGCACGACGCGCGTGTACGCGCGCGCGAGGCGCTTCAGCGCGTGGCACAGTTCCGTCTGCGCCTGCGTCGGCGGCGCGGCCAGCGCAGCCGCGGCGATCAGTGCGTACTGGTACGTGGGCAGGCTGACGCCGCGCATGTACGCGGCGAGCTCCTTCAGCGTGAGGCGCAGCGGCTCGTGCGCCCTGCCCGCCCAGCGCGCGTACCCGACCGCGCCGAGGTAGCGCTCGAGGACGGCTTCGCGCAGCTCGGCCCTGTCGTCGACCGCGCTGCGGATCTCCTTGCTCGTGCTCCACAGCGCGATCCACTCGCCGAACGAGAGGTAGGCCAGCACGCCCGCGAGGAGCGCCGGCTCGAGGAGGTGCCGCGCGAGTGGGTAATAGAACGTCGGAAGCGTCGCTTTAGCCACATCTGACACCTCCGCGGGGAGCGTCTTCTCGAGCACGTTGCCCCGGCGGCGCGAGCGCGCACGAGAGTACTGCTCGGGAGAGGGAGGCGCCAGAGGCTGGCTCGCTGCGTGCGCGCTCAGCGCGTCGTCCCTGGCCATTGCCTCCGATCGGGCCGTCCCCGGACGCTGCTCTCCTGCATCCAGAGGCCTCTCTTCCCCACTAGTCCCCGGTCTCTCCTGCCGCACGGCCTTGTCCTTGCGCGACGCCCCTGCCGCCGCCGCCACCACCACCTGAATCGGCTCGGTCCTCGCGAACGGGTCCACGTCCAGCGGCATCGTCAAGCTCCCACGCACGTCGTGTACCTGCGGAATGCCCGCATCCGCAGCACCGACGTGCCGCGGCCCCGCCTTGGGCGACTGCGGCGTGACGGGGCGCGACTTGGACAGCGCGCGCCGGCGCGCGTGCGATGAAACGGAGGCGGCGTCCGACCCGGCCTCGGACGGCGCGTGCCTGCTCTGCTTGCGCGGGCGCACCTGCGGCGTGTCGCCGGCCGCGGGCTGCGTGGGCGGCGCGGGCTGCGTGCGAGGCTGATGCGCGCCGCTGATCCTCTCGATGTCGTTCGCGCGGGACTCTACCATTTTATCCCCCTCCTGCTCCTCCGGCACCCCTCCACTTCCAGCCAGACCCGGCATCTGCACAGGCGGATGGCCCTGTCTCGAGGCAGGTGCGTGCGACGCCTGCTGCTGACCGCGGCTGTGCCCATAGGCATACTCGCGCTCGTGCTCGTGCCCGCCATTCGAAGTCGGGGAGAGCGGCGTATACGCCTGTTCTAGCTCTGCGGATGCCAGCTTACCCGACGCGGCCTCCGCCTGAGCCCCCGCCTGAGCCCCCGCCTGAGCCCCCGCCTGAGCCCCCATAGCCGCAAAGATCAGCGGGCCGCGCCGCATCGGCATTTGCGTCGCCGGCGACCCCTCTTCCTCTTCGGCCGCAAAGATCAGCGGCCGCCCGCGCACAGGCCCGCCTCGGCGGGTCGACTTTGATCTGTGCGCCTCCGCCTCCGCCCCCAGCTCCGCCTCTGCCTCTAGCTCTGCCTCTTCCTCCGAAGCACGCCCGATCCCGTGCCCTTGCCAGCGCCCGCGCCCGTGCCCGTCGAGCGACTGCGGGGGCGTCAAGATCGGGGGATGGCCGTGGGGGCCGCCAGAATATGAGGAAGGAGCAGGAAAGGCGCTCGGCGCGTGCGGTTCTCCGTTCTCCGGCCGCGCCGGCGCCGGCACTGGCACTGGCACTGGCACTGGCGCTGGCGCGCTCTCAGCGGTTTCGCTCATGATGGTCGTGCACTGCGGCGCGGGAGACGGTGGAGCGACGGGAGACGCGGGGCCCAGTTCTGGCGTCGATAGTTGCAGTTGCGGTTGTAGTTGCGAGTACGGTCGTGGTTGTGGGTGTTGTGGTGGTGAGGGTGGTGGTGGTTGCAGTTGTGTGTGCGTGTGCGTGTGCGCGTGCGCGTGCGGTTGTCCTTGTTGCGGCGTTTGCGGTTGCGGCTGCGGTTGCGGTTGCGGTGATGGTGGTCGTGGGTGCAGAGCGGCCGTGGGCGTCGACGGCGTACGTGTACGTGCGCCAGGGCCACCCAAGCGCCCAGAAGCGCCCGTCCGCTCCACATCGACATCGACATCGACATCGACAGACGGGAGCTAAGCAGGGCGAGAAACGACGATAGCACGCCACGCGCATCAGCATCAGCATCAGCATCAGCAATCGGCATGCACGAGCGCCGCCGCCGACCGACGGCGAAAAAAATTTCACGCAGGTCACGGATCGCACGGGACGCGCAAATCACACATCAGAAAAGATCGCGACGATCACGCACCGTTCTGATAACCCTCGCATCATGCACGCCCGAAGCGGCGTGCGGGTGTGCGTTCGAAGACGGGTGGGACGTAGACGTAGGCGCGGGCGTAGGCGCGGGCGCGGGCGTAGGGTGCGGAGACGAGCCGCGCGCGTGTCGGACAGCGGGCGACTGCGCGTCCTGCATAGAACACGCACGTCAGCCGGGAACGAAAAAAGCATATAAAAAGATGGAAAGATAAAAGAAGATACAATAAAATAAAATAAAATAAAATAAAATCCGAAAGCCATTCGATATAGAACACGGGGCACGGGACGCGCCGACGCGACGACACGGACGACCCACACCCACACCGCGGGATTCCCACTCACCGCGCCAGCACTCCCCACCGCCGCCTCCAACGACGGCGCGCCGCCCGCCCGTCCCGCCAGAGCCGCCGCGCCCCCGCGCTGCCCCCTCGCGAGCGCAGACATCCCGCGTCTCGAGTTCGCGGTGCGCACCATCGCCGTCGTAGCCGTCATCGCCATCGCCGTCGTCGCCGTCGCCGTCGTAGCCATCGCGCACGGAGTGCCCGCGCCAGACTCGCCAGCTCCGTCGACGGGGCCGCGGTGCCCGCTCTAACGCACGGACATCAGCCCACCAGAGACTCTCCAACCGACGATCGGCGACCGCCCGGTTTGTTTTCAGGAATGCAGAGAGGAGAGCACGGCAGGCATCTTTCCGACTTTGCTGTCCTGCCCCGCAGAAAAACAGGAAGAGTAGCGGAGAAAGAGTAACGGAGAAAGTAAAAGAGAAAGAGTAAAACGAAAAAGAAAACGAAGACGGGGGATCTGAGCGCTAGGACGAAAAAGGGACTCACCCTCCCAGTAGCTGAAGGCGAAGGCGGAGGCGGAGGCAGAGGCGCGGGATCCATCCTAGACGCGTCATGAGGCTTCGGAGGCACGGGCGGGAGCTCGTGCTCGCTCTCCCCCACCCCCGCCCCCTCCCCCGCCCCCGCCCACTGAGGCGACGCCAAAAACGGGTCGTCGGGGTATGACCGCGAGTCCGGCTCCGGGAGCCGCTTCGCGCGGCGGTCGATGGGCTGCTGCTGCTGCTGCTGCGGGCCCTGCGCGAGACCGCTCGCGTGGGCGGGGTGCGCGTCGGTCAGACGCGGGCGCATGGACGTGCGGGAGGCGGAGGGGCGGAGCGGGAGATGGGGCGGGGGATCGGGACTGGGACTGGGCGCGTGCGTGTGCGTGTGCGCGTGCGTGTGCGTGTGGGCGTGTGGGCTCTGGTGAGATCGTCAGCGTGTTTGCTCGTGCGATGGAGGCGGGGGCGGAGGCGGGTGGCGGAGGCGGAGGGAGGTGGGTGGCGGAGGGAGGTGGGTGGCGGAATGGGACAGCAGGCGGACGGAGAGGCGGGGCTGTCGCCTCGCCCCGCGGTGCGGAGGATGCGAGTGTGTATGTGGGATACAGACGGTGCGGCGACGCGCGCGCGGTGTAAACCGACACCAAACGAATCGAACGACTCACCCTACTGGCAGGGCCCGCGTCTCGCCGGGGGGTATCCCGATCCCGCTCGCGTGCGTGCGCGTGCGGAGGCGCGTGCGGAGGCGCGAGCGGCGCGGGGAGGGGAGAGCGCTGGGCGAGGGGGGAGGCGGCGGGGGAGAGCGGGGGCGAGGGGAGGGCGCCGTGGCCGTGTCTGCGCGGGGCGGGGGTGGGCGCGGGGGTCGCGGGGGCCGGCGCACGAGCCTGTCGTGCGACGCGGGGTGCTGGGGAAACGGAAAGAGCGTCGAGGTTAGGGTTGGGGTTGTGAGTGTGAGTGTGAGTGTGGGTCGCGGGCTCTGCGGGGGGCATGACTGCGCGCGGGGGCGCGGAGGCCAGGGCGGGGGGGTGTCGATAAGAGGCAGGCTCCTCCCTCGTTGGATGTCGGTGCAGGTTCTGGCCCTTGGCGGACTCGACCGGGGTGCCGCTGTGAGCGCGCGGGTGTGCGTGTGCGTGTGCGTGGGGCGTCGCCGCGCCAGGCGGGACGGGTGCGCGCCTGCGCTCGTCCTCCGCGCGACGCGATTTGGGGTGCTCTGCGGCGGAGGCGGATGAAGCGGAGGCGGCGGGGCGGGAGACGGACTTGGCGAGGGGCATCGGGCCCGACACGATGGGCCGGTGCGGGGGATCGTGTTGCTGAGGAGGGGTCGCGGAGGCGAGGTGCGCGGAGGACGCGAAGCGGGCGTAGAGCGGGGTGGAGGAGGCTGCGGGGCTCTGCGGGGGCTGCAGCGTCGGGACATCGCGCGCGGGGGCGGGGGGTGCGAGGGCGGACGATTTTTTGCGGAGGAAGAAAGCCATGTAGAGCGAGGGCGAAAGGACGAGGGCGAGGACGGGCGGGAGGTCGACGACGCACGCGGCTGGCAGGCGACGACCGCCCACGCTCGTCGCCCGGCGCCGTGCCGTCAGGTCCCCGCACCCGCCGGCCGGACGCGGGTCCTTCGGCCGTGCGCGCCTGCTCCTCGCCGTGGCCCCGTCGGACACTCGGTCGTCGTCCACCTCGGCGCCGAAGTAGGCTGCAGTCCCCCGCGTTCGTCGCAGTGAGCCAGCCAGCCCCGCGTCCGCCGACGTCATCAACGGGCCTTCTGACCCCGCGACATAAAACAACCCTCCCCCTCGCGTCCCACCCTCCACCCGCGATGGCCACCTTCAGCAAAGCGTCCTTCGACTCCGTCCGCTACGCCGCCGCACGCCCGACCTATCCCCGCCAGCTCTTCGACGCCGTCCTGCAGTACCACGCCCGCTCGCCCGCCGCGCAGTGGCTCACCGCCGTCGATCTCGGATGCGGAACAGGTGCGTGCACCCTCCCCCCCCCCCCCCCTCACCCCCAACCCACTTCTTTTGTACATCCGTGCATGCATGCATGCATGATCGGTCGCGCATGCATGCATGCACGCATTCTTTCATCCATTCATCCATTCATCCATTCATCCATGGCCCCGATGCTGACACCTCCGCGCGACGCAAGGCCAGGCAACGACCGAGCTCCGCGCCTTCAAACACGTCATCGGCGTCGACCCCAGCCCAAACATGCTCGCCCAGGCCCGCGCCAACGTCACCGCCTCCTCCAACGCTAACGCCAACGACCCCGACGCCTCCAATGCCAACGCGAGCGACGCCAACGCCAACGCCAACGCCACCACGCAGTTCGAGTTCGTACAAGCCCCCGCAGAGGACCTCTCCTTCCTCAAAGACGCCTCCGTCGACCTGCTCATAGCCGGTACGCCCGGTCCTCCCCTCCCTCCCTCCCTCTCTCTCCGCGCCGAACTGAACCCACGCAACGTAACTCATCCACCCACGCACCCCCCGACCTAGCACAAGCCGCGCACTGGTTCGACTGGAACAAGATGTGGCCCGAGGCAGCCCGCGTCCTGCGTAAAGGCGGCAGCGTCGCCTTCTGGGTGCGCCCCCCCTCCCACTCCCACTCACCCAACTAACACTAACACAACCCTCCGCCCTCTCTCCTCCCTCCTCCCCAACTCATCCACCCACACCCAACCCCGCACACCACACAACAGGGCTACTCCGAGTTCCGCCTCCCGCACTACCCCTCCCTCACCCCCCTCATCTCCACATTCACCCAGGGCCCCGACCCCGCCTCCTCCCTCGGCCCGCACTGGCAACAACCCGGCCGCGCGATCCTCGACAACCACTTCCGCGACGTGCCCGTCCCGACCGCCGTCCTCCCCGACAAATTCACAGCCTGGCAACACGTCTTCTACACCGGTGCGCTTCCCCCCTCCCTCTCCTCCTCCAACCCCCTCCCCCACCCCCACCCCTCCCCAACCCAACACCCCCTCCCCATCGTCCCCGCCCGCACTAACGCACCCCCAGGCCCCCACCACCCCCACCTCCCCGCCCCGCGCCCCGTCCTCCTCCACAAACGCGCCCCCTGGCCCGCCCTCCTCGCCTACCTCCACACCGCGAGCGCCCTCCACACCTTCCGCGCGCGCTACCCCGCCGACGCGGCGCGCCCCGACGGGGACCTCGCCGCGCGGTTCGTGGGCGCGCTGCGGGAGCGCGTGCGCGCGATTCAGGCGGGGGCGCGGGGGCCTGGGGGGGCGGCGCGGGAGCCCGAGGGGGCGCGGGGGCCTGGGGGGGCGGCGCGGGAGCTTGAGGGGCCGGCGCGGGAGCTCGAGGGGACAGAGGAGGGGAAGGAGCGGGAGGAGGGGAAGGAGCGGGAGGAGGGGAAGGAGCGGGAGGAGGGGAAGGAGCGGGACGACAGCGACGCGGTCGACATCGAGTGGCCGCTTGCGCTCATGCTCGTCAAGCGCGCCTAGGGTCTCTCCTCACAGAATAGCAGTGTTTGCTTTGAGCGGCGTCGCGCCGTACCGCCATGTTGTACCATACTGTATTATGCCAACCATGCACTTACGCAGGACGCAAACCAAGCACCGCACCGCACCGCACCGCAACGCCCCGTCGGACCAGTAGGACCAGCCTGCGCGCCGTACGTCGCGCCGACGAGACGTGCGAAGCATGCATCGGCACCTGCACCGCCGCCTCGAAGCTTAGCGCCTAGCGCTCACCTTCCGCAGCCCGGACCTTGGAAAACAAAACCGTCCAACGACCATTTCGATGCGACACATGCAGATGAGGCGTCCGCCCACTACACCACACTACACTACACTACACTACACTACACTACACTACGCTACACTACACTACACTACACTACACTACCGCCGATCTGCCGAACTTCGCACGGCTCGATCCGAGCGAGCGAGCGAAACGAAAACGAAAGTGAAATCTTAAAACAGCCTGTGTAGAAGACGGCGGTATAGACGCTTGCCCTGCCCTGCCCTGTTCTGCGCCTCCGCGGGGCGTCCGTGCGCACCCGTCAGACCGGACCCCGCACGGCGCATGTATGTGTACACCGTACTTCCTCCACGTGTGTGGCATCGACCTAGCAGCCACGAGCTCGTCGTGCGCCTAATCAATCTTTCCTCGTCCGACGACGCCTTGGTCTGTCGGGAACAGGCCCACCGAGACTCGAAGCGGATACTCGGCCTCTCCGCGCCTACCCGCCTAATCATAGTCGACGATCACGACGTTGCTCTCGCCGTCGACCACCACGTTCGGTGGCGGGATGTCCCCGTGCACCCACCCCGCCCGCGATAAAGCCTCCACGGCGGCGGTGAGCACCGAACCCCCGTACTTATCTTCCAGCGTCACCCCGTCCACACGGTCCATCACGACCATCTGCAAGCCCTTGGAGCTGAGACCCCGAAACCGCTCCGCGAGCGCAGCACAGTGATGCAGCGGCGGGGCCAGCGCCTTCGATGCCACGAATTCGTGCACCTCCCTGCCGCAGGTCTCCGCAAACCCGACCACGAGCAGGCCCGCGTTTCCCGCGCTGCCCTGCTTCTGCGCGAGGAGCGTCTTGCACGCCGCGTGCGGCTGGAGCCCCCTCAGGTAGACAAACCCGGTCTCCTCGCCGGCGCTCGTGCTTGGAGAACCGGCGATTCTCGGGAAGAATCGAGCAAAGGAGCGGCGGCCTGGCTTGACATTCGTCTGGTACCACGCGCAGAGTCGCTCGACGGCATGGCCGAGGGACACGAGCACCAGCGCCAGCCTGTCTGCGCATACGACGCCCAGATCGTTGGGGAAGTCCTGCCCGTCAGCGTCGTCCTCGCCGACGTACATCCAACCCGTGAAACGCTGCACGTCCACCCGGTCGAGCAACACGGCCCCCATGACGCACACGTGGGGGCCCGCGATCGCGAGGCGGATGCTCGGGCAGCAGCTCGCGTAGAGAAGCTCCTCGCGCTGCACACGGGGGCTCGGTCACCGAACTCGTGCGCGATGATGAGCACCGGCGCCGCGCTCGCCGATGGGTCCATCCAGTATTGCAGGTACGAGAGCTCCGCCTGCTCTCCCGGGCCAGTCCCCGCGGTTCCCATCTCCGCCCGGTCCTCAACTATCAAAGGTGCCACGGTGCCCTCAGACGACGTGTCCAACGACACCGACAGGGAGACGGCGCAGTGACGGTCGGGCGAGGTATGTTCGAGGTTGACGGTTCCGACCGAGTCCGTTCCGAGCAACTGGAAAATGTGTTCTCTCGCGCATTCGGCGCGCTCCGGCTCGTCGTTCTCCAGACAAGACAAGGACGACATCAGGGTCTGCGTCAATCTAACCATCTCGACAGAGGCTGGGGTGTCCTTGTTGAACAGGTCCTTGCGTAATTGTGCGAACACGGGGTTATAAAGCTCAATCGGGGGGGCCTTGTTGCCGAAGGCTGCACCATCCCTTTGCCCGTCGAGGATCCTGGCAAGCCCTTTCTGATACCGGGGAAAGGCAGCCGCCTTGGCATTATGCGGAGGAGGTCCCAGCTTCCGCACCGCGTGTTGGAGTCTTTGCAAACCTCACAGAGCGCCTCGGCAGCTCTCAGCGGTGTGGAAGTCGCGAGCTTGTATAACTTACAGTCCCAATACCACTTGGGTTCGCGAGGCTTATCGTCGAGTTCATCCTCCGGGGGCGCAAGGTTGTTTTCTATGACCCGACCCATCTTCACCAGGAAAGCAACACATTTCGGGTCTCCCTCGGCCTTGGGGTAATAATAGTTTATCGGGAATAAACTCTGGCACGTCTGCGCGGTATGGATCAAATCCAGGTATCGATACATGTCTTGGTGCGTAACGTCAGCCACGCGGAGGGGTTCTCTAGGCTGATCACCTTTTGCGCGGCGACGCATAGAGTCTGGGGTGCTCACTGGCCCGGTAAATGTCAATGTCAAGGGGGTCAAAGTTGATCGACGAGGTTTTGCGAAAGCTGCCTCGTATTTCGTGGATGAGCTTTTCGATGGTCTCGCCCGTGCCCCTTGTGGGATACACTTCACCCCTGGGCGTATTCACGGTCGAGACCCGACATTTCTCGTTGGGCTCGCCAACGACGAGGAAGTGGATGCGCATTGAGCTTCGTGGTCCGGGAGCCATGTTGGTTCGAATGGAAAACCGCAAGTGCGCGTGGACAGGCGTGGACAGGCGTGGACGTGCGTGAACCACATCGGGAGAAGCGCACAAATCTGCCCAAATCTGGCGACGCCTGGCAAGGTCGGCGAAACCCGACATGGGCTTGCCGCTTGCCAGCCCGGGTGTGTTCTTGAGCTTTCACCAGGCTTCCCGGATCACAGTCGACGTCTCTATGCGGTCTCGTATAGGTTGGTTCAAGTACAGTACAACTACGAGATGCAAGAGACATCCTGCACTATGCTCTCCAATGAGTTCATGCTGTGAGACCCGTTCGATGGTGTTTTCCTCATCCCAGACTATCTCGGGTAATGATACCCTCGACATATTCCGAGAAGTACTGTACATGCACTTGCACTTATTTGTACCATGCACCCCGCTCGAAACTCGAAGCCCGAAGCTTCATAAACCATCCGATTCCCATTTCGATACAGTACATACAAAAGAGCCGTCCGTCCACTACAGTGCCGCCGATCCGCCGATCCTTACATGTCTTGATCCGAGCAAGCAAGCAAAAAGAAAACGAAACCAAAAACCAAAAACAACCTGTATGAAAATCGCGGAATAAATGCTTGCCCTGCCCTGCCCTGCCCTGCCCTGCCCTGCCCTGCCCTGCCCTGTTCTGCCTGCCTGCCTGCCTGCCTGCCTTCTCATCTGCGCCTCCGCGGGGCGTCCGCGCGTATCTGTCAGACCAGACCCCGCACGGCGCATGTGTGTGTACGTCCGCAAGGGGCAGAGCGCGACGCCCGCTCTGCGCACCCAGCCTGCCGCGAGCTCACAACTCCATCTCCATCTCCATCCCGTCCCACTCCTCCTCCTCCTCTTCTTCTTCTTCCTTCACACTATACCCAACGCCAACCCCGCTCGCCCCGTCCTCGTCCAGCCCATACCGGCTGACGCTGACCCGTCCGCGCGAGCTAAACCCGTACGGCTGGTGCTCCCGCAACTCGTCCTCCGCCTCCGCCTCAACCTCCACAAACTCGCTCTCGTCGCTCCCCGGCACGCTCATCGAGCGCGAGCGCGACGATGCAGACGCAGACGCAGACACCGACACCGACACGAACGACGAGCGCGGGACCGACCACGCGCTCGCGCTCGCGCCGCCGTCCGTGCGCGCGTACGAGTACGACAGCGCGCTCTCTGGCCGCAGCGACACGGGCGACCCCCACGGCTCGGACCCGTCGCCGGGAGACGCGCGGCGCGGGCCCTCGTGCGCATACGGCGACATCGTCCGCACCGCGCCCATCATCGCCTCGCGCGCCCCGGCGGAGCCCGTGGGCACGCCGAGCACGCCCGGGCGGACGTGCGTGACGCCGCCGGCGCCGGGGATCGGGTACTCGTGTAGGCGCGGGCGCGTCGAGGCGGGGCGCGACGACGACAGCGCTGAGGGCGCCGGGACCGAACTCGACGCCGGGCGCACGGCGTACGGCGCGGGGAACGGCGCGGACCTAGGCACCGCCAGCGCGTGTGTGGACTCTGCGGAGACGGCGGGCGGTGGGAGGAGCCCGCCAGAGAGGAAGGACGGCCAGTACGAGCGGTCGTCGGGGAGGGACGAGCCGCCCAAGGCGGATGGCGACATGTGTGATAGGATGGCGGCCGCCTGGAAGCGAAGAGTGCGTCGGTGCGTGAAGAAGAATGATGCGGATCGGGGTAGCGTGCATACCTCCATCAACTGCACTTGCTGGTGCTTGCTCAACAAAAATTTGGATGCCTCCCGCCAGTGCGGAGAGTGCTCCCATCGATGCTTGATCAGGCACGACGGATGGCGATAGACCTGCAATAAAAATATTTGAGATTCCACTGCTGAAGAAGGACCACATATATGGGTACCTTGGAGCAACTCTCGCACGTAAAAATAGTTCCCCTCTTCTTACCATTTTTGGCCAAGCTACCATCATTCTTGGTATCTTGAGCGCCGTTGCGATCTCCGCCGTCGGTCAGGTATTCGGGTGACTGAATATGCACAGAAAATATGTATTCGTCGTCCAGAGATATCGATCGCGCCATCCCAGCGCGCTGTGCGGATGTATCACTCGGACGTGATCGCGGTATGCTCAAGCTCGCTGAAGCAGAGACGGTAGATATTGCCGTGGACGCAGGAGCGAGCGGGGGTGAAGATGAAAGCGAGAGATTGGCCAACGCCGTGAGGGCTGCCGCAGCAGTCTGAAGCCCGACCGGCCTGTGCAGGGCGGATTCCGAGGATCAGTGCTCTCCGAACCTCGTGCAGCAGAAATCTTGGGACCTACGAAGGACGTGTAGCGGCGTCTCGGGCGTCGCTGATCCTCTTCTTGACCTGGCTGGAGGACGACAGACGACGGTGCTTGAGCCCATTATATACCGCCACTCCGGTACTCGTAAGTCGAGGCCCAACGCTTGCTCCGACGCTGCTACTCGTGAGGCTTGCACCGGGCTGAGAATCTTCCATTCCGTCAATATTCGCCTGGGCCACATCTTCCTTCCTAGTAGGTATAGGTATGGGCGCTGCACTGGCTGCCGCTATAGATAACGACAGCAAACTGAGACCACCGCCTTCGCGCTACAAATATGCATGAGCCCTCGCATCGCCCGCAGCTCAACGAACCACTCACCGGTCTGGGTGACATCTCTGCTCGCATCGAGACCGACAGGTGGGGGCAGAATTCACACAGGATAGAAATGGAGTGTGTAAGACAATGAGATACGTGGGCGGGTTGCGGTATGCGGTAAAGTACAAAGATGGGTTTCAGGTGGTACAACGCGCATGAATGGGCATCTCTAGAAAATACTCCGTGTGGTTCAGGAAGCCATGGCGGGGGGCGATAGCCGAAACAAAGGAAGAAGGCTCCCCTTGACTTGCAGCTGAAGCTTGTACGCCTGAAACTGACAAAATTTAAGGTCCGCCCAAATTTCGGTGCGCGTATCTTTGGATCCTGTCACTCCCTCCGAGCGTTCCATCTCGGTTCAACGACTGCATCTCCATCCTTGCACGGAATGGACTAGACAACCACAAGCAAGCAGATATCTAGGGCATCTGACATTCTGAATGCGAGAGAGTCTCGGTCAACGTGGCAGGTGACGGAGCGCCTGAAGTGATCCAGAAGTGAAGTACACGTTAAATGAATGATGGATACAGTGGTGCGCATCATCAAAGATGTGTCTATTCACCAGCCAGCATAACGACACTGGTGCTTTATGGATTCGCACTTTGTGGACGCGCAAGTTGTCCAATGACCACAGACTGAAGCGCTGCATGGTGCCCAAGGCTTTGAGCCCTGATGCCTGATGCATTGATGCCTGATGCATTGATGCTCTTGTATCATTCAGCGCGGTGCTGGCTCCCAGTGAGTGGTCCCAAAACGTCAGAGGCGACAGTTTATTGTAGGCCTTGTTATCGTAAGGATGATCTATGTCCAGACTCCAGAAGGCGTGGCTGGGTTTTGGAAAGGCACATATCAAAGTCCTTAGGCCTTGGCCGTTGACGAGATGTATATAATCTTTGTAGCGGGCGCATTATCCTACTGATAAACCGAGCTTCCTCATTGATCCCCTTTATTTCCTTGATATGAAGGTTTGTCTCCGTCTGTCGTCCACGATCCGTCATGTATAACGGCGCATAAACACACAAAAAACTAGGTCAGATGCCGATCGTGATTTTTTCAGAGACGCTAATGCACGTTTGTACGGCAGAACATTGCAAATCTACAATACTGCCATCGGGGCTGATGAGACAGCTCTAAGATTGATTCCGATGGTAGAGGATACCACCAGTGCAGAACATACCAGACGCCGCCAATCGGAATATCGCCGCGCGTTCACCATCGTGTAAGTGAATATTCCAGCAAGGGCAAGATCGATGAGGATGTGTATCAGTGACAAGAATATGATGGTTCGTGTAATAAATGAATGCTGGTGACAAGGAAAGGGATGGGTGCAGACCTGGGGATGCATGGAAAGCAGTGATATGTGATCTCGAATCCAAAGAATGCGCGTGCGTGTAATCGTGAAGAAAACCTACGTGCAGGGTACTGGAACCGAGTGTTCAGCGACAGTATGCAGCGATAGCAGTGTCAAGAAGTTCAAAATACGTATATACTAAGAAAGCAACGAAGTAATTCATCTATAAATAATGTCCCATTCGTGCCATGACGAACACCAATTAAAACGCATGAGATAAAGAAATGGCAGGCCCGCCAAAGTCGCGGATCCGCGAGAGTTGAACGAGTATTTTCGTTTCGCAACCCCTGTCAGGTAGCATTGGACATGTTTGACGATGCAAGCGTTTAGCCCCGCGCGAGCGCATTCTGTATGCTAAAAAGACCACGATTGATCCACTCTTCCGGGGAGACGCGGTCCGGATGGTCACTCCTATCGGCGAAGATGTGGTCGTTGGACGACGAGAATGCCCAGTCTGCGGGGTTGGGCGCGGGGGTAGCGGTGATTGCACGCAACTCATTCCCTAAAGACGACATAGACGAACGCAAGAAAGCGCCAAGATAGCAAAAAGGCCGTTAGTGTGAGACCAGGAGAAGACGAGAAGCGCGACATACGGATGATGTTGTTCGTGAAGTGGTCCATGTTCTATACGATGCGTAACAGAAGGTGAGAGACAATCCCGGAAACCTACGCGCACATATGTCACTTACGAGATCGTTCTTGTCATAGCCTAGGATGTGATCATGGAAGTTGTCATAGTCAGGATCAGCCGGCCGACTTGCGCATCAGGCTTGACCACTTACCGAAAGGATCTAGAGATAACGGGAGCAGTCAGCAGACGATCCACGATGCGAAAAAAGTTTATAACCCACTTTCAATCTCTTCACCGGCTACGAGGAAGCCAAAAAAGATAAAGCTCTGTTGGGTGTTGGGAATGACGTTCAAGCTCCACGAACTCCTGAAGAGAACGACATACCGCAACGGTTGTTCCGGGGATGGTGACCCATTTCAAGGTACCCCAAAGTTGAAATGGCTACGGAATGTCAGATAGGTACAAACGGGTTCAGCCGAGCAGCTTACCAAGGCGAGGCAATAAAGAATGGTAACAGACCATAGATGAATGGAATATCTGATGAACCGATTATTTGAACTGGCTGGAGCAGAAACATCGCTTACTTACGAGAAGGGAATAGGTGTTGTCAAAATCCTCTCTAGACCAGTCAGAGCATCAACAAGCTGATTCAGTGTGGTGATCAACATGGCTTGGAGAGCACGTTAGGTTTGGATAACATGAGAAACCGACATCACATACTAGTCGTGGGCGGATCAATCGCCTTGCGGGCCTGTAACGCTGAGATGTACGAGCTCTATCAAAGGATTAGCACCGAAGATATCGTCCAGATAGAGGACGCCATACAAGGTATAACGATATCTCCAAGGGCAAGTTGTGAGTGACGTTGCGGTTGCGCATTTTAGCCCTCAACCTGGCGCCCTTCTTGCCTTTTACTTCCTTTCCCCGCTTCGTCAACATCTTGACCAAGAGCGAGAAGGGGAACAAGTCGAAGAGGTGGTACTTTGGCGGCATGCGAGCAGGCAGAAGCTCTTCACCAAAGATAGAGTCCTTGCCACTTCGAATCGCACTCTGACTGATACTCGGTCTTCCATTGGTCATGATGGGCTCCAAGAAAGTCGCTTTTCCGCCAGGGGCCGTGACGGGAAGAGGAAGCTGCGGCTCAGATACGGACGACGGAATGGTCGGCATAGGTGGAAATGGCGATCGTGATTGACCGGATTCAGACAGACGAATATTTGGGTGCGATATAGAGGTGCGGTGGCTTGTGATACTGCGGATGTCCGATGTCCGATGGTGGATGGAAGGCGAACGAACCGAGGGCGATTTCGGTGAGGTTGGGAGTTCGGAGGTCAAGTCGACGGCCGAGGGCAAGCCGGCAGGGAGCGCGTAAGCCGGCAGACATTTGACCAAGTGGTACAGGTCGACGTAATAGATACTTTCCTCGCCGCGCAGGTAGTGCTTTACAGCGACGCTGAATGCCTCCACAAGGTTGAGGACTGTCTTCTTCTCGATGATGACACGCGCTTTTTTCTCGTCGGCAGGCATTGAGTCAGGGCCGATCGCCATCGTGTCTTGTCACGTAGATATTTTAGTCACCTCTGTCGGAAGCACTGCCACGGAAGAAGCTCACCAGGGACATGGAACCATACTAAACGCGCAAAGGTTCTACTCGCTAGAACGATCTGCGACCAGTACCTTCTCCCTTCGTTGTATCGTTCGAAACTGGATGTCGTTCTATACGAGATGACGAAACCAAGCACAGTACCGAGGCTGTTGGATCAAGCAACAAGGTCAGAATTGATGCAGACGACGACTGAGATGCCCTTTGAATGAAAACTGTGATTGATGTAAAACGTCCACTCCCCGAATATGTGCCTGATGGATGTAGACGCACGTTGGTCCTTTACGCAGACACATCCCTTTACGGCCAGATTCAAGCCGTTTTCTCGACACAGGGGGCAGTGGTGACACTTGAATGACATGGGGAACATAAAGGCTTACACAGTAAGAAGGGTGGGCTGGATGACCAGCTTATGGTGTGTGAGCGCGTTGATGCACGATATGGCGGTCGACCAACCGCCGAAGAAGATGAGAATGTGCCAACATCTGAAGAGTGCTGTCGCAAGGATGGCGTTTATGAGCGTCGGCCAAAACCTGCGAGGAGCCGCGAATGGATCGGGAGGATTGATCCCCACAAAATGACCGTCGTGAGCAGCAGTGTCCATGAATGACAGAGAAAAAGAAAAGAAAGAAACGGAGGAGAAGTTTGGGGTGAAAGGCTGCGAAAGTCGACAACCGTTACTGCTTATACGGGCTCATGTCGTAAGCGCTGATGCAGATGGCCAGAATTTGATCATCACACAGTGAGGGAACGGCGAGGCCTCACAGTCATGAGCTCACAGAGAAAAGCATCAACACACTGCAATATCAAGAGACGCCTTGAAACACCTCAGCCAAGGCTGCGCAAGCGAAGGGACGATGATAGTGTTGTTATTATGGGACCTGTTAATAACATAAAAGCACCAATGCTAGAATGGTTACGCGGCGCAATGGCGCAATGGTAGTGTGTTTGGCCTGCTGACATCGTAGGAGAATATTGACCACCGCGTGACTCGAACGTTTGCCGTAAGGTTGCAGGCTCGAGTCCTGCAGTGGTCAAAAGAATGCTTTTGCGCATACTCTATTTTGATCCCCATCAGTTAACCTTGTTTTTTCTGTACCCATTACGATCCATGCCATGCAGCGATTGGGGCTATCAAGGAGTAACAAGGGCTTGCACTGGAGTCTCAAGGGACGGAACCCCATCCTCGGGTTGGGGTTGCAAACCACGACGCGGCTGCTAGCCACGTGGAAAGGCCTTGACTCGATATAGCAGCACGCATGAGATTTGCTCTCTTTCAAAAGCTCAGAGCATCCAACTTCCGCCCGTCGCGTTCTCCCTCTCTTTGTAGATACATCTCCGAAATGGCGACGACTGCCGTAAACAAGGATACCCATCCGTTCTCGAAGCCCCAGTTCGAGGCTTTGCTGAACCGCAGGTTCTTCTACGCCCCCGCTTTCGAGATCTACGGCGGTGAGTGCGATTTCATCTGAAGGCCCGCAGGACCCGCGGCGCTGATACTCGCGATGCGTCTTGCGTAGGTGTGGCCGGTCTGTACGATTACGGTCCCCCGGGCTCCTCTCTCCAGGCCAACATCATTGCGGAATGGCGCAAACACTTCATCATCGAGGAGCACATGCTCGAGATCGACTCTACCATCATGACCCCTGCCCCCGTATTCGAAACATCTGGACACGTCGCCAGATTTGCGGATTGGATGGTCAAGGACACGAAGACAGGTGACGTTTTGCGTGCCGACCACCTGGTCAAAAATGTGCTTGAAGCACGGCTCGCTGGAGATAAGGAGGCCAGGGGCCTTGCAGCGCAGCCGCCAAAGGAGGAGGACAAGAAGAGAAAGAAGAAGAACGCGAAGGCCGTCGCGGTTCAGCTGGCGGACGAGGTGGTGAAGGAATACGACATCATCCTGGCTCAGGTGGGTATCCGTGGACTTCTCTACGCGAATTGACTGCCGATTCTGCGTCCAGCTCGACAACTACTCTGGCCCTGAGCTCGGAGAGCTGTGCATCAAACACAACATCAGAAATCCTGACACCGACAACGAGGTGGGCGAGCCTCAGCAGTTTAATCTCATGTTCAAAAGCAGCATCGGTCCCACCGGGCAACATCCTGGGTAAGCCACGTCCCTCTGTCCTTCCGACGGAATATCCAATGCATCTTCCAGGTACCTGCGACCCGAAACCGCACAGGGTCACTTCCTGAACTTCTCTCGCCTCCTCGAATTCAACAACGGACGGGTCCCCTTCGCCTCCGCACAAATCGGCCGCTCGTTCCGCAATGAAATCTCCCCGCGCGCCGGTCTGCTGCGCGTGCGCGAGTTCACGATGGCCGAGATCGAGCACTTTGTCGATCCCGAGGACAAGCGGCACGAGCGCTTCCGGGAGGTGCGGCACGTCGTTCTGGACCTGCTCGACCGCGACGTGCAAGTCGGCGGGAGCACGCAGATCACGAAGATGAGCGTCGGCGACGCCGTCGACAAGGGCATCATCGCGAACGAGACCCTCGGATATTTCCTCGCGCGCATCTACCAGTACCTGGTCAAGATTGGCATCAACCCGAAGCGGCTGCGGTTCCGCCAGCATATGGCAAACGAGATGGCGCACTACGCGACAGACTGCTGGGACGCGGAGATCGAGAACTCGTATGGGTGGACAGAGTGCGTTGGCTGCGCGGACCGCGCGGCGTACGACTTGACCGTGCACTCGAACAAGACCGGCCACCCACTCATTGTTCGCCAGGCGTTGAAGGAGCCTATCGTGACAGAGAAGCTCGTCGCCGAATTCAACAAGAAGCTGCTTGGGAAGACGTTTGGTAAGGACTCTGCCGTGCTGCAACAGATGTTCAGTGCATATGACGAGGGTCATTTGGAGAAGATTCAGGGTGAGCTGACTCAGGGGTTCGTGTTCTATATTTTCTATCATCGTTGCGTCACAGGGCTGATGGATGCGGCATTAGCGCTACCACGGTGGTCACCCCTGAAGGCAGACAACTGGAGCTGACCGCGGATGTATTGAGTATAGAGCGGAAGACGTTCAAGCAATCAGGTCAGTTGTTTCGATCCTCGCAAAGGGTGTTTCTAATTCAGCCCTCGCCTCTGATCCGCCAGTCCGCGAGTATACCCCCAACGTCATTGAGCCCTCTTTCGGTCTGGGTCGCATCCTGTACGTCCTGCTCGAGCATAATTTCTGGGCGCGTGAGCAAGATGTCGAACGTGGCGTGAGTGTCTAGCCCATTCGCGCCGAGTTCTACGCCCCTGTCTCATCGGGTCGTTTGCACCCTCGCATCTGCCGTGCTCAGGTGCTCTCCTTGCCACCGGTGGTCGCGCCGACCAAGGTGCTGATCGTGCCATTGAGCGCGAAAGAGGAATTCGACCCGCTGATCCAGGAAGTTTGTACGTCTCGCCCTCGCGTCATTTAGGCATGGCGGGTTCTCATCCCTTCCTTCCTTCCCTTCGCCTCTCCTTTCGCCTCTGGGTGTCGCGTGCGCCGGAAACAGCTTCGAAGCTGCGCAGGGCCGGCGTGTTCTCACGCGTGGACGACTCGAACACATCGATCGGGAAGCGCTACGCGCGTAACGACGAACTCGGCACCCCGTTCGGTGTCACGCTGGACTTTGCATGTGGGTGTGCCTGCTCCTGTGCTGGTGGCGCTTATGACGCACCGAGTGCTAACCTCACCATCGGTCCTTTTCTTCCACAGCGGTCCAGAATCGCACGATGACGCTTCGGTGGGTGTTGTTTTTTGTCTCGAGGGCTCGCGATCATACCTGTAACGATGCGAATGGCAAGGTGCTGACGCAAGTATTTTTTTTTAAATTTCGGTCTGTTGCAGCGAGCGCGACACCACGGGTCAGCTGATCGGCAATATCGACGAAGTTATCGGCATCGTCACAGAACTCGTTGACGGGTCCATCGACTGGGCCGAGGCGTGTCGGAGACTGCCCGCATATGACGGTGTCCAAGCCGTCGAGTAAAGCTGCAGCCGTCAGCGTCCTCGGAGGACCAAGATTCCCTGGGGTGCGTCAAGGGCCCTCTCGAGCCGTGCGGGGGGAGTGAGGCTGGGACGGGAACGCGTCTTTGTTCGGCAGGGCCACACATACATACATGATTAACTTACAGGAGTGCTGGGAGGTAGAAGCCAAAAAGCAGAATAGAAGTCAGAAGTTTCCGGCGAGCGCGCTGCCCGATCCAGTTGATCGCATCTTGCGACGTCTCTGAGCGGAGCGGACGTCATCGTCCCTGGCAGGCATGCACAAGCGACGAGGGGACGTTGTTTCTGGGCCCGCTCGGCCTTGGGCCAGGATGATCGTGACGCAAGCAGGGGTGGCTACCCACACACACGCCCATTTGCGATCGCTCGCCGATATATGGCGCGCGCCACCCAGCGTCTCGCGTTCGTCAGCTCTCCCCCCGTCGTGGGCGTGGAACCCTTGCACGTCTGGGAAACGGACGCGATGCGATGACGCACCGATCGGACAGACGCGCTGGGAACGCGCTCGGGCACGGGGGCGTGGGGGCTGCCGTCGTGCGAGCGTGCGAGCGGAACGAGGTCCCGTGGTCTCAAGACGATCAGCTGACCCGCCCGATGCGTCAACACCGCGGGGGTAAGCGCAGGCGCTCGGGGATGCGTGCAGCATTGCGCGCGCACGCTCACCGTGGGCAGTCGCTGCGCCGGCCGTCACCTGTCCGCCGCAATGGGCAGCACGCTGAGATCTCGGACCCACGCACGACCCCAGGGCGATCGCAGCGGCTCCAGAGTGGGGCACGCTTGCCGCCGCCTGCGATGCTACACTAAACTTTACCAGAGCCCGACGAACAGGGACCGGGGCTGCTGGGGACGCCACGCATTCAGCGGCGGCTGATCGGGATCCCTGGGACGCAGATGGGCTAGGGCGCATGCCGTACGGCATCCGACGCCTTTCCTCACTGGCGAGTGCACTAGAGTACAGGGCTTGGGCGTGCGCTAGGGCAGCGCCCGCGTTCAGCAAGTCTTATTCCGATAACGTACATGGGTGCACATGCGGATGGATCGCAGGGTCCGGTATGGATGGGGGAGGAAGAAGTGTTTCCTGACCCGCCGGTCTACAAATGCGGCGCCAGATACGCAGGGCCCAGAATTGGGATGGGCGTTGATAACAAGATGCGGCTTCGGGCTGTTCTGGCTGGCTCTGGGCATCTCTGGCGTTGGACGCACGCGCGCAGGCAAGCTGAGGGGGAGACCGAGTGGATCCCTCCAACGCGACAGCGGAGTCAGGCGTGGTGATCGGCATGCGAAGAGGGCCCGCTCGCATTGCACATCCGCCCAGACCGTGCCCATGCTGGCCAAATGGACGACCGAAGATCCTGGTGCAAAGCGGGAATGGGGGACGCGACTCGAATGAATCGCTGCGATGGATTGCAGAGGGGCGAAACAAGTACGGTGGCTCGGTCTCTCCCGACGCACCAGGACGGTGGCGGATTCTGGCCGGAAGGGGTTGGGGGACGGGAAAGGCGAGAATTGGCACTGTTCCGAGCGGCCGCTTTTGGACGCGTTTTGGGCACTTGACCGGTGCGACTGAATATAGGCGCCCACGCCGCGTCGTCTCGTGTGCAGGGAGATCGCCGAGGGCCTGCTCTGACAGGAGCTCGTGGAGGACAGATACCGCGAGCGATGCCGGGAGGTCCACGGCTCGCCATAGAAATGGCCTTCTTTTTTGAGTTTGGGAGGTGTCGCGCACTCAATGGTTATTGATAAAGTGTGCGTCGCGAGGGACCGCTGTGGGTCGCCGCGCCTCGTTGCACCGCGCGGGCCGGGGATGGGCACACGCCGCTGGGGAGGCGTGAGGAATTATGACGCAGGGCCCTTTTGGATGGGTGGCGAGGCGGCAAGAGAGGGCGGGCAAGCGAGACGGGGATGAGCTCAGAGGGAAGCAGGCGGCTGGAGATGACGCGGGCGAGCAGGGCTGAGTACGTCAAAGCGAAGACAGAGGGTGATGGGAAAAGGAATGACGAAAAGGACGGGGAACGTGCGGGGGCACAAAAGGGGAACTCGTGGCGGATCGTGGGCTGAGTCGAGGCTGGTAACTCGGCGCCTCAAACGGGGCACGATAAGAATTGAAGCCATGGTTCTGAGCGTTCCCGCACTCGGAAGCCGTGCCCGGATTGGCTGCCAAATGACGAGAATCCAGCCGGCCGTGTCGTGAGATCGAATGGGCAACAGCTTGGTCTCGCTCCCGTATAAAGCCAATATCTCCTCCACCTACATCCGCCACCTCCTCCCTCACCACCGCAGCGCACACACTCCCTCCTCCGCCTCCTCTGCTGTATTTTTACACCCCGTCCTCTTCCACTCTCCTCGCACTCCCTCCAACATGAACGCGAACCTCTCCACCAAAGGCGCACCCGCACACCTCCTCGCCCTCCCCAGCGTTTCTTCCTCCCTCTCGTCCTTGCCACAGGCGAAGAGCATGGCCAATGTCTCCATACATACCCCCGCCATCCCCAAACAGCATGCTGCAGAGAGTGAAGCCAAGGTGCGTCTTCCCTTCCCCTTTCTCTGTGGCCACCGCCCAACTCACCCGCCACCGTCTTCTCCCAGCTGAAAAAAGCTCTGTCGAAGAACGCCGCGTCTGTCCATTCGACGCCGATGCCGCAATACGTGACACTGGTGCGTACGCGGCCTGGCCCGTTGCCTTGATGATCACTTGGCTGATCAGCGCTCCCTGTCTCGTCGCCAGCCGCCCTCGCAGTCATCTCATGGTCATGTCATGATGCGCAAACCGGTGAGTCCCTTGATGCTCTTGACGCGTGTTTCGACTGTCGCCTTAACCCTGTGTGCCGCCTTTCCAGATCAGAACAAAACTCCAGGCTTAATCGCCACCCCATAGACTTCTCCTGCTTTCTTGCTTTGGGACTTTGTAGATATGCCTTGACCGGCACATCACAAGCTGACTGATATGTTTCTCTCGTTTGTTGTTTCGACATCTCTCTTCTTTCTTTGCATACCTATACATAGACGTCCTCTCTCTCTCTCTCTCGCTGTTCGTTCATCTTGTCGTCGCAATCTCTCCGTCCATTCCCTCGCAATATGTTTTCCCTAGCCTTATCCCCACTCAGACGCATACCACGCGTCTCAGTCTACACCTTCCGTCCACATCGGCACTACCGCTATCCTCTAATATTGGTACATCTCGCGCTCGCAAGCATTGACTCCTCACACAGGATGCAGGGTTTTTTCCATGTTTTACACTGGGCTTGTGCTGGGTCTCGCATACTTTTTTTTTCATACGCGTACACATAAAAAAATCGAGACCGGTTTTTTATTGACTCGCGATGGCATTGAATTGGGATCGCGAGACGTCGGTCGGCGCCCTCGGAGCCATGAAGAGCCACCGGGTTCCACGCTTCCGGGCGATCTGCACGCGATCGCTGGTAAATTGCCGATTCGAGCCTCATGCCAAGATCACGCGTCTCGGTCCCGACGCGCGGTCCGCGGCTTCGCCCACGCGGCAAGTCCCCCCTCTCTCTCCTTCGTCTGCAACATCCCGTCTCCCAGCTGCGGGAACGGGCGTGGCGACCTGCGTCCCTTTCATTTCTGTCGCAGAACGCGGCTCGCAGAAGCCCGCGATCGGGGCCCAGCACAGGTTCTGGCGTGCCTCCGTCTTCGCAGGTGGGCACACGTGTTGGTGTCGTCCAGACCATGGCGGTCGGTGCGCTCGCTTCTTCCGGTCCATGTGTGAGATTCGCGACTCGCCGTGATTTCCGTGCTGTGCGACACACTGCGGTACACTACTGTATATGGCCTAGGGAATCATTTCAGCGACGCCCTTTCATTTCATTACGGGCACGAGCGCGTCCTGTATGGATGTGATTGGCTTGCTCAAACCGGCCCGCGTGTGATGTCGCTCTGCTGATTGTGGGCCTCATTTTCGTTTAATGGCTGCTGCCGTTAGGCAGCGTGCAGCGTGTCCAGTCTCTATGATAAAGTTTGCGGCTCGCTCTCTTCCTCTGGGATCTTTTCGATCCCCTGCGTACAGCCGTGCGCGCGATGCCGGCATCGGCGATTTTCGGTGCGCGCGCACTCAGAGTTGCCTCTTCGAGCGCAATGCCTCTCATCGCTGGCCTCTCGTCTCCTTTTGGCGAGGGGGCTGCATTCAGAGGCTCGAAGGGCCCTGCGACCTCTGTGCCTTCCTCTGCTAAGCTCCTGTGGCGGGACGCTTCTGTGGCGAGCGCTGAGATACCGCTGCAGCACCCTAACACCCTATCTTCGGCATTTTCGCCGCCTCGCACCTGCTGATGGCCTCGTCTTAGATTTTGCCTCCCCCCGACCAATGAATGCCGACCCTCTCGCAGAGAGCAGGGCCATTAGCACTTATCTGCCGTGGCCAGCGGCCCAGCCTCCCTTCTCCCTCTTCGATTTTTGCCTTATCTCTGCTTCGCGCGAATAACGTTCGGTCACTCAACCTCGCAGCGCGCGATATTTGCAATGGGCTACCGTGAGTGTCAATTAAGTAGGCGTCGTGTTTTGATCCCTGTTCTGTCTACCGTATCTGGCCCGCGGTTTACGTTTTTGGGGCGCGGTTCTGATGGGCATATCGGCGCGGCAGCCTATCGTGGGCGGATTTGGCCACTGGATCGACGTTTGCGGGCGGGTTTGCGGGGCTGTGTGCAGCGCTACCCGCGTCATTCTACGCAATGTCGAAGCCAGGATGATGTTTGGGGCCCTCGCGATGCACTGTGTATCGGTCGTCGAATTTCCGGAAGGTCAATGACATAGGCCGAAGCAGATGTCGCTAGCGAGCACCTTGACCAGTGGTCCGTGTTTGTCTTGTCCGGTCGGTATTTCTCTCATCCATTTGCTCAACCCTGAGACATGTTTTTGTATATACTATTATAACTTACCAAATCGCTCCGAGATTCATCACCGTAGATCCCGTAACTCGAGCGACGCCCATTTCGACAGCACATGCGATTCGTGCGTGATATAGTGCGATAATCTGGGGTCGTATGTAGGCGCGTGTTGTCTCGAGGAAGGGTGGTTTTTCTTTCTAGACTCCAAGTTGGACGAGGACAAATTCAAACCTTATCTTGTAGGACTCGACGACCCAGCTCGTTGGGTTGTTAGCAGGATCGGCATCCTTACCGGCTTGTCATCCCCATAGTAGGCAAACGCCGCTCCTTTTCCAGACGTCGAGACAGCCGTCTAGCCCCTGCAGACAGTCCCCCCAGCTGCTGCAGACTCGAAAATGGGCCCCAGATGAGTTGAATCTAGATGCTTTTCCTCGACGGGCTCACTTCGGACAGATGTTCTCGGGCGAACGATCCGCCCTTTGTAGTCTCTCGCTGCCTCGTCCTCGTACATGCTCCGAGATGCCCTCCCCCCTCCCCTCCCCTCTGGGCTTCTCTTCTCTTCTCCCTCGGATGCTCTGCGATAAGCAGAGCACCGAGCTTCTCCCCTTCATCCGCCGCACTGCATCCTGCTCCCCTGATCTGTGGAACCGTTCACAATTTAAACCTTGTTCCCCTCGATCTGTCGTCCGTCACCCTGGGCCACCTATTTTCGAGCCCCCCGGTCCGAATCCGTCGTTCCTGCGCAGGGCTCTCAGCGTGCATGCGAAGATGCAGCGGGGCGCGATGTGGGCTGCGTGCTTCTGACGGATTGCCGCTGGCTGGCTGCAAAGGATGGCCCTGCAGGCGCGTGCTGGGCCGGATGCCGTGGCACTGCTGCCTTCTAAGAGCCCTCTAGACCGCTGCCCCGACCCCCCTTGTCATTTTCTCTCGCAATCGAGGTATTCGGCATCGCAAAGGTGTTCTGCCACGCCCGCCCGCGCTCTGCTTTTGTCAGTCGCGTTGCCGTTTCGAGCGCGTCCCCCGGACATCATCGCTCGCCCCGCACGTTCGATGACATCCGTCGGCGGCTGCGGATATTCTCGCCGCGATGGCCCGCGCTGGGCGCGAGCTGATTGTGTGCCATCAGTGGGCCTCCCCAAGATTGCGCCTCGCACGCTTCTCCCCGATCTCGTTCATCAGCCTTCTCTTCCTGACCTCTGACCTGACTTTGATTTCTAGACGCCTGCGCCGATTTCGCCAGTCGCGCCGGCGCACACACGTTGTGCGTTCTCGCCGAGCTCGACAATCACGAGGTGCGGACGTGGAGGGCGAGGGAACGTGCGCTGCCATATGAGAGCGTGCGTTCCGTTCTTACTCTCCCACCGACCAATGTACGCTCGTGTCTGTGCTCTGATCGTGCTGGGCCGTGGTTTTGCGTCTCCTGTTCTTTGAAGAGCGCACCAGGCACAACAAGGCTGGTCATCCTGCTACGTAAGTAGCTGGTCATGAATTGGCGACCTCGCACAGCGGACACAGAATCAATCGGGGCCATGTTTCTTGACAATCTCTATGCTGCTTCCTCTTCTATTTCACTCTTCGACGACGAAGAAAGACGCGCGCCGGAAAATGGACACTCGGTCCAGGCCTAGGTCCTCGGACACACGGATCCGAGCATATCGAGCAGCACTGTGGATTTTTCCCTTTGTCGACCATTGAATCCTGCCCCGCTTCCAGGGACCCCACACCGCGCATGTCGTATTTATCCCGCCCACGTTCACAGCTAACCCAACCCCCGCGTCCTCGCCGCTTCGCGAAGGCAGTGCCTGGCACCGCCTGGCCGCCTCCGAGTTAGCGGTTGGGAGACGCATGCCGTGCCCGGCGCGCCTGCTCAATATTAGCTCGCGGCGGCTCACCGGCGGCCTGGTGCCACTGTCCCCCCCGTCTGGTCGTCGATCTCACATTCTGCCTCGTGCTGCGCGGCCCTGTCTTCTTGGTCTGATAGAGGGCGCACGCTTCTGCCGAGGGCTTCGTGGTCGCCATCCATGAATTGATGATGCTGGCAAGACGTGCTGGCAAGACGACATGGGCCGTCCCCCGTTCTTGCGCCTGGCGATCTATTCGCCTCGCTCGCTCCTTTCGTGGCATTCTGAGGCTCACGCTGTGCTTGGAAGAGCTCGCGGTGTGTAGTTCGCAAGTGTGATCTATATTCGGCACTAGGTTGGATCGCATCCCGCTGCAGCGACGTCCTTACCGGTCCGCAGCGTCCTCACGCTTCTAATTTTGGCTACTTCTGGCCAATGGCAATAGTCCTCTCGTCACTGTCCTTCCGTCCTGCGCGCGGTCGCACATTGGCGGGGCTTTGCCGGTGCGTTTGCTGTTGCTGAATATCTTCCAAGAAGAGACTCGCCGGGGCGAACATGCTCTTTCGGTTTGACCCTGTGTGCATCAGATCTTGCGCGCTGTGGGGTGTGCGGGTGGATGACCGAGCACTGGTCGAAAAACACGGACCTAGTTCTTTACGCTTCTGAACGAAGAACTAATATTATACTTAGCAGGCATCGAATTTGAAGAGAAAGAGGGGGGGACGTTGCGGGGTTTTTTCTGCCCTCGGTCCGGTGCCTAGATTCGAGGGAGGATGATGGGCCTCGCGTTCGCTTGCTGCGCATGTCCCCGCAGAGCCAGGCTTTTTTCTCGCGTTCGATCAGGCAATTCGAGGGATTCCACGCCGATGGGGAGCGCGCTGACTCCTGAGCGCATCTCTAGAGAATCTACTCTGTCAGCTGTCGTCTCGCCCAGGCCCATTATATCTTTGATCGGCCTCCCAAGGTCTGCTGGGAACAGAGGCCCCTCGACGGTGCGTAGTTTGCGCTGTTCGGCGGCTCGTGATGGCGAGCGTGGCATCCTGATCTGAAACAACGAGATGGCAAATTTGTCGATATGTATACACATCCGTGGGACGTCTCGCAGGGACTGTCCCGTGCGGACCATTGGATCGGATGGAGGTGCCCTGTAGTGATTTCCAGTATTGGAGATACCACGCCACGCCAATTCCGACCGTTTGTTCCACCTTGTGTCACGTTCTTCGCGATTCATGAATGCCATCTGATAACCTGATGTACGCATATTTATCTCTGGATTTTCCTCAGGAAACAGGTAAGCGAAGTTATAGAGTTTCATGATTACCAATGACCACTCCTCAGGTCTTCGACAACGGCATACTACGACCCCTTGTTTGTCTCACGAGCAGTTCAGATAGCGCGATACTGTCTGCAAGTCTCTACTGTAAGCGATGTTGTCGGACCTGCGACACAACAAAGCATTCTCGTGAAAAACACTTCCGATGGGGAAGGCTCGGGGAATAGGGTTTGGCAATTTGACGACAGAAGGCCAAGAGTCAACAGAGCTTCGCGGTCCAAATCACCCCGATCTATCGATATCGAAGCCCCTGTGGGCAGCTGTAGGCGAGCGTCACTTCTTCGGCATGAGGCGCGATCGGGACCACTCGTGGTTGGCTCGTGGCCTCGGGACAATGCAAGAGACAGGGATCAGTCGATCTCCCCTCATCTGGGGTGCTGCCAGCGTGGAATTCGGTCGAGGAGGCGATGATGGCCTTGAGATTCGTGAATCTAAAGTTAAGTGGGCTGAAGCGCATGAAAAAGCTGGGTTGGAAGGGCGAGGCGCCTGGGAAAGAGTTTCGAAGACACAGCTTCGAGCTATCGGAACCTCTGCACTGGGCTTCGAATATTCCAATATGACTGTGGAATTCACCCACCCGCTAAGCTGATAAGGACTGGCATGGCTATGCCCAGCGTTTATACAGATTCGAGACCTGATGTCAACGCCTAGGCGGCGGGCATATCTAGGCGCGTGTTGGGACGACAAAGAGACATCCGCACTCTGATATCTTGGGTGTATCAGCATTCGCCACACAGTCGGCGGGCGTTAATTTGGAGAATAAAGAATACAGGTGGTATACATTGTCATCATCAAGACTTAGCCTCTGGCCACCCGTCCAGACCAACAAGGTCCTTGACCTCTCCTTCGGGGCGCGACTCGTCCTCGTGACCTTGGATCTCTGGCCTCCAGCGCCAGGCATTCTTACGCTTCTCGTCGAGTGTTCCCTCGAGAGCGTCTGCGATATGCGCTCCGATGGTAGGCAGGAATTTGAATGCCATTCTGGCGGACGATGTCAGCGCGCGCCCATCAGAAGCAAACACACAAGGACGAACCCTGAGTCCCCAGTGGCCAATAGCAAGCCCTCTGTGCCAGGGATTTCGCCGATAAGCCAACCGCCGTCTTTGTGGTCTGTGCACCAGCAAACAAATTCGTCTATCAAGGGGCGATCGGAAAACTGCGGGAGAACAGTGTCCACGAAGACGCGCAGCGCATCGTGCGCCTCCTTCGGGATCGCGTTTTTTACAGGTGAGGGAACAGAAATTTTCTCGGAGAAGGATGGCAGGCGCTGGAAGTGTGTGTATCCGGGGGTGGCGTTGCACAATTTGATCTTGTTGTCGGCCGAGGGCTCGAAGAAGAAACCAAGGTCGGAGTGATCCACGACGGGAGCACCGCGAAGAGGTGCTGCCTCTTCCGGGGTGAGCTGGATATGACCAACAGTCCAGCACTGTCGATTTGCATAATTAGCTACTCGATCTCTTAAAGATAACACGGAGACAGACCTTTGAAAGACACTGGTCCTTCAAATCCACCAAGGAGGGACTCCATGCGCCAGTGCATAAGATGACTCTGTCTGCTTCGTGCACCGTCCCATCTTTGCAAAGCACACCCTTGACTACCCCATTCTCATCCTTCACCAGACTGACCATCGTCCCCTTGTCACCGCTGATGAACTTCACCCCCATCAGATCCGCCTGCTTACCAGCAGCAGCAACCGCATCCCGGGCCATGGCCCATCCATTGTTAGCGTTCCACAAACCGTACCAGTCTTGGATGTTCTTGGCTGCTGGCTGAAGGTGCGGCGCACGTTTGAGGATCGCCTCGGGGGTCTCGAGAAGCTCGATCTTGTCTGCCAGGTCCGTTCGCTTCAGAACCTCGTATGCCTTCCTGATCAGCTCGTCGGCCGTACGGCTGTTGGCGTCCGATGCTGCGATGACCTAAAGCCCTGAAGATCAACAGATGCAAACGCGACGACTAGCGCGAGACGCACCCAACCGGTCTGGTGAAAGTGTGGGCTGAAGATGTCGTCTGACTTCCAGGCTTCAATGGCTTGGGCCGCAAGCCTGGCATAGAGCTCGTCAGAGTACTCGGTCCTTATAATCTGGGTGAAATGATATCAAATGCGCGAATGGGGAAAAAAACAGGATTCCGCACCTTGTTCAAATCGCAGCCGGCACTCCATTCAGAAGGGCATGGGTGAACGTCGATGGCCGTGATGTTCGTGTAGCCTCGCCGGGCAAGATGAAGCGCAGTCGAGGAGCCAAAGGTACCGCCACCGCCAACGATCAGCACTCGCGAGTCTTTATTCAGTGGGGCGATCATTGAGAAGGTCAGGGAGGTAGCCACGAAGGCACGATCGCGGTCTGCAACATATGGGCGACTCCCCCAGTTATCGAGTCAAGCCGTTACATAACAGCGGTCGACGAGATAACAGCCGGCAAACCATTTTTTGCCATGAAAAGATAAAGAAGACATGATAGGAGGGGTCTCAGGGACATTTAAAGAGTCTTGAAAGCATCAAAGGACGCAACATGGTTGTCGCTGCTGTCCTTGGCCACAGGTGCGCGCCCTGAGTCGAGTGTCGCGGCGACACTGCTCGGATGAGTCACGATGTTTGTCACGGATAAGATAAGGTAAGAGGGTGAGCGGAAGAGGCAAGAACACCTGTCTCCTCATTTCCTATGCATGGCGGTAACACGCTCTCTTGAAGACGTCCATCACTTTTATTGCGATTGATATAATCTTGTATAATATGGCGAGCTCGATCTCGGACACAACGGCTTCACCAACTCCTTTCAGTCCTTTCTCGACTCATTCTGGCGGAAGCGACCTCGCCACATCTGACGGTGCGTTTCCTCCATCATTTTCGGCTCACAATCCTCACTAGGGTGCAGAAACCCCTGATCTGGGTGCCTTTACTACTGTTTTCCGTGCCTTGGACGAACTACAGCCCCGCGCTTTCTCGTTTCCCCTCAGCAACATCTCCACCACAGTGCCGACGACCATCTCCAATTTCTCGCCCACAGATTATGACTCGGACAGACATAGGGGGTCCACAGTATGGAACCACCAACCAATTGCATCTTATCTATCCGTCTCCTCGCACGACATGCCTTCCAACAGATCCCTGTCCCCACCTCCTGAACCCCCGTCCTCAGATACTGAGGGGGAGCCAGATGTTGACGAGGACACCAACGAGGAGCTTTCCGCCCTCGAGCCCTCCCTAGGATATCTTGACATGGCCCTCCAATTCATAGCCGAAGAGCGGGCCAAGTTTGCCGCCCAGCGCGATGCTGCCTGGCGAGGAAATAGCTCTACATCGGAAGGCGCCCTGCGACTATCTGCTGCTCCTCGCCGTAAGCGCCGTAGAAAGAAGGCCAAATCCCTCGTCCGGAACGGCCATCTAACGCGCTCTGAACAAGCAGAGGACGAGAGCCGCACGGAAACGATCGACGCTTCTGCCGATCACGAGGCCGATGACTGGTCTTCCTCCGTGGAAATATCTTCTTCGTCTCCTGCGTACTACAAGTCCACCCCTGGCACACCGCCACAGGCAAAGAAAGAGCGACATGTTAAGCTGACTGTGGCAGTCGATACTAATCCTCGACTTGGCCATTCCAAGTCTACCCCTAGCTTGCGCCATGTGTCCATGCCTCTCGATCCTCGTGTTGTTCGTCTCCGTGCTCTTGCTATCAGACTGCGGTTTATGTTCCCGGAGGACGCCGCCTCTATCACATCTATTTTATCCAACGACTCTCTCAACTCTTCGTCTCCCGAATTCATTGACCCACGTGGGCCCAGTCCGGAATCCGGTCAGGCATTGACCCACGTTTTCATAGACTAGTAAGCCTGTCTGTCGTTCCAGATCGTCTCACGTTAATGTCTCTTGTTCGCAGTTCTAATATATTGATTGGCTTCACGACATATCTACGCCGACACCCACATCTCGTCACAAATACTAGACCGAAACACATGTCACACGCCGCACTGGCGATCATCCTCGAGCGCGGACGTCCCATCACGCGCCGCGCGCTCGCCGCCTCCTCGCCTCTATACCAGCCAATGGATTCAGCCGAGCAGCTCGGCTACGACGTGCGTGTGTATGCGCGCGTCCCGGACACCGGTGACGGCGCAGACCGCGCACGCCATAGCGACGGGACGAAGGGGAAGGGGAAACATTTTACGAAGGGCCACAGCCACCGCGCGTCGGGCGGCGGCACGTCGACGGAATCCGAACCGGGCTCGCACGCGCCAGGCGCGGCGCGGCCCGCACAGACGCGGATACGGTACCGCGAGCAGGGCGTGGACGAGCTCCTGCAGCTCAAGCTGCACCAAGCGATCGCGGACGTCGATGCGGACGCGCCGCCGAAGGGGTCCACGATCGTCCTGGCCACGGGCGACGGGAACGTGGGGCAGTTCAATGAGGAGGGGTTCCTTGGGTGCGTGCGCACGGCGCTGAAGAAGGGATGGAGGGTCGAGCTGTATGCTTGGGAAGGCGGGCTCAGCCGCGCGTGGGCGCGCGAGTTCGGCGACGGGGGTCCGTGGGCGGATAAATTCCGGATTGTGCCTATGGATACATTTGGGCCTGATTTATTGGAGGCGTGAGTGGGGGTGCGCGGTGCTGGCCTGTCGAGCTGTCGAGGCCTGTCGGCGGACCGGAGCGGGAGAGTGAGTGTGAACGCTGGAGGGACGTTTTTATTCGATCGAGGTACTTGACTTGCGCGTACTGCCAGCTTGTTGTCTTCATCTAGGATCACTGTACGATATAAATACTTGTATGTGCGTAGTAAGCGTGTATTGTTGTATGCATTGGCTATATGAAGAGGTGAACGACGTTTCATCGAACCTATAAACGAAGCTGTTTGCCGGCGCATAAATGCACATGTGTGTTCCATTGCAAGTGTCGGTGCGGTGATTCGTTCCCTCTGATCCACCCTAAGTTAACCATAGTTCCTGTCCCCGAAGCACAGTTTTAATTCTAGCCAATGGCAGAACGCGCCTTTAATATGTTCAAAATAACACCGTGAAGGAAAGGACACGCTCAACCTAGTCTGGCACACACGCGTACGTCCAAATGAATAAAAAAACCCTGGTTATCCGTAATACAACACACAAGCAATATTATTATCCGTAATATAAAACAAGGAAGACACAACGAGAGGAGGGAAGGAAGGGTACTGAGAACGGCGGATGGCTGTTGAACGGCAGGAGAGGGCATCAATTTCGTGGGCTGTGAGTGACTGACGGGGGGAATGATCGGAATCCATGCGAGTGCATCTATCGCTTCCTCTTCACCGCTCTATCACCCTCTTCCTCAACGACCACGCGTGACTCCACGCCCTCGCCGCTGCCCCCACTGCCCCCGCTCTCAGGCTCTGCCAACCCACTCTCCACCGACCCGCTCCTGGACCACACACGTGCCTCCTCATGATCCGCGGGGATCGGAGACCCTTCAGGTAGCGGCGGAAGCGGGTGTTCGTGTTCGTGTTCATGCTCGTGGTCGTGCTCAGCGTCCTCCATCTCGGCGTCGTCGTCCTCCGTCAAGTCCACCACCGCCCCCGACATCGGCAGGTCCGAGATGCCCGCGCCAGCCCGCGGCCGCCGGCCCCTCAGTCCGACGGTGCCGTCGTACTCCACTTCGGTCTCTGCCCCAGGCCCATTCATGGCGTCGTCGCGGTCCCGATTCGCCACCGCGGGAGTGCCCATCTCCGCATCATGCGCCTCCTGCATTTGTGCCACGGCTTCTAGGTCCAGGTCGATCGACAGTGCGTCCACCTCGACGTCCTCGGCGAGGTCCGCGAACGTGCGGCAGAGCGGGCAGCAGAACGCGGGGTGGTGCGACTCGATCAGCGGGCGGATGCATTTGTAATGGAAGGCGTGCGAGCAGGGCGCGATGAAGAGAGCTTGTCGGATCGTGACGGCGAATAGACCTGACAGGGTGTCAGTGTTATCGCAGGTGACAGGACACGGAAAATGTAGGCTTACATATACAGCAATCAGCGAAGCCCGAGTTGGGTATGGCCTTTTTGCCCTTCGATGCAGGCTCGGCGAGGGCTTTCAGCTGCTTCAAGGCATTTGTGCTGTTCGTTGTATGAAGTCAGAGTCAGCTCGAGGCGCAACAAAAGCAACGAAGGGCTTACTTGAAGGCGTTTGCTGCGGCTTGCCATTCCCTCCCAATCTCGACTCGGATCCTGACACACTTGTAGATATCTTCTGTCCCCCCTTGATAATCCACACCTAGCTGCAATGTGTCCCCATCCTTCAGCTCGAAAGGAGTCGACTCGTGGCTGGCGGCAGAGAGTCGAATATGATTGAGGAAAGTACCGGACGAGGACTTGGTATCTTTGATTTGGAACTTGCCTCCAGGATCGCACCACAGCTCGGCATGGGAGCGAGAGACAACTTTGGACTTGAAGGCAAGCTTGTTCGTCCCGAGCGCGTTCGCGGCCGCCACCCCCAGCCCGGTGCGATCGGTAAAGCGCCCGATGCGGAGCGGGGCATCCCCCTCTGCGACGTAGCGCGTGATCGGCTCGAAGCGCAAGGAGCGCCGAGTGTCGAGGTGCGGGACGAGACGAATACGATGGCGCGGAGCCAACGATGTCGCCGTGGGGGCTGAGTTGGAAGCCCCGGTGCGCACGGAGAGCGCTCCCGCTGCGGTGGTCGTTGTCGTTATGGGTGCCACCCTGGCAACGGCGGGCACTGCGGACGCTGGATTGCTGGCGAGTGTGCCACCAGAACGACGGCGGCGGAGAATCTGCGAGAAGGCGCTTGTTGTTGGTGCGTTGTGTGAGGTAGATATTTGGAGGGCCGGTGCGCCTGCTGGACGTCGCCTGTGGTTTGTGGCGTTGGGGGATGGAGGGAGAGGAATCATGGGAGACTGGGCGAGCGGTGGTGGAGGAGAGTCTCGAGTGGGATCGATAGGAGCAGGATGGGACTGGGAAGTGCCGCGTGGACGGGACCGCAAAAACGAACCAAGAATGGTCTGCCTGACGGGTGGCGACTCATTTCCCGCGGGGTCCATGCGATCGTTTGGACGAGATATCAGTGGAATTTCAGAAAGGGAAAAGCGGGCTCGACGGCGACGACGGCGACGGCTGGGGGCGTTTGACGATGGGGGCGACGAAAAGGAGGGGCAAGAAGCCAAGTGCCGCCAGAGCCATTTTAGGCCGTCAGCCACATTCATCCCCTGAGACAGGTCCCTGAGCCAGTTGCTTTCGGTCGACATCGCCCTCCTGGTCTCCAGCGCTCACCTCCCTCTCATTCTTATATCGACTGCGTGTGGAGAACAGAGAGGCGCTGTCGTTGTTACACTTACTATAGGACCGCAACCCTGCTATATAGCAGTGGGCCACTCATCCTCGACGAGCGCGACCCCATAAATCATCTCCTCCAGTAGGGGCCGTAATGCAGATGACCTGGTGCGTATCCAACTTCCTCGATATAGAGGCGTCGTTGCCGTGGACTTGTGGAGATCGCTCGCTTTGGTCAAACGTGGAGTCATGGGTCGCTCTTGCTGATGGATGACTTTAGCTTCATCCCTTGCCGCAGCGCCGACGCACTGCCCCAATAGGCCATCATGGCCTATCCAGCTAAATGTTTTCCTAAAAACATGGCAATCTCGCCCATCACTCCAACCCCTCCGAAACCTTTGTCAGTTTCGCGCCCTCGGACCCTCCGTTTTCAGAGTTCATGTACTCGTTAGCAACGTGCTCGCGCTACTATCTTCGACAGTGGGCGCGACATCTCACTTGGCATATGTGCGTGCATGGGGCCTCCAATCTGGCAATCTACAACGTCTGCATGGAATCTGATCGATGACGTCGTGGTCAGTACCTCTTCCATTTTCGAGTCGTTCAAAGGCACTTCAAAGGCATGGCTCGCGGCAGGTCTCTCGATTGTGTGCCGCCTGCTTGCGCAGGTGTCTTACCTTTTTTTTCGTCCTCCCAAATGGCACAGGATGACCGAGGCCGAGGCATTCGAAGCTCAAACATGGAAGCCTTGTCGCTCGCCGAGACTCCACCCCATGACATGGCCCGCCTACTCCGGATCGTTTCGCATATGGGCGCTACTTTGGGTCCCAGAACTGCTACATAGCACACTGCTATCATGCGTAGGCGATATGAGGTCGTCGATGCGTCTACTGGGTTGGGCTTCCACTTTTCTCAAGGACATCCCGACTACTTATACGGACCCCCGGCGATATCGTACCATGCGTGCGATCGACATAGCTGATGTTCCCGTCGTCGTTAGGCGAGGCTCTCCGCGTATAGGATCGGCTAAGACAAAACATTTCTATCCTCACAGTCAGGGCGTTATCTGTTATAGGTTGATTTTTGTATCGTGTCCAGAATGCATCGACAAACGGAGACTTCTCCTCGTCCGCACCAGACCGTAGGCGTAGTCTGCCGGTAGAGCGGACCGAACATACTCTATACCTCCTGTACTGCCGCTCCTCAAATAACAGTATCTAGCTCTCACATCCTCTCCGGTGGCAACTAAATGCTTCGTCTCGATAACCTTGCTCGGTTGTTTGATATTCTTACATTACCTATCAACGTCCCTTGATCATATACAAAGGCGCGAATTACCACCATTTTTGGAGGGAAGTTCCAATCAAGCACGGCGCGCTCGACTTTGTTTGCAATCATTGATGGACTTTGACTTGCCCCAAGTACGATCATTTCATTAATAGTTTAGAATCTGCCTGACTCCTTAGCTACCTACACAGAGGATCAAGATCTTAACGCTCGATTTCTCGTCGCCTAACTCGACACTGTACCTACCCCACTCTGCATTGTCCTTCGTCGAGCATCAACAATCGCGCTGCAAGCAGCACAATAAGCAGACCCCAGCTGTCAGTCTCTGAAAGTGCGTGGTGAACGGCTGTGTAATTTGATGGATTTGTTAACATCATAGCTTAGATGGTTACTTATGTGAGCCCACTCTATTCGACAGTGCATGTTACAGTGCATGACGAGATATCAAGCGCTGAAAACCTCACCCTTGACCAGCGCTGGTTTAGATCACAGGGAGTGGTGAATCAAATTAGAAACCTCATTACCGGTCCCTACGCGGGGCAGAGTGAGCACCACAGTGTGTTGAGCGCTTTGGATGAGAGCACTCGTTTTGAACGCTGTGGAGAAGGCGGGAGCGGCATCTAGGTCTGGAATCGCGTGCATAAGATCATTGCCGCCTGGGAGAGTTGACTTCCGTCTGCCCTCGACTTCACCATCTGACCTTGGATCGACCTCGAATATGGGCTTCGTACCTTGCATAGAGCCCCGGGCCGCAGGAATCAACTACACTGTATTGCTAGAGCTCTGTCATCTGCACGCTCTCGTGTGCCATGGTATTTATACACGATCCTGTGAACACTAACCCACATCGGTTCCGAGGCAGAACGATTTGGACGGCGCAAGCCTCGCATAAATACCTCCTCGCTATCGCTCGATGCTGCGCCCAACGCAACCTGGTGTGTCTGTACCCATGTCCATCATACCGACTCTCCGTCTGCCAAATGCACAGGGATTAGAGATCCCTGGTTTAGGTATGTATTGGCGATTGGCTATTTTTGATACCTTTCTCACCTCGACGATGAAGGTCTGGGCTGTTGGAGTGGGACAACGCCCGAACAGTGGGCGACGTCGAAACCGTGGCTCGTCTCTGCACTGAAGGTCGATATTCTAATCTGCGGCTCATTGACGCCGTGAAATATTCAATCATGTATGTAGGCCGGTTACAAGCTGTTAGACACGGCTTATGGATACGGTGCGTCGAGATTTGATGGTACACCTTTCTCTGCATTTACTTTTTGTGTCAGGAACCGAGAAATACGTCGGAGAGGCCATTAAGGAGTCGGGTATACCGCGCGAAGACATCTTCGTGATCACAAAGCTCCCGTCTGTAACTGTTTATTCTGTTCACTGCATACCGAGTCTTCGTTCGTCACAATAGCTGACATGACATGTCTTTTATCGTAGCTGGCATCATGCAAGGATCGTGCGCGAGTCTGTTGAACGGTCCTTGAACAACCTAGGATTTGATTATATCGATCTAGTCAGTAGCTATCTGGCATCATGCTTGCATGTCGCTGATGCGGAGCCTAGTATCTCATGCACTTCCCTCAAGCGATGGTATACGATAGTGTGTCCCACACATCCTTTCGATGTGTTCGCTCTCAAGTGTCTTTCCTTAGACGATGACAATGATCCCAAGACCCCAGATGGCCAATACCGCATCGACGATGGCATCACCTTCAACGAGGTATGGGCCGAGATGGAGAAAGTGCTCGAGAGCGGGAAAGTCAAAGCGATTGGAGTGTCAAACTTCTCCGTCAAAAATCTCGAGAAACTGCTGTCGACGGCAAAGGTGGTTCCTGCTCTGAACCAAGTCGAGTGCGTCCGTTCCACTCCAATATATGTACTGTGTGAACTCGATCCCGCGAACACAGGTTGCATCCGTATCTCGTGCAGGAGGATCTGAAGAAGTACTCGGATGAGAAAGGGATTGTTACTTGCGCCTATACGTCTACCGGTGAACGATGTTGACCGCCAAACGGTGTAGATGCTATACTAATATGCGGAACGACATTTCAGGGTACGCGACCGTCCGTGAGGACGCCACAGTTGTCGACCTCGCCAAGAAATACGGCGTCACTGGCGCGCAAATCGTGCTTGCCTGGCATGTGCAGAGAGGTGTCTTGCCCATCGTCAAATCGAGCAACGCGCAGCGACAAAAGGACAACATAACCGTAGGCATCTCCACCCCTTGTCATTTTGCGCCATTATCTGACATTGTCACTCGCATCAAGCTGCCGAAATTGAGTGCGGAAGACTTTGCGCGCGTGACGGCTCTTGACCGCTATGAGCGCCTGTGTAATAAGATAGGCCCGGATGGGAAAATGTCCGGCTGGACAGCGGAGCAGCTTGGGTGGTGAATGAATGAGGCAGATCGATGGACAAACATGTGGATAGGATGATGAGAAGGGGCGTACTTTAGGAATGAGTTGAAATCGGCATGAAGGTATTGCGATACTACCCTGCCGCGTGATGTACTACATATAAGATTTGCGCCGAATACGAGAAAGCTATGTAGCCGCGTTTAATACCATCGCAAGAAGACTGGCAGCTAGCGGCAAGGCAATCGATACAAGTTTTGCAGGCAATACTAAGGCTTACAAGGCTGCGATTGGAACAGACTGATATACAAACACGTAGACGCGCGGATGGAAATGGATGTGCGGAAAGAAGGAAGTAAGATTTGAGACCGCACTGCCCTGTGATGGTCCCGTGTACATTGCAACTATATCAGCACTTGTGTCAAACTTACAAACTGTGCAAAACAGCGAGATCGGGAGGGATATGAAAATAATGGTGTGGAAGCTAGGAACCAGGAGCACCATAGCGAAGAAGAAGAGTTATAAATTCACTCCTGTGCGCGTTCGGCCACATTCTACGCATGGCTGCCATTGCAGTGCCATAGTGTCCTCCTGTAGTGCATTGTCACGTGCGTCCTGGACATTTGGATCAGCTCCCATCTCGAGCAACAGATTGATGACAGCCTCGGAATCATGCCCGGCTGCCGCCTGCAGTGCAGTGCCAAATCGTCCGCCTTGGACATTTGGATCAGCTCCTACCTCGAGCAGGAGCTTGACGATGGTCTTCAAACCTTTATAGGCCGCCGCCTGCAGGGCAGTGCCAAAGTAACCGCCAGGGACATTTGGATCAACACCCATCTCGAGTAGGAGCTTGACGATGGCCTCGGAACCTTCATAGGATGCTGCCTGCAGTGCAGTGCCAAATTGTCCGCCCCGGCTGCCTGCAGTGCAGTGTCATATCGCCCTCTCCTGGATATTTGGATCAACTCCACTCTCGAGCAGGAGCTTGATGACGACCCCGGAACCCCCAACTGCCGCCGCCTGTATTACAGCGCTATATCCACCCTGGACATCCGGATCGACTCCACTCTCGAGCAGGAGCTTGACAATGTCCGCGGAACCCTCCAACGCCGCCACCTGCAGTGCAGTGCCATATTCTCCGCCCTGGACATTTGGATCAGCTCCCTTCTCGAGTAGGAGCTTGACAATGGCCTCGGAATCTTTGAATACCGCGACTTGCAGTACAGTGCCATATTCTTTGCCCTGGGCATTTGAATCAGCTCCATTTTCGAGAAGGAGCTTGACAATGGCCTCGGATCCGCGATACGCCGCCACCAACAGTGCAGTGCCATATCGTCCGCCCTGGGCATCTGGATCAGTTCCCGCCACGACTAGGAGCTTGACGATGGCCTCGGAACCTTGAGAAGCCGCTGTCTGCATTGCAGTGCCAAAATATCCGCCCTGGATATTTGGATCAGCTCCGTTCTCGAGTAGGAGCTTGACGATGGCCTCGGAACCATTAGCTGCCGCCACCTGCAGTGCAGTCTCAAGGTCTGAATCGGATTTAGGAAAGAAGCCCATCGACCAGTCGAGCAATGCATAGTCGTCATACACCCTTCCTTGAACGTTTGGATCCATGCCGTTGTATAGCAGAGTGCGTATTACCGATTCGAGACCAATAATGAAGCATAGTACAGGCATGAATACACGGACTTTCGGGGCTCCTCCCTTGGGACCCAATCACCAAAGTGGTGTCGTGTTCTCAAAGCGCCAGGAATACGAACCCAGGATGCGAACAGAGGATCTCCAGACTGGAAAAGCTTGACCAGTAGTCCCTGCAACATCCTGTCTGAGGCATCTCCACCTGCGGATTTTACGTGGAATATCAAGTGTACTGCGGCGTATTCAGTAAACGGGAAGTCCTTGTAGAGAGTTCCATCGCCAAAACCGAGCGATTCGAATGGTAGGATGTAGGCCAGGCACGCTTTGGTTACCAGCGTGTGGGAGTCCCTCTCACTGATGTAAAGGTTCGATTCAGCCGACATCGGTATTCCTTGACTGTCACATGGGCTATTTTGACCTCATCTACGCTGTCCGTTAACACAGGTCATTCGAAATTAGGTGGGTAAGAGCATCACCTTCGGATGCGACAATCAAACCAGAGCACACCCGAAAAAACTCCTGTGGATCCTCATATCGGAAAGCGGGATCAAAGCAAGGTTCATAGACTGAGTTGAAGTTCACAGCGACCACTTCGTTGAGTTGAGGAAGATCCAATGGGGTAGCAGCGAAAGCAAGCCATTAGAGGATATGAAGGGCGTCTTCGCGTTCTCCAGAATCGAGCCGATTCAAGATCTGATAGTACATCTCGAACGAAGTCTTCAGAGGACGATCCAAGGATTTCTTCATCTGTGCCCAATTGTGACATTTGGAGAGATCCTCAATCTGCAACGCCGCCAGTCCGAACCTAAATGCCATCGTCAGTCATCACCGTGTGTAAATTATTCAAAGATAACCGTACATTCCCTGAGCATTCTTCATCACACTAGCCTTGATCTCCTCACGTCTGTTTGCCAGTTTAGTCTGTCGTTCGAGCATATCGTCAAGCTAAATCCCAATGTCCACATTGACGGTATCTCCTCCAACGCGTACATGGCCTTGAGTGCACAGTTGACCAAGACTTTTCTCGATATCACCTTCCTGTCGACTCGTGACTAGCAAACGCAGCCCGCTGCCTAGGATCCTGACAACCTCTTCAATCCACTTCAACATCGTCAGTGTCTCTGTGTTCGTACATTCATCGAGAGCATCGATGAGCACATAAACGTGTTCGAATTGGTCGACAATACTGTGGAAAACATCACGAAGAGAATCTAAGGATGCGCGTGATGGATTGCTCTCGTACAACGCATTGAGGCGGTCGGGAACAAAGCGTCGTTGAACGGTTAGCTGTGACACAAGGAAGCGAATCAGCCCATGGAAGCGTTTCGACTTATCTCGTCCATCTCTAGAATCAAACGCAAAATATGCGAAAGCCAATGAAGCCTGTTTGCGGCAATGTTCCTCGGTATTATTTATCGCGGCTGACCTGACATGGCATAACAATAGCCGCCCTACACTCTGGGCTTGTGGATCATCCCTTACCATAGAAAACTTTTACTACAGCCGGCTGGTCCGATGATTCAGTACTCTGCCTCGCTGATGGAAGTGAATTCGCGCTTACGGATTCCATACACCCAGATGAACCGAAGTTCATTATTCTTCCAATCGTCAAACTGTTGTCCATTTATAAACCAGTAGCAGGTATTCTCTTGACGCTTCTCTAGCGCATTGTCGTAGTTTTTAGAGAGGTCAGGTGCATCCAGCCATTTCTTTATCTTCTTGACTGTGGATGAAAATGTATGGTCAATGTTATAGCGACGAGAATAGGCACTGAGATAGGCGTACGAAGCTTGTCATCTGCAAACTTCTGGAACCCCTCCACCACAGTTATGCTGGTCTGCATCGCTAATCTTCGGTCATATTTCGAAAGCAGATCATTGCAACAGTCCTGCAATGGTTGAATGCGAGTCTTCATATCTTCAGATAATGCATCTCGTAGTGTCCGTCCTGCAGCCAAGGATGATGACGTGCAAAGCTCTTTGCCGTGGACTTCTCACGGAGTACGCAGCAATGAAAGGCAGCCTTGCATACTCGTCGATGACTGACGCGACCTGTAGGAATACACGGCCGATGGATTCGATCACTTTGTCGGTCCCAACCACCACCAGTAAGTCAGGATGTTGATCAGCAACCCTGACCATTTCAGGCAACGACTCTGCTAGGCCTCGAACGGCATTGTCCCGGACTTGCTGAGCTTTCGTGGCCTGCAACAAGATGAGCTAGCTATACCGAATCTCACTCAGCACCTCGATTAAGTACCCACCTCGTAGGCTGATAACAGGACATTGCACGCAACTTTCAAGATTGGATGGACCTTCGTAGCACACGGCTCGTAAGATGCAAGTCGAGAGAACGAAACAGTTGACATACCTTTGATACTGTGCGCACAATGGTGGCGGCTGTTTGCAGTGTTCGGGCGAGAGCAGGGATGCAATCGCCGATCATCTGTGCATCATTATATCCCGCCTGGGCCGCAGAGGCACCGGAATCTACCTGTCCAGAAACGGCGGCGAACGTGGTGCCGGCCATACTCGCCACTGCGTCATCGACCTTTTCGAGCAAATCGGTGGGAAGCGTGGAGATAAGGTCGACTTTGACGTCGGCAACCTTGACACCCGTTTCATCCGTCAAGCCCAGCATTGCATCTGAACGAAGCATCGGATTGGTGAGCTCAATGGGAAAAAAATTTCACAATGAACCGTCATTGTGGGGTAGATCGACCACTTTCTTGGTTGCGACTTCGATGATGTGAAATTTTCTGCGAAATGCGCCTGGTACACGCGATCTGTGCGCGCGGACTTCGATCTTCAACATTGAAGAAGGCCCAAACAAGCTATATGACGACCGAGAGACATTACGATCAGCAAACGAACGGCATCACCGTAAGGTGAACTCCCACAAGGATAGCTTACAATTGATGCTCTTCCCCCTGCAGAAGGCGTAAATCTGCTGGATGCTTCTTCGACTCCCATTTATTCCCTTCATCGACAGAGATGATAACAGAACGCTTATGTCGAACTCTAGAGCCCTTCGCTTCGAATGCGCCGACAATCTCGAGATCTAGCGACGAATTGAATGCACTATTCGCAATGTTCAAGCCAGAGATTATGACCTACTCTTCAAGGTAGAAATGAGTGAGAGTGACGCTTTGCTATCCCCACTTGGACTTGAGGGACCACGCTGACGAGTCATCTGCGAGAGGAGCGAGGAGAACGCACACAAGTGCCGTGAGTGAGGCTGTGGATGCGAGGCGAAAAGATGCCTGAAGACTGATGGGGGGCTATAAGGGGAATCCCATTGGAGAGTGTTATGCAACGTCAAGGTCGAATGATCGGTGAAGAGAAACCAAAAGCAGTGATATTCGCAGGATGTATGCGGGGCAATGCCACCGTTCTTCGGAATCGTGGAGTGGGAAATGGCAAGCAATCGATCGAGCCGCCGAGATAGTGATTTCACAAAATCCAATGGCTCTTCGTGTACCATACCCTCTGGCACAAGAAAAACTAGTAAGAAAACTGATCAGCATGGCAGGCTCAATATTGCTATGGACGCGTAAATGGGAATTGCTAGAGCTCAGAGACAGAGGCGAGCGTTGTCTGCATCAATCCTTTGTTTTTGATCAATTGCAGAGCCCTGTGCCGAGTAGCTGAGGACATGGATGCGCGAAGAGGAGGATGGTGAGTCGGGAACGACAAGACGCGTGGTTTAGCAACGCGGTTTTCAATGTCCGAGACGCGCCGCTGCACCAGGCAATGCAGCAGCGCTAAGCACCACTCACGCGCGCCGACGGTGCAAGTGGGACTTCCACATGCTCGCACTGTACGCCACGCGAATGGGAGAAAAGGAACGGCAGGAGAGCGGATACGAGACCCGCGATTCGCGATTGGCGGTAGGTGGATGCTGGTGCGTAGGGCGTGGGCGCCAACGTCGCAGCGGCGCTGATGTATGCGGGGACGATGGCGTTGAATGGGGTGGGAAGTCGGGTTTCAGACGGGTGTGTCTCGACTTCAGGACCTCTGGCGGACTTCGCAGGCAGGTAGACTGCAAGCCTCGGGTCTCCACGAAAGCCCTCCGCTCTGCGGTAACCGCACTCTCCCCCGTTCACCGTCGCACCGTCCCTGACCCACTCTGGCTGCGACCTGCCAGTACTCACGACTGCAACGATAGGAGGTCAGCCCAGCTTCTCAGTTCTCACATGAAACACACGCGTCGAACGCTTTGAGTCGAGTCGCGACAGCCAGCCGCCATGCACAGATGCTGCCCGCCAGGACGAGCCGACGGTCGAAACCAAAAAAAAACATACATTCGTTCGTCAAAAAGCATACACGCCGCCTACAGCCTCGGCTTCGCACCCCCAGCGCCCGCGCCCGCGCCCGCCGCCGCACGCGCCCGAATCTCCTTCCCGCGCTCCCGCAACACGCGCCGCAGCAGCTTCCCGCTCGGGTTCTTCGGCACCGCGTCGATGAACTCGACGCCGCCCGCGAGGCGCTTGTAGCCCACCTTGGCGTCCGCGACGAACTGCGCCCCGCACGCCGCGCCACATCGTCAGCGCCTTCCCGCTGTGCTCGCAGCGTGCACAGGACGCACGCACCTTCGCGAGCTCCGCCTTCAGCGCCGCGCGCTCCGCCTCCGACTCGAACGCGCCCGCGGTGGTGGTGGGGGTGCCGGTGGGGTCGGCCTTGAGCACGACGAACGCCATGGGCACCTCGCCGCTGTACTCGTCCGGCACGCCGACGACGCACGCGTCCGCGACGCGCGGGTGGCCGAGCAGGTGGCCCTCGAGCTCCGCCGGGGCCACCTGGAACCCGCGCACCTTGATGAGCTCCTGCGCCGCGCGCGTCGCCGGGGCAGGTCAAGCCGATGCGCGACGAGTTCGACGGGATGCGGTTTGATGCGGGCGTGGATCCGGGTTCGGGTCGAGGTCGCGGTATGCGCGGTGGGCGTGAGCAGGGGCGCGCGTGGTGAGCAGGGGTGCGCGTGGTGAGCAGGGGCGCGCGTGGTGAGCAGGGGCGCGCGTGAGTTGCGACAGGATGGACGGCGGGGACGAAAACGCACCTTGAGCCTATCCTTAACGAAAAAGTTGCCCTCCTCATCCACGACGACCTCATCCCCAGTCCTGACCCACCCATCCACGAACGTCTCCGCGGTCCTGTCCACCCGTCAGTCCTTCCACCGCCATCCCACCACCGCGCGCGCGCGAATCGCAAAGCGCAAAGCACAAAGCGCAAAGCACAAAGCGCAAACAAGAAGAGGAAGAAGAAGAAGAGGGGGAGGAGGAGGAGGAAGATGGGGAACCACTCACGCCTCCGGATCACCGTAGTACCCCAGCGCGACGGACGGCGTCTTGATCACGAGCTCGCCGGGCTCGCCGCGCGCGGCGAGCGCGCCGCCCCCGCCGGGCTTGACGATCTTGGCGACGCACCCGGGCACGAGCTGCCCCGCGCTGCCGGGGGCGCCGATGCGCTGGGAGAGCGGGAACTGCGGGTGGGAGGGTGAGGGAGGGTCGGCGCGGTGCGGGAAAGGGGTGGGTGTGGGTGGAGGTGATGCGCACCATTAGGACGAGCGTCGCGAGCTCGGTCATCCCTTGACGCGCGGACCCCGTCAGGATCTGACCACTAGTGCACGGCCGAGAAGGAAAGAGAGATACAACGCAGCATACAGCAGCACAAAAGAAACGAAAGAGAAGACGCGAAACCGGCACGCGAACGGAACGAGCAAGCGGAGCGGACGACGAGGGCGCGGCGACTCACCGAAAGCCTGCCCGAGCTCGGCGTGCGGCATCAGCTGCACGAGCTGGTCCGTGAGCTCCGCGGACACGGGGGCGGCGCCGAACAGGACGAAGCGGACGGAGGACAGGTCGTGCTTGCGCGTCTCGGGGGACTGGCGGCGGCGTTCGCGTTGGCGTCAGCGACGATGGCGGGTGGAATGGTGGGGGGCGGGATATGTGAGAGAGAGGGCACGCCGTACCTTGCATAGGAGGACGACCTGGGGCGGGACGAGCCTGCGGTGCGGTGCGATGCGATGCGATGCGACGAAAGGTACGTGGGGCGGGGACGGATACAGGTACGAGTCCTCAGCCCAGCGAAAGATCCCAGAAACAGAAGCCACGCACGCCATATGCGTCACCCTATACTGCTCGATATAGCGCAGCATGTCTCCAAAGTTGAATTTCGGGACGACGACGAGGGACAGCTGTGCGCCGCGCCGTGTATGCACGTGCGCACGGGGTGCGTGGTGCGTATGCGCGTGCGTGTTAGGAGGGGACACGAGTGAGCGCTCGGCTGGAGGGTGGGAGAGAGGGAGGGAGGAAGGGATGGGGGTAGCGTGCGCGTGCTTACCCCGGCGAAGAGATGGAAGTGGACCTGCGGTTGATGTATTTCGTTGCGTTGCGTTTGATGTTATTTTATTTTGGTAGGGTGGGGGGAGTATGCGCGAGTGGGAAAAGTGAAAAAAGGCGTTAGTGTTCGATGACGAGCGGCGAGCGGGGGCACGAGAGCGCACCGCGGTGATGAGTCCGTAGACGTCTTCTCGTAGACATACATGCATACACACACAGTGATTCAGCCGCCCGTCAGCCCGATTCCGCCAACGCGCCACGAATCACTCACGGAAGAATGGCAGCACTACCCACAACACCCACCACCACCACGAAACCCATCAGCACACGCGCCCAAAAAAAGCAAAACAGAGAGACACGCACGCGCGAGGCTCACGTCGCCGGGCCTGAACCGCCTCTCCTCGCGCGGCGCGTAGTCCTCGTGCACGCGGTTAAACAGCGCGGTCTGGAGCACGTTCGCGATCGGCGCGTAGTGCGCGATCGCGACCGCCTGCTCTCCCCATACGCACACCATCGACCGTCAGTTTTGTCGCGCGGGAGAAGCGGCGGCGCGGCGGCGCGGCGGGACGGGACGCACCTTGGGCCTGCCCGTCGTCCCGCTCGAGAAGCAAAAGAGCGCGATCTTCGTCCTCGCCTCGCCAGGGCGCAGCCGGCGCTCGACGAACGTGCGCGTGTGGCGCGCGCCCTCCGCGATGAGCGCGCGCACGCTGCGGTGCGCGCGCGCGCGCTCGCCTTCTCCTCCCGAGGAAGAGTCGTCGCCGTCGTCGAGCACGATGTACCGGTGCGCGGGGACGCCGGCCTCGGCGCCCGCTGCGCGCGCGACGGCGAGTGCGGAGGCGTGTGCGATTATGAGGGTTGTTTTGGTCGTTGTTAGCTGGTAGGCGAGCTCGGCGGGGGTGAAGGCGGGGTTGGAGAGCCTGGGCGGAGGAATGCAAACGAGTGCGGGTGCGAGTGGTGAGATCAGGGAGGTGAGGGAGAGGGGGGGTTGCATACGTGACGATGCCGCCGAGGCGCCAGACGGCCCAGAGGGCGGTGGTGTAGTCTGTGGCGCTTGGGGGTCAGCGGGCGGGCGGAGTGGTGCGGGGTGTGGGCTTACCGACGTGGTTTGGGCTGAACAGGCAGACTGGGTGGTTTGGCATGTCAGTGGGGCAGACGCACGCTCGTGGGTGCGCTCGTACGCACCGACGTCGTTCTCCTCTGCACGGCGAAATACGTGCGTGAACAAGAGAAAGGCGACGAGGACGGGAAAGAGAGAGCAGGTGCGACGCACGGATACCGTATCGCATACTGAGCGCATTCGCGAGCCCGTACACCCGCGCGCGGATCTATCGCACATCATGTAGCCCGGTCGCTCGATGGAGCGCGGGAGTCGGAGGACGCACCTCCTCGAGTCCCACGCCGCGGCCGGACTTGGCGTCGACGAGCCAGGGGACGGCGTGTGGCCGGGCGGGCCTGCAGGGGTGGGTGGTGTCGAGGATGAACTGGACGAGGGTGAGGTCGTCGGGCACGATGTCGGGCGGGAGCGGGGTCGCCGGGTGGATCTCGGCCATGGCGGTGGTCGGTGGTCAGTGGGTGGGAGGGCAGCCGTGCGTGGGCGTTCCCTACTAAATAGAGGGCGGGCGCTGCGTCTGCGTCGGGCGCCAAAGGGACGCTTCTGGGCCGAGCGGGGGCAGGGACGGGCGCGTCCACCCCGACGTCATCGTCCGTCCGTTCTTCCCACGCCGTCCCCCGCCCGCCCTGCTCGCACTGTCGTCGCTCGTGTGTTGTATATACCACGCCACAGTCTACAGCCAGCCGCTCCTTTATACATTGTGCCTCAGCCACCACTGCTATGCTCGCCGCACGCCAACCCTCTGTCCTCCGCGACCGCCAGAACGATCCCTCAAGCCCGCACCCAGCCCCAGCCCCAGCCCCAGCAGCCCGCAAGATCGCCCGCGTCCCCGTCCCTCCCCTCATACCCGTCTCCCAGAGCGCCCCGCCGCCGCCGCCGCCCCCTGCGCCTGCTCCCGCGCCCAGCACCCGAGTCCTGCTCGACAACGTCTGCCTCGCCGACGAGGGCTTCATGCGCTGGAGCGCCCAGCGCTACATCGCGCCCTCCATGCCAGACACCTACGACCGCGCCCGCGCCCCCGCACACGACACCCTCATCCACGACATCCGCTTCTCCGGCGGCCGCGTCAAGTGCGTCGCCCTCCTCGCCCGCGACACCCTCGCCCTCCTCCCCACCGAGCCCATCCCGCTCCCGCCTCCTCCCCCTCCCCCTCCCCCGCCCCCGCTCCCCTCCGCCCCGCTCCCGCCTCCTCCCCCTCCCCCTCCCCCGCCCCCGCTCCCCTCCGCCTCCGGCGACGCGGGCCTGCCCTTCAAGCTCTCGCTCTCCCCAGGCACCGGCCTCGGCCTCTTCGCAACGCGCCCCCTCGCCCCCGGCCACCTCCTCCTCCGCGAGCCCCCGCTCCTCCTCGTCCCCCTCGTCATCCCCCTCGCCGCCCCGCCCACCCGCGGCCTCTCCAAAGCCCACATCTTCCGCGCCCTCTTCGCGCGCCACGACGCGCGCACCCGCCGTCTGCTGCTGAGCCTCGCGAACGCGAAGCCCGCCGGGACGTGCTCGCAAGAGGAGGGCATCGTGCGCACGAACGGCATCGGCGTCGACCTGCGCACCAGCGCGCCCTCAACCACGCCCGTGCCCTCCAGCACTACCGCCGCCGCCGCGACGAGCGCGACGAGCGCGACGCACAACGGCCTCTTCCTCATCACGAGCCGCGCGAACCACAGCTGCAGCCCCAACGCCGCCTACACCTGGCACCCCGCCCTCCTCACGCTCTCCCTCGCCGCCCTGCGCCCCATCCGCGCCGGCGAGGAGATCACGATCGCGTACACGACCCTCACCGCCCCCGCGGCCTCGCGCCGCGCGACCCTGCGCGCGGCGTTCCATTTCGCGTGCGCGTGCGCGCGCTGCGGGGCACGGCGCACGGAGGAGCAGGTGCTGGTGAGCGACCAGAATAGGATCGAGCTGGATCGGTGGCGCGGGCGCGATGAGCGCGACGGGGAGCTCGGGATCGGGATCGGGCTCGTCGACGCGGGCGCGCGCTTAGGCTCGGGCTCACGCCGCGCCGAGGGTGAGGCCAGCAGCAGGGCGAGCAGGGCCGCGGCGGTCCGGCGCGCGCTTGGCGCGCACGTGCGCGCGCTGGAGATGCTCGAGGCGGAGGGGCTCTATGCGCTGCGCGCGGCGCACTGCGAGGCGGTGGCGCGCGCGTGGGGGGCGTTGGGGGAGCGCGGGGCGTTTGTGGTGTGGGCGGGGAGGGCGGGGCGGGAGTGGGCGGGGGCTGTTTTGGGGGACGGGGGGGACGCGGAGGAGAGGGCGCGGAGGGTGCGGATGTGTGAGGGGTGGGCGGGGGAGCCGGAGGGGTTTGAGTGTTGGGGGTGCGCGGTGGGCGTTTGAGCGTTGCGTGTGCGTGTGCGTGTGCGTGTGCGGATGGGTGGGCTTCGTTTCGGCGCTGCGTAGGAGTGCGTACGCGGGGTCGGTGACGCGCCCCTGGGTGCTCTTCTGCCCTCTTTGCAACGTCGTGCCGTACGTACGTACGTACGTACCCATGATACGCACCGGCCGTGTCCCTCGTCACGCATTACTTTCACGTGCGCCGCGAAACTGGATCGTCGCGAGATGGATCACCGCGAACGGCGAACAGGGAGCAGGGAACGCAGGGCTCAGAGCGCCACACTTCATGCGCAGATGCGTGTTCTTCGAGCATCCCTCGACCGCGACTCCCCCAGAGCCGGACCTATTGCAGCCTACCGTCAGATCGCCACCTGAATCATATCAAATCGCTCGTCAAGAATAAAAATAACAAGAATAATAATAAAAATAATAACAATAACAATGACAGAGCTGAGCGCTGGGATCTCGATTCTCGTCTGCATGGGAGCTCTAGGATTCTAGAGCGCCGTAACGCCGTTTTCTGCGTACAGGGTCAGCACGCCGTCAGCACAGGCCAGCACCGGAGACCGTGGTGGATCGCACCCAGCCCCCATCCTCGCTTCGTGGCGCCGCGTGAACCTGAAAAAGTCGCCACATGTGGATCGCCCGCTGCGACGACGCCGCTGCGCCGCTGCATCAGATCTGTGGATCTTTGGATCTTTGGATCTGCAGACCGCAGGCTAGGCTGCTCCACGTCGGGTGGAAGAACTGGTGGAAGCCCCTGCGAAGGCGGAGGCGGAGGCCTGCGGAGGCGGATCGCAGAACAGGACAGGACAGGACAGAGCAGAACAGAACAGAACAGAACGCGTGCGCCGTGCGGGCTGGCGCGGGTCATATTTCAAGGCGGGCCGCGACGCACCTCGACGCACTCACCGGCGACGCCGCGCCTCAGATCGCCCAGATCCCAGCAAATCGCTCCCAACCCTTCCCAACCCCCCCAGATCACCCAGGTTCCCCAGATCGTAGTCACCAGATCCCGAATCGGAATTAGAAGAAGGCGACGAAAAAAAAACATCAGATGATATCGACGAATGTTGTAGAAGATCGCCAGAAATGCGCTGGGAAATATCGTGTTTTCTGGCCTGGTTCTGGCCCTCTGAGCTGAGCGAGCAAGCAGGAGCGAGCCCGCGTGCGTCGCTGGATTCTTGCTTCTCAGTCTCGTGCGCAGTGCGCAGTGCGGACGTGCGGACGTACAGGGACGTACGTCCGCGGGGCATGGATTCTTTGAATGTTGAATGTTGAATGCTGAACGCCGGAGTTAGATGCGGTCGGTCGGAGTCGGGCCAGAAGGTCAACACGGGACGACGACGACGACGAGCCAGAGGCGTGGCCATTTCTTCTGCAGAGCGACCGTGTACGTTATTCTGTGCGAGGTCAGCAACGGAGACGAAGACGGCATTGGTGGCCATCATCTCCTGCGCGTCAGGTCAGCAACGGAGCCTAGCTTCCGCCTCCACCGTCGCCCATCGGTCTGCGTGTCTGTGTGTGTCTGTATCGCAGCAGCAACGTACGGGTACACATTCTTCCATCAAAACGCCCATTATGTGCAGACTAGTTATACGACAAGTATGTAGCGCCGCGCGCCGTTTACATTTGGCGGCGGCGAAGAGGAGGCAAGGGAGTGAACGGGCCGACGAACGAGCGCGAGTGGTGAATAACAAAAAAGAAGAGCAAAAAATTGCGAATAAGTTTATGCGGTCGATAATAAAGTCCCAAGAAGACGAGCGAGTGTGGGGCGCGGCGGGCTAAGGATGGGGCGGCGGGGAGCCCTAGGCCTACTGGCGGCGCGTGGCGTGCGCAGCCTTGATAAGGTCCGCCGCGCGCTCGGCGACAACGTATACGGGTATTTGTGTGTGCGCCGACGGGATGTAGGGCTGTGGAAAGAGAAGCGCGTCAGCATCGGCGAATTCTGCACATGGTATTTGCGAGAGGCCACGCACGAGGACGCTGGCGTCGACGACGCGGAGGCCGACGGTGCCCTTGACCGTGAGGTCGGAGTTGACAACGCCGCCCTTGGAGCCCTTGCTCGCGATCGCGGCGGTGCCGACGGGGTGCCAGACGGTGGTCGCGTACTGGCGCGCGTACGACTCGAGCTCCGCGTCCGTGTTCGCCTTGGCGTAGTCGCCGTACGGCGCGAGGATGTACCCGTTCCACGCCTTGGCGGCCAAGAACGCGCGCGCCTTCTTGATCGACTCGACGATGATCGCGACGTCGACGGGGCTGCCCAGGAGCTGGGGATCGATCAGCGGCGCGGTGAAGGGGTCCGTCGACTGGAGCTTGATGGTGCCGCGCGATGCGGGGGAGATGACGTTGGTGAAGACGCTGAAGTAGTTGCCGGTCTTGGGCGTCGCGAGCACGAAGGAGACGAATGCGTCCTAGTGGGTATGGGCTCGTCGATCAGCACGAGAAGCCTGATAGCCGTTGCCATCGACTTACGGTGAAGATCAGCTCGTGGTGGGCAGACGTCGGGCCCGCGGTCGGGTCAGCGTAGGTCTTGAAGATGGTCGCGTTGCTCGGGAGACGGTGCCATCCGAATTGGGTCGCGGGGCCCAGCACAAGCTGGCCGGTCTTCGAGGTTTCCCACTGCTTCACGAGGTCGCTGGCAAAGGTGGCGTTCTGCGAGATCTTGTCCAGGGTGTCGGTCGAGTTGACGCTGTACTGGCTGGAGAGTAGCACGTGATCCTGGAGGTTCTTGCCGACGTCGGGGAGGTCGACGATGGTCTTCAGGCCCAATGCGGACAGCGCGGTCGAATCACCGATACCAGAGAGAAGCAGGAGCTGGGGAGTCTTGACGGCGCCAGCGGAGAGGATGACTTCCGTGGTCGCGTTCAAAGCGTACTTCGTGCCTGCAGAAAGGCTCAGCTCAGCTCATTGCGAGTATATAGAGATGAAGAAGCAGCGTACCACCGGCGGACGTAGCGAACTGAACGCCGCGGAAGATCGGGAGGCCGGAGCTAGTGCCTGTCTTGATGAGCTTGATGACTTGGGTGTTGAGAAGAACGTCAAGGTTGGACCGGCTGAGAGCAGGATGAATATAGGCTGTAGAGGAACTGGCGCGCTGCCCATCTTGGATACTATACGGCACCCAGCCTGCAGCACCACGTCGCTGTTAGATCGAGTATGGACGGGGAGGCGTGTGAAAGGGTACGCACTGACTCCTATGGTGTTGCCAGAGTTCACATCCTGGTTATACGCAAAATCGCCACCGAGCTCTTTGGAAGCCGCGAGGACCTTGGCGTCAGTGGGCAGGCTGAAACCAGGAAGGGACAGGGCCAAGGGACCCGAGGTGCCGTGAATGGAGGGAATAATTTCGCCAGTCGTGTTGTGATTGTCAGCAGGAGGGACCAACTTCTCCAGCTACAGATACGAACAATGTTGTCCATAAGTAACAAAAGTCATAACATGTCATTGCTCGATTTTACCTTCTTGAAATAAGTCTGTAACGAATTCCAGGACCAGCCAGAATCGCCGGTCACGTTGGCGATCCTGTCGTAGTCGTCCTTGGATCCGCGGTTGAAGACCATGAAGTCTACATACAAGAGGCACCGAGCTCAGACACTCCGTCTTGCGTTTCCGAGGATGAATGCTACTCACTGACTGACGTCGATCCACCCAAGACGTTGCCGCGAGCATAAGCAATGCTGCGTCCATTCAGAGCGGCTTGCGAAGTGGTGGTGTAATTCCAGTCGAGGGGTGTATTGGGAGTGAGCGTAGGGCCGAAAAAGGGAATGGCGATGTTCTCGTTGCCAGCGCTGCTACACTCGGGCCGAGGACGTTGAGCGGGTTGCTAACACGAACGATTTAAGGTACTCACTCTCCACCGGCCTCGATGAGGAGCACGTTGACCTGGGAGTTCTCGGTCAAACGACTAGCGATGACACCTCCGCCAGCACCACCTGCATGATAGAACAGTGAGTCTCGCGGACACAGGCGCGAGGTTGCAGACGCTTACCGCCAACTACGATGTAATCATAGCTCTTGCTCGGCAGCTGTGATGGGTCCGTGTACAACGCGCCATACGCCGATCCAAACGACACGGAAAGGATGAGGGCAGCCCGACGGTAGAACAGCATGATAAGTGACCTGCTCTTCCAAAACGAGTTGGGTGGTAAATGACTAGAAGAGGAAGCCGGCCACGGCCTTTATAGAGAAGGTCGGGGACGATTTTTAGTGGTATGAGGTGCTAAGAAATATGTCATTGTCGCAAGGCACGGGACGATCTCTAGCGATTGGGTGTCGTGAGTTGCTGGAATTCAGGCCCACGCGACAATCGGACATATGAGGACAGATGGGAAGAGATGGGACAACATTGGTGACCATCAAATGTGTTTGGCGTCTGCGGACCCGGCTGCCGGAGACGCTGAAAGGAAAAAACCCGCATGGAGCCAATGCGAGCCAGTTGGGCCGGTAGAAGTTTGTTAGATCAGCACGTGTGAGGAAGAAGCCATAGAATATAGGACTCGTCCAGCGACTTTGGCGGGCTGGAATTTTTTTTATCAGGACGATAGGACGACATCGGTCTTCCAATTGCCAGGATCCAACATAGAACGATCAGGCAAAACAAGTGCACGGATCACTAATCAGATCAAAAAGTAGTTCCGATTGTCAGTGCCTCCCAGCGGCCGAGAAAGCCACGGCTGCGAGCGGCTGTGGCGCGCGAACTTCCTGCAACCATTGATGAACGTCTACATTAAGAGACGCTCACTTTGAAACGACCCTCTTGTGATCACTGGCTTCAGTGCATCGGCAAACGTCTCGAGTTTCGAAAACTGCTGGCGTTTTAACAGACTTATCGAGCTGGGAGTCGTCGGTATGTTCTGATCATGCGCCAGGTGCAAGGAACACGTTGATAACGAAGTGAGCAGGACCGTTTCGGAGCCGACGTGTAGTCTCATACAGTGCCTCGCATGACTTGCTCGTCGACATAGGTCGACATGTATGCCGATTTGAGTTTACAATGAGCCGACAAGCAGACGGAAGGCACGTTACAATATCGCGGTAGAGAAAATGCCGTGAGTATTCGAAGCTGGAGAGCGATGATGACGTGCAGGGTTAAGGAGATCGTGACAGCTGTCAAGTGACTTGCTGTCACGGGATGGTCATGCTTAGTCAACATCATTATATAACGTGTAGTTGATTGAATAACCATGTGACAGAAGTGTCACGTGGATGATGGTGGCCTTGCATCACGTTCTGCCTTCGTTCTGTTCCTCGGACCGTTGACTCCAGCGTCCGACCAGGACTGACTGTTCTTGCTGTTCGAAAACAATTCCGATAGCAAAACATGTCTTACTTCCAAGCCACTAGATGCGCCTCGGTTTTGCGCCCCGGAGATAAATTCGCCTGACTTTCCTCGGTCCGTGATTGGCTTCGTATTGTTTTGATGTCCGTGTACCACACGAGACTTTGTGGACACTCGAAATCATTCGGACACGGAGGTTGCCCCTAGTCTTCTTCAGGGGCGTCAGCCTTATAAGATAGCATAAGATGCGAACACATATGTCTCAGGGACCAAATGGCTTTCTGGGCTTCGGCGCTGTTGAAGGCAGGCCTTTTGGAAACCATGAGAATGTTGCTGTGCGTCTATGTCTGCGACTCGGGGATAACTGACTATGTAGCCGCTATAGTATCTCACTTCGATCCAATCGTTGTGATTTCATCCCTTTATGTGTAGGCGGTAACGCGGCTCCCACATAGTAAGGTGCGTCAAACAATCAACTTTTGGATCACATTCCAGATGTGATTTACGCCGGCGGCGCACGACTTCCCTCTTATTGTTTCGCGAACACTTCTGTTCTCCGTTCAGATAGCGATTAGGTTCTAGCGTTGCGCCAGCTTCTGTGGTCAACGTATAAATGTCTCCTTTCGTGCGCGGCCACTTTAGCGAACTGCTTAGACACTTCGCTACACCCGCCTTTACGAGAGATGCCCGCACTCCAGACAGTCCGCTTGCAGGAGCTGGACGCCCTCCAGCAGACGATGAATGTCGCGCTCGACGCCATTAGAGACGAGCTGAAGAACGGTCGGCTGCCGGAGTTGTCGAATTTCGCCTCTGAACGGCATCCCCTGGATGACCCTACCTTCGTGTGCCCGCCCCGATTATACGAAGCGCGGAAGCTTGCTCTGGGTACGTTGATTAATGTACAGCTGACCTCCTCCCTCCCCTGACCGCGTTCCTGCTCTTCGTCATCGATAGCAACCATCGTGAGTCTCTTCTAATTCTATCTGATCTACTTTTAGACGTATATGGAACGCTGATGCGGGCACCTCCAATATCAGGGCCAGCTGAAGAACCTTATACAGAGGCCGTACGAGAAAGTCGTAGAGCAATCCTGTGCCGTTTACGACACGGCATGCCTGGATATCCTTGTCAAGACCGGGATCTTCGACAAACTCGCAGCTGCGCCTGTACTAACTGCCGGCCTCCATGTGCGGGAAATGCAGAGGGAGTTCGATCTGGACGCCGTGAAACTCGCACCTGTGCTGCGATACCTGGCGACCCAGGGGTGGCTGAACGAGCCGAAGGAGGGATTGTTCGTGCTCACACGCCCTGCGCTGGAGCTGAGGAAGGGAAGCAACGGTCGAAAATGGATCATGTTCGTACCTGTTCCGTGTCATCGTTTTCGGTGTTTTCCCATGCCACCCTGTTGATGTGGCCCCTCCTATTCTTCTATCACCTCTCTAGGACACCCGGCAAACCGAAAGTCGCCACTTCCTTGCTCCCACAGATCACGCATCCGGAGTGGAAATACTCACGCCAGCCCGACCAAACGGCATTCCAGCTCGGAAACGATACGTCGCTGACGCTATTTGAGTGGATGAAGCAGCGCCCCGACGAGTTGACCCAGTGGGCCAGCTCCGTGCAGTCACTCGGCGACGCGTACCACGCCGCGATTATGAACGACTTCCCTTGGCGCAAGTTCGATTCCAGGCCGTTCGTCGACTGCGGGGGCGGCCAGGGCAACCTGTCAATCTCGCTCTCTGAAATGTCCGCGCGCCCGTCCCTCTTGCTTCTTCGCCTGCGCCAATGCTGACGTTGACTTCTTTATGCTGTGTCTGCGCGTGATCTTACGTTTGCGTTCGCGCCTGCGCATGCAGCCTGCCAAACAGCACTTTTGTTGTGCAGGACTTGCCCGAGGTGATGCCCATCGCGAAGGCCAATATCGAGAGGCGCGCGCCAGAGGCTGCCAAAATCGGGCGGATCTCGAACGAGCCGCACAACTTCTTCGACTTGCAGCCGAGATACGGAGAAGGCTATGTCTACCTGCTGCGCTACATCCTGTGAGTGTGTTTCACGCAATAACCTTACAGCGAGCTCACGCACGTTCCCACAGTCATGACTGGCCAGATCACGCCTGCGTAAGATGCATTTCGCTACCGCGCGCCGGACCTGGCACTCACTTATCTCCAGGTCAAAATTCTGAACAATATATCGCGAGTCGCGCCACCGAGCGTGAGTGACGCCTTCAACTTCTGCCAGTTCCTGGACGGCACTGACACCCCCGCTTATTCGCCTCAGTCGAAGCTGGTCATCATCGAGGTCATCTCGTCGCCCTGCACGACCCTGAGCACGTCGACGCCACCCGACAGGGCGGTGACGCTTGACAACTTGCGCGGCGTGAAGGAGCACCGCGCGGTAACGCCGCCCGCGTTCATTCCTGCCAACTTTGGCGCGAACGCGAAGATGTCACTTGCATTGGGCGTACACATGATGGGCGTCTTCAATGCGCTCGAGCGCTCGATGGTACGTGTCTGTCTGCTCCTGGTTAGCGCGCGCGCCGTGATGTCGCGCGTCAATGCTGACGATCCCGGGGCGCGCGCAGGACGAGTGGCGGAGCCTGATCACACAGGCGAACCTGAGGATCGTACGCGTACACACGCTGCGCGGGATGGTGTCCGCCATCGAGTGCGAGCCGGTGCGTCACAACAAGGAGACGCACGCCTCGAACGGTCACGCCAACGGGTCCTCGAACGGGGTCGCGCACGCCGGTGCCGGGTTCAACGGGCTCAGCGTCAATCTCGCAAAGTCGAACGGGAATGGCGTTGACTCAGGGAGCATCGTGGTGGGCTGACGGTTGTAGATGATTGATGGATCGGGCCGACTTCGTTATTTCGTGTATGTATTTTCGTGATCGTATCTTCTGTGTATTAGAGGCAATGTCATGCTCCAGGACGTCGTTTCGTTCTACGTGACGTCTACACCATTCTTCCGTCTCACGCTAGTTCACGCTGTGCCTTGGGGGAGCAATGCTGCAGCTGGCATATGAAGGCACATGGATATGGTCTGACTGACTATTGACTGACTGCAGCGAAATGACGCACCTAGTCGGACCTAGCCTTGACGGCAATTTCAACAGGAGGACGAGACTCTGTGCCCGGATTGCCCGAGGTTGCCCAAGCAATTGAAAGGGTGGCTATTACATGGATGTACCTCGCACAGTATCCTGTGATTTCACTCTGATAGACTCTTTTGCTTTCTATGCCGGTGAGCAGAAGAATGCGAGGTTCGGGCCAGGGAAGACCACGACGCGACAAGATAGAGCCGGTCACGAGATGAGCACGATCCTGCACGTGCGCCGATCGTCTCGAGGCCCCGCGCCATTTTCTGCGTTCTGCGTTCTGTGCTCTCCGTATGTTTTCTGGCTCACATCTCTAGCCAGAAAACAGAAACAAAAACAAAAATGACGTCTCTCGGTAAGCGCAAGCAGAGAGAAGACGGAGGAGAGCCAGCCGCGACCGCGGAAGGAGATTCGGCGCAGCAGCACAGGTGCATTTCCCTTCTCCATTACCCTTTCCCTCTGTAGTGTGCTGATGTCCTTGATATATCCTCTCACCCTGCACTACGCTTTGCGCACATCTCAGCTCCACGCTTTTTGTCTCCAACCTCCCATACACCGTCACCTCCACCGACCTTCAGACGCTCTTCTCCGACCTCGCTCCCGTGCGTTCCGCGTTCGTCGTCCTTGAACCGGGCACGCGCACATCCAAGGGCGTCGGCTACGTCTCCTTTGCAATCAAGGAGGATGCCGCGACCGCGCTCGACCAGGTCGCGAAAGACGGGCTCGTGCTTGACGGCCGCAGCCTGAGAGTGGGGTGGGCGGCGACGTCCAAGGCAACCGTGCGTGTTCATCCCATTCCATCCCCATCGCACGCTCGTTCAGCTTGCTCACCCCCCTTTATTTGGACTGATTCGGTCGAACTGTTACTCGTCTTTTCGTCGATGCCGCTACACAGCGCAAAGAGAGAGCCGAGCGCGACGCGAACCCCAAACCGACGCCCGCGCCCAAACCCAAATCCGAGCCCGCCGACGCGCACCACCCAAAAATGCCGCACGTCCACGTCTCCCGCGACCCGCTCGCGATCCGCACCATCATCGTCTCCGGCCTCCCGACGCCGCTCGACTCCAACGCGCTCTGGAAGAAGATGCGCAAGTACGCCGGCGCCGAGCACCTCGAGTGGCCGCTCAAGCTCGGTAACGACGGCGAAGGTGAAGATCCGAGTACAGGTGCGCCCGACTCGCTTTCACTGCTATCGTGATCACTCTGTCCTCGCTCCGTCCAACTTTATTTTTTCTTCTATTCTGTTATTATGTATGATGCTGGAGCTATCACGCTAACGTCCCCCGATCCGACAGCCCACGTCCTCTTCTCCAAGCCCGCCCAAGCCGAAGAAGCGGTGACCAAGCTCCACGCACACGTCTTCAAGGGTGCCCTCCTCTCCGTCACGCTCAAAAAGCGCCTCGATGCCGTCGCCAAGCCGCCCCGCCGTCCCGCCGCCCTACCCACTTCCACCTCCACAGCCACCCCGACCGCCGCCTCCCTACTCGCGGCCTCAGTAGCTGGGAGACCTGCAGGGCCCGCACCGAGCCGCGCGAGCCGGCTCATTGTGCGCAACCTGCCGTTCGACGTCACCGAGCAGGACCTGCGTGCTGTGTTCCTACCGTACGGGCCGATCTACGCGGTACACATCCCGACGACACTTGTCGTCGCTCCCGCAGCTGCGGACTTGGACTCGGACGCGGCGAAGGCGCCAAACGCGGATGTGGACGGGGACGTGAAGATGGAGGAGGGAGAGGAGCAGGAGAAGGGGGCGACGGAGAAGGCGCGCACTCGGGGAAAGGGGTTCGCGTTTGTGTGGATGTGGAGCAAGAAGGAAGCGGAGAAAGCGATGGAGGGGTGCAATGGCACGAAGGTGCGCGCGGGGTTCGCGGCGGGGCTCGTGAAAGACAAGCAGAAGCGGAAGAAGGAGCGGCGGGAGGATGCGAAGCGGCTCAAGGCCGCAGCCGGCGCGAAGGATGATGCCGAGGAGGAGGACGAGGAGGACGGGGAAGGAGAAGGGGAAGCGGAGGCTGGGAAGCGGGGAGAGGGGTATGGCGAGGAGCGCGTTATCGCTGTGGATTGGGCGCTGAGCAAGGAGAAGTGGGAGGAGGAGAAAAAGAAGATTGCGGATGATGCCGAGGACGAGGATGAGGAGAGCGACGAGGACGAAGAGGACTCGGACGAAGAGGACAGCGCGCTGGGCCTGCATGACCACGATAGCGAGGACGAGAGCAGGGGTTCATCCGCAGACGAGGATGATGAAGAAGATGAGGACGACCGGAGCGACGCGGGCGAGCGCGTCAAGCCCGAGCTGCCCCCACCCGAGGCCGGAACGACGCTGTTCGTGCGAAACGTCCCGTTCTCCGCGACCGACGAGGAGCTGCGCGCACTGTGAGCTCTCCCCTCTATCCCCTTGCACACAACTGAACTTCCCCCCTCTTACCCTAGGTTCCGCACCTTTGGCCCGCTACGCTACGCGCGCATCACGCTCGACCACGACACGGGACGCTCGCGCGGGACCGGCTTCGCGTGTTTCTGGAACAAGGTCGACGCGGACAAGGCGGTCGCGCAGAGCGAGATCCTGCGCTCAGACATGATGGGCCAGAGCGACGCCGTGAGTGGTATATATTAAACTGTTCGCCTGCTTGATGCTCATCTCGTTCCGTCATTTCATTATATCTCGCTTACGTTTGATTTTGTCGACATGCCCTGCTCTCCGTCGCACCGCCAGCCCAAGAAAAACCCGTTCAGCATGCCATCGCTGCTGACGCCCGACCCGTCAGCACTCTCGGCGCAGAGCCTTGTGCTGCACGGGCGCACGCTGGACGTCGTGCGCGCGGTGACGCGCGACGAGGCAGGGCGGCTGAAGGAGGTGGGCGAGAAGGCGCGGGAGAAGGCGGACAAGCGGAACATGTACTTGTTGCGCGAGGGCGGTGAGCGCTTGCTCGATCTCTGTTTGGTTTTTTGTTCTGGTTTACTGATTTGGGTCATGACATTCTTATTCACTTGTTCGTTCACGGGTGCTCGTCTTGCTGGGCTCTCTATTGTGTCCATTCTCCTCGCTTCCATTCCTCGATGATCCCTCCCTCTTTTCCTTCCATGGAATCGCGGCCGCCCCATCCGCCCTGCAGTGATCCTCCCAAACACGCCCGCGGCGTCCACGCTGCCCGCGGTCGAGATCGAGAAGCGCACGAACTCGTTCAACGCGCGGCGCGCGCTCCTGCGCTCCAACCCCGCGCTCTACGTCTCCAAGACGCGCCTTAGCGTGCGCCAGCTCCCGCCGTTCGTGACCGAGCGCGGGCTGCGGCGCCTCGCGACGCATGCGGTGCGCGCGTTCGATCGCGAGGTGAAGGCGGGGACGCGGGCGGGGCTGACGCGGGACGAGCTCCAGGAGGGAGTCGAAGCAGCGCCTGAGGGCGGCGCGGACGCGGAGAAGGGCAAGGACGCGTGGACGGGCAAGGGCAAGGAGAAGGAGAAGGGGCGCAAGGAGGGGCGCAAGGGGTGGAGCAAGGCCGGCAGGAACGCACCGCTCGTGCGGCAGGCGAAGATCGTGCGGCAGGCGGACCGAGTCGACACGGCGACGGGGCTCGGGCGCAGCCGCGGATACGGATTCGTCGAGCTGCGCACGCACGCGGACGCACTCCGCGTGCTGCGCTGGGCGAATAACTCGCGCGAGACGGAGGGTCTGTTCGCGCAGTGGTGGGCGGCGGAGGCGGGCGAGCGCGCGACAGCGGAGGAAGCCAAGGGTGAGGACGGGAAGAAGCGGGCGGAGAAGCTGAAGAAGGAGGCGCAGGCGTTTGCAGCGCGGGGCACAGGCAAGGAGGAGGCGGCTGGGGACGAAGTGGAGGCGGCGGAGGGAGTGGCGGAGAAACGTGGAAAGGGGAAGGGGACCCTCATCGTCGAGTTTTCGATCGAGAACGTGCAGGTCGTGCAGAGGCGCGCAGCAAGGGAGCGCGACAGCAAGACCACCGGTCCGGTGCGTCTCTTTCGCTCTCATTGTCTCCCTCCGCTATTCGTTCTTTTCCCGCTCACATCTATTGTCTTGACTCGACCTGCGGGGCCGACCTTATACCTTGTTCCTCCTTCAGGATGGCAAATCTAAAAAACAACCCGCCGGCACTGCGTCGAAGCTCGCGCTGACCAAACGCGTCAAGACGGAGGCGCCCGACGCGTCGGAGTCCGGGACGGCGCACCCACAGAAAAAGCGGCGCGTGTCCACCGACGGGAACACCCGACCGACGAAGAAGGCCGCAGAGAAGGGCGCAGGTGCGGCGGAGGGAGCGGAGACCAAGGCGGGCGCGCGTGTCGGGTCGCTCATCGGGAGGAAGCGCCGGGAGCGGAAAGGGAAGTCTGCGAAGTAGTGAGTGCTTGGGTGGAGGCCACAGCTGGTACGAGCGAAGAGGAAGGGGTCGCTCGCCATATGGGCATGTCGGCGAAGCTGAGGCTCGCGCACGACACTTACTGTTGCGGGCCGCTACAAAATCGTATCTCTCCAGGATACTTGCTTGTGTTCATGATTTTCGGGCCTTGGTACGTACGATGCGAACCACCCTCATCTATAGAGCATTGAGTTCGAGTGGGAAGCCCCGAAAAGGTTACTTCATCACAGCTTTTCTATTTACTCGTTTGAGTTTCCACTCCTGCTGGTAAGCTTCTCTGTTAAAGTTTTTCTTCTTATTTTTACCCTCTCAAGCTCAAGGAACACAAGCTGATCCTTGCTAAGGCATTCATATGCCTGAACACTTGCCAGTGCAGGCGCACTGACGATGTTATGATTATTTAGAATCTTGGCACTAGGAACCCATGTCTCCTTTTCCCCTCTCAACCCTCTCACGGACGGCCATCACATATCCAGACTGATACTAGAATACATATGGAGGTTACAGCTGGCTGCTCAGCTCAGCGCGCTGTCGACACCGGTGTAGGCCGGCTTGCGGTTGAAGCTGTCGTCCCAGAGCAGCGGAGCATCGAACGTCGGGAACGTGCTGATGACCCACGAGTCCTGCAAGGCCATTTGAGCGAGCGCCGGCCGCCAGCAGCAGCAGCAGCATTGAGTGAAACGATCAGCGCGTGCCAACTCACCTTGTCACTGACACCCCATGTGGTGATGCCGACGCACTTGCTCACGGCAAGGCACGCCTTGGTGACGGTGTTGTAGTCTGTCTGCTGCTGGCTTAGCAGCGCGCTCGTCACGGGCTTCGGGATGCGGATGTCGAGCTCGGTGAGCGCCACATCGAGCCCCGTGTTCGCGAGGACCTGCAGCTGTGCCTGGACGCCTCCGACTTGGCCGAGAATGAGATGAGACTGGACGCGTATGCGAGGGACGTGTGAACGCTGAGCGGTACGCACGACAGCGTAACGGTACTTGCGTACCTGAGAGCCGATCCCGTCAATCGGCACACCGCGCGACTTCAGGCGCCCGACGAGTGCGACAAGCGCATTGATCTTCTTTCCCGGCCCGTCAAGATCTATGCAGTCTTCAGCGACGATTACGAGGGCGCAGATATCATGAGCTGCCTCACTGAAATCGTTGATGTACAACTTCGCTGCGGGGTCCGCCGCGCGCGCGGCCTTGAACGCGATGTCAATGAAGTTTTCGCCCAGCAAGTTGAAGAACACAGAGTTGCGGAACGTCCCTAGACAAAGGGGGTATCGTCAGGACCTGTGAACATTCCGATTCTCCGACAAGACATACCATCGTCGTTGAAGACTTCGTTGACGACGTCCCAGGCGTATATCTTGCCCTTGTAGCGGCTCACGAGTGTGGTGACGTGGTTCTGAATCACCGAGGTGAGATCTGAGGCCGATGTGATGGCCGAAACCTTTCACAAAAAGACCAGGCTAGGTTAGCTGTGAGATTAGGCATTTCATTGAGGAAAAATGCACGTACCCAGGACGGCAGCTGAGAGTGCCAAACTGGACGACTCAATAGGCACACGCCGTAGCACATGAAGGAGTCCATTGCACTCACCAAGTGTGTGGCCACGAATCAGTCGGTTGTTGCTCGTCGCAAACGAGACCAACGCATCAGCATTGGTGAAAGTAAAAGTGCCTCTCGACGCTGCATGTATGCGGCCAGATGAACAGGCTGCTTCCCAGGCTCTTAGAGGCTTCTGCTCACCTTCCGTTGCGTCCCATTTCATGCTGTTCTCAGGGGTCACAGCTCCATAATCCGAGGTCAGAATCGTCTTGACGTTGCTTTCTGAGATGGTGTTGGGGTCCGCCGCAGAGCCAAAGTACTTTTTACCTTTGGCCTTGAGCTTGACGTCTAACAGGCCGAGGACGCTGGAAGGGGCGAGCAAGAGCGCGAATAAGACAGCGGACCTCATGTCGTCTGGACGGGTGCAAGGTGAAATGGAGGAGAACGTCAAGGTCAAGGTCAGGCTTCACGAGACGCGAGCTTTTATAGACTGTGCGAGACACGAGTCCGGTCGACGCGGTCGCATGGCACAGAAGGCCCGGAATGCATTACTTCGGGCGGTTTCCACCTCGCCAAGCGAACTGTCGGATGGGGCGGATGCACTCTGGCAACAATCTGCAACGCCATCGGTGAGCACCTGTGAGCACGTTTCGCACACGGGGTCTCGAGCCAGACGGGCCTTGCGACATATTCCCCCCTTCTCGCCTTTTGCGAGGCCGTCTTGGCTATAACGGCCGAAAACAAGACAGGGTCTGAGTGTCGTTCCCACATCCGTGCCATCGAGCCACTGGGTTGCCCATGGCAGAAAAAGTGAAGCGTGGAAACCGAATCACAGGTGGTCGAGAGTGTCAGCGAGAGGGAGGATCAATTTTACCGACGCGGCTCGGAGGCTCAGATGATCTGGTCGCGACTGACGACGTTCACCCCGCACATGCGTCGCGCTCATCACGGGTTACAAGACTCACCTGTATCCCCTCACCTTGCCTCTCCTTGCCGGTGAATATTCGGATAGGTCCAGGGTGTTGTGGATGCCTCAGGCCGTGTACCACTATATGATCGGCCTTTCCCCGTATTTTCCCAGATGCTTGGCCCGAAGTTTTGTTAAGGCGAACGTCGAGGCTTGATCACGAATGTTAAGCGAGTACGACCCAATTTGACGACGTACCTCGACTAGTCAAACAGAAGAGAACCATTCCGTTCTCAATATTGAGCAAGCCTCGAGGAAGTACTTTGGGGATGTGCTAGCGAAGAGTCGAAGACGTGTGAGCCCGACACATAATATGCACAGATGCTTATGATTTTTAGAACAGCAATAGCTGTCGACTCTCTTCATAATATGGACTGGCGAAGAGATACACAGTCAAACGGACGAAACATGTAGATTATGAAGGCATGTCAGAAGCAGCGCATCAAGATGGGATGTGCGCGTCACCCAACGATCGAGCGCTTGTCGAGGTTTCAAGTTGAAGGATGGTTTTCATTGTCAATGTCATTAAATTTCGAAGCGAATGGTTTCTCCTAAACCCAGGTAAAATATGTGACTATATACCACAGACTCTCGTCGTTGGCAAGAAATATACAAAGTACCTGTCTGCGCGTGTCATCGTAAACAAAACAGTAACTCCAAACACGATCGTGCAAAGCATTCAAACAGGCAATGTTCTAAACAACGCCAACAATAAAGATGAGTACAGACAAGCAAAAGAAAGGTACATGGCGCGCGGTGTGAGGTGAAATAATTTATAGTTGGTAACGCGGCCTAGTCCTTGACAAGTGCTCAGACATAGGTATCGTTGCCTTTCTGAGGCGCCGAGCCCAGGCTATCTCTTGGGGCTTTGATGACATCCATCTCATGGGTCTGGATCTCGTGCTGGTTGTAACCCGAGAATGGCGCAAACGACTGTGCGCCCCCGTCTGTTACCTATAATTCATCCACGATCAGATCGGTTTTTGATGTGGGAAGGATTGCAGTACTTACTGAGGTGACGTCTTTACTGATGATAAGGACATTGGGAGCACCCTTGAAATAGATGCGTCAGGTTTTGCCAAAGAAAATCAACACGGCTCGAGCCAGACATACAGGCTTGCGACGCTGGAACGAAGGCCTTGCATGGTCACTATCAGAGGAGTGCGTGAGCTTGGAGCTTGTGCCTTCCCAGCCTGCGCGGGAGTTGAGATTGGACATTAGACTGTTGGTGTACAATTTCGAGAGCGGCAGATTGAAAAGTAGGTGCCTGTCATGTAAGATGAATCAGCCACTGCGGTTTCCTGAGTGAATAAGAAGTGTTCGTACGTGTCTGATGACTGGAAAAAGAAGATATTTTCAAGCGTCAGGGCAGGATCTCGGATTGACATCAACCGAAATCTGCTTACACTGGCAAGGAAGAGGATAACATCAACAACTGCGAACACTGCCGTAAGAAACCCGGTTTGAATGGTCACTACAGAGACGTTAGAAACATGTGAATCGTCGATACAGATGCACAAACTCACTTCGGGTTATACGATCGATGATATCGTCAGTAGCAACAAATCCTGTCCGTTTTCCCCTCTGCGCAGTGGAGATCAGTAACCGTAGTGATCATGATTATATCAGGTCGCACCAGATACCAGACGAGGGTGCAAGTGATCACGACATCGGCCACCGCAGCGCAGACAAGCCAGATGATGACGACCTCTTGGAACTTTTGGAACTGTACAAATTCATGCCACCAGTTTACTGCGATGGCCGAGCCTAGTGCTCCACCTGTGCAGTATTATTTCAGTGTTTTGCTTTCATGGATTCGAGGCTACGCACAGCAAGAAGCACAAGCAAGGAAGCTGATGACTATTGCAACCCACCTATGCCCTGTCAGGCGTTTCACACGGTATGCGAAGAAGAGCTGGACAGAGCACGAGATAATTCCCTGAATAACAGCATCAGTGTGCGGAGAAACAATGTACCGCATGCCAACCAATACTCACTGTCATAGCAGGATCTAGTTACCGAAGAACAATGTTAGATGCAATGTCGACGGTCTCAACAGCTCCTGCGCATACCTGTGCAAAAGACTGCGCAATCGTAAGCAACTAACACTCATGTCATTATGGAGGAGGCTTACCCCATGTCGCTCGGCCGAGGTACTCAAGTTCACCTAAAATGACAAGCTATTTCAACATCTTCGCATGACACGAATACAGAAACCGAGCATACCAAAGTGAGAAATAAGGTAGTCATAGAGAATGGCAGCAGTAAAGGCGGTGTCTACCGTGTCTGCGATGAAGAGATAAAACACCTATGATTCGAATGAACATCGCGGGGGAGGTCAGTCATCGAGACGACCCACAAAAATCTTGATCCAGAATACATCCCTAGTGATGGAAATAAAGTCAGCTAAATTTGTAAGAGTCGGTCATCAACATTAACGTACTTCTTGAACGTGGACAAGTAGATATAGCACTGCATGAACATAAAGCCGTACAAGATGAGGTTCAGCATCATGCCCACAGCCAAAGCGCCCCAACTACAATATTGTCAGCGATAAGCGGAGGTATAATTGAAAAGAAAAATCGAGCATACGCAGGTCCAATATCCATGATTCACAACCTTCAACCTTCAACTGAAGAGTGAAATGATACAGCGACTAATATTCAGATAACGTTGCTTGAGGCTTGAGAGACAGGATATGATTGTGCGTATGCCTCCTTATGTTGGTCACGAACCACAAGGAGCGAGCGGACAGGCGTAGTGGGACTGAAAAGGAACTGACTGGCAGTAAAGGTGATGGAGAGCCCCGCAGGGTTGAAGTAGTCGTCCACACCGAATCGATATGGGCAAAGGAGATATTTAAGCACGTATGATATCGGTCCGCCAATAAGTAAGGAATGCCCCTGGGCTGAGGCAATGCTTCGTCCACGCCGTTTCCAGAAGCTCGCCCGGGACATGGCCCGAGTAGAAGGCTCTTTGGGATTGAATGCTCGCATGACGGAGCTGCATGTGATGGGGTCGAACAGTAACAGATCATTCATGCTCAAACTAGGCAACGCACAACCGTTTCGACTGTTGACGGCCGTGTTGCGAGCGCCTGTATCGCAAATTTGGCACTCAGCTGCCCGGCCATCAGTTGACCTTCCTTAGGCCCCACTCTATCACAAAGAGGAGATGAATCTCGACATGGCTATGCGTGGAACAAATTGCACACCAATCAAAAGCCTCTCCAGTGCCTCTCCGCCCTTCACGTCTGGGGCTATAAGTTCGATCATAGATGCTCTTGTCGTGGCAAGCTCGCCTGCTTAGAAGCAATAGGCAGACGGCCGTGTAGCAATTACCTCTGTTGCCCGATGCATGTTAGCATTTCAACTGAGTTAAAATCCTGCACTGTCCTCGACCAATTCCTGCATCAGTTATTGCATGCGGTAGTTCTTGTCGAGGGTAGCACAAGAAAACTCACGGTGCTTACTGTTCATTCACATCCTTTCTCGCGAATTTCCGTACGAGGTCGTCTTCGAGGAACTTCTTAGATCAATCTATCCATGAGTCACGCATGTAGACCAGAAACATCAGAGTCGAAGTTGAGAATTGCCATCAAAGACGTGATGACGATGGGAAAAAGAGGAATTGGTGTGGCTGACTCAGCTGAACAAGTTCGGGCTTAGCGTTCGAGAGGCTCATGCACGCATGCACCTTCAATGCACTCCTCTTACTGCCAGGCCTAACAATGCACTGACCACTTCGGGGAAACGATTCGGGCTTCTGTCCTCTGTCAGTCACTGAGATCCCTACACCTCTTGATTCTGCAACGATTATAGTTTTCACTCGATCGTGCCTTCGCGGCTTCCTACGGCTTCCTGATTTACATACCTGTTGGAAACCGTCAAGAGTTTCTTACCGGCATCAAATATCAGGATGGATTTTCGAAAACGTTCCTTAAGAACATAGGTTTGGCCACTTCCATTTCTAACACCAGTCACTTGCGATCCTGGCCGGGGACCAATTTGAATTGATCCAACCACAAACCACATGAAGACGTGCCGAGGTCTCCCACTATGCCTCACGACGTCGCTCTTTGGAATGTACAACCAACGAGTTACGCAGCTTGCGACAACCCAATGAGTCTTCGTTAGCAATCCTGTCATGCCTTTCCCTCACAAATCTTGACCATAAGTAACAGCAGCGTACGATGTACGATGCCGCGTCAGGTCAGTGGCCCTTCTCTCATCCCACGCTATCTATGAGCTCTCAAATTCGGATTCCCAAGCTTCTCTCACCCCTTTTATCACTTTGCTTATATCTGTGTTAGCAAACGTACCTATTTTCCAATTTGTAGGGTTAGATCTAGGCTCTAGAGTCATTCGACCCATTGATCAAATCGCGGACACTCATCGCAATCCGACGCCTAGAAACCTCTATCTATAGATGACTCAACAAAGCGAGTGTTGGTAGAGACGTGTACAGGACTGACCATGAAGGTCTTCTAGTCTTGGTAGGCTGTTTTTGACCTCTTTTCGCACTGACGTGTTTAGGTTTGCTTCTCTCGAAGGGAGCATCGCAAATGGGAAGCTAGCAGAGACTCAGTACCCTCGAATCCCACACGCAGAAGTCCCAGCCTACGCCACATGACGATCGGTAAAATGTAGACGGAAGAAGGCCAGCTGAAGCCCGCTGGATTGCGGGCCATCTCACGCCGATTCACGCACGTCGCACGCTCAGCTTCCGGTCACCCGAATGCCGGCGTACGCTGTCATAGGATCGAGCCACTTACTTTCTTGCCTATTCAGTGCGCTATTTTCCTACACGTTTTCCACAAGAACTCGAGATAGGTTATGAAATCCGATTCGGCGAACCATAGGAACTTTGGGTTCGAGCATCCAGATTCCTGCGGACAAGCGCGATGGCAACAACGTCGCGGTTGGATGCTCCAAGGAGATGTCGTATACCGTGTGCAAAGATCTCACAAAACGGACGACAAGGTATGTAGTACGTGGTACATAAAATCCTGCAACCGACTTAACATGAGAGTCCGCGATGATTATTGCTATCACAGTGCCTGCTAAATCTCGATGTTATTTTTGCATCTCTCACGACGACAGCGCCGTGATGTTCGTCATGCCGAACCGATACTGTACCGCCGAACAAGTAACGCTCAATCACTTTCTTTGTAATACAGATTGCCACATCTGATCCGCACAGACAGCCCTGGCGCTCATAATTTATGGCACGATTGCTGTGTCCTGGAGAACATACGCAGAAACCTGGGGACTAAAGCCATCAATTACGACGGAGAGCAGACGCCTTTGACACTCATTCGTCGCCATCAATCGCACTCACGCTTATTTTTGGTTCGTACACATGAACGAGGATGGCTGCAGCTGTGATGGACCGGTCCTAAGGCGAACGATGTTCGTCCTGGCACAATGATGGACAGATCCGGCAGCAACATTGGTCTGTACGCCGCATGTAAAACGCACCTCTATTGTATGCGACGTAATTATGGAAACGATGTAGGCCCATGCTCAAGATGCAGTGAGGATTAGCTAGGTGATACTCCACAATCGAAGGGTGGACACAGCCCACCCTGTCAGACCAAGGAACTCCCTTTAATTTCCCCATGATTGCCTTCGACGTTTGACGTGGTGACGCCTTCGGGTGCGTCGGTCACTCTTGCTGATTGTCGATGTTGATTGCATCCCCCAGCGTTCCGGTGAACACACAGCAACATGCGCGGGTGGCGTCGATCCCCGGGGCTGTCACTCACGCAACAATCTCGGCGCAATCGTCTGTAGGTACTCGCAGCACGCATACTTCACAACCGCGCAGGCATCGCGCCGTGATGCAGACTATTCTTAGGTCAGTCCAGACTCTGGTTCATCATCATGAAGCACCTCCAGACGATGGACTGCCTTCGTGATTCCTCATTCTCTTGCACGTTTGCGCGAGCGATCAAGCGCTCTGGATGCTGATACGAGCTGTTGCTCTGATCCGCCACACCGCACTTTACCGAGCGTCCTGAAGGTCAAGTGGCCCCTTTCCGTTTAGCATGCTTCGCCTCCTATCAAGTTGGACTAGTTCAGGTGACTGGTGACCCTTGCTGAGCGCCGCGCGTGAAATTAGAACCATTCGAGTGACGGCTGGTACCCTGAAGGCACCCAGCGTTTGTCGGTCTTGGAAGCAGGCCAACCGAAACGAAGCAGTGATGTAGACAGTAATTGCACTTCGATACCCCCTGTAAACATTGCGGCGATGAGGTGGCCAATTCAAGAAATGGTCCTGCTACTCAGACAGAATGTACCACACCAGGGAACGGTGTTGAAAAAGTTCAGGAGGGCGTGGTAAATACCGTCTCCTATGGCGGGACTGTCAACTGCAAAAGTATACAGAAGATCGACGACAAGTGACTGCCTCGGCGCAACTGAGGCGAATAGTAGCTGACGCCAGGCACGAAGGTTCCATAACGCACCAACAGCAATTTACGTACAAAGCCAAAACAAAAGATCAAAGCATTCGAATTCACAAGCAGGACACTCCGACACACACGTACTCTATACACAGCAGACAAGACAGCATCGACGTTCACCTTCCTACCTCCCATTTCGTTCCCAGTCCATCAGCCTTCGTTACATCGGGGTATTTTCCACGTCCAAATTGACTTGACCCCAGACGTCGAGTCCAATTCTGTGTCAGGCTTAGGCGACGAACTTGCCCTTGATGATATCCGCGGCTAGAGTAGAAATGAGTTGAAATTGCCGTTCTCATCAGCAACCCGTGCCCATGTACAGATGAAGACAATCTTACCTTGTTCGGCGATCGCGTACACGGTCGCTGCAGATGCGCCAAGCCCCGTTAGCCCCGACATCCAACAACCAATCGAAAGGGAAAAAGCAAGAGAGAGAAGCCGAACGCACCTTGGGTATGCGACGCGATCTGGAGGGGCATGACCCCGAGATCGACAACGCGGATGTTCTCCGTGTGGTATACCTGCGCGCCAGAACGACCATGCACCGCACCATACCGAATTCAAGGCAGACCGTGGCGCGCCAAGATGCCACCGAGGGAGATAGCACCAGCCGTACCATCGCAAGAATGCAAGGATGAAAGCAAAGGAACACACAAAGGGAAAAAGTCAAGTGCGCAAGCCAGAAGTAGAGAACGACGAGCGCCACGTTCACAAGCAAACGAAGCGGCGGGCGTCGGAGAAAGACGAGAAGAGAAGCCGAGAATATCCGTAAATCGCAAGAAGCCGAAGCGAAGTTCCAAAAAAACCGAAATTCAAGTTGACAAGTCAAGAAAAAGGTCCAATCGATCAGAATTGTATTCTCAGACCATGAAGAAACGAACGAACGCACCTTCAGAGAAGGGTCGACCACACCGCCCTTATCGAGGGGCAACATCGCGGTCGTGCCCGCGGTATCTGTAGGAACACATCGTACACACGGACGCAATCAGTCAGGAGTGCTCGCGAGATAAACACCGATGGCAACGTGCGAGAGAAGTCATCAGAAAGGGGGGACACGCACGGTAAGTCGTCGACATCGTCTGCTTGAGCCACGTCGCGAGCTGCTCGTCGGTCTGCACTTCGGGACCGGGGTTGATTTCCTTGCCTGCGCAACAAGGCACAGGTCAGCATGCGGGCCGTGAGGAACGGAGGTAACGACACAGCGGAAGCGCAAGGGGGTAAGAAAAAGAAAACCGCGAAAGAAAAAGAAGAGGCAATGCGCGACGCGCGTGATGAGGGCGAGAGGAAGAAGGAAGACGAGGGTGTGGGCGACATTGAGGGACGGGCACAGATGGTACAAATGGAGAAAAGTAAGAGACCACGTACCGACTATAGGTGCGAGCGGGTCCGTTTTTACAAGCCTGCGGACGAACTTGACATGCTCCAGGAACGTCTGCAGATCTGGACGTGGTGCGAGCAAGCATGAGCTCCCAGGATTCAGATATAACAAGAAATCTGCGCGAGCGCACGCACCGATGTCCTCCTCGAAGTAGTGCGGGTCGATCGTCGGCTGCTGGTTCGCATCGGTCGACGACGCGTGCTAAACAACGGCCGAAAAAGACATGTTAGCGCAGAGAACAAACCCCGGTATTCCAACACGCACGATGGTTCCACGCGAGAACTGGTGGTTGACGGCGGCAATGATCGACAAGTAGCTCTTGCCCGGCTCAGGAGGGTCTACAAATCCGAAAAGAAAATACCGTCAGCTCTACCGTCCATCGTGACTCTGTGTCGCCCTGCGAGAAAAAGCAAACGATCACGCACTCGGGCCGCTCAAGAAACTCGGGAAACTGATGACCTCCAAATCGCCGTCCTTCTTCTCCCAGAACTCGAGCTGGCGCTCGTACTGTGCCGCCAAGCCCGGCGAGAACTCGCCGCTCGCAATGCGGGCGCGCAGGCGCTTCGCGTACGCCTCGTGCAGCTCTGCGCCGCGCGGGGAGACAGTTTCAAGCGGGAGCATAGCGAGGCCGACGTTGCCGACGGTGAAGAGGCCCTTGCCTTGAGCGCTGAGCAGGAGCGGTCAACCATAGCCGTAGAAATTGAAGAGTGAAGGAGATGGAGACGCACTAGAGCGCGAGCTGTGCATCGACGTTCGCTGGGTCGCGTAGAGCGTCCAGCGTGCTGTACTTCTCCTGCTCGTTGATCTCTGTTCAATCGTCCATGTTTTAATCAACAAATGGTGAAGAAGACTGAGTAAAAGGCGCTCACCCCACGACAGGCCGACGAAATTGTGTTCCTGCGAGTTGTTCCCAACAGCAGGTAGCGCCGCCTTGACCTCGATACCGAGCGCATTCAGCACCTTCGGATCGCCGATGCCCGACAGCTCGAGCAACTGCGGAGACTTGATCGCGCTATACACACCGCAACCACGTTCCCTCCGTCAGTATCGATTTCTCTCAAATAGGAAAAACGGGAGCGATGGCAGGAATATCAGACGTACCCCGCGCTCAAAATTACCTCCTTCCCGGCACCTACGGTGTGCGTCTTGCCGTCGTACACGAACTCAACGCCCTTCGCGAGAACAGTCTTGGGTGCGCCGTCGCCGCGCGGGAACGGCGAAGTCGCAGTCAGGATGCGCGAGGCCGGCGCAGAGGTGAGCACGGTGAGGTTCTTGCGGCCTGCCGCGGCGTAGTAGTATTCCTGTATTGGCGGCGGGCCGCAGACAGAAGAGGCAAATAGAAGGGCACGAAAACGAGGAAGATCAGCGAAATTGGCAGGTGGGGGTCGAGCTCGAAAGACGCACGATGGAATACGTGCGCTTGTGTGTGCGCGGGTCCGTCGACGAAGCCGCCATGAACGAGCCGATCGGGCTCCCTCCAAGCTAAGCACACATTGGAATTAATCGTAAATAATTTGCACACAGAGAGAGCGAACCTACCGGCTCTTTGACCGGGTCGATACCGAGGTTGCCCAACGCCTACATCCCAATGCAACAACACAAATTTCGTAAGCAATGACTGAGTATGAGGCGAAGCGGCGGGCGTGTACGCACGTCCTGCAGCGGGATATCCCAACCCGCGCGCGTAGATGAGAAGCCGATCCCGAGCGGGCCTGTGCACGTGCACCATCCACATCGAGAACAAGCCATCGCCGTATGACAGTTGCCATCAGAAATGCACGTCGACCGGGACCGCCAGCAACATGGACAGCAGCAAAACACGACCATCAGGGCATGTCATCGGCGGTGATCAGCCAACACCGTGTTCAACGTCCAGATGGACGCGCACCGACACCGAAACCAAACAAACCTCCATCCGTCAGTTCAAGTTCCTAGAGCGATTAGAACGGGGGTGCGAGTGCACGCACCGTCGGTGCCGTGGAACTGGGCATCATACGTGAGGCGCTCCGCGGCTTCTTCATCGGCGGTTGGGGGGATCCATCTGGATGTGGTGTAGGGGTTCGTGACGTTGTGATATGATGCATTTATTGTTCGTGATATGGATTGTTTGATGGATGGTCAATGTGATGGTGATAGAGTGGAGGCGCGAGATCACACTCGTGAGGCGAGAAGGAGTGTTACGAGAGTGTTGCACTCACGTCTCGGATTTATTCGAGTACTTGAGGTAGTTTTTCCAGTTCCAGCCGGGGTTGCCGAGCTTCTCCCAAGCTGAAAGACCCCATCACAGAGCGTCAGCGTCGTGTGAGCGGAGAATTGCAACGCGAACGTGAAAATGGACGAGCATTACATAGCCTATGCGATGAAGACCAGTGTGGCAAGGAACAAGAGGAATCCGGAGGACGCACCGTCGATATCCAAAGCACCCGGTCTGTTCCAGACGTAGAAGTTGATCGCGGAACTCCCGCCGAGGGTCTTGCCGCTATAAACGATGCCGCGCAGCGCGGAGTAGAGACAGACGCACAGAGCTCATTAGTTATTACCCTCAATCTCGGGGTCCTCAGGGTGAGACATGAATGACAGATGAAGGTAGGATGGAATGGAAAGGTTGGACAATAGCACGGAAGCGACGACAATAGAAATGGGGACAGAGGGCATGAAGATGGGAGGGGTGGAGAAATGCACGGGAGACACGCACCGGTCCCACAGGTAGGTATTGTTGTCGGCGTGCTTCTGGGGGACGGTGGTGAATGCCCAGTCGTAGTTCGGGTCCTTGAAGACCTTCCCGTACGTTGCGGGCAAAGCTAGAGGATGAACAATGGACCGCATGAGCGATCACGGTGACGAACATGGAGGGGCTAGAGGAAGACACGCACTGAGGTTGGGATCATCGAGGTTGGCAGCGCCAGCCTCGAGGACAAGCACAGAGGTCGCCGGGTCCTCGGAGAGGCGCGCGGCAACGACAAGCCCTGCGGTCTGCGGCGCGTCAAACACAGAAATGAGCACTGGGTCAGGGCGACGGGGAGAACGGGGGACGAGAGGTACTTACACCTCCACCTGTGCATTGGAATCCGTTGGGTCAGTGAATAGAACGGCGAGCGACTCGAGCACGGGGAACAGCGCACCGACGATGATGTAGTCGAAGGACTTGTTCACGACGTCTTCAAGCTTTGCGGTCATTATCGTCTAGGTTATCTCTGGGTGTGGGTGTGGGTGTGGGTGTGGGTGTGGGTGTGGGTGTGGATGTGATATGCGATGAAGATGGGGGGACAAAGAACGAGAGAGGATGGGATGGCCATGGGCTACTTAATGGTGTGCTGTACATAAAGCTAGATGGTTCGGGTAACAAGGCTGGGGACGTTCGATTTGGAAATGATCGCAGATGGGAATGATAGTTCTCGCCTCGAATCGAAACAATTCCGTTCAGCCATCAACACGTCCCAGATTCCCCGGTCCAACCACCCACTTCACCTCCATCATCCATCATTCCACCTCTGTCAGCGACCAGCGACCTACTTCAATCCCAGAGTAGCCCAGAGTCTAACACTTAGCAAGTCTGAGGACAGCGCGCACTAGTTGTAGGCAGATCTCATAGAGATAAAGTAAATATAAAGTAATACCTTGAATCTTGCGCGTGCCGAGCCCCATCCCGCCCGCGGCAACGATCTCCATGGCGCACCTAATCGCCAACTGCACCCAGAATGCACTTCTCGAGTCTCTACGCCACCTCTCGAGGTTCAGAGACTTTCTCCCCTCTCTACGGTGACAGCAACGTGGCCCCGACCCCGCAATGACAAAGCGCGGATTTCTTGGCGGAGGAAGATCTTCGTGGAAATCAAAGAGACTCGAGAGATTTCGAAAGATTCTACGAAGACATCAAAAGGAAGGAGGACGAAAAAACATCCTCGCGTTCCCGCTGGTGCCTGTTCGGCAGCGTAAGCGACAGACGCGAGACGAGGCCTGGCGGGGCGATCAGTGTGGTCGTGGCGAGCGTCGCCGTTCGAACCCACCACCGGCGGCCACGACATCCACACCAGCATTGATGATTGTACAATCGAAATCTGTTCTGCTCCTCACCGGCCTCGATCTAAAAGACAACCTGCAACATCGCTCGGCGTCCCATCTCTTGCAGCCCTCCACGGTCCGCCCAATGTTAAACTTAGCCTGCGGCTATGCAAAGAGTCGCCCTGACCTGGGCCTCGCGCGTCGTCCGATTCTGATGCCTCTGATGGGCATGTGCAAGCGTGAATAACGCGACGTCAACCTGCTCTGTCAGAACGGCCGAAGCACAGTTCTCGCTCTGTATCGAGTCAGTCGTGTTCTTGAATATCGAACATAGAATGTTTCTGATGCCATTCTGTTACGGCGGGAGCTTCGAGGAGCACGACTGGAGCACGGAGAATTCATATCCTTACGAGGGCTCTTGGAAAATTGTTCAGCGGATCCAGGCTCGGAGCATGGCGAAGCGGATAAGTACTTTGAGCTCGAACGTAGCGCAGACTGCACCACTCACATGCGCGTGGAATCCAGCAGGAATCTACTTACCCTAGAAGTCTCGCACCCAAACTCCAGCGCGTAGCAAAGTTATTCCATCTGTCCTCGCTTACTTGTTTTCTTATCATAGCCCTTCCGAGCGGCACACCCACATTCCCCAGGCGGCCGACCAGAGCGACTACGTACGTTCTTCTTCACCAAAACATACGCTAGATCTCCTGGCGACACAACGAACGCCAGTACGATCATCCACCCCCCACATGTCGTGGCCCATCAGACCTCCCTGAGGTACTATCACCTGGTCACAACGCGTGGCGGCAGGCCCCTCTGCAGCGTCGCGTTTTCACAATTAGACAGCACCGCGGATCTTGCTGCACTTGGTGACCAGGTCGTCGAACTTTGTTCATCCATCCATCATTCGTCGCCCTCCCTCGGCAACCCAAGCGGCCCGTGAATCATCTCGGATGTTCTCACAGCCTGCACTCCCAAATCCACGCGCGCCGCACTTGTTTCTGCCTGCCTGCGTGCTCGGAGTCCAGTTCGGCGCACTAGCTCAACCTCGAATATTGTGCTGACGGGACATCTACTGATAATCACCCAAGCTCTGATCCATGAGAGTCGCATCAACGTTCAATATAAGCCATCATCACAGAACGGCTGTCTACAGTTGAGGTTAGCACTGGAGACCAGCGTACACGTACCAACTCGCACTTCTCCTTCTCTCTCGCCATCATGCATCCTCCCATGCCTCCTCTTCCCCGCTCTCACAATACATTCGCACTGATATTGGTTCTGGTTCTTGGCTGCTCTCGCGCTGATTCTGGCGTTATCGGACACATCATCCAATCCCGCTCCACGCCGTCCACGGCAGCTTCACACGCGCAGGGTCGCGCATCGATGCAAGAAGCGTCAGGCTTCAAGCTTCAAGCTTCAGGCTCCGAGCTTCAATCAAGCGTCGAGAGCGAGATGCCAGATCCGTACACACGTGAGTGCTCGTCTTGCCTCGAGCTTCGAGCGTGGGTGAAGACGAAGATAGACTTCGCGAACCTCAACAAGCAGTCCTATATTAGCATCGAATACGTTCTAGAGAAGCATGCACACGTGTGTCTACCCATCTGGCTCGTCGGAAGACAGCACGCAGCGGACGGAGGCTCGTCGAAATCTGACCCAGTCAGACCTTGCTGAACGCTGAGCGTTTGGTGACATTCCCCATTCGCCTGCACGGGCCATGCTTTTCCCTAGATGGATGCATCCACGGCTCTTCCTGCTTGTTTGGCGCTTGATGTCATATGTCATAGGCCCCATCAGACAAGCCCAAGTGGTCAAAGTCGAAGGAAAGAGCCTCGAAACGTGAGTAACCCTGTACGCGCGCGCAGGGTCTTTACCTTGATTGCTATTGCCGCCACCTATCACCGATCGCTCGCTACCTCCGAATAGTCTCTGATACATCAACATTGACGCCCAAAACTCAATTGCAAACCCTGCTTGACTGTGTCAGACAACTAAGAGCGGATGGGTATACATTGTTAGGGAGGGTGATAGAGTGATTGAGGGGCATTGGTGTCCGTCATCATCAGTGACCGAGGCGTGTTGATATTCGTAATCATCAACCTACGCAACTATGAGGGCAAAATGGTGGACGTTCGCAGTGCGCTGATAACCTGAACACCTGTTGATATCAACAGCGATACAGTCCGAGAATAAAAACAATATTATTGCCTGTACACTTCCTATAGTCGCATTGTTTTCCCGGCGTAGAGTTCAATCATGCCATTACATTAGAGACCTGTGAACGGAGTAGATTCCCCCAATCGCACGCTCTACAATCCACTCTTCTTGACCGGCAGGATCGGTTGCCTGAGGGGCCAGCGATCCATGTGTGCCGCGGACTTGAGGAGGGGCGGGTCTTCGAGGCCGGTGCCCTGCGAATATGCCGACAGAAAAAGCGGATAGAGAAATATTGGGATGGGATGGAACAGACCAAGGCGGCGTGAAGTTTCCGCGCGTGTGGACCAGCGTACACGGAGTAATATCAAGACACCCACCACAAAGAAAAGCAAGACAAACAGTCAGAACGATCTTTCCTGCGCGATGGTAACAAAAGCACGTACAATCATGGACGCCGGAAAGCCTACGTCGAATGGGAGAGCGGCTTCGAGGTACGCGATCTGCTCCGGGCTGAGCGCGATATCGAGCGCGGCGATGTTCGCCTCGAGGTGCTCGACCTTGCGCCCGCCTATGATGGGGAACACGTGCGTCGTCTTGTGCATCAGGTACGCGATCGCCACTACCCGCCGCCGCCGCACGCACGAATGAACAGACAGCGTCAAGCCGGACGCAACGAGTGATCCCAGATTCGCGATTGGACTCGTGTCAGCGGCGAGGTACAACAAAAACACTAGAAGACTGTAAGTGACGTACCTGCCTGAATGCTCGTCACGCCGACCTGGCCCGCGACGACCTCGAGCGCGGCGCACACCTTACGCTCGTCTGGAGTGCGCTCCCAGTCAGGGTTGAAGGTCATGCGCCCATTCTCGCCTGTTTCGCGACGCGCAGCCTCTTCCGCATCTGTGCGGATCTTGCCCGCGCCGAGAACGTCCCAGGGAGCGAGCGCCAGGCCTGATCGGGAGCGTGTGTAGATAGGAGAGACAGGACGAGGCAATTCATCAGTACTATACTGCGAAAAAACAAGAAACACAAAACGAATCAAAAGGGCAACAAAGAGGGGAACGCAGGAGAACAGATGAACAAAAATAAATGCGAATGGATGAAGAAAAGGAGTGAAGTGAGAGCAGCCAAACATAAGATAAAATGAGACGAAACGAAAAGCACGCACCCTCCTCGCGCGCCATCGGAATGATTTCGCGCTCAAAGCTGCGCTTCATAACGTTCCACTGGCCTTGGTAGATGCTGAACGGCGTCATGCCGTGGTCGCGCGCGTACTGGTTCGCCTTCGCGACAACCCATGCCGGCATATCCTGAAACACACATGCACCATGTCTGGATCAGCACTTCCATCTTACTATCGACATCGGAACACTCACTGACGCGCCCTAAAATCCCATTCCGAATGCATACACGCACATATACATCAACTCATCACCTTCATCTGCGCGCTAAGCAAGACGCACCAGATAAAGCACCTGCCCGCTCAGGACTACGCGGTGCAGTGCGCGCATGGTCTCCTCGACGCTGGTGCCCCAATCCCACCAGTGCACGTACAACACATCGATGTACGACGTGCGCAGCTTGCGGAGCGACGCCGTGAGCGAGATGTGCAGTGACTTGGTCGAGTTGCCGACATAGTTGACTTTTTGAGCAACGTTAGGATCGCCGCGCTTGAAGTTCGAGGTGTACTACGATGCAAATGAGGAGGAGGGGTGCAGGTCGAGTGTGTGTCGAGGGATGGGGCGCGAGTAAAGGAGAAGATTGAGACAAGTCAGAAAGAATAGGGGAATAAGGTAAGGAATGAGAGAGGCAACACACCTTCGTCGCAATTACTAGCTGGTCGCGGATGCCGCGAGCCTCCATCCATTCGCCGATAAGCTCTTCCGAGGCTTCATCTTGGCTTTATCAAAACCGCCGTCAGCACTCTTGCTCGTATCCTAACTAGCACGCACACACCCCGCCGAATCCATTACCCCGCATGGGAATCTGCTCTTGCGTTCTCTCCACATCTGCTCCCTTAAGAGCAAGGGGGAGGAAAGTCACTTACTAGCCGTTCGCCGTATCGATGAAATTCCCACCCTTCTCATAGTACGCGTCAAGGAGCTTGAAGCTACTCTCTTTATTCATCGCGCCCATACCCTTCCACTTATCACCGATGGACATAGCGCCGAGCTGGAGCGGGGACACGCGGATGCCCGCGAGCGGAGAGAGGACGCGGTACCGGCCGAGGCCGGTCGCGGGAGGAGGTGGAGGAGCAAAGAACGACATCTTGATCTTTGGTTCAGTTGTGGTCGAAGAGGAGGTCGTGGTTTAGTGCAGGGATGCAGGGATGCAAGGGGGTGAGCGAGTAGATATTTAAACACTTCTAGGAACGAAGGCAAAGAATTACAACGGGAGGTGAATGCGGATGCGGATGTGGATACATGGCAAATTAGGGTTGACGAGGACGTATGCACGGAGCGCGGTGGGTCCCATGGAAGCTGAATGCGTGCGTCTCGTCGCCCGCTCAGCAAGCTCACTCAGCTAACCCAGCCTCTCCCCGGTGTCCTTCGCGTGGGTCAGTGAGCATGACCCTGCGTTGGCCAGGCCCACTCGAGCACACGTAAGTCGTGCACGACGCGGACGACGACAACCCTCATCTCCGTAGCTCCTGGTGCTACGGACTCGTTATGAACGCTCACCGTATGGGTCTGCGCTCGGCGAGATTTGCTATACCTGAGGTTCCGTACGGGGATCAGCACGGGTTGCTTCGCGAGCCTGGAAGCACGAGTGCGCGATGTTATCGATGGGGGACGAAAGAGAGAATGAAGACCCTGCGTCGACATATGCGTGGTGAGCGATGAACACACGTACGCTGAGAGTCACTATCGACAGGTGTTGGAAGCTATGAGACGTGAGTCAGATGCAGTCTGTACTCGTTGTTCAACCCTCCGACCGCTGTCGGGGGATACACAAGGTGCGATGCCAATGTCCGTCAACGTGTTTCTCACTCTTAAAGTTTTAAGAGCCAGCTGCAGGCGGGGTATATGTATGTTTGCACTGTGAGGCATGGAGAAGGGGGTTAAGTAGAGAATTGAAGACAGGCGCTCGTCTCATGATCACTGCCACGGTCCCGACCCCCCGATGGAGGTAAAGTAGCTAGAGACAATCCCAGAATGTTTGGATTCCTCACCCATCAGCATCGACTGAGACGTACAGCAAATACAAGTGATTATTAAAATAATAATACGACAAAAAGCGAAAAATCAAAAAGAACGATAGACGTGGGTCGGGGTACATTGTGCAGGTATGCGCTCCGTGGAGTGATAAATAATGCCCAGCGAGGTCCCAATTAGCACAATAGGTGAAATATGTTAGGTTGACCGCAATGCTCCGATGTCTCTTCAAGCCCAACGGTGAGTTGATCCCCGCTTGGTCTGCGCCGCCGCCTTGATCAAGTCAGCTGCGCGCTCGGCAATGGTGTATATGGCGGCCTGAGGGTGGGCCGATGGGACGTAGGGCTATATCGAGAGTCAGCCGTCCGCCTTACAGATAGAACGGGAAGTGCAGACTCACCAAGATACTCGCATCCACGATCCGCAGCCCTCGCACCTTCTTCACCGTCAAGTCGGGGTTAACGACGCCACCTGTCGCGTTCCACGCCGACATCGAAGCCGTGCTCGTCGGGTGCCAGATCGTCGACGTGTGGCTACGCGCGTACGCCTCGATCTCCGCGTCCGTCTCCGCTGTCGCAAGTGGCCCGAACGGCTCCAGAACGTATCCTTTCCACGCGGGCGCCGCGACGACGCGCTTCGCGGCCTTGATCGCCTCGCGGATGAGGAAGATGTCGAAGGGCGAGTTCAGGAGGCCCGGGTCAACGATCGGAAGCGCGAACGGATTAGAGGACGCAAGCGTGATGGAGCCGCCTGGACAATGGAGTTCATGTAAGGACGAGGATGCATGTGTGAGAGATGAACGTACGTGCGACGGGCGTCATGAGGTTGGAGGTGATAGTCAAGAATCGACCCGTAGAAGGCATGGACTCGACTCCAGAATTAAAAGCACTCTGTAGACCCAGAGGAATAGAGTCAGGACAAACACACAACGATCTGTGACGAGCCGCGACGTACGCTGAAAATGAACTCGAAGTGCGCAGAGTTCTTCCCTGCTGAGGGGTCTGGGTACGTCTGGAAGATACTGGCGTTGTCCGGCAGCCTGAACCACCCAATCTGGCTGAGCGGCGGCGATGAAAACTGGCCTTTGCGAGTTTCGCGCCATGTCTGCATGTCCAGACCCGCCAGCGTCTGGTTCCGGATGACGTCGTCATACGTGTACGTGTCGTTCACGTACCACACGTTCGGGAGCAGCGGGTGGTCCTGCATGTGCTGGCCAACGTCCGGCAAGTCCACGATGCCCTTGATCCCAACCGACGCGAGGTGAGTCTTGTTTCCGATACCCGAGAGCATGAGCAGCTGCGGCGTCGCGACCGACCCGGCAGACAGGACCAACTCCTTCGTCGCGTTGACGGAGTACAGGGTGCTGTTTGCGTTGCGCGCGAACTGCACACCCTTGAAGACTGGTAGGCTGTCCTCGGTCCCGGTCTGCAGGAGTTTGGTCACCTGCGCGTTGATCAGCACGTCGAAGTTCTTGTGTGCCGCGATCGCAGGCGCAATGTAGGCCGTCGCAGAGCTGTCGCGTGTTCCGTTACTGATAGAGTATTGTGACCAACCTTAACATCGCAGAACCGTCAACGCAACATTCGGTGAAGTGACGTGGCGGGACTCTCACCAATGCCGATAGGATAGCCCGCGTTCATGTCGAGAACGAACGGGAACTCGCTCAGCTCCTTCGTCGTCTCGATCGTCTGCTTGTCGACGGGAGACGGAAATTCTTGAACGCTGATTTGAAGAGGACCCGTATGGCCATGGACGGCCGGGTCAATTTGACCCGTAGTGTTGTGTCCATCGGCTGGAGCGACCACCTTCTCCAGCTGTGAAAAGGTTTAATGAAAGCAGTTGCAAAAACAGGAGGGGTCACACCTTCTTGACGTATGGCTTGAGAGCATCCCAAGACCATCCAGGATCGCCAGAAACCTTGGCGTAACGGTTATAATCATCGACTGATCCACGGGTCCACACCATCCAATCTTAAAAGAAGGAACTCGGTTACGACCTATCAGAATTCGAGGATACAAACAACTCACTAGTGGACGAAGACCCTCCCAGCAGACGCCCACGAGGGTAGGGGATAACCCGGTTGTTCAGCCCCGCCTGCGCTGTAGTTGTGTAGTTCCAGTCCAAGAACGTGTTCGGCGACAGCGATGTGCAGAGGAAGGGAACCTGGATCTCTTCGATCCCTTCATGGCTGTATGGACGGATCAACTCATGAGCTCATCCTCCCGCGCGCATCAGCGCAGCAAGTTCGCGAGAAGTGTGCATACCTGAACCCGGCTTCGATCAGCAGTACCTTGTTCCCCGGCACCTCTGCCAGCCGACTCGCGACGACACCTCCTCCAATACCCGCTGCAAAAACCTCGACATGAGCAGTCTGTCGACGACAAGAAAATGGAAAGAGATGCGGACCTCCGACGACGACATAGTCGTACTGCGTTTTAGGCAGCACAGACGGGTCAGTGTAAATTGCACCAAGGACCGGTCGGAGGGCTAGAGAAGCCGACAAGGCTGCCAGGAATGCAGACACCATGTCAAAAAGGGAAACGAGTGAAGAAAGAGAAGTAAATGTGGCAATTCCACAATCGCATCAGGCTGTTTTATATGGATATCTGGCGGTCAGACCTTCGCAGACGGGCCTGAAAGGATTATAGCTGAGACGCAGACGCTATGTAAGATCATCCGTAACGGATCATTAGCTAAGGGAACGTACGCATTTAATTTGTTGAGACTCTAAGCTGACACTCTGTGCAGGTTGAAATCTGTTGAAATATCGGAATCTGCGCCTGCTCTAAAGTAGGGTCATCAAATTGATTTTATGTCGTCAACATACGCATTCCCTCAGCGAAACCCATCCATGTACATGAATTAAACGCACTCACGACGCTCGCACCGCCTGATTGCGGACGGTGATTACGCAGTAATTTCAGCTCGCTCGAATTCTGGAAATCAAACCTGACGTTATCTGCCCTTAAAGCTCACCCAGCCGAAGATTATGTTACTGCGCCCGTTGGTGTACATGATGGATGGTGATGGAGAGGATGATTGCAGTGGTCAGGAACGAGGAGAGCCAGGTCGGACGTGCCTGGGCACGGATAATGCTGGATGTTGTCCACTGCTGATCCGCTGATCCCATCTTTTACTGACTTGGCGAAACGCGCCGGGCTTTCGTCTGTTTCTGGGACAGCTAGTAATACTAGACGCTCTTAGGATACATAATGACATAGGGGTCGACGATGTCGAAGATAGGCAGTTATGTAAAGTATGCAACCTTAAAACGATGTTTGAAGTGTGCGATGCGACGTGGCCTGAGCGCTGAAGCTGAGGTATTGAGCGCCGAGAGCTGTGATCTGTTTTATGATATTTTTGATCACACACACACGCTCGACATGTCGATGTCGACAATTCCATCGGCTCTGGAGCTTAGCGCGTCAGTAAGCTAGTAAGTGATCGTCTAAGTATAGCCGCTTACGATCCATGTATACTCCTGAATGCACGTTGTCGTGCAGCAGTCGTGCAGCCCGTAGGTGACGCCGTGATCCGAACAAACATACAGCTCCGAAACGATATGACACATATGCCATATTGCGTTACACGCTAGCTTTCGCCAGTCTCCAAAATGCTGCCATTTCAAGCGCTCGCTAGGCTCGACCAACCCCCTCCCGAACCCCGAACGCATGAAGGTGAACGGTCTTGGAATGAGACTAAAGCGCTCGCTATCAATGTGCAGACGTATACAGGCTTACCTTTCCACCTTCAATTCCAAAGCTCTTTTCCGCATATTCCATGCCCCATCGTATCTCCGATCAGGTCCGTATGATGGAGGCTGGTGGAGAAATGGGCCTCGTTCAGTCTCGTATCTCAGTGTCCATATGGACGCCGTTGGCCCATGCAGTAACCGGTAGTTTATTTGCAGATACTTACAACATCGAATAAGTTACAACGTCTCGACTGCACCCTACTGCACCTCTCTGCATCTCCATCAGGCTAAATCGGCGAAGGCAAGAGGTGCGTAATGCCGAATCGCCCAATCGCCTACAAAGAAAGTCTTCAAAAGTCACTCAAGCCCGAGCCTTCAGCCGACTCAGATCCAGACACAGGACAGCATATGGATTGCGCCAGATCGCCTCGTGGACTGTGCTCTTTCGACTATCACCAGAAGAACCACGGACTCAAATCTCACCCAAGGGTGTGACCAGTTAAGTAGGTGTCAGATCCAGTGTGAAAAGTCAGGTCCAGACGTGTCTGGCGCTGACGGTAAGGCTTGTGGACCATGGTGGATATTGATGGGAAAGAGTCGAATTCGGCGGTGAAGACTGTTGGGAGTTTAGCAACAGAGTAAAAGCTAACATCGACATACCACATTCGCTGTGAATCAAGCTTGCCAATAGATGCAAGGTCTATTCTGTTCTTCTCAACTCGAGTCAGACGGCCTGCACAAGCCTGCGCGCGCTGCTCAGAACATGTCGAATTTCGCCGACACCTCCTGGGCCTTGATCTCCATCGCAGACAAACGAGAGCAAAGCAGGTACGAAGACTTCTGCTTGTTTGAATTTCATTGCGGCGGGCACAAGGAAACGCGATTCCGCAAGAGGGATCATATAATTATCATATAGAGGGGATCGTAGAGGATTGTTCAAGATAGCAGTGGTCGTGATGGGTAGCGGTCAAGCTGTAGTGCGATTAATGTGATTGCGTGCGTGCTGAACGATGCGCACGTCATTTGATATTTCAGTGCGTCTGCTCTCTTTGCCACTCCTTCCAACCCTGCAAACAACCTCGATGCCTTTTTTTATTGCCTTTCCTCCGATGTCAACACAAATAAACCCCTCAGTCCTGGTGGCACGTGTGCAATCTCCGGTATCTCAGAATGGCCCGGAAGTTGGAATGATAGTCAACGACACCGACAGCTTTGCAAGACACGCCGCCCATTCCATACCAGGACAGGCCCCAAGGAGAAAAAACTCGCGCCACCCTTCATTCCAGTGGAGACCATACTCCGATGTACATAGACAGGGTCGCAGAGCGTCGCTCGCAAAGACGTGTCGCCGTGTCAGTCAGTATATGACCGAGCGTACGAATGCTATGTGTGTCAGCACACTTTCCTAATAATTAGCGGGCTCCACTGCGCGAGCGCTGAGGATCGGCACTTAGATCAGTGGGAACGTACGGATCCTTATCAGCATGACTCAAAGAATTCGGTGTGCTCTCATTCCGCTTCACGTTCATTCCCCATCCCACCAACTTGAGCATTTCCGATTTGGCTGCCAGCCCTGACAACATTGCGCCTGAGAACTAAGGACCGCGACTGTCGTAGAGCACGGTATATAAGCAAGGGAACACCGCCTGGTCTTGTAAGTTCACTTGAACAGAATCCTGACGCCCCCAGAAACTGGTCTTTTGCTTTTACCTCGCACTTCTTCTTCAAACGTTTTGATATAATGTTCTCAGCTCCCCTTCGAGCGATGAGCTCTACTTCGCAAATGTGGTTGATTACGGGTACGTCTTTCAACCTATTGTGTCGAAAGTGCCATTATCAACATCTGTGACGTTCACGCCAACCAGGTGCATCGTCAGGACTTGGCCTTGCCTTGACTAAACGCGTCCTTGCGCGCGGCGACCGCGTCATAGCCGCCGTGCGGACACCCTCCAAGTTGTCCAATGTCTTCTCCGACGATGAGAGCTCACGCGTGAATGTTCTCGAAATGGACGTGACCGAGCCGTATTCTCAGATCAAAGGGAAAATCGACAGCGCAGTGAAGAAGTGGGGTCCCGTCGACGTCCTCGTGAACAACGCTGGGCTTGGGATCATGGCCCTCACTGAAGAGGGAGGGTAGGTTCCACCCGAAATGGATTCGTTCGAAACCGAGATGCTGACGACGGTGACGACGACCGCCATGATGTACAGGTGCGAAACGATGATGCAACAGATGCAAACGAATTTTTTTGGTGTCTTGAATGTTACCAACGCTGTACTTCCATATTTGCGGGAGCGCATGCGCGGCACGATCGTCATAATTGGCAGCCGTTCTGCCTGGCGGAACGAATTTGCTGTAAGTATCTCTTCATTGGGGGCGCATTATGTCACTGAACCAAAATTTTCTGATTGTGTTGCAGGGTGTCGGTAAGCTTAGTTGACATAGTCAAACTTCATTCTGGCCAACCGACTGACCGTTTCCAGGACTCTATTCGGCATCAAAAGCGGCCGTCCACTGTACATTTTTACCTTTTTACAATATGTCCTCGATGCTGAACTAATCTTTTTTAACCAGCATACGGAGAGACCCTGGCGGCCGAATTGCAGCCCTTCAACATCCGCGTGCTGATAGTCGCTCCAGGCTCTTTCAGAACGCCAGGCATCTACCCGCCAACTATCGTCGGCGATCCACTACCCGGCTACGAGCGCCTTCGAGCGGACACGGAGAAGAGACTGACAACGCTCGTGACAAGACCGAACCAGGGGGATCCCATGAGGGGTATGGATGTAGTTGTTGACGTCGTGAAAGGCGAAGGACGGGTAAACGATGTGAAGAAGGATCAGGCTCAAGGAGAGGAAGAGCCATCAGAGTGGCCACTGTGGTTATTCCTCGGCGAGGACGCGATGAGCGATGTTAGAGCTAAGATCGGGAGAATCACGAAGGCTTTGGACGCGTGGGAGTCAGTCGGATCCAATCTTGGGTTTCTTGAGAAGAACTGAACCATTTGTGGCTTTATCTGGCTCGTTATTCTCAATGCTCGGAATATTTACGTAATAAACATAAAGTATCTTCATTCTGCGTGGGAATGTCAACATGTTCAATATCCTGATCGAAACAGCAAGGACATCGTCGAAATGGTTTCGAGTGACGATGAACCCTCATCCCAAGAACACTTTGTCCCTCAGTCAAACGACCAGGAGCTGCTCTGGACGGTCCTTGCCATCACTGACGAGAAGAAGGGCATGTATAAAATCAAGTGGGCTGGGATCAATCCCGAGACAGGGAGACCGTGGCCACAGGACTGGGTTCCGCGCGCAGACTGCACGGACGATTTGGTAGCGGAATGGAAAAGGAAGAAAGCGGCAAAGCAGCGTATGTTTTCAATAGTGCAGCCCTTGACTTGTTCCGCTGACGATTCCATTCACGAATTGACAGGAAAGAAGTCGAGCGCAAGCAAGGCTTCAGGAGCGAGCAAGTCAAAGTCTCGTTCCTCGCGCGCGTCCAGATCAACATCAGCCTCAGCGAGTGCCAATGCACCGCGTCGACAGTTGCTTCAATCGCGTGCCACCCACTCCCCTGAACCGAATGCTCGCGCCAGCTCGTCAACGACGCGCTTGGACCGCGATCAAGCGCTGCCGAAGACGACCAAGCGAAGGCGCACTTCCACGATCGCTCCTTTGAACGATACCGGCCCTCCACATAAGAAACAACGGGTTGCAACTGTTGAACTCTTCTCAGAGCAGGATACAGAGGAAGCTGAGATCAAGATCGAGGAAGGGCCTCTACCAGGTCCGTCACGCCTTAAGCCCAAGCTACCCCTCCTGGTATCCGACGATGACATCGAAGAGGGCACTCCCAATGCGAAGGGAAAGGGCCAGACTCAGGGTGCGTATATCACTTTCGCTTCTTCACATCTGCAGGTCACATTAAACGCGTTCGATGAATATTTCCAGAAGTTATGAAATTCGGGCCTCCCCGCAAATCCTTAGGGCGCATCTCCAAAAAATCGGGAAAACGACCTGGTAAGCCCGACGCTCAGCCTACCAATGGCCATTCAAAGCCCTTCCCGACATCTCCCCATCACCATCCGCCGTTGACTCAGTCTCAAATTGTGTCTTCACGTGAAGAAGAGGAGGAGGAATCCCAAGCCCTGTCATATCCTGATCCCTCAGAGCAGTCATCACAACCGCCAGCAGAGGACCCAGAAATGGAAGAGGACAGCTTCCGTGCGGAGCTGGCCCTCCCATCGAAGCCCCACTCCTCAACGCCCCTCATGGCAGAAGAGGAAGAAGAAAGCCAGCCAATTGACCTCAATCCAATCACCCATCGCAACGAAAAACCGCATTCTCTCTCTGATTCTGACGATCTCTCGCAACAACAGGAGCCAACTGTGCAACGATCAACTGCCTCACTGGTGGCCGACGATGACGGCAGCCCATCACATGACCAGCGTTCTTCCCCGGCGCACAAGACCACCACTTTCAAAAAACCGCAAAAACCGCTCCGACCTATCCCACAGATCTCGCCCTCGGTATTCGCGCGCCATCTCCCACGAAACCACGACGACGGCCCGCCGAGCTCGATCGAGCAGTTCAGCTCGCCGACCAAGCCTCCCCCGCCTGAATTGAGTCTGCGCGAGTGGGGAGAGTCCGGCTCCAATAGGGCTGCGGACTACTCGAAGGGCAGAGGCCGGCTGCCTACTTCGCGAGGACAGGGACCCTCGAATCTTCGAGCAAAAGGCCAGAATCCGGCGGGTCCAGGGTTCAGAGCGAAGATGGACTGGACGGAATTCGCGCGGAAGCCCGCTGCGCTCACGTTCTTTCCTTTCTCCAAGACGCTCGGAAAGGTCAAGGATAAGGCAGAGTCCAAGGGAGGGAACGCGAAGCTGGACGAGGCTTTGAGGGCATTGTTGAATAACACTCAGAGTCAAAACGAGCCAATGATGCCCGAGGTGGAATCACCGGAGACAGAACCGCCCATGCAGACCAGCTTCCCACAAGCGTCGGATGACGTTGTGCAGGAGATGGAGGACAAGTATGTGGACCTGAGCGGAGGCGTAGAAGATCAAGAAGAAGCCGGGATTGAGGATGAAATCGATGTGGAGAGATCGTTGAATGATGATGCGGATGCGCCATCGGCGAACAAGGTAAAAAGATTGCTATTGCTATCTGATTCGTTTGAAATTAAACTTATACGCCCTTTTAGAACATACCTCGAGAAGAGATCCTTCCTGGGACCGCCTCGTCCAAGGTCGTCTCCAACGAAAGTCAGAGTCAAAGTCAGGGCGATTCTGCCCACATCGAACCAACCCAGGCTCGACTCGACGCCGCACTCAGTGTCCTGCACCAGAAGTCTGAGGAGCTCACACGCGTCGAACGCGAGACCGCCGACCTACGTGAGCGGTATGCAGAAGCTGTCGCCTTCGCGCAGTCTGAGCAGGCGAAGCGGCACATCCTGGAGGCGCAGCTGCAGCGAGAACATGAAGCACAGTCGTCCATCGCGGTTCAGACGGACATCGTTCCTGCACCGGTCTCAGACAGTGATAAGCGGCTCCCGGAGGTAGAGGCTCTCCTGGCGAGCGAACGTGCTTCATGGGCCACCGAACGCGCCGCCTGGAGCACAGAGCGATCATCAGTGCAATCAGAGTTGTCTACGCTCCAGGCGTCTCACGCAGCCGCGCAACGCGACGTGGATTTCTTTCGCGAGCAGTACCGATCTGCATCGACGTTTGTGAGTGCTGTGCGTACGGAGAACCATGAGCTCGTGGAGCGCACGAAGGTCGCTGAGTCACAGGCGTCAACCGGTGTGAAGATGGTGCGCACGGCGTACGAGTCGCGGGTAAAGAAGCTCGAGGATGAGCTACGCAGGTTCAAGGCGCTCGCCGAGCTTTTGAAGGAGAAGGACCGGAGGACGAATGACGAGGTTCGCTGGCGGGCGGCTATGGAGCCTGAGTTGAGGAAAGAAAATGAGCGACTGCGCGCGGCTCTGGAGGAGCGCGAGGCGGAGGTGGATGAAATGAACGACGAGCTTCATGCTGCGGAAAAGCAGATCAAGAGGCTAGAGAGAAGGGTTGAGAGGGTTGAAGGGAAGAACAAGCTTTTAATTGCAGCATCTAATCCGAAGGGCAAGGGCAAGGCAGTAGCGGCAATGGTGGTCAATGATGACAGCGACGATGATGACGATGATTATGCGCCGAGCCGACGCAATAGCTCATCTTCCGACGAGGAGAGCTCCAGCGGCCACAGCAGCGTACACTCCACAAGAGAGGCTTCGCCAGTATTGGCCGAAGACATTGATCCAGAAGAGCCTGCGCAGCGCCAATCCGGTGGCGCGAATATGAGGATATCTGAAACGATTTCCCCACCAGTGCAAAGCGAGAAGCATGATATGGCATTTCTCTGTAGATGGCAGCAGGACGGCGCACAGAGCTGCCAAGTCGTGGTCAATGATAGACAGGTGTGCAGTTCCCGCTAATGGCCCGGATACTCACGTTGATCATCTTTCACCAGGAGTTATATGATCATGTATTCAGTCAGCATGTAGTATCTAATTAACTTTATTGTGGAGATGTTTGCAAATTGTGCGTATGTTGAAGCCTTTTCATGGGCGCGAACATAACTGAACCAATGCGCGAAAGGCTATCGTTCGGTCATAAGTGCTGTCTATGACCTGATCCATTGATTCCGCGGTTGTAGGATCTCGCAAGGGCTTATCGTTATTCATTATCATAATCTTGGTGAGAGCCTGGTGTCATATATTTCTGATCAGGCGTAATGTTCCACGTACCAAAGACTCAGTAATACTTCAGATGGCGCGTACCCCAGGTCACCCAATTGATTTAGCAGCACACGCTTCGCCGCCGCCGTCCATGCTTCACATACCAATGAAGTCCGCGACCGAGTCGGCGGTTTTCTGGAGCTAGTAGTGCCCTATACGTAACCAAAAACATCTGCGTCGCTTCACGCTGTGCATCAGCCTTACGATCGTCTATCGAGAGGCACTCCGGGCTCATTAAAGATCTCAGTCTCAAACATTCACACCATCAACAGACCCTGAATGTGGACGTTTGGTCCCGATTTGTGCGGAGGACCCACAGACGAACATGCCGTCATCAGAACAAACTTACAACAAGGACTCGTACTCGTACGGAGCTGACCTTATGATCCGTCTCAACGACTTAGGCACTTCAACAAGCTTATCGACAATGCGGCATACCCTAGTATGCATATCAAGGCACTACTTACTTACAGCAGTTACAAACAGGATGAGATCTATCGTTATGTCAGCAACGGAGGACTTTGTTTCCATCAATAAAACATCTACCTTAGCGCCGAATCACCAGGAAGATCAAGCGTCGTATATATACGATGGACACGATGGTGCACGGCATTCGTAGATACCTGATAGCCTCTTCCAACTTGAATCTGCCTCAAACCTGCTCTAAATTCTCCTCTCCTGATTATTTCTTCACATCGATATGTCCTCCTCAACTCTAGGTGTCGCATTGGTGACGGGCGCTGCTCGTGGGATCGGCCGTGAGATCGCGCTGCGGCTTGCGGCGGATGGCTTCGACGTGGCAGTGAACGACCTCAACGCGTCCAGCGCGAAGGATATCGAGGAGGTCAAGAAAGAGATCGAGGCGAAAGGCCGGCGATCGCATATCGTGTACGCCGACGTTTCGAACGAGCCGGAGGTCGAGGCGATGGTGAAAAGCGTCGTGGATACCCTTGGGAGCTTGGATGTCGTGAGTATTTGATGCGTCTGTGAGCGCCTCCCCGCTGATCGCACGCGATCTGTTCAGCTGGTCGCCAATGCTGGTATCACCTACGTCAAATCACTCCTCGAGAGTATGTTGTCAACGCGCGTCCGCCTCGGAAATTTAATTGACATTACGCATTGTAGCGACGGTCGAGGACTTCGACCGTGTTATGCGTATCAATGCCCGGAGCGTGTTCCTGTGCTACAAGCACGGTGCAAAGCAAATGATCGCGCAAGGTCGTGGCGGCCGTCTGATTGGTGAGCATCGATCTCGACTCGACATACTGAACTGTATCGCTGACCGCAATCCCCATATCTCCGTAGGTGCTTCTTCCGGTGCTGGAAAGAAAGGTGGGTTTTCAAGCTGTGTATATAACAGTCGCTATCTAACTAAGTTTATTTCAGCCATGCCATTGGTCGATGTCTACTCAGCCAGCAAATTCGCGGTCCGTGGCTTGACGCAGAGCGCAGGTAACGATTCATTTGTCATTCACGTCGGTATCACCGGCTAATATTGTAACTTGAAAACTTAGCTGCCGAACTTGGAAGATTCGGAATCACCGTCAATGCATACGCCCCAGGAGCCATCATGACCCCAATGCGTAAATATCTCGCTTCGAAAAAAATCTCAACGCCCTCATACTAACTAGGCCGCTTTTTCTGCAGTGAAAGCGACGGCGGAAGACATGAACTCTGTGCGTGAGAGGTTGACAGGACAGTCTGCGGATACCCTTAACGATGTAAGCACACATCTTCAAGCGTCTTTCGTTCACAGAGCTCTGGCGTGCTGACCGCTCTACCGGATCTACTCGACTCGACTTGGATCACGTAGATGGGCACCGCGCCTCCTGTCGCGCGCCTCGGCACGCCAACAGACGTCGCCCACCTCGTCTCTTACCTGGCCTCAAAAGGCGCCAGCTTCGTCCACGGTTCGTGTCTTTACCTACCGTCTGTCTGAGCAAATTGGTGCATGCCTAGCTGATTCTCATCTGTGTGTCCGATCTCATCAGGCCAAACTGTGAGTGGATTCTTCTTTTCCTTTCTTTGTGTGAGGCATGCCTAATAGACGTTTACCGCTCGACAGATCCTCGTCGATGGAGGCTTGAACTTCGATTGATTGAATTTTTTGCGAAGCTTATCTGTCTGTGGAACAGGACATCATGGGGCATGTGTGGAGTTGTATTGTAGAATTGTCACATCTCTTCTATTTCATCGATCTTGGACGTTGGACGCTATCTCCCTTGTCAACCGGACCGATTTGATACGTCCGCACTCCGCTGCAATTGGCTGTCCTTGGCTATACAAACCAAAAACAAAACGGCGCCGGATGTGCGCCGCTACATGCAACCCTGCAAGATGCACAAATGCAAGCAGCCCGCTGACCACTGTACTGCATGCTCGTGGGGCCCAAGGTCCCAATGACGGACTGCGCACGAAAAACACGGGCCATGGTTGACAGCGTCGAGCGATATTATATCAAACCTGGGTGGTCAGGTGGGACTCTCGGAGTCGCTAGCCCCTGCGACAGCACCGACACCGATCTAGCAAAATGACAAACGGAGTTGACTCGGTCCCGTTCCGCGGGCCGTTCTCTAGAGTCAGTAGGATAATAGACCAAGAGTCATCGATGGAATTCGTTCAACGTAAACGTCGGAGCCACGTTCGATCACACAGGAATGTCGGGGAAAAGAAGGTCGCGCGTGTGATAGCGTGTAATTTATAGCCAACACACCACACGTCGATTAGAGGGTAAGAAAAACAACAAACTCGATTGAGCTAAGCGAAGCCAATACAGGACAATAGTGAGAAGAAGAAGAAAAACGAGAAGCTTCGTGGAAAGACGTGATACTACTCGCGTGAAAACATTATGAACATATTTGACAAATCGAAGAGGGGCCCCGGTATATGCATCACCATCTAACAAACAGGTTATGAAAGGCGTAGAATAGCGTGACATCGTCGTTGAATGTGTGGCTCTAAGCCTCCGTCTCAATTTGTTGTTTTTCGGATACGTCTGTCGCGGGCTGGTGCTGCTCCGTAAGGGTCCTACTACGGCGTGCGGCCAAAAACAGCACGGCCGCGGCGATCGAAGAGAAGAGGAATGTGAACCATGGCAGTACAGCGACCAGACGCACTATCGACACATTGAACATCAGTCAGCCTTTAATCCCCGCGCGCACGCGCGAAAAAGAACGCGTCCCGAGTCAGGCTAGGGCCGAAATGCACTCACAATAATAGAGTTTATGGTATACCGACGTGGCCCCTAGCGACTGCTGCGCCGCGCTGACCGCGGCGGGGGGCAACTGCACGCCATTTAGAAACGCGGCAATATTCGCCGCACGGTTTGCGAAGAAATCCGTGAAAGGGATGATGGTTGCGAATAGCCAGACACTGCAGAACCCGAGCACGATCGACTGGAGGGGCAGCGTCCGCGTCGCGAGATCTGGCTTTCCCGACGCGCTGGCGGCGCGTTGAGTGCTGGACCAGAGCGTGAGGAGGATGAATAGGGTGGAGAGAACCGCGATGAGGGTGCAGACGGTCGTGAGAACGACGCCGGAATGGTAGACATCTGACCAGGAACAAGAACAGTTGACAGGGCGATGGGAAAGAGGCCGATGCGAATCCATTCTCAGTACGGTGTGGGGAGGCTCTGCGGTGGGAAGAACACACCATTGATACCGATGGCGACAGTAATCCCCGCAGGCAGAACTTTCCTCAGGCTGGACTTGGACTGGTTGGATCTGAGGTGGGATCGTGCAGAGGTAAGTTTATGCGGACCCGTCGACCTTTGTTTGACCAAGAGGACGTACTTGATCAACCCGTTCAATCCCACGGACCCACCGATGGTGCCAAACGCGAACGCCAGAAACAGAGAAATGAGTCTGGCGAGCTTGAGAGGGACGACGCGTGTAGACATGGCGGTCGGATGGGCGGGAGTGCTTTGCGGACAAAGGACAAGGAGCAAAAAGCGGTGGTGCCTCGGACGACCGAGTTTAAATAGGATTCATGAGATGACCACAGGTGGGGCTTCTGACCGTCAATATCGTATGGACTTTTCGATCAGCAGAGACGATCGCCCGGCCAGCAGAGTTCAATAGAGTTCAATTAGACACGAACCGTCCAGATGAGGCATCTCGGACCTCCGGAGTTGCCAATCTGGGCACACACCCCCGGCTTCCCCACGGGGTCCACAGGTGAAAATGAGACATTCAGGGCTGCTTCGTCACCAATGGGAATAAAGGTGCTTCTCCATACTCCATCATGAACGCGCATGAAAACCTTGTCAGGAGGTCAATCCAGGTCCCGATATCCACGAGTACTTATCCTCGTCTTCGGGCGCCGTGCTCGACCATTCAAAAAGGACCGACAAGTATCGCAGAAAAACGCCAGAGAGGTCCATGAATGTCCACCCCAAGTTCTCGCCAGCCAATCCGCGCGACCTCGCAGCGACGGTAAACGGTTCAACCAGCTGCAGCCAAGGAGAGAGAATGAATCGACGACGGAAATGTCTCAGTCCGCCGGAGTTTATGGTAAGGGCAGAGACGTGAGAGACCATATCGATGTCCAGCTGATCCCCAACGGATCTCCAGGTCAAGCTAACCATGTATACCGAGATGCGCATCGGCCGTTCGACACGGAAACATGGATTTTCGGGACCGTGAGGGTTACGGCATGAAACGCGTCAAGGATGTCTGTGAAAAACGCGGTGGGCTGGTCTGAAGCGAGCTGAAGCGTCGAGCACCAAGAGGATCTGTGAACGCAAGGGCGCGAGAACCCGCGGAGCTGACCACCCCAGCCGATACCCGATCAGACATCGGGTTTCTCCAGCCAATGGGATTGCGTGCTCTGTCAGCGATATTGGTGGGTCAGAGTTGGTCCACAGGGAGCCGCATTTTTCGTCGCTCATTCCACGTCTGCCCAGATTCTGCGCGCTGGCACAGACATATAGAAATCAACGTCAACTCCTCGCAAAAACAAGATGTCTTTTTCGCTTCGATTTTTAAAATGCCAATGTAAGACAAATATAGACCGGCGTGGGATCAGAGGATGAATCTCAATGAAACCCCGTCTTGGCACGGTATTTGCTCCCAATCTGTCCCCGGCGCGAATTCCCTTGTACTCCCAGTGCACATTTACGCCCGATTGTTTGTCCCTCCTGAAGCATCCTGCAAATCTTGTGTGCTTACCTGGCTTGCGCAAAATGCCAAGCCTCGATGCCTTATTCTTGGTCTTGTCGACGGCGTCCATAAGATCGGGAGGTTTGGTATCGCTAACGTCATTAGTCAAGCAGCAGTGCGCCGCATCCACTCGGCCGAGTCTCGTCTAGTCTCGTTTCCTCTCTTGCGTATTGGAATGCACCTCCATGGCTCAGTCGGACTCCCAATCACCTCCGGTCGTACTATCAAGACTTGTAGAGGGCAATGACTGTCGTCACAGATCGAGCTCTGTAAGCTTTTATAAGCCATTTTCAACAAAACGCCATCCTTTCATTTGCCCGGCTGCCGTCGGCAATCTTATTGCCGGCGTCGGTCCCGATAGTGTCCCGATGCTTCCTCTCCAACTCCATCCATTGTCTACAAGCTACTGTGTCTTGAGTTTTCCAATGCTCGTCAAAGGCTACGAAGTAGAAGAAATGCATGGTCTGGTATATTCGACATGTCACCTTCTGGCCGGGGGGGATTACGCACCGATACATGACCTGGCTCCAGTCTCGTCACCTCGGCGACTTACTCAGCTGCGCTCCAGGCTACCTCGAAAACTTCGTGGAAAAAATTCTCCCTATGGATCAGTCAGGATCTCGCATGGGCCAATTACCTCACGAAGAATCTGGAAGATCTCGTCGCGCGAGCAATAAAAGGGCGAACATACGGAACTCGGCAGTCCATACTTCTTTCGCCCTTCGTCCCCATCCTTCTCCTTCTCTATCTTTATCATCATGTCGTCCTCGAAACTCTTCCAGCCCATTAAAGTTGGCGATATCACTCTCCAGCATCGCATTATCATGGCGCCTTTGACGCGGTTCAGGGCGAACCTGAAGCACGAGCAGGAAGACATCGCCGTGGAGTACTATAAGCAGCGCGCCAGTGTTCCCGGAACCCTCCTCGTCTCGGAGGGCGTGTTCGTCACCGGCCGTGCAGGTGGCGGAAAGCATATTCCTGGCATCTGGTCAGAGGAGCAGATAAAGCGCTGGAAAAAGGTGAATATCCGCGTTCTTTTCCTGGAGTATCACTTCCATTGATAACGGCATGTTCATCAGATCACGAACGCCGTGCACGAGCAGGGTTCCTTCATATACTTGCAGCTCTGGGCCCTGGGCCGCGCCGCGTCCGTAGAGGCGCTCGCCGAGGAGGACCCGAGCTTCTCATATATCGGCGCAGGCAGCGTCAAGCTCTCAGACCGTGACCGTGCACCGCGCGCCCTGACCATCGCAGAGATCAAGGAGTTTGTCCAGTTCTACGCGACTGCGGCCTCGAACGCAGTCCACAAGGCCGGGTTCGATGGTGTCGAGATCCACGGCGCGCACGGTTACCTCGTGGACCAGTTCATCCAAGACAACTCGAACAACCGCACAGACGAGTACGGCGGGTCGATCGAGAACAGGACGCGCTTTGCGCTCGAGGTCATCGATGCCGTGTCCAAGGCTGTCGGGCCACAGAAGGTCGGTATCCGCCTTAGCCCCTGGAACCCGTGGCAAGGTGAGTAACACCAATTTTATTCTATCTGAGAAGCGCAACTGTGTCTGACTGTGGGCGTGCACTCAGACATGCGCATGAGCGACCCGGTCCCCACGTTCTCGCGTCTTGTCACGCGCATCCGCGACGAGCACCCCAACTTCGGCTACATCCACGTCGTCGAGCCGCGCTTGGCCGGCATCGCCGACCGCGAGGCACAGGAGGGCGAGTCGAACGACTTCCTCCGCGAGATCTGGGGCCCACGGGTGTACATCGCTGCGGGCGGGTTCACGCGCGAAGACGCGATCAAAACTGCGGATGAGAAGGGCGGGCTCATCGCGTACGGCCGGTATTTCATCTCGAACGTAAGTGTTCCTTGTTGTCTTTGGCGGACGGGTGCTGATGGATGCATATGTTTGTGCTTCAGCCCGATTTGCCGCGTCGCCTCAAGGAGAACATCCCACTCACGCCATACAACCGTGAGACGTTCTATACACCTGAAGACCCTGTAGGTTACATCGACTATCCGTTTGCCGGAGGGGAGGCCATCAGCGCGGCGGCCTAAATAGCAGAAGAAGCAGGTTATGAATCACATAGAAGACTCGGATGTCTAGTACACTACTACCCTAATTTATCAATTGCTCGCGTCGGATGTTGGCCTTTCGTTGAATCGGTGAGGCAACACAATACTTATCTGCTTGGGTAGGTTGTCGATTGTGAACGGTGTGACGAAGAACATATGGCGTGTGAGGCTGTTCTTCCTAGGCTACATATACTACCTGAGCCATTGCAAGTAGCGTCCCGCGCAATGGAAAGAACATCACGATGATATATTCAAAAGATAGAGACGGTGTTCAAACGAGTATGATTACTATGGAATCCGAGTGTTGTCAAGTATGGCTGTTGGCGCTGTGGCAATCGGCGATACATGCGTTGCATCGAGCGTCTGTCAATGTCCGCACCCTGCAAGTGAGCGTGAGTACACTGATTAAGAAAACGCACAAGCAACTTGCCAACAAAAAGCGCCAACAGAAATGCCACACACTCCGCCGGCGCGCCATACGTAAACACCGGATACATTCAAAAGCCCTGGCTGGTCCAGATCTGAGACAAAGCGTTCGCCACAAACAGCTCGGAAGTTGAAGCAATGCCCGATCACGATCGATCTGTAGCGCTTGGCCTGCTGGCGTCCAACGTCAAAGAAGGAGCGCCGTCCGGTCGGCTCATGAAGGTCAAAGAGATCCGTGAACGCCACCCTTCAGTGCCACAGCCCCAACGTGGAGAAACCACATTACGAAGCTCGGAGACTCCCGCCTCTTTGTCCAGCCTCTCTGCGAGAAGTTTATAAATCGACGGCGAAGAGGGAAGGAAAGCACTTTGACCTCTCACTACTCACCCACTCCCGAGTTCCCCATCTTACATACACTCCATCTATACCATGTCATCTTCTGACGGACCTTTCGCCGAATGGTACGATATCATAGTCTGGGGATGTGACTGGTTGAGCAGTCAGATTCCACCCGAGGTTTCCACTTCTGCCGCCACCATCCCTCAAAGTCCGACAGCCATTGTAGAGAATGTTACGAGTCCGGTCCTGCCTGCCACAGATTCAAAGGTAAGTCTATCATACCGTCGAGGATAGCGAGTGCAGCACTGACCTCTCGAGGAAATAGGACAAGCCTGTAGAGGACATGCCACATCCAAGTACAGAGCTCCCTGTTACCACAACTCTCTTCACCTTCGCAAATGCCTCGCAAAGGCCTGATGAGATATCCTCGCTTCGGGCCACTATACCAGTGCCTCTCCCCAGCACACTAGGTGGGTGCCCGATCCTGGCCCCACTCTCCACTTGCTGCCACTGTGATTCGTACCACGCCGACGCTGACGCACAATTCTGGATCAGGATGCACAGAGGTGGCACCTGACCCTCCATCCACCCCTGCCACTGCTTTCCCGCTACTCTTTAAAGAATCAGATGCGGTTTCGCGCATTGCAGGAACGAAACGGAAAGCGGACGAGACCAGTGAAAACTGTGGTCGTCCTAAAAGCAGTATATTGGAAGTCATGCGCGAGGCGGAAAGGATCCATCCGCTTGCCCAGCCACAAGCAGGACCTAGCAGGCTCATTGAAGCCTACGAAGATAGCGAGGGCATTGCCCTCAAACCACATAACCACACAACAGGAGCCTCCAGCTTCAAGAAGGATTTCCAGGCCGCTGATTCCGCTCCCGTCAATGTACAGCTATGGAGCCAAGGGCCTTTCCCAACACAGACCTCGCTTGTCGGCCAGCCGACTGCGTTCTCTGCTTCGACATTGTCTCAGACTTCAACGCTGCCCTCTTCTCCCTCGTCAGGATCTTCCGCGTCGTACGCAGCCCAACAGTCCTTTCACGTCGGCCAAATGACCTTCCCCTCCATCCCGATGCCAACTTCTGCCGATACGACTCGGCATATCAACGGGCCAATGTATGGTGTCCAAGGAATGACGTTCACTGCGCCACTGGTATCACACCCTGCCCCGTCAACGTCGTACTCTGCTACGCTCTCCATTCCATCGGTCTCGATGGTCAGCATCACTCTAGAGATGCTGCTCGTGGCTCGGGAACGGGCACACCTCTTGCCTCCCATTCCAATACGTTATGGCCAGACACCGTACAATTCCGGCTCGTTCAACTGCCATATCTGCATTCTCGGCTTCCGCACGAAAAGAGAACTCACCACACATGAACGAAGGCAGACACACACAAAGCGTGTCTTGGTGCTGAATGGTTATACAGTGTTGCCGCCGAAAGATTTCCCCTGCGATTATCCTGAATGTGACAAGGAATATTCGAATCGCTCGAGTTTGGTCACACACAGGAGGACCGCGCACGGGATAGGCGAGCGAATAGATGCAATGGCGGGAGAGGGGAGAGCAAAGAGACGCAGGAGGTAAGGATGAGGCCATTGCAAGGTGAAGGCGAAGAGGAAAGAGGCCGGTCAGTGGTCCTTTGTGGCTCATTGTGATCTCCATCGATCGCTGTCCCATCTGCTGTCTCAGATAATTCGTTTTGTGTCAGCTCGTCTCTTCAAGTCTTTCTCTCGGATCGATACGACTAGTTGCGGTGGAAGCGCACGGCTTGGTGTCCTCCACGAGGATTTCGGAAAATATTGTATGATCTGTTGATTTAATGGAGGGGACTTTGTTCACGATACCACTACTATACGGACTTCGTTGCGGTGCACATGACTTACATCTATTATGCTTGATATGTTGGTTAATTCTAATTCCGCGTTTAGCTGGCATCCCCTCGTGTGATTTGAAACTTTTTTTGCAGAGCGGAGCAGACAGTGAGCAGACTTGACAGAGCGAAAAAGATAGCCGCGATGAGAGAGGACAAAGTCATGTATGGGGTTGGTTCCCACGGTCTTCATCGACAGGCGCGTCGGATCTAGTGCGCACGCGAGTGCCACACTGATTCCATCCTCTTATACACTACAAGGTTGAATATTATCTCCAGACAGCCTAAGTTATCACCGATCTGGTGTACGACGGAGTTCACGAACAACCCACACATCCCAAAACAAGTGCTTGATCTGTAGTTCGAACCTTTGGCCATAGTGTTTCCCCCACGCGTAACAGTCAGTGTCCGATCAATTTCGCTCAGAAAGAGGCTCTCCGAACTCAAATATGCTCTGAATATTCAGCCAAATGGCCAACTACCAGGATCATCTCGAAGACATTGTCCGCGACTTGTCCAACGAGTACCCTGGGAACGAGATCTTCACGTCCCACCTGGTGACACTTATCACGACATACCCTCCACTTTTTGTGTATGTCCATGATCCAACAACAGCTGGCATCACTTGTTCCCTCGTCGAAACCGCCCTACAGTCGATCTCCGCATTCGACCCTTCCGCATTCGACCCGGAGGACGGTGCGCCCCGACTTGTGTTCGCGCAGGTGAACGCGATCACGTGCTTCACGCCCCGTCTGCTCTATGACACCGCGTTGAACAGGCTCGCGAAGTGGCGCCCACAGTGGGAGGAAGGGTGTGAGAACTGGCCAGCTGCAGGCGGCTCTCTGCGGTATAACGACAGCTTCGACGGGTTCATGCACGGGCTGCGCGCGCTCAGGACAGAGCTTCTAGCGTCGGCAGCGAAAGAGAATGCCAAGGAAAGAAACGGAAAGGGAAAGGTGAAGGCGAAGGTTGCGAACGAAGATGTCAGGATGATCTTGGTCGTGGAGAAGGCCGAGAGATTGAAGAGCAACTTGCCAGAGCTCATAGTGCCTCTGACACGCCTGGCAGAATCGGTGAGATCGCCCTCCGCTTCTTTTGTGTTTGCGCTCAAGTCTTCATAGTCTCAAGTCGACATCACGACGATCTTCATCTCTGAAGCCCCATGGGACGACATGAAACCCCCTCTCGGGGCCTCATTGGACCCATATCGAATGGTCATTCCGCCTCCCACGAAACAAGGCTCGCTCTTTTGGCTCTCTGGAGTGCATCGCACTGACATCGACCTTTTGAATAGCCACCATCCAACTGCTCAATTCTTACTTCTCAGCTGCCGCTTCGTCCGACAGCGATGTATACAACCCGTCTCTCGCACCGCTCTACGCCCATTTCGCTCAGGCACTCTACAGCGTCTGCTCTCCCTTCACCAACGACCCTCGCGAGCTGGCCTACATCGCGGCTGCGCGTTGGCCAGGATTCGTTCAACCAGTCCTAAAAGCGCACGCTCGGGATCTCGCAGCTCTTCGCGAAGACGACCCTGATGCCGACCTTCCGCTCGAGCCCCCCAGCGAAGACGCACGCATGCGCCTCCTGCGCTACTTCACTCCCTCGCTCACTGTGGCCCTAGAAGCACTGTATCCGCGCCTGACGAACGCAAAGGACTGGGCCAATGCAAATATGCCAGAACCGGGCGCGTTGGATCCCGGAAGATCAGTCCCATCGAGCCCGCGCAAAGATAAGGGGAAGACACGAGATGGCGGAGGAGACGTGGCGGCCGAGTTCGACACGGACGTGGCAGTGCAGTTTCTGCCTCGAATGTCCAAGTTCATCTTAGTGGCAGCCTTCCTCGCATCGACGAACCCACCAAAATCGGACTTGCGGATGTTCGGCAGGGGCGTGGACGATAGGCGAAAGCGTAAGAAAGGTGGTGGGACGCGTAAGAGCGCAGGAAAGAGCGGACCGGCAAAGGTGCAAAGCTTTGAATCCGTGCTGTTTATCATTCGGCTGACACTTCAGTTCTCCATCTCTTGAAGATTGCTCAGCGGCTGCTAGGGCCCATGACGTTTCCTCTAGACCGCCTTTTGGCTATCCTCGGTATTCTCCTCGAGGAGTATGATTACGATTCACGACCACAGGAGCCAGAGTACCTATCAGGTGTACCTGGTGAGGAGACGGAGCTTGAGCTGGGAAGAGTGCATGTCTACGGAGCGGTCGGATTCTTTTCCGCATATCGCCAGTTTCCTTTGTCTGATTCTCTTTGCGTCCCTCCATCTAGGTGGTCGAGCTGTCTACAGCCAGGCTCTTGCATCGAACCTCCCCGTCAGACAAATTGGACGGTCCCCCAACGTTCAAATGTGGTATTTCTTACGATGTTGCCATGGCTCTCGCGAAAGATCTCTCAGTGCCACTGCTTGACTTGATGTGGGACTCGAGTTGACTGAGGCTGTCCCTTGTTACCTTATCACTATTTTCCACGTATTCGTTTACTGCTTCGATTTGCTTCATCATTGTGAAGCGTGCCCAATATTGTACAAAGATGTTTGCTCGATGCCTGGCCACGTGAGAGCCTGAGCCTGAAAGACGTCAGACCGACAGCATGCCGGGTACGCTGCTCTGCAAGCCCTGTTAGGTTATAATAAGATTAATATGACTTCATTTTTCTATCTCGATCGTATATTGTGATACTTGATCTATGAGGGGCCTCGAGGAAAATAGCCAAAAAAGCTGCAGACCTAGTGCCATTTATGAGGGATTTTGGAGCAAAATGCCGCAAAGTCACAGACCGGCAGTCGATTGCTATATCTGATGGCGATCTCCGATGCAAGTGCAGCCCGCCTTTTCTCCATCATCTGAGCCTCTCCTGTCTCCATCGTCCACTCTCTCCCACATCTCACGTATCGTTTCATTTCCCTATTTTCTCTCTGACGATGTCTTGGCAAGGTAGCTCGCCTCTCTTGCCTCCCGCCAGAATTCGAGTCTGACTGGGCATGACATCTGCATCGCGTCCTGACCGATACAGCGTATGTCGACAGCAACCTAGTTGGCAGTGGCAAGATTGCCAAGGCAGCGATCCTTGGACTGCAAGGCGGCGTGTGGGCGACATCTGCTGGATACACTGTGCGTGCTCCTCGCCGCCCTTTGTGATTGCAGGGCTTGGATTGTTGGATTGATCATCACGATAGCTATCTGTGGACGAGCAAAAAGCCGCCGTTGCTGCGTTCTCGCATCCCGACCAGGCGCAAGCCAACGGCTTCCGTCTCGCGGGGCAGAAGTTCTTCACACTGGTTGCAAATGACCGTAGTGTGTATGGCAAGAAGCAGGTACGTCATTTTACGCATCTACACACCCTGCCGCTAGATGTCTTACAACCTCTTCGACTCTTCGGAACGACATCATGCGCCTGTAGGCGGACGGTGCGATCCTCGTGAAGACCAAGCAAGCTATTCTCGTAGCAGAATACATCGCTCCTATCCAGGCTGGCGAGGCCACCCCCGTCGTGGAAGGCCTCGCAGACTATCTGATCGGTGTCGGCTACTAGCCTTGTACGCCATGCGACTGGGTATAGAATCGAGTGACGGAGGATGTGTACGTATCAGGGAAGATCTGCAATTGTGTATTAAATCATGCTTGATGGATTGCCGACGACATGCCCCGAATTATGTAGATCGCTTCGAGTCATCTCACATCATACAATTCCCACAATACGTAGGGTACAGTACACCCAGTCACGAATCTCCAAGGTTGGGTTGGTGAGGCCAACGATGAATTGAAGCAGCAGATAGAACTCACAAAGATACAGACGAAGATAAGAATAAACTCACTCTACTGCACCTACCGCGCCCCTGCTTGAACCGCGCTCTCTGTCAATTTTGACAGGCTCACAAATGCCTCTAGCAATGCAGGAACAATGAACGGCTCTCTCTGCTCCTTTTCGATATCCTTGATGACTCTGACATGCCTTGCCTGCTCTTGCTCTAATCGCTTCTCAGCCAGACGTCTTGCGTCGACCTCGGCTTCCAAAGCGGCCTTCATGGCGTGGAGTTGGGCAGTACCATCTGCGAATTGAGATTCGACCGAAGCAAGAGCAGCTGAAGAACGCAACGCTCGTCAGGATAGATGACGGGCAAGGAGCTGTCAGCGCACCAAATATGTCTTCTTGAGAACCATGCCCCCCGATGTTGTTCAGTCGATTCAAGATAGCCACATGAGTCGTCCTCAGCTTCTCATTCTCACCGGCCTGGATCTCGGACTGCGCCTTTTGCTCCTGTTGCTTGTTCAACTCTACTATTAATGCCTTCTCCCGCTCCCTGAAGGCTCGTGACAATATTTCGCGCTGGGCTCTCTCCTGGCGAATTTCTCGCTTGCTCGCCTCTAGCTCCTTTAGAAGGACTGCTATCGTACTATCGGTTTCCGGCGGCAGTTTCTGTGGGAGAGGACTCGATAAAGACGATGACGCGATATTTGTTGAGGGAAGAGAGGAAATAGCAACCCGAGAAATATCCGGTTTGGATGAAGAGCCCACGTCAACATTAGCGCTCAATTGAGATTGTTGTGTATGAGAGATGGGCAAGCCCTGAACAGGTGGGGTGATTACACCACGTTTTTCAGATGTGGACGAAAGAAAAGGTTTACTTGTAGCAGAGGTAGTGTCCCGGGGTGTAGCAAGGCTAGTAGATGTGCTGGTGGAAGGGATAGTGAGTGGCGCAATAGAGCTGGAAGAGGTGCTAGCAGAGAGAATAGACCCTGATGGGGTAGCAGATGTACTAGCAGAAAGAGCATCCCGAGATGACGCGAGAAGAATGGGTCTTCCCTTGGAAGCTTTCATTTTGATAGGTCGGTATGTGGAGGGGATCGTTCTCGTATCAGCATGGGGGAGGTCATAGCTAGTTTGCGGTGTACCGGGCGTATGTTAGCGATGAGAATGAAACTGAATACGCGAGATACGCACAGTTGCATCATGGCGCTGTGTTGGTAGTAAAATGTCAGAATCATCACCAGTAGGTTTATGTATCCGTTGAGAAGCGTACATTGAACAAGCAACCAATCTCTCTGAGCTCAACAAGTCGAACTTTCTTCTAAACATAGATACAAACTATGATGAGCTGTTCAGCTGCTCCCATCAAGGGTGTGCAGAAGGGCAGAGCAAACGTAAAGTACATACACCTGCGTTTGCGTTTGTCCAAAACAACTCCAATGCCCCCGGCGTTCTAGACTTGAACACATTTTGTTTCTTCGGTTGCTGGCTCCCCAGACCGATTGCAGTAAAGTCTTTTCGTAGAGGTATCAATACTTTATCTGCGTTGGTGTCAAAGGATTCTACGAGAGACCACTTTGATCCTGGGTGATATTGCACCCTAATGGCGAGGGTACGCGGCATATTGGAGCAGAGTGAGTCAAGCGTGAGGTCGTGAGGGCGATATAGCTTGGGGAGCTTACAGATGCGTGCTTTTGCCAAAGTCATTTCCTTTTTGAGCAGCCGGCGGCAGATGCGAAGGGCTGGCGCATGTTGGCGGGACACAAGTGGTTGCCCCTCTCCTCATGTCACCGCAGTCCCCGTTTCTAGATATTTGAAGCGCCATCTAGACTATGCTCAGCGCTCTTCTCACTCCACTGCGTGCTCGGTTTGACGCGTCGCCTCGTCAAGAAACCACCCCACTTCCACCTCCCGACGATGAGCTAGCACCGGAGGACTTTGCGCGTGACGTGCTTATTGAATTGATGCGGAATGCTGTCGAGAAGCTCAAGTCAACTGAGGATGTCAGGTCTAAAATAGACGTGAGCTCTGGTTGGATTCTCATCACGCCCCATAATATCTGAGCGTGGCGTCCAGGTCTTATCCGAAGTGCATAGGATCATGCTGCAGGATGCGTGCACGAAAGACGTGTTTAGAGAGCTGGACGGCTTCTTGACGATCATATCCACTCTTTCTACTCTGCATGCTCCCCGTCAAGGGCCAATAGCTGAGCCCGAGGAGCAGGTCCGAGCAGAAATGCTTGAAGGCACGCACCTCATCTTCTCTATTGCATCAGAAGCGATGTATGACCATGAAGAGAATTATGAGTTTTTCCAGGTGAGTGAATGTCTAGCGTCATTGCCCTGTCAACTATTACTAACAAGCACGAAGAATCATGTTGGCTATGAAACATTTTCTGAAGCTCTTCATCCATTTGTTGACGGTGACGCCGACGTGAGAGATCGTATCCTTGGCCTCTTATTCTCATTGGCACTTCACGATTTCTCTGTATCAAATCTGTTCTCGGTCGTCCGGGATGTCACCTACGAGGGAATCAGCGTCAAAATCGACGAAGCGGAACCACATCTCGGTCTCATAGTCCAGCCAAAGGCTCTGAAAGCCCTGTGGAATTTCTTACCGGGATATCGAGAGGATCGGCTTCTGCACTACACCCTCTACAAGCTTCTTGAACGCCTCTCAACTTTGTGTCATAGGAACCAAGCGATTCTCAGCAACTTAGGGCTTGCAGAATCGCTCTTTCGAACTTTCTACGACCAAAAGAGCAATGCGACCGTCAAGCCTCAAGAGCGGCGCGCGATGCAGAAGTTATTGAGACGACTTTTAGACGCGGGTGCAACGCCTGCGGAAACGAGAATGGTCTTTCGTAAGGCTGTCAAGCCTGACGGGTCCTTAGACTCGGATATCCTGGACGTGATCCGTTCAGGGATCAAATCTAGGTGGCTTGATCATTTCTCTTTCGAGCGTCGCTCTGTAGTGAAATTCACTGAAGAAAATACGAAAGGCCTTCCATCAACCGGATTCACGTTTATGGTGAGTGATGCTTTACCGAATCTGCTAGTTAAAGCTGACTCCCTTGGAATGCAGATCTGGCTACGGATCGAGAACTTTCCTGCTCACAAATCACACGCACTCTTTTCCTTTGCGCTTCCTACGCGCCGATTCTTCAGCCTCAGCATACGCCCTGATGGTAAACTGGAGATATGGAGCTTCGGGCAAAAAGTCCCAGAGCTTGTTTCTAAAACGAGCTTCCCAAAGTCCCGGTGGATTCACCTCGCATTACTCCACTATCCACACAGAATATCCAATCCTACCATCCGTCAGTATTTCTCTAGTTTTTAACTTTTCTAACAACTCAATGTCTTTGCAGGTCTCTTCGTGGATGGAGTACTGAACGAAACGGCCAACTGGGCGTACCCAAGGCCAGATTCGATAGCTCAGACCGGAACATATACAATAGGCGACGATTCGGATGATGCGCGGATGAGCTGGTGTATGGCTTCAGCTTGCCTGATATCGAAGCTTCTTGGTAGATGCTCATTCTTCTTTGAGCTGTGCAAAATATTCACATTGCTGTAGGTGATCATCTGCCTCGTTTCATCCATCACCTGGGACCTCGATATAGCTCCATGTTTCAATCACCTGAACTCGTCAGATTCCTGACATATGAAGCATCTACGTCGTTAAATATTTTCCTTTCGACCATTGCTTCGAAACACGGTGTTCCATCCGACGTGGCTTCGCTTGTAAAGGCAATCAAGGATGGAATCGGGATCGACGAGGCTTCTGTCGTATTCTCTCTGGTCCCGTCTATCTTTTGGGATAAATCGGACAGTCAGGATGCGCCTGTGGAAAGTAGCGTTATGGGTCGGTTTGCTCGGCAAGGCGACGTACTTCCGATGAAGGCATATTGCATTGACATTGCTGTTTGGAAGATCGGGGGTGCCGCCGTTCTTTTGAGATTAGTACAATTGGCTAGTGTACGTGTATCTGGTCCTCCTTTCGTCGATTTGATCGCTGATACTCTATGCAGAGTGCTCACGAGCTGTCCCGTACACTTAGTATCTTGACCGATGGTCTTCGCAATAGTTGGCAGAACTCGGAAGACATGGAACGAATCAGTGGGTGATACTTCAATCAACCATCCTGATAGTCTGACAGAAAGTGCGTAGGAGGATACGAGATCCTGTCCGCTATCCTCCGCAGCAAGAGCGAGCTCATCAACATGACAGGCTTTGAAACGTTGTTTGAGTTCATGGGAATGAATTTTAGATCGCCAGAGTAGGTCATTTGTATCAAATCTGACAGCGGCCATCTGAGCGTTTTTCGTTACAGTCATTCGACCATCTCGAACATCGTTGCGTACCGATTTATAGCACTGGATTTCGAGCTCTGGTCGCATACCCGAGAAGAGATCCAACGTGTACATCTAGAGCATTTCTCGACCCTCATGCGATCGAGTAGATATCGAAACTTCAACTGCCGACAACGTCTCTCGAAAGTGGGTCTGGTACGGCGACTCCTGTTCGTCTGGCAGACACACTGGTATAATGACGGCATCGGCCCGTTCATTCTGGACGCCATGAGGGCAGTTGCGGAAACGGCATTCACGATCGACGATGTTGTGAAACCTGTTGTTTCTTATTTGGCAGCCAATCTACATAAAGGCAAGCTGCGCCTGGATAACAATTTCGAATTCTTTTTGACAAGTTGCTCTGATACGACACAGGGAGTTCGGTAGTTTCTTCACCTCGTTCGGTGATATCTCGCATCGATCACGACCATGCGCGCGAAAAGGCCGAACAGATCTTGGAGCTGTTCATCTCGATCTTGTCGTCCTCCTCGGATTGCTACACCAAATTTGCTGCAGCATTGCCTTTGACCCGTATCTGCTTATTGCTTCTTGGTGACCGACCTTCGCCCATTGTAGCCACGCAGGTCCTCAAGCTCATCGACGTTAGTCTCAATACTTCTCGGTCCTTCAGCCGGAAGTTCGAGCTGGTCAGTGGTTGGTCTGTATTAAAGACAGTACTTCCGTATGCTTGGAATACAAGTGTGCACGCAGCAGCATTCCGGATACTATTAGGGAGTAGCGATGTCCAGAGTACTAATGTCCCCACTATCGCCTGTCCTAATATCATGCCCGCGATCTTGGCCGCTTTAAATAAGGTTCTGTCGTCCGTCGTCCACCAGGTTCCATCGATAAACAATATGGAGACGGATAATGATAGTAAGTTCTTCGAGACAGCCACTTCGCCAATTTATCTGAGACATATCTGCAGGTACGGAATCTGCTGCCGAACTCTTGTTGGAGGCATTGGTCGACCTGCAGGCAACCAGTCCTACGTTTTGCCAGCTTTTCAAATCCCAGCAGACGACACAACTTCTCATCCAAGCTTTTCGGTATTTTGTGAACACACTTTCGTCAATGGACGAGATTGAACAGAGGATCGTTCGTATGGTCGAGAAGCTGATGCATTTTGGCTTGACCTTGGCCTTGGATAGCGTTGTTGTGGCGGGAGGCCAGAAGAACGAAGTAGGTTGGTTGACTAGCTCTGAGTAGCCCAAATAACAGGAATACTCTTTGACAGATACTGGACATACTGAAGACCGCAGAGGCGGTAGTCAGCGGAGGAGGCGCCAAAACCACAATTGATCCTGAATTGCTAACCGATCGTCGTACTATTCGAACCCGCCTGACATCGACAAGGCTTAGCCTGCAAGTCAGTGAGCGGACAGTGCAGAAGTCTATTCAACGAATACATGAATGGCGTGAGACTATCGTTGTCTCTGAGCGTAAGCGACTCCGCAAAAATGTGCTAGATCTGTGGGCGTCTTATTCAACACCACCAAGAGTAATCCGAACTCAATAACTCAATTTTAGACGGGAGAACTATCGGCAGATGACCCGCCTTGTCGAATGGGTTTCCCCTCTGGTTATAGAGCGGGGCTTGTGGGCGGTACCGGATCAGCATCACCTGTGGCGGTTAGATGAAACTGAAGGTCCATGCAGGGTCAGGTACGTGTGTTTGTTTTTGGGTTCTCAAGAGTATTCTCATATCACCAAATTCTAGAAAAAGATTGGAGTCCGATGGCGAGGTGGCCATGGCATTCAAACTTGATGGTAATGAAAACCTTCGGGGAATTGAAGATCCTATCGTTGACGATCAGTCCATATTCCGTGTGGAAGTGCCTCCATGGGCTGAATCGTATGAGATATCATCAACTGACGCTGACGGTATGAGAATATCTCTATGCAGTATCCATCCCTTACTTCATTTGTTGCAGATGACCGCCAGCTCGCTGAAGATGTTGTCGAGGACAAGCATCGTCGTGTGCGGCATGATCTAGAACCTGGAGACGTCATTGACGCCATCAGCACCGTGGCTCGAATTACGGGAGTCGACTCATCTCGTCTGTCCACTAACGATGTCTCTTTGATGCTGAGATTGACTCCTCTTATGTCATGTAGCTGGTTTACTCATCTTTGGACGGACGAATCTCTACATGTTGGATGGATTAGTGGAGAATGATGACGGAGAGGTCATCGAGGCTCACGAGGCACCGAAGACCTTGTTCTTTGTGCCAGGTAGCATAGTTGAGCTGGATGGTATTCAGCGAGCTCAGCGATGGTGCGTCCGCAGTGCACTTCAAACGTTTTTCACCTCCATAAAATTGCCACAGGTCATACGATCAAGTAGCCAGCTTCAGCGACAGAACATTCCTTTTCCGCGACGTCGCGTGAGTTCTAAGTTTCTATTGAATCTTCATCTCTGACATCACATCACAGACTGGAGATCTACTTCAAGGACAGTAGATCTCTCCTCATAGTTTTCTTGACAAAGAAACAGCGGCACGACATGAACCATAAACTCTCCTCCATTGTTCATGGCAACCGAAATCCTTCAGAGCTTACTCCTGGTCTCCTCAGATCTCCTATGCTCGTCAAAGCCAGTGCCAGAGTCTTGTCTGGTTTCCGAGCAGATGAGCTCTCAAGCGCTCAAAGAAAATGGCAGGCTCGGGAAATCAGCAATGTATGCCATCGATACTCCCCTAAAGTCTCGAATTTGACATATATCCTGCGCCAGTATACGTACTTGAGCATACTCAACCAGATATCTGGCCGTACGCCAAGTGACGCTACGCAGTACCCTATCTTCCGTAGGTTCTCTTTCAGACTTCTGTTCAACTAGAGCCATCTTTGATTATCTGTTAGCTTGGGTGCTACAGGATTATCGCTCGGAGACTTTAGATTTGTCCTCAAGAGATTCATTTAGAGAGTAAATCTGCTTCATACCTTTACATTTGCGCCCTTTCTGATCACATCCTTAGTTTAACTAAGCCTATGGGGGCCCTCACACCAGCTCGTTGTGAAGCTGCCAAGTCTCGTTATGAGAGCCTGGAAAGCGTTGGGGAAACCCCTTTCCACTATGGCACACATTTCAGTTCATCGATGATTGTCTGCCACTTCCTAATTAGAATGTCTCCGTTCACAAACATGTTCAAAACACTACAGGTACATTTTAATTGATTGCACCAGCATTGGCACGCTAATGACTGAAAAGGGAGGGGACTGGGACTTGCCCGATCGCTTGTTCAGGTAAATCCACCATACTACTAACAGGGTGTACAACTGATGGACATGGACGTCTAGTAATGTTGCAAGGGCTTATGATTCCGCGTCGAAAGATATCCGTGGCGATGTTCGGGAATTGATTCCAGAATTTTTCACTTGTCCCGAGTAAGTCCTCAGTCTTGTTAATGATTTCATGTATTGACATCAATCATCAACAAGATTCTTAGAAAATTCAGCCAACCTGGATTTCGGAGTTCAGCAGAATAACGGGGAGCGAATACATCATGTTGGCCTCCCTCCCTGGGCGAAAGATGATCCCTTGTTGTTCATCACGTTGAACCGCCGCGTAAGTTAAGCTTGGCCAAACCAATGTGGCTTTTCGGCTGACGACATTTGTTTCAGGCCCTCGAGAGTGACTATGTTAGCGAACACCTGCCTGCGTGGATTGATTTGATCTGGGGGCACAAGCAGCGCGATCCAGCGTCACTCAATGTCTTCCATCCACTCAGTTATGAGGGTTCCATTGGTATGCTGCCAAGATCATTTAGGTTCGCGTAGCTGATTTTTCTAAGACTTGGATTCTATAACGGATGATCTCGAACGCGAGGCAACTATCGGTATCATTCACAATTGTAAGCATTGAAATGCGATTTACAATCATATCTGAATTGATGGGCACCTAGTTGGACAGACCCCTCGCCGACTATTCAATGTTCCTCATCCTCAACGGTTCATGCACGGACTGTCCTCGCTGCCACTCGGGACTCTGCACGGCATCGAAGAAGATCATGCTTTACTCATCCAAAGTCATAGGGCAGCTGCTAGAGGTTAGTTGTTCATCGTCCCCACTTGAAGATTTCACTAACAATCCTGCTTACTTCGAAGATTTGGGGCCACACACTCCTGTTCGAGATCTAACGATAGATATGATAGGGGAACGGGTGATCCCACATCCTGACGGTATTCTCTCCGTGCCCTCGTATCCTCATGAGCGAGTTGAGTGGGGCTTCAGCCGTACAGGAAGAGCTGCGGCCGTCGAGTTGAGAGCCGTTGTGGATCGCAAGGAAAGTGGTTCGAGCCTATCGCTACGACCAGCACGACTGATCTGTATCCTCCCCGTAGGTGGTTCAAGTCATCGAGGGTTTAGACTGTACATGCGCGGTGTTTCCAGATTCCGACAATCTGGTCACTGGGTCGAGCGACCATATCGTTCGACTTTGGCGCATTTCTCGCAATGCTGGTGGACCCACATCAATGCACCTCTCCCTCTCCAACATCATGCGTGTGCATACGGCTGGTATTGTTTGCGTCACTGCCTCGAGAGCATGGTCCGTCATTGTCAGCGGATCGAAAGACGGGAGTGCCGCCATTTGGGACTTGAACAAAGCCACATATACAAGATCAATATGGCACGGAGAAGGCCCAGAGACAGAGATCCATCTGGCCGCTGTGAACGAAAGCACAGTGCGTGTCTCTCCATACGCCACTACTTATAACTGAATTATATTTTTCAGGGATATATTGCGACTTGTTCGAGAACGAAGCTATGCCTCCATACCATCAATGCACGGTCTATTGCACAACTCGACCTCACATCCTTCAGCACTCACCTGCATTTCCCGCCGATCATGTCATTAGCATTCCACGAGCGAGAGTACTCCCACCTTGGGATTCTTGCAACAGGCTCGCCTGATGGCAAGATCACACTGAGGACCTGGAATGCTGACGCTACGCCGAAGGGAGAAAAATGCAAGTGGGAGTTTGTGACACTGAGAACTCTTCACGCAAGGAAGGCGGACCCGATCACCGCCCTAAGGTTCATTGGGTAAGTAACCCTCATCTACCTGAGACAGCCATCTTATGTTCATCTGAATTGATCCTTGACAGAGAATATCTATACCACGGTGATAGCAGCGGAAAAGTATCTTCATGGGAATTACCCGACTAACTAACGGAACGGACTGTACTCTGATTTCAGTTGGTATGTGTGGATAACGGGATGTACGATTGGTGACTTTGGATATTTTCTTGTATATATTTCTTGTACGCATGTATTGAACTGGTGGATTTTGGCCTCTGAGTTCGACATACATGAGATTGTGAGCCGTAGGCCGTGTACCTGCTCTATTCGTACACGTGAGACTGGTCGCGTTCGGCTGCTGTGAAGCGCTCACATCCTTCAACACAGTTCGAACGCCCACGAGGCCAATCACCTGCCCTCTTAATTATCATTTTCTTTAATCACCTTTTGGTCGCTGTACAACGACACGAGACTCGGTTTATCTTGAGTAGACTTACCCAGATCGGTGTGAGAGCATAGGGACGGTCCGCGGTTTCACCGAGGAGAGTACAACGGACTTCACGCTGTACGTCTCCATCTTTTCATCTCTAACTGATCGTCGTTCATGGCGAATGTGCTAGCTCGGTATGTCATACAACAGAGCAGCTGTATCATCGGAGGCGCCGTCGCGCCTCTCGAGGCGTTCGACAACAAGTGGCATTGCGAAGACGCGGACGGTGTCAAACGCATCACTTGCCAGTAACGTTAGTGGTGCGCCGACGATTACACCCCGCAACATACATGGGGACACCGTCGCGTCGAAGGGTTTCCCTGTTGCCTCCAGCGTCGCGTCCAAACGGCTAGTGTCATCGCTGCCAACCGCTCGTCGACAATCAGCACCTGTTACGGATTATGTGAACCCATCTCTATCCTCGTCCAGTCTGAACATGTCGTCTACTCCATCTCCAACCACCCGTCCCGTGCCGCGTTTGGTGCCCTCATCATACCGTACTCCACCATCAGTAGCCGGCACCGCGCGCAGTGCCCGGACCCAGTCCATGTTTGGTCCCGCGGAACCTCTGTCTCAGCTTCAAAACATGCAGACCGTCCCCACGCTCCCGGCTATGCCTCGAACGCGCACCATGTCTGTCCCGTCTCCAGCTGATAAACACAAGTCGCCAAACACCAAATCGACTGCTTCGCCGTCTATAAGCTTGACGTCTCCAAGCCCGAAAGCAAAGGGTCACACGATGGCTACACCACCGAGAAACACGCCGCCAAACGGCGCATCATCACGGACTCGGAGCATTTATGATACCCCCTCGAAAAGGTCTGCGACTATGTCTAGGACAGGGTCGACGCAGCAGCGCTCCCGTAATGGATCTGGGCAATCTGCCTTGACCGTCTCTCCGTGGTCACCGCCCAAGTTCGACCCTGGCAACTTGGATCCTTCTGCCCTCAGACTTGATGCGGATGAAGAAGACGACATGGGCGGCTCTATGTCCGTCTGGGACGGAGACGACATGACGCTGGAGATGTTGACTGATGCGGGCGACGGAGACGTAGACGAGGATTTCCAAGAAGGCTTGGATACTCTGATGTCTATTCATACAAAGAAGCTGCTGCATTACAAGCGTCTTCTCGCACGCGCGCAAGCCGCGACCGCGATGCAGCTTCATGCTCTGCAGGCCGAAGTGCGCGTCTTGCGGGAGCGGGAGCGGGAATTAGGCAATGGCGTCGTCACCGTGCAGAATGACGATGATCTTTGTGTATGCGGTGCAAGAAGCAGAAAGGGTGGGTATTGGAGCGGGTATCGTGACAATGGTCTGGACGATGACGGCGACGTTGACCTGCTCAGGGCTCTTAGGAGAGATTCTAATAGTGAGTTCAATGAGATGGAGGTGAGGAAAGCGATTAGAACGCTTAGTAGAGACGAGCGGATGCGCCTGTAAGTCTTCATAGTCTCTTCTCAGGCGTACCGGAGACTCACTTTTGACATACACAGCATTGCACTCATTCTTGACTGTGAGTTTTGCAGACAGGTCTAGTGTCGGAGTCCATGCTAAATTTTAGGTAGCTTGCATGCCCGGCGATATTCGCCTTCAAATTCTTCTGCTGGAGAAATACGCTAGATCGACCTTCGACATTATCGGCAATCTGGCGCCGGACCTTACCTTCAAGATTTTCAAATATTTCAGCGTTCCGGAACTCTTATCAGTTGAAGCTGTACGCAAATGATGATGTTTGGGTTCTCGATTCTTTTCATTTCTGATTGACCTGCAGGTTTCAAAGAAGTGGCAAGGGATAGTGCATGTACCGGCCTTGTGGAAAGCTCATTGTCTGAGAATCACTGCAACAGACCCCATACCTCTCAAGGCCCCGTCAACGTCTGCAGGATGGCAAGTGTCTTCTTCAATGTTTAATTTGTAGGTGTGTACTAATTTGGCTGGAATTGTCAGGGAGCCATTGTATCGGTCTCTACATCATCGGGAGTCTAACTTCAAAAACGCACTTCCACAGAGCATCAGGTTCCTGAATGGGCATACAAATTTCTGCACTACACTTCTTCTGCGCGGTATTTACCTCTATTGACATGCTGGGACATGCTACTCATTAACATCTGATGGAAAAAAAACATAGGCAAGCGTCTCATCAGCGGTTCTTATGACGAAACAATTCGATTCTGGGACATCGAGACTGGCGAAATGAAGCGATGCTTGCAGGTCAAGAAGCCCGTCAGCTGTGTAGACTTCTTGGCTGATGAAGGTGAGTATTGCTTTGCCTATTCTTTCTTGAATTGAATTTTGAAGCTTCGCATGATTAGAGGTCTTCGTTGTCGGCTTCCACGACGTTGGGTGAGCGGTACTCACTTTATCACTGAAATGTTTCTGATCGTGACCTACAGACGCGTCCATCTCTTCTCGTCTGTTACTTTCAACCCTCTGCAGCAACTAGCTGGGCATCTGAACGGAATTCGTGCGGTCGCCCTATCCTCCAAGAACTTGGTCTCCGCGGGAGCCGATAAAGCTCTGGTGTGTTGGGACTGGCGGGCCGGGACGAAGATCGTTCGGTTTGGCCAGCAGACGACTGTCAATATCGGTGTGCAATTGATCAGTGGTGGGTCGCCTGAAGAGGGAGAGCGTGTGGTCAGTGTGACTATCGACGGGATGGTTAGGGTGTTCTCCATCAGTGAGCGCATCTTTGCTATGATCGTGTGTCCTGGAGGTTCACTGGGCCTCGCACCTCAGAACGACGAGAGATGATCTCGCAATTCAAGTTGTCGGAATTGGGCGGTAGCGATCCTGTTTTGAATGCGAAGCTGCATCATGTTGGAATGGCACCGAACAACATGCTCCAGTAAGCCTCTGGTATACGAATCCAATCGTGGTCACTTACAAGCACACCTAGGTGGTTTGCGGCGCAAGGCACCCAGATGACTGTACGTCGAAGTTCTGAGACCCGAAATGTCTCTACCTACTGACATTGTCCCCAGTGCGCGACGAAGTCTGTTATAATGCACCTTCAATGGAACGAGACAGAGGAGCAATCAAATATGGTCACCACGTCATCAACTCACGAATCGGCTTCAAACCTCAGCGCCTCCATGTCTCGCCTCAGAACAAAGTCCTCGCTGTCATCATCCTTCTCAACGCCATCGCGCAGAATCTCGCTCAACGTCTCTACATCCTCCGCCGGGAAACCGCGCGCTAGCATGCGGACGCCAGGCACACCAATCAGTCCATTCAATAGGTCGACCACCCCGTTGTCGCCATTCTCGATTCGATTCGGGCGGGCGGCCATCTTGACGGCGCCTCCGAAGTTGATAGCAGTCGTAGAGACCCCCGACGTGGTCGTCGGGGCTGTGGACCCGAGAAAGAGGAGGGTGGTGACTGCTACGAGGTTCAGCTCGAGAGCCGGTGCCGATCGTAGGGTAGAATGGTTTACCAAGTCATACCGTCGTGATTTGCGCTGACTGCGCATCATCCTTGCCTTGTAGATATTCATGTCCACCCATCGTGACAAGCAAGTCAAACCGGCTTCAGAGGATGGAGACGATGACAGCGACGGTGGGAGCACCAAGGTGGACGACCCGCACGTCGACTTCGACACCAAGATCACGACTATCAGCGGGGCGTGGGGCATGCTGGCCGACGGGGACGCAGGCAACGGCATGAGGGGCTTGCTTGGACCGTTGCCTCCCAAGTTCACCGGACTCGCGACGCCTGAGAAGAACCCAATGTCTATGCAGTTGAGCCATGAGGAAGTCGTCGTCGGGTGTGCCGACGGCACTATCTAGTGAGTGAACTGGCTTTGGATTTCTCTCCCTCCCCCTCCCCCTCACTGATATAATGTCGCGCGATAGTGTGATGAGTTTCGTTGGATATGATTATCTGAAGCAAACAGAAGACAAATTAGCAGACTGGTCGTATGTCGGCCAAGAAACCGACTTCTGATTTGATCGCCGCTTCCGTTTTTATCCGTGTCATCCTTGTCTATGCGCTACGCTATTGATACCTTTGATGATACCTTTGACGCAACCCTTGACGCAACCCTACCGTTGTCTACCCCAGGCGCTCGTTGCCCTTTCTTCTCGGTCTTTTACACCTTTTAGTTGCAGGCAGATAGAGGGTGTGTTATTGGCTTGCCGCTCATGGTTGGACCATGCAGCGCCGTGCGAGTCTTCCAGTGTAGTTATCCGGATCACTAGAGTAATCACTGTCTTGGAAACAAGACGAATTGTGAAGAATTCTAGTGCGATGATCTGGAAAGGTCCATGTGTGTCGATTTCTACAGCTCTCCGCTATTTGGTCTCGTGGCATAAAGCACGATATCGCGACTGGCATGTACGTGCCCAAGGAAGTGCCGACACCCGGGAGTGCGCGTTTATGGAACAGTTTTAAACACATATAAAACAAGTACATGCAAACCCTCCTCTGTACCTGAAAGCGCTTGGACTACATGGTGAGCTCTTATGCGCGCATCTCGGTTGGGTTCCCTCGAAGGAAACGGTATCTCATGAACTTACGAATATGCGAAAACATCTGCAAGACTCCAGACGTGTATCTTTTTTGGAGATTGACTGGATCAATATCAGATGCGTGGGCCCGCGATACTAGCTGCTTGGGCAGTTGACTGTCACGATCCTGGGGCGAGACCGACGCGTCTGTGTTTCCCATCACGTGAGATCCACCATCGAAGCCTTGTTGATTGTCGTGATCATGAACCTCAATCACCGCTGGGTTTTCTTCCTCTCAAAGTCTCAGACGCAATGCTTGTGCCGTGCTTCGTGACTCGTTGGACCTCACGGCCTCAGCTCGCTCCTAAATATTCTTTGAGTGCTGAATTTGCTCAGTTGGACGATGCCGGCATTAGAGGTTACGCGTCTACGCCGGCTTTGACCCACTGGTGTGCGCGCCGCGCGATCCACATCGGTATCTGGATTGTTCGGCGAGGCTCATCATGATAAGTATCCCCGACCGACTGCACGACCAGTGATATGCGCAGAACGGCGAGTGCGTCATCGCGAGGCTCCTCGGCACAGACCTCATGGCCCGTGCATATGATTCTGTCATACCCTACTCGCTATGCATGGAATCGCGCTCAGCGCACTCATCCAGGTAACTTGCGGTCTGTATGCGCAGGGAACCCCTGTGTTGCCCCTTGGAATCACGAGCTAGCGTGCTAGTTTGAACGGTGTGCGTATTCTGTGTATAGCGCAATTTCCTTTTGCTCGAAGACGCGTCCCCACGGCACGCTTATTACGCGCCGGCATGTCCACCTACATACACGCGTTCTACCCTGTTTGGTGCCCAGCATTCATCTGTCCTTGACTCCTCGCCGACGTCACCCGCGGCGCATCCTGCCTATAAATGCATACACACCTACCACATCCCTCTCCATTTCTCGTCTCCCCAGTCTCCCCCTACCCTCTGCATAATCACGACGAGTAACGCGTCATGTCCCTCCAGCCAGCCCCAGAGCCACCGACCCCACTCGGGCGCTACCGTCCGCTCTCGCCGCTCGCGGGCGTGCATGTGTCGCCGCTGCAGCTCGGCGCGATGTCCATCGGCGACAAGTGGGGGCCGCTCGGCATGGGAACGATGGACAAGGCAAGCAGCTTCGAGCTCCTTGACGCCTACTTCGACGCCGGCGGCAACTTCATAGACACCTCGAGCAACTAGTGCGTACGACTGATGAATCTGCTCCGAGCGTGCGCGGGCGCGCGGAGTTTTCCTCTCTGGACCGGTTATGTCGCATCGCTTGCTTACGATGTGGCCTGGTGTGGTGTGTAGCCAAGACGAGAGCTCAGAAGAGTTCATCGGAGAGTGGATAGAGGGGCGCAAGATCCGCGAGCAAATCTTCGTTGCAACCAAGGTGCATTTGCTCTGCATCTACATCCTCCGCCTCGACGCTCACCCGCACCTCACGCCGTGCCGCGCAGTACACGACTTACTATAAACACACCGCCCCTGGGATTCAGCAGAAGATCCACTTCGTGGGCAACAACGCCAAGTCGCTGCGCAACAGCGTCGAGGCGTCGCTGCAGAAGCTGCGCACGACGTACATCGACCTGCTCTACGTGCACTGGTGGGACTGGAACACCTCCGTCGAGGAGGTCATGAACGCCCTCCACCACCTCGTCGCGAGCGGCAAGGTCCTCTACCTCGTGCGTCCTCCCGTTCTTCTTCCCGCGCTCTCGCGTCGTCGTCGTCATCTATGGGCCGCGCGCTGACGATACAATGGATCGCACGCAGGGCATTTCCGTGAGTCCCGCTTTGGCAGTCCCGATTCTCGGCTGGTCGCTCTGAACTGACTCCTGTCCGTCGGGCGCGCAAGGACACGCCGGCGTGGATCGTATCCAAGGCGAACCAGTACGCGCGCGATCACGGCAAGACCCCGTTCTGCATTTATCAGGGTCAGTGGAACGTCCTCCAGCGCTCCTTCGAACGCGAGATCATTCCCATGGCCCGCAACGAAGGTGTGTATGCATCCCTCTACTGCCCCCCTCTTCGCTGACCCCGCTCTTCCCCGTCCCACGTCCGCGCCCCCACGCGGCTCTCGTCGCGTCGCACCGCTGCACACAGGCCTTGCGCTTGCCCCATGGGACGTGCTCGCGAGCGGCAAGCTGCGCACGGACGCGGAGGAAGCGCATAGGCGCGAGACCGGCGAAAAGGGGCGCACTATGTTCGGTGGGCAGTGGGAGCGCACGGCGGACGAGCGCGCGATGAGCGCGGCGCTCGAGACCGTTGCGCACGAGCTCGGCGCGCAGAGCATCCAGGCCGGTACGTGGCGCCCTCCTCGCCTCTGCCGTAGAAGTTACACGCTGACCGCGGGGGCCGTTTCTGCGTGTGTCGATTGCAGTGGCGATCGCGTACCTGCTGCAGAAGACGCCGTACGTGTTCCCGATCGTCGGCGGGCGCAGGGTCGCGCACCTGCGCGCGAACATCGAGGCGCTCACGCTGTCGCTCTCGCGCGCCCAGATCGCGCGCATCGAGGGCGTGCTGCCGTTCGACCCCGGGTTCCCCGCGACGCTCATCGTGCGTGTCCCTTCCTCCCGCTCTCCCCACTAATGTCCCGCTCATCGCCGAATTCCCTGTTTTTTTTGTACCAATCTATTGCTGGGCGCGCGATGTTCGTTGTTTGCGGATCGCAGGGCGACGGGACGACGAAGCACTGGATGGTCCAGCTCGCCGCGCAGACGGACAAGTGGCCCCTCCCGGAGCCCATCCGGCCTGCGCAGAAGGAAGAAAATGCGCCCTCCAGCCAGCCCTCGTCCTGATGAATGGGAACGGGAGTGTCGGGAGCTTTGGAGGACGTTCACGGTCGGTTTTGAAGGGTAGAAAGTCGCGTCTCAAATTTCGCGTCCTACCTCGACCAATGATTTTTTGTATAACGAATTTCTGCGTCGATCACGAATGACAGTCGCGTCTCTCACACGTTCCTTTCATGTTCGCCTCTTGCAAAAATCGCGTGAATGAGTGATTCACCTCGTTGCCGAGATGGAAGCGCATATGGTTGGCACAGGAAAGACGTGTCCGACAGAGAGAGGCGAGAAAAGAGTTGAGTGCAGTGCTGGTTTCAATACTGAATTACGCTGACTGCTTCAACCAAGCGTTGTACTCGTGAGAGACAGACTGTGAGATGCTTCGGCAATCCTCAGGGACAATGATATTTCCACCGATGCAAAGTTGGAGATGATGCACATCCGTAAGCGGCCCATCTGGCCGGTCCCCACAAGCAGGGGTCCGCTAGCGCGGTTGTCGATCACGTGTCAAGTTGAAGGGTCGATATCAGATTCATCCGCTAGTTAGTTGTCAAGTTCGAGGAGGGGCGGATCGGGTAAGTCGCGGCTGCGCCGACGGCGCGTGTCACAGAAAGGCGTCCATCATGACCTCGAGAGCGCCCGCCAAGAGCGAGAGCGATAAGTACGGGTGTGCGCACCGTGTAGGGGGAGCCCTGCATCCGGAGCTCGAAGGCGATTTGGAGGCTGGCAGGCGCGCGCGAAGGATGGGCCTTCAGAAATTGCAGGAGCTCCGTGCAGGTGGCGCACGCCTTCTCAGGGGTGTCCATGACGCGCGGTCGCAGTTCCTTCGCGGTGTGCAGGCGATCTCGATCAGCGGCGGCACTCACCCGAGCCCGGCGGCTGGACTAAACGGCGGTCGACTCACCATGATGGCTGGTCACGAGTCCATGCGGATGTTCTCTGCAGAGTCGCTAGAAGCGAGCGGCCCAGTGGGCTAAGCATGCACAGCACAGACGGCGCGTAACATTCCATGCCTGTGCCTATACCGCTTGACGAGACTGTAACCTATTCATCGTCGGACAGGGGAAGATAGGGGAGCGGCATCGACGGTGACAATGGAGAGGATCTAGAAAGCCCTCAAGATGGCAAGCGGCGATGGCCACCTGGATCATTGGCGTACTGACCTGACGTCCGCGATCGAGATGTGGGACGAGACGGGTCGCCGGGCGACCACCATGCACGAGGAAGAGGGAGGAGGCTCACCCTTGTCCCTTGCCACTAAGCGCCGGGACGTACCCTGTTTGGCCCCCATGCGCGTCCGTCCCCATTTGAGGCTGCGTATTAGCCGCGGCGCGTTGCGCCGTGCGGACGAGTCGCTGGTGACTCACCCCGCTCGCCTCTGCCTCCGACCCTGCTTCTTACCCCGTCGCACGATGTTCGACGACGCTGCCCCGGGCGCCCAATGCCTGCCGCGCATAGCGCACTTTCTCCCGCCCCATGGCCCTCCGCCACGCTCGGAGTGGGATCTCCTCGTGGCCGTGGACCGTGCCCACCACCGTGCGTACCTCCACCGCCAAACACCGTCGCGCACGACTGACGACCGGCGCCGCTCGATGGGCAGGGACCGGCCGCGCTAGGCACCCGCCTGCGCTCTCCGGCCATGATCTCATGCGGATGTTCCCCGCAGAGTCGCCGGCGTCGGCGCGCACGCGGTGGGATCGACGCATGTGGCCCGCATCGTCGAGCGGGTATTTTGCGGACGAGGAGCGGCGCTTTTTCGCTCGGAGGGAGCGGCCGCGGCCGCGGCCAAGCGCGTACACCGAGCGCATCGTGCGCGCACGAGCTGGAGGCGGCCCGTTTAATGGTATGCCTCTGCCACCGCCTCCGAGTGGCTTGACGAGGCTGAGGGCTCATTCGGTATCGGACGGGATCACGGGAGCAGCAGGTGACGGTATCGACGGGGACGATGAAGAGGAGGACGACGTAGTCGGCGGCTTCAGAACGGATATGCCAGAAGGAGAGGGCGCCCCCCCTAGCGCGGCAACGCAGCCGAATCGTGCGCGAGACCGAAAAAGCGCTGCAACGATACACCACGCCGCGCTCGATCTCCGCAGGCCACCCCGCGTCGGAAACCGTGTGCCCGACGCAGGCCCGGGCCGTCCTGGTGCACGGTGTCCGAAAGAAACAGTAAGCGCGGTGTTACCACGTTCCGTTCCTGCGAGAGCGCTGGGGATGAGCTCCAACTTGCATCAGAGAAGGTCAGCCGGTCAGCAAGGCATTGCCGGTCCAATTCCCAGTCCGCACATCCCGTCGTACATGATCGCGGCGGGCATCCCGGTGCTGCGCGTGAACACGTGCCGAGCCTATAATACACGCATGCTGCGTGGCAAAAGGCGCGATGGGCGTGCGCCTCCAGATTTCCACGAGCTCGCGATGCGATCGCAGCAGGAGAAGGCGGCCTAGAGTGACCTGTGAGTCCTCAGCGCGGGCGCGACGCGTGCATGCATGCGAGTCAGTGGTTCCTGCGCGCGCCGCGGCACTCGCACGGACGCGACCGACCGACCGACCGATCGAGTGCGGCCGTCGTCTTCGTCGTCTACGCTCCGGCGGTGCTGCGAGCGGACGCAGGACGTGAGGTGGGGCGTCACGATCCACGTGCACTGCGCTCGCGTGAGCAATGACGTGCCTCAGTCACGGCGCACGAGGCGCGTGCGGGCGACCCACGTGACTCTGCACAAGACGAGACGACTGAGGAGCGCGGCGTCGTCATCGCCATGTCGCCCGCACGCTGCACCTCGGGATCAGGCTCGTGCGCGTGCGCGTGCTGGTCTGATGGCGCGCGACGCGCCGACGGCCGGGCTGCGAGCTGCGAGCGCGGTGTCGGTGTCTACGACTTGTCTATGTCAGTATCAGTGTTGGTGTCCCGACTCCCGCGGCGTGAACAAAAACAGGGCGGTGCGGTGCGGCGGGGTGCGGCGCCGTCTGTGCACGGTGGCCGACGCGGACGGAGCCGTACGCGAGCGCGGGGCTGCGAGGGCCGATGGTCGATGGAAGAGTTAGAAAGGATCGGTGTGTTCGAGGGGAGGGACGCGCCGAGCGAGAGTCGTCCGAATAGTAATTCAGTCGCTGGTGGTACTCCAAACAACGGCACGGAGGTCGCACTAGGATGTGTCAGCAAGCTTCGCGAGATCGTCGCCAGCGTGTGTAGCAGTGGTAGTGCGTTCTTTCTTGGCTCCTGCAATGACGAGCTAATTTCCGCTGCAGACCTCATGGCTTTTTCCCAAGCTTGTTTGGACTCGAGCGACCTGCCAGGATTGGTTGGAAGAGGGGGCTTTCGGTAGCGGAGGATGCCCGGACAGGCTCGCTCTCCCTTATCTGCCGAGTGTGCGATGGTCTGCCTGCTGCGAATCCAAATGCGAGAGAGGAAAGCACGGGCAAACGTCGAGTCGGGTTCGATTCGATTCGATCGCTCGATGGCGGGGTCGGCGAGCACGCTCCTGGCTCGCGCTGCGTCAACGCGTCGACATCTCCATTCGAAACGAGACACGCCCTGGATCCGCGCCCACTGGCGGCCCACCCAGCTCCTCGCACGTCCACCCTGGCACCTTCACTTCGCCAGACCCGTTTCGGCCGCCATTTTCGCTCTGCGCTGCTCTGCTCTGCGTTGCGTTGCGCTGCCCAGCTCCAAATAGGCGTCTGGGATCAGCGCCTCGCGCCTCGTGCACGCATACGTGCCGAACGCACGCACTGATCAGCGCCCACACACCGTACCCGCACCCGCGCGCGACGTCGCGCTGTGTCCGGGCGCTCGGGTCTCTCGGGTGTGGGAGCGGGAGCGGGCAGGCTGTCTTGCGCGTGGATCCGGATTCCGCAGGCGCATGCGCGGGCGCAGGGGGGGCTCGGGCATGGCGGTGACACCCATCGCTGGGGACGTGCTGCTTCATGCATTCATGCTTCACGCAACATGCATGTAGGGAAGTGGGCGGCGTGGGAAGGCGCGCGGGCCCGTGGACGTCGGGGTGGTGCGTGCGCTGCCGCACCCTCCGTGGTCGTCGTCGATGCCGTGCCGTCGCTACGGGACAGCCAGTCGCGTCTATATAAACGAACGTGCTGGGCGCGGCGCGGCGCTGCACTGTGCTTCTGCATCCTCGCCCGCGGCGCTGAGGCTTTCATCCACGCGCGTGCGTGCGCGCGCTGGCCACTGCATCGGTACGCGTGCGTGGATCTGTCCCATCTCGGTTTTACTAAACGCGGGTATATTGTGCGCCACACAGATTGGGCGCGGCGGGCGTGGGGCAGCAGCGGAGCAGCCGAAGAGAATGCGGGGCGCCACCGTGCGCGGATCGAATGGTGGCCTCTGCGCGTGCGCGTGCTCGCTCTGGGACACGCGCGCGGTTGGATGGGCGAGCGAGCCGGGGGTAGAGGCGCGGGCGCTGGCTGGCTCTGGGGCGCCGGTTGCATTAAGCCTGTATGGGCGCGGGAGGCAGCACATTGTGAGCGGCGCGGGGTTGCACGCGGGCGAGGGCACGGACGGGCGTGGACAGCACGTCGGATGGATTCGAGCAAGTACAGCGCCAATGCTAGCACGCCCCGCGGCAGGAGCAGGAGCAGCGGCTGCTCCACGTCCTGCCCGCATGGCAAATGCAAATGGCATTAATGTCACGCAAATCCACCTCGCTCGCTCGCGCACGGGCCTCCGCCCTCTTATTCGTCGTCCTCGCGCGGCTCCTGCTCTTCGTATCTCCCCTGCACCGCACCCCCACCTAACCCCCATCTGGCATGACGTTCGCCGTCCTCCACGCTCTCCACGCTATCATCGGCGACGCCATCCTCGACATCGAGCGCGTCTACAGGGACACGGGCACCACCCTCGCCCCCTCCGACGCCTCCTCCGTCCCTCCCTCGCCGTCCCCATCCTCGTCCCCCTCGCCGTCTCTGTCGTCCTCACAGTTCTCTGCCCAGCCTCGATCGACGTCGCCCTCTCTTCTCTCCTCGACGACCCTGGCGCCCTCCTCCGCACACACGCACATACACGCCCCCCGCCCGCGCACGGCCTCCCCCCGCCTCCCGTCCAGCCCCAATCTCCGCCCCACCCGCATCCCTAGCCCGATCCCGCGCACCCGCTCCCGCTCAAGCGCCCACGCGCACCTGCACCCGAGTCCCAATCTGAGTCGAAGCCCGAGCCCGAGCCCCAGCATCGCCGCGCCGCTTGACTTCCCCGCGCTCGACGCGCCCTGCGACCCCGCGAGCCCCGCCGAGGCGCTCACCGCCCACCCGGACGTCGCGAACGCCATCTCCCGCATCGTCGCCGCCGCCGGCCACCTCTCCGCCACCGTGCGCGCCCCTTTCCTCACCCTCTGCGACGCGAGCATGGCAGTGAGTCCCTCCCGATCGGCTTTCCCCCCTTTTTTATCACTCTATCATCATCATCATACTGTACGAGCACCACTTCTTATGGCCCATTTCCCGCCCTCGCCACACCGCCGCTCTTCCCGCGCATATACGCACCCTCTCTCCTCGTCCGCTCGCCCCCTGCGTCCGGCTCTTTTTTTTTTTTTGCTCACCTCGCGTCTTCAACATCAAATTCTGACGGATCCCGTCGTCGGCGCAGTACCACCTCCCGGCGTGCCTGCGCTTCCTCGAGGCCGCGCACATCCCAGAGCTCCTCCGTGACGCGGGCCCCGCGGGCGTGCGGGCGTCACGCATCGCGGAGCGCACGGGCGTCGACGAGACTAAGATTGGTGCGTCCGCGTTTGCCTCCATTTTTTTCTTCCATTTTTTCTTGCGCTGCAGCGTGACGTGGCAGGCGCGCTCGCTCTTGCACGCGGGTGATGCGAAAAGCGGGGGAGGAGCGGGAGCGGCGGCTTTTCCGCGATCGTGTAGATAAATCTCTGTTTTTTTCTGTCCCTCGGTCTCGGTACATATAGCCAGCAAGAAACCGCGCGCGTACTGACGAGGACGCCTGTGTTCTTCGCATAGCGCACATCCTGCGCCTGCTCGCGACGCATCACGTCGTGCAGGAGGCTGCGCCGGACGCGTTCGCCATGAACCGCGTGTCGTCGCTGCTCGATACCGGCAAGGCGTTCGACGCCATCGTCGCGTGGTGCGTGTCCGCGCTCGCTCGCTCGTCTCGCGCGTGGAAGCTCATGATATGATGTTCTTGGTCGGGGTCGTCGTGGGCTCAGGCCGGCGAAGAAATATGAAGACACGAACGGCACGGCCGCATTTGTCGCGCTCAAGTGAGTCTCCTTTGGTTTTTTACACTCCGCGATTCGTGCACCTCGAGTCTCGCGGGGCAAATACGCACGATGTCGATAAACACTGACGACGACGACGACGACGACGACGATCTAGCACGGATGAGCTCTTCAAGGCCTCGGCGTACCTCACCGATGCCCTCCTCCCCGACGCAGCGGGGCCCACGGAAGACGAGATCGCGCGTGAGACGAAGGCGGGGCCGGGGCAAGCCGAGGCTGGTCCTTCGAATCCACGTGCAGAGTCCGTCGCGCACTCGGGCTCGGCCGGAGGAGCGCCGCCCCGCATGCCCCCACGGTCACGTCTGCGCCCGCCACCCCCGCGCGCGGACCCAGCCTCGGTGCCGATGCCGGTGCCGGTAAACGCGAATCCAGACTCGAGCGCAGACGCGCCGTCGACACCGTCTCCGCGTACCCCTACAGTGCCGTCCCCGACCGCCCGCGCGCTGCGCGGCCTCCTGTCCCCGCGCCCATCCCTGGCGAGCAGCACCGCCGCAACGCACGGGTCGACGCCCAACGCGGCGTACGGTTCGCCCTCGAGCGCGCACTCGACGCCCACGTACACGCCCGCGTCAACGCCCACGCCCTCGCACGCGTCCGCGTCGATGTCGATGTCAACGTCGATGTTGTCGACGCCGCTGTCGACGATGACGACCAGCGCGACGGCCGGGCACGGACCGCACGGTGCTGGGACGCTGGCGTCGCCGGGCTCGCCGCACCGCCGCCTGCTGAGGTCGCCAAAGTCGATGGGCGCGCTGTTTGCGGGCGCGAGGGCGGACTCGAGGATGGGGGCGGGGGACGCGGCGCTGTTGATGCCGTCGGCGATGGCGTCGTCTCCGGCGTTGGCGCCATCGCCGATGTCGCCGCGCGCGTTGTGGAGGCCCAAGTCGAAGGCGAAGTTGCGCACCAAGTCGCAGGCGAGCGGAAGTGTGGGGCTGGGTGTGCAGGAGGTGGAAAAGGCGCACGTGGGCAGGGTAGGAGAGGATGAAGCGGCTGCGGCACGGAAGCGGAAGCGCGCGAGCCTGCCGCCGCATCCGCGCACGGCGTTCCACCTCTCGCAGCGGACGGACGCGCACTTCTGGGCGTGGCTCGAGGCGCCGGGGAACGAGCGGCGACTGCGGCGGTTCGGGAGCGCGATGGGGGGCAGTCGGGGGTGGGAGGAGGAGGACGGGTTCGCTTGTGAGTGGTGGACGTGTCGGCTTGGTTTGCTGTGAGCGCGCTGACCAAGTGCGCGTCTCGTTTAGCGTTCCCGTTCGACGCCCTCCCGCCAGGGTCACTGGTCGTCGACGTCGGAGGGGGGATAGGGTCGACGTCGATGCGGCTCGCGGAGGCGCACCCCGGGCTGCGGTTCGTTATCCAGGACCGAGAGGCAGTGTGTGCGTTGGGGATAGAGGTGAGTTTCGGAGTCGTCGCGCCGTGTTTTGAGCTGACGCGGTCGGCAGGCTTGGCGGGAGCGCTGCCCGGAGCTGATCGAGTCGGGGAGAGCGACGTTCCAAGGTGCGTGGGTCGCGCACGTAGACGCTGTGCTGTCTATATCAAATTATTGCGCAGTGCACGATTTCTTCACGCCGCAGCCGGTGCACGGTGCACCGCCCGCGGCGTTCATTCTGCGAGTAATCTGCCACGACTGGCCAGACGCGTTTGCGAGACGGATCCTGCTGCAGCTGAGGAAGGCGGCCAGGGACGGGGGCGAGGGCGGGCGTCCGACGTACCTGGTGCTTGGGGATCACGTGTTGCCATACGCGTGCGCGCAAGCGGAGGAGAGGAGGGGGGGCGACGACAACGGTGAGGTGGGCGGAGGTGAAGGGGCGGAGGACGAGACGGAGCTGCGTCCGCTGAGGGGCGCGCGGTGGCCGCTGCTCGCGAACATGGGCAAGGCAAGCGCGAGCGCGTATTCGATGGACCTGACAGTAAGGATTCTGCGGCTCCACCTGGTGTTTGCTTCGTATGGCTAATGGATCGAGTTTGTGCGTGCGTGCGTGCGGCGCACAGATGCAGGTCACGTTTAACGGGCTAGAGCGCACGCTGCCGGAGCTGCGCGCGCTGCTCGCGTCGGCGGGGTGGCGCATCGTGCGGGTGTCGAGGATGGAGGGGAGCCTGTTTGGGCGGCTCGTCGCGGTACCGGCGCCGATTCCGCTCGTGCGCAGGTCGGTGGTGCTGTCGGGCAGTCTGGTCGAGCCGGGAGACGGGGAGGGCCGGGTGCACAGGACCGCCGCCGCGGACGAGAGTGCCGACGACGAGGACGAGGACGAGGACGAGGTGGAGCAGGAGAGGATGGTGGCGATGGCGATGGCGTCGCGGCCGTCGACGCCTTCTTTTGGCCTGTTTGGCGCGGCGATGGAGCTCCCGCCTGTGGTGGGGCGGAGGGTCGTGTTTGAGCGCGGGGACGGGCGGGGGCAAGGGAAGGGCGGCGGAAAGGGGCTGGAGCGTAAAGGGCCGGGGGCGTGGATTCGGTGGATGAAGCGCGGTGGGCGTGCGAAGCCGTTAGCGGCAGCGGTGGGGGACGGAATGGAGGGCGAGGGCGAGGGCGAGGGCGGCGAGGAGAAGGGCGAGGAGAAAGATATGGTGGTGGTGGCGGGGTGGAAAGTGAAGCGCGTTGGCTCCGATGCCGGGGCTCAGGATGCGATCGTGGGGGGCGCGGACGAAGGGGGGCGCGGGGGCGCGGAAGAGGGGATGTTGTTGGAGGCTGCGTTGCAGGAAAGGGAGAGAGAGGGCGGGACGCGGCTGTTGAAGAAGGTGTCGCAGCTGTTTGGGGATGGGCTCAAGTCGGCGTGATCGTCGTGGCGCCGTGGACGCGGGGACTTTGGACGCGGTTCTGAGATTCGTTCGTCTCTCTCTTTCTCTCTGTCTCGAGCTCGGTTTTATTGGGATGTGTTTTAGTATATCATGCCGTGTTTTACGGTATTGTATTGTGAGATATTTTATCATGCTAGAGTCCGGCCGGTAGCGCGCCGTTGCAGGCGCGTCGGTCGGGCGGGGCGGGGGTTCCTTGCGAGGTGGGATTCTTGTGAGACGACGAGGCCAGGTGTTAATGGGTTTCTGGCCAATTGAAAGGGAAAGGTCGGGAGGGGGACGTGGGCCGTTCGTGAGCTGTGAGTCAGCGCTTGCGACGACGAGGGCGATGGGCGTGCTAGGAGAGGCGGTCCCGCCCGGCCGCTCCTCTTTGCGGGTCGTGCCAGTCGTCTTCGCGGCGAGCTGGACGACGCGGTGTATGATGGGACTCGTGGGGAGAGGCGGCATCGCGTCGGGGGTGGGAGAGGGAACGACCTGGAACGACCCTGAGTGCTAGCTGTTAGTTGCCGTTGCTGACTAATCTTGTTTACTAGGGCTGTCTCATCCGCTGCGACTTTACGCGTTACGGTTCGCAATGCTTTCCACTTTGACCGCCCTCGCCATCCCCGCTGCTATTTATCACGCTCTTAAACGCCCCGGGGTCCTCCGACTGCACAGGTGACGCGGTTTCCATCCCTATGGAGGCAGAGAATTGGACTTGGAACTCAGGCTTCGCGATGTTGGATGGACAAGTGTGTGGAAGAGGTGTCGGAAGCCTCATATGCAGTGGCGGCGATCACGGACGACGTAGGGCACGTACTTGGCTGAAAAGTCCTCAAGAGCCCAACTCTCAGCAAAATCCAATCCGGGAATTCGTCGACGAGGCTTCACGGTAGCCTGCAGCGTCAGCAATTGCGTACGCAGACGCCTGAGCTCTTCTTTGGCGGGAGTATTATCATGGACGCCGTTTTGCTCAGATTCGGAAGGAGCCGATAGCTGTTCCTCACCAGTCTCCGTCCTGAGTGTGTACTTTTGAACCACAGTTCGATGTTCAGCGCACGGCATGAGTTGTTTGAAGAGACCCTTGAGACGGGTATCGTCGCCGTGTTCTGTCTGGCCATGTCTCGGCGCCTTCGTCACGATATTTACCGTCATTTTCTTTGGACTGCAGGCTTCGAGCTCTGATGCCGTGGTGCGTGCGCTCTCCGTTCTCGACCGTCACAAGAACCCTCGGAGACGTCTCAGGGATGTGTTTGGATCGGAGGAGTTGGCAGCCATCGCGCAGAGATGTTTGCTTCAACGCATCGCCACCTGTCGGATCGCGCTCGTGAAACTCGACAAGGGTCCTCGTCGCGTACAAGGACCCTGGGCCCCTTATACAATAACTGTTGCCGTCCTCGGTAATCGCAGATCCCTGAGGTGCGTCGCTTACTCCAGCACGGCCGAGATCCACTCTTTCGTTCAACTCTCTACCGAGCGTCGAGTTGCGTGTGCTCGCTCGCCGGCGTTTCGAGGTGCTCCTCACGTAGCATCTTGCACGGGGAGTTCACAACGACGCTGGATCTTGCGTTCCTCTCTGTCCATGAGCTTTTTGTTTGCAGCTGATAATACAGGTGTGAGAATCGGTCGCTCTAGACACTACGTGTACTTACTGCTTTACATTTCACTGTTTCAGATTCCGCGTATCTCTTCAGTCTCATCCGGTCTAGATCTACATCCAGCAACAGTTATCTTCCGGTTCATTATACCGCTGTAGAGTCGGCGTGGAACGGTAAACAATGTACACTCCAAGGACATCGTCGTCTGACTTTCGAGGATTATTATCTGAATGTTATGTCTAATATGCACAGAACTACGACATTATTTATCGCTGAAAAATCGAGCGCTTAACAATGGATGGTCGAAGTCATTGCTCACAAGGTTTCCTCGCTAGTTCAAGCGAGGTCCATGTTCATACTCGGTAGTTTCCCCTGTGGTCCTGCATGTTGCTCCTTTGCGATACTCTTTACTTTCAAGTTGTTACCTGTGATTCCACTCATCTTCAACTGCTCAGCTTCAAAGAATGATCATAGGCCTTCCTCCAAAGCAGGCTCAAAGAGGAAATTTTCTTGAATTTTCACATGCACAAGTGGCCTCACTGATGCATGCCGAGAATCTGGCCGGAGGACTTGAAATTTTTTGGTTTGTGGGCACAGACACGTAGGCCAAAATAGGGAGGAGATATATTTATATTTGAGGCTTTGAAAAGATACATTATTCCAGATATTCAGCAAAAATTTGAGGCGGCAGGAGTAACGAGTGCAGACAAAGACTCGAGCACGGGATCACGTGAGTACCGGAGACCACCGTGCAACTGCTGCGTTCGATTTTTCAGCAAAAAATAGACTTATGGAGAACAGTGTCGATTTAGCAGCGCTTCGCAATGATTTAGCCAATTCATCCGCAACTTCGAAGCTTTCACCACAATTGTTGTTCGGCCCCGGTCGCCACCCGAGAGATTTAGCGGTAGAAGTACTTTCAGGTCAAGTATAAAGAGTCGAGATTCCGGCAGCAGCTGGTCGCCGGCCGGGCATCGCTTCTAGAGAAGTTCGGAAGCAAAATCACCACATTGTTTGGCGGGTTTCCGACCTTGTGCCGAGTTGGGCAACCTGCAACCACGAATCAAAGGACACCCGAGTTTTGACATGCGTGGGGACTGGTCTAGGACAAAGCTTCATCGAAGGAAGGCGAGGCCGACCGGATATCACATGGTTTGCGACATCACAGAAAATTTCGATGTACAATGGTGATCAATTTGAAGGGGTTTACTCAAGTTTTCTATGAAGGGTAATCTTTAACATATCGTGTTCAGACAAGGAGGCTGGATTGCGGACAGCATCAACGTTCCCGCAAGGATTAGGTGGACAGCGAGACACAGGAAACAGATCCCGTACGTGAGCGGAGTAAAAGGATAGCTCCATGGCTCCTCGACATCCGTGACCGACGACACAGGCATCTTGTGACAGCCGGGCCCAAAGGACGAACGAGAACCCAAAGCCGCTTAGTCAACACGCTTCCTTGTACAGGCGCCCATTTAAATCCTCGGGACTGAAGTGTTTCTTGTTCGCGTGCTTATTACTTTGACAGTTTAGTGACGTCTCCCGTTCATTTAACATGTTCTATTGCTCTCGGAATCACAGCTGTACACGGTAAGACTCCGAGATTTTCCCCCCCGTTCTCTGCCTAGATGACCCTCTCTTCAGCTTGCTGCTCGAGGTCTCTACGTCCATACGCAGTCATGCAAGCCATCCTGACCTGACCCATCTTGTACCGGAGAAAATTTCTTAAACAGTGGAACGGTCGACAAAATCGACGGAAATGCTTGCTTGTTCATGGATCCGTGCTGTTGCCGAGGCCCGAACGCAATATGATGCACGTTCCTGCATGTCCATGCCTGAAATGCTTATTCTGCGTAATCCTACCGAGGCTGCTACGGCATCACGGCGGCCGAGGTCAGGCAACTCCGAATCGAAGGATGATCTTTGGACATTGACGTAGCAGTCTGGTCGCGGTTCGCAGAAGCACCTGCTGCGAAGGGCATCCAGCCATTACTCTCCTACAAATCATGGATCTGTCGCGCTCCTGTGAGGTTCAGATGGTATGCTTGCTGTATGCGACATCATTGACTCTTTAGGATCGTCAAGTTCAAAATTTAAACGAATGTACTACCTTCTGCTTGTTGTTTGACTCGCCTTCCGATGCAGATGCGCTCCACATCGCCATGAGTCTATGGCTCTAGAACTTTAATAACTGTCTCTCACCCCAAAATTGTGCCATACGTGTCTGCTCGTCGCCTTCGAATGTCATCCTTAATGACAAGGGTGGTGAAATACACCCTGCCGTACGATCTCCGTTGTTTGAGGAGCATAGATTATCACAATGTTCAAGCTGCAGTTCGGCACTTTATCCTTCTATGGCGCAAGATAGGACCATGCCAAAAGCTGACTTCACACACGAGCATGGTTCTGGATTTTTTTTGTGCGTGGCAGCGCTGCGTATATAAAGGTCAGTGGACTCTCTCCTCCATCTTCATCCTCTGAGTTCATCGCACCTGCAAAGTCGCTATTCACTGCAACTATGTTCTCTCTCGTCAAACTCACCACCTTTGTTGCCCTCGCGTTTGGCGCCATCGCATCCGTCTCCGCTGCTCCTCAGCCCGCCGCCGCCGTGCAGGTCAAACGCCAGAGTGATGCCATCACTGCCATCTTGGCTGACTTGACCGCAGAGCTCGCACCTGCTGCTGCGCAATTGAGTTCGTCCTTTCCTTTTGCATGCCATATCTCGGTTGCTGACCGCTGTCGGAAACATCCCAGACTCCCTTAATGCGCACACTGCGACTGCAGAGAACATCACGCCTATTGTCAACAGTATCGTCAGCAGCGTGCAGAACTCACAGAGCAAGATCAGCGCGCTTCCCGCCCAAGACACCAGTGCCATCTCTGCGAACGATATAGCCTCCGGCTTGAACAGTGTCTTCCAGGTACTGTCTTCATTTTATTTCGGCTCACACAGTTAATAATGGTGCCCACGTCCATAGACCGTCCTCGTCCCTGCTGGTAACGTCATAGCACTACCTGGTGTCGACTCGGCCACCGTTGTGCCTGCCTTGTCGCCGCTTGGGTGAGCGCGTTCAGCATCATCCTGTGAACGATTGTCATTGACGAGCTTTTACAGCGGCGCTCTCGACGGCCTTCTTACCATCGTCTTAGGTCTCGTCGCCGAGCTCCTGGTCGTGGTCAAGGCTACCCTGGACACGTTACTCAGTGGCCTCGTCCATGTCCTTGTCGGCCTCAACCTCACCGGCCTTCTTGCTTCGCTTGGTCTGTAGAGTTACTTTCACAGTTTCTTCACATTCTAGGTTCGCATATTAACGCTACAAAAAAAATGAGGTCGTTCAGTTCTTCGAGATTGCTTTGTAATACCCTTAAATGATTTTCATTGTTTGATTGGTGGTGCCGAGTCATCCGCGAATTATCCCAAAGATTATAAGGACACACAAGGCCGTTGTGAATGTAATGATTTGCACACCGACGTAGACCATTCAAGCAGAACTTCTTTTTCATTTGATTTGACAATGCGAGACCGAACACTGAAGTCCATCCAATCGGCGTGATATAAAGCAATATCACGGAGTCAAAAACATAATAGAATCAGGGGGAACACAATTTTACAAGAGACCAAGGACGAGACCGAGTGTAGAAATAAGAGTGGTGAATCCAAGGTCGAAGATGACAGCAGTGAGGCCGCCCAGCAATGTGGCCAGAGTAGCCTTCACCACAAACACGAGTTCACCGACGGTAATGAGGACAGCCCCGACAAGACCGTCGAGGATAACACTGTGATGGATCATTAGTGATATTATTTATCGAGGGTATGCTGGAGGTGCGATTGCTCACCCAAGCGGCAAAAAGGCAGGAATGATGATAGCCGAGTCGACGCCGCGAATTGCCATCACGTTCTTTGCGGGTACAAGCACAGTCTACGGTAAAAGACAGTATTAGCATGAAAAATACGAACGGAGACAGACAATGAAAAGTTTCACCTGCATGACATTGTTCAAACCGGAGGCGACCTCGTCCGAAGTGACTTTATTGCCTTGAGCGGGAAGCGCTTTGATTTGAGTCATCGAGTTCTGGACACTGGTACTGATACGGCTGACAATGGGCGAGATTGTTTCCATAGTCGCATTCTTTGAGTTGAGAGAGCCTGCGAAAATGCCGACAGCAATCAGCATTTTAGATATCACAAGGGGGGGAAATCACAAACTCAGTTGCGCAGCGGACGGTGCCAGCTCTGCAGCCAAATCAGCCAGGATAGTCGTGAGGCTGCTGGTCTGGCGTTTGACCTCAGCGACGTCCGCGGGGTGTGGCGCACCACAGACAGCTGTGATCGCACCAAGCGCGATGGCAGCAACGGTGGCGAGTTTGACGAAAGAGAACATGGCTGTAATGAGTAGCTATAGAGGGAGGTGCAATGAGTCCAGAGGAATGAGAGTCAGTGTGCGACAAAATGCTGCTTTTATGCTCGAGCGCTTCAGAATTGAATGGTCGTGGCAATTGTATGAACTGTATTTGTGCGTGTAAATGATAGCGAGTCGTTTCGGCGTGGTGCCATCTTGCTCGATGGAAGCATGCAATATCGAATAGCAGCGTGGTTTCGCTTCAGAAGTGGCGGAGATCGTGCGGCAGACACATATCTTTCCCCATCCTTGTCGCTGGCATTAGTGAAATCTTTCAGGCGAAGGGCAACGCACATGGTGAAGTGTTTGAATGAGAAAGCACAGAGTTGTTCAAATTTGTAGAACCAAAAAAGCGCAATAGAGTCGTGAATGAAGTGAGGGAAGCGAGGTGCTTGGTCCACTGCCACAAATTTGGAGGTGGTGATACCGTAGTGGAAGGCTAACCTGAACGCGTCAGTATTCGGCGAAAAGACAAGAATATAACAAGAAACCTCAAGTGGATGGCTCTCACAGAGGTAACGCAGAACATCTCACGGGGAGACTGGTCAACTCACAGATTCATGGACTGTGTGTCGAGTACGTGTCTTTAGCACCCGACACATGCATCTGCTGACGTCGAATCTTCATCTGACAGAGGGCGAGGCCGACCAGATATAACTCGGCTTTCAAGATCATAGAAAATTTCTATGCACAATAGTGAGTTATTTAAATGAATTTGTTGGAGTTGCCTATGAAGGGCGATCCTTCACATATCATGTTCATCAGACGAGGAGGCTGGCCGCATTGCGACCAGATTTTCGCATAATCAAAGTTCCCACAAGGATCAGGTGGACGAAGAGACACCGGGAACAGATCTCGTACGTGGGCGGAGTAAGAGGCAGATAACATACTTAGCTGTGCGGCGTAGAAGGGGCTCTAGGGCGCCTCGACATCACTGACCACCACATAGGCGTGCCAGCGCGTGGGAATGAGGACCCTAGAACTGCTTAGTCACGCCCTTGGTACCCCAAATCGATCCTGTCGAGGTCGAGGTGAAGGCTACTTCTTGCTCGCGTCCTTGTTGCAGAATGACTGACGCCTCGACGGCCCTCTGATCAGACCATAATCATGGTCTATACATCCATACACGTAATCTGTGCCCGGTCGTCTTCAACTCAGTTCGAACTATTTGAAGAAGTTTCAAGAAGCGAAATGTTCGACGAAACTGAAGCTAATGCTTGTGGACGCACGCTCCTTGTCCATGGATACGAGCTGTTGCCGGAGGCGATGTCTTCTCGTCCCCGAATGTACTGTAATCAATGGCTCCCAAAACCAATAAATACCAGGTGACGCGGGGCCTCACAAGGTGCGTCTTGTGAGGTTGTGGACATCAACGTCCAGGTAGAATTCAGAGATCCGTCATATGATGATCATGAGAATGCTTTTCCTGCATAGTTCTAGGTTGCTACGGCATCGCAGCCGAGATCAGGCACCTTCAAATCGAAGGATACTAGTTTGGACATCGAAATACCAGTCCGGGACCAAAATAACCACACCACGGTCGTGGTGGGTAGAAGAAGCTCTTGCGCTCCAAGGATGATAGAATTTTCACCGTTGGATATTAGCTTGTGATTTTGAAACCGACGTCGCGGAGATTGACATATTCCTTCGATCTCAGCACTAACAATCAAACATTGGGGTCCATTCAACCGTTACTGCGGTATCATACAGGTATCAAACACAATTTTGAACTATAGAACGACCTCAAATAAATCTTGTACCGTGTATGTGCGTACTTAGAATGTCTGAAATCCGGTCAGATTACTTCTACACAACTCCAAGGCCGAGTGTAGCAATAAGGGTAGTGAATTTCAGATCGAGAATGACATGAACGACGCCAACGAGCAATGTGTCCAGGGTAGCCTTGACCACTACCACGAGGTCAACGACAACGCTAAAGACAGCGATGACAAGACCGTCAAGAACGACGCTGCAAACAAAAGTCACAGCGGCTCTCGGGTTCTTACTGAACGCGCTCACCCAAGCGGCAAAAAGGCAGGTCCAACCTTAGCCGAGTCAACACCAGGAAGTGCCATTACATTACTAGCAGGAGAAAGGACGGTCTAGAATATATGTCAATATTTTTTATTGTTTACAACCGAAGAAAAGGGATAACAATACCTGGAAGACACCGTTCAAACCGGAGGCTACGTCGTCTGAGGAGACGAAATTGGTGTCTTGAGTGGGAAGTGCGCTGATTTTGCTCTGCGAGCTCTGCACATTGCTAGTGATACTGCTGACGATGGGCGTGATGTTTTCTGCAGTCGCGTTGTTTGCGTCGAGGGAGCCTGCAAAAATCCCGACATCGGTCAACACCTGAGATATGGCATGCAAAAGGAAAGAACGAACTCAATTGTGCGGCGGCGGGTGCGAGCTGCGCAGTCAACTCGGCCAAAATGGCAATAAGGCTGTCGCTCTGGCGTTTGGTCTGCACGGCGGCGGCAGAGACGGCGGCAATGGCACCGAACGTGATGGTAACAAAGGTGGTAAGCTTGACGAGAGAGAACATAGTTGCAGTGAATTCGAGACTTTGCGGGTGCGATGAACTCAGAAGATAGAGATATTAAAGAGCGAGTACGCTGCCTTTGATACCCAGCGTTTTGAATAAAAAAACAGAGACAAAAACAATGAAGAAAATATCCAAAACCCACGCCCGTGCGTGGAGTGAACTTTCGGTATGATCCTATGATCTCGCTCCATGAAGGATATAATATCAAATAGTAGCAAGACCCCTCGTGGTTCTGGTTCGTGAGGTGCGGAGATCGTGCGGCAAGAAGGTGTATTTCGCCATCCTCGTCATCACGGACGACATTGGAAGGCGACGAGATACGCGTACGGTGCAACTTCGGGATGAGGTACAGTTATTGGAGCTATGCCATGATGGATTCGTGACGGTGGTGGAGTAGGACTGCGCAAAACAATCAGGAAGGCCGGTCAAATGAGAATGAGAAGACGGTGTGTTTATTCCAGTTTCAAGATAGACATGCAAGAGCGTGGTGGAATAGGCGTTCGAACGTGATAATTCTAGAAGTGTCAACGTTCCATTATACAGCATGGCCACTACGTAGAACTCACCGGGGCTGGACATCTCCTGCGAAAGACTTCCGGCGGGTACCACCTTGGAAATGTCAAGAAGGTGGACGATGTTATCTGACGACACCACAGGAACGTACCTCACGAACTGACTCTGATCAGAGGACAGGGATGAATGGCGTGCCAGAGAAGAACCGCTCCTAGCACCGCCTGTTCCGCCCCACGCATGCCCCTTACGGCTGTGGGCCTCCGTTTCATAAAAACGAGGCTGACCAGAAATAACGTCGCTTCTGAAAAGTCCCGCTCTCAACTTTCAAACTGCAAAGGACTTGCAATGGCCTATTCATATTACCCGTGAGGGACAGCACTTCACACACCATGTTGGAAATACAAAATGCCTACTTGCATTGTGCGCAGGTTTCGCACAATAAAGGTCCAGACCAGAATCGGATAGACATAGAGACCTTGAAATCAGATGACATACGTGAGCATGCGAGGCAGACGAAGATAGAGAACTTAATTCCGCGGCACAGAGGGGGCTATAGCACTCCTCCAGTGATCACCGATCAATCACTATAACATGGGTGTCGTTCACAGCGCCTCGAAGCCCTACCACCCATGCAAACATTCACGTGAGACAGTAGGATCACACGGCAGGATCCGAAACCCCTCACCGTGTATTCTCCCTCGGACACCTCGCACCTATGCTTCGCAAACCCAATCATTCTGCCCCAAACCTTGACCACCCAGGGATGTCAAGAGCCGCACGCCTCAGTGCTCCTAGATCATTCGTCCAACACTGCTCAATGACAATTCACACCTAAGTTTGAAGCAGAGAAAATTATTTGATTCATTGTAGGAAATAGCTCATGGTATCAATACGACTACGAAGCAATGATGCAATATATCAAAGCCTGATCGTCAACAGAGAGAACAATTAGTACGCGGACTATGTGAGCAGCTAGAGTACTCACAGATCTCAGAGGTGGAGGATCGAGATAACAGCCGTAAGGTTGAGGTTGAGGACAATGGGCACAATGGCGCCAATGAGGGGGAGGAGAGCGCCAAGGACATCGCCGAGGATCGAGCCAACAAGGGTGATGACGATGCTGAGCAGGCCACTAACAAGCTCGCTGAAGTGAACAAAAATCAGTCAACCGACACCACTGAGAATACTATGTGTACGAACCCAATGGGAGCAATGATGGCGAGGATGCCTGTGACATCTCCCTTCACCACGGCTACAACGTGGGCAAGCGCGGTGAAGAGGAGGCAAAGCAGACCGGCAAGGAGATTGGCAACATCCGCAAGGACCACCTTCGCCGTACCGTCGACAGTGAGGAGGATGACCTCAACGGGCTGGCCAACGAGCAAGTTCAACGCGCTAACGGTATCACTCAGGACCGCCTTAACATCCACAAGGATGGGTCCGACGGCATCAACCGTCGCGTTACCCGCAACAATGAACTCTAGGGAGGGACATGAGAATTGCTATCAGCACATTTAAGCTAAGCACTCACGGAGCTCAGCACAGAGGGGGGTCAACGCCACTTTAGCCTCAGTGAGGACCACCGCGACGCTCTTCAGCTCATGGCGATGAACCAGTGCGGGAACAGCAGGAACAACACCGTTTACGGTAGACAGGACGTCAGGGACGGCGGGAGCGCCGAGAGGCACAGCGGAAACAAACGCGCCGAACGCGAGAGCAGCGAAGGAGACGATCTTGGCGAATGAAGGCATGGCAGTAAAGAATGTAGGGTTTTAAAGAGTGAAGGGAGAGCTTGGGCGGAGAAGGAAGGGGACGGATGACAGGGAGTCGATGGGGAGCCAGACGACAGACGCGACCAGCTTTATATATAACTATTGCGCGTCCTGGTCGGATACAATGGGCCGTCGGGACTTCCGGAACATGGATTCTACGGAGGTGAACTGTGAAGGCAAGGAAGGTTCTGTAAATTTTTGACCGAGATGGCATCTTACATGTGTACGGCATATTGCGCTAGCGGGGCGGCTCAACGGTATGCTTCTATATGAGCTTAGCCGGAGCTGTTTGAGATGGCTTCCAGATAATCCTGCACCGGGCTCTAAGCAACCTTAGTTTCCTGTTATCGCTGAATGAGCTAGCCTGGAGATCTGAAGGATCAGTATTTGTTGCAGTGAGGGGACCCACCAAGAGCGCTGAGTACAAGAACATTTCTAGCTCGGAACGGAACCGCTGTTTTACGGTATGAAGCAGCCCACTTGCAGCCCCTGGCAGACCTCCCCAGACGGCGCAAGGGAAATAAGCGAACACTACACCTTCTTAATGAGGCAACCGGTTGATTCATCATCTGAAACCGGAGCCAATAGGAAGCGAGCCGACCCCACCTCGCGACGACGCTAGCCCCAAAACGAAGAGAACTACGCCAGACTACGCCGCTCACGCCTAAATGCAACGAGGCTAATTAGCAAGCTCCAAGTCGAAAAGAAGCTAGGTATTCGATTTCAATGACGCTTCTGATCGCGAGACTGTGGCGACATGCAGAAACGGAAGGAAACGGGACGGACAATCATACACTGCACGCACGAGAGTCCAAGTGACATTGAACGAGGGGGCCTGCTCTTCAAAAAAGGGATCAGGCTGAATATCAGTCAATGTAGGTCAACAGCTGACCGGCGATGATCGACCCTTCATATATGACACTTCATTTCACTGATACCAATTCCGCGACAAGCCGTCGTAGAGTGCGCCAGGACGATGGTAATTCCGTCTCGGTCCCGCAAAACTCTAGAAGGCCGCACAGATCTGACAAGCAGATGATCTCTCCATTCTGAAAGTAGACCAACTCGATCTTTCCAACCTCGAAGATCAAAGCTACTGACCTGATCGACGTTTTGGACAATGATAGTTGGTCTAAGATCTTGAGAGCCTTTCCACGCCGTCATACACCACGGCAGACCCATATGATTGTCGGTTTATGGAAGCCCTATATGAATAACGGCTACCACAAGCGATTCCATCACCGAGCTTCCAATCCGTAAAAACGTAAAGGTTGACACGTCTCAAATCAGTCGGAGCTGCCTTCGAGAGTTGATCATGTCAAGACACTCACCAAAGTTACCTGACCCAGTACCCTCACAGTCACACGCAAGGCTTGGAAGGGTCTTGACATCAACGGAACACTGCATTTCGCAAGAAACTTCGACAGCGGTGATTGTGATTCAAGGACAGCTAGTCGAAGACAGAAACCCAGTGAATATGAACAACAATAACGAACGGAGCAACATGAAGGAGGTAAGTTGAGAATGTGGCCTCTACACTTAGCGTCCTTCAACATATGTAGTAATATACGTCGATCTAGCCAAGTATTGGTGTCAGCAACTTCTCATCCTGCGCACGCACAACCGATACATACCTAACTACGGATGCTCAGAGCAACGACAGAATCGCCGGGATGATGAGCTTGAGGAAAGCAGGGAGGATATCGACGATGAGGGGTAGTAAAGCTACAATAATACTCGCGCCCGGTAGACCACTGACTGAAATGATGGCGGCTAACAGGGGCTCAATGTCCTTACTAGAACATGCATGCTCTCGTCAGATACTCCAGACTACGTGATCTATAGAGATAATCAACGTACACAAGCGACGTTATCATGTTAATGATGCTCGTGGAGTCGGTAGATCCCGAAGTAGCAAGGCTGATAGCATTGAAGATGTCGGTCAATAACCCGCCAAGGAGAGACGCGATATCGCCAATGCCGAGCGTGCTGCCTCCATCGAGGGAGGAAAGAATTGAATCGAGAGACTGGCCAGAGAGACTTGAAATTGCGGAGGTGGCGGATTTGATAAGGGTGCTAATGTCACCGACAAGTTTCTCGATGGAGGTGATATTGGCAGAGGAGAGACCAGCTAGAAATAATGTATGAATATTCCTCGCTGCTACAGAGATATAGCCACGAGACGTACAGAGGTCTTTCAGCACGGGCTCTAAAGCAGCGGTGAGGTTCCCAATGATGGCAGCAATACTACTGAGTTCATCGCGCTGATAAAGGGCTGTTTCGGGAGCTGGGGCCACATGGGCAATGATGGTGGGTGGGACGAGAACTGCAGGCACAGCTTTCTCGGCGGCTAGCACAGCAGAGGCGGAGACCAAGGTGCCGAAAGCGAAGGCAGCAATGGATGCGAGCTTGACGAATGATAGCATGGCGAGGATACGGGATTGGACTGTAAGAAAATGAGAGAACAAAGGCGAAGATCGCGTGATTGCTGCAGGGATATTACCCGGTGGAGGGAGTCCGAGGGGTGAAGTGATATCGGTGAGCATCAAGTGTTATATATCAGATCGTGAGCTGGACGGTGATTCTTCGTAGCCCTTCGCTTGGGAATAGGGACAGAACGAATAAACATGCCGTTGGAGATGTATACTCCGGTAAAATTTCAGAGTTCGTGGCTCACACTGGCTGACATCAGATCTGTAATGTGGAACATTGAATATCCTTTCTCTTCCACTGCGCCGCGACCAAACTTAAACACAGAGCATAACAGAATAGATACGGACCGGGAAGATGGACACTATGCCAACCGATAGTTCCTAAGCCAAATTTTGGCATGGCTGGTAGAGGAGATACGAAAGGATACGAAAGGATGATGTGACGAGTAAGGCACATACCTAGTTCCAATGGAGCATGATTTTGCCTTTATAACGAGTGGGGCCTGAGGTTTCGAGATTTCAGTCTTTAGGGATAAAAGAAGGTCGTGACCATTCAAAGAAGTGAGCAAAACACCCTAGGACAACCGTATCAGATTGACCCGCGTGGTCTGAGTGGTATATGTGATGGTTGAGACAAGTCCTTTGCAAGAATCAAGCCAAAAAAGGCTGCTGGAGAGGATGTCCAAGGTACAGAAGATGTACAGAGTTCGGCCGATAAATCGCAGGAATCGCGAGTTATTCCATATCGAAGAGCCTGAAAGAACATTCCCTGAGAGTCTGGTAAGCATGTCGTGCTGACGGTGTACTGCCTGGTGCGCGCGAAAAATGTCCTCAGATGATGCGGCGAAGGGTGAAGGTGAGGCATAGCCTGGCCGTGGAGGAAGAGCAGACAAAGATGCATTCGGGGCCGAGCGCGCGAAATTCATCCCGGTCAACACGGCCAAACATCATTACGTCGTTGCCACGGCCTCCAAACTGCGCGCGGTACGCTTCGTTGAAGTTCAAGCCCCATCCTGAGAACTCAACCAGCTTACACAGCTACATACGCTTCACAGAGAGTTCTGTCCCATACTCTATTACAAGCGCAATCTTTCAGGGAACCCGGAAGAGTCCAAAGACATAGCACCCTCGAAAACCCGAAGTCAGCATGTCTAGCTTACTTCCGAGTATCGAAACGTTTGCCAAGGTCAGTCCGCGGATCGTTGTCTTTGTTGCATCTGCTTCAGATACAGCAATGGGTACAACTAGTGATCGAATCAGTCTGTTTGACGTCGTCAAAATTCTACAGGGCACAGCTGCCACAGCCGCCGGTCTGTCCACGATCGGTACGTTCCTCCAAACCCTGATTCATGTGCTATTCTTGAGCATCAAGGCACGGGATTTTCAATCACAGGCATGGGGTTGCTGTATTATGGACAGAACTATCTCATCTATCCAAGTGCCTTCCCACCGGGATCTCGAGACGGTGCGCATGCTTTCCTTTATTGACTTCGCCTTCATCCTCGAAGTCTTATGCTTGTACGATGCTATTTTACCAGAAGTTCCAACACCCGCCGAATTCTCCCTTCCATATACCGACCTCGAACTCACCACATCGGATGGGGTCAAACTGAAATGCTATTTACTTCTTCAACGCCCAGATCTACATGTCCCTGGAGCGACCAAGATAGAATGGGACAGTGATGGGGATGACGAAAAGTACGATATGGTGAATCACACTTCAAAACTCGACGGTCGTTGTTCCTCGTCTATGTCTGACCCCGATCATGTCAATTTTACGCACAGTTTGCTGCAACTCGTCCGACCATTATCATGTTTCACGGGAACGGCGGAAATCATGGTCACCGAATCCCGCTCGCTAAGATATTTTTTGCGAAGATGCGCTGCAATGTTCTCATGTTGTCGTACCGCGGGTAAGTAGCCTCACTCCCCCCGCACTTTTTCCGTACCCTTTTATCCGCTCTTCGCAAATGATTAGTGCCTGCTTCTTAAGCATGTGCTCCTCGTTTCATTGACATCCTATCTAAACCCGTATTAACATTCCCGCTGGTGTACCCGTCATTGTTAGGTATGGCCGCTCAGAAGGCACACCGTCAGAGAAGGGTACGTATTTTCCTGGGTTAGGTTCGCACACTACATGACCGCAAGAAATTTTGGCCTCAGGTCTTGTGGTCGATGCCCAAACTGGGCTCGATTATGTTCTGCAACACGAAACACTGTCTAAGACCCCTATTGTATGTCATTTCGCATTTATTAACATCGTGCTCTACATTTTCTAACGTCACATTGCTCACTTTCTCACTTTGGTCCAGATCCTGTATGGCCAATCGATAGGTGGCGCAGTCGCAATCGACCTCGCTAGCAAGAACACGCAGGCAGTGAGTTTTCTACAGTCAAGAACTCTACTTTAACCGATGCCATACTCAACGAGACCTATCGATGAAGATCACTGCCATGATCTTAGAGAACACATTTATGTCTCTCCCCCGCCTCATCCCAACAGCATTCCCGATCCTCACCCCGTTCTCCTGGCTCTGCCATCAGAAATGGGAGTCATACCTGAAGGTGGGTCGCCCTTCTTCTATCACCTACTTCGTTGACATATTTCCGCCCTCCTTCCGCCCGTCGCAGGTTCCTAAAATTCCGAAATCCATCCGCGTGCTCATGCTCGGCGGCGCGATTGACGAAGTAGTTCCGCGCGCACAGATGCAGGGTCTATGGGCCCTCATCCGATCCCGCCCGTCCGTCCCACGCCCGTCCCAGTCCTCTCAGATATCCGCGGCAGATCGCGAACTTGTAGAAGAATTCCTGAAGACCGCGGCCGCAACCGCAAGCGAGCCTGAGGACACATCGGGCGGACCTCCAGTCTACGTAGACCAGGGCGACAAGTATATGGAATTTCCGGCTGGTGGACACAGTGGGTGTCTCCCTCCCTTCCCGAATTTTGCTCTTGTACATCGATGTTGATTCATGCGCTAGATGATACCTGCATTCAAGCTGGATATTGGACGGCTGTAGCCGAATTCATTGCCAGTCTCAGCCCATTGGCCGAGCTAGCAAGGGCGGAGAGAATGAAAACCGAAGCTGCAGACTACTAAGTGCTGGCTATGATATCCTTGCATCCTTACTATGTTGTTCTGGTTGGCATTTCACCTGGTGAATACGCCTTAGAGTCTTATGTTGTCCATTGTTTACAGTTTCTGTGTGTATACGATGCACCTATTGGTAGTTCTTTCGATCTTCGGACTTGCTTTTTGCGGTGCGTTCAAGTGTATTATTATGCCTTTCCTTGTGGATACACGGGTACATGATCGTATTCACCCCATGTCTTATGCAGATATTTCTACCCCTCTATCATCCGTATAATACGTTGGTTCCATGTCTGGCCTATCTTCACGGTGTACTTTGGTACGATTGACGTTCCACGTCAGTATGCTATCTTCAAGCTTCAAGCTGCAGACTTCACGATCATCGACGTCACCATCCACCTGCCAAGTAAACACCGCTTGCAGGACACAAGCGATGGTTGTCAGCTGTGTAGACACTATCTGGATCAGACACATGTCGACGACAAGCGCATTTGGCCCATCCGAACGTCCAACTGCGATATTTCATAGCCTCTTGTAGTCAGGCGCGAACATCGTTTTCAAAGCGTACATTTATAACAGAGACGGAAGGCTTCACAGCCTCACACTCAAATCACCCGCCAAAATGTGGTATCGTCAGGCGAAGGCACTTCGCGCAACATCGCTGTTTTCGGTCTCGGCATGAGGTGTCAGCCAAACATTCCCGAGTCCCCTGCCCGCGCATGAATTTCTTGTACTTTTGCACGCAATATCTAGAGGGAGTAAACTGGGAGTAATAGCCGCCGGGCGTGCTCGCGGTCACATTAACTACGTCAGATCCCCAGGAATCACGTGGTTCTCGAGCGAACTGTCTACCTTCGTTTTCCGCTGTTTTCTTCTGCTGTTTTGGATCCAGATGCACAAGGCTTGGAAGCAGCGCCGCGACACACCCTCGTACACCAGGCCGTCGCCATACATCATCAGCATGTTTCTTTGATACCTTGACTTCCATAGGAATGGAGAGACGGCGATCACTTAGAAGCGAACGACTTTGGCATACAGATAGCTTCAGGTGGACTGTTAATAGTTTGCAGCTTGAGAATGATGATTTTCATCTCAACGCGTCCGCATTGAGGTCAACATGTTCCAGAACCCTAGTCCAGGGAAGATTTGCGCCGAGATTTGAGAGCCGCGCTCACACCGCGCGCCAACATGAATGATGTGTTCCTGTCGACTGCGTGATCTCAGAGTGGAAACGAAACCCCCCAATAAGATGTCAGCCCATTCACGATATCGGCGCACCTGACTTCTTCAATATGCTTGGTATTAATCCGTGCTTGATTGGCTGCTGCGTGTTAGAGACAAAGACAGCTTGAGGAGGTCTGGTAGAGAGATTGGCTTGGTCGCTGGGGGGCATGTTGTAATCAGCCTGATATGGTCGAGGGTGCCAATGTCTGGAGCTCGAGGTGCGTATGAGATTAATGCGGGACAACAACGATAAACAGAAAAAACAAGCATAAAATCAAAAATCATATTCACGGCCCTCCATAAAGGAGTCCGTGACCAATCGAATGGTATGCAAATGCTCGTGTTCCAATAATGGCGAGGTTTTTGGGCTCGGCGGCACCAGCTGCAACCGAACATGATCCTACAAGTCGCATACTGTAAGCCAAAGGAAGGGATAGAGCGGCGCGGGTACTCGGAGGGGTGGCAAGGTTGTAAAGACTCGCCTTGATCATGAGTTTTCCTACACTGAATCCGACGTCGGTCACGTTTTTCTGGCACTTGATCTCGCCTTCCCAGTTCAGAGTCTGGTATCCATCGGCAGGCGGAACGAGCGTCGTGCTCGATGCCACATCCGGAGGAACCGGCCGCAGAGTGCCCTCGCCAATGACGAAGCTGCGAAATGCGTGATGGGATCCTACGACGGCTTCGATCTGGCGCATGAACGACACGGTGACAGTCGGTTGGGCAGAGTCGTCGAATGCCACTGCCGCTTTGGAGAGGCGGAACATGGACGGCGGGGGAGGCCTCGGATGCAGAAATGCATCGATGGATGCGGTCGGGGCGCAGAGCTGGAGGTAGAACGGCACCGTATCCGTGATTGAGTATATCCGGACCGCTGGAATAAAAAGCTGTCTTTCATTGTCAGCTACATGTGGATCGCATCGCCGCAAAGGAGAGGGGGGTGATCTCACATACCTGGCACTCGATAGGCTTCACTCCTGAATCCGCCCGCGACCGCATCGTCGACGACACTTGGTGCCACTCCTCCGGATGCGACCTGATCGTGGTCGAAAACGGAAATGGCGACGAAATGATGGGCCGGTGCGGCCTCGTACGGGGCTGGTAGGCAAACTGAACGCTCATACTGTCGACGAAGGATCTACGTGAATAAATATCAAAAAAGGCCACCGAAACAACGCGCTGCGTACCTCTTTCGCGGCTTCCACAACCCAGATCTCGTCACGTAGACGGTCAACGTATAGCAGCACTTGACATGGAGGTCACGGACACCTGGAAAGACCCCGGCGTATGTCGGCGGTAGTGGGCGTGCGCTACCGGCGTCTTGGTGCGACTGTGGAATCGCAACCTCGAACGGCAACATACTAGGGGCATGTGCGGACGAATTGGCTTGCTCCCAGATCGTAGACGATTTGCTGAGAAAAATTGAATCCTGGCTTGCTACGCCAGTAACGGTCAGGTCGAGAACACCCTGGAGCTGCGCAGTCATCGTATGAGACCGGATGGAACTGGGGAGAAGGGGGGGGGGGGGGGAAAGCCGCTCACTTTTACACTAACGCCAACGACATCTTCGGTGCTCTCCAAACCGATATCGCCACTGATGGTCGAGTTCCGACCGTACGAGGGAATTAACGCCCCATCTTCTTGACCTCGAAGGGCGAGCACAATACCGTTCTTGCTGGTTGTGAAGATTCCTGTCGGCCGCGAGCGACGAGTCCTGATGCTGGCGCGAGCGAGCTGAGTCTCGTCCGGATGTGGAACGGGCGAATAAGGAGGCGACTGAGGATACGCTGGAGGATTCGAGGACGACATTTCGAGAAGATTCTAAGAGAAAGGAAGAGGTGAAGTGCACGGAATCACGTATAAATATGAGGCCGGATTGAGCGCTCATGGTGATTCATCATCGGAAGTGCTGAAGCATAATTCTTATGATACAATGACCTGTGCTTGGAGTCAAACCGATTGAGGTATCTGGTAGCCATGATTGGTCTAGTCAGGCTTGCCTTTGACTGGCGCCAGCGCCGCATCACTGCCTTAAGAGATCGAGTCAGAACGCGGGATGACTCGACCGCAAGCTACATGCCCAAATGCACTGTACGCGAGGATGCGCGCGCCCGACATAATCTCGGTAGCGCCCCCCGCAGCGACATCTGCCGCGCTGTCGATCAGGGCCGACATATCCCAAGGCGACGCCTCATACTAAGACATACACGCGAAGGCGGTATGATCCAAAGCAGCCAAGGAGAGCGGAAGAGAGGCGTGTTCAGATGACCGTTTACCCTATGTCCGCTATGACTCCTCGTGTGATTGACCTGGACTCTGCCTAGGCCACATGTTCCTTGACTCACCTCCAAAATCTTCGATCTAGGTCATCTGCAAACCACGAACTTACAAGATATCAATTGCACCAGATTGCACCGCAGTTCAAACGAGCCCGCGCGTTCCTACGCAGCGCCCCACATCCATGTCCTTCCCGATGGCCAATTAATTGTCTTTCGCTGCGACCTTCGATGTTCGATGTTCAATATTCAAGTACAGTCGAACCAGACACACCCCTGAGTGCGGAGCTGGCCTGAAGGGCTCCAAAGGGCTTGATCATGTACCACGTTCGTCGCGCTTCGTCGCAGCAGATTGAATGGAATCACAAACCAGAATCGCACGAGGTAAGATGAGACCGTACCGCCGTAGGTCATCCACAGGTCGACTGACGCACCAGACAATAATATCCGCCAGTCAACGAGTCTGAAGAAGACTTTGTTGGACACGAGCGGCCATACACGCCTTGCGATAACAGGCAGTGTCCCCGCGGAGAACGACTGTCTCCTACTTGCGCCAAGTTGGAGCATCTGCGGCCTCTGGGAATAGCACAAGCAATCTTCTCGAGTCTTCTCAGCGGCTGAGCTGTGCGCTGTTCCTGAGGCCGGCCGCGTCCCGAGGAAGCAGCTGGAAGCAGGTTCAACTGTGACGCTCAGTAAAAACAGAAATTCAAGTGAACGTTATGCCTAGTTACGAAATTGGGCTTTTGTCATGTATCCGTCAAGAAAGCGGTGCAGAAGTTGTGTGAAAGTTGTGTCCAATTTTGGAAGTTTATCACTTTTGCATGACTCTCTGCGCCCGTATGCGACCGCGTCATTTCACCTCGGGCACAATCTGACTTACCTCTCACACCGACTCCGTTCACTAGACACTCCGAAGATATGACCACGACGCGGAGGCGCTACAAGACGCACACGCGCACACAGATAAACGAAGGTGACGCCGATGCATATAAATATTAGACAAAGATAATCTACAGAAAGCGAACATGGACGAACTACAAAGTGAACATAAAGTACAGCCCTAAGGCAAAAAACCGAGAGCGAAAGCAATACCATGATGCCACCGCCGACGCCACCACCACCACCACCTCCATTTAGTGTACACATCGCAAGGTAGCTTACAGATTATTCGACTTATGCTTCATGGAGGACAAGGATCCTCGCCTGCTCCGAGCGGGGCGTGATACTCAGCTTCAGCGTATTTGGAATCCTATACACGATTGGAAGGTGAGCACGCATATATTCAGTCACGCATTGCCTTCGTTAGCAAGCCGAACGCACCTGAACACCGAGTTATCAAATACGACCTCTGGCTCAATTGTCTGTCCGCGCTCATCAACGGCCTTTGAGATATCAAGGGTAGAAAGCATCGTCGCGAGCAGCAGCCACACTGAGGACTCGATCAGGTGTACGCCAGGGCATCGCCTACGACAGCCGACATAACACCACTGTCAAAGGCAAGCCCGCGTTGACAGGTAGAGCACAACGCACCTCCGTCCAAATCCGAATGCATAGTTCCTAGGGTCCCGTCTGCGCGCCGTGACATCATCGACCTTCTCGAGGAAACGCTCAGGGTAAAACTTCTCAGGATCAGGGTACAGTTTGGGATCCCGCAGCATTTTCCTGGACGAAATGAAAAATAGAGTTAAGAGCATCAACAGTCATAGTGACAGATTCTTAAGCTTACCAGACGTTCCCAAATACCTGGGACAGATCATAAGTATGTATGGTTCCCGAAGTCTCTATGATCAAAAAGCTTACAAGAGTGCCCTTAGGAATGAACATGCCATCAAATACATCATCCTCCATCAATCGATGGGGGAGGCCTAGAAGGACATACAAGACAGTCGACATCATTCAGTTTCTTGGAGCAATAAATGCCTGGAACATGAGACGCCTACCCAATGGCACGGGGCAGCCCCACCGCAAGCATTCTGCCCAGATGGCTTCGATGAAGGGCAAATTTGGGCGATCCTCAAATGTAGGCAAGCGAGAGGTTCCAACAACGCTGTCCAGCTCCTTCTGAGCCTTGCGCATGGATTCCGGGTTCTGTATCATTGCCAGTAAGAAGTGAGTGACGACGGTCAGTGTCTAAAAATTGCCGTCAGTTCAGAGTATAGACTTCTAATAGAAGGGTGCTGACAGTGTCAATGCTAGAAGCATACATCGAGTTGGCCGTCCACTTGATATCGAATTCCTCAAGTTCGGTGGCGAGTTTACCGTCTTCTTCAAGGAGCGTCGAACAAAACGAAGGGACCGCTGTGCCGGCTCTCTGTACGGAAAGCTCTGACATCAGTTCCGGAGAGTCCCCACAAACACGAAAACGTACGATATTGTCCTTCAATGCATTGTAGGGCATATCCACAGACTCTTCGATGACCCGCTTCCACATCGCCGCCTTGCGCTTGAAGCCTGCGCCAGGGAACCAATCCGGCAGATGCTTCACTGAATACCGCGTCAGCCTGGACACGCCGAAACACGGGCATAAACTTACGAGCCGGAACGATGTCTACCGGCCACAAGCCTCCCCCGGAGCAGATCTCATTCGCCAGCAAGTCGGTGGCGTACTCGGACTTGACGAGGTACTTGTCATTGTTGGAGCGCACCTCGAGTCCGTAGACCACGAGCAGCGTCATGCCGCCCGCGTATCTCTTGACGTTGCTGACGTAGTCTGGGTCTGCGAGGGTCCGGCGGAGGAATTGGAGAGTCTCGGTCTGGATGAGGGGGTGGTATTGCTTGATGTTATTGACGCCTAGAGCACGGGACATCAGACGTCGCTGTCGGCGTGCCTCGTCGCCGTAGCGAGTGAATGCAACCTGGGAGTCGCCCAGATAGAAGCCAGATCAGTTGAGAGGACCTCTCCGAAAGAGTTGCACGGTGTGCATACCATGTGCTCTGCACCGCATCTAGAGGCACATCTGCATGAGAAGACGGACGGAGAAGAAGGGAAAGGAAGGGGCGCTTACAGCTCGCTAACCATAACGAGCGCAGGCTTGTCCGAGTAGATTGCGCCTCGACGTTCCATTAACTCGGCGACTGCCTCCGGTGAGTTGAGGAAAACGATGCCCTGTCCGAATATATGCAAGTACACGACGTCGCCTGGAATCGGAACCAGACATCAATTAATCGAACTGTTCGCATCCGGCACAAAACTTGAGGATCGAGGAGACAGACGGACAGGTGGACTGATCCCGCCGTGCATCTCCGTGCCCTATCAATCACGGATGCACGGAGGCGCCCCATCACCTGCCGCGTGCACGACCGTTGGGGAACCGCGACTGCTCGATATGGGGCTAGATGAGCGCCTCTCTCGAGCACGATCTCGCTTTGCACGACGCATCGATCTGGCCGCCGGACATCCACTGTCGCAGATCCCTGTCATCCGTCTTCTGACGACGCCACCCTTCGGCAGCCTCTCAGAAGCCCTCAAAGTGAAACGCGCCAGGGGGAAACCTCGTCTCTCGTACGCACCGAACACCTTCGCCCACTCCGCAGCGGTCAGCCAGAACTCCTTTGCCTTCAGATCAGTGATGTTTCCCAAGAGCGGCCACGGCTTGGGTCCAGGAGGGAGCGGCAGGGACGATCCAGCCGTCTTTGACCTCCGCCAGAAGAAAAGAGCGACGAAGAGGACGGCGAGCCCGCCGTACGTAGTAAACGTCATCTCAGAATCGAAAATAATTCAGCGAGAACGAAAGGGGGCGAAGGGGGAGAGGGGGGGGCAATGAGCGAGGGAAAGCGTTGGTTGATTGTTTATAAGGGGGGAAGGGGGGGCTCGTTCGGGCAAGAAGGACCTCCTCGCTGGCGATATCGAGCGCCTGCAAGTTCCAGAAGCACACGCCAATCATGATTCATGTAAAAACACGCCTGGCACAGCGGAGACTCGGCCGGGAGTATAAAGGCAAGTGTCGTACTCGCGAAGTTCGAACCCACTCGCACGGGCTTCCAGCCTTCAAGCGCTTCAGGGGGTGGCGAGCGACCCCGGAGCCATCCCACGTGCGCTGCATAATCCGCTCCTACTAAGTTGGAATTACGGGTCCATCGACGAACGTCAACGAGACAAGTACACAAGCGTGATAGGTACATCTGGACCCGATTCCTTCTGTCAATACGTCTTTTTTCGGCCACCCGCGCACCTCGGGTCGTCACGCCTGCGCCACCGTTGCAGGTGGCACGTACTTCCCGCTTCCCTTCGCAAATATATCCTGAAGAATGCGCGCAGCAAAGCCCGCATTGAAAACGCGAGGCGTGAGCAAGACACCGCCGACGCGCATCTGATGAAGATGCGCCACTGACCTTCACGATTCCCCGCATGATCAGCCGGAGCGCCTCCCTGCTCTCCCAAAGCGGGTATAGCACGACCGAGAACGCGGAGCAGAAGCACCAGAGGATGCCGATGACCACCCACGCCGTCAGCCCGCGCACGCCGTACACAGTATGCGCGAAGAACAGCGGCAGCGGGATGACAATCAGCATGACGACCAGCTGCACCGGGCGCCCATGTCAGGCAAACGGACTACATGCAGAGGCGCGAAATAAAACTTACGAGGATGATAGACGACCACGCCGCGAACCGGAATGCCTTCTGGAGTGCGACAGGGTCCAGGTCTCCGTCGGCCTGCACGAACGGCTCCTCGTTCCTTACGGACTGCACGTCCGCGTCGCCAGCGCGCGACGGGCGCTTCTCGCTCTCGCTGTCTTTGTCATCCTTTACGACCTCGGCATCCGCTTTCTCCCCGGCCAGGCGCGGCTCGGCGCTGGGCGCATTGAGGGCGCGGGTGGCCTCGAAGTCGAAATTTTCAGGCCACTTGACGACCACACAACAATGACAGATTACAGGCGGGGAGATAGACAGGCAGCATCAGCGAGCGATGAATCGAAGCCGCGCGGATTTGGTATAAGCAAGTGCGTGTGTGGGTGCTGATAAACCGCAGAGAACTTACGATGTATGAGGTCGCGGTCGCGATGATACCACCGACCCCGATCGAGGCCAGGTTGCCTGCAAGCATCTCGTAGTCGCCTGTACAACCCAGTATACCACAAAATCCCACAGTCAGCGAACGTCTGCGCTCCAAGCGCTTGAAAGCGTAAAAGTGCCGCTGGCACCGCAGCCGCTCACGTACCGCCGGATGTCGTCACATTAATCGTCCCGCCGTTCAGCGTGCTCGTCGTGACCAGCCACGCTATGATCCCTGCACAAAACCCGACGACCGCGCCGCCGATGCAGCCCCATTTGTTTGCTTTGGACCAGGTGATGCACAGCGCGATGGGCACGACTGCGGAGCCGAGGATGACGCCCATAAATGTCTGTTGCATGTGTCAAGGAAAAACAAATGAGCACTGCGGAGAGCTCGAGGGCTGAAACACACGCACGTAGAGCCAGCCCATGGACACCCCGATATAGAAAAAAATGAGGCCTGCGACGCCCATGCACAGCGCGAAGAAGGCGACCTAAGTAGGAAGTGATGATGAAATTGGCTGTCAGATATCAAATGGTGAAAAGGTAGACCCGAAGAGACTTGCCATCGCGTGAGACACCTTCAAAACCTGCGCCTCCGTCGCATGCGGGTTGAAGTACCTCTTTCGAAAAACCCATCCAGTCAGTGACGACCCTGAAGCGTCGACTTGGACTCACCTTGTAGACATCGTACGTCAGAATCGACGACACGGCGATGAGCTCGGCAGATGCGGCCGACGTGACAGCGAGGAAAAGGAGGACGAGCAGGGCCGCGGCGCCCGATTTTCCGAGGAGCGCAGAGGCCGCGGCGGCGGCTGGGAGGCCCGCAGACACGTCTGCGGCCGTGAGCGTTTCCATGTCAGGGTCGCCTCGAAGCGCGACAGCAGCAAGCCCGAGCGTCGTGGCGGACGCAAAAGGAATCGCGAACCTTTCACCGAAATCAAAAGACCGTCAAGACCGTGATCAGCGTCGGAAGCGGAAGAGTCGAGCGAACGATAGAACGCACCATGCGAGCCCACCCAGCAGATACGCCTTGACGCAGCTCGCGGGCTTGCTCGCGATGGCGCGCTGCCAGTACGCCTGGTCCTGGAATACAGTCGCGAAGTTGCCGATGATGTTGATCACGCCGAAGATCAGCCCATTCTTCGAGCGCATCGTCATGTACGACCCGTGCGCGTTGCCGGGGACCGGGGTCGCCGCAGCAGCAGCCTCCAGAAGCTCGTGCATGCGTGCGGGCGATCCGATCTTGGGCGAGGTCGCATACACGGTGAAGATGAAGGTGAGGATGATGGCGAAGAGGACGGTCGTGTGGGTGCTGTGGGCATTTGTGAGGTGACGTCAGTGAGCAATCATGGTTGAGAAAGTGCCAACGCACTAGTCGCAAAGAAGTGTTGCACGCATGCCGCCTACAACGACGTAGATTGCGACCCCGAGAGGAATAAGGAAGCAGGCCTGGACGATATTTGTTGGACGATGTGTAGGTGACAAGACATATGTACACTTACAGCAATAGTATGCATCCCCGTCAAGTCCGTGACCGTTGCTGATCCACCCAGGATGAGCATAGACGACACGATGATGTTCGTAGCGAGTCTGGTAGCCCAACAAGCTTTCAGTTTCAGCATGACGCTCACTCGACTTTGTTCACGCACCCGAAAAACATGAAGACGAGATGAGCGAATGAGCCCCAGCGCGCGCCGACGATCTCGAGCCACGTGTGCGCGTAGGGCGCATTCAGCTTCAATTTGGCCGCCAGCTGCGCGAACAGGAGAACTTGCACCGTCGCACCTGCGCCGTACCACCACGGCCCCGAAATCCCATATTTATACGCGACGGCACTCGACTGCAACTACACGTCGCGTCGCGCACACACGCACATCAGATACAGAGTAGGGGAACTTTACAGTGATGTAACGAGACGCACGAGAGTGGCCGCCCACGTCCACGCGGAGACGATGCCGGCCGCGATGAGGCCTGGCTTGACGCTCCTCGACGCACTGCTGAACTCCTCTGAGCTTTTCGGCGAGAACGAGGTGTAACGCGTCTGGACCGCGGTGAGCACGATCATGAACGCGCTGAAGAACAAGCCGATCCCTGTCTTGCGCGGTCAGCTCCCCGCCCCGGCGTCTCCCAAAAACTGCTTAGAACGCACCGACGACTGTCATCCGTCCACGAACCCGGTAAGGATGATATTACAAGGCTGAATAAGCAGACGACGCACCGACGCCATAGCCTGCCCCCTGTGGGAGAACGGTTGCACTGGACGACATGGTGATACTTTTGCTGGAGGTTCAACGAGTCGAGGGAGACGGATGAGCGCGCATCGACGATTTTATCAACATTCTGAAACAGGATAATCGGTGGCTACGATTGGACGAGGCGCAAGGCTTATCTATGCGGGGTCGATATTCGCTAAAAAGTTAGATTCTGATGCTGCCAACTATTTCCACCTTATCGGCGAGCCTTGGAAGACGATAAGAGCATGGGATTGATATTGAAAATTCAGATAGATAGGACCTGGAATTGAAGTGCTCACAAATGACAACGCCTCGAGCTACGTAGCGAGGCCTGGATTCTGGAACCGGAGATCGTCGAGGTATCTGAAGATGCAGAAATCCCTCCTTGTGTCGATGCCGGTGGTGCTGATATCAGGGTAGTATAGACCATGACGCGGGGGTAGCAGCAGGGAGGTGGGGGACTAGCTTGGCTGGGGAGGGTTGTGAAAGTCAGGTACGGGCGGCCAACATAGGTTGTCGGCCGACTGCAACCGACGGGCTACAGCTGTTTTCGGGGGCAGCTTTGGCAGTCGCGGCATTGTCGCGGCTGTCACGCCCACTGTCTCTTGGGAGTCTGCCGCCGTTTTCGATCGTCAGCTGCGCCAGCCTATCTGCACCTACCTGCACCTACATCCATGAATATATAGCAGAATATCACAGTCAACATGGTAGTGTGTAGAAGGTGAGTGTACTTAGGCATCCCAAAGTCTCGAACGTCCTCGTGCTGAGCATCATGATTAAAGGCGAATGCAATTCCTGTCCGAGTATCTGAGGATCGTCTTCATGCAAGCGTCATGTTGTCATATCAACGGCGCGTCTTTTCGATTCATATTATGTGTTCCCGTCGACCGAGAGGTGCGTCCATTCCTTTCGACATGTTGTCTCATGATATGGTATCATACAACTCCGATCTCCGTACGTTCATTCTTGTCTCATTGTCAGAGCCCGTCTGACCGACTGCAGCTGTGGCGCACCTAGAATGACAACCAGCGTCAAGGGGATTCTTCGTGGCGCCGGCATTTGGCGCTGAAGTGCTGAAGCCGTAAGTGTGGATGCAATGCTGCGTCGACCCTTGAAGCTCAATTTTGGTGACCTCACAACCGTTGCACTCCGTTCAATCTACAGACCAGTGCGTGGACCCTCGTGGACCTCACGCGCACTATGGAGAAACTCGCGGCAAGCCCACATTCAATTTTCCATTGAAATTTAAGCTCATACATCGGATAGCCTCATCCATCGCGCCTCATGGGTTATCATAGGCTTGTCACGAGTTTACCTATGCTCCGCAACGCATTTGCGTCCATCACAAAAGCCGGTTGTCTCTTGTTAGCGCATACTCTACCGGGTGACTTTGAAGTACTTTCGGTTGCACGGTCCCGTTGCACGCTTCACACAGGAAACACAGCTCAGAACTGTTGACGTACTTGAGCCTGTCAGGCTCGGCGTTGCAATGTCAACAAAGCGGGGTCTGTTCATGGTCTCCGAGTCTCTCTTGTTGACACCACTCGTCGGCGCATTCGGTCAGGTCCGCCGTGCTCCCTCAAAACCCTGAATCATCAGACCAATAGTGGTCCACAAATATTTGCAAGGCTTGAAGCCCATGAGGTAAGACAGTCGACAGTGTTGCACGAGGTGCAGACTCTATCAGCAGCGCCTATAAGTAGACGAGTGGAGGCAGAAATATACACTACAAATACAAGGGCACGTTCCAAATCCATCAAATAGGTGTTCCCATTACTGATAGCAAATGACGAATCTATTATGTACTTACCTCCAACTCCCGATCGACGAACTCTCGAAGCAGAGCTTCTACAAATTTCGTTCTGCGCACCGTGTTTCATGGTCACGACGGCCATCATTCCACAAATAAGCTAAGTAGTCTATGCCGTACTCACCTCACACCTCTGACATTGATAATGGTATCGTTCGTCCCGAGTGTATTGTATTAGTAGAAAAACAGTTCATAGCAGCACAGTTGGCATCGATCGTAAACATCTCGTACAAGGAGCATCGCTAGGTTCATGAATCCAGAATTCATCAGTACACTACGCGGTGCGAGGTACACACATCCTCCCTGACTAGAACACCCAGGGAACCAGCGCAAATTTGACTCTCTTGGCGTACTCTTCCCAGGCGGGTCCGAACGTCTTCCGCAGCTCCCCATCCTCGACGCGAACCCTCTTCATCGTGCTGTATACTGCGAACCCGCATTTAACGACCCAGAACCCCGCGAACCACCACGCAAGAACATCAGCTGTGCTCCCCCATCCCAGCATCCCGCACTCTCTCGCCCACGACCCCCGCGCGCCGAGCATGACGGTCACGCCGACGAGCGTGAGATGCAGCCCCGTATAGCTCGGGTGCCGGATCCATGCATAAGGGCCGGAGACGACGAGCTGGTGCTTCGGCATGATGCTCACTTCGAAGGTGAAGAGCCGGCCAAGAGTAACGTAACACCACTTGCGGAGCAGCGCGCCGGCAACACAGCTGGCGACTGCCACGACGAAGAGTGTGCCGGGGATCGTGAGGGCTGTCGGTGATGACGGCGCGCGCCGGCATAGGGAGACGGCCGCGGCAGATGTAGGTGCGTACACTGTGCATAGCGTCATGACGGCATCAATGATGGCCAGCACCCAGGTGAGGCTCTGGTTGCAGCATCTCGCAGTCAGAAGAACATCCTCGGGAGCATGGGGCCCGTACGCACTTTGGTAAGGAAGCTAATGTACCGCACAACGCGATTGAATAAACTAGGTCCCGTCTGTTGTTTTGGTGGCACTGGAGGCTGTGGTGGAGATAGCGATGCGTCGACAGATGCTGCTGCAATGAGCAAGAGACCGATCTTCAGCCAAGGAGTAGTCGTTGAAATCATGGCGGTCGTGGATGTGCTAGAAAGACTGGCAGGCTGAGAGTTGGCGGCCAGGTCGAAGCAAGGCTCTGTCTTATATAACTGAGAGCTTGGAACACCGAAAATACGGTGATACGAAATTGGTATGTACGACATCGTTTAATCGTTTCTGGAAGCGTGCGGTAACCTATCGCGTAAACTCTCAGTTTGCTATGTGTGAACGGCATTCAACGGCTCGTGCTCTCGCACCGAAAATGTCAAGTCAGATAGATTTTTACTCTATATTTACATCGCAAAACATGGCCCAAGACTCGGATTGTCAAGGATATGGCTCGAAATCGGGCAATATTTCGACAACTCTCCAAGCAAATCTCCAGGATCCACAAGAGCCCACAACGCCTCCAAGTGGACCCGGCCGCGTTGGCAAGTCCTTCTAAATTTTGATGTCAGGCCTTATGAATCTTGATTACCGAAATCTACTAGTTCGTTTGCGGTCCCTTGGATCCCAGGAGGTCCCAGGCAAGCGACGTCCTGGCTGGTCTTGTGGTAATTACAAATGAGAACCTGCTGCTTCTTGTCTCCTTTCTACAAGATCTGTCACAAGAACGCACACAATTGAGCAAATGGGTCTACGATCGCATCACAGGTATCAACGATGGACACATGAAACACTGTGTGCCTTCGGTCTAGCACTCGGACATCTCCAGAGAGCGAGAGTATTTTGAGCAGTCGCCCATGACTCATACCACGAGAACTGGATGAAATCTTACCAGATGGTGACAGGAGGTGACAGGTCGGGGTGTTTCGATCAGTGAAATAACTGTTAGGTGACCGGTGATACGTGACGTGAGTGGATGATCAATGCTTCCATTTTCTGACCAACGCTCACAGCTCACAGCGCTCATAGCGATGCGAAGATATGCTTAGAACTGTCGATAGAAAGTTGTGCCATTGACGCTGAAAGAAACATTGCAATGGACACTGACTATTGACATCCACGAGTATTCGCTACTGGACTCATGTTAGGAAACTCTTCACATGTCATTGGAATACTGAGCCATTCAGATGCTCCGCAGACTTATAATAGCTACTTGGTACTTATCAGCTCTGCCATCGAGAGTAACGGGCCCCGCATTAATTTGGATGGTAATCACACTATCGATTTCGGCCCTGCTACTCCACTATTGTCTTCTGTTTAGGTCAGCATTTGGAGACCAACCCCACGCTATCTCGCTCCAATCGCATCGGGAAGTAATCAGAGAAGGGTAGTATCGTTGCACCAGAGTTGCAAACGGGATGGGAGGTTCAAAACCGAGCTCCTCGCAGCATTTTTTGACGGCGCCTTTCGAAAAAATTCACAGTTGTTCATTTAAGTACCCTTCAAGTATGCTAGTTTTTTTAAGAACAGAAACTGGGTGCAGCAGTGAGGAAGCAATGGATAATGGTTTTTAGAACAGAGTTCTCTCAAAGATGCTCAAGATCCCTCAGATCCTTGAGTTCAATTGCAAAAAAATAGGATATTGAAGATAACCAGGTACTACCAAAGACATATGGAGCATTCGATTTGACTTTGAAGACTCCAATGCTCTTCAGCGAATTGTTTTTGACGGGCAGTGTTCGATGGCAGGCAGAGTGACAAGGAGCCTCGGGCCGCGTGATGCTTGGTCATCTTTTTGAAACGCCACTTCGCAAGTCGCCCCGCAACCAGAGTTCAAATTTGAATGTGACGATGTGTGACCCGATCGTCGGAAAGATTTGCAACTCTCAAGTTTTGCTCGTTTTCGGACTCTCCTTCTCAAGCATTTTACAATAATTCTGTCCATGGACGAAAAAATACGAAAAAATAACAGGACATATTTTAAGATGTTTTCGCAAGTGAAATAAAAATTTTGAGCAAACAAAAGTATAATCCACAATGCCATGAAGAAATCTTTTTTTTGCAACTCCAGTGCAATAATAGTACATGTGTGCAAGCTATAATAAAAGAGGTCTGGTGGTGCAGGAGTTTTCCTTCCTAAGCACAAATGTGTAATGGGTGTAAAAGATTCTTCTGTGCACCAGTACAACCAAGTTTCATCAGATGGTCTGTCTTGATATTATAGATGCCTATTCTATCACTTTAGCTATAAATGCATGTGTTAAGCCGGCTAGGCTTAGTCGCGTGCACGTGATGCACTGAGAAGGGTTCCCTGGGCTGAAGCTTATTAGTTCCACGATTGACTCAAGACTTACTGAGTCCTTGACGAGGTGATAGACAGTAGAGGGCGTCGAGAGCGTTGAGACGAATCTCTTGCTTCGTCAGACTTCGTATGGTTCTTTAGATCTGACAGAGATCGCGAAGCGTGAGCTGGGAAGGCAGCCAGACGCCGGGCGCAGTGCTGAGATCAAGATGTATACAAAGTGAACGAGCTGAGGCTTCTGAGAAGCTCAGCTCCCCTATATATAGTACAGGACTATTTAGGGTGGGACGGACATATGGTCCGTGCTTCGAAACACTAAGTACTATCAACGATCGACATCAGTAAGCCGCAGTCATTGTTCGTACTCCGCGGCTCTTGGATGTAGCCAGGTATAGTAAGTAAATCCAATGTCTGTCCGCATCAATCAGAAATGAGGCACTGATCGTGATCTGCAATGGAAGGGAACCCGATCACGATCGAATCAGAAACCGAAGAGGAAGCATAGTATCGTAAGCGTTCATGCGTTAGCATGTGAATGATGATCAATCCGGAACCAAGGCGAAAGCGTTCATGCGTAAGCATGTAAATGATAAACAGTCTGAGTCCGAGCCGAAAGCGTTCAAGCCGAAGCTTGTGGATAAGTCAAGAAGAGATGCCAATGAATCACGTGCTGAGCACGTGTTAGGACGCGGTCCTAACACTACCCCCCTTTTTACACAAGTCTTCGGCGTTTGGAGTGTGCCCCGACTACTGGCGGCGGTTCGCGTGGATGGTCGACATCGTAAGTGGGGATGGAGCGAACAGGGTATCCGGTCCACATGGACGTGGTGATCATGTGTTCCAAAGCCTGTTTGTGATAGCCGTACTCCTCAGCCACTTTATCCATTTGCAGACGAAGTCGATTAGTGGCTCCACGATGTGCGTCGTAATCGCGCAGAAATTGACGCGCGGTGACGTCTGTCCGCATCCGAATGCGTGTGATTGGACAGGCTGCGAGGAAGTGTCCTTGACGTCCGCATTCCCAGCAGTAACGTTCTTCTGGTGCAGGAGGTGACCCAAGAGGAGATGGGGTGAAGGCTGGAGTTTCGGGCCAGACGTGTGCCGATGCCCGTGCTCCCTCGTGCCAATCTTCCGATACGACTGGAATCGTCCCAGGTTGAGAGGAGGACGTGTCGATAGGTTCAGCAGGGGCGGGGCCTTCTCCGACAAGGGTCGCGGATGAGGATGCATCAGGGGGTGCCGAGGGCGGCGTCGGAAGTGGTCGACGAGCCTCGCGATTCCGGATGTTCTGGTCGGAGTCGGGAGGAGGGCTCGCGGGAGGCATGGGGTCGTCTTCTTCCAGCCTTGCAACGACTGTGGTTCTTTCGGCCGAGACCGCATGTCGAAAAGACCTCGTGTTGTCCGCTTGGAGAAAACGAAGTGGCGAGGAGGGTGTGCGGGGGAGACTAGTTGTCAGCGATGACTCTTGGATTTCAGGAAGAGAGAGGATGAGGGGTGTGACGGGGGGGTGTCCAACATCTCCGGAGGGTCTCGGAGTGTTTGACTCGCAGAGGAGTTCCTCGGGTCGAGGTAAATGATACCCATCCTCGACCGTGACGTCCGATCTTGCCATGTACCAGGGTCTTTCATTGTCTGCTGGATTAGATCCTTCGGACCAGTACGCGGCGACGTGTTGCTCCCCGCGACTATTTGTGGGAAATAGTCGTTCTGGTAGTGTTCCTCCCGGCATGTATTCTTCGATGACTAGGCGTTCTCTTCCGAATCCCGTGATGCGGAACCAACGTATGGTGTTTCGTCGGAAAGGAATTCGTGCCAGAGTGTCGAGCCATTCGGCTGGAGAATGTCGGAGGAGGAGATTCATTGCGAGAGACGTATATCCGGTAGGGCGGTAGCTGATCATGTCACTGCGAAGGGCTGGGAGGTTAAAGAGCCCCTTGTTCCTGTAACTGGTGAGGGCGAGATTCGAGAGAAGAGTCATCTGGTGTCGGCTCAGTGGTCCCTGATGCACCTGATACGCTCGTGTCATCACAATCTGCTGCAAATAGAAGAAGAAATTTGCAGGATCGTCCAACCCAGATTGGTCCAGCATGATTGGAGCCTCGTCGTCGGTGAAGGTGATGTGATAAAGCACACCGACGAGATTCGGGTTCAAGTAATGAGTCAAGTCATAGATAGGGGAAGGGTAAACGGGAATGAGGACGCGGGGGGTGGTGTTGAACTGAGCAAATATTTGCCCAGCATTAGGTGTGTGGGGATCCTCGAGACGACTAGGGAGACGGGCGACGCCGATTTCGAAGTGCGGGTCGTCGACTGTGATGCCGTCAATGTGGTTGATGGAGGCGAGGGAGTCGTCAGAGTCATCGGAGTCGTTGGAGACGACTGAGACAGGGCGTAGCAGGAAAGGGGGTGACTGGGAGTGGGAACGATCGCGAGGGTAGGTTGCATGATGAAAGTCCGCCATGATGTAGCGGGGAGATTCGAGGAAGTGGAACTTGCGGATGGTCAAGGACATGTAACTTGGGGGAACTGGGTGACGGTTTTTTGTCGACGATGATCTCGTTTTTATACGAGGTCACTGGCGATGAGACAGGAGCCCTGGCAGATGGCTCCAACGAGAAAAGCAGCGAGAGAGATAGCGAGAAAGGTGGCGGTCGCGACGGCGGTGTAAACGGCGACTTCTGCTAGAGTGGGGTTCAAGGGGTTCATAGTCGTTTACCTGTCCAGGCTAAACCACGACTCGTCTGCTTTTGTAATTCTTGGTAGGCTCGTACTCGCCAATTAGGGCTGTCCGATCGTTTGTGCTGTGCCATTGATCGAGATGAGTCTAATCTGGGCTGCTGTGATCGTGTCCCTTGATCGTCGATCTTCGATTCTGTCTTTCTTGATTTTGGAAGTGCTGATGGCTTCTTGAATTGCGTCATTCGTGCTTCGAGTGGTTTCTTGATCTGGGGAACCGTGGCTCCGGTAGCTAGAAACTTCTTTTTGACGGGCTGTTCTCGAAGTTCTTCTTTGAGCTTGGTGTCCTTCTTGTCACGTTCCGCCGCTATTTCCAGAATTCCCAATGTCTTGAACTTTGCCGAGTAAAGCGTCTCCGGGATTTGGAGGCCTTGGACTCTCCTCCTGTTGCCGGCATCTTTTACGTCCTTTAGCTGGGCGGCTGCGTTTTCTTTGAGCTTGGCTGGAGTGGCCCCCTTGTCGAGGTATGATTTCCCGATGCGACGCCCTTCGAGTTTGTACTCGTCGTCCTTGAATTGTCGATTCAGCTCTCGTGCCTTTAGCTGAATTTGTCGGATGGTGTATTCTTCGTCTAGAAGTCTTCTTCCTGGCAGGTCTAACAGCGCCTTCGTGATTCGATCTTCTTCTCGTTGATCTTCTCGATCTTGTAGGATTTGGCGAGCGTCCTTTGTGGCGAGCCGTTTCCTGCCGCTAGGGGTTTTCTCGAGTTGTTTCCTGACCTGCTCTTCCTCGGCTTCTCGATTGTCTTCTAGGTCGGCCGTTAATACTCGGATGGATGCTTCCCTTCCTTTAGGCGCGGACGGGTGTCGTTTATAGAACTCTGCGACGGCTTCCTTGGCATTGGTGACGTTATCCGCCGATTCCCAAGAGTTATCCGATTCGGGATAACCCCTCCATTTGATCAGGTACTGGAGGGTCTTCCATCGTCCGAAGCGTCGGGCTCCGACGACCTTCTCGACTTCGAATTCTTCTTGCCCCGCTATTAGGTCTGGTGCTGGTTTGGGGTAGTTGGGTCCATGTGTTGCGTTCTCCTTGTAGGGCGTAAGTCGACTAGCATGGAAGACGTCGTGAATGCGCTGCCAGCTGTTCGGCAGCTTCAGCTTGAAATTGACTGTGCCTATAGTGTCAATAATCTCGAACGGCCCAAATCGTTTGGGTCTTAGTTTCTCCGATGGGTGGTCTGTGTGGATGTTCTTCCCATCTAACCATACTTGGTCTCCTTTCTTGAAAGGCGGTAACTCCGTTCCAAAACGGTCGTGCTGTATCCTCATGGCTTCGGCTGCGATTTCGAGGCTGGCTTGTGCTTCCTTCCTAGCACGTTGCAGAGCTTCAAGTCGCGCGTCGGCAGTGGGGACATTCGTGTTTCCTATAATTGCCGGATACGCCCTTGGTTGGTATCCGTGTAGAAGTTCAAATGGTGACTTCTTCGTAGCTGAGTGCTGGTGTACGTTGTGGGCATATTCCGCGTAGGGAATGAGGTCGGCCCAGTCGTCCTGTGACGAGTTGCAAAATGCCCTAAGATATTGCTCCAGTTCTTGGTTCATCCGTTCCGTGGCGCCATCGGTTTGTGGGTGATATGCTGTGCTGAGCGCCGATTTAACCCCTAGTTCCTTGAGTAGTGCTTGTGCCACTTTCGACGCGAATTGGGGTCCTCTATCCGATATGATCTTGTCGGGTAGTCCGTATCTTCTCCACGTGTGTTCCAATAGTAGTTGGGCCGTCCCGTCTGAGTCAATGTTCTTTAGACATGGTGTGATGACGGCCGTCTTTGTGAATCTGTCTGTTACCACGTGGAGTGAGTCGAACCCGTTTGACTGGGAAAGGTCTGTGATGAAATCCATGGTAATCGTTCCAAACGGTCGGTCTGGAATTTCCGTTGGCTGGAGAGGAACCATCGTCGGATGCGTGTCGTTCTTGGTAGATTGGCAGGTTGCGCATCCTTCCACGTATTGGTGGATTGTGTTCGATATTCCGGGCCAGGTGAATTCTTGCCCTACTGCTGCTAGTGTTCCTCTTTGTCCTGGGTGTCCTGCGGCTAGATTATCGTGGTTCAACTTGATGATGTCTCTGCGTAGTTGTTCGTCCTGAGGAACATAGATTTTTCCTCTGTGTAGGACGAGTCCGTCTTCCTCGTTCCATTCCTGTAGGCCTTTCTTCATGCTTCTTGGGCCTAGCTCCTGGATCTTGGCTAAGGTTTCGAGTAGCCACTTGTCCTTCTGGTTTGCTGCTATGATTCGATTCTTGAGGTCTTCGTCAATGATTGTGACGCCTCCTCGTCCTGTGGCTCTGATGTGCCATATCTCGTGGGGGTCCAGTTCGTCCTCTGTGGTGATTGTATTGACGTCTGCGAAAGGTCTTCTGCTCTTTTCCGGTGTTTGATCGAAAAGTTTGGGTTCCAAGAGCGTTTCGCCTGAATTGTCAAATTCCACCCCCTCTTTATGGTCTGGACGCCGTGACAGACCGTCGGATTTATTGGTCGTCCCCGCCTTGTGCGTTAACTTGTAGTCGAAACGCGAGAGGAATAGTGACCATCTTGCTTGTCGACGGTTCAACTTTTGACTTGATCGGAACCATTCGAGGTTCTTGTGGTCCGTCCAGACGTCTACCGGAGTCTCGGCGCCCTCCAAGTAATGTTGCCAAGCTTCGAAAGCTCGAACGACCGCTAGCAACTCTTTGTCGTAGATCGGGTAGTTGCGTTCGGTGGGTGAGAGCGACTTGGAAATGTATGCGCACGGGTGCCATTTCCCATCTGGGGCGACTTGGGATAATACTGCTCCGGTAGCGAAGTCGGATGCATCGCATTCGATGCGGAAGGGGTTCCTGGTTTCCGGCATGACGAGGACTGGAGACGAGATGAATATCTTCTTGAGTGCTTGGAATGCCTCCTCGCATGCTGTCGTCCAGTCCCAACTGCGCTCCTTCTGTGTCAACTCGAATAGCGGCCTAGCTATTTTCGAGTAATCCTTGATGAATCTGCGATAGAAGTTGCAGAATCCCAAAAACGATTGGACCTCCTTGACTTTGGTTGGTGTGGGCCAGTCCATGATACCGGCCACCTTGATTGGGTCCATTTCCAGATGTCCATGAGAGATGACGTACCCGAGATAGTCAATTTTCGTTTTGTGAAAATGACATTTCGAGGGTTGCAGGTACAAGTCGTTGTCTTGCAATATCTGTAAAACCTGTTTCATCGTCTTGATGTGTTCGTCCATGGTCTTTGAGAACACCAAAATGTCGTCCATGTAGATGGCCACTCGTCCTGCATAGATAAGGTCCTTGAAAAGCGAGTTCATCATGGTTTGGAACGTCGCCGGCGAGTTGGTGAGGCCAAAGTACATGACCAGGGGTTCATACATCCCTAGATTCGTTACGAACGCTGCCTTGTGGACATCCTTTTCGTCGATGAGGATGTTGTTGTATCCAGTGTCGATGTCCACCAGCGAGAAGTATTCCGCCTCTGTCAAGAGATCCAGTAGCTCTTGAATGATCGGGAGAGGGTACTTGTTCTTGATCGTTATTTCGTTAAGCTTCCGGTAGTCCATTACCGGCCGTAGCTTTCCATTTTTCTTCTTGATAAAGAAGAACGGGGATGCCATGTGCGACTTGGATTCCCTGATGAATCCCTTCTTGAGACTGTCGTCGATGAATTTCTTGAGTTCCTCTTGCTCCATGGGACTGAGGCTGTAAAGTTTCGGCCTGAGCGAGTGTTCCGTGTCGTCCTTGAGTTCGATCTTGTGGTCCCATGGTCGTTTGGGAGGTAGTTTCCCAGGTTTTCGACCTTCGAAAACCTTCCTATAACTCCAGTATACTTTGGGTACGATTTCCTCGAAAGATAATTCGGGTTTCCCTTTCGAGGCCTCTTCTGCCAATTTCTGTGAATTGGTGTGTTTCGTTTGCTTGCCTATCGCTGCCTTGGCAGGCTCCGCCTTGCGTGCCGGTGTATTGGCGACAGAGGTTTCCACGCGGTGGATGTCGTATCCTTCTTCGTGGTCGTTGTATAACTCCAGGGCTTCTAGTTGCCCTGTCTCCAAATACCTGACGAGGTATACTCCATCTTCGTCTAGGTCCGTGGAAGGTAGAGCCGATAGCGGTCCACCACCTTCTTGGGGCTCCTCTTCTGCCCATGTCGGCGCCGTGTAATTTCTGGCTTGGGTCCTGAGCGAGTACTCCCTGTTCGTGCCTTTGGGTTGCGACCCCCGGATTTTAGGCAATATCCGCGGATGTGGTACTGTAGTGTTTCCCACTTTCCGACCTAGCTGTCCTTTCCCTGGCTTCTGCAATGGGATTGAGTAGTCGCGCTCTCGCGGTACTGTCACCATGCGCCGTACTCCTGGTTCTTGACGTCCTGGTTTCCTAAAGGCCCTTTTTGCCTTGACTGGTCCTCCTCTGATGTCGCATGTCGGTGGGCACCTAGTGAAGTGTAGTCCATACGCGTGCCAGTCGACCTCTGGGTTGTGTTCCAATAACCAGTCGGTTCCTAAAATGACGTCCTCTTTTCCAATTTCGGCAATATAGAATCTTGCCGACTCGATGTGGGCTCCCCCTTGTTCGCCTAGGACTCGTAGTTTGAGTTCTGCGAACCTCGTGATCGGTCCTCCTTTGAATTCCGTGTTTTGGACCGTATTGACTGGGATGGGGTAGGGAGTCCTACTCGTCCTGATTCCATGCTTTTCCACAAAGTTGGGATGCATGAATATGCCTGTTGCTCCGCTGTCGACCAGAGCCTGTGTAGCAGCCTTTCGATTCTTGCCTATGAGTTCCGTCTCGATCCGAAGTGATGGTGCACCACGAGTTTTCATTTCGGAGAGATATAATGTGTCTGGATGTCCATGCTCTTGGTCAGCATTGTCACTGGCCAGAGGAGCGTACCGATTTCTTGCAAGAATCCTACTCTTCACACCCGCTGCTGGTGGAAGAGACTTTAAAAATCCTTTGATTTGCCGTAAGCGTGCGTTTCGGCGCTTTCATTTTGGTGATGCCCCATCATTGTGTCGCTGTTTCCTCCTGGTTTGTCTTCTTCCGCTTGATATTCTTCAGGCTCCTCGTCTTCCACTTCCAAGGCCCTCATAGTGCGGGGCCGTGGAATGAGTCTTCCCCGGGCAGGGGGAGGGAATTTTCTTCTGGGTCGGGAGGGGCATTCGCGTGCCATGTGCCCGGTCCTTTTGCAATAGAAGCACTTTCCTTCTTTGTAGAGCCGGTTCCTTTCTTCCGGCGTAAGTCTTTTGAAACGGATGACGTCGACATCCACCTCGGCTGCGTCCACGTCCATGGGGGCGTATTGGGATTCCCTCTCGTGACGTGGGGTTGGGGCGAAATTCGAATAGTAGTTGGTCGGGGTGAAAACTTGATACTTCCCCTGCCTAAGGTCGCGTGCGCGCATTTCTTCTATGCGCATTGTCTCGTGTCGTTTGGCCTTGGCTACTAGTTCGTCCCATGTCGCCTGTGCAGCTGGGTCTTGATAAATTCCTCGGGCCAACTCCCATTTGAGGCCCCGTAGGAAGTGCGTCTTCTTGGTCTCGAGATCAACCCCTGCTAGTTCGGCGATTTGCTCGAACAACTGGAGGTACGTGTTAAACGACTCCTTCCCTTGGTTGATCCTGGCCAGCTTGTCTCTGGCGTCTGCTGTTTTGTCGAATTCCTCGAAGTCCGTCGAGATCTTCTGACGGACTGAGGTCATGTCGGTAGTGGGTTTCCACGTGTAGTGGTCCCAATCGTCGTTCGTGTTCCTGGCCTTGGTAAAGTTCCTTGCCCATATCCCTGCTGATCCTCCTTTCATGTAGGATAAGGCGTACGCGATCTTTGTAAACTCGTCCGGGAAGTCGTGTTTCCTGGCGAGGATCATCAGGTCGATTTCGTGGAGGAACTGCTCCGTTCGTTTTCGGTTTCCATCGAAGGGAGTGGGTTTGGCCATAGCCGGTCCTTTGGACTCAGAATCTCTGGGGTTTGTCGACATTTCGTTGGACGGGGGTTGGGGATCGTCGGAAGGCTCTCCACCTATATCTGGTTCTTGAGTAGGCTCTTCTTGGGTGCTTTCGTCCGGTGAAAGAGTTTGAAAGCTTGTCTGGGAAGGGGTCTCTTGTGTCGGGGATGTGGTAGGCGTGTTTCTTTGAGAGCGTCGACTTCCACTGGCTGTTTCTCTGGGTAGATTGTAAGGGTGGTGCCTCGGTGAGGTACGATGTCGTTGTGGCGGTGATTTAGGCTTGATTCTTCTGAGCTCGTCTGCGATGATTGCGAGCTTAGTGGTCTGTAGTTCGGGTGCGGCGTGGATTTCCTTCTCGAAGAAGGGTTTCTTGTAGAATTCTTCTTTCCCGACTCCTGTGTAGAATCCGGTGAGGATTCCTCCGATGTAGAAGTGTCGGTTCTCTTCGTCACAATAGACGGTGTCTGGATCGACGTCCTCGGGTAGGTGTTCGAAGACGTAGATTGGGTTATTGTGGTACGGGCGTGGGTATCCTTTCGGTACGATTGGATCAATCTTGGATTTGTTGTAGCCGATGCGAGGCTACTCCTGTGTATACTTGTCCTAACGCTGAGTATATGATGGGGGTGCTGGGTTGATCCTGTTGGCTAAGATGTTACTGTGGTTTTTCCAGGGCAGGGAAGAGTGAGCTCGTTCAAGTGTTAAGCCGGCTAGGCTTAGTCGCGTGCACGTGATGCACTGAGAAGGGTTCCCTGGGCTGAAGCTTATTAGTTCCACGATTGACTCAAGACTTACTGAGTCCTTGACGAGGTGATAGACAGTAGAGGGCGTCGAGAGCGTTGAGACGAATCTCTTGCTTCGTCAGACTTCGTATGGTTCTTTAGATCTGACAGAGATCGCGAAGCGTGAGCTGGGAAGGCAGCCAGACGCCGGGCGCAGTGCTGAGATCAAGATGTATACAAAGTGAACGAGCTGAGGCTTCTGAGAAGCTCAGCTCCCCTATATATAGTACAGGACTATTTAGGGTGGGACGGACATATGGTCCGTGCTTCGAAACACTAAGTACTATCAACGATCGACATCAGTAAGCCGCAGTCATTGTTCGTACTCCGCGGCTCTTGGATGTAGCCAGGTATAGTAAGTAAATCCAATGTCTGTCCGCATCAATCAGAAATGAGGCACTGATCGTGATCTGCAATGGAAGGGAACCCGATCACGATCGAATCAGAAACCGAAGAGGAAGCATAGTATCGTAAGCGTTCATGCGTTAGCATGTGAATGATGATCAATCCGGAACCAAGGCGAAAGCGTTCATGCGTAAGCATGTAAATGATAAACAGTCTGAGTCCGAGCCGAAAGCGTTCAAGCCGAAGCTTGTGGATAAGTCAAGAAGAGATGCCAATGAATCACGTGCTGAGCACGTGTTAGGACGCGGTCCTAACACATGGGCAGTACAATATACATTACCTAAGGTACTAGGGCATTAATAACAAGGTCTCCAGCCTCTATGATGTAGCTGCACATGAGAAGGTATCTCAATGGCAGCTAGTATTTGAGCAGCACATAGGAACATAAGGAAATCAAAGAGTGCTAAATTTGATCTAACCTGGTAGAGAATAGCTGCAGACTTTACTCACATTTCACTTAAGAGGCCCTAAAGTATGTTTGATAAGAGAGTATGAACACATAAAAGGCATGCTCCTTCATGAATTCCAACTTCAAGGTTGGTAATTTAATGATTAAGTGTCATATGTTGATTAAGAAGTTTTTTATGTTTAAATTTATTGGACCAATCTTGCAATCTATAAAGTGGTTAAAAACATTGAATAAGAGGCTGTACATTGGTACTAAATATAAGCTGCAAGGCCTTATTTTGAGATATGCTACACTTACTAGCTAGCAAAATATTGACCTTCTTCCCTAATAGAGTCTATGGAGCTTCTTACTTGGCCAGATAATCAACTGCATAGTATAATCTTGGCCATTTGTATGGTATCCACAGCCAGTGATAGAGTGATTCTGGAGTAAGTATATCACATTGACACTAGACACATGTTTGAATATTAAAGGTAGACAGTGATATGCTTAAATGAGGATGATACACAGTCTGATATGAGCTAGCTGATTCTTGAGACAAAGGTAAGTCATAACTAACCATAATATAAATATGTCTTCAGGGAACTTCCAAGTAACAAGCTGCAATCATTAATGATGCTAGGTAAATTGGCACTGTGAGAAATCAGCAGGAGTCCTAGTACAATTGTTTCTTGAATCAGCCAGATTTTTTAAGGGAAGTGTAGTAAATGAGACATCTACAATCTTATTCTTATGGATATAATATGGTTTGTTCAAGAGCCAAGAGAGGATAAGTTATTCTGTTAGAAAATCATATTTGGTGCAAGTGACAGTGCAGAAAATGGCAGATGCTGAAATTTTTGCTTATTGATGATATTCAGGAAAGTCAAAGAGTACAGCAGTTGATGTTGAACCTCATTGTAGAGTAGTGGTCAGTGCAGCCAGAGGGCAAGAAGGGCAGCTGGATGTTTGTATGCTCAGATGTCACTGCAAACAACACTCAAGCTAAAGGTCACTCACACAGTATGCATATCTTGTCAACATGACTTCGCCACAGTTGATACGATCATGACGCTATGATATGTGTCTTTAAATGCTCACCGCATCGAAGACGAGCAAAGCGGAGTCAGACGGAGCCTTGCGAAGAGTGTGCGACGATGTGATATGTGGTGACTGTCACGTCACACAGCCTCTTCTTGGCCCATGCTGAGTGCCAACAATCTCATACAGGTTTTGGTCCGAACCCAATCAATGCATCTCTGATCTGTCTGCGATCTTCAAGGGTCGGCACGACCACAACTGGTGTGCGTCGTTGTGTGAAAGCGCTTCGCAACCGACATGCCCAAGTTTTGGAAATATCTCAAGAAGACATCGGAGAAGGTAAGTAAGGTCGATTGACTCGCGATTCCTCATAGACACCGCAAACGCTTTCACGTCCTGCAATAGCCTGCACCAGCTTCCATCAGCATCAGCCCATCAACCAGCATCAGCACGCCAACTAGCATCGACAATCCAACCGGAATTCTCACCAATGGGTGGACAATATTTGTACAGTCCTTGCGCTTGTTCGAGAAAACGCTTGAAAGCGTTCCTGCTCCTGGACTCAAAGCGGTGGTGGGAGCGGTGATTTTTGTGTGTGACAATATCAACGTGCGTCTGTTGTTAGCCAAATCAGCACTCTTCGACTGAGAGCTTCGTAGCTCGCGGATCAGAATCAGGACGACTTTGAAGAAATTGCTCGGAGTATCTCTCAGCTACAGAAACTATTCGTGGAATTTCATGAAACAAAGGGCCTCCCAGAAGCAGCGATTCCTCATGTGAGATCCTTGTTAGTGTGAGCATCTTACCAATTCATTCGCCTCTTTTTTTAATACAAATGTTGATTTCTTTCATCAACATCAGAGACTTCGAAAATTTAAAAACCAGCCTCGAAGCCCTCCAGAAGCGCAACAGATTCCAGAAGGTCACTGATAGCTCCAACGATGCGCAAAAGATCATCGCTATCTTTCGAAAACTAAAGTTCTCATTGAACTACATCACCGTGAGTTGTCATTGATCTCGTCTTAAGGTGAAGAACAACGAGTATTGTTTCAGATTCAGTTGACGGTTGACATCGCACATTCAGTTGAGGTGAGTCTGCGAGGTCTGGAAACTCGATTCATGCTTACGGATCTTCCTCTACGTAAACAGGTCATACGTAGAACAGGTCCGGTTGTTATTGATCTCGATTGAGGCATGAGGCTGACCTGCCTCTAGTGCTTTTGACTAATATCCGCCGGTCGAGGGATGCCGCATGGAACGCAGATCTCTCTGGGTGTCTTGAAGGCACGCGAGTTGATACTCTGGCCAAAATTCGTCTCTGGATCTTCTCAGAGGGCGCTCCTCACATCTTTTGGCTGAATGGGGTTGCCGGCACCGGAAAATCTGCCATCGCTCGCACGGTTGCTGCGACCATGGCTGATCATAAGCACCTCGGCGCTAGCTTCTTTTGCTCTCGCGACTCCGCTGAACGACGGGATATCCGGCTCGTTATTCCCACCATTGCATTCCAACTCTGTCACTCGTATTCTCAGTTCTTTTTAGCTGTCAAACATGCATTGGAGCATGATGTGGATATCGCATATCGCTCATTAAACGACCAATTGCAAAAGTTGCTGATTGATCCTCTGAAAGACATGAGCCCAATGGTCCATCCTCTCGTGATCATAATCGATGCTTTAGACGAGTGCGACGATAGACATGCGGTGCTCCAATTACTTGACCTTCTGGCCATGCATGCGCCGTCTTTGTCGGGTATCAAGTTGTTCGTAACGAGCAGGCCAGAATCCGAGATGCGAACCGGCTTCACGAAGCTGGGATCCCTGCACGAGAAGATCGTCCTTCACGATCTGGACCAAGAAGTTGTCAGTTCGGATATCAAGAAATACCTGAATCACGAGTTCGGGAGACTAGACGAGGGCGCATGGTTAGCCCCAGAAGACAAAGTCGATCTTTTAGTTCAGCAATGTGGTGGGCTGTTCATCTACGCATTTACAGCCTATCATTGGATCGAGCGCAACATCGACAAGTCAGAGGGCTTGATCGATTTTCTCTCTCACAACCCGCAGGTGGACTCAGCAGCCGATATCAATACCTTGTATACCCAGATCCTTACAGACGCCTTTCAGCGGCGAAAAGTAGCGGATAAACAGAGAATGCGCTCAATCCTTGGCGCGATCTTACTTGCTTTTCACCCGCTGAAACTCCATTCTATCTCACGCATATTGGACGTTCCAGAGCCCCACCTTCGCGAGTCGCTCTCGCAGCTGCACTCAGTGCTTCTCGTCCCCGCCCACGCTGATGGAGTTGTTCGAATATTCCATGCATCCCTTTCTGACTACATCACTGGAGAGAGTGCGTCGGTCCACGAATTTTTCATTGACATTGCAGAGCATCACCAGATGATGACCCAGAAGTGTCTCGGCGTCCTAGACAAGGAGCTCAGCCAAAATGCTACTCCGAGGCTCAGCGGAGAGAGCGCCACGCCAGCATCTAGCCAGCGCACCTACACATCCGATGAACTCCGCTACGCGTGTGCCTACTGGGCCGACCACCTATCTCTTTCTAAACCCTGCTCTGACGACGAGAACTCGAAGCGTTTAGCGCAAGCGATAGAAAATTTTTTGACGACACATCTTCTACACTGGTTTGAATGCATGAGCGTCCTCGGCACGCTTGGCTCAGCGATTCCTTGCCTCGACAAGGTGGAGAAATGGACGCCGGTAAGAGTTCTCGTCCGCCCAGGCGTCTGATCGCTGTGCTGACTCTAATCTTGAATCATCTCTCGATGGGTCTATCAAGGAGGAAGACGTGCAAATGCACCGTATCTTGCGGGACTCGCAACGGTTCATTGTTCAGTTCTTCCATCTCATATCCCCGTCCCCAATGGACATGTACGGCCCTGGAACGTGGACTTCCACCCAGAGCGCCATCAGGAATTTATACATGTAGCTGCAAAGCCTTTGAGTCTACGCAACGAGCACTAACTTCCGGCAATGAGAAATCTTAATTTGAAAGGTCTCGCACAACAGCAGCTGAGTTACAGGGTGTTAGAATTAGTCTGCCGAGTTCAGGATCTGCGAATCGTTCCCTCTAGCCCCAACATCGACAACCACAGTCTAGTGCTCGCTCAAGATGATCCGAGCTTTAAGTCTCGAATGTCGGTAATGGTCAGATGTTCTCAATGTGTGGCCTTATGGCGCTCATCTTCGACGGAATTGCGCTATGGGTAGCAGTGGCTATCTTGGTGCTTGCCGGCATGCATATCACTGTGAGACCCTCCATACAATCTCAGTACGGATGAGATGGCTATGATGTCATGATTGTTACAGGGACTCGACCGATGCTATAAAAACCGTGCCGCACGAGCCCAAGTTGAATGCTTCCTCCCTACGTACTCTCACACCTCTTCCTCTGTCTTATCTCCCACAGCAAAGCCGCTAAAGCCCTTTGATATCCAGGGTCTTTTTTCCAAACGAGCTGGAATGCCTGCTATCTCCTTACCCTCAGTCCCGCATTGGACACCAGCGCCTCCCACTAACGCTGATCGTAAGCACATTATTTAATCGCTCTATTCACGGTCACCACTGATCTTCGTCATCATCGAGTCGAATGGGCTGAGTTGGAAACAATCGATCTGGCGAAAGCGAGATCACCTGAAGGAAGGGCCGAGTGGGCCATCAAAGTTCGGGATGCTATGCACAAGCAGGGTTTTCTCTATGTCGTGAACCATGGGTTGGAGAAACAACAAGTAAGGGTGTTACATGATGACCATGGACAGTCGGCGTCTAATTACGGAGTGCCTTTTTTAAGGCTGAACGTATCTTCGATATCGCTGCCGTACCATTCCTTCAGGTCCAACCAGAGGAAAAGAAATTGTATGAGGCGAAAATCAAAGAGACAGGCACGTTCATGGGATACAAGCCACTTCAGTACTGGGTCAGTATACTTTTAATGTGGGTATCTCATGATACATGAGCTGGGTTGATCCCTGGCTCGAATGCGCACAGCACATCGCGAACGGGGTCAGAGATCGAATTGAGCACTATAACCGTCAGTAGAGGCTGTCTGGCTCTATCGCTATATGCTTATGAGGGGATAGTCAACCGGAACGTCTACCTCAAGGAGCACCCGACCGCTGTGCGCCCCCTCTTACCAGAAATACAGTCGTTTATTCGATTCAACCATATCGAGGTAGTGCAAGAACTCGCTCGGTGAGTCGCGTATCTCTTGTGAGTAACGCAAAGCCCGATCCTTTGCCTGATCCAGCTTGTTGGCGCTTGGGCTCGAACTGCCAGAGGATGCCCTAGTTCAGAAACTCAGCTACGAAGACAAAAACAATGCATATTGTAAGTTTCCCCTGAATTACATCCCGGGCGGTGTCGCGATAACAGAACTTGAATCAGGCCGTTTTATGATGTAGTAAGGCATTATTTTCCAGGGTGCTCACTGAGTCTGAGTCTGATTTGCTCATCTTGGAGTCACCCACGACCTGAAGAGGAGGAAGTGAAGACGGATCAGGTCTGGCTCAAGGGCCACCCAGGTTGACAGCAAAGCTCTCATTATTCATTGACATTTTCTAAGCACTTCTCTAGATCAAACTCTCATGTCCGTCCTCTGGAGTCAGCCAGTCTCTGCTCTTCAGATCCGCGACAGCGACGGAAAATGGCGCTGGGTTAAGCACGTTGAAAATGCCCTTGTTCGTGGCCTTCATTGTTCATATCCAAGCGTGGATCGGTGACCCAAGGCCATGATCGCGTGCAGGTTGTGAATTGTGGCGACAGCCTTGACATGCTCTCCGGCGCATACTACAAGTCAGCGATCCACCGCGTCATCCGGCCACCGGAAGACCAGCGAGGCCACAACCGACTCGGCGTTTTCTACTTCTGCTACGCGGACGACGACGTCCAGTTAGAACCTCTTATAGACAGCCCTGTCCTCCAGCGCGTCGGGATCACACGGCGCGTCCCAGAAGGCAAGGCGCCCTTCATGGAGGCGTGGAGGAAGGCGCGAACTGCCGCCTATGGTACCTCGGATCTGAAGAAAGGTCTAGAAGACGTTGAGGAGGAGATTCTGGAAGGAATTCGTGTAAAGCACTACAACTGAATTTGTACTTATTGTTTGATGACTGCTTTGCCTGAGATTACATGGTATGTCTTATGAATCACACGACTACATGCAGCTGATGCCACGAAGTATGTGGTTGTCACTTTTGCATTGTCTTGAGGACGACCGTTAGGAGCGAGAATAAGAGTGAGTGACAATGGCAGCGCGCAGGTTTGCACTTTGGGACAGGAGCTATGCACGAGGAGCTCAGAGTCTGATGACGAAGAGACACCTTCAAGAACCTCATGAGCTCTGCACAGACGATGCATTCCATCTCGGGAGAGACGATGTTAAATGGCTGCATACTACATGGCGACACGTATTTGATCATTCTATCTGAGCCTGACAAGATGTTAGGTAACGCACTTGAATCCTGCGTCGAGTCTCTTTGCTTAGACCATGTATCATCACAGGCGAGCATATAGGTCGCCAACAGGGCCGCAGCGTGGACACTGCCCGAGGTTTTGCGCCAACCAGTGGATTTTGGACGTCTCGCACTGATGGGGACCGGGTGCAGTGCTGAAGCATGTTAGTCGCTGAATTGAAAAAGTACAAGCAACGGTGGCGCGAGGACGTACCAAGGCTCCGCACTGCGTTTCTCCACATTTCGGCGACGATGCCGTGCTAGAATGGGTGTTTCGTGGGGCTGGGAGCGAGGGAGGTGATAGAAATGGGTCGGTGGAGATTCATCGTAATCAGCAAACGAATGTCGAGTGCATCGAAGTGGATGATCTACGTCGAGATTCTGGGCCTGATGGGTCCAAACCCAGAGCACAATAGATTTTGCCACAATCTGGTCGTGACCCCAGGTCAAATTTGAAATGGATCTAGCCGCCTCACGGAATATAAAACCGCATCTCATCGTGCTCCTTCCTCACCTCTCTTTCCTCTTCCACCATCATCTCTCTCGCTTACGTTCGATACATCTGCAGGCGACCTCCTCTCATCTTGGGCACAATTGACTCGACCTCAGGCAATATTCTCAACACTTGAAGCTTGAAGACCTCAGTGGCGCAAGGTTCGAAACGAGTGGGCCACACCGGTATCGTCAACTTCGACAAGGACAAATCCTTCGACAACATGGCTCGACAACATCCAGCGCTCTCGCAATCATCAGTCCTTCAACCTACGAGGCCTCGGGAAAGGCGTGACAATCTTGGGCGACAAGGGCAAGTCATGCCACACCTGGTTGGCATCGATGTTGACGAGATCTTGCATAGGATTCATTGACCGTCGATGGCAAGATCTTCAAGAATGAAAGGTAAGTAGCTCGCTCGTGTATCTCTTCTGGCGAGATATTGATAAGGTCCGTCAAGACCAAGGCTCATTAACGACAAGTTATTCACAACGCCACTCACCGTCAAGTATACAAGATTCAATGCTCAAATTTAAGCTCGTCCAGACGACAAGACTGTAATCAAGGTCCGGGATCGACTGTGTGAATGTGTGATCTAGGCGGGCCACATCAGGGTTCAACATGGTGAGCTGCTGGCGTGTCTGTACTGTGACGATGATGAGATGTTCAACAGAATGGAGTTTAGCAACAGTCTTCAACGTCAAAGCATTCACCCTCAAGATTCACTCATCGGCAATGGTGAGTCGCTCGATGAGATGTTCAACAGAATGGAGTTTAGCAACAGTCTTCAACGTCAAAGCATTCACCCTCAAGATTCACTCATCGGCAATGGTGAGTCGCTCATGTCCGTGTTTGATGGTGATGATGACGACGAGACTTTAGAAAGGATCATCAACACCAAGACCTGCGGCAAGTTTCTCACTAGTAACAAGATCCAAGACGTTCGGCAACAACTGTGTGATTGTGTGATCTCGCTCGACCGGCCCCAGCAAGACTTGACAACGGTGAGTCAATTGTGGTTTTGTATGACCGACGAGGCGATGACGAGACTGTCGGCAGGAGTTCTCAACGACAAGACTATCAGCAAGCTTCATCAACAAGACACTTCAACGACAAGACTTACGACATCCATCAACGGCAACACTTTTATACGGCAAGATACCCACAAGTGTGACCTCAAGGTTCATCAAGCGACAAGAACAAGACTCAAGACAATCGGCAACTACTATGTGTGTGAATGTATGATTTCGACAGGCCTCAGCAAGACCTCATAACGGTGAGTCGTCTGCATTCGACCCTGTTGTAGATCCTGATGCTGAGACATTTGGTAAGTTTCATCAATGGCAAGGTTATCAAATGTTTCTCCAAGATCTTTAATCTCGAGATATTCAAAATCACTCACCATCCAGCCCCTTCATGAAGCATAACTCAGGTTCAAGGTCGTCAATTATCTCTGGTTTTCTGTGGTGTCTCCCGTGCTTTGGTCACTTTGTCGTCTTGATCTCCATCGTACTGTCCTGTCATCGTGTCCCTCTTTCTTCTTCGATTTTCCGTTCCCACCTGTCTTTTTCCTTACACACGGACGACCGCCGAGATAGTTCTGCACACGAGACCGCTGGGCGTGGCGTAGCACGGGGGAATCGCGCGCCCGACGGTAACGTACGCAGCATTTTCTCGTCGGTCGTCCGCTCCGCGCATGCCTTCAGCGACGACCTAGCGGGCGGTGAGTGTTCACGGGCGAGGAGGACCAAACCCGTGTCCTCGAGTGCCCACCAAAAAATAAAATAGATAAAGAGGCCGAGGTTTTAGCCGCTCGCTTGCTTTTAATGGCCGGGATCACCGCCGCAGACATGCGATGGATATTTTTCAAAAACATGATGATTTGAAAAAAAGCTGATGGAGTGATGTGCAAATCTGCAACAGTTGTGTGGAAGAGCGATAGTGGAATTCGAGATGTCAATGATCAAGCAAGGCAGAGGGCTGAGTAGCCTACTGTAAGGAAAGATGCAGTTACGTGAATACTCACCAAAATGATTGAATAAAGACCAACTGAATGCCCTTTGCGAGGCAGCATTTCTGTGTTACATGTCATTTCTTTTTGATTGGTAGGTGCTGGAAGCGGCGGCGTGTGTGAGCAGTGAACAAGAGTTCTTTTCGCTTCTTCGAGCGTCCCAATGCAGGCGGTTCGTGAAGCGTATGTACAAATCGAAGAATAGATGAGTCTATGCACAGTGCACGCCCTTGAGCGGGTGGGACAAAGCTGGACAAAGTCGCTGGTATGACTAAGCAGAAATGTGGCGTCCAACTGTCCAGCTTCGTCCGTTCGCTCTTAGTAGGGCCTTCGGTCCCGTTTGTAACGGTCATAGCCATTGGTCACTGCGATGCCCACATCGCTTCGCTCCTCAGAGAAGGTTCTCTGACACCCACGTATGTGTCCGGTCGCGGGGTCGTTTCCACCTGACACGGGTTTGACGCAGTTGTCTCCCGACTGTGCGAAAACTGCTCATGTTATAGTCAACCTCCTACCTTGTGGGCATGGGTTGTGGAGAAAGATCTTGAAAGGTGTCATCCCAAGGTAACACGAGGAGGTCTCTTCAAGCCTTTTACCGGTCAGCACAGAAGTTGAAGCTTCTTCGTGTATAGATAGGCGATGTCATTCCTCATTCTGGTCGAACGGAGATCCGCCCACAGCGCTTCAGCACAGGGTCTGATAGGCTTGGAGCACTAGGCACCCTGTTTGTGGCACTGCTTCACAAAATTGTGCGCCCACCTACATTTCCTAAATTCAGGTTGTATATGTCGATGTTTAGAGTTACCATGCCTTCTGCAGCATGTGACGAGGGCTTTCTCTTTTTTTAAAATGATGTCGTCTTAAGTGCGAGGTAAGAGGGACTTACTGGTGAGTTTTAGCAGTCTTGCTGCCTTCGATGCTTACAAACTTGACTCGTAGTACAGGTTCTTGTTTCTTGCCTGTTGTACAGAGTTTCTTTCTTGGGGCCGAGTTCGGTATCAGATCTTCTATTTTCATTCAAACCTCCCCCTTCCTGACCTTATTTCGCTCCACCACTCTCGCGTTTCATCAAGCCAGAGCTCCAACAATGGTTCCCTATCGTCCAAAAAGTGCACGCGTGTGTTCCTCATCGTCTCGATGATTTCATGGAAAAACACAATGTTGTTCATGATGACGCCGATGGCGAAATGTACATCTCCACCGCACGATCTCCGCCCGCCTTGACGTAGATCTGGTAAGTCTATGCTTCAATACCACGATGCAAGCTTCCATGAAACACGGTGGAACGACGGGGAACAACTCGTCAAAGCTGATTCCATGCATGGACTTGATCCTTGGAATTCCACGACGCATGACACCTGAGTATAAAGTGAAGCGTGCTCTGCTGTTCTTTCTTTCATCCTCCGGATTCACCATACCTCTCCAATATCACTATCCCGCCATTCATTTCGATCATGTTCATTCTCGCCAAGCTCGTCACGTTTGCTGCCCTCACGTTCAGCGCGGTCACAGTCGTCTCTGCTGTGCCGTACCCCGCTGCTGCCGTGAATGCCAAGCGTGATACCAATGTTCTCACTATCCTGGCAGACTTGTCCTTGAAATTAAAAGAGCCTGCTGTGCTACTGAGTGTGTCTATCTCGTTACGTGCAGTGTGGGAGCCAGTGTCTTGCTGAACGCTTCGAATTTTCTGCTGCAGGCTCCATCGACGCGAGCAATGCGACCGCCAGCGTTCTCTCGCCCATCGTTGCTACCATCACTAGCGATGTGCACATCGCGATTGTCCAGCTCAAACTTCTCCCTGATCAAAGCAAGATTGTCACCTCGGTTGCTGTCGCGGCCCATCTGAACCTCGTATTTAGGGTGAATTTCTCACGTTATCCGGTTCGCGTAGATGAGAATTGAACACGCATATCTATCTTAGACCGTTCTGGCTCCTGCGGGTAATATTTTGAAGATTTCCAGCGTTGACAAGGTCAATGTCACTGCTGCTCTATCGCCGCTTGGGTGAGTGGCGCACGTCCGGCACGCATTTCACATCGGGGCTGATGACGTTTCGCTACAGCGATATTCTCAACACACTCCTTGAATACGTCCTCGACCTTGTTGCCGAACTTTTGACCGATGTCCAGTCAATTCTGAACAATCTGCTGGGTGGCCTCGTTGGCGCTATCCTCGACCTTAAATTGGCTCCCCTTATCAAGTCGCTTAAACTCAAGGTAGAGATACTTCATTTTGAAGTTCCGCTTTTTGCAACGGTTCACACACGCTGCCATTGTTTTTTCAGGTCGCTGTGTCAGCCTGAAAGCGTGATGATTTCGCTTTCTTCGTTATATTCTTCGAAAAACTGTCTGACGTGTCTTCTGTCGAACTCTGTCTCACTCATTTTGTTAAAATTCTTCTTCATTTTTGCGCTATTCGCGATATCGCACTGTTGGTTACGCGTCATGCGATTGTTTGAGGCGATCATAACATCAATTCATGGTAGGTTATGTGACAGAACCAATCTCCGCGACGACGATTTCGAAATTGCAAGCCAAAATTCAAGCCGGCGGCAACCTCGCTATGAGCTCTCAATTTTGCTCGAATGATGGGCTTGAACTGAGCTTGAATGCTAATATCTTCGGGCCCGATGGAGTTTTTTTTTGGCAGGTTCTGGTCCCACCAGCACCGCCGGAGTTCTCCGACTGATAGAGATCGAGGACGTCACGCCGAAACGGGCTGGACAAGCGTGGACTCCATCACTGCAAGTCATGTCATGTCTTCATGACTACTGCTTGCCCAGCAGCCCCCTTATGTTCGCATCCTTCGTCTTCTCGTGTCTAAAGCTTGAAGTGTAGCACTGGGTAGAAATGGAACTGGATGCTTCTATACCTTCCATTTCAAGACGCCGCTTCCAGTCCTGCAATTTTCGGAACGTCTGCGACATCATTTGACAGAATGTCATAGTATCCATCGCGATCCGATTGTATGTTCTTGAGCATTGTTTTTTCTCGTCCAGACCAAAAGCAGTCAACCAGGCTGGGAGACAGCGGACCGACGGTATTGAGATACAATTGTTCCCGCTGAGTCTCGACTGGTCGGTTGTTTTTGCAATTTCCTGTCGGAAATATCAAATGATCTTTGACAGATGTTGCGGATCTCTGTGTCGAGCGTGGTGATATAAAGGCTGATTTGAGTGCGGTTATCAGCCCTATTGCTCCAAGTTACCATTGACTGTCGTCAAATGCCACGTTGAAGACGCCATGCTGAGATCACCCTGATGCGGCGACCTGCAGTGATGCTATCACAATCAAGTCCCGCCAGTTCACCTGACGATATAGACTTCTGACTTCGAGGACATCCAGATTTTTAGATTCCGAAGTAGACTGGACCAAGATTACCAGTTCGACACCGGATCACGTTCGCGATGCGGGGCGGGGTATGAATATACACCTCTAATAGTCCTTTGTTTGCTAAAGAACTTGTACGATCTGCGTGAACGCTCTAGGGCGGCGTCGAGAATCGTGAACGTCCTTGCGTAGTCGACCTTGTGTAGACTGCCCGTATAGTATCTCAATTCCACGGTTGCGATCCTGTTTGCTCGCTGGACTGTTGGTTGGAACACGAGCTCTGTTGTGGACTGAAATTCTATGATAGCGGAGGGTCCTACGCTAAACGAGTGAAGAGTGCATAATACTGTTTGGGCCACATATGTCAAATTCAAAATAGGTCCAGTGGCCCACGCCTTGCGTCGTATAAAACCACCCCCACCGCCTCGTTCTGCCACATTCCACATCTTCTCCCTCTTCCACCATGACCACTCTGATACTCGACTTCAATACTCACCCTTTTGGACAACATCAGCAAGACCGAACTGGACCTGAGGCGACGAGCACAAGGATTGAAGATTCCAGAGTATGCCACAGGCGGCGCAAGGTTCGACACAACGGGAGGCCACATCCGAAATTATCAAACACAACGACGACAAGACCTTCGACAACATGGCTCGACGTCTTCAATCCATCCAGCAATCGCAAGTCCTCTCGACCTCAAGTCCTCGAGCAAGACATAGATGGTACTGTGGCGACAAGACTGGTGACGAGGTAGGTCACTCCACAGCTGCTGATGACGAGGACTTGTGTAGGGTGCATCGATAGATGGTGGCAGGACTTCCAGGGACCAGGACCGTTCAGTGAGTGACTCATGTACCTCTTCGTGGACATTGATGAGAAGTGAACTTGACTCTTTGACAACGTCAAGATCTCATCAACGCATCAAAGCCTATCAACAGTAATGCCACTCGCCTGCAAGTACCTTCAGCATCAGGACATCCAGCAACGACACTGCAACGGCAGAACTCACGGCAAACCTTCTCAACATCAAGACCCTCAAGTACTACAAGACACAAGGCTCGACCACAAGATTGATCAAGGCGGCAACATGCAAGACGATCGGCGAACGGTATGCGACTTACTTTTTCTTCACAGGGCACCGCAAGATCGACCACCTGGAACTCCAAGAACAAGACTCAACCTCCGCAAGACAGCCACGACCTTCGACAACCACAACAGCGACTCAACCTTTAGCGACAACGACAGCACCAACAACGGCAAGACTTACAACAACACTCCTCAACTACAAGGCCCCTCAACGTCAACAACTCCGCCAGAACAACCCTCAAGCCCTTCAACGCAACATTTGACCTCGACAACGGTGAGTCGGTCGTGCGTATTCTGATTGGTGAGACGATGGCGAGATCTCTGACAGGATATCAAGACCTCCAAGTACTACAAGATGCAAGGCCCCACAACAAGATATACGAAGGCAGCAACATTCAAGACGATCGGCGAACGGTAAGCGACTGACCTTTTGTTTGACAGGGCTCCGCAAGATCGACAACCATATACTTCAAGAACAAGACTCAACCTCCGCAAGACAGCCACGACCTTCGACAACAACAACACCGACACGACCTTCAGCAACCAACGACAGAACCACAACGGCAAGATTTACAGCAATACCTCAAGGCCAAAGACCTTCAAGACCCACGGAAGCCGGTAGGCAACTGACCTTTTCTTTTGATAGGGCTCCGCAAGATCGACCACCACCACCACCACCACCACCACCACCACCACCACCACCTCCGACAACGACACCACCTTCAACAATCAACGACAATATCAGCAACTGCAAGACTTATAGCAACCTCAACATCAAGAACCCCTCCACAACGACCTTTCAGCCCTTCAAGACGCAACGTTCGACTTTCAGGATCAAGACGCCCGGCAAACGGTAGGTGGCTAACCTTTTTTGTGTTGACAGGGCTCCGCAAGATCGACAACCATATACTTCAAGACAAAGACAATTACGACCTTCGACAACAACAACGACACGACCTTCAGCAACCAACGACAAAACCAACAACGACAAGACTTACAGCAAGACCCCTCAACTACAATGCCCCTCAACATCAACGACTCCGCGAAACGATCCTCAAGCCTTTCAAGATGCGACCTCTAGGCTACGCTCGACCTCTAGGCTACACTCGACTTCTAGACGACGCTCCCCTCTAGGCTACACTCACCCTCTAGGCTACACTCAAAACGCTTGGCAAACGGTAGATGTGTGATCCCGACAGACCCCAGCAAGACTCTACAATGGTGAGTCGGTCTGGCATATCCTGATTGGCGAGACGATGACGAGACCTCCGACAGTATACATCACCTTCAGCACCACAAGACTCTCAGCAACGACACGACAACAGCAAAACTCACCGCAAAACTTCTCGACGCCAAGACCCTCAAGTACGGCAAGACGCAAGACGCAAGACTCGACTACAAGATCCATCAAGGCAGCGACACGCAAGACGATTGGCGAACGGTAGGTGACTGACCTTCAAGGCTTCGCGAGATCGACCACCATGTACTTCAAGATCAAGACTCGACCTTCGGCAACGACAAAATGGCAACACCTCCGACGACTACATCTGGCAACACCTTCAGCAATCAACGATATATCAACAACGGCAAGACTTACAGCAACACCCCTCGGCTACACACATCTTGGCTACACACATCTTGACTACACAAATCTTGGCTACACCACCCTTGGCTACACCACCTTGGCTACATCCACAACCTCGACAAGAACGATGCTCAATTCCTTCAAGATGCAACATTAACCTCAAGACATTCAAGACGTTCAGAAAGCGGTAGGTCACTGACCATTTTATCAGGGACCCACAAGATCGACCACCCAGCACTCCAAGAACAAGACAGCCTTCCGCCACGATCCACCACCAACTCTGACAAACGCTACCTTCGACAACTATTACCTCCGACAACCACCACCTTCGACAACCACCACCTTCGACAACCACCCAACCATCAGCAATCAACGACAAACCAGGACCCGCACGACCCACAACCACAAACACAACCACTCACGGTAAGCTTCCTCACGACAAAACTCTACAGATCAAGACCTCGGCCTTCGACCTTCGACGACGACACAACATCCAGCACCGCAAGACTTTCGGCAATAACGCAACTTCCGGCAAACTCGCAAGACAAGTCTCGACCACGACAAGCCAATCCGCAAGAGCAAGATTCCATCAACGACAAGGCCATTAACTTTTTTTCTGAATCAGATTTTGTAGGTTTCGATGTCAAGATGTTCGCAAGGTCGCTCACCGTCAAGGCCCGCTCCAAGGTCAAGGTCAAGGTCAAGACCGTCGGCTAGCTATCTGTCTCTGTCTCTGGGTCGTGTCTGGTTCTTGGCTGGGTCTAGCTCTCTCGTTTTCTGGTATCTCATGCTTCTGGTCTCTGTGTCGTATCTTGGTCTCTGCACCCTCGAATGTCTCTGTTTCTGTCTTCTTGGCTCCTGCGTCGCATCTTGATCTCGGTCTTGGCTTGGTTTCTGTCTTTGTCTCTATCCCTGTCTCTATCTGTCTCTGCCTCGTCGTGCCCCCGTTCCTTCCTGTATTCTCCCCGCATCCCTTGTATCCTCTCTCTCTTCGCCGCGTCTCTTCCTTCTCCTGTCTCCTGTCTCCCTCTCTCTCCATATCTTCCCATCCCTGTATCTCGCGCGGACGACCGCCGAGCAGGCGCTCCGCCCGACGGCCTCGTGCGCAGCGCCTGCTCGTCGGCCGCCCCTCCGCGCATGCCTCTAGCGACGACCCAGCGGGCGGTGAGTGATCACGGGCGAGGGGGACCGAACCCGTGCCCCCGGCCCACCCCACAGAAAAATAAAATAAAAAAACACAGAAAGAGGCCGGGGTTTTAGCCGCTCGCTTGCCTTGAATGGTCGGGGTCGTCGCTGGAGGTATGCGTGGGATTTTTTTTCGTTAAATATATTGGGTTCCGGGGAAACAAAACTGACAGACAGAGCCTGATTGGCTGCTCGACAAGAGTAAGAAGGGGTTTGATGTTGCGTGCGAGCGTGTCGGTGTAGGACGTAAGTGGATGAGCGGACAAGCTCGAGCGTTGTCGTGTTCCCTCCAGTCATCAGTGCAAGAACACATATAGCGAGCTTCTGCGCCGAGTCAGTTCGGCGAGCTTCAAGTGGACACGCACCTGCGTCGAAAAAAAAAGCGAGTCGCGATCCATGTTCGCTGGGTTCTGCACGTTCGACACGATCCAACAGGGCTTAGTACCATAGACGTAGAGCTCGGCCGACGGCGATTTGCACGCGCTGCCTCCGCTCGGTCGATGGCTCGCTGCGGTCCTTCCGTCGATGATGGGACGCAGACGCGGGCTAGGATTACACAAGGTGTAGTAGAGATACAGCATACACATACACGGGAGGGACAGGGGTCTCGATCGAGAGGTTAGATGAGTCAAGCTGGAAGGGGGCGTTAATGAGCATGCGCAGGGCAGGGACGAGAGCGAGGAAATAAGGACAGCGTCGAAGGATGAAAGGAGGTGAGGGGGTGGTTAGGTGCGCACCTTCTAAGAAATCCGCAGCCTGGAGCCTGGCGACGTCGGACCCGCCAGACAGAGGTATAAGAAAAAACGTAAAACGGAAGCCATCAGCACCATCGCAGACATGTCAACGACAGGAAGGCAAAAGAAAAGAACAAAGGAAGGGGAGGAGGAAGAGGAGATACGCACACCTCGAGCGCGATCTCGGGTTGGATGCGCTCAAAAAAGTCCGGGATGTCGACTTTGGCCGGCGTGTTCTCGTACGTTGTCTTGTAGAGGAGGTACTCGACGACTTTCTCGACGACGATGCCGCTGCGGGGGTCGACGGCGGTGGAGGTGTGGTTAATTTTATTTCGTGGGATATAGGGAAATGGCGGTGCGTGGGAGACGTGAGCGCGAGGATGGGCAGGCGGGCAAGGGAGCGCACCGTTCTTGGAGGTGACATGTCTGGCGCTCGGCCTCGGAGAAATTAGCTAGTAAGAGACAGCGCGGGTTAGCATGGTGTCCACAGCCAAGCAGGGGCGTGTGAGAGAGATGCGCGAGTAAGATAGCATCACGTTAGAGCCTTAATTACGGCATCAAGGGATGTGCGGCGCAAAAGAAAAGGAAGAGGACAAAGGACAAAAGAAGAAAGGAGCAGCGCGGACCTTCGGTGTCGAGCATGTTCTTGAGCGTCCCGGAGCGCATCGCTGCCGCGCGCGAGACGACGCACGAGTAGCCGTCGCTGCTGACGATGCGGACCCACTCTGTGACATCGGGCGCGCCGGCTGGGTCCTGTGTATTTGCCTTTGCGACAACGACAGACAAAGCGCAGAGCGCGTCCGATTAGGAGGGCGTTAGCATCATGATGGCGAGCACCGGGCGGACAGGCGGGATACCTGTTCTGCCATCTTTGGTCCTGGGGTTGTCGTGAATGAGGACGGTGGAGTAGAAGCTGTTGCGGGGGAAGGGAGGGGTCGGGGCTGGGTGTATGCGCTGAAGCACTCGAGAGCAAGAGAGCGTGTGTATGACTAAGCTGCGGCGGCCTCTTCTTGACGAGTGCTCGAATCAGTCAGAATCACCGGCAGTCCACCGGCATCTCGGATCTCGTCCTCGCTCAAATAGTACGGTGCTCTGCTCCTCCCAGATCTCTTGTCAGACTTGCACTCTCCAATATCCTCGTCGCTCGCCATGTCCCTCCCCAAGGTCAGTCGCGCTCTCTCTTGCTCTACCCGCGTGCCAAAAACACGCCGTTTTGTGGGCTTCTTGAGTCATGTATTTGTGCTATCGCGATCCCCGCCACTCGCCCGACATCACCGTGCGCGGTAGGTGCAGTGCGATGCGACTCTGGGCTGTGGGCCGTGGAGGAGGACTCATACAGGCGAGGACGCTGACGCTGACGCTCGTTTTCTGTTTCTTTCCATCTGCCGTGTCCACGATCCTGCGATCGGGTGGCGCGCGCCCTGATGTTCTCGCCCCGCCTCGCCCAAATAGAGGATCATCAAGGTGTGCTCCCCGTGCTTCCTTCTCCATGGCACAGTCTCACCTCCTTGTTGTGCTCTCCGTAATCGCGAATACTCGTGGTCGCGTGCCCCCATTTACCCTTGTCCCCATTCGTATGGACAGGAAACTGAGCGCCTCGTCGCCGATCCCGCCCCCGGCATCACCGCTTTTCCGCACGACGACAACCTCCGCTATTTCGACGTCACCATCCAGGGCCCCGACGGAAGCCCCTTCCAGCGTGCGTCTCTTTCCACTCCCTCTGCCTATGCGACCGGCTTGGTTTCACACCTTGTTCTGACATCCTCGGTTTTCCTTGCATACACACCCGTTCTGCTGTGCACTCCATTCCGATCGGTGCCATACGCGCCACATCAACTCACCCACACATACCCACCTTCCCTTGGACGCCCACAGATGGCGTGTTCAAGCTCGAGCTCTTCCTCCCAGAAGAATACCCGATGGCTCCGCCCAAAGTGCGCTTCCTGACCAAGATCTACCACCCAAACATCGGTGCGTCGCCCGCGCTCCCTCCCTTTGCCACCCATTGCTCGCCTGCCTCGTCGTCACTGCCGTCTCCGCTATCCGTTCCTCGAGATTTCGCGAGACCGTGGAACGAAACGCTGATGCCGAGTTGTAGATAAGCTGGGTCGGATCTGTTTGGACATCCTTAAAGGTACGTGGAGGATCGATCGGGGGTGGCGCGCTCACTGATCGACTGACCGACCTGCATTTACATCCGTATCACCTCCACCCGACCGAACTCCGCCTCTCGTCTCGTCTCGAACCGCCACCCCGACACCACGACCGACCTCATTTCGCCGATACGATCCCCCCTACCGACCCGACACCCGTACGCACGCACGCACACACGCACGCACCAGACAAATGGTCCCCCGCGCTCCAGATCCGCACCGTGCTCCTCTCTATCCAGGCCCTCCTGAGCGCGCCGAACCCCGACGACCCGCTCGCGACCGACGTCGCGAAGCACTACAAGGAGGACGAGCGCGACGCGCAGCGCATCTCGCGCGAGTGGACCGAGCGGTACGCCGTCGAATGAGCTTGCTGCGGCGGGTCGTTCTGCGGGCTGAATGGGCGAGGCGCGGAGACGGGGCGCGGGGCGCGGGCGATGCCATAGATCTCGTACACGCAGGCTGCACGCGGGCGTCGTGCGCGCACCGGGCCTCAGACGCTGGATAGAAGAAGAAATTACAAGGAACTCAGAGCTATGTCGTGTTTTGATTTGTGTGGGGTCTCGTCTTTTGTCTGTCTGTCTGTTTCATTTGATTTCGTTCTTTTATTCGTTTGTTGATTGACTGTATTTTGCGTGCGAGCGCTTGGAGCTCGAAACCTTGCAAGATCGTGACACTACGGATCTTCGTCTGATCGTGGAGCGTGGAAGACCAGGGTCGCACACGGATGCATTGCCTTGCGCGTGGATGGAGAAATGTTGCCTCTCAAGAACGCTACCTAGCACACAGAACAAAGAGAAAAGAAACATCGCAAGGCTCAAGCGCTCAAGGCTCGTATGAATCAAGTCTAGCGTATGCAATACATCCCTAGACCAATCGAAACCGAGCGTTGCCCGAACTGCAAACGCACACACGAGGTGAGGTATCTCGACGCCTAGAACGAATGTATCCAATCGTCGACGAACAACCAGCGTGGGGGACACTGTGGCGAGTGGACTGGATAAGCGTCGTAATTTTTTGGATGCGATTGGGCTTCGGTTTGGATATGACGATCGCGACTCACGCTCGAGATGGCGGCGGGGAACAAGATGTGAGTATATACAGGGCACAGGCGGAGATCGGAGCGTCCCTGCGATTCGGGGTCTGGCAGAAAGACTTTTCGTCTGTGATGACGAGGACTCGGTTCGTCCATAGATATCGATCTCAAGACAAAGAACATCGGGGTCCTCAAAATGTTTCATTTAAAGCCAAGCAACCTTCAAAACTAAAGGGAAGTTATGGAATTCGCGAAATATCCTTTCGCGATACTTCGACTTTCGCCAAGAATCAAGGTCAGCTTTTCCAGCTTGCTCGCTTACGACGAGGGACGAACAGACGAATCGAACGATAGCGGCATATTGCTCCTCGCATATAGGGCCGCTGCAATAAAGCGGTCCAACAAGGATGATGCCCGATCAGTGGAGAAAAAAATCATGGAACTTTACAGCTCGATTATGGTCATGAATGCGGGACAGAGTGCTTCAATGTCTTGATAGCGGCATTATTTCTGGATTATTTTGGCGGCGAAGAGCGGCGAAGGGGTGTCCCCGTGTGACTTTCCCTCACGTGGACGCGTCTCGACGCGTCGTGTGGCACGTGGGAACTTCCGTCACGTCTGGACGACGAACTCACTTGGCTGTCTCACGCGGCTCTGGCGACTGCAAAAGCGTGGCGAACCAAAGCCAGTGGCCGAAACATTGATGCAACGACGCTTTTACTGAGCTCATTTATCGCTTAGTGGCACGAAGGGTTCTCCGGCTCTTTGACACTGATCACAAAGCGACCACTTTACCTTATAAGCCGCCAGATGCCTTCGCGGGCATGTACTAACGGCCGCATGGATCCCCCAAACATCTTTCCTGACAACTTTCCGTCATCTTCTCAGCTCACTGGCTCGCAGTGGGTCCTCAGAGCGCGCGCAGCCCAGGAAGCCGTGCCAGACCGAGACATCGTCCAGTGGCAAAACTCACAGACACCTTCCGCAGGGCTCAACAGGCTGATCAGAGAAGCTGCCAAGCCAGCTGCGCAACGTATGTGACTCTCGCGCCTTGCGTCTTCCCGGTCTGACTCCGTGACGTTAGTTTGGCCAGCTCTCAGTATCGATGACTATGATTATGCTCTGAACTCGTCGCCTGCTGATCCGTCCAGTTCGACAACAGACACCCCCCGATCACATGCGCGCCCCGTCGGCGCCTCCTCTGCTACACGCCCTCGACCCCGTGCACTCCGCACACATGGATATTCATCTACTCCCAGCAGCTCTATGGCATCTGTGCAGGGAGACCCTACGATGTTCTTCGGTCTGTTGAAGGAGGTATCTGAGAAGATAGACCAGAGAGCGCGAGAGAAGCAACGATTTGTGGAGCGAGCGCGAGAGAAGGAAAGGGAGAAGGCCCGTCAGGCTGCTTTGCTCAACCACAAGAGCAACAAGTCCAAGTTCGTCCAAGGAGCGTCTAAAACGCCTCGTGAGGGAGCAGTGCTGGCTAAAGAGAAGGAGTCTACGATGTCCGGAGGGAGCAGAGTTTCTACTTCATCTGACAAACGCACAGTTGGATTGGAGGCGACGGCCTCGCTCGATCATAGCTTTCCGAGAGCAGAACGGGTGCATGCCTCCTCAAGACTCGGAAACTCGATCGTCCTCGACGACGACGATAACATGTACATGGATATAGACTCCCCTAAATCGCTGCTCGTGAACACGAACTCAGTGGAGAGGAATTCCTCCGGCCAATCCAGCGTGATCGACTCGCCCATCTCCGCGGTCTCGCTGACCCGAACGCAATCTCTCTCGACGTCCGGCTCGCTATTGGGGCCCCCGAGAACTCCATCGCCAGTGTCTCAGCCCCGTCCTGCCTTCGCTGTATCCATGCATGAACGCAGCGCGAGCGCCGAGCATCCCCCGCGTCCCGCACCGGTGCTGCCCATTCATCGCACGCACACTGACCCTTCCCAATCTTCATCGTCCAGAACGTCAACCACAATCCGCAAGCCCGTTGCCCCTCCTGCTCCAAAACCCGCGCCGATACCCCTTGCACCTGCACCGCCCCGCCCTTCTCAGCATCCACCCACTCTTGGTATGCGTCGCACCCGCGCGTCGACGTACAGCATCCCACCCTCGCAGACTCTTCCAACGAAACAACGTCCCTTCCGTCCTCCACTCGCCCGTCCCCGTCCCGCAACAGCAACAGCAACAGCAACAGCAGCTCCAGCTCCACCCCCGGCCCCTGCGGCTCCCGTGCTTCATGTGTCCCGTCCCACTTACAAAACCAACCCCCCGGCTCGTGATCCACCTCCAGCAAGCCTCCCCACTCCGAATCCTTCCCCGCCTGTCCCCATGGTCGACCGCGGACGGAGCCGCTCTCCTCCTGCAGCAACAGACGCAGACTCGAGCTACGGCGACATATCGATCGACGCCGATCTGCTCGAGGCAGAGTTGTCGAAGTACGATTAATATCTAATGGCTCTTTTTTATACATAAGTACTCTACATGCTCTGTTAAAGTTTACTCTTACATGTTCCTCGGGACCCATTGCACTCATGACACAACGATCTAGTTTCTGGAAGCCTTTCCCCGATCCGATGTGCTTAAGACTGGTTCATATCGCATTAGCAGTCGAATCATATCATTGGTCAAACACATGGCGAGCAAAGGATCGACTCCGATCATCAGACTTCAGGATATCCCGAATACTTGAGGAGAATGCACGATGATGAAGCATATTCAACATTGCTCGAGTTATCGTACGATTCTCAAAAACGAGGGCAAATAAATATCTATGGTACAGTTTCATGTGCGATTGCGACATAAGTTAGACGGCCTACTCGAGGTAGCCGATATTCAAGACAAGATGCATGGATATGATCTGATGTTTGACTTCACACTCGGGTAGTCATTCACCTCCAGGGGAATTCGAACGAAGCGTCGTCATCATCATCATCATCATCGTCGTCGTCGTCGTCGTCGTCATTGTGGTCATGGCCACCTCGACGATTGTTACTAGGGCCTGCTTGACTGGCACTTCCCTGAAGGGGTCCTTTCACATGCTTGCGGCAGACAGGGCATGTTGTTGCGCCACGAAGCCATTGCTGCCGGGGAAAAAGTTAGGACCAGGACCGTGGAAGTATTCCAATCGACGTACCTTCAGGCAGTCTTTGTGTAACCAATGCGTACAGTCTGTCAGCTTGAGCACGGGATCTGTTGGCTGATACTGAGAGGAACAAGTAAAGGAGTGATTAGAGTCATCAAGGAAAGCAAATCACTGGTACATACGTCATCAAGGCATATGGGACAACGAGCATCACTGTCGGGGGTAGCCCAATCTCGGTACAATCCGGTGGGTAGAGAGGCAATAACGCTCTCAGAGGTACAGCGGGGTTTCACGTCGCCGAGAGTCGCAGCGAGCGAGAGGAGACTCTCATATGAAGTGTCGAAATCTTCATCTCGCTGTGGACGTTGATAAGTAAGGAAGGCTTTCACACAGAACGGCGCTCAGACTTACGATGAAATCGGATACTCCTCTTCCTACCCGAGGCGCAACCCCGGCAAAGTGGGGACCACCTCGACCACGGATCAACCTCTCGATCTGCTCAAATGTCACGAGTTCATCTCGCATTGACGACCGAAGCGACGCTGGCGCCCTATGTCTCATAAGCGAGCTCGAGCGACGATTCGCAGCAGCTCGGTGCTGCTCGTGACGTGTGCGTTCTGATTGCGAATCGCGGTCTCGATCGGTAGGTTCCGTGAAGTGTTCCGCTGTCCTAGCATTCTCTGCACGGTGTATGGGCGGCTCGGCAAACAGAACACTACCGCCTAACCTCCTACGGATATCCAATGGACGCGGCCGAACTGATCCTGTGTCTTCTCCTTCCACATCTCCCCAGTGAGATGACTGACGCCTGCTGTCCTCCGACCTCTGGCGCTGGAATCGATCAATAAGTTGGCGCTGTCTCTCGTGGGTGAGTCCATCTGCTCGCAAAAGGGCGATCGCATGCGAGAAGCCCTCCACGCTACCATGATCAGATGTGTTGTCGTCGTCGGCGATACGAGATGCCTCCAACCGTGGACGACGTGCAAAAAGGTTGTGCATTTGCCGACGTCCGCGAGTGTCGGTGTTGTCGGCTGTAGGGCGACTGCTTGATGCGGGTGGATTTGGTGTCGAAGAGAGCGGGCTTCGTCGACGCGCAGACCGAATGTCCATCGATCGCCATATACCTGTCGCAGGAGTGGTGTTTTCTTCCCGAGAAAATGGTCTTGGTTGTCTTTGAGGGCCAGGAAGATCTCGTTCTAAATTCAATCTTCTTTCCAGGACGGCATGCGGCGCAGTCACAGATGCAGTCTGGCATACGGATTAGCCCCTCGTTGCATACAAGTGTGATGAAAACTTACGGGGCGAGAGGTACCAGACGACCAGATATAGTCGTCGTTGTCGAACCGCAATGGCGGCAGAGAAGGTGCGGGCGACTCTTGTGGGTTCGCATCATCAGACAGCGAGTGTAGATGAGTGAGCCTAGCTCGGAGACGCTCAATCTCAACGAGTCGCTCAAGCGAAGCACGGAAGGGTCCTCGATGATAGGCATCCAGATCGATGTTTCGAAAAACGGATGATCGGTGGTCGCGAGGCGCGGTTGGCGGTGCTTGGGACTGCGGTGGAACCCTGCTGGATGGTGTCGTGTTGGAAAGGTCAATGGGCTCGTGCCACCAAGGGTGAGAAGTCGATGATGCTCGCCTCGGCTCAGATATGGTGGGGTTCGAGACTGGACGTTCCCGAGAAGCAAGAGGGGATGGGGGCAAAACGCCCAAAGATGAAGTCTCTGACAAGTCTGCAGATCTTTGCTCAGCTACGTTATGTTGAGGTGACGAGGCTGTCCGAGCGCCAAAGGGTGTTTGACTCGAGAATGGTGCACTGTCCGACTCACGCCTTCTCGGGGCGGCAGTTGAAGTGTCTATCGGCCCGCTCAATTCCGAATCTATCCACCAATCACGTTCCGTGTTTGGCCCACCAAGTTGTAAGCTAGACACGGACGGGCGATGTCGTGAAGGTTGTAATGGCAGGGACCTACGTGTGGGCGGGTGAAGAGACTGCCTGACATACGAATCCGCTGTCGCCAGGGAAGTGGTATCGAGTGAGAGCAAGTCTCGGTGTAGAGATTCCCCGCCTTCCATGAATAGAGAGCTGGATCCCGGTGACCATAGGGATGTGTCTCGATCAGTGTAATCGCCGGTAGCCAGAGGACCGCGTAAGGAATGAGCAAGCCCGTGGACTTGAGAGCGAGCCGCGTTTCTCCTCCACTCTGCCGCATTCTCCGACATTAAAGAGTTTGACTGGCTTGGGCGAAACTGAAGCATTCGAGAGCGAGATATGGCTGAAGGTTCGGATATCCCGCCACGGCGATCACTCTCACTGAACAAACGTTCCGGGACTGACCGCCATGCTGATCGTGGAGATGTAGCTAGGCTCGTCCGGGTTCGAGAGTTGTCCGCCAAAGAGCTGTCAGATCTGGATAAGATGGGTTCAACGTCTTCGAACTCAGGCAAAACATCTGACAGATGGTAAGCAACTTGACAAGAAAACAACAACATTGGCAAATACCATCGGGATATGGCGTCGAACGACCTGGAGGCGTCATTCCTTCTTGGAGATTCGTACCGCGGAGACCGAAGAGAGGAGACGGCTCTATCGAAAAATCATAACGGAGGTGAGATTCTCTGCGAGAGCTTGGTTCAACTAGTGACGTGCGTTGCATTGATCGCACATCTCTACGTGGCTGAGAGTCAGCATCACCATACGTGTCTAACGATTGCCCGTCAATCCTGGAGAGGAGAGGCTGGAATTCTTCGTGTATGCTAGCATCAAGCTCGAGGAGATGTGTACGGGACCCAGAGCGTGAGTCAGGACTCTCACTGCGATAAGAGCCTGTGAATTCCAATAAGTCTATCGTTATCATTCAGCATGTAGGCTAACATACGATCGTTCATCGTGCCGTTGAGTATATCCTCCGCTCCAAGTTGAGCCAGACCATGTCCGAAGCCATGTCTTGGACGCGATCCGAGATCAGGGACGTGAGGTAGATCGGTGTGTGCTCTTCCAGAACGCAAGAAGTTGGCTCGCAGAGCGCGCCTTGCATCGTTTCTGAAAATTGTCCACTGAGGATCATCGTGTTCCTGGACTCCCTGCCCAGGCACACCGCTTCCTCTACCGGATGCACTGGGCCTCTCAGACGCCGACGGGGCGGGGGGCTCAGGAATCAATATGCCCATGTAATCACGTCGCTCGGTGTTGCGATTCGACCTCGGAATAGCTGGCCACTGCTCACCATCGGCACGTGCGATGACTTGAGAGGCCAAAGAATCGTTGAAGCGTAAAGGGAATCGGCGCTCCTCGTTCATGCGCCGCCTCGGCTGTTCGGTGTGTACAAACCCGTCTGACCTTGACGAACCTTCTTGTGAAGGGGCCCCAAAATTGTTGGGAACATAACCCCATTCGATCAGCGGTGCGCCTCGCGAGGACAGGGCGTAGCGTGATGGTGAAGTCGTACGAGGATGGCCTCTGCGCGCAGAAGAGCGGTAAGCAGCGTCGTCAGCGATTGGTAAACGGACGGAACCCTGGCGGGACGTTGGCCTAGCTTGATGAGATCCGTACGTGGGATAGGTGAAATCTGTCAACAATAGATGAACTACTTAGTCTTACTCAGAACTCTAATAAGTCAAACTGACAATCACGGTCGGGGTTTCCTCCGGACGGCGTGGGATCGTGGTCACTTTGTCTTTCGCTTCGTGTGATTGCAAAGTCGTTGGAAGATGCAACGGGCGGTTCGTTGAAATACTGGACACTCGACGCGTCCAGAATCATAGAAGGAAGTGGGGAATTTGAGAGGTCTAGTACGTGGGAGCTGGGATCGAGGTTCGGCGAATCAAGCGACAAAGGTGGGAGGGTGGGAGGAGTGGCAGTGATACGGACAGGGGGCGAAGAGCGCTGCCGAAGCGCTGATATCTCGGCGTCAAACGCATTAAATCTCTCCATTGACACCCTGAAATGCTCGCTGAATCCAGAGTCGGAGGATTCATTCGTTTGCAGAGGATGCCAGATTGATGGTGGTGAATAAGATCGAGGTCGGTCTAGAGGTACGGATGGAAGCATCTCCACATCCTCTTGAGCTAGTAATGGATGCACAGGAGGCTGCTCCGGGTGCAAGGAGGAAGAAGGGCCGGCAGCAGCGGCTGACATGGGAGGACAAGGAGGAGAACGGACGAGAGACGGCGACTCGCTGGTAACGCGGCTCGAGCCAGTCGCTGCCCTCGACGAAGACCCAGAGGACCCGCCGCTACCTGATGATGAACTATCACTTCTGGGCCTCTTACTCCTTTCACCCCCCTCGCCTACAGAGAGGGCATTGCTGCCTGGGCTTGCACTGCTACTAGAGTTGGCATCGACTGGGCTGTCGAGGTCGAAGCCGAATTGTTCGAATGAACGTTTAAATGAGGTACTATTTGATGAAATGGTGATGTGTATCTGGGGAGGGTCTGTGGAGGACATGGTGGTCAACGGCAAGCCTGGATACCTTCAAGTGGCATGGAACAACGTTGGCCTGCCCTGATCCCCCTATTGGGCAAGCGCAGCCTCCTTGGGGTAAATAGTGATAGTATTCACGTTTTTGTCACATAAACTGTGACAATTGCGGAATTGGGGAAAGCTTTGTCTTTTTGTCCTTTTCAACGGGTTTACACAAATGATTTCTGTTGCGCATCTAGAGTCTAGACTCCAGCGCTTCAAAGTAGATACAAGATGCTCGAGGATACATGACTGAGAACAGATATGCGAAGTACAACTATCAAGAAGAATACATAAGTCGGTTTCGGATCGACTGGGTCACAATCAGAAAATATTTCGGAAGGATGTTTTGATACAGCTCAGAGAGCCTTGGATCCACAGGGGCTGTGTTCCTCTCCGACGACCGTCACAATTCCGAGGTGCCATAGTCAAACGACAGTGCTATAATAGGATGATTAGTGTAGTCACGAGGAAATAAAACTGAGACCTCACAATCTGCCTGAATAAACAAGTAAATAATGCAAAGATAAATACCACTACTAGGACCAGGACAGCGATTGTGAGAGTGGATAACCCATTCGATGTGTCCAGATTGTGCATCAGGGCGTCAGGAGACGACAAGGACGTTGGTGATAAACTTTCCGTCGACGTGACCGCCATGGTAGATCTGGCATGTTCTTAGCGTCAAAAAATGGCTAACGGGAGATATAGGCATGGGTGCTTACCTCCAATATGAGGTGATGTCTGTTGCACTCGAAGACAAAATATGGCATTCTGGGCTTGTACCCAGGTATCCAAATGAACTCGATGAGGAGAGTCTTGAATGAAGCTCATCGCCTTGTATGGCGATTGAAGCAGTACCAAACGTTGATAAGGTGTTTATTTCACCTGAAGTGGAGATAGACAATCGAATGATGACATCACTGATATCACTTGTCGGTCGGACCAAAAGATCGGACTCGTCATTGAATGATGGGGTACTTAAAGCTCAATATCAGAAGCGTGCACGAAAGAGTATGATAAAATGCACTGACGATGACTGCAAAGGTGCATCCTTTGATTGCTCTCGGTGAGAGAGACAAATTGGGCAAGCAGCTACGTGGGAATTGGCCAAAAGGGCGGGGAGAGCACGCCTCCTGATCACCCATCGATTTGATTGAGTTGTTGCGGAAGAAGAGTGATTGTGCATGCTCATGCGTGGAGATGGGAAGAAAGTGGGCGTTGTTCTAGCATCAAGATGCAACTGTGCGGTTTTATACGCTCTATGGCAGAGTCACTGCAGTGCTGCACTCAAGGCTGATGACGGGGGCTTAACTCTTAGTTCGAAGATCCAAGTTGTTTCAAGGGGAAGACATACTGAAACATCTAAGAAAACCTCCGACGCATTGTTTGACGTCTATCCTTCCTGTTGAAGATAGATGTACGCCTTCAGGGCGTCGAGGCCTGGATAGAATTGAGTCATGGCGTGTGAACCGTGTACAGATCGTTCCTCTCTATGTCTTTGAGTGAAATGGCTGGTCGTTCCTCAATAATGGGGATGTGCCACCAGGTCGATTGTACGCCTCACCTACCAGATGATGGTCTGACCCGCGTTCGAAAGCCAGAGCCCTGTTCCCTAGTACACAAAGCACTGGGTTTGGTTTGACAATGTCATCATGGGGAACGAGGTCAGTCGCCGCAAATTTTCTTTTGCGGTCGCTGGAGACGATGCTGAGCAGTACGATCGCGAGAATTCAGGGGACTGCTAGAGGTCAACCGGTCAAGGTTTGTTGAGTGCAAGAACTTGCCCGCTCGGTCACGATAAGGTCACGATGCCGCGGAGTGTCGCGCGGCCAGGGATCTTATCAGATAACCTGCGTTGATCTCCAAGGCACTCACATTTTCCGCTCGGCGCCTGACTCGTCCCTTGCCGCCAACTCACAGCATCACTAGCGCCGACCTCTTTGCTTCTGTACACATTGTTGACATTCATAACACACCTCGCCGAACATGCTCTCCGCTCAGGCTCTTAGTCTGTCTGGCCGCGCCGTTGCTAGGCGAGCCGTCATCGTTGCTGGACAGCGCCGCGCTGTTGTTGAGGCTGCTCGTCGGCCGGGAGCTGCCCCCCTGAGGGCCTTGCAAACCGTCGCCCAGACGGACAGGGTACGAACCCTTCTCTTGTTCAAACGAAACCCCTCTTTATGACATGTACTCACTAGCTTGAACCCAGGACACTATCACTAGGTTGCTCTACTCTATCGGCACCAAGCGTGAAGTCGAACGTTACCTCCGCATCTTTTCATCTTCGGCCAATCCTTCTGAGCCTGCCAAGTTTGCTGTAGTCAAGGTTGGCGGTGCTGTCCTGGACGAGCTGGACGAGCTTGCGCTCAGCCTCAGCTTTTTGTACCGTGTCGGCCTCTACCCCGTCATCCTCCATGGCGCTGGCCCTCAATTGAACGACATTATCGAACGAGAGGGCATCGTTCCAGATTACATAGACGGTATTCGTGTCACAGGTGCGTCTACTTTCTTGCTCGAAAATTTCTCTAACTAACGCTCGTGTAGACGCCAAGACGCTACAAATTGCTCGCCGCGTGTTTCAAGAAGAGAATCTCAAGATAGTAACCGCTTTGGAAAAGCTGGGTACCCGCGCCCGGCCTATTACATCTGGTGTCTTCACTGCCGACTACCTTGACAAGGACAAGTATGGTTTGGTGGGAAAGATCACCCGTGTCGATAAGCGCCCTCTCGAAGCGTCCATACGCGCCGGTGCACTACCCATCCTTACGAGCTTGGCCGAGAGCGCTGATGGTCAGATCCTCAATGTCAACGCTGATATTGCCGCGGGAGAGCTCGCTAAGGAGCTCGAACCCCTCAAGATCGTATATTTGAACGAGAAAGGTGGTCTGTTCCACGGGGTCTCAGGCGAGAAGTTGGACGTGATCAATCTGGACGAGGTAAGCGCTTTCAAGTCTCACAGTTCGGGGAGTCGGAAACGACATCTTTTATAGGAATACAACGAGCTGATGAAGCAGCCGTGGGTCAAATACGGTACTAAGCTGAAGTTGCGGGAGATCAAGGAGCTCCTTGATCATCTTCCACGCTCCTCCTCTGTTGCGATCATCTCTGCCGCCTCTCTCCAGAAGGAGCTTTTCACCGATAGCGGGGCGGGAACGCTCATCCGTCGAGGCTACAAGCTGTTCAAACACGACTCTATCGATTCGCTGGGGGCGGACCGCCTGCGTCAGGTGATCCGCGACCGTGACCCGGACGTTCTCTCAGGAGACAAAACTGTCACAGAGGTCCTGAACAGCCTGAAGGGCACGCCGTACACTATCTATGGCGATGAACCCCTCGATGTCGTTGCCATCGTCGCTCATCCCGAGGGTGAAACTCCCGTCATGATTAAGCTTCTTCCCTCGCGTAGCGGCATCCTCAACAATGTTGTCGACAACGTTTTCAACGCCGTGAAGAAAGATTACCGCCGCCTGTTCTGGACTGCACACGCGGATGATGAGAACCGGGCATGGCACTTTGAGCGTGCGGACGGGAGCTTCACGCGCTCTGGAAAGAGCCTGTTTTGGTACGGCGTGCATGAAGTCCAGGAAGTCGAGCGTGTCGTCAAGCTGTTTGAGGAGAAGGGCAGGATCGATAGGGCGTACCTCCCAGTTGGCCCTGCTGCACCTCCGCACCGCAACCCGACTGGTACCCGGGCGTACTCGACAATGGCGCGTCGAGTTCCTGGCTCTTCCAGGGGTTACGCTACCGCCGCGGCTCCCACTGCCTCGACAGAGCGCAAGCGCCTTGCTCTGATCGGTGCACGGGGATATACTGGCCAGGCGTTGACTACCTTACTGTCCGGTCACCCTTACATCGACCTCACACACGTTTCTTCCCGCCAACTAGCAGGTCTTTCCTTGGATGGGTATACGAAGTCCGCCGTCACATACTCCAACTTGTCCATCCAGGACGTAGAGCGGATGGAGAAGGACGGGGAGGTGGACGCTTGGGTGATGGCCCTCCCAAACGGCGCGGCGAAGCCCTTCGTAGATGCTGTGGACAAAGGCACGAAAGAGCGCACGAGTGGCGAGGGCAGCGTGATAGTCGACCTCAGTGCTGACTACCGGTTCGAGAAGGAGTGGACGTATGGGCTTCCGGGTGAGGGACCTTCACTACTCGTGTAACTTTTCCGGTAATTAATTGAATGTCATGTGCGCGCTTTGCGTTCTTTGCGTGATGCTGCAGAACTGTACTCCAGGGATGCAATTCGAGGCTCCAAACGTGTTTCCAACCCCGGCTGCTATTCTACATCTTCGCAGCTTCTAATCGCACCCCTGCTCAAGTACCTCAATCGACCGGCGTGGCCCACCGTGTTCGGCATGTCCGGGTACAGCGGTGCGGGCACTGTCGCAGGCGCCACAGACCCCGACGGCCGCCCTGCGACTGTCGCAAAAGTGACCGCAGAGAGCCTCGCGGGCGGCGTCCGCCCATACGCTCTGACGGACCACATTCACGAACGCGAGGCCGGGACGCACCTGTCCAGCCTCTTGGGTGACCAGCCCCCAATGAAGCTCGCTTTCATCCCAAACGTCGCGCCGTGGTTCAGTGGGATCATATCGGTCCTGAGCATGCAGTTGAGCGAAAAGCTCACGGCGCGGGAAGTCAAGGCATTATACGAAGAGAGGTATCGTGGTGAAAGGCTGATCAAGATCCAGGGTCCCGTGCCAGAGGTAAAGGACGTTCAAAATCGCCATGGGTGGACCGTGGGAGGGTTCCAGGTGCACAGCCAGGGTGACCGTGCGGTCGTTGTTGTGAGTTTTCCGCTTATCTGTTGGAGTTGGGGAGGATGTTGATTACTTTGTTAGGGAGGCTTGGATAACCTGTTGAAAGGAGCGGCGACACAGTGCCTCCAGGTATGTGCAGATGGCATATCTTGATGACCGTGATACTCACATTGGTCTTTAATCCGTCCGGTAGAATCTGAATCTCACTCTGGGATACGACGAATACGCCGGCATTCCTACAGAGAACTGACCCTCTTGCGTCTCTTCTTTGTTGCTCGGCCAGTACATACTTATCTGCGCATATAATGTTAAATACATCGCCTAACCAGAGATAAAATCTGTACAAGTCGTATAATAAGAATCATGCCCGCACCGCTTGACAATTGGCAACGTTCCTAGCTTTTTGACGTCACCTGAGACGTCCTCTTCGCGTAAAGATCAAAAGTGCCGATGATCATAGCCTTGTGAATCGCACTGCTTTTCGTGCATAAACGACTTTGAATACCTGTGCGAACCTGTGCTTCGTGCATGAGTGGCCTGTATCCGAATCAATCAGTCAGTGGCAGTCCAATCAGCAGCAACTTTTCAGTTGGCCTCAAGCTTGTATCTGCACGACGACAACATCCAGTCTCCTTCGTTATCGAAGACGTTTCCGGAGGACAAGACAACAAAATACCGGAGAGACAAGCGCCTACAACTCTTTCTACGTTCGGTCTAGTCGAGTTGGAGTCATATCCTGGCTTCTGTTCGATATCTGTGGCAACCTTTCTCCTTGTCTTTAACATCTATACGTTCCAGCCCCACCAGCCCCGATTGAGCGACACATAATCTGCAAACATCGTTCCCCTCTGCCCAAATTACCCATCTGCCACAACCATGGGAGACGACCAGTCATACATGCAGAGCGCCCTGCACCAAATCCAGGCGAGTCCGGGGTACCCCACGCTACCTCTAGATGTTCCTCTGAATACGCGAGAACGGCAAGTGAAGGAGGTACGTGCAATCCCTTTCCTCCATGCTCTATTGAGGACTTCACGGCGTTGTTCTATATGCAGGTGCCGGAACCAGCCACATTTAAACCGACCGATGAGCAATTCTTCAAACACGATTCGCATGGGAGGAGGAGACCAAACCCCGATTTCTTGCGAGAGCACTTTTTGAGGGAGGGCAGATTGACGACCGAACAGGCGGTGACGATCCTCAGGCAGGCTACGGATCTATTGGCTTCGGAAGCGAATATCCTAGAAGTTCGAAGTCCAGTTACAGGTATGTGGTGTCCTGCGTTCTTTGCCACCATTCCTCACGACTACTATAAGTGGTCGGGGATATTCATGGTCAATATGTGAGCTCTTGTCTTCTTCCTTCGCACCATAGCTTATGGTTATGGGCTAGTACGACTTGATGAAGGTGTTCGAAGTGGGCGGGAACCTTTCCGATACAAACTATATATTTCTTGGCGATTATGTAGACAGAGGTTGTTTTGGCATCGAGGTCAGTCTACAACATGTCTCCGAAATCTTCAGCACTCATGATGTCTCCGCAGTGTTTGTTGTATCTTTATTCTCTCAAGCTCTGGTGGCCCGAACGAATGTTTCTCCTTCGTGGAAACCACGAATGCAAACATCTCACAGAATACTTTACTTTCAAAAGGGAGTGTAAGTGCATCAGACACGACTGAATGCTGTCTATCTACGCTAAAGCGAATACCCACAGGCCTCCACAAATACTCAGAAGAGGTGTATGAGGCATGTCTCGAATCATTCAACGCACTGCCCGTCGCAGGCTTGTTAGATGGCAAGTTCTTCTGTGTTCATGGTGGAATCTCTCCTGAGCTGAACACACTCGATGATATACGCCGTGTACGTTCAACTTCGCGATCTCACAAAAGGATAGTTCCATAACTCGTCTTGTACAGATGCATCGGTTCGAGGAACCAAAGTCGCACGGTCTCCTGTGCGATCTACTTTGGGCGGATCCGATACCTAACTTTGGACACGAAAACGAGCCATCGAACCAGGGTCCTGGGATTCCCAAAGGAACTTTATGGGAACACAATGGCGTTCGAGGTTGCTCATACTTTTACACGTAAGCCTAAGCCTGACTTGATATCAAGTGGCACAGCCTATAACATCTTCACAGGTATGAGGCTGTGGTAAAATTTTTGGCGCGGAATGAGCTTCTGGGAGTCATTCGAGCGCATGAGGCACAGGACGCGGGGTACGATTACACTGTTTGTATGCATTCAATATTCACTGAAGAGCTCAATAGATACACCATGTTCCGCAAGACGCCAACTAAAAAGTTTCCATCCGTAATAACAGTGTTCTCTGCGCCAAACTATCTTGATGTGTACCACAATCGCGGAGCTGTACTCAAGTATGCCAACAAGAACATCACGATCCGGCAATATCATTCGAGGAACCATCCCTACTGGCTACCGAACTTCATGGACGCGTTCACATGGAGTCTGCCATTTGTCGGTGCAAAGAGTATGTTCGATCTTAATCATTTATCAAACGCATCACTCAAGTGGAATCCTAGTCATCGAGATGCTGCTTGCTATCTTGAGCATCTGCTCTGAGGAAGAACTCGAAGACACATCTTCTGATGAAGACATGGACGAGACCCGCACAATTCCCGATGTGGCGCCCACCCCGAGCGAATTGTCTGCGAGGCGGGAGCAAATCAAGAACAAGATCTTGGTAGTTGGGAGGATGCAAAGGCTTTTCCAATTGCTCCGGTGCGATTTCCTCTATCTATACTAAACGGGACTGCCACACTGATGGCATTGCATGTCGCGTTTCCAGTGAGGAGTCTGAAAATGCCTCAGAGCTCGCGCCTAGCGATGCGGAAATGGCTGGCGTCGATGGCCCCCGAGTGGGCAACGACGCGCTCGGTGTACAGGGCAACCAAATCCGACAGTACATCCGCAGCTTTGACGATGCGTGAGTGTTCCTTCACGCTCCGTGTCTTTCGGTGTTCTCATCGATTTGTACAGCCGCCGCCTCGATCAAGCAAACGAGCGCCTTCCGCATTTCGACTTTGCGCCCACATCGTACCCGCTTGTGCCTGTGCCATCCATGCGGCAACCCTTGCACACCCAATTACAGCGGTCTTACAGCGGCGCCAGTACACCGACGGGCGAAACAGATGATGGAGAGGATGCGGTACCTCCCGGTGCATGGCCTCAACAGTTGGGCATGGAGGCACTCATCCGGCGCACACTCGAGGAAGACGAGGGCACGGGTGGAGTGGTCGAACTGCTCGCGGAGCGGATTGCCAGAGGACGCAAGCCGACTGGGAGGCCGCGCCCTCTGAAGAGACACGAGACTGCGTGATCGAGCTGGGCCGCTACGATATTAGTCTGGCGACTGCCTCGCCTGAACGAATGGATGGATGGATGGATGAATGGATTTATGACGACTACGAAGACTGTAATCTGTATACCTGTGTACGTCCTGTTTGCAGTAATCGCTGTGTGGCTCGTTGATGGCTGTGGTGAGGTTCCACCGTCTGTGCAAAGGTGATTGATGATCTATTGTGTTCGCATTTCAAGCCTCTAGATGTGGTACGCCTCGAACCAAATTCCTCAGCTGCTCGAAACGTGGCGTCCGCAGATATCTGGGTGGCATGATTCAGTACGACCCGCCGCTTCTGGGGATCGGAGCTATTCGGAGCTCCAGTTCCGCGCACCTGCACTCCTGACAAGCCTCGTGGATATTCCGCTCTCGACATTGCGCCGTAGAATGGCTTCTACGCACAATTGGATGCCCTTCGTCGTGGGGAAATTTTGTCGTCGAGCTATATAGGATAGAGCGCAGAAGGGTATTCAAGAGTGGCTTCTCGAGATACTGACAGCTTCACGAGATAGTTCGTCGTCAGAGTGGTCGGAAAGGGCAATGTGACCAAAGCCCGCCGCGATCATGTCTTCAAGGCTGCCCGTGCGGCCCGTCATACTGAGCATGAGTGTCTCGCAACCATCATGGACAGCGTCGACAAGGTAATATAAATATGAAACAGCAAGGGGCGTCTTCTCGCAAGCATGGCTGCCATCCTCACCGTTCTGCTCACGCTCGCATGCGGCTTGTCACGGTCGCCCGTCCTCGCAGTGGGCAACCTAGGGCTCGCTCCCCACCAAATCAAGAACCTGGTGGCCTTCGGCGACTCGTATACCGACGTCGTCGCCATCAGCGACGGCGGCACGCCGTGGCCCGTGTACGCCGCGTCCTACGCGGGCGTGCGGCTGCTCCCGTTCGCGCGCTCGGGCGCGCCGTGCTCGCAGGCGCTCACGCCGCGCCCGTTCCCGGCGGTCGTGCAGGACGAGCTGCCGGCGTACTTCGCGGAGCTGCGCAACGGGACGCTCGGCGCGCTGCCGCCCGCGGAGACGCTATACACGCTGTGGATCGGGACGAACGACCTCGGCCCGAACACGCTGCTGACGGGCCAGGCGCGCGATGGGGCGGACGTCGTCGCGGTCACGGCGTGCGCGGTCGGGTGGGTGCAGACGCTGTACGACGCCGGCGCGCGGAACTTTCTGTTCCAGAACGTGCGTGCTCTTTCTCTTGCGTGGCGTGGCGGCTTGCGGATTGCGCGCGCAGCTGGTTCCGCTTGACCGCCTCCCTCTGTACGCGGTCGACTCGTACCCGAACCGGTATTGGACCGCGCAGCGCAACACGACCGAGTGGCACCTCTTCATGTCCGAGCTGACCGCCGCCGGCAACGCGCTCTCGCGGCTGATGCTCCAAGCCCTTGCCCCGTCTCTCCCGGGCGCGCACGTCGGTGAGGCTCTCGACTATCTCTCGCTGAGGAAGGGAGGCTGAATGCTCATGCTTGCACGCGTGCGCGCGCGTAGGGCTGTTCGACTCGCATGCGCTCTTCAGCGACATCCTCGACCGCCCGGCGGCCTACCTGAACGGCACCGCGCCGCTGAACACGACCGGCGCGGCCGACGCGTGCGTGTACGCGCTCGGGGGCGACGCGAGCACCGCGCGGTGCACGGTCGCGACGGGGTCCGCCCGGGACAGCTTCGTCTGGTGCGTACGCCCCCGCCTTCCGCCGCGCCGTCTTCATCTCAAGTTCGCTGATTACGCGTGGGACGCGGCCGGCGTGCGTTCTGTTTCTCCTTCGTGTGCGCGTGCGTGTGCGGGTAGGTACGACGAGCTGCACCCGTCCGAGCAGTCGGACAGGATCGTGGCGCGCGAGATCGCAAACACGCTCACAGACAAGGGGAGCCGGTGGACGACGTGGTTCAGCTGAGGATTCAGGCGCCGCGCGCAGTGCGTAGTACTGGTACGAGTAGAGCCTCTCCCTCGCGATGTAGCTTCGAGCGACGAGCACTCTCCCAATCAAAACGGACCTTTGGCGGGGCCTGACTTGTGGCATGATGCATGATACTTCGTGACGACGGAGGCCTGAAGTAGACGCCCCAGCGCAAGGAGCCGTACAGTAATTCCTCGAGTATGTATTTCGCAGATCCCGCATCGAAAGCACCCCATCGCATCGCATCGCATCGTCATCTCGTCATCTCAGATCAGACGCCGAGCAGCAGCGCGCGGCAGTCAGAAGCCCGACAGGACAGAATGAACATCCGCAGGCCGCTCACAAATAAAGAAAAGGAAAGGAAAGAAGAAAAACAGTCACTGGAATACAACAGCGCACCGGCCAACCGAGCAAACAAGAGACGTGAAGAGACGATATGATAAAAACGACGCGCATGTATCCCCAAGTTCGTCCGTCACCCACTGCGAGCATGAGCATGAGCACGACCACAGCCACAGCCACAACCACGAGCGCGACCACAACCACGACCACCACGACCACCACGACCACCAAGCAGCTACGCAAGGCTCAGAACAGCCCAACGAGGTCCGCAAACGGGTCCTTCCCCTGCGTCTGCGTCTGCGTCTGCGCCTGCTGTCCCCCCACAGCGCCCCCGCCCGTCGCCATGCTCATCCCCGCCCCAGCCCCGATCCCCGCTCCGATCCCCGCCCCGGCCCCCGTCCCCGTCGCATGCGGACTCGGCGTCCCCGGCAGCATAATCTGCCCAAACGGCGCCGACGTCGGCCGCGACTGCGGGCTCGCGCTCCCGCCCGCGCCCCCATACGCGAACTGTGCCGGCGCGCCGGGCGGGTATGGCGATGGCGATGGGTGCGGGTATGTTTGTGGGTATGGGTATGGCGGGCGGGGCTGCAGCGGCGGGGCTGGCCCTGGCCCTGGCGCGTGCGATGGTTGCGATGCGGGGTGCGGGAGCTGTGTTTGTGTTTGGTAGGGGTGGTAAGGGGACGGCGCGTATTGTGCGCTGGTGTTGAACGCGGCGAGGATAGACGCGTGCCCGTTCGACGCCTGCTGACTCGCCGACGACGACGACGTCGTTGTTGTTGCTGCGGCCGACGGCCCAAACAAATCCGCGAGCTCGTCCACCGGGCGACCCGACCCTACCGCCCCCGCTGCTGCTGAGGCCGCCGCGGCGTCCGCGGCGTCGTCAAAGTCGATGAGCGAGAGGCCCGTCGTGCCGGGGCCGAGCTCGGACGGGATGGGGTTCGACGCGGCGGCGAAATCGCCGCGCTTGTAGGCCTCGTAGCGCGCGAGGACGGTGTTGATCTGGTCGTTGATCTGCAGGTAGGTGTCTGCCGCGCGCGGTGCGAGAGGGGGGCGCGTGAGTGGGTACAGACGATGTGGGGTGGACAAGGGAGGAGGGAGAGGGGGGCGTACCGAGGGATTCTGGGTCGTCGGATTCGGCGTCGGATATCCACTTTTGGATCTTTGGGCGCGACGCGACGAGTATCGACGCGACTTGCTGCGCGCGCGAGCGAGCGAGAAGAAGAGAAAATGAGAGACCTGGCATCACAGCACAACACAGCACAGCGCTGAGCGCCGGGCGCGCCGACGCGCGCGCACACGCACCTCGTACACGTCTCCGCGCGCGAACTGCTCGCCCTGGGCGGTGTCGACATTGTCGAGGATCTCGTTGAGGAGGATGACCTTCTGCTCGAGCTTGTTGAGCTCGGCGAGGGCCTGGGTGCGGTAGTCGGGGCGGGCGTCGGGGTCGGCGCCGGCAAGGGCCTTCATGAGCTCCTGGGCGGCGGCGAGGTCGCGCGGGGTGCCGCGGCGGATGAGCTCCTGGAGCTTCGCGGACTGGGCGGCGCGGTCTTCGGACTCGAGCTCCTCGGCGGATTTGAGGTTCTGTGGGCGAGCGAGATGAGGATGAGAGGTCGCGCGGGGGTGGGAGAGTGGGAGAGTACGCACGGAGGTGGCGGAGGCGGAGGGGGCGGCGCGGGGGATCTGCCTGAAGCGGTAGCCCTTGAATGAGAGGAGCCTGTGCATGTCCCTGATGTTTCCGAGGTCATCCTTCCACTTTGACTCGACGCAGATGCCCTCCTTCCAGGTGTTGATGAGGTCGAGGACGCGGGACATGACGGGGCTGGGGAAGGGTGGGGGGCGCTCGGGAAAGCGGCGGACGAGCTCGTTGAGGAAGTCCTTGGTGGCGATCTGGAGGTAGATGGGGTAGCCGCAGGACTGGACGAGGGTGTCGAGGAGGGCGAGGGCGAGCATTGCGACGTGGGGGTTGCGGTGGTTGACGAGGCGGGCGATGAGCATGGCGGCCTCGCGGGGGCTGGGGTGGACGGAAGAGAGGGCGGGGTCGGATGGGTGGGTGGGAGGGAGGGGACGAGGGGAGCGGGGACGTACTTGTTGGCCTTCTTTTGGTTGATGTAGTCTGCGACCTCGAGGTGGAGGGCGTAGTTGGGCTCATGGAGGGAGGCGGCGGTGGCTCTGCTGATGAGGACCTCGAGGGGGCTGGCATTGATCCAGCTGGCGGGGCTGTTGTTCCACATGGCGGCGGCGACGGCGAGGACGACGAGGACGACGGCGAGGAGGAGGAGAGAGTGTGTGTGTGGCGGAGGGAGAGCGGGAGTTGCCGGCCTGTGCGAGCTGGCTCAGAGGCCAGCTCGGCGCTCACTCACTCAGCACGATGGCCGCAACACCGTCCGGCTCACGCGCCGCCCACGCACGCGCCATCCTCGGCGCCGCCCTCCACGACCGTCTCCCGCACACCCACGTCCTCCTCGTCGGCGCAGGCGGCATCGGCTGCGAACTCCGTACGTCCCCCGCGCTCACGCACGCAATGCCCCCGGCTCACGCGCTGCGCTGCTCCTGCACAGTGAAAAACATCGTGCTCGCCGGCTTCGGCCACATCACCCTGCTCGACCTCGACACGATCGACCTCTCCAACCTCAACCGCCAGTTCCTCTTCAGGAAAAAAGACGTAAAGCAGAGCAAGGCCCTCGTGCGTGGCCCCCGCCTATCCACCGCTCCTCTCACCCACCGTGCGTGTGGCTCCCACACAGGTCGCCGCCCGCACCGCCTCCGCGTTCAACCCCTCCGTACACATCACCCCCGTCCACGCCAATATCAAAGACCCGCAGTTCGACCTCCCCTGGTTCAAGTCCTTCGACATCGTCCTCAACGCGCTCGACAACCTCGGTACGTCCACGCCACCGTCCCTCCGCAGCACCGCATCGCACCGCATCTCATCTAACGGGGCGACCAACGCGCCTGTCGCGCGTAGACGCGCGCAGGCACGTGAACAGGATGTGCATGGCCGGCGCCATCCCGCTCGTCGAGTCCGGCACCGCGGGCTACCTCGGCCAGGTCCAGCCCCTCCTCAAGGTGCGTTCGCGCGCCCGCGTCCGCCGACTCGTCTCACGCGACCGCGATCGAACAGGACCGCACAGAGTGCTTCGACTGCATCCCAAAGCCGACGCCCAAGACGTTCCCGGTGTGCACCATCCGCTCGACCCCATCCCAGCCCATCCACTGCATCGTCTGGGCAAAGAGCTACCTCATGGGGTCAGTCAGCCCGCCCGCCCACCCCCTACGCCCTCCCTTGCCACCGCGCGTTTTGCTGACACCCCTTGCTCGCACCCGCGCGCGACCGCAGCCAGCTGTTCGGCGAAGACGAGGACGCGACGGGCGAGCTCGACGACGCGGAGAAGCAAGGCGAGAACGGTGCGCGCTGCCCCCTTCCTTCGTCCCTTCCTTTCCCCCTTCCCTTCCCTCCCTTTTTTGTCCCCCCACGTCCGCGACGCGCCTCTGACGCGTCGTCTCTCCCCGTCCCGGGATGAACGCCCGCGGGTCACGTCCGCCAGCCCAAGAAATCGCGACGCTCCGCCGGGAAGCGAGCGCGTTCCAGTCTGTGCGCGCCGCGCTGCGCTCCGCCTCGATCGGGAGCGGAAAAGACGCCGCGCGCATCGCGTTCCAGAAGGTACGCACACGCACACGCACCACACTCCCCATCCCTGCACCTCCTCGCCCCCCGCTCATCCCTCGACCCCTCTTGCTTGCTCGCTACGGATGACGCGCACGACAGGTGTTCGACGCCGACATCCGGAACCTGCTCTCGATGGAGGACATGTGGCGCTACCGCGCGAAGCCCGTCCCGCTCGACTTTGACGCGCTCGCCGCGGGCACGTTCGTCCTCCGCGACGATCCCGCCGCCACCACGGGCAACGGCAACGGCAATAGCAACGGCAATGGCCAGGCGAAGGGCGCGGGCGGGGCGGGCGGGCTGAAGGACCAGCGCGCGCTGTCGCTGCGGGATAATTGGGAGCTGTTCGTCGCGAGGTCAGTCTCGCGCGCGCGCGCCACCCTTTTATTATACATCGAGACTGACGCCGCACACTCACGCCCGCACGCACGCACACTCGCTCGCTCGCAGCACGGAGCGGCTGGCGGCGCGGCTGCGGGCGGGCGAGGAGACGATCGCGTTCGACAAGGACGACGACGAGACGCTCGACTTCGTGACGGCAGCCGCGAACCTGCGCTCGGCCGCGTACGGGATCGCGCCGCAGAGCCGCTGGGAGGTCAAAGGTGCGTCCCGCCCCCCACGTATCCCTCGGAACGCTCACCCCCCCGCGCGCGTGTGTGTGTGTGTGCAGAGATGGCGGGGAACATCATCCCGGCGATCGCGACGACGAACGCGGTCGTCGCGGGGCTGATCGTGCTGCAGGCGCTGCACCTCCTCCGCGGCGCGGGCGGCGGGCACGACGCGCTGCGCAACGTGCACCTACAGTTCAAGCCCGCGGTGCCGCTGAGCGCAGTGACGCTCTCCTCGCCGAGCGCGCGCTGCGGCGTGTGCCGCGACGCGTACGCGGTGGTGCGGTGCGACCCCGCGCGCGCGACGCTGCGCGCGGTCGTCGACGGCGTGCTGGGCTACGGCGCGATGGAGGACGGCGCGATGGAGGACGGGGAGGCGCGGCGGGAGGTGAGCACGTACGAAGAGAAGCGGCTGCTGAGCGACCCCGACTTTGAGGACAACCTCGATCGGACGTTGGAGAGCCTTGGCGTGACGCGCGGGAAGTTCCTGAGCGTCGTGGACGAGGACGGCGCGCGCGAGACGGTCACGCTCGCCATCGCGGCCCTCCCGTAAGTCCCCTGCTCATCTCTTGTCGACGACCTGTGTGCGTGCGTGTGCGTGTGTGCGTGTGTGCTAAGTTTTGGATGGCGCGCAGGCCGGACCACCCCGCGGACGGGCCCGCGCTCATCCTGCCCTCCCCCCTCCCGAACCCAGCGCCCAAACCCAAGCTCCCAGACGTGCGCGCGTCTCCGTCCCCGCCGCCCGCGCGCGCGCGCGCTCCGTCCACGCCTCCTCCACCGCGCAAGCGCGCGGCGCCGGACGACGCAGACGCGGAACCGGGCACAGGCGAGCGCGCTGCGAAGCGGGCGCGGCGGGCGGACGGCGGGGGCCACGGTTTGTATACGCCGAGCAAGCAGCGGAGGTTGGAGGACGACGGGCTGGTTATACTGGAGAGCGGGGGCGGGGCGCCGGACGACGTGATCGAGATCGATTGAGGCGCGGCGGGTCGTCGGGTTGGCGGGCGGGTTGGCGGGCGGGTTGGCGGAGGTGGAGGTGGAGGTGGAGGTGCGGCGTCGGCACGGGTGGTGTGTATTCATCGTGCGCCAGTGTGGGCGCGCGGACGGCGGCGCGGCGGCGCGTGTAGAGTTTTTTTTATGACATCGATATCTTTGAGGACGCGCCGATATGCGCGTGGTCTGCGTATAGTATTGATATTGGGATTTCCCTCTGGGACGCAGAGCTGCAGGCTTGTCGCATGCTCGTACAACACGCATGTGCGCGTGTATGTGTGTCTCACCGAGAGTGCGAGAGTGGGAAGACCAGGGGCTGCGCTCCGGCTGAACGCAGGGCGCCTGGCAGAGATGGGTCTATGGATTGTGCGGCCGCGAGCGCGACGGGGCGGTACATACAACTACATACAGAATAAATTCACGGCGATTCGAGGGCTTTACCGTAGCCTGCGTCTTCCCCTCCTTCGCATCTACACCCCGCGTCTCTCGCGCCTCTCGCGCGGGCGGCTAGGTGGCCGGTGCGACGACGCCGCACGCGGGGCAGCGGCGGAGTGCGGGGTCCGCGATCCAGCGCTCGATGAGGGGCTTGAGCTGGGTGCCGAGGTCGGTCACGTGGAAGGCGTCTTCGCGGATGATCGTGGGCGCGGCGTGGGCGGGTTCGCGGCAGTACCAGCGGAGGCGGTCTGTGGGCCGGCGGCGGCGGCGGGGGTGAGTCGTGGGATGGAAAGTGGGGAAGCGAGGCGACGCACCTGTTGCGTCTGCGGGGCGGACGCGCTCGATGACGAGCCCGATGGTGTCTGCGAAGCGGACGGGGTTGTGCGGGGTGTTGGCTGGAGGCGCGGTGGGTCAGTGCGGCCGCGGTTGGGAGAGAGCGGGGGAGGGTCACGGACCGGGGAGGAGGAACATCTCGCCCTCTGCGATGTGGATGTCCTCGAATGCGTCGCCGTCGACGACGCGCAGGAGCATCGCGCCCCGGTACTGGTAGAACCACTCCTGCAGCACACACCGTCGATCAGCGTCATCCCCGTCGTCATCCCCGTGCTCCGTGCTCCGTGCCCCGTGCTCCGTGCCCCGTGCCCCATCCGTCCAAAAACAGACGCCCGCCCTGGCCCCGCTGACAGCTTCGCAGCGACGGACAAAAGGGGGACCACAGGGCACGCGCACGCCTCCGCCACGACGCACCTCGGTCTCGTTGACGTGATAGTCGCGCCGCTCGTTCGGGCCCCCGACCGCCATCACGACGTAGTCCGCGCCCGCGTACAGGCAGAAGTTGTTCACGGGCGGCTTCAGCAGCTCCCCGTGCGTGCGCAGCCACAGCGGCAGGTTCAGCGGCGGCGCGAGCGGCATCTCCAGGGCGCTTGAGTCTCTGAGCGGCGGTGCGGGAGCTCGATGGGACGGTGTAGGTCAGAGGCGTGCGTCCGTGCGCTCGATGCTTAGGAGGAGGAGGAGATGTGTGTTTTTCGACGAGGAGATAATCCTTGCGAGATAAGATGAGTCAGTCACTTACTCATTCCGCGCGGGCCGGTCCGCCGGTCCGTTTTCAGAACGCAACGCTCCATTGATCCATGCCATACAACATACAACCAAAGATGCTTTCGTAGTACAATTCCCTCCATGTGATGCCTTCTCCCAACATTCCTCACTTAGTAGATGAAACAATACCCGTCCCTCTTCAGCCGACAACGTCCTCACACCGAACATTCCGCGAGCCGATCAGAAGCCCCCTGCGTCGGACGCCCGCTCATCAGCACCGCCGTCTATGCAGCGTAGCCAGCTAGCACACTGCAAAAACACAGACACTCACCGCCAAACTTGCTCAAGCCCTCCCGCAGGCCGCTCCCGATCTTGTCCGCCGTCGCAGAGTCCTGCACACGCGCACCCGTCAGCGCGCGTCCAAGAACAAAACCAAGACAGTACACCGGGGAGGGTCGAGAACGGCGAACGCACCAGGTTGTACCCCGCCTTTTGGGCGGCGAATGACACGCCCTTGTCCAGCCAGTCTCCGCCGCCGGTCGAGCCCTGCCCGTACCCGCCTCCGCTGCTGCTGTTGGAGTTGGAATTGTTGTTCGAGCTGTCGTTCGAGCCGCTGTTGCCGCTCGAGCCGTAGCTGTCGTCGTCGTTCCCAGACCCGTACGACGCCGTCTTGTTGCTGCCGTAGCTGTCCGAGTCGCCGCTGTTGCTGTTGCTGTTGCCGCTGTTGTTGTTCTTGTTGCTGCTGTTGTAGCTGTCGTTGCCGCCGCCGTTGTTGTTGTTGTCGTTCTTGTTGCGGCTCGAGCCGTACGAGCCCGAGTTGTCGTTATCGTCGCTCCCAACGTTGTTCGAGCCATACGACGACGTCGTCGTAGTCGTGGCGGCATTGTTGTTGTCGCGGCCCGACCCGTACGACGAGTTGTTCCCCTTCTGCCCGTCGTCCCCGCTCGACCCATACGAGTCCCCGCCCCCGCCATACGCCGACGACGCGCTGTTCCCGCCCCCGTACGTGCCCCCGCCCGCGCTCTTGGCCGACCCGTACGAGTCGCCGTTCCCGCCGTACGACGCGCCGTCGTTGTCGTCGCCTTGACCAGACTGCTGCCTGCTCTGCGAGCCATACGAGTCGCCGCCGCCGCCGTTACCGCTGTTGTTGTAAGAGTCGTTGTTGTTGTTTCTGTTAGAGGTGGTGTTGTTGTTGTTGTTCCCCCCGAACGAGCCGTCGTCGTTCCTCCCCGTGGCGTTCGAGCCATACGAGTTGGAGCCGTACGAGTCGCCGCTGTCGTTGTCGTTGTTATAAGACATGGCGATGAACGAGAATTCGAATGTAGAACGAAAATGCGGATGCGAGCGTGCGGCGGGTTGGATTGGGCTGGGCTGGTGCGAGGAAAGCTGGGGGCGGATTTATATACCGTACCGATCCCGCCCCGCCATTGCGTCGATCCCGAATGGATCGTGCGAGCTCGTGCGCGACGTCATCGCCGCCACGCTCTCGGTAGGCCACGCCCGCGCGGCTTCCAGTCGGCTTCCCCGCCGCACGTCATTATTCATGGTTATAAGTATAGCTCGACGGCCGGGCTGACAGCTGCAGCGGGCTATACAGGAAGGACTAGCGCGTGCGGCGGTGCGCATGCGCACGCACGCGCGGTCGCAGTGCGCTGCTGCTCGTCGGTCGCCGGGTGCCCATGGACAGGTACGGCCAGGCTCCAAGGGGCGCCTCGAGCTTCAGAAGCCATTGGAAGGAACTTGGAAGGTCCGGGAATGATTGGGCGAGCGAGGCACCGGCCTGGAGAAGAACGCGACGTGGGAGCGTCTTGACGTGATCGTCGATACGGCAGTCTCACCGCACTTGTAGTGACTTATTCGTGCTGGCCCGCGTTCGTCCCGCCGGTGCAGCCGCCGTGGCGCCGCCGTCGCCGGGATGCGGTGCAGATCGCGTCTTTGGGCGTGCCTGGGGTTGGCTTCGGAGGCCCTCCGCGCCCCTGCGAGTCCAGCATGCCCTCAGATGCCCTCAGATGCCGTCGAAGAGCTTCTCGAATGGCGGACCCTGCCTGCTCCACGGCACCGCCCTGGGAGCGCGATCGCGATGGCGGACGGACGGTGGGGCATGGTAGGGTGCACCCGGTGACCTCTTCGTCGGCGCTCGACCGTGTCATTTGCGGAACGCGGCGCGCGAGGGCGCACGGGGGTCGGCATCGAATGTCGAATCGATGTCGAATAATTGAGATCGGACGATCGAGGGCCAGCGCGGCGCCGGGACGTATTTCGTGCACGCTAGTAGACTGCTCGTAAGCCAGCAGCGCCGGCCGTCTGCCACGCCCGCACGTTCCCTGCGACACACCCTGACACGCCCTAAATGTATGCGCGTCGCCTCGTTGACGTTATCACGAGTGAGCGCGTGGATGAATGGAAGGAGGAGGGGAGGGAGGGGAAGGAGGAGGCACCGCCCGAGACAGCGCGAGCGGATGCGGACTGGAGGGCTGGACCGTCGAGGCGTCGCGCGCCCAATCCGGCTTGCTAGTGAGTGTCAGCCTAGCTCGTAGTAGCTAGTGCAGAGCACCGTAAGCAGCACGAGGACAAGCACAAGTAAGCGCCGCTCGTACGCGGACCCCTCCGCGCAAGACGTCGCGGCTATATTAAGTGATCAGCGTCGGACGTGCGAACGTGCGAACGTTCGCTACTTCAAAACGTCGGTGTTGAACGATGTCGGCGATTATTGGGAATGTTGACGGGGCGGTCACACGTGAATACATAGTGCGAGGCTGTGAGCTCAAGCTCAAGCTCGAGGCGAGGCGCGGCGCGGGGGAGCCAGGGATGCGATGGCAGGAAGATGGGAAGCGCGAGTTCTAGAGGCGCTGACGGGACGGATGGAACAGCGAAGCCTACTCACACGCATAATTATGCACGGCGCACACGCTGGAAACAGCCAAGCGGAGCCCCACGCATAGCATCACGGACCCGCGCGCGCCGTAAAGCAAACGGACGACCGCCGCGTTCTCATTGCTTCCAGTCAGGCGATATCACACACGCACCAGATCGCAATAGCCCACCAGCCCGCTCCCGTACTCCCTCACTGCCCCCGCCCCCGCCCCGTCCAAAACACTCCCCACGCGCTCCACCGCCTCCGCCAGCACCGCACACAGCCCCGCCTCGCCCTCGTACAAGCTCCACGGCCGATCCGGCCGCCCAAATGCCGGCGTCCCTCGCAGCTCGACGCACCGCAGCAGGAGGCGCACCCCGCCCGCCATCGCCGACGCCGCCGCGGCACGATGCCCGGCGCCCGCGCGCCCGAGCGCGTCGCTCGCGCAGAACAGCGCGCACGCGTTCCCCGCGGCGCCGTGGCAGAGCCCCGGGCCCTTGCGCAGGAGGCCGCGCGCGCTCACGAGGGCGGCGCCGTGTGCGAGGGCGGAGAGGAGTGCGGGGCGCAGGGCGGGGGGTAGTGAGAGCGCGGGGGCGGGGAGGTGCGATGACGATGCGGGTTGGGGGTCGGGTTGGGGTTGGGGTTCCGAGAGCGCGAGCGCGGTCGCGAGGAGGGGGAGGATTCCGGGGGCGCCGTGGCACCACCTGCGGGCGGTAAAGTGTCGTTGTCGGTGTCGTTAGCTCACGTACCGCGTTTGCGCTCGGCTAAGGCGGCGTACTGGACGAGGTCGTTCTCCCTGTCCTGGTCGTCGTGGCGAGCAGGGGCTTTGGAGGGCCAGTTGCCGGTGCGGTCTTGGAGGGAGACCAGGTAGGCGAGCGTGGACGATATCGCGGCGGTGTGTGGGTAGAGGAGGGCAGGTGGCGCGTGCAGGATGATCTGCAGGATGCCGGCTGTGGGGGAGGGGGAGGAAGATCGGCGCGGCGCAAGGGAAAGGACAGAGCGCGGCGGGGGCGTGGATGGGGAGACAAGACGCACCGACGCCGTGCGCGCCGCCGAGGTAGCGCTTCCCATGCCAGCGCCACATCAGCGCCGGCCGCGGGGTCTCTGAACCGCCACCGTCGCCGTCGCCGACGCCGACGCCGCTCCTCGGCTCGAGCTCCTGCGCGAACCGCGCGGCGCCGGCCTGTCCGCGCGCGATGATGCCGTCGACGAGCGGCCTGAGCGCTTGCGAGGACGTCAGCGGGCGCACGAGCGCGTGGAGCGCGGAGAGGGGGGCATCGGACGAGCGGCGAGCGTGTGGTGTTTGCGCGCCAGGGGTACACTTGTGGAGCGCCGCGCGCAGGAGGAGCAGGGCGTAGAGCAGGCCCGCACGCCCGTACAGGAGCTCGCACCCGTCTTCGGCGTCGGTTGTGGTGAACGGCGGTGCGAGCGCGAGCGCGGAGGAGAGGAGGGCTGCGCAGCGTGCGCATGTGCGGTGGGAGAAGGGAGGTCTTGGTGGGGAGGTGGAGGCGGAGGCGAGGTGGTGCAGCTGGTAGAGGAGGACGAGGGTGGCAGGGCCGACGCTGGTGTCGAGGAAGGCGACCTTGGAGCCGGATGTCGGTATAGAGAGGGCGTCAGAGGCGAGTGCATGGGTCAGTTGCGCGTGGGCTATAAGGAGGAGGTTGTGGGGCTGCAGGATTGGGAGGGCGGTGGTTGATAGTCGGAAGTTCATGAGCGAGATGCCTAGGACCGAGAGGGGTGAGCGGACGGGGGTTAGCGCGGGCGATGAGAGGTGGGGAGGAGCGCGCCTGCGAGTCCTGCGTAGACTTTGGAGCGGGGGTGTTCTGCTGCATGCTGGTTTACGGACGTGAGTAATTGGAGGAGGGCGGAGGACAGCTGGGCGTGGATGGTCCTGAGAGAGCTCGAGGACGGACTTAGGCGAGGCAAAGGCGAGGCTGAGATGTCGATGTACCGAGAATGAGTCTGGGGAGTAGGATCCATGATGGGATATTCAGCTCGGGAGGACTGTTTGTGGGCGTGACGTATACGAGCGTATACGTGACGAAACTCCTCTCAGGGTTTCGAGACGTCTAGCCATCTATGCCGTGCATCCGTCATGGAGCGCACACTATCACCACTACCGTTGAAAGCATCGTCATTCGCGGGGCCCAGCTGCCCACGGCTACGACTCGAGGATGAGTGCACCACAGCGCACGAAGGAACGAGCTGACACTGTTTAGTCACCGATTCGTGGGAACCCCTATCTGGCGAGGGCTCCACTTCGGGACGGCCGGCGCTTCTCGCTCGACAGGTGGGCACCGACCCTCACCTCGCTAGGTGTGCTACGGGATGCGCATATACTAACGGAGAACAGGAACGTTTCCGCTTGAAAGGGCATCAGAACCGTTCGAAGTCATCGGCACTAGACCCAAACATCGATATCAGCGGACGGAATGCGGATGGCATTTGAATTGTTAGAGTAACCCGCAAGACGTCGTGTTTGGCCTGTCGCGATAGGTAGGCGCGGTAAAAGAAGTGCTGCAAAGATATTTCGACTCGCATCTCATCGGTATACTAGGTATGACATGACGAGACTGGCGATGTATGTCAAACCGCGTCGAGCTCGACAATGCCGCATTGCTCACCTATTCACATGTTGAACCAAATGCAAGTGACCAGGTATAAGACAGCGTCTACCTCCGCGTCCCGCCGAGGGCCAGGTAGATGATCTGGAGGATGCACGTCCATCCTGGCGTCAACCAGTCAGAGTTGTACATCCTGCAGTATTCCCAGTATTCCGGGTAGAAGCCCCCCGTGGCCCAGTCGACAACAGCAGTGATCGTGGACCCGTCGACGATGATGTTCCTCGGGATCAAGTCCCTGTGGGTGAACCGGATGGGGGCGTTCCGGGGAAAGTGCGAGAGCAGCTGCTCGGTCCAGTCTTCGGCGCTGAAATACAACAGCATGCGGCGGAAGTAGTCGGTGAACTCGCCGACGCTCGTGAATGCGTGCTTTGGAGAGACATGCCGGGGGGGGGGGGGGGGGGGGGAAGCAGTTGCGGAACGGCCCTCCGGTGACCGCCCCGAGCGTCTTCGGTTTGACGGTGTGCATCTGCCGCAGAATGGACTTGAGCTGGGCAGCAACGTGCTGGAGCTGCTCTTCTGTCATGTCGTCGACGACCTTGTCGAGAGAGACACAGGGTGCGCGTTCGACACAGATGTACCACGCACCGGTCGTCATCGTATGGAAGAGCTGTGATGGTATGGAAGAGCTGTGATGGCTAGTAGGCGAGGCGGGGGTGGTACAGGATGCGAGGCACAGGCAAGGAAACCTTCTCGCACGCGTAACAGGCGCAGATGACTTCCTCCGAAAGATTATAGCTTGTTTTGACAAGGATGCCCGGAGATGACTCGACGACGATGCTAGCATTGCCCTTATAGACGACGCGCTCGGATGGGACCGCGTGCAAGTCTATCTACGTCGTTAGCACCCAGAGACCGCCAGGCGGAACTGCTACGGTTCCCGGACTGCCTGCGTTCAGAACGTGCGAGGACATGTCTGTTGTGAAGGAGCTTTATGCAGCTGCAGCTGTTGTAGAAGCTGTACTTGTCCACTCACCATAGGTGGCCGCCGTAAGCAGCAACGTTGAAAGATATTCTTCAACCTCGGACGGGCGTCACCGCAAAGTTGTGAATAATCAGGCAAGCCAGAAGTGGCGTTGCCGCAGCTTGCCACAGTCCACTGCCGGCTGCAGGGCGCTACGGAGCCGAGACACGATCAAGTACACTTTCAACCGTCTATCAGAGTCTATCATGTTGAGATATGGGCTAGAAGTATTACTCAGCGTCTGTGTAGATCACTATATATTGAATCGGTAAGTACCTAGAAGTATTACTACGTGATAGAAGCGTAAGTAAAAGTGACATCTATGTCTTAAGAAGAAGCAGGCTCACCTCAGCGTCTGTGTAGATCACTGAGGGAAGCCCGACACCGAAGGCGTCAGTAACTACAAGCGCAGTGGCTGAGAGCTGTATAGTACTTCGGCAATCTCCGAGCTCGTCAAGTAAGTACGCAATAAGTAAATCATAAGAAAGAGATGACAAAGGTGATTTGCCTCAGTCCAACACACCCCCTCAAATCTCCTGAAGTCCAATAAGCTCTATCATCTTCTCAATCTTCTGACGAGCCAGCGGTTTAGTAAATCCGTCAGCCGCCATCTCGCCAGTAGGACAGTAGCGTAGCTCAATGAAGTTCTTCTCGATAATGTCGCGGATGAAATGATAGCGGATGTCAATGTGCTTTGTGCGAGAATGGAAGGCATCATTCTTGGCAAGGGCAATGGCGGATTGGTTATCGCCATAGAGAATGGTAGGTGTGGTGAGAGGGGAGAAGATGTTGCCTAAGAACATACGGATCCACAATGCTTCCTTCGTTGCATGAGCGAGCGCGACATACTCCGCCTCGGTGCTAGACTGAGCAACAATTGACTGCTTCTTGGAAGACCAAGACACAGCGCCACCATCGAACAGAAAAACATAACCCGAGATTGAGCGTCTGTGCTCCTGACCCCCATGATCAGCATCTGAGAATCCCTCAATCCCCCGCTGCTCCTTCCCAAAAGTTAGCCATAACTCTCGTGTGCCCTTCAAATACCTCAGCAATCGCTTTGCGGCTTCCCAGTGAGCACGTCCAGGATTCTGCATGAACTGTGAAAGATATGACACCGCAAAACAGATATCTGGTCGAGCGGCAACGGCAGCATACATGGCAGATCCAATAAGTTCCTGGTATGGAACATTGCGCATCTCGGAGAACTGCTGCGGAGTGGATGGTGATTGCATCATCGTGAGGTGTGCATTTGGATCAGTGGGAGTGGAGAGTGAATTTGCGGTCTCGAGATTAAAGTGTGAGAGAATTGTGTCGATGTACGCACGCTGAGACAGGGAAATAGTCCGCGCCCCGCGATCACGCTTGATCTCGATACCGAGCAACCAATGAATCTCACCAAGATCTGTCATCTCGAAGGCCCGATTGAGGGCTTCCTTCATAGCTAAGATGGCAGCCAAGGAACTAGCAAAGAGAGCAAGGTCGTCGACAGAGACAGCAATGATGGAAACACCCTCGTCGTCACGCTTGTAGAAGATGCCGTGTTCGACGGCACAGACCGTAAAGCCCATGGCGAGGAACGCATCACAGAGCTTCTTATACCAGCGCCGAGAGGATTGCTTCAAGCCATAGATTGTCTTGAATAAGCGACAGACTTTCTCTTCGAGGCCGGGCACTGAGAAACCCGGGGGTTGCTTCATAAAGATCTCTTCCTCGAGGTCTCCATTAAGGAATGCATTCTTTACATCCATCTGATGAATTTCCCAGTCAAAGCGAGCCGCAAGAGCGAGTAGAATCCGAATGGAGGTAAGTTTTGCGACTGGTGCAAACGTGTCTCCGTAATCGATGCCGGGGACCTGCGTGAAACCCTGCGCAACGAGCCGCGCTTTGTAGCGCGTGATTTCGCCGGCCGCGCCCCGCTTGATCTTGAAGACCCACTTAGAGCCGACGACATTGGCGTTCAAGGGCCTGTCGACGAGCTCCCAGGTGTTGAGCTTTGCGAGGCGGTCAAGTTCGTCTTGAATCGCCGCATCCCATTGCGGCCAGTCCGGTCGTTTCCGAGCCGCTTCCACGGTGCGGGGTTCCATCCCCTCGGTCGCTTCCGCTGCCATTGCCCACTCTATTCCTTCCCACTTCCTCCCCAGCATCTCTACCTCCTCCAGGACCTCTTCATCGGCCTCTTCATCGGCTAGGAAAGATTCCATGGCCGCTACCTGCGCACTATCGACAGGATTCGACTCAAGGTCTGGTTTGGGGTCCTCGGATGCTCGCATGCCACGAGGGACAGCTGGCGCTCGTGCGCTGCCTGTCGTCGTTCCTTCGCCTCGTTCAAGGCGTCGGATGTACTCGGAAGGCTTGGGAGTGCGACGGGGACGCGTCGTTTCGACGCTGGGAGGAGAATTGGAGCGCTTGGGGATGTAATCCGGGGTTACAGGTAGGTTTTGACCTCTTGTTGCGCTTGCGTCGAGTTGCGCTGGCGCCGCGTCGTCCTGCTGACCTCCCGGGATGCTTGTAGGCTCGCGCGACTCGGTTTTGAGCCGCGATGCGTCGACGGCATTCGACGGCGTCGTGTCTGGGGTGCCAGGCGCGCTTGCGCGACCTGCACCCTTTGCAGAGTGCGCCGGCGTCCGTGCGTCGTCGTTTGGGCTGTCATTATCGTCGATAATGACGTCCGGTACCGGTGAGTCGTCCCAGCGCACGTTGCGCTCGACGCTGACCTTCCGTTTCATCGGCCAGTACACCAATATCCCCTTGCTTTCAGCACTATAGCCGACGAAGCGTCCTTCGTCAGCTTGCGCGTCGAGCTTGCTCCGCCCCTCTATCTTCACCCATACTCGGCACCCCCACTCGTGGAGTCCACCCAGGTCCGGCTTCGCGCCGTGGACCTTCTCGTATGGCGTTGTGCCTTCAAGCGTGCGCGTTCCGGTCCGATTCCACAACCAGACGGCATGTGACATTGCTGCACCCCACAGGGACCTTGGAAGTCCCGACGCTATCAACAACGCGCGGCCGCGTTCTACAACGGTCCGTAGGAACCGCTCGGCGGTCCCGTTTTGTGCCGACGAGTCGTGAACAGTCTTCTCATGGACTGTTCCCTCGTCTCTGAGGTGGGATTCGAAAGCGTCAGAGGTGTACTCGCCACCGCGGTCGGTGCGTAGAGTGCCGATCCGAACGACGCCACGATGGCCCTTCACGAAGGCCTCGTGTTGAAGATAATGCTTGAAGGCTTCATCCTTCGAGCGTAAGAGTTTCAGGACGATCTCTTGCGAGAAGTCGTCCATAATGGGCATCGCGTAGCGATAGCCAGTAAGAGAATTGATGGGTGCGGGGCCCCACAAGTCTGAGTGTAAGAGCTCGCCATAACGTTTTGCGCGCGGTCGGGTCCGTTCCTTCGGGAATGAGACCCGTGTCATCTTCGCCTGCACACAGGCAGTACAAAGCTCCATTTCGGAGACGAGAGCGTCGAGGGTGATACCTTCGATGACTCTTTCCTTGACCAGCCTCTTTGCTGTGTCCAGGGATATGTGACCCAGGCGACGGTGTAGTTCCCGCGCTGATAGCACGAGGTTGGCATGAGCTTCCTCGTCCCCCCCACGTGGTATCAGAGGGGTGCCATCGGCAATCCTGGCGGAACCTGCAGTTCTCGAAAATTTTTGACTGACGACTTTGTACAGGTTGTTTGACCGCGGAATTCTCGCGACAACATGATCGGAGGGGTCGGAGATCCTGCAGATCCCCCCTTTCAGATAAATGGAGTATCCAGCCTTGTCGATGCGACTGGCCGAGATCAACGTGATCGCGATTGACGGCGCGTACAGCACATCGGATAGCCGCACGGCGGTCATGTCGTCCCCATTTGGGAGCATGACTGTAACATTTCCGCGGCCAGTTGCCATGAAGGTACGTTTGTCGGCTGCGTAAATGGGTTTGGATGGGATACTGACAAAGTCTGTGAATTCTTCTCGATAGGGTGACATGTGGTGACTCGCGCCCGTGTCGAGGCATCGGACACGTGTCATGGACGAGACGTCGGGGCCTGCTGTCAGTGCCGCAAGGTCAAATGTCGCCGTGAATCCAAATTCGGGATCTTCAGCATCCTCGGCAACTGCAAAGTTCCCCGCACTCTGGTCCGCACCCTTCTTGTGTTGGCCTGGCCGATGCATGCCTGCCGGCCATTGGCCTTCCTTCCCGCCGCCGGGTCGGAAGCAGTCTGCGGCTATGTGGTTGGTAAGTCCACAGTTATAACACTTCTTGCCACTCGACGACTGATTGCCCTTCTTTCCTTTCCCGCGTCCCCCTTTTCCTTGTTTACCTCCGCCATGTGAATACAGCGCCGTCTCGTCAGACGGTGCCTTCTTCTCGAGCCGACCTTGAATGCTGCGCCGGTCGTGCTCCTGCGTGAGGTGCTGAATGATTCCGGAAGGGGTAAGGGGCTTCGAACTGAGACTCGAAGCAGCCGTCATTACTGAAATAACGGACTCGTAGGACTTTGGGAGAGAGGAGAGAATGACAGCAACAAAGTCATCGTCGCCGAGAGCCGCATCCATGCCAATGAGCTCGTTCTGGAGTGCGATCAAGGTGTCGAGGTGCGCACGGACATCGCCGCCCTCTTGGCATCGAGAATCGTGAATACGCCGTCGAATGTCAATTTCGACCATCTTTCCCCGCTTCTCCGCAAGATCGCAGAGCGCCGTCCAAACTTCCTTGGCGGTTGTCTCCCCTTTGATTCGATTGAGGATGGAGTCGGGGATCGTAGAGTAGATCTGCTGCTTGATGGCGGCTTCTCTCTGATTGTATTCATCAACCTTCTCAATAGCCTTGTCATACTTTTCTAGAACATCATCTTTAGCATCTTCGGCAGGAAGCTCGGGCTCTCGTGGTTGCCGAGCAGTGCCAGCCAGGTGTCGCGACAGCCCTGTCTTTGATTCAATGGCTGTCTGTACCCGATCCTTGTAGATCGGCCAGTTTGACAGATCTTCTGAGAGCTTCGGAACGGTAGTGACAGTGATTGAATTGGCGAGCGACATGGCTTGGACAGCAGGGCCCATAACCTGTTGAGATATGGGCTAGAAGTATTACTCAGCGTCTGTGTAGATCACTATATATTGAATCGGTAAGTACCTAGAAGTATTACTACGTGATAGAAGCGTAAGTAAAAGTGACATCTATGTCTTAAGAAGAAGCAGGCTCACCTCAGCGTCTGTGTAGATCACTGAGGGAAGCCCGACACCGAAGGCGTCAGTAACTACAAGCGCAGTGGCTGAGAGCTGTATAGTACTTCGGCAATCTCCGAGCTCGTCAAGTAAGTACGCAATAAGTAAATCATAAGAAAGAGATGACAAAGGTGATTTGCCTCAGTCCAACATATCAGGCCCTCAAATAGAATGATCAAACCTGTTCCATTTCCCAGAATCACGTCCGATCGTTAGTCCCTTCAAGTAAAACAACACCTTAGCAGATCCCTTAGAACATTTCCGCGGCGCGTACCCACTGCACACCCCTCATCATGGCCATGACATGACCCCGCCGCTCCCTGACTGTTCATGCGAAGGCGTCAGGGAGTAAAGGGGCATCGATCTTCATTCGCTTTCCTTACTATGATATTTCGCTTTCGATAGATGCAGAGACCGTCGGCCGTAAGATTCCGATAGAAGAGGTCGGCAAACCTCAGCCCCATGTCTGTATTTTAGTACAAAAAAAACACAACCTATTGCTTTCAACCCATCGCAAATACAGTCAGATATACATGCTGCCATCCCCGACCTCTCTTCTCTTAAGCTGAGATTTCCCCTCGCGGGCCCCATCTTTTCTGCGCCACTGTCGTTTGAGCGTCTCCCCGAGAACCTCGAAGACGGCCTGATCTACCGTTTGCATCGTTGCCGACGGCCAAGCGATGTCCTCCTCGCTTATAGTCGATACATCCTGCTGGGTGAGGTCGGACGGACGGGGCCGCGGGATGCGTGGCGATGGGAGGAGGAAGGCGGTGGCGGAAGGTGAAGGGGAGGATACGGAGACGATGGAGAGGAACGCGGCAGACGTGGTCTGGATAAGGTTCGGAGGCGCAAATGACTCGAACTGTGGAAACTGTGAGTGACATTCAAAGGAGCTAGCTCCCAAAGGTCGACGGTCTTACTGGGGCGCCTGTCCCACTGGGGCCGGTACTCAGGTATCGCACCGGCGCTTCATCGCGGTACGGGACGGGTGCGGCGGTGATGTAGACTGGCGTAGGATATGTGTCGAGGAGGACCGTGCTGTTTGGTGGATTGAGGAGGTGTGCAATCCAGTCAAGTTTCAGTCAGGCGTTGGACTTTAAACAAGGTGAAGAGCGGGAAGGAGAGGGGAATGCACTTTGCCGGCTTGAAATAATCGAGGACGGCTTGCGCATAGGGGCTCATGGCCCAGATGGGCAGCGAGGCGGTCAGCTCGGACACGACGACGGTGGTCGCGTTTGACCATGAGGGCCGGAATACCAGTCCTACCTTGATGTTCACAAGTTACGAGACGATGCACATTGATATCCTCGCATGAAACGAAGGGGGACACAAATGGGGGCGCACCTGGAGCTGGTTGACGTACACTGCGCCCTGCTGCTCCTCGAGACTAGCACCCTTGGCCCAGATCTTACCTGCATCTCCGGTTGCAACGACGAGGTTCCCGCCTATCGCGTTAGTGGGGGAGATTCCTTTGATGTCGATGCCGACGTTCCTGCTCTGGTGGTTGCCTTCCGGGAAGAGAGGATTGAATTCGTCCTCTTCCTCGTCCGATTCCACGGCGTACCGTGGGGCGGTGGTGTCACTGAGAGGATCTATATTCTGTGCAATGCAGCAAAGTCAACATCGGGGCCTCACCCACAGGGGAAGAAAAGCAAACCATTTGGGTGGTGGTCGAAGAGAAGAGAGTGAGTGGACGCGCCGCGCAATGCGTGACCGACGCGTCGTGGCGCTGACGTAGTTGGAATGACGGCCCCGAGGCAGCGCTGCAGCCAGCCACATTGAGCGCAGAGCCGAGTTGCCTCGCTGCCCGTCCCAATCCTCGTCTGCGCGTCGACACAATGTACAAGCTCGTCACCGTCCTTGTCGACTACTTCGCCGCGAACAACTGGGAGCCAGACGAGCCGGGCGGTGCTCCTCCAGGCTCCCCGCCAACATGTACGCCCTCGTCGGACATCTCCAGTCTCATTCAGTTCTACTCACTCGCGACTTTCCTTTGTTGCTCAGTCAAGTTTGAGGGGCCATGGTTCACCACACAGGCATCGCTTTCCACGGTCATCGGTGTCACATCGTTTCTGATATTCTGCTACTGCCGGACGCGATGGCCGCTCCTATTCGCACCGCGCACGAAGTTGAAAGGTGCGTTCACTGACAGTATCCAGATCTGTGCATTCTCCTAATCACCGTGCGCATAGGGTTCTCGCCACACGAGGCGCATGCTCACCAAGCTTTCTTTGGGTGGATACTTCCCACTCTCAAGATATCCGAGTTCACTGTGCTTCAGATAGTTGGACTAGATGCAGCAGTGGTGCGCCCGTGCCCTCTCACACCATGTTTCCCTCTTTCCTCTTAACTCATAGGATCTCTCGTAGCTTCTAAACTTCTTCAAGATGTCATTTTATCTTTTTTCTGTCTGCTCTATCTTTGCTGTCACTGTCCTCATGCCAATCAATTTCAAGGTGAGCGTTCGGTTTATCTCGCGTTCTGTCAGTCTTGTGTGTGCAATGCCACACTATACTGGGAGATGCGTCACTCTGTACATCAACGGTGGTGTGCCTCGTGGATGACCGGTATACTCTTCCTTCGTCGTCAACCACGCGTATGGCACGGCTCATGATTACTTGCAATGCTGTCGTTCATCCTTGACGTTTTCACGTTACAATGGACCTCAGTTACCCCAAAGTTTTTGTCATCAGCCCGGCCTAGACTTTGTACAACTGATAACACTATGTGCAGAGGAACATTGGTATCGGCGACGAAGACGACGATGACGACGACGGGGACTGGAATTCTCTCGCCGATCCAGGGACCCAGCTGCCCCCGAGAGGCCGCGACTGGCTCGACCTGATCTCCGACGCCAACTCCTACCTCTCCCTCCACCTCGCCTTCACCTACCTCTTCACTGCCCTCGCGCTCTATTTCATCTATAAGAATTATCGGCGCTTCGTCCGCGCACGCCAGCTCTTCTCCCTCGAGCTCGTGCACTCCATCGCCGCGCGCACCGTGCTCGTCACGGGACTCCCGCCGCACCTGCGCGGTGAGCGCGCGCTCGCGGAGCACTTTGAGAACATGGACCTGGCTGTGGAGAGCGTGAGCGTGTGCCGCGAGGTCGGTAATCTAAAGGAAATGCTTGACAAGCGGACAAAGGCGCTCATGAAGCTCGAGCACACGTGGGTACAGTACGTCGGGAACCCGAGTACGGTCGAGAACTACGATCCCTCGGACCACGCTATTCTGGTCGATGCTGCGGACCCGGAGTCGCAGACGAATAATAATATTGTCGTGCCGCACCGGAAGCGGCCGACGCTAAGACCGGGGTGGTTCAAGCCCAAAGTCGACGCGCTGCAGTACCTCGAGGCGCAGTTCCAGGAGGCAGACGACATGGTCCGCAGGCGTCGCCGGACAAAGTTCAAGGCGACTGATGCGGCGTTTGTCACCTTTGAGCAAATGTCCAGCGCTGTTAGCCCTTTTTATACTTTTTGAGCCTTCCCCTGATTTTCTTATCATCTTTTTGTCTATCACAGCAAGTTGCCGCGCAGATAGTCCACAGCTCGGCCCCGTTCCAGCTTAAAACTAGACCGGCGCCCGAGCCACGCGACATCATTTGGTACAACATGACCTTTTCCCAGACTTCCCTCCGCGTGCGCGAATGCTTCGTCCTCGGCTCCATCGCGCTCCTCTTCTTCTTCTGGGTCATCCCAATTACGGGTCTCGCCAGTCTGCTGAGTTACAAGGAGATCAAGAAGACGATGCCGTGGCTGGGACAGATGATCGACAGCAACGACAAGATACGGGCGATCGTGCAGAATTCGCTCCCATCGGTTGCGATGATCACGCTGAATGCGCTGTTGCCGTTTATCCTCGAGGGTATGTCCGCCGCACTCATGAGTCGCCGCGCGATTTGGGGTTGATCACCTCGTATGTTGTTTTTCGCTAGCGCTCACCTATATGCAAGGCTACCGCGCTCGTAGCTGGATCGAGTATTCTCTAATGAAAAAGTACGTTCTCATTCGCTTCGATTTTCAGGCCTATCTTAGCTGCGGCACAGATACTTTTTGTTCCTCCTCATCAACGTCGTCTTCATATTCCTGCTGGCGAGCACGTACTGGCAACTCGTCCGAGATTTGGCCAACTCGCCGGCCAAGATCCCGGAAAAGCTAGCAGCGGCCCTCACAAGGGGGCGTGCAAGGTCTGCGTGATGTTCCTGTTCTACCTCGTGATCGGATCCTTATTTTCGCGCGCAGACACTTTTTCCTTTCATATGTCATACTTCAAGGTAAGAAAAGGTCGCTACACCCATTCAGGTTGCTGAACAAGCTTCACCATAGGTTTGGGCATCATGCCTCTTCAGCTGCTCAATCTTGGGGTTGTCATACCCCGCATGTTCATCCGGATGTTCTCTACGCGCACTCCTCGAGGTACGTGTAGCGCCGTTTTGTTGATCAGAAGCGCAGCTCTCAACGCACCTCTGGCAGACTTTGCCGAACTGAACGCGCCGCCCATGATCAACTACGGCGTCGTATATCCCCAAGCGATCCTCATCTTCGTGATCACCCTGCTGTACAGCGTCATACAGCCCCTCATCCTCGTCTTTGGGGCTATCTACTTCGGCATGGCCTACATAGTCTACAAATACAAACTACTCTTCGGTACGATCCTTGCTGCCAACGGCTCTCTGCTACCCAATGACCGGACACTGCTTCGTCGTTATAGTGTTCTACAAGCCATACGAGTCGCAGGGGCAAGCGTGGCCGATCACGTTCACCCGCCTCATCTGGGGCGTCATCATCTTCCTCATCTTCATGCTGGGAAACTTCATCCTCAACCGCTCCTTCATCCTCTCTTCCCTCGTCACTCCCCTGATCGCCGGCACCGTCGCGTGGTCGTGGTACATCGACAGCTCGTTCAAGCCGCTCAGCAAATTCGTGAGCCTGAGCTCGGTGTTCGAGGTGCAGAGGGGGGAGGAGACGGAGGACGTGCAGCGGTTGAGGGCGGGCCACCCCGTCACTTGGTCGCAGAGGTGCGGAGCGGAGCGCGATGCGATGCTGCGATGCTGACCATCTATTTTTCGCAGTAATTTGAACCGGAGGCGGTATGCGCAGAACGACGAGACGCTGTACGTCGCGCCCGAAGACGATAGAACCGACTACGTGCGTGTGCCCGCTCACATCGTCCCCTCCCCGCTAACACCGCCCGTCCCCCAGTCGCAGCCCCCCATGGCCAACTGGTACATCGGTGTCCTAAAGTAACTTTCCTTCTCATCAACCCAACGAACCCTCGACTCACATTCTTCTTCAATAAAGCACCGGAAAGCGCCGTTACGGCCACCCCGCGTTGACCGGCGTCCTGCCCTACCCGTGGCTTCCCCTCAAGAAAGGAGAGACCCTCGTGAACACGCGCACAGCGGGGCACGGCAACGGCCCCAAATCCGACCAGGCCGTCGTCCTCACCCTCCGCAAGCGGTACAGCATCGTCAAGCGCGGCGCCACGCGCTCGCTCGTCGCCGGCAGCCGCGTGTTCGGCGACCTCCTCACGCCCAACGGCGCCGACCCGAGCGCACAAACGCCCGGCGGCGGTGCAGCGGAGCAGAGGACGACCGATAACCCGTGGCAGGAGACCCGGACTGCTGGCCCGTCGACCCACCGCGCGCAGACGGCGCCGCCCGCGGCGATGCACCACCGGCTGAGCTACGACTTTGGGTCGGGCGTGATCGTCCTGCCGGACGACGGCGACTGGCTCGGGATCGCGGGCGGCGTGGACGGCGTGGACGAGGAGGTGGACGAGGACGACTCGGAGGACGACTACGGCGACACGACGGGGCTGGAGAACTCGCAGGCGTCGCTGGACGCCGCCGCGGCGGGGGCGGGGGCGGGGGCGGCGCCGGGCGCAGGCGCGATGGAGCGCGCGGCGTCGTCGTCGTCGAATGGGAACGGGAACGGGGCGGAGGAGCATGCGATGGGCGGGACGCCGGGCAAGGCGCGGCATGGGACGTATTTTCATCATCCGGAGCGGAGGCGGCAGACGATCCCGGGCGCGTTCCCGCGCGTGGCGTCGTGACGGCGGGCTTGCGCTTCTAGCCTTCTACTTCACGGACCCAGATCTATCTCACGAGTGCGTGCGCTCGCCTGTCGTCGTGCGTGTAACATAGGCTGACTGACGGTCCTGGCTTCGCGGTTGTGTTCAGATCTATTATGTTACATGCGACGGTGCTTGAGAACGTGTTAATCTTGCTTGGATACCCCACTTTACGTTTTTTTGTCACTCTTACTCTAGTTACTTGCTGTAGACCTTACGATGTGCGAACCCGAAAGACATGTGCATATTCAATATGAGACTGCGTTCGCTATGAGCTAGTTCCCATCGCGCGATCACGACATCTCAGCCGCCATCTCCTCGGCCTCGGCGAGGACCTCCTCGAGCGCGTCCAGCCTCTGGCGCTCCTTCAACGCGAGCACGATGTCCTCCAGCGCGTCGCCCTCCATGACAGAGCCCCACGTCGTGTTGAGCTTCCCCACTCGGTGGTCCGTCACGCGATCCTGGGCGAGCGACACAGGCACGTCCGTCACTACGGGCGGGCGAGATATTGGGGGCGCGGTACGTACCTGCGGGTAGTTGTACGTCCGGATCTTCTCGCTGCGGTCGGCGGTGCGCACGAGGTTGCGCCGCGCGGCGCGGCGTTCGGCTTGTTCGCGGATGAGCTTCTGGTCCATCAGGCGCGCGCGCAGGACTTGGAAGGCGCGGCGGCGGTTCTGCGTGCGCGGGGGCGCGGGGGGCGGGGGATGGGGTGAGTGCGAGAGGTGGGGGAGACGGACGGACGGACGGACGGACCTGGTGCTGGCTGCGCTCGTCTTGCATGGAGACGGTGATGCCGGTGGGGACGTGCGTGAGGCGCACGGCGGATTCTGTTTTGTTGACGTGCTGGGCGGGACGGGACGGGGGCGACGGGTCAGCGCGTGGGGGACGGGGCGGTGGTGGTGGGGGCGGGGCGTGTGCGAACCTGTCCTCCTGCGCCGCGGGCGCGCATGACTTCGATGCGCACGTCGTCCATGTTGAACAGGTCGTCCTCCTTTTCCGCCTCTGCGTCTTCGGACAGCGGGAGCACCTGGTTTAGCAGCAGCTCAGTCGTTCGTGTGTGAAGAAGAAGGGGGGGGGGGGGGGGAAGGGCGCAGGCTCACCACTGCGGCGACGGTGCTGGTGTGCACGCGGCCGCTCGACTCTGTCGCGGGAACTCTCTGGACCCTGTGCACGCCGCTCTCCGCGCGCAGGGCCTCGTACGCGCCGGCGCCCGTGATCTCGAGTATGGCGTCCTTGAACCCGCCCTGCTCGCTTGCGTTGGCGGACACGACGGCGGGAGCCCATCCGCGGGCGTGCGCGTAGCGCGTGTACATGCGCAGGAGGTCCGCGCAGAAGAGCGAGGACTCGGAGCCGCCGACGCCGGCCTTGAGCTCGATGAGGGCGGACATGGCGCCTGTGCTGGGCGGGGGCACGAGGAGGGCGGGGAAGTCGCGCGTGAGGAGGGCGGAGAGGTCGGCAAGGAGGGTGGACTGCTCGTCTTCGGCGAGCTCTTTGAGGTCGGGGAGGGCGAGGAGGGCGCGGTTCTCGTCGAGCGACTACTGGATCTCGGGGCTGTGAGCGGGGAGGACGGAGAGGTGGGGCAAGGCGGGGCGGACCTTGTGTACGGTGAGCCAGCGCTGCCAGGCGCGCGTGAGGGGCCCGCTGTTTTTAAGCAGCTTGGACAGCCGGGTGTCGCTCTTCGGCGCATCGCTATGCTGTGCGCCTGTGAGAAACGTCGAATGGGCGCGGGCGCGTGAATCAAAGCGCACCTCGTCAAACGTCTGTCGGGCGAGCGCGACCTTGAACTGGACGACCTGGAGGATGCGCGCGTGCTCCTTCTGCACGGCCTCGAACTGCTGCCATGGGTCTTGCTGCTTTTTGTGCGGCGCTGCGCCAGCGTAGGTGCGCCGCGGGCGCGGGTGATTTCGCAGGGCGGCGAGCGGGGACGGGGAGCGGAGGGACGTGCGGAGGCGGAGCATTCAGTGGGCGATGGAACGAAAGCGGGGTGCTTACGTCATCGCACGTCGATTTGCTCGTGGGCGGGTCCGAGGACGACTTGTTCCGCCGCCGCCATGGACGCGCTCATCGCACGGGCAGACGCTCTCCAGCCCCTCCGCCCTCTCAAAAGGTCGCGCGCGCCACCGCACACCAGGCGACAAAACACCGCGCACACCGCCGCGTCCTCCTCCCAGGCCCAGGACCACACCCTCCGCTCCATCGTCGCACACACCGCCCTCCCAAAGTCCCTCCGCCCGTCCTCGCCGCTGCCCGATGGCGTGCCCACCCACAACCACATCGCGAACAAAAAACTCCGCACCCACCTCCACCGCCAGTCCGCCCACGCCGCGCGCTCCAAGGTCCTGCTCAGGGATGCAGAGCTCCTGCTCCCTGAGGAGGCGGGAAGGATGGAGGTCGAGAGCGAGATGGACAGGACCTGGAGGGTCGGCCAGGACGAGATCGTGAGGCAGGTCGGCGCGGAGGTCGCAAAGGGCCGCAGGGAGATGGTCCTCGACGGCGGGCCGTACCGCGCGCGGTATACCCGCAACGGAAGGTGAGGACCCGCTTTCTTTTTTTTTTTTCATATACGTCGAAATCATCCCGGACTGCCTGCCCTTGTGAGTCGACATGCGCATTGCCGCTGACGGTGCATCTGACGCTGATTCATCTTTCGCATGCAGCACAATGACATCCACTGACGCCCCGGCTTTCCCTTAGACACATGGCGGTCGTCGGCAGCAAGGGCCACGTAGCCACATTCGACTGGCAAACGGGCACCATGCACTCCGAGCTGCAGCTGCAAGAAACATGCCGAGACATCACGTACGCCCCCTTCGCAGCGCTCCTCCGCACCTGACACCGACGGCCGCCGCGCTGCTAGGTTCCTGCAGGACCACTCGCACTACGCCGTCGCGCAGAAAAAATACGTGTTCATATACGACCGCGACGGCGTCGAGCTGCACAGGCTAAAATCGCACATCGAGCCCACCCGCCTCGAGTTCCTGCCGTACCACTGGCTCCTCGCCAGCGTCGTACGTATCCCCATCCTCTCATCGCGCGCACAGATACCGCTACCGCTACCGCTCGCTCACGCCCCTCGCGCAGGGCAACACCGGCTTCCTCAAGTACCAAGACACCTCGACCGGCCAGCTCGTCTCGGACCACCGCACGAAGCTCGGCGCGTGCCGCACGATGGCGCAGGACGCGCACACCGCCGTCATCCACCTCGGGCACCAGAACGGCACCCTCACCCTCTGGACGCCGAACCGCGCGGAGCCCGCCGTGCGCCTGCTCGCGCACGTCGGCCCCGTGTGCGGCGTGAGCGTGGACCCGGGCTCCGCGGGGAGGTACGTGGCGACCGCGGGCGTCGACGGTGCGGTGAAGGTGTGGGATTGTAGGAATTGGAGGGGCGCGGTGAGGACGTGGGCGGCGAGGGGCGGCGCGGCGGAGGTGGAGTGGAGCCAGAGGGGGTTCCTCGCCGTCGCGTCTGGCGGGACCGTCAACGTGCGTCATCTGCCTCACTCACGATGACTCTGCATTGCTTACCTGGGTCAACGCCGACGCCCGCACAGGTCTACGCGGCGCCGACGATCCACGAGCCGTTCGCAGGGCACAGCCCGCCGCCGCTCTATTTGACGCACCCGGCGCCGCACCGCCCGCTCGCGGCGCTCCGCTTCTGCCCGTTCCAGGACGTGCTCACGGTCGGGCACGCGGCGGGGCTCTCGAGCCTCCTCGTGCCCGGCGCTGGCGAGCCCAACTTCGACAGCACCGAGGCGGACCCGTTCGAGAACAGGAAGGCGCGCCGCGAGCGCGAGGTCAAGGGCTTGTTGGACAAGGTGCGCGCGCGCTCGCGAGCGCTTCTCCCCCCCTTTTTTTCCTTTTTTTTTTTCTTTCCGTCTCTCTCCCTCTCTGTCTCTGTGCCTTTCGCCGCCGTGTAGTCGAGAGCTGACACCCCGCCCCTCGCCCCCTCCCTACTTGCGCAACGCGTCGTAGATCCAACCGGACATGATCACGCTCGACCCCGAGTTTGTAGGCTCGCTTGCGCCCCCGAGCAAGCTCACGACCGCGGCCGAGACGGAGGGCGCGGGTGGGGGCGCGGGCGCGGTGCCCTTCGCGCGCCTCCCGCGCCTCGAGCGGCTCCGCGTTTCGGGCAAGGCGGACGAGACCGAGGTCGTCAGCGACGGCGCGGACGACGGCACGGACGATGGAAAAACGGGCGGCGGGAAACGCGATCGGGAGGAGCGCGAGAAGAGGAAGATGCGCGGGAAGGGGAAGAGTCTGAAAAGGTGCGTGTTTGGCTGCTGCTGCTTGCTGCTGTTCCCTCGATATCTCTCTCTATCCATCACTCTCTATCTGGCCGGTTGGAGATGCTCACGACCGCTCGTTTTTTTTCTTCGCGCGGTGTTGATTCGCAGGTACTTGCGCAAGCAGCGCAAGAACGTCATCGATCCAAAAGCCGTAAGTCCCTTCCCCCGGCCGTCTTTCTCGCGCGTCGTTCACGATGTCTCATCTGTGTTCTTGTTTCTATTTTATTATTATTGCTTTTGGATGCAGGTCGCGGTGCGCGCGAAGCTCGAGAAGGAGAAGGGGGAGCGGCGGCGCGCGCGCGAGGCCGCGAAGGGCGTGCCGCGGGACCACAAGCCGTCCGCGCTGGATCGGTTCAAGCGCCCGTCGGCGTCGGCGTGATCTTTGTTGTTGTACGACTACGCTTTCTGTTTGGGGAACGATGACGATGACGATGACGACGATGGTGGTGGTGGTGGCGGCGTTGCGCTGCGTTGCCGGTCCTGCATTGCGATCGAGTGAAGTGTGCGTGTGCTGCGTGCGCTGCGTGCGCTCGCGGCGCGCCGGGAACGTGTTTGGTTATGTGCTTGCTTGCTTGCTCTCTCTCGCGGTAATGGCGGACGTTTTTCGTGCCCTGCTGTTCGTTCCGTCATGCACATGCACATGTACGGCTGCTGCACGGCCTGTAGAGGCTATATTTGGCCACACATGGGCTCCGTGATGCGCTCGGTGCAGGTCACGGTGTCCTGCTGCTCATTGTTGCATCGCGTCAAGCCCTCTCATGGGGCGTGGACGACAGCGCTTTTACAGCTCGTGGACGAACACACGGTGCAGGCTCTCGAACGCAGCGCGATTTTCCTAGCGATCTGTTTTTATTTTTATTTTTATTTGTTGTTACAATCGCGCGCCTCGCACCGGCCGCGCTTCTGCCGCCGGCTGGCCGCGACCTCGAGCAGATTAAAAATAGCAGGAGGATCTTCATCAGAGGCATCAGAGCGTTCTAGTGGCTGTTCTGGCTTCGCGTTTGTTTGCTATTTTTGGGTCGACGTATACTTGGAACGCGCGGCGTTGGTCTGAGCGCAGCCGAGCGCTGTGGGGCAGAAAGCCAGCACTCTACATACTTGGAGTATCAGTCTCCCAAAGGCAGCAACGTTGGCGATGATGCTCCTTGAACCTCCGACGCCGTCTGTGGATATCCGTATCCGTATCTGACCAGTCGTTATCAATGGTGATTGTCTACCGTAACGGTACATGGTCGAGACTTGGGTCAAGGCATGCGGCTGCGGCAGATCAGCTTTGCACGAGCAACAAAAATAACGCACCGGCAACGCGCGGAGGTCGGGGGGAGCGAAATTTTTGGAGGGACGGAAATAGACGGAGGCGCGTCTGCGGCGTGCACAGCCTTGTTGCTGGCTGGACGACGGAGGCCGCCCTGGGAACTGCCGTTTGCAGAGAGTATGCAGCTCAATTCTACGAGTGACGTTCGGAGACCAGCAGACCAGTAAGGGGCGTCTGAGTTGCTTTATTTATTGCTACGAGGACGTGCTTGGTTGGGCGTAGCGCGCGGCAGGAATTGAATGGGGGGTGAACAGCACGGCACGTGGCATTTCCCAGACGAGGAGGGCCGAGTTTCGAGCGAACGAGCGAGGGGAACGACCAGCAGCAGCAGGAAATTGAGCAGAAGACGGAGCAGAAAGAAAGACATGAGCGAGGGCGGGATTGTTGTTGAGAAAGGAAGAGGAGGGAAGGGATGGGACAAGACGCGCCAGGCACACACGGTGACACTGCACCTTCACACTCTTTTCACCACACCCTTTCCTCCTTCCCTTCTTCCTCCCCCCCGCTCACTCCTCTCCCTGTTCTTTCCCGTCGACATACCCTAGACATATAATACCTGCCGTCGTCATTGAACGCCCCTTCACAACCACATATCCTTTACATTCTAGTCTATTATAACTTGCGGCTCGACTCCGCCTGTGACGACCTCGGCCATGATCCTTTCATCTCTGCTAGCCCTCGGGCTCGCAACAGTCAACTCAGCTCTTGCCCAAAAGGCAGGGTCCTTTGAGCAAGTCGGGGACACCCTCGTCAGCGCTATGATGGTTCGTTTCTCCGCCCCGACACATGTCTGCCCTCGCTCATTCCCCCCATCATTCGGCCGCCGTGACCGCAGATGTTCCTCGGCAACGAGGGCAAAATTTACATTCTCGACAAGGTGGAGGGCAACCCCACCCAAATCAACGGCCATCCCGCCTACGCGGCCGTCTGGTCAGTCCTTGTTCCGCTGTAGTTCCCTCCCACGCACGTTGTCTGACCGACGCCGTGCCTGTGTCCTCCCACGCGCTCGTTGTAGGGACATCGCTACACGTAAGGTCACCGCCATGGACGTTCAAACGAACCCGTTCTGTGCCGCGGGCATGCACTTGCCCAACGGCTCCTTCGCTACTTTCGGTGGCAACGGCGCTATCAGCCCCGGGGGCAACCTCGGATCCGTCCTCAACCCCGGTGGCTCTTCCGCCAGCTTCGACGCGACCTACCAGGACTACGATGGCACCGCCGCGATCCGCATCATCACCCCCTGCGATGGCGACCTGACCTCGCCCGACTGCACCTGGTACGACTCCCCCAACGGCCTCAAGATGCAGAAGCACCGGTGGTACCCAGGATGCGAGCCCCTTGCTGATGGTTCCGTCGTCCTTGTCGGTGGTTTCACCAACGGTGGCTACATTAACCGGAATACCCCCAACGACGATCCTGAGACCTCTCATGGTGCTGCGGAGCCGACCTACGAGTTTTATCCGTCAAAGGGCGACGCCCAGGTGATGAAGTTCATGGTCCATACAAGCGGTTTGAACGCGTATGCGCACACGTACTTGATGCCGTCCGGAAAGATGCTCGTGCAGGCTAACTACTCAACCGGCAAGCTCACGTTTACTTCCCGTCTTTGCCACCATGCTCATGGCTTGTTACCCACGCAGTTCTTTGGGATTATACCAACAACATCGAGACGGCTCTGCCTGATATGCCGAACCAGATCGTCCGCGTATACCCTGCGTCTGGTGCGACTGCCATGCTCCCCTTGACGCCCGCCAACAACTACACCCCTACTGTCCTTTTCTGCGGTGGTACCTTCATGCAGGACTCCGACTGGGGCAACTATTCTTTCCCCTACGCCAACACCTGGGAAATTCCCGCCTCAGCCGACTGCCAGCGCATCACCCCCGAACGCACCGACGGCAAAGACGTTGCGTACGAGCAGGACGATGATATGCCTGTCGGCCGTACCATGGGCCAGTTCATCGCGCTCCCCAATGGCAAGCTCCTCGTCCTCAACGGCGGGGCGAACGGCACTGCTGGCTACGCGACCAACACTGGTGTGACTCTCTCGTACAGCCAGATGCCTTTTGGTATGTCGCTTGCCGCTGCCCCCGTCGGCCAGCCTGCGCTTTACGACCCCACCGCACCTTCGGGTAGTCGCTGGTCCACTGCAGGCTTCGATACATCGTCTATTGCGCGTCTATACCACTCTTCCGCCATCCTCCTTCCCGACGCGTCCGTCTTCGTAGCCGGTTCCAACCCGAACGTCGACTACAACGATACCACGTTCTTCCCCACCACGTACAAGGCCGAGATCTTTTACCCGTCCTACTTTGCGGCTTCGACGCGCCCTGTACCGACCGGTATACCCAGTAAGCTGACCTATGGCGGCAATGCGTTCGATGTCTCGATTCCCGCCTCCTCCTATTCGGGCTCTGCCAACGACGCTGCAGACAACACCACTGTGTGGCTCATGCGCGGTGGGTTCACGACTCACGCGATGAACATGGGTCAGCGCGCTGTGCAGCTGAACAACACCTACACCGTCAACTCCAACGGCTCCTTCGTCCTCCATGTCGCCCAGCCCCCGCCCAACGCCAACCTCTTCCAGCCCGGCCCTGGCATGGTCTTTGTCACTATCAACGGCATCCCGAGCAATGCAACAATGGTCCTCGTCGGGAACGGCCAGGTCGGCACACAGCCCACCCAAGCCGCGAGCGTGCTCCCGCCGAACGTTCGCGCGGACTCGGCGTCGGGCACGGCCGATGGCAGCAACAGTAACAACAACAACAACTCGAGCGGGAGCGGCAACCAGGCCAACTCGGGCTCGTCGAACACGGGCGCGATCATCGGAGGCGTGGTCGCCGCGATCGCGGCGGTCGGGATACTCGGTGCGGTTTTCGGTATTTGTCTCGCCCGCCGCCGCCGTGCCGCCGCCGCGCGAAGTGGGCCGTCGGCGTCGTCGACGTACCCGATGAGCACCACGAACGTCGCCGGTGGGGCTGGTGCCGGCGGGGCGGGCGCGGCGTCCTCCCGTGGGTTGCGCAGTTCTGATTCGAGCGCGTTCGTACCGTTGCAGGGTAATATGAGCACCGCCAGCCTCAATTCGCCGTACCGCGACGAGTACGAGGGCATGCGGGGGAGCGGGCAGTATGGGCGGAGCGGGGAGTACGATCCGTATTACGAGTCTGCGCCACGGTTGAGCACGAGCGCGGGGCCGCCGAGGTATTGATCGTTGGGGGCGCAGATTGGACTCGCTTGGGTTTCTTTTTTTCTCTTTCTCTTTCTCTTTCTCTTTCTCTTTCTCTTTCTCTTTTTTCTTCTTCTTGTCCTCATCCCTTCCTTTGTTTCCCATCCAAAGATATTCCGTCGTCGCGAGGATGATGACATGCTGCTTGATTTTTGCGACTTGCGTGTGTGCCCAGATGTATGTGACGATGTGCGTTCGGGCGGGGTCGGTCGGTTGGGTTGGTATCGGGAGCGCCGTTGTTTTTTTACGTGCGTTTCTTTTATTGTTTCACACCTAGTACGGAACACGGACATCAGAGCCCATCTCTAAATATCATCTTTCTGGATCACCACCCTCCGCCAGCCCTCGGCCTCCGCTTCTACTACTTACAGAGTTACCTCTTCATGAGACTTCGTACGGTGTATTTCATTGACGGTTGCGCGCCTTCCATCTTCCTATTATCCAGCTGTTTGACTTTTTTCTTTCTTTCTTTCTTTGTTTTTGTCGCCCGTTCAGGCAGGCAGGCAGGCAGACAGACAGATTGACAGACAGACGTACGTACGTATCGATATCGATATACATACTTATCACACGCGGACTAGTATTACTAGACACTTGCCAGGAGAGATCCATACTTCCCGCCGCCGTCGATAGCATATGAGGAACACGCGTGTAGTTTGAAGTTGTATACCGTCCACTACCGTCCACAGATGCGTGATCGGACGTTGAGAAACGTCGGGGTTTTTGGACTGATGACATCTTTGTCGAATTCCACTCACTATCCTACAAGCTATGGGAACTGCAACCAGGTCTAATGGTATCCCCCTTGGAGGCTCTTTATAAGCTCATCGTTCGCGAGAATATCAAAGTGACCGCCGTTGACGCGAATGATACGAGCGTCGGGAAAACACATGCGTGTTCCGAGATCAGCCCAATCCGCTCGGTACCGCTCAGGGAGCGTCCTGATCATACCCTCCGATGCCATGTAGACGGACACCGGCGCCTTGATGGCCTTCATCCAGTCCAGCAGCGGCTCCATCGAGCGCTTCCCGCCTGTCGAGCCGCGACCGCCCTGCGTCAGCATGAATTCGACCATGAGGTTCATGAACTTTTCCACAGTCTTCCAGTACGTCTGGCTGAACTCGGGCGTCGGCAGCCCGTTGAACGCGTCCCAGAGCTCGTTCGCGAGCTGGTGGCGCCGGGGCACCTTGCCGCCGCCGTCGCGTCGCAGCGCGTCGCAGATGCCCTCCATGCACACCTTGTGAAACGCGCGCCGCGCGACGGGATCGTCGAGGTCAAAGCCATCGAGGCCGTAGACCGGGCACTGGAACATGGTGGGGAAGTGGTCCAGCATCGCCAGCTGCACCACTTCGTCGCCGTTGTCCTCGAACATCTTCGCGAGCGCGATCGCGATGATGCTTGTTGCCGAGAATGCGGAGAGCCGGTAGGGTCCGCTGCTCTGCTGTTCCTGAAAGCGACGTCAGGATGTGGTTCGCTGGGGACGCGCGAGAACCGACCTTGATCTTTCGATAATAGAAAGAGGTTTGCTCAGCCAAGGAGGTGAGGGGAGTGTCGGGGGTAACCTGGATGACCCACAGCGCCGATCTAAACTTCTCTTGCAAAGGTCCGAATGCGTGAACAGTGCCACCCGCGCCTAAACGACTGTTTATCCAAACGAACGATGCATCAAAAGGGATTGAGCTTGCCATGTATGACGATGAGTGGCGGTTCTCCAGACCCTTCCCGCAGCTTGATGATCGTCTGTCCGACCTGACCGAGCGTCGGCCACTGAAAGGTTTGCTCGGGCGTATCTGCCTCCTCTGGTGCCTCGGGTTCGCTCGACGGGGTGCTGTTCTGTGCCATGAAGACAACGCCAAATATGAATGCGCTAAGGTTGGCGATTGAGGGGAAGTTGAATACGAAGTCTATCGGGAGTGCACGGATGCTTGCAGACGGTAGTGGGCTGGATTTACGAAGCGCAAGGAGTATGGAGTTGCGAATCCACGTCGCCGATAGACTGCGGGAGGATTGGGTCACTAAGCCCAACATTCATGTACTGCGCCTAGCTCACCTGTCTGCTCCCAACTGGAAAATGTCGTCCCCGTCTGCTAGATCTTCTCTGCCTACGACTTTTCTTACAGTGGTGCGAATGAACTGCGTGATGCCGTTCAAATCCCAAGTCCCCGGCGGCACGATATCGTCCTGTGAGGATTCCTCCACCGCAGTATAGAGAGCTTGAATTTCGGGAGCATAGTCCTCTATGACGATTTTCCTGCGTGGCGTTCCCTTCGGTGTGAAAGAAAAGGGCTTGGAGGGGGAAGAGAGGATGATCATCTGCTCAGGATTGTGTGTTGTCATTAGCCTGTATTGCTAGCGGTCGTTGTGAGTCGACGCAATAGACCAGACTTGCCTCGCGAAACAACCGGCTATGAGATGGTGCCCAAGCATTCGCCTCCTCAACAACCGGCCTTCATCAAAATGTCAGTGAAAGACCTCGCATGACCAAAAACTCTACTTACCAAATCTCCCTACGAAACTGTGCCAGTGCTTCTGTATCTTCGGGGTCGATATGATGGCCTGGAGTGGGATCAATTATGACACCGTTTTGAAACCTCCCACGACCGAATATCACAGCATTCGCCACTAGGGGATGCTTGACCAAGATTTTCTCTGAAGAACGAGTCATGCGCCTATGTATTAGAAATATCATCAGGCCACACACCTATGGGAGCTGGATTAGTCTAAACGCCAAAGTTAGTGAACTGTCCTAGTACACCTTGATGGGCAGGTTACCTTTTCACCGGTGCTCAACATAATTTGATCGTCTGCGCGCCCGAGAACCTTGTAATATCCGGCCAAACGCGGATAAGGAATGAGCAAATCGCCCGTCGCAAAACCTTTACGTCCGTCGATAGTCGCGTTGAACACGGACGGCGTGTGCGTGGAGCGTTCCTATCAGATCGATGAGTCGTACTCAGACTCCAGAGCAAAGTCGAATGCGGAGCACACCATGAAAACGGCCTCAAATGCACCACTATCGTCATCTTGCGGGAGGAACACCGGTTCACAGTGGCTCGAAATCCTAGTTAGCAAGGCAGTCACATCAGCAAGGGATGAATCTGGGCTGCGCTGATCGACCTACTTGAAGTACTCCCAGTCAGGGCCTAGTGGCTGCTCGAGGACAAAGCAACTCATTCCGCCAGTTTCCGTACTATGTGAAGACCGGTGAGCGGATTCTCCATGATGGGCAGTAGATGACGAACGCAGCATAGTATGGGGTAACGAACACTCCGTTAGCAGCGAGCGCGTCGCCGGCGTCTTTACTCAACGGGCCTCCACACCAGAGCTGAGAAGATCAGACAGCTCAGCACAGATTGTGGGAAGATCCACGCTCTACTTACCAGCCTCTTCAGTTTCGCCAAATGCGAGACAGCTCTCGGATCCTTCTGCCAGGCCTGCGCATGCCGATAATGATGACACTGGTCAGTCGAATGACCTTTCGAAAAGCCGGTGAAGGAGGGGACAGATGATAGACAGACCTCTATGTAACTTGGAACACAGAACACCATATTGCTCCGCGTCGCGACCACAGATTCCAGAAAGTTGTGCGGATTCGGTATCATTACGGGTATCGCGGGCTTGAATACAGCAAGTGTCATTCCGGAGGCAGCTGCCCAGAAGGGGGTAATGACTCCCATCGCATGGAAAAGGGCAAGAGATTGGCAACCGAGGACCTCGCCACAAAGATCGACTTCCCCATACCCTGTCCCCGAATGTGAGCCTCTTGGACGTATAGGGTACGAAAGATCTACGCACAGGTTCCTTTGCCCCACTCAAGGAGGGCGCGATGCGTGAGAGGTATGGGCTTGGGGAAATTCGTTGAACCTGGAAGAAAGACAAGGTAAGATCTCGCATTCGACAAGATCATTCACAGTCGTTTCTCACCAGATGAATGCAAAATGATCGCAACGTCATCCATGCTTGGGGTTTGCATTTGAGGAAGAGGCTCAAATGATACCGCTACGTCGTGAAAGAGCTCCTCAAATCGTGGAATGTCTCGAACAGCAATCGTGCCTCCATTTTTCTGGAGGATATCCACGGCTTTGTGAACGATGTCCTGTGTCACGGTGTCCGCTGAGGTGAGTAGGAAGTCGGATTGAGTGATAGACAGGAGGTGGGCGATTGCAGGCGGTGAGTTGCGTGGAGAGACGAGAAAAGCGCAATAACCTGCGCGAATAATGCCGATCATAGTAGCAACGTAAGTCATTGAATCTGGTGATCGTCTGTTAACACAGATGGCCGTGGAGTAAATGAGGAGACATAATACCTGCAGCTGCTAAGACTGCGAAGATTGGGACCTTCTTCGAGGACGACAGAGCATGGTCCATGTTCATTTGGTATTCTGTGAACGTGCGCGCCGCACGGTGTGCCGCGCGCATGAAGTGATCATACGTGACGTGGGCAAGACTTTCCGCGGCATCTTCGAACACAAACAACGGATGGTCTCTACTTTCTTGTGCGTGGAAGTCGAAGACCTGCGGGATGGAGAGCGTACCATCCAGCGGAGGTACAGTGAAGGTTGTACTTCGAGTCGCCTGCGACTTCATGGGCGGTAGCTGCAAGTATGTTGGAGATCAAGTTCAGAGAGATTTCCAAGGTCGAATGGGCGTCAGTCTAGATGCAGGGTCATGGTGCAGATAACCTAAGTACTGCAATGGTATCAAGGGTATGCATTGGTGCATGTCTCGACGTCGGGCCGAGGTAGAGGAGGGCAGCGGAACCGCGCTCAGCGCTCAGATTTCGTACGATTTTCGAACCCAGCGGAACTCGATCTCCGAAGGTTGTCTGTGATCACATGCCCAGTCTCTTTCCTTCTCTCTCGCGCCCACTTGCCTTTGATCCGCCGCTGGCGCGTTGTCCAGACCTGGCACTCCGTTTCTTCGTCTGACGCCAGCCTCCGACTCGCTCGAGATCGTCATTCTGCACTCCCATCGCGCATGCTTTACCCGTCAAGAGTATGTGTAAACCTTCCCTCCGTGATATACTAAACACCGAGGCACACTGTTGGTAACCTCCAAAAGCCTTGTAGAACCTTGCGAGGCCACGATCATTTCGTCTTTCAAGTAATCAGCATACACGTGCATCGAATTCCCATCTTTGATGGTCGGCGAAAGTTCAGCACCTGGAAGAAACTTCTCAGATCCGTCATACTCGATCTACCCTCCGTTTCTTTAATTCTCTTTAGTAGTTGTGGTGGACCTCATGAGGAAGTGCAGAGCAGAACAATTTGGGCATAAATGATGATCTAGGTGCGTTATGCACCCTGAATACTGGATCCTCCTCGTCCCGTACACATGTATATTGTGCCAATTTTTGGATTCATCGTTTTCTTCAAATAAAAACCCTGCCGTTAATGATTCGGTTGCAGACGTCTTTTCCAGGCATCGTTCACTTTCATCAACTCTATGACTGTCGTTATTCCGTCCTCCCATGTTATGGCACCCTGCTTGCCCAAATATGATTCACAGTCCTCGCAACCATCCACTATTTTCGACAATTCCGTTCAAATGACCCACGCAGAGCGAGTTTATCATTCCGTCCCAAGTTCCCCATACTGTCTGCCATCGGATGAGGCAGAGCGCCAGCGACTCATCCGTCAGCATTTCGCTTTGAAGAAAATTGCTGGACACGGAGAACTTCTCGTTAGTCCTCTTGAAATCCCAGAGGGTGCCTTTGTTCTCGATTCGGGCACTGGAAGCGGTGCGTATTCTCATCTAATTTACGAGTCTATCTAATTGTTCTATCAGGTGTATGGGCTCTGGACTTTTCCAAGCAGGTGTCCCTGTCCGTCACGATCTACGCAATTGATATCGAGACGCGTCTGTTCCCATCAGAGCGACCTCCAAATGTGATTTTCAACGCCGGCTCAGTTCTCAGGCTATCCCCATCATGGACCGCCAAGTTTAGTCTAATCCACCAGCGCCTGCTGCTCTACGCGCTTCGACTGCCAGACTGGGTCACCGCTCTCTCGGAGATGTTTCGGTGCACTAAGCCAGGTGGAACCGTTCAACTTACGGAAGTCATTACGCCGCCGAACAGCAGTGCAGGGCCGTGCAATCGCAAGTGGTTTGCGGTTCTTGAATCTTTCTGCGCTAGCCGCGGCCTCGTGCTGCACTGCGCGCGGATCCTACCCGACCTCCTGAAGGCGGCAGGGTTCAAAGATATCACAACTTACGAGACTGGTGTAATCCTTGGCTCTAAGGGTGGCGACGCGGGAATGGAGGTTAGGAGAAGCAGGATCGGTATATGAAACCTTCTTGAATTCTCGCAGTCATGTTCTTCTCACTAATTGGTGTACCCTGGCATCTTAGGTGCGTTCCGCGGCATGAAATTGCCGATCTTGAATGCAGGTTCGTGTTGATGGACATGATTTCTCTTGATGTCCCTAACGCGGCTTCTTCCAACAGGCGGATTTGGCGTTATCTCATCCGGAGATGCATTTGACGAACTCCTTGACGGTGTTGAGCGCGAGTGGGAGGAGACTGGTCTCGCGGAGGCAGGTTACATCCATATTGTCGCGCGGCACCCTCTAGACGCCGTAGCGTCGCCCAACAATGCAGTCAGGGATTTGGCGTTGCCGGTTCTGTCTTCTTTTCACGCGATCATTCGCGCGGCACTTTACAATTTGGCGGGGTATGATAGGAACTAACATCATGTTGGAATTTCCTATGCATCTCAAATTCAGCCCCGCACAGGCAGTTATTGCGCAACATCAGCGATTGCGGTTCTGCTTTCATATTAGGGACACATAAGACCCGAAGGCACATCTGAAGTTTTATGATATCATCACTCGCTGATTTCACTGGATGGCTGCAGAAATTTTTCCTGCCAAGAGACAACTGGACGACTAGGTCCAAACTTGTGGAGTCAGTAAAGATCTCAAATGCAAATGTTCAATGGAGCAATATATTTCACGACCCAACAAACATTTCCAACTAGTCGCTATCGGGTTTCAGCGCGACTGTTCTCGCATCCAATTTTCGCTTGTTCAAGTATGCGATGATGAGCAGGCCGGCCGACCCAATCTCAGTCACCTAGAGGACGGTATGATGAGCTCGTCTGATGCCGTGGAAAATAAAGAGACAAGGCACCCCAGCGAAGACGCAGCCTGCCCACCACCGATTGTGTGTGCCGACGATTGTGGAAGCAATGGGCGTGCCGATGAGCAGCGCTAGCCCGACTGGCATGCAGGCAAGGCCGAGCCTTACACTAATACGAGGAAGCGAGGTTGAGAATTAGGTCACCGAAAAATCAGGGACAACGCCCCACCCTGATTCTCCGACATTCGGATCCAAGCACAGCACGGCAGGGAAATAGAGGGATACGACTGTGAAGGAAGTAAGTGTGTGTTATGGAGAGACCTCAGCCGGGCGAGAACCGATGCCTACCTGACCCTGAGAAGAAACCATAACTGGCGAAGACCGGTGAGCAAATTGCAGCAAAATAGGTTAGAAGGAAGCACGCACAGAATGCAGAAGACAACGATCGATGCAGGGTGTGTACAGACGAGCATCAAAATTGCAAGGACACCCGCGAGCGCCGTACACGGCATGTATACCTCGAAGACACCCCATCGATCTGCAAGCCAATTCGGTAGTATCCGCCCAAAGATACTGCTAATGTTGATGATAGCCAGGAGCCACGATGAAAGTCCAGGTGATATGCCATGCGACTCCGCGAAGAGCTGTACCATGAAATTGGGGAACCAGAGCCCAAGGCAGACCACAAAGCCATAGGTGATCGTCAAGACGTAGGAGACATTTTTGAAGAGCGCGCGTATGGGCGGCGTTTTTCGCGGTGACGACGACTCCGAGGGTTGTTGCGCCGGTGCAATCCAACCCTCTGGGTGTGTGCGCATGAGTAGATTCGCAGCGATGAGGCACCCAAGGCATATGAATGCGCAGATGCGGATGCCCCATTTGAACCCAATCGAGCCATTCAAGAAATGGCTGAAGAGTACCGAAAAGAAAAAGCCGCCGACTGACGTGCCTGTCGTTGTGATACCCTGGAAGTGTTCAGCACATACTTTTGACTATGGACAGAAATAAGACGATAATACCATGGCGAGTGCTCGTCGTCGCGTGAAATGGTTAGGCACTATCCCAGATGTCGGAAGAAAGCATATTCCAAGACCGGCACCCATACCGATGCCTTGCGCAAGGAAGACCTGATAATATTGACCTTCACGCGCGAGGGAAAGCATAAACAAGCTAAAATACTACGGTCAGAGAGAACTTTGATTTACTTGACGTAGCCCACCTGAATAGAAAAACCAATGTCCCCACGAACACTGTCCAATGGAAATGGCCTGCGTCCAACCTAAATAAAACCCCAGTTTGCGTCACGGCGGGAATAACTGGGCGGGCGCTCGAGTCCATGGGTCATGCTCACAGTTGTCCCACCGAAAGCCCAAAGAAGTACTCAAGGAACAGTGGTGCTGTGCCAATCCACGAGAGATCCGACAGAGTGTACCGTGTCAGGAAATGCTGCGCATAATATGTTTGTGTGACGCCAAATGAAGTAACTGTGCCGACCATGCAGAACTGGATGAACCAGGCACCAGCAACTGCATGAGGCAAAAATCAGCAGACGACTGACTCTCAAGGCTTTAGATGACGTTACCAGCGCACCACCCTCGCAGCCCGCCATCGAGTGATACAGGTTGAGGGGATGAAGTGTTTTCCGAGGTCGATGAACGCTCCTCAACCTTTGAAGATCCAGACTTATTCAGCAACGACCGCGACTGTGACGATAACGATATATGCACCTGGGAACTGGGAGCCTTCTCTGAGACGGCTGGGCTTGAGAGTACTGGAGCCACTGCGTTCATGTCTATGATGGAATTACGAGCGCCAGTGTATGTAACCGACGCTGGTTCTTGAAGACTCCTCATAGATGGGCGGCACGTAGGTGATGAGCAAGGCTTCTGACCGAAGGCGAATCACGGTACTTACTCAAGGCAAGGCTTTCCTCGTCTGCCACAAGCAATCCGAGCTACAAGTGTGGCGCTGGCGCTGTCTGTTCCTAAGCACCTTGCGCAATCGCAAGGCGGCAAGACACAACATATCAGACTTCAGGTATTTTATGTCATATGATACAGATCAGTTGGCAAACCTTGTTAGTGACCCGCCTATGTGTGGTTATACGTCGGAATGGAAGAATCCAGAGCTAACTTCTTCAATAGATCCGAATAGTGTGGGGTAGTCGTGGCGCGTGCGAGTCTTTGACTTGCCAAGACGGCACTCGACAAACTAAAAGATTACCCACTGCACCGTGCTCTAGGAGGATGTCTAATATAGGATTGCCAAAGACCCTCCACGCTCCTCCACGGCGCGGAGGTAACCAGGTTCCGGCGGGTTCCGGCATAAGTTCACAACCGACCAGCCCCAGGCGCTGGCGCGTCGAACAGCGTCCCAGCCCGCAGCGCTTGCCGCTTGAAGAGGCTTGAGGCATTCAAACTCAGTCCATACAACCTTGAATGGTTGCCTGTGTCCTTTTTGGCGTGTCTGCTCAGGTTTGCTCACTCGAAAACCCGGTAAGATAGGACCCCTGAAAATAGGGGGGTAGGCCTGAGTCACATTTTTGGTAAATCCTGAAAGAAGTTCGGACAAGTGAGCCAAATTTTGCTCAAAATGTTCGGATTCGCCTCTGGTTTTTGGGCCAATATCCATAATTTTGCCGGACGGAGGCATCAGGATGTCCAAAATGTTCGGATTGCTGGAATCAGGCCTCAAAAGAGCCAATTTTTCGTTGGACAACATAGACCAGGCCTTTAAAGACACAATTTTGTTAGAATCTACATTAGAATGTCATTTTTGAACTGATAATATACAAGAGAGTATATGTGAGAGTGTCTGTGAGCTCGGTTATCGATAGTTGTCAATGAGGGAGAATTTTTGTATGATCTGGAGGAATATCAAGTTGAGGATCCAGTGCCATGTCAGAGCTAGTGTCGGATATGTCGAGGATAATTTCGGTCATTGTGTCGAGCAAATGAAATGATACCAGACCGGTGCCAGATAATACTAATATTGGCATAGTAACACTGAGCTGACAAATAAGTCTATAGTGGCCTCTGACTAGTATGAGATTGTGAATCAAAAATAGGGAAGATATCTCGGGTGAACAGCTTTAGAAAGATGGTTGAACACGAAGAAAGATGAAGTAGAGACGAAGAGAGACGAGCGCGAGAGAAGCGCCTGTTCTACGTAACGAATAAAGTCGAAGCACGGCGGTTTTTAGCTCAAGGAGTAGAAGGCCAGTCGGGTCCAGGAAGTCCCGAAAATGCTTGTGGCTCGAACCTCGTATCTTGCATACTCTTGTGTTCAAATCAAACTGGTCATTCCATTGCACCACAAGACCGATACAAAAGTTCGGACTCATCATCCATATTACTGCCAAAAGATCCGGACCCGGCATCAGCTTTTCCGCGACAACAGCCCAAAAAATCCGTGATCCGGAAATAAATGTCTGTGGGCAAAAAATCCGGACCACGGCTACCGAGGGAGCACAGCCGAGATCAGTGCCTCTGAAGTACACAAGTCTCGCGAACCGTAATACGAGGGTATGACCCATCGCTCGTGTCAGGGCCGTCACTGTCGGACACAAGTATCATGCTAGGTGTGTACCATTAACGAAAAACTCATTAAACTCGCATCTATTTTCTGATCAGTCAAAGACTTGAGTCTGGTGCAGGTCCTCAATGCATACTGTACGATCATGTGAGGTTTGGTGCATCCAGCACTAAATACTTTTCGACCTGGCAAATCAAGCTGTATTGTCAACTAGGTCACCCACACCTTCCCGTAACCGAACGTGCGGTATAAATACTCCATCTCATTTCGTCATTGCCACCCAAGTTTTGACTGAACATGTCTCCCAACGTCAATAACGTATTCTCCGGAAAAGATTCGCTTTTGCAATACTACGATCCCGATTGTAATCCAGTAAGTCCAGCTCATGCCTCTCTTATGATCCCGCATCATATCAGCTAATACGTCGTGCGTTTACCTAGATGCTACCAGTAAATCTCTTCTGCATTTCGCCACTTCAATGATCTAATCAGTGTCTCCTACAGCTAGTGGAAATCCCCAATCACCCATTTGAAAGCGACCATGTTCGCATCTATGCGAAGATGTTGACATGTCTTCCGGCGGCCAACGTGAAGCTTCTTCCTGGTGAGTGTGACTGATAAAGTGTTTTAGTCTTATTTATTGACTTTCGATGTCATATAGCACTGAACATGCTGCGTAGAGCGAAGGAGCAAGGGAAGATAAACTTGGCCACGAAGATCGTAGAGTATTCGTCCGGGAGCACAGTCACTTCCCTCGCGATTCTAGGCCGTATCATGGGTCTCAAGGGTGCTATTGCATATGTCTCGAACAAGACGAGTCAGGCGAAACTAGACCTCCTTCGATTCTTTGTATGTCAATTTATCTATTTTGCGTAGATGCTTGGAGTTGATTGATAAGGTTTCAGGGTCTAGAAACGTCAGTAATACTGTCCGTTGACTGATGCGTGGTCTAACTTCTCATTTAGAAAACTGTTTGGTGGACCTGGCCAACCGAGTCCCACAGACAAAAACGGAGGTATCTATAGGGCAACAGTCGACGGTGAAGCTGATGATTACTTCAATCCAAGCCAGTATCTTAATCCCGATGTACGTTTACTTGTGCGTCTATCTCGTCGAATTCGACACATAGTTGCTTCGTCAGAATTATTCTGCCCACCAACGATGGACAGGTCCGCAGATAATTGACCAGCTTCCGAATATTTCAATCTTCGCAAGTGGGATGGGTACAACAGGTTCATTATTTCACTTGCATCACAACTTTGCCACTAAAGATCGTCTTCAGGAACTATGACAGGGACTGGCCTGTACCTCAAGAGTGTGCAGCCGAAAGTTGTAAACGTTGGGTGCGTTCTGCGGATGTTATGCGGTCTTCAACCACCAAAGCTAACAAGCGACCATTCTATTTCACATTCTTAGTGTCTGCACTGCGCCGGGTGACCTGGTCCACGGGCCACGAAATTTTTCCCTGGTCGGAAGTATCAATTTCCCTTGGCGAGATGCTATTGATGCGCTGGAAGAAGCATCCGCGTTTGAGTCGTTTGAAGCAAGCTTGGACTTGTGCCGACAGGGGCTTCTTTGTGGTCCTAGCTCAGGGCTGTCAAAAACGGGTCTCTACAAATATTTGGAAAGAGCCAAGACGAACGGAGGGTTAGATGCTCTGAGAGCCGAGGACGGCTTCGTTTACTGTAGGTTTCTTCAATCAATCCCGGCCATGTTTGCTAAACTGTCATTTAAAAGGTGTCTTCACATGCTGTGACCTCCCATATCAATATGTCGAAGAATACTACAAAATTCTCGGAGAAAGCTACTTCCTGCCCATTCATGACCATGAATTACTCAATGTCGACTCTTATCCGTATCAGCTCGAGTGGGAGCTCTCGGCGATGGACGCTTTCCAACGAATATTCCCTGATGCGACATCCGTTTCGACATTACCCGGGTCCACGGCCCGTTCTGATATTATTACGCCCAAGAACGTGATTGTCCTCGACATCCGATCCACAGCTGACTTCGTGGCTGCTCACATCACTGGCGCCCTCAACATCGATATCGGCAATGCGGGAGCCCCGAATCCCTTTCTCGACGCATCCACAATGGTCACACAATGGACGACACTGAACACACGTTTGTCTTCCGAAGATCCTGAGTTTGGCGAGGTGCTCGAAGGGGCGACCGTCATTGCGCTGTGCTATAGCGGCGCAACCTCGCGTGTGGCGACCAGCGTGCTTCGGCACCGGGGCGTCGAGGCATTTTTCTGCGTGGATGGTACACAAGCATGTTTGGACCTCGCTCAGAATGCGGGATACGTGAAGGTGTAGATTCCGCATTGGAAATCATTACGGTAGTATGTTCCCAAACAGATCGAAACGACGAGAACACATATGCAACGACGTGTACCTAGGTCTATTATTACCAGAAGACAGCAGGACTGAAGCAGTTGCGTTGGCGGCGCCTTGATTGTGTACAGAACAGGCGCTGAAATTTAATTGAGGCGCTGAAATTCTGATGTTCTGATACTGACGGCCCATTTGCACAAAGAATCAATTCGCGCACAAATGTGTTGCGAGCGCGCAACTTTGGGTTAGAGTGCACAACTTTGTGTCAGAGCGCGCAACTTTGGGTCGGAGTGCGCAACTTTGTCTTATGCGCGCAACATTGGCTGGGTCAATTACATATTTAGAATTTCGGACCGGCTTGGGCCGAGGCTTTGGTTCAATCAGTTTCCATATCTGGTAAGTCTATGCTTACAAATATAACAGCCGAAAGAGGGAGTCATCGCTCGTAGTCTCCGTTGCTGACCAACACAGAAGATTGCAGTCGTTCTGTGTTAAGGTCTGCTTCCAAATGCCGGGGCCTTGCAGGTAGTACTGATTTCGGCATTTGCCGCTCTTAAATGATGGACTTTGCGAGGAATGTGTCACCTAACCTGACACACAAGGGGAAAATGCTTACCAGCTAGATAGGTGGTGCTTACTACACCCCCAGGGGATTACTCAGGAAAAAGCTGAGTTTGAGATCCACAGCAAGATACCCGGCAAATGCTGACACCACAACAAACCATCGGTTCTGAAATCATTCCATATCGCACTACCTCAGCATTATTCTGAGATTGATCAGCATCATTTCAGCTTCGCCATCTCAGAATCAAACCAGCCCATCTAGGCTCTCGTCATAGATAAATCCCAATCGGGTTATATCCTCTTATTGATATCATTTAATTTAATTGTGTGATAAAAATTGCCTATAAAATTATATTTCTCTATCGACAGACATTGTTGTGATACTACATGAGGACCTCCTTGCTGGCATCGTCGACCACCCCAACCTTTCTGACTTACAGAATCCTAGAACTCATAGTCTCCACCAATCTTCCACAATTAGCATTGCACCACCAATTACTACACGTGCAAAATTTACTTACCACGCAAGGACGGCGCCGATAGATGTTCTCATACGATCCTATCAGTAATACCTATATAACAGTACTAGTGGACTGCTCATCAGTCCAGAGACTTTGCTGGGCACAAGGATAAGAAACACCACTCACCGACATGCTATAAAACCTGGTCCGCCTCCCGAGTCACAATCACTCCCAATCCCATGCATGGCAACACCTGTGAAACAAAATGTGAGATGGTACAGCCCGCCTTTCACACTCCCTGTGGATCTTGCAAAAGCCCAAGGTTGACATGCAGACAGAACACCCCAAGTCACCAAGCTGCGAGCATAGCAATCCAGAGCCATCAGTCAGATCCCAGCAGCCGAGAATTTTCTAGATTGTGTCCGCAGCAAGCCCCAAGATTCAGCTCAAGCCAAGTACCAGTCCACATTGGCAGTCCAGAGGTATTGGTATCGGGTGTCAGAGCCTAGACACATGCAGACAAATCGCATAGGGCAGGAGATGCGTGAGGAAAAAGACAAGGGCTGACGTGCTGACGGCGCCTGCGAGGCGCCGTCACCCTTTGTCACACTCGTCACATCGCCCTCCCCTTACGGACCACTGAAATACTGGCATTCTTGAGAGCATTCCTTCACAATACTGCAGCAGGAAAGTGTATAGGAATGGTATTCTATATGATTGTATTTAATATACTTGAAGGTCCCGCACCAGGAGAGGCAGCCACGGCATGGGGCGTGACACCGCGGCTAGGTCCTGCGGCACCTCTTGAATGCTCCTCGACATGCGACAATCGCAGCCTATCGGGCAGGTGCTACATCACAGAAGGTTGTGATAGTTCTTGTAGGCACAAACCGTGGAGTCTGAACATGCTGATTTAGCAAGATTATATCATGGCCAGGTGCATCTCAGCAAAATTCTCGCATCGGTTTTCAGGATTAGTCTGAGATTCCGCCACCTCAGCATAATCTCAGAACTCAGTCGGGTTAAATGCTGAGCAGGAGTTTGTCAGCTTCAGTCTGAGTTCACTCGGTTTTAATTCTGATATCATACCTGGTTTCTACGCTCGGATCACAGATCGGTTGTCATTTCCTACAAAGCCCTGGGGGTGTAGGTAAGATTTTATTTGATGCAATAGGCAAATTGGGATGAAAGATTATATTCTGCTTTGGTCATTGGTTCGAGTCCTGCTCAAAACACCATCTATTGTGTTCAAATTTTTTCATCACTATTATTCTATGCTCTTTCTACCTTTCTATATCACTTAAATCTCTTTCTGAGCATCAAGGCTGCCTGTAAATAATATTTTGAGCTTTCTCTCAACCTGCATGTGCACTGCTTTGCATGTGGGTGAGCTGGGTTTGAAAAGATATCAAATTCAGGCTGAAATGCCTACTACCTGCAAGGGTGTGTAATTTGGAAGTAGCGTACATTGCTCATACTGTATGGGCTAGCCATTGTCACTGATGATGATGATAATGCCTGCCACTCCTGTCCCACACTATGACAGCCCTGCCCACTGGAAGACCTCTAGCATTTCTATTCCCTTTAGTGATGTCACCACTTTTCTAATCCCTTAAGATGGCCATGTTTAATTGCGAAGCAAGCCTGGGACCTCTACCTCTGCCTTGTCCATATTACCTGCCCTTTCTATGAGTCACATGCTATGCCCAGCTACCAGGACCCCTAAAAATATATTGGGAGGCCAAGTGGAAATTTGTCAAAAGTTGGCAAAATTGCTTAGATGCAAAACCCCCAAAATCAGTCAAATTTTGCTAGATAAGTCTAGGCATATGTAAAATTTGCAAAAATGGCTCAGATCACTAGATTAGGCCTCAAAAAGTCAAAAATATCTCCAGACTTGCCAGATTAGGCCTTCCAGGTGCCCCCAAAATGCTAGATTGCTAAGTTTAGGCTTTTTTCGAGCCTTACAATGGTTAGAATGTATACTAGACACTAGTAGACAGCACAATATAATACACAGAACACTACAGATAAGAAACCCGACTCCAAACAATCATAGAGCTATTGCCATCCTTTTCTGTGCCACCAGTGCACCACTACTCTTCTTGCCCCCCATGCTATGCTGATGTAGCCCTTGTAGTCATTTTATAGCTATGACAATGGCCATAGTATATTTTATTAGAAGAGAATAAATTAGAAGGGATGTTTGGCATTGTGATTGCTGACAATTACTTAAAAACTGTTAGTCTGTGCTAGCAGCTCATATAGCTTGAACAAGTTGAATTTAGATTAACAAAAATACTCTACAAGATTCAAACCCAAGGGCCCATGCTAACTCAGTTTCCATATGTGACTTTTTGCAGGATATATAAGTCAGACCTCAGCACTATAAAGGGCTTTCTCTTGGACTAGATTAGGCCTAGGGCTCAAAAATCTCAAAAATTTACCAGATTCCTTCCAATATATTTTTAGGGGTCTTGGTAGCTGGGCACAGCATGTGACTCATAGAAAGGGCAGGTAATGTGGACAAGGCAGAGGTAGAGGTCCCAGGCTTGCTTCACAATTAAACATGGCCATTTTGAGGGATTAGAGAAGGGATAATATCACTCAAGGGAATAGAAATGCCAGAGGTCTTCCAGTGGGCAGGGCTGTCATAGTGTGGGACAAGAATGGCAGGCATTGTCATTGTCATTGGTAATAATAAACAATAGCTGGCCCACATAGTACAAGTGATAGGCTCCTACCCATCTGAAGGTAAGAGAGAGTGGGTGACTATAAATAACATATGCTAAGTAGATTATAGTCACATATAAAATATTTCCTAATAAGGAACTTTTAAACTTCAACCTGCTAATCCCTCACCAATAGCTGACATAAAACATTGGTAAACAAATGCTACTTATAGTGCCAGCTATAGATTTTTGAAGCCCAACACTAGTTCAACAACAATACATTTTATTTTTTTGTTTATCAACAAGAAATATGAAATAGTGTGTCATGTTGTGTCTGACAGTTTATTCTAATAGATCATATTGTCATCTTTGGCATTATTGTGAGGAATGTCACCACCCACTGATGAGCACTTTAAATCACTGTGTTGTGTGGCATTAGTAGTGAGCATAGCACCTCAAAGATCCCATATCTCCGGAGCCTGAGCACAAATATCTTTTGCTAGGTTATGAATATGGAACTCTTGGATCTGTGCAAGTGATGCATAGATGGCACTTTAGTGCCATCTATTCCTTTTTGCCAAGAGTTCTCCTATTTTCTTTGCATAGACTTTAGCAAAAGTTATACACACCTAGAGCCTGATTTGTTCATGATAGTGAGGGTGCAGGAAAAAGCTAGAAAGAATTTTGCTGATATCTTGGCTAAGATGCTGATGGGCAGGATAGTTGGAATGGAGAAGGCTTTGTAGAAGGGATAGTAGTAATTCTGAGAGATTGAACTGATATGATTCAAGAGTTTGTAGAATAGCATCTAAATATGGATGTAGACCCATTTTGATAGAAGGTAAGACTACTGCAATATGACACAACATACCACACCACAATATTCTATTTGCTCTTGATAAACAAAAGAATAAAATATATTTTTGATAAAATAGTGTTGGGCTATAAATTTGGGTGGCTGGCACCATAGGTGGTATTTGTTTACCAATGTTTTATGCCAGCCATTAGTGAGAGGTTAGTGGGTTGAAGTTTAAAAGTTCCTTGATAGGAAATATTTTACATGTGACTGTAATCTACTTAGCATGTATCATTCATAGTCACCCACTCCCTCTCATCTTTGGATGGGTAGGAGCATGTACAAGCGATAACTCTCTCTTTTGGCTGTTATATTTATAAGCATAGACTTACCAGATATGGAAGCTGATTGAACCAAAGCCTTGGCCCAAGCCGGTCCAAAATTCTAAATATGTAATTGACCCAGCCAATGTTGTGCGCATAAGACAAAGTTGCGCATTCCAATATAATGTTGCATGCTCTAACATAAAGTTTTGCGTGAATTAATTTTTTGTGAAACTGGGCCATCATACAAACAGGCCGTCATATGATACAGCCAGATTCATAACGATGGGCCTTGACAAAAAGAGAACATGCTTAGCAAATTGTGTTGGCACTGAAATATTTTGGCTGTGTCCTATAGATACTGATTTCTCCACTTGTTGTCCTTATCCCTCTCCCCAGTCGTACGCTGTCTAGATCTTAAATTTGATGCTCTGACTGGGTCCTTTTTTCCAAAGCTTGGGCCTATTGTTATGAATCTAGCTGTAACCCTTGATAACAGGACCCTTGACATTTCAGCCAAATATATGTTTCCCCCATGGTAGTAAGATGGTGTGTAGCGCTGCAGCTCTGAAATTTTCCAGTAGTCTGAGGGCCGATTTTGGATGTATCTCTAGTCTCTATTGCTGACCAACACAGAAAATTGCAGTTGTTCTGTGTTAAGGTCTGCTTCCAAATGCTGGGGCCTTGTAGGTAGTACTGATTTCAGCATTTGCTGCTCTTAAATGATGGACTTGCAAGAAATGTGTTACCTAACCTGACACACAAGGGGAAAATGCTTACCAGCTAGATAGATGGTGCTTACTAGGTAAGATTTTATTTGATGCAATAGGCAAGTTGGAATGAAAGATTATATTTTGCTTTGGTCATTGGTTCAAGTCCTGCTCAAAACACCATCCATTGTGTTCAGTTTTTTTTCATCACTATTATTCTATGCTCTTTCTACCTTTCTATGTCAATTAAATCTCTTTCTGAGCATCAAGGCTGCCTGTAAATAATATTTTGAACTTTCTCTCAACCTGCATGTGCGCTGCTTTGCACGTGGGTGAGCTGGGTTTGAAAAGATATCAAATTCAGGCCGAAATGCCTACTACCTGCAAGGGTGTGTGATTTGGAAGTAGCCTAATGTATCTCTGTGAAGTTTTCCAGTAGTTTAGCCCTGTTTTGGAGAGGTGTAATATGTGTCCGGTAGTCAAGATTTGATCGATGCAGATAATATATTTTCGCAACAAATCGTACGAAAAAGAATCTGTTCGCCCGACTTTCAATTTTCTGTGCCCTCTTCATTTCACATAGCCGTACCGCACCAGTACAGGACCTCACTCGCTTCTCAGCTTCTATCGTCGCTCTCGAGGAAAATCCTACTCCGCTAGGCCAGAACATCGCCATCTTGAGACAAGACTATATGTACTACAAGGCTTTGGAAGCCAAGACTGTGAGCATCGAGAGCACTCTCAGAGAAATGAAAGGGTGAAAATTAATACTGAGATTAGCTTAGCACTAGTCTGAACTTATGCATGACATGTATCAGGTTACTGCGCGATTTTTTTACGATTTTTTACGATTTTTTAGAGGTCTGATAATGTTTCCGGTAGTGAGAGGACCAGTACGGAAGGTCTGTTTAGGATCCAGTAGTCAAAGAGGGCCCAAAAATTTGTCCGGTAGCGGACTCTTTTGGCCAAACATACATTTGGCTGAATTGTCAGGGGTCCTTTGATAACTTGGTTGACAGTGTCACAGGTACAACATGATATGACCTAGGTAATTTCAGCGAAGGACTTTCTTTTGCACTCAACCGCTCCAGCATCATGCCCATATCCAAGATTGGCGCCTCTCTGAGCTACTTCAACATGGTCCGCATGGCCGAGATCATAATATCAACACAGTCTTCTGGACTCTGAACTCGTGTCTGTCGTGACTGACTCCTGAGGTAGAGTGCCTTATGATTCATGTGGTGCGTGCATCAATACCGTAACGATCTCCTTATTGAAACGCAGGTTATGTACTCACCTGGTAATCGCGTACGTGGTCAAATGGTCGACCCTTTTGTTCGAACAGAAGCTTCGATACAACAAATACCTTTCCCCGATACAACAAGTTCCTCACCGTACAAAAACTGTTCATGAATTCCAAAGCTTGCTTCAACGATTCACGTCGCCATTACTGCTTTGGATCACACAATGTTTTCCGCCCCTTCGTTCAACCGGTTGCTTGAGGTACTTCCGTCGAGGCAGTCACAGCAGAACATTCTCGGCAAAGTGATGTCTTTTCATGGCCTTCTGTTGCTTGTTTCACTCGCCACTGCCCCTATCGTGTACAATGCACTTTGCCTCGGCCCATACAACCTACCGCATAGAACACGGCGGCATCCATCGCTTGGAACAGTCGAGGTACACGACAATCTCTCGCGAAGGTTGCTCAAGAGGGCTATGGATCTATATCCACCCGATATACATGGAATCAATACTGGAAAATACGTGGATCTGCCTTTAGGCAAAACTAGATATTGGCTAATTGGTCCTGAAAGCGGCAAGAAGGCATGTTCATCTCTAGATCACAGCATGCATATCACGGATTGAGCATCACACAGGTTGTTTTGATAGCAGGTCTTTCCATGCCATCTCTCATCAAATCGTTACTCGTTCCGCATCTTACGTCCAACGGGTTTCGCGTCCTGCTGTATGATCTCTATGGCCGCGGATACACAGAGGCTCCATGCGCGTCAGAGGTGAAATACGATACGGAGATGTATGTGACCCAGCTCGCCCTGCTCTTAGGTCATGTTGGCTGGGACAAGGCCGCCATTGTGGGATCATCTGTGGTAAGGGTCTGCTCTCACAACTTCGATCTTATTCTAATGCACAAATTACGGTAGGGTGGAGGTATTGCGATTGCCTTTTCTGCTCACTTCCCTCAGATGGTAGACGGTAAAGTCGGCCTAATTGGATCTTGTGGTGTCATGCCGGTGAGTTGTGCATCTATTTCCGTTATTCCTATCTGACGTCTCTGAGAAGCAATGGGAACCACCACGTAGTGTCAGACGCGCCGTCTCCCCTGCTCTGCAATACCTGAGATCGTCTTACCTTGGTAAAGTACGCTCCATGTGACAGAACTCAATCATGGTTTGAAGTTGACGTGTAGAAATATTCAACACAGCTCTTGACACGAAAAAAGATTCCGCCGCAACTTCCAACGCCTGTTACGCAGCTCGTAGACAAGGGTCATGCTCTTATGCAAGACCTTGAAGAGGCAAGTTCCCGGCGACGGGTGATATTACTACATACTAACATCCATCCCCTAGCTCGTCCAGATTCAACATTATCTCCTTCCCGGTTACACACAGGCCATTGCATCGACGCTTGTTCATGGGCCCATTCGCAACTTGGAGACCGAGTATGCAGTATTAGCTCTAGCGGCTGCCGAGAAGCGAGTGGATGTTATTCTGATCTGGGCAAGTGGATTTAAAAAAGTGGTCATGACTTACTGATGCTGTTTGTCATCAAATTTAGGGCACAGAAGACGAAATTGTCGATTACAATTATGCTCTGAAGATGAGGCAGGCTATTCCGAGTGCACAATTTGTCTCCTTCCAAGGTTTGTCGCGCAAAAAATCGAAATCTAGTTCGCCTTACAGAGTACATACACATAGGTGCCAAGCACGACGTCATCGTCTTCCGGGCTGAGGAAGTTCGCGAGGCATTGTTGAGGTTTTTAAAGAATTGACCACTGGAAATCAAGCACAGATGCCGTGGTGCCATGCATGCGAGATGCGCTTAGAGACCAATAAACATTTCCCAGCTTCATTCGATAACTCATGGTGCTAATTTACGCCCTTATGCAATTGAATATGAGATCATGGCAATTAGGCGGCCTTGGGCCTAAATATGAAATGCGGTGCGAAAGTGTCGGCACTCGTCGCCCTCCAGGTTCACTATGCTTTGGCACTTCTTCCACGGACCTGGCAAACTTTATCTCCTCAAGATTTCTCCGTAAAGGCATGATAGCGCCTGAAGCGGTGTGTCAAAATTCTCTTCTCTTCCATTTTGTTTGGTCAGGAGCTCTCTCACGCTTCAGCAGAGCCCAGATGTCGCCTCACACAACGACCCTGCATTACAGCAACGATGCGGACATCAATATTACCAAACTTTATCATAATGTCCCGAAAAGACTATCCTACCGGCAAGCGGTGACATTCTGATTGACATTGATGCGATTATCAAAGGGCCCAGAGGCCTTGTTATCATGATGGATGAAGGTCCTTGCGTATATACTAGTGGACGCGTAACTCACTGGTGACTTCACGCACGGTCTATCGTTAGGATCATTGCCTTCCACGTCCACCCCTTGTCGCGATCGCGAATTCATTCCCTATTTGATTCTTGCATCATGGTTCATGTTGTCGTACTTGGTGCAGGTATGATACTCGACATCTGCATTCCGTGCACGTCCTGATCACTAGTGTAGGCGTCATCGGACTTTCCACTGCGATTTCTATTCGAGAGAAAGGTTATCACGTGACACTTCTTGCACAATATCTTCCTGGCGATCCCAAGAACATCGGTTATACAAGTCCGTGGGCGGTAAGGGATTGCGACGTCCATAAATTTCCAGTCAAAACATCTAATGAGTGATCTGCAGGGTGCTCACCACGTTTCCTCAGCAGGAAATAACGAGACACAACGAAGTACGCCACATGTACCGCACGGACTCCCCTAGTTGACTGATATGTTCGCCTCCAGAGCTGGACAGGGAGACATTTGATGTGATGTGGAAACTGTCTGGAGGTGGCGATGCCCAGCACTGTTTTCACAGAGTTCGGCAGTACGAGTACTATCTTGATGAATCTGGATACGAGGCACTCGCACACATGCCAAATGTGAGTCCAGGGCGCTTCGGTCTCTCGTTTCACTTTGATAAATAACTCAATCTTTCTATACTTTAGTTTCGTCGCCTAGGGCCCACCGAGCTTAGACCTGGCTGTACTTCGGGTATCACATTTTCTACGCTGACGATCAATACCTCTCTATACCTCCCGTACCTCTTGTCCCGGCTACAGCGTATTGGTGGAAAGGTCCACCGGTGTATAATCCAGCATATCAACCAAGTGTCAGAGGGCGCTTTTACAGATGGGGTTTGCCCTGATGCATTGATCGTGTGCACCGGTCTCGGTGCACGATCCTTAGGCGGCGTTGAGGACCAGAATGTGTTCGCCATCAGAGGGCAGACAGTCCTGCTCAAAGCACCTTGGGTCGATGTAGGCCTCTCAAAAAATGAACCTGGCGGAAAGTGGACCTACATTATGCCACATCGCAACGGGAATGTGAGTAGTTAGGTGATATGACCCTTCCAGTGTCTAAAAAAAAATCTCACGCAGGTTGTGGTCGGAGGCTCTGCCCAACCGCATGATTGGTATCGCTTTCCTACCTATCAACGCCTCCTCCTGTCTGACGTGACTCGCTCGTATAGGTACCCTCATTGCCGTCCAGAGGTGACTAGAGATATACTGGAGCGGGCCAATTCCCTTTGCCCAGAACTTGCTACACCGTTGTTAAGGGGGACTTCAAGAGCACCTTCTGCTGATGATTTATATCCGTTAATAGTCGACATGGGTTGTGGCATGCGACCTGGTCGACAAGGCGGTGTCAGACTTGAAGGTTCATTTTTGGATATCAAGGACCTACCTGCAAAGATTCCGCTGATATACAATTATGGGTACGTGATGTGAGCTATGGCATCGCATTGAATCACCAAAACATAGTTTCAGGCATGCTGGATTTGGATACCAAGCATCTTGGGGCTCGGCTAATGCGGTCGTTGACCTTCTTCAAGATATGTTGCCAAAACGTGTTGAGAGAGCGAAGCTTTGAGTATCGGCACATTCTGCTGCAGCTTGATAAATATCTTATCTCAAGTCATTACGAGTCAGTGTTCAACTCCCAACTTCCGTGCCCCTAGTATTTTCCAAACTGCCTGTATTTTTATCATCTCGTTGGAGACGAGAGATCAAATGTTACCAGTGAAGCAATGACGATGACGATAGTTAGCATGTCAGCGAAGAAACAGAACAATTTAAACTTCAACTCCATCCTTGGGCCTGAGTACTGAGTCTTCGCAGGAATCTAACCTTGTTTATAGGCTATTTTGTTCGGGATCCACGAATACCACAGACGGTTTCGGCGCACCAAATACGTTCTCAACTCAACTGAAAAGACACAAGTCTACAAGACGACTTATGTACTCTCCTCGGTATCATAACCATCCTCATCTCCACCCTCGTCCTGTCTACCGATATCGCCGCGGACCTTGTCAACAAACTCGACGACAATTTGACCTCCGCGGTCCAGTCCCTCGATGCCACCCAATCGCACATCTGGGCTCCAGCTGATGTCTCGACGCGGATATGCAAGGAACAGCTTGAAGCCCCACCAGTCATCCGCATCCATATTCGAGAGCTCAATCAAACCCTCGAGTCCCAATTCTCCCGACGTCGGCGTTGGTAGTTTCTCGTTGTCGGCGTCTGTAGAGATCCCTGTTGAACTCGGAGGAACCACGTGGGTATCGACAAAGCAGTAGAGCGCCGTAACAGTGTCCGTGGGGCGCAATATGCGAACGAGTCGGCGGCCGTCAGGCAGCCTGAAACTGACACGAATCAAATCGGGGCCGTCGACGGGCTCTGGCGGTATGAGCGCCTCTCTTGCTTGATGTCTCCATACGGCTTTAATATTTTCCCTTCGCGCGCTCTCTGCCTTTTCGCGGGCTATCCTGTCTTCCTCAGCTCTCCTCGCTTCCTCAGCCAGCTTCTCAGAAAGCACAAGTGCGTCAATCTTCTCCCTGTCCCGCCTCGCCGATTCCGCGAATGCGCGATCCTGTTCTTCGCGTAAGCGCCTTTCGAGCTCGCGCTCGCGTATGGAGTGCTTGATGCGCTCGAGGAAGGGGCTAACGCGGGGAAGGAGTTGGTGAGTAATATGGTCGACGAGAGTAGTGGGAGAAGTAGGACCGGAGGAAGAGGAGCGGCCTTGGTGTCGAGAGAGAACAGTCAGAGAAGGGGAAGCCGAAGCGCGGGTGTTCGAGCTGCTGTTGAAGGAGGAAGAGCCTCGCGAAGGCTGGAGAGCTAGGAAAGCGACGAAAGGGTAGGTAGTGACCTGCAATTTTTGCGCGGCTACAACAGATCATGTCAAAAATATATAAAATACAACCGTGGAGGAGAATGTACCGCTCCATCCCTCTCGGTCACGAACATCGCCTCCCCATACAAGAAAGTCATTTGTATGCATAAGATCCACCAGTATTGGGTCGGTCAAAGTATTACTGCGAGGAAAAGGTGGAATCAGATGTATTCATTAGTAGGAAGAGCGCCTTCGGGCGTACCGTTTGAATTCTGCGACATCATCGTGTTCGTTACTAACAAGTACGATACAGCCAATCTTAGCCTCTCTCTGACAAGTCTGAAGAGTCTCTTCATAACTTCCCAGGAAGAAGTCAGGGAGAATCTTGCGGCTCGTGGAACCATACCGCCCGCGAATGTTGGCACTTGAAGGGAGAGCTGAGGTGTTCGACGAACCCGCGCTATGCGAGCCAGAGAACGTGGCGGTAGACCCGACTCGCGCACGGCTCATACAGAGTGCGCCGGTCTCGTCTTCGAGTGAGCGAACCCAGCGGTCAGCAACGCTGTAAGGGTCATACGACGGCGGCGCGCCTCTTCCTCCAAGCGGGCGGTAGAAATTGAGTGAGGAGAACCGCCATTGGGGAAGAGGAATTCTGAGGGTCCCGAATACAAATCGAATGATGCTTGCCACGACATGAAACGGAAACACCAGGATAGATAACATAGACTTTGGGACCAGAATAACGGGGAAGATGCCGTAGCGGCCGACCGCGGCCACCTGTACTGGCACCCTAACCCTAATTGGTTGATAAACTCCGTGATTTCTGCTAAGTGCTTCCTCGACTCTCTCAACTAGCATTAGTCATTCAAATATGCATCTTCCACTCAAAAACTGTTTTTCGCATAACAACTGCTTTGACGACTCCGGAGCATCACGAAGCAAAAGAGCGAGTTTCCCAGGATTACCCTCAGCGCCCTGCATCATGTTTGAGTCAAAATACATGGAGGTGGGCCGCGGCTCAGTCTCCAGCCTCTACACATTCGTGATGAGGACCACTTTACTTTGTTCCTACGTTACTAAGTCCTGACTAGGACTGCCGAGCGGATCTAGGCATCTTCGAACCACATGCAGGTACCGATTCGGCGAAACCGCCGTAACGAGAGGCGCACAGTTTGCTGGTCCTTGTATGAAAATCATGCTTCGGCCTCCATTGACCACATAGCTTGAATCTAAAAGGTCTTCCATAGCTTCACTTCTACAGACATCCGCATGAGACGCTATCAGAGTTTTTACATCAACCTCGCTACGCAGCAGCTCACTGCGTGTGCGCTAAGCGCGTCATCGAGGGTTGCAAAAGTCCATCATCAGTTTCCAACAACGATCAAGGAGTATATCAGGTTCTGACTACTACGGCGCTTTCGAGAGGTCTTTGACTATTCACCGGACTACATATAAATGCGTCTTGATGCAGCCTTGGTGGGGACAATAATTCCTCACCGAGTTCATTGATAATCTCACCCTTTCTTTCTTTCTTCATATCACCATGGTCGCGTTGACGCACCTTTTTACTTTTGCTGCTGTCTTGATGGCAGTCTCCGTGAGTGCCGCCCCCGCTCAGCTTTCTCGCAGGGACTTCAGCGGTCAAGGTATTGTCCAACGTTTTCTTGACCATACCAGCGAAGGCTAACTTTAAACCAGGAACATTTTATGTGCCTGGCCTTGGTGCTTGCGGTGTCACGAACACCGGCTCTGACTTGATAGTTGCGATATCGGCTGCGAGGTTTGACTCCACTGGGTAAGTAGCATATGGAAACTACTTGAAATGTGTTGTGATTGACACCGAATTGCTCTTGCAGCACTGCCAATCCCAATCTGTGCGTGCATGTCATTGAATGATCACTGGTTGATCAAAGCTCACTCATTTATCATCTTTCTCAGCAATCCTCTCTGTGGAAAGCGCATCACCGCAAACTGTATGTATTTTTCCAACTTCCACTGGTCGAGCAATTTTTTGACATGGACTTCCTCAATAGTCCAAGGAAAATCGGTGACGGCCACCGTCGTTGACCGCTGCCCGGGATGTGCCGTAAACGACCTCGATTTTTCTCCTGCAGCGTTCGATGCGCTCGCTGATCCTAGCCTCGGAAGAATCGATATTTCTTGGAATTTCATCTAAGGGAAAGAGTAGGAACGTGATAGTCTCTTTGTCGGACCTACTTCGATGGGCTGGCTATTCAATCTCTTGATTTTATCATAATTACTGGCCAAACCTTATGGTTGTATTATCGGAGCCATTCACAACGTTCGCTGACCATTGTCTCGAATGACGATGCTGCAGTTTTCGAGCATAAAAAGGTGATGTGAGCGCGAGGTTGTAAAGCCCAGAACGAGCATGGAAGGCAGTTTTGATTGCGGTACCCTGAACACTACAAAACAGTTATCATTCTTCTGGGTGCGCTTTCAGCCAGCGGCGCACGGCACTAGGCATTGGACACGCTGTCGATCTCCCCTTCTCTTCGGTGGCTTCGTACATGGACTGGCAACAAAGGTAGAGTTTGCGTATATGGTCTTCGCACTTGTTCGGCGCATATGTATGTTTGGAGATGCAACCCTGCAGAGAACATGCTAGTGCAAATGGCCATTGGTGATTGCAATTGTGACCATGGCGTTAGAGGACAGACCTTCTATTTGACAGGCAGAGTCTGGTGTCTGAGGCGGCAAACAGCATCAGCGCCGCGTGATAATCAATGGCGTACGAATTCAATATACACTGACCTTCGGCATGGCCGGAGATGATTGATGGCCGGTCGACTCTACTAGAAACAATAGAGTTTGCAACGCTAAGTCGTGGCCAGGAAAGTCAAAGACTCAGTCCCAATCTGGCGTCATAGAGCTCGACTGGCGGCGACCGGCCACTCGGCACAGCCTATAATTATACCAGTGAGAGCGAGGCTTCATTGATCGAAAATCACTCTAAATGGCGGCCTTACAGCTAGCTGCGAGACCAGCAAAAGAGGTACTTATTACCTACAACCTAATACGCACCGATCACCGTGGAGGTGGTTGGAGTTTATTTATCACTGACAGTAAAGAGCAATTCTACGACAGATGCTATTTCGTGTTGTGTGCCTTCGAGATTTATGAGAGCCATCTAACCAAAACATTCATGAAAAAAGGAATGCCTAGAATAGATCATGCGGGAGTTGAATCCAGCGAGCTAGGTGATCAAAAGTTAAATGTACTACCAGCTTCAGTCTACACGCTCTACGAGAGAGATGAAACCCCTCAAGCGTCAGATAGGTGTAGAAATCAAGTGTGGGTACCACGATCCTATGGCATCTGTTCGCTTGATCTCCTTCAGCTCCCATCCAGTGTTCTTTAGCAGTGTGACGAAATGGGAACTAGTGCGCTCTTGCCCATTCTGTATGCTCAACATCTACATTCAAAAATAAGTCGAGTCAGGATTAAGGTGGCGGCGGCAGCACCTACCAGGATGTCAAGGCTGTACTGCAAGGAACCAGCACCTCCCATATTAGCTAACAACGGCGCCGGTGGCAAGGGAGTATTGAGACCCTTGACCGATTCTTCTGTACCAAGATCCGATGGACAAGAGTACGGGAGAACGTGATCGATAACGACAAGTTTGGTTTCTGGGCCTGCAGCGCTTCTCAAGTGCTTTAGGATCCTAGTAGCATAGGCATCGGACCAGTCATGCAGGATGCTGCGCAAAATGAATACAGCAGGATTCTTGTAGGCGTCAGGCTGAGGGGAGAATATGTCGTGCGCTGTCACAGCTTGAGATTGGGCGGAAAGCATGGGTTACAAAGAATAGTGATGCTCACCAACAAATTTCACACGACCCGTAGTCAGTGCTTCTGGAAAATTCGCTTTCCAAAACTGTAGATTCGATACGTCAATTTCAACAGCACAAGCATGCATTCGATATACTTGCCTTCTCTCCTTCTACCACCGTTTTGGGCCTATCCTCGACCAAGAAGTTCAGTCTGGGATACGCTTTTGCAAGCACCAGAGACACAGATCCGATTCCTCCAGCAACATCAATGACAAGAGAGTTGTCAGGGAGAGAAGTAAAATTGAAACCTGGCCGGAGATTGTCAGCGTAGGTTCGTAAGCCAAGGATTCCTCAGAAGGCTTTGCTTACCGTTCAGGATAGCATTGGCAGGTTGCAACTTGGTTGATGCATCCATGACGACACCAAACCGCCTCAATCGATGGGCATTTTCAGGAAGCTCCAAAAACTCAAAGGCTGGAAGATTGTTATGCATGGCTTTGGTGAGAGCGCATTGTGTGGGCTCGTCTGAGTGACCAAACACAGGGTCTCGCAAAGTTTCTGACAAAGCTGAAGCTATCTTGAAACATTCGTCAGTCCTGGAAGAGTCGTCGTGAGATAAAATCAGAGCCGATAGATTACAGATACCAACTGATGGCCAACGAACGCAGCATATCCAGGAGTGCCATCGTGTTTTCCGAGTGAGCTAAGTGTGAAGATTGATGTATAACCACATTCAAGAAGCAATGAAGGCGAGCCTACTTTTCGAGCAACTCATCAACTGCTTTATTGGTGTCAAGCAACGAAGATGTGCGGTTATTGGTGAACACATCAGGAGTGATCTCTCTGAAAATATGGTTAGTAGCAAGCAACCTGAGGACTCTGCCTGAAAAAGATACGGCGGGAGTTATCGTTAATCACTTAAACATAGGGTGAGAAGAACTTGCTGATTCGACTGGCGTTCATTCCACTCCTTTTGGCGATATCAGACGCGTGCAGTCCCTGCAATTCACTGGCATTGAGACAGAGACAAATGAAAAGGTGACAGTTGCACATACTTGAGGGCCAGCTTCCCTGAGAATTTCAGCAACATGACCATCATTCACTACTCCAAGACAAGCCGTAACCATGTACTCAAATCGTGGCTCAGATGGACAGACGCCTTCGAAAGAATCATCGCACTTACCTGCATGCTCGCAGATGCGATGAAGGTAGGAGTGGCCCTAGCGGTAGCAATAAGTTGCGTGGCTGCAGCGACTAAGATGCCTATAGCCTTGAGAACTTCGGGCTGATTGCGGATCTCCTCCGTCTCCTGAGAGAAGACCTCGTCAAGCGATGGGAAGGGAACACCACGAGCATCGCAAGCAGCCTGAATATCACCAACGGAGGCTGCGATGAGATTGGACAAGAGTTTGAGTGTGGAGGGCATTTTAAAGTATCTGGGAGCCTGCTGGGTCAAACGATCAGATACGATCCTTGTTATATATGCTAAATGGCCCATCCCTACATCTCCGGTATGACAATTGCTCATGACAGTATTAGAAAGCATACCAGCTCACAGCTAGGTTCTCGGAGCACCATTCGTGTCATGCGCTTCTGGGTTCGCTGTGCTTCTTGGCTTCTCGCGAAGCCGATGCATCGACAACGAGATGATCATAACGATAGGCCAGGCCTGAATGGTGATATAATCTATAAGAGGGTATTCTGTTGATGTACTGACAGGGCGTGGGGGGACCTCAAGAAATATCCATATCGGCGTTAGATGCTGTGGAGAGGTGAATTCTATGTCCATAACGTACCGTAGTCAATCCCTCTTGGCGTTTTGTCACTCTGAAACAATATAAACGACAAATCATGTACGACACACATGGGTATGGAGCGAGGAAGGTCATCAAATACATATTTGAGCTGAAGTGACGTATTTGTGTCAACCCTGAAGAATTCGTGAGTCAGGCGCTTTCATGACTGTCATAACACTTACACGCATAGAAGAAAGGAAACTCAGAGATACAGGAGGGAATTAAAGCAAATAGTTTATCAACAGACCACGCAACCCTGTGAATGAAGACCTAACTCCTCCATCTCTTCCTCGGCAGCTTCGCGTTCGTTCTGCCGCAGTTTTTCTCTGGACTCTTCGGGAAACCAGTCTTGCATGAAGTTGAGTAATGCCCAATCGACATTTGCTGATTATAACGGTTGGTTGAGGCAAGCGCAGCTCGAGATTGTGGGGGACACTCACAACGATCGGCCTGTAAGACAGTCGGTGCGCGGCACATCGGGCAGTTGCCCTTACCCCGCTTTTGCATCTTGACCAGACATCTGAGAATAATAAGTGACATGAACCGCATACATTGAGCTGCAAAGCAAACATACCGAACACAGAACAAGTGACCGCAGAACAACCGTATCGGCTTGAACGCGATACTGGTACAGATTAAACAAGCGTAGTCGTCCACATGAGGTATTATCGGAAGGAGCGTCTCGCTCATAGCTTGCACAAGCGTCCGGGGAAGAGATGCAATATTTCTTGGGATGACGAGGGTCATAGAGTCCACCACGCCTGGTAGGGAGAACGCCGAGGTGTCGTATCGCAGAACGAGAGAGGTGGAAGACGGTACTTGCGACGGATCGGGGGAGACGGTGAGAGAAGGAAGGGGCAGGGCTGTGCGCTTTGCATGCTTCTTGAGGATCTTGCGGGTGGCTTCGGCGTTGGCACGTTGGAACTAAGCTGTTTTAGCGTTACAGTGCGGCTATAGAAAACCGAAACATACCTTTTTCAAGTTCAACAACAGGATGTTGAGTCTGAGAAATGTATCCAACGCTGCTCTGCTTTCCTTCAACTTCAATGTTCTCCCGTCACCAAGCCCCTGCCCAGTAACCCTCTCCGCAAAGGCCTTCAACCGGGTCTCCGAGTCTTCGACTGTCCTCTCTCCTCTTTCCCGCTCACTCATGCTCTCGAATACCTCCGTCTCGACATATATTCGGAAAATTTCCCTCCAAGCATACAGGTCAGATTTAGATGTCCGAGAAGAGACGAAGAACGGTGATCGAATGGCGCCTGCATCTGCAGACTGAGAATGCGGCTGAAAAGAAGACGTAGATGAAAGGGGTCCGGTAGAATGAGAAATCCCTCTAGAGAGTGCACTAAGCGTCTCAGTGAATTCAGACTGTACAGTGTTCAAGTAATCAGCAATAGATTGCAGAGCGCTGGAAAGTAGGCGGTAAAATGCGGTGTCATTGATGAGTGGGACGAAGAGCTCCCGAGCTCCAGATTCCGTGACATTAATTCTACCAAGGATCAGCTAAGTATTTATGGTGGAAAGTGCGGCATGCTCACATCAGATCATGTGCCCCTCCATCAAGGACAGATCCAGGTTCATCAAAATCTGATTCCCGATTGACTATAGAGGATCCTCGCTGGAGCATGTACAAAAGGTTGCTCTGTGGGTTTAGACATCCTCGTACCAGGGTACCTGCTGTAGCAAACTCGTCCACTTGCATCACTGGCTGGCAGCATGCATCCGACGACGGCGAAGATTGTTGGTCCACATCTGAGTGTATCCAGAAATGCAAGCGGGGTTCTATATGGTCAGAATCGGTCGCAAACTCGTAGACCACTTTGGGGTACAGCGGGTTCGCGGCCTCAACTGGCGCTGAGGCTTCCTTCGCCTTGCCCTTTGAGTCCGGATTCTTCTGCTGCTGGAGAAGCTGCTGGAGAATGCTGGGAGAGAGGCCAATGGATTCGAGCTCGCTGACTATGTCATGGATAAGTTTCTTGAGCTGGTGACAGGTCGGTTACTCTGCCTTCAGTCACGGAAGTGGTCGGGGCTTTTACCTTTCTGTACTCAATGGCATTGTCTCTCAGCTCTAGGGGAAGAGTGAGAAGCAGCTGGTCATATGTCTTGGAGTAGTGCATTTGTGAAAGGGTTGCATCTGTTCGTCGAGTCAGGAACCAAGCAACATTGCCGTGCCCTGCCGTGCCTATTCCGCTAAGGTTGCCGTGGGAATTCCATTCCGTCTTCCGCTAGCAGCTTGTCACAACAAAATCGTGCCCCAATTGCAGCATCTATTACCGCATCTCTTCAGATCTCTTCCTTGCGAAAATGAAGGTCAACTTTTTTCCAATCCTTGTGATGGGATCTTCGGATTTTCTCCTTGCCAAAAAAATACAACGCAATCACGGTCACATTCAAAAAGATAATTTCTCAATTTGAGATGTCAACGTCATCTGCAGGCTGCGGCAGTGCTGCGGTTGGCTGCGGTCTGCGAAACGGATCGCGGGAGTGAGTGCCGAAATACCGGCGCCAATCGACTTGCAAGTCATATTGTTGGCCGAATCTGAGCACGTAAAGTAAAGCAACTTCGAGGCTCTTCGAAGGCTGCTTTCATCCACCATGGACCCAGCCTCGGATTCCAACGGCGAGGGTGCCGTTCATCGCCCCGCAGTGCTCACTTCCTCGTCATTCACCTCTGCTACACCGTCTTTACGAGGTCCGATATCAAGTTCTCGTGGGGTCACTGGGGTAATCACACCTGCAACGCCAACAACCCCACGGACCGAGGAGACAACGAGGCTGTTGGACGTTAGTGAGGACGAAAGGGATTTGGAGCGAGGACCTCACACTAGATACGGGGGAGTAGCGGCTCCGCGGTCAGTTAGAAGTACGTCGGTCGATTCATTCATATGATACTAGAGGCGTCACCGACACTTCGAATAGAACCACCAAAGACCTCTAGGAAGGCAACATCAAATTGGGCAAAAGTTCGATACTATGTCCCTTCTCTCGATTGGATACCAAACTATTCTATATCCCTGTGAGCATGTTTGTAGCATACGAGCGAGCTGCGGGTGTTAATCTATCGGTACAGGCTTGGGGGTGATGTCCTGGCAGGTGTCACCGTTGCTGCGATGCTCATACCGCAGTCTGTCAGTTATGCGTCCTCACTCGCCAAGCTCAGTCCTGTAACAGGCCTGGTGAGTGTTATCTCTTCGCGTTATTTGCAGCACGTGCCTCGGCATTGTACACGCTCTCGCCAAAAAATTCAACTGTCTCCTTGCTCTCTAGTTTTCTGCTGCTATACCTGGAATCGTCTACGCACTCCTTGGCTCGTCTCGCCAATTGAATGTCGCGCCAGAAGCTGCGCTTAGTCTTTTGGTCGGCCAAGCCGTATCCAATGCGCTTCATTCTGACCCTCATGACCATCCTGCAAACCCAGATGCGGTCGGTTTGGCTGTAGCCAGTGCCATCGTAATACAGGTACGTCTATCCACTGCTTTCCTGGATGTCTACTGACATCGTGGGTGAAGGTCGGATTGATATCATTCGTCCTGGGCTTCCTCCGGCTCGGCTTCCTCGATGTCGTTCTTTCCAGAGCCTTGCTCCGAGGGTTCATCACTGCAGTTGCGTTCGTCATATTAATGTCAGTTTTCATCTTGAATTCAAACATAGACACCAACTGACGTTTCCTCGCAGTGAGCAGCTTATCCCAATGTTCGGTCTAGTGGCTCTCGAACACCACGTTAATCCGCAGACTACTTTCGATAAAGCTCTTTTTCTCATTGAATATGGATTCACGCACTTCCACCAGCCAACAGCCATCGTCAGTTTCGGGGCTCTTCTCACACTGATGCTTTTGCGTAGTGTGAAGAACTTATTCAAGAACTACCCTTGGATATACCGCATTCCGGAGGTATTGTTAGTGGTCATCGTATCCACGAGTTGGTGTCCTTTCTCATGCCATCACGAGAGATGACTTTACTCATAAATTTTGGTATGTAGTTCTTTCCGATAAGTTTGACTGGGATCAGGATGGAATCGAGATCCTTGGCTCAGTGCCTATCAATACGGGCAAACACTTTTTCAAGTTCCCTCTTCATCACTCGCATTTAAAGTACCTCAGAGGAACAACATCCACTGCTGTGTATGCCATGTCCTCTTCTCATCTTGCTGCTTTGCTCAAATAATGTTACGGATTTGGTGTATAGGTTGATTGTGGTCATCGGCTTCCTTGACAGCATAGTCGCAGCGAAGCAGAATGCGGCGCGCTTTGGCTATTCTATCAGTCCAAATCGCGAGCTTGTCGCTTTAGGAGCTGCGAACTTAGCCGCATCTTTTATTCCTGGGACGCTACCTGCCTATGGATCTATCACTAGGTATGACTACAATCTAGATTCAGCATTGTAGCACATCATGACGTTCAGTCCTACTGTCTAGATCGAGAATCAATGGCGATGTTGGAGGACGAACGCAGATGGCCTCACTCGTATGCTCTGGCCTTGTACTTCTAGCGACATTTTTCTTGCTTCCATGGCTCTATTACCTGCCGAAATGTGTCCTTGGATCTATGTGAGCCCGTCAATTGTGACTCCTGGAGTGTTCGTTCTCAGTCTAACGTCGCTGTTCATCAGTATCTGTCTGATTGTCTTCAGCCTCATCGCGGAGACTCCTCATGACGTGATTTTCTATTGGAAGTATGCATGATTTTATCTGTGGCTTTAGCTGACGATCTAACTCACCGTTTGTAACCGCCGGCAGAATGCGGTCATGGATGGATATGACTCTCATGGGTCTTACTTTCGTCTTTTCTATCATCTGGAACGTTCAAGTTGGGGTGGTTGTCAGCCTTATCATTTCCCTTCTATTAGTATTGAGGCGCTCATCGCGGACGCGGATGACGATTCTGGTGGGCTCGATTGTCTATCTGATTGTCAAGAAGTAAGGGAAGCTGACGAAGTCCTCATCCTTTTCTTTGATTCAAGGGTCGTATCCCTGGAACTGACAGGTGGAAGCCTATCAACGAAAACCCAGAAGCTGAGGAGGATGTTCCAGGAGTTCTTATTGTTCGGATTAGGGAGAATCTAGACTTCGGTGCGTTCGTGCGGCTATTCTCGAAAATCCTCAAAGTGATATTGCCTCCTATAGCGAACACCGCACAACTCAAAGGTTCGCCTGATGTGGATATGCATTGAGACATGATTTTAAAGCTGCTCTTATAGAACGATTGCGCCGTCTTGAACTGTACGGTGTCGACCCGAGTCATCCGTCGGAGGCACCTAGACGACAACAAGCTAGAGTCATCGTGTTCCATGTCGCAGACGTCGAGTTATGCGATGCTTCGTATGTTGCTTCATCTCTATGACACTCATCCATACCGATGTCCCTTGATAGAGCTGTGCAAATCTTCTACGAACTGTTTGAGACTTACACGGTGCGTCTTATTTTCGTACATCCGGATACACAGCTGCTATGCTAATCGCTTCATCTTTGTACAGAGTCGTGGCGTCAGTGTCTTCATCACGCATCTACGAGCAGGTCCTCGTGAGATGTTCGAGCGCGGTGGAATAGTCAAACTCCTTGGAGAGGATGCGTTTTACGAGGATGTCGGCACTGCTATCAACCATTTAGCGAGGGATGCTATTTTGTTACGTTACTGAGACTTGCACTTTTACAGAAATACACGCCTTCACGATATCACGACCACATCCGGAGCTTCTCAGTACGATCTTCACATGAAAAGCGACCTTTCTCGTTAATTAGATGTTTACTGTATCAGTTATGTCATTGTGTCGTACGACATCATGGATCAGGTCTTCAGATTGCACCTTGGCTTCACACTGCTCTTTTTACCACTTCTTAGGGCCCTGCAGAGCTCGTGGAGGGTGGGATGGGTGGGACTGGGTGGGGCGGACTTTCGATCACGTGTGGCCTGTAAGTGCCGTAAATTCGTGGGCCCCTCTGAGCTGCTTAGAGGCCCTTGGTGCTACGTACAAGGGCCAAGATTTCTCCGTAAACAACGATGCAGAATGACGCCCGACGCAGACGATCTTTCCTCCACATTCGTTCCCCACGTTTCCCAGAGCTTCATCACACAGACACCTTTGCGTTCTTCGCATATGCACCATGACCTACATCAAACTAGGGCTTCGTACCCTCCCGACCCAGCCTCTGTAGACGCAAGGCACTCTGAACCCTTAGAGGGTCTTTCTTCATTCGACGATGGATTCAAGAAGAATGTGAAGATCGATATGAAAGATTTGGTGGGGGACGCGGTTGGCAATGTGAGTACACCTTTTCTGCTTGTCGTATACTATATTTTCTAGGGAATCTTCATATGAGGAAATGATGCCAAGGGAGAATATTTACCTTCGGCCCCAGAATCTCTTGCGTTGGTGACTGATGCTCCCAACCTGAATAGATGAGCATAAGCCCGTCATACCGTGATGTAGTTCTTGCTGCGTATGTTCTTCCGTGGAATTGGCGTACCACCCAATTGACCAACTTGCGTGTTCAGTCGAAAAGGACTGTTTATAATCGATCTCGAAGCACCACTTGAGCTACCGCGTTTCCTTCCACAAGGTGGAACATGGGATGTTGCGGACGTTCAATGGAATCCACATCCAGCGCGTGCGGAGTATATCGTGTCCACCTCTAGTGAAAAGCTGTATGTTTTGTTCACCTTCTCCAACCTGCTCTCTCAATCACGATGCTTTAGTCTGATATGGAACTTGTATCTGTCGGGGAAAACATCTATCGAACACGTTCTTCACTCACACTACCGCGCTATCACAGACATCAATTGGCATACACAGGATCCCGATATTGTGGTCAGTACGGGTATTGATTCGTGGTTGTGGGCTTGGGACCTAAGAACTCCAAGTAAACCAGTGATGGGTGCGTATGCAGTCCCGCTTTCCGGATCTAATGGTGCAAACGTCTATCTACAGGCCTTTCTGCATTCAATGGTACGTTGTCACAAATTATACAAGAACACAGATTTGCCAATTGTTGTGGTCGGGAGCACAGACTGGTGCAGTGCACCTGTCTGAGGTGCGTTGATACCTAGTCAGCCCTCGAATTTGATTGACTCGGGTTCTTATATAGCTTCTCTCGACTACTCGTGATGTGATGTTCTCTCCTCTAGCACGCGAGCTAGGAGGTGCATCGCTTGCCTTTTTTTCTCGCAAAGCGACTTACGACATTGTCTCCTTTCTGGGTATATGCAGTTTCTGACGATGTATATAGATGCAGGAACTCAAGTGAAGTGGAATCGTCAGGACGGAAATGTGCTCGCGTCGTCACACAAAAACGAAGTTCTTATTTGGGACCGACGGGTGCGAAATATCGTCCTTGTCCCATTCTTCGACGTTGTTTAGTCTCGCATGCAGAAAGGCTCCATCCCCGTGACATGCATTCAAGCGCACAGTGCAAAGATATACGGTATCGACTGGGCTCATAACAGTTCTCACGAGATTGTTACATGCTCCCTCGACAAAACGATCAAGGTTTGGGACATACATGACCTGGAGGGAAAGAGTAAACCTTTTCAGCGCTCATGGGGGTCTTCAAAGGTTCAGTATGGATACGAACCACAGACCGTCATACGCACGATGTATCCTGTTTGGAGAGCCAGGGATCTTCCGTTCGGTAAAGGGATTCTTAGTCTACCGCAAAGAAGCGAACATGCGCTAGAGATGTGGACGCACAGCCCTGATCAACCCCAGCCAACAACACCTGTCGAGGTATTTGAAGGACATACAGACGTGGTCAAGGAGTTTGTTTGGAGGAGAGGAGGGCCAGGTCAGTCAACTACCCACGAAGGTCTCCAGCGTTTAACCAATCTTTTGTAGATTGGACTGAATTCCAATTGATTACCTGGTCGAAAGACAAGACCCTGAGGCTTTGGCCTGTTGAAGCTGATGCTATGCAGGTATGTACATGCTGTGTCCTCTCTGATCTCCTTTACCTTCATGCGGAGTTCTAGAGAGCAGGCCAACCCAGCGGAACACACGCTCTGCCTCGCATGCAAGGGTATGCTGACAACGGAACTTCGTTTCGGACCCCAGACATCACACATAAGGCGGAAGCTACATTTTCAGCCCCTGTCGGTCACCGTGGCATTCTTGCGGAAGTCCGCGCGGCACCTCCCTCCCGCAATCCTGGTCTACGCCAGCGGCACCAACCCCTCCTCAATCGTACGTCTATCTACAGTTCCACTACTCTGGGACCGCATGGGTCCATCCGCTCTCGCAGGACTCAGTCCGAATCTGAGCTAGACCAAGCACCGACCACAACTGTGCTGCCAATCCCAAATGCAGCGAGACATGGCGGCACGATGTCCAAGGGCAATGTTGGAGGAAAATCGGCGCGTGTGGATGCAGTCCAGTGGTTGTCCAACGTTCGCATTGGTGACAAGGGGAGGGAAGGAAGTTCAGGGACAGGAAGCGGGCAAAACAGTGGCAATGCGAGTCGTATTGGAAGTCGTAGTCGACAGAGCTCGAGAGATCCCCCGCCGGGATCTGGGCAAACTCTTCTCAGTTTCGGGACGGGTGGGCAGAAGAGGAGCGACAGTAGAAGCAGGTGGGAAGGTGATGCGGACGAGCAGAGCTTGCAGGATGAGTCAGTATCGCTTTGCGCTCCGCTATTAAGCCTTTTCCCATTGATTCTCCTGCCAGGATAACCACAGTCCTAACAAAGCTATCGGCTTCTAAGATCAAGCTTGAGAAGGTTTGTTTTTCAAACCTCCAGTTCATGACCATCACTGATTTTTTCTTGTAGCACGACCTGACAAAGAGACGAACATGCACATTAGGCCTGAATGGACCTTGGGGCGAGACATCGTCGGTTTTTATTCGTGTTTCTTTTACCTTTCCAAATGATTACCCTCAAGGCCTGCACCCTGAATGCACCCCAAGCGTCGAGCTCGAGCGAACACCCCTCATCTCAATGCGCAACCGCGCCCTGATGCTCCGCCGGCTTCGTACTATTCTTCGCTCGCGTCGACCATGTCTAGAGGCCTGTCTTAGATTTTTACTTTTCCGAAACGAGGATCAGCAAGAACGCCAAACCGTACATATGGGGTTCGAAAGTTCTTCCGATGAAGATGAATCCGCTATGTCCAGAAGGGGGCGAGATACTGGCGTCACTGTCTTGCAAAATGATAAGAACATTGCTGAGCCGCGAACTTCTCAAGGTGTTTTTGGGCCGAATGGTATGTTTTTCTCTGATACTCTGAAATCCCCACATCTTTACTAAACATGTTGCAGGCCAGCTGATTTGTTTTACTCATGCTCCTGTCAGAATCGTCCATAATCCGTTGCACGACCCCTCTGCGTCATCATCCGCACCTCCAACCTCGAACGACATGCAGAGTGTCCCTCGTCTCTTCCAGTCCCCTGCCTTACTTTCGGATGCTATTCGTAATCTGACAATGTCTTCTTATGACCGGCCCATATCCATTTCTGGCTCACGACACAATGAAGACGGTGATAACATTCTGCATGTCATGACGGACCTTCTGTTCTTCTCGCGGCTCAAACAACGTCGCGCGTCGGAACAGTCACGGCTCGAAGGTTTAAATGGAGGCTATTCTTTGCTTCCGACACGTATGATGACTGTCTTCCTGAAGGACGCCACATTCCTTGTCGGGGCGGACCGAGAACTGGCCAAAGAATACGTGTTTGACGGACCACTCGGTGACCCAACGCCAGCCGGAATGTGCATGACCAATGTAGTAGTAGCGAAGAAACATGGACGGTCTGATCATGAGCGATTCTTTCACGCGATTGGTATGGTCTTCTCCGCTCACAGTGCCAAGGATGTATCCTTTACCGCCGAGGATCCATGGGGTTCCAATCCGTTGGTGATTCATCTAGTCATGGAGATGTGCGTATATTTGCTATATTTACAGAAACAAAACTTCATTGTAGCTCATGAGGGCGATACAGGTATAATGAATTTGCTCGAGAGAAGGATGTTCAGATGCTAGCCATGGTTGCTGTCATACTCTTGAAAATGTACCATTCTCCGCATGTAATTCGTATGTTGGATCACAAATGCTCTCGGCATCCATAGCTGATACTTCTTCAGATAAAGAATCTCCCTCTGTTCGAGTCATCTCTCCACCTGCTCCCGCCATTCCGCGTGTCGCTACCGGCGACTATTTCGCTGTCGTTCGACGGCGCAAAGACAATCGTGCGCCTCCACTCTCGCCCGTGTGGAACCGAACCGCCTCCTCACCTACCGCAAACCTTGTGTCGACGTCCTTATCGTCTCTCTCTTCCCGTGGGTCATGGTCTAGCCTTTTCAATACTGGTAGCATGCGACAGCTTATGACGGGTACACAACAAGAGACAACCAGGGAGATTCCATACCTAGCCTCAAGCTCCGGCCCGGAAAACGAGATTGTAGCGACTCCTGTTCCCGGTGTAAAGAAACATATACTCTCAGCCTCTGGCATGGATTCACCTACATCTCGACGAAAAGGACGTGCCACAGATTTGAATATGGATGTTTCTGCGGTCACCAGTAGCAAGAGGATTTCTGTAGCGTTTGCTCCTGGACATGCTCAGAATTCGCAGGGCCAACATCCTACATTTTCTCAGGTCGTCAGTGCTCGAACATCATTATCCACGAGGACTTTAGTTGTCAATGACTATCGAGACACCCTACATCAAGAACAGTACGTCTTCATGATGATGTCTCATCCATTCGAGCGCGGTTCTCATTTAGCTGAACCTTGGCAGGACGAGAAGTCTAAGCTTGTTCCGGCCACCATTTATCGAGAAGCTTGTGGATCATATTCTGGCATATGCTGAAATTTTATTCCGCTGGGAACTGCTTCAGCAACGCCTTGAGCTCCTTAAATCAATCAGTCAGGAGCTCCATGTGTATGTCAAGCATGATACAGCACTGGAACAAAATCATCTGGGGTTCGTTTCCTTGTGCACACGATGTGAAGACGACGCAACGCCACGAGGGCATCGACCCTGCTCTTCTTGTCATGCTCGGCTGACAATGCCCCTTTGTTCAATATGTCGTCTTCCGGTGAAAGGTGACCATGATATATGCTCATTGCCAAGCCATCGTTGAACCTTATTTTCCACGCAGGGCTCTGCTATAGCTGTCTTGCATGTAATCATGTCAGTCATGTAGGATGCTGGAAGGCGGCCAATGTGGCTGCTTGTGCTACTGGATGTGGTTGTGTATGCAAAGGTATCGACGCAAGAGTAAATGGACAGGATTCTCTAAGCCGTTTTACATTCTCGCCGCAGCCTATATCTTCACAACCCCTACTGTAGCCTTCACGATTCTTTCTTTTGGAGAATGCTATACATATGATACTGTTTTGTCTTCTGCCGCTATTTGCTGTGACGTGGATAATTCTATCATACACAGGGACATGGTGGGGAAGATGAAGGGAAGTTTGATATGACCATTTGGTTGCTTTGACAATCTATCTTAAAATACGCCATTCTGTCATCCGAACCACACTGTATACGGCATCTACGTCTATCGACGTACCGCTCGCTCACACTCAAGCCAGTTGAACTGCATCCCCTCAGCTCTGGGACCGTCCCTTGACAAAGTCTACAGAACTTAAGACTTTGCCCAGTAGTAACCAAGGAAACCTCAATCCAACCGCGCGCTAACAGCCACAACGCCAAGCATGTGCTATGTTTGCCAGGATTTGCCTTCCTATATCAGGCCAAGCCCAATCGCACCAGCATCTTTCTCCCTCTCCATCACCCTCTCGTTCTCCTGTCCTTTTTTTAAATAGGACTAGCCAATCCCTTCACCCGACACTCCTTTGTTGGCTTCATTCGAGAAATCGAGGCTTTCTGCGCGCTGCACAGTCATCGAAGATGTTCTCCATATTTGCTGCATTTGTTGCCATCCCTGTGCTTGCCCAGTGTACGTGCACGTCCGTTCAAAGCGTTGGAAGTGACTATATCTAATCACAACTGTCTCTTTCCACATCTTCTCGTACTTAGCCGTCTTCGCCGGCGACTGTGTGCGCTCGTACACTATCAAGGAAGGTGATATCTGTGATGCTATCTCTGGCGCCAATAATGTCTCCACGTACGTTCTGACTCCCTCTCTTCTGTAACAAAGTCTGAATGATACCTTTGTCTGTTACTGTTATTCATACAGGTATCAGTTGGCAGTCATCAACAATGGTGTGATCAACAGCGCATGCTCCGACCTGACCCCTGGCAAATCTATTTGCCTTGGGTATGAGGGCGAGGATTGCAACACGACTTACGTGGTGAAGGCGGACGATACTTGCGATGGGTTGAGCTCGGTTGCGGGCATCAATTCCACCATGCTGTTCCTGAATAACCCCCAGATTGATGCCGAATGCGGAAATCTTTATATTGGCGAGGTGCGTTTTCAGATATGTCACTTTCTCAATAGTGACCTGTCTGACCGTATTCCGCAGGTCCTTTGCGTCTCCAAGACTGTGCAAGTCCCGCCGGCGCCTGTGAATGGGTTGAAGCCCGCAGTGACGATCCCCGCTACTGCAACTCCCGCCATAACCAGTTCGGCTGCACAGCCGAGTGCTAGTGCCGACGATAGCGATGATGACGATCTGCCCTGGTGTGACGAGCTATGAGGCATTTCGTTCTTTAGCCAAGCCTTCTTGCGTCCATCAGATCACTCTTAGTACTCATAGGACTTTTTGCCCCTGTGCTTTGATGTGCCGATACCCAAATGCTCAAGAACAGTTTGTTTGAGCACATTCTTACTTTCTATTGTATATCTGGAATGTCCCCGCCTCTCTCTTTACTCCCAGTGAAAAGTTGTTGAGGCAGATACAGTCAGATATGATCAGATATGAGGGATGTCATTTGAGAGTATTCAGAGCCATATTGTATGGCAAACTGTCTTATTTTTGTATAAAGTTTCCAACCTCATCCTCTTAGCTATAGGGGGATTCTTACTAGGATTAAAGGATGATTTCAATAGTTGGTAACAAAGAACAAGAACTGTCTGGATAGCCAAGATTGATAAAATAGCCAACAAGGGCCATTTTAAGAATGATCAAAAATGACCAGGTATAAGCAGTTAGGAAAAAAGAGATTTAGCTGTCAAAAAGTTCTGAAAAGCCTTAGAAACTAAGGAGAATCTTCTAATTTGTTTGACTTTTGGTATTTCTTTGGCCTTTCCTTTCTTTTCAATTGTTCTTTCTATTGCCCATTTGTTCTTTTTCTCATGTAATAACTGCTCTGCCTTAACTAGGGCAGATAATTGAATATTTTTCAACTGCCAATGCCTAGATGTGTACAATGCAGAAACACGAACATAAAGTGAAAAAATACATATAGAGAGTGAGAGAGTGATATAATACAAAGAAAATGCAGATATACCTGACTAGAACCCCTAGAGCATAAACAAAGACATGACAACTCCATAAGTACAGATGATGCCCTTGTGGTCTTCCTCAATGAGCTACCAGCACTTACTTAGATGGCTCATATTTGCCATAATAACCTCTGTATTGAGGGCTGCCACCTTGCACAGTGTCACATGCATATTAATATTAAGCACCATTAATATGCTAATACACTAAAGGTGGCTCTAAGTGCTAAGCACAACACCAAAACAACCTCTAATGTAGGGGGTGCTAGAGCTAGTATCTAATACACAAGGAATTATTAGTTAGGACTTGAGAAAGTGAGGGTGCAGTGAAGAGTAATGAAGAGGGTGAGATTAAAGTGCCTGAATAGTTTCAGGACTGCACTAAACACCAACCAAATGTTTGGTCAGATAGGTTGGGTTAGGGAATCAATTGGTAATGAGAGAGTAGTGTTGCAATTAACTACTATATTCTTCAAGAGTTATGTGAGACTCTGACAACATACAAAGATAGAAGAGGGGTACAAGCAAGGGGATAGGTATAAACATGAATGAGGCTGAACAATAAGGATAATGAGTTTTCAGAAGTTAATGAAGATGATTTTAATGTTTGAAATAAGTGTGAGTGTGCTCTGAACTATGGGGTGCAAAGCTGGTTTATTCCAGAGTTGTATATAGGTTCTTATAATAAAATAAGCCTCTAAGTAAAGTATTGAATGAGAAATGAGAGTAAATGTTGAACAAGTGCCAAGCCCTAGTAAACAGAGAAAATAAGAAGGTAGATGAGATGTCCATATGGGTTTCAAAGGTGATAAGGTATAAGTTAATTAGCAATGGTGAAATTCTGACTGTTTGGTATCTATCATCTGACCATAGGTAGCAAAAATAGGTGTTGGAAAACTAATGAGAATAAAGAAGTAATATATAACCAAGGTAGCTAAGTAATAGTGCAAGATTGCATTTGACTGACTATGTGGAAGCCAGAAAGATAAATGATAAGGACTAACCAATTCATAGAGCACATCAGCTTATATGGACTACTAGCTCCAATCTCATAAATACCTATTGTAATACTCCTATACAGTCATAGTAAGTACATGAAGTATAAATAAACAACTCTAAAATTGAAATATTTGGTTGGTCAGTTGGTTGGTCAGTTGGTTAGTCAGTTAGTTAGTTAGTTAGTTAGTTAGTTGGTTGGTTGGTATTTGATTGGGATTTGATTGGGATGCAAAGAGGAGGGAATGGGTGCCAGGCCATATTGGACACTGGCAGAGAATGACAAACTAGATAAGAGGGAGAGAGCAAGATGACAAGGGCTCTGACAAAGGGCTGCAATCAAACACAACAATACAAACAAAGGGGCAAAATGCAAATGAGGGTTAAAAGGCAACAGCTCAAAGTCTTATAGGTGCAAGTGTATAAATGGAATCAGAATGAGGAGGGAGCCAAAGCTGATGTATTGCAAGGCCATAGATGCCCTTTTATAGTAAGTCCAAACAGATACAAGATAGGGAGATCAGCAGAGGCATAGAGCAATTGGAAATGCATGCTAAGAGCAATCAAAGGTAAAGAAAATAGGGAAGTGATGTTGCAAACACAGATAAGAAGCAATAACTCTAAAGTCTAAATGTGGGGGGGTTGCCAAGGTGAGTCTATATGGACCTGGAGATAAAAACCACATACCACATGGGTAAACCATTTAGAAACTTGGGAGCTCTGAAGATAACAAAGGATAGGTCAATAAAAGGCATAAAGAATGATAAGAGATAGAAAGACAGATCTGTTCCAAGTCAACAAAGTGTTTAGCTACCTCTAATTTGGGACACTAAAGCCAACTGAATATGCCAGCCATGTGAAGTGTACTGAACTAATTGGCGATTGGCTGCAACAGTCTGTAGGGAGCCCCTAATGCTAAGAGTGCTGATAGATGCATAGGATAACTGTGAACAGCTCTGAACAAGTGTACAGAGGTCTAAATGCAAAGTTGGCACCTGATAAATGGCTAAAAGTGCCAAATAGATTGGGATTAGTTGATCCTAAATATACTGAATAGTCAAATAATACTAAAAAGCTGCAAAAAGTGGGGTATTGGTGCCTAAAGAATATCTATGCTCATTACCATAGCCTTGTATAGTATCATACACATACCAATGTTGAGCACTGCTGCCTCACATAGTAGAGCATACATACTAATGGCAAGCACCACAGTCTTGCACAATATCATGTGTATACTAATATTGAGCATTACTGTCTTGCATAGTGTTGTGTACATACTAATATTGAGCACTATGGAATAGCAGGCTCCTACCAGTTAGTATAGATGGTGTGGTTATAGCTATTAGTGGGGATAGAGTGAGGCTGCCATTGGTGGATAGTGTGGCACTAGGGGTAGTGTAAGGAGCCTCTATGGTAGTGTGTTGGATATGCAGCTCATATTTGGGCCTGCAAAAGATGCTCCTGAGGTTAATGAGAAGAATGCTGGCAAAGCACCAAGTGTGGGGCATTACATGGTTGGTGGCACTCATATGGGTCTTGAGGGAACCTAAAAAAGGCATCAGATATAGATAGTAGAGCAGCAGTAGAGGATAGAGAGGCAAGCTGGCAAGGATAGGGTTGGCCTAGCTATCTTGGATCTTGATGGTGACATAGGGAAAGACAGTATGGGTGAAGTCAGTATTAAAGCTAGGGCAGTTGCACAACTTAGGAATGGTTATGTGAGGAAAGATGTTATAGCTAAGATTCAGTGTGGTGGGGATAGTGGACCTGCACATACATGAATATGATTAGAAGAGCACCACAATGTAGAAGAGACATGAATGGGCTATGTTGATTGTAGAAGAAAAAAAAAACAGCTTTGAGAATGGCTTGCTAGCAGAGAGGAGGGGTATCAAGTATGTGGTAATAGGTGGCATTATGATCACATTGTATATGAGGTTCATGTTAGTTGACAATATAGAGTATAAGAGAAATTTGACAAAGTTGCCAATCTAGGGATTTTAGGGTATTTGAGGCAATATAGATAATGTAGAGGGGGTCAAGATAGAATATAGTAAAGCAGGTATATTGGGGCTGGGAAGATACAAGATGGAATATGACACAATATTAGGCTATATAGGTTGGAAATGCACTATTTGCTTACTATTAGAGAGGAGGTGAAGAACCTGGGCAAGATAGGGTGATTGGAAGATTAACTTGGACCAGCATATGTGCAAGGACAAGGATGTCAAGATATATGACAATGGTGGAATAGTGTTGCCCTATGTACTGCTACCACTGAGGGGCATTCATAGGCCAAATATAGGGATAGAGATAGATCTGGTGGGAATAAAGAGTAGGAAGATGGAGGATAAGGGCTAGGGCAGGATGAGCTAGAAACAGTTTCTAGGGCCAGTTAAATTACAATGTACTTGTGGCTTAATATTGTGTAGAGATATTGAGGCAGCAAAACTTAATAAAGGGATATTAGGGCAGACAAGAAGGTATGAGATAAACTAAGCACTTAGCTTTGCTACATGCTTAGTTTGTTGGTACATATTGATGCTGCTAGATGACAACTGAGTGAACTTTGGTTAGTATGGAGGCAGAGCAAAAAACACAAGTAACTTACTTTTAATATGGAGTGTTTGGCCAATAATGAATAGAGCTATGATGGCTTGTACAAGGGAGATAAACAGGGAAAAGAGACATATCTGCTCTGTGTTATTGTGGTCATATAACATATATGGTGTATATATGGCACCCTCCACTTTTAGCTACTTTGTCCTTATATAGGCACTTGTTTTCTCAATATATACAATAGTGTATTCTTTTTTCACATAAAACATATAGTCTAAGTCCCCCATATACTGCAAGTGTCTTCTTTGCATATTGCAAGGCCCTTATAGCAAGTGGGTTGCTAGATCAACCTATTACTTGCACCTCTAGAAAAAATCTTGTGACAATGTGGGGCCCTCCCAAAGACCTTTTATATGAAATAGGACCTTTTCTTCTTCTTTTTCTAAATATTGAGACCAGAGAAGAAAGACCTCTAGTATCCTTAATATATGTGTGGAGCTTCTACAAGGACAAGGAACCTTAGTATGTATCCCTCTTTCCCTATCTATTCTTTCCTTGTATTTTTGACTAAAAAAAACCAATATACAATATTTTGTTGATACAGAATATCATAGAACAGCTTTTATAGGACTATTTAGAGCAACACAATGGTTCTGTTAAGCAAGAGCCTCCCACATATAGCCTGTCTCCACAAAGGCCTAAACAATACTATTTTTAAATTCCAAATGCATTTTTTCTATTTTTCTTGGTTCAATCAATATATTAACCTAAATCAAAGATGTAAAAATAAATTTACCAGCTTCATAGCTCAAGACCATTATTACTGCTGCTTCTGCCAACCATCCACTCCTATTCTTCTAAAACTTGCTTGCATTTATCTACTCTCTGTAGAATGCTACCTTAGACAACAACAACCTCTTGGCTTTGGCTCTCAAGTATCTTTGTGCTCCTTTGCAATACTACACTAATGTTACAGACTCTGACTTATGATACTCCATTAAGATGTTCCTTGGCTTGTTAACTGCTTTTAAAAAGATATACACAAATATGTGAAATGCATGTATGGAATGGAATTCCAACAACTATATTCTCTCTCTTGATCAGGTTAAATGGAAGATAGCAGAACTTAGCAGAGTGTTATCTATTATACACAACATGTGCCAAAACTTGTGTCTTGCTTATACTGGGCCCTTTTTAGAACTTGAATCTTGTCCAGAATGTTCCTTGTTTTTCTATAACCTCTTGAAGCTGGGTAGACTAATAAAAAGGTACCTTGGCAATAGTTTTACATAATTTCTCTAGGTCTGCAGCTTTAGGTGCTCAAGCAGTCTAATGAGAGTTTTTGTAATATTGGGCATTGGCATAGAATGATATAGTATATCCTTGACAACTTTATATTCAACAAGCATAAGAAAAAGGCTATTAATCTTAACTGCTTTGACAATTTTTACTTAGGCTCCAACTATCTTGGCTAGGTCATTAATAATAACATCACTGAGAACTATTTTATGGTCATACTATTGCTTGATAGATGCTAATTGTGTTATGACCATGGACTGTCAGGGCCTTTGAGGCCTAGTCAAATTGGCCACTGATCATCATAAATACTAGGTGGTGCCAACCCTAGCATAGATATTATGGTCTAAGGTAAAATCCTTAGGTCATTAACTCCTATGAGATATCATTATTGCTAGTTGAGCATAGAGAGGGATATTCCAGAAGAAGCATTATGAGAAGGACTAATTACTACTTCACAAAGGAACCTGCCCTATCATACTTCTAGGTTGAAAGGCAATGATAAAAGAAGCACAAGAGTAAGTGCTGAGAGAAAACAGTGACCATTGGAGAATGCCTAAAGGAACTAGCGGCATCCTTATGGTTTTCTAAAGTAGTATAAAAGGTCCATAAAATAGGCTGAGGATCTTCAGTCTATTCTCTTTGTTAGATACTGTCTTCTAACAGTATCTCTTTGTTCTTGGATAGTCCTTATATTGCTCTCATCCCAAATATCATTCTTCTTTATACATTTGTATAGTTGAAATTATTGTTCCACTTCTCCTTATTGTGTGACCTAGAAAAGAATATCTTACTCTTGGGTTATCAAATGAGCAGTTTGTAACACTAAAATAGACTCTTCTTGCCCCTACCTTGCATGAACTCTAGATTGCTGCTATATCCTTTCTCAAAGCTCTCCTTAAAGGGGTCATTAACTCCCTATCAAGCAAGAGCTTTTTCTTAACACTTTGGAGCAAGACCTAGGCTGAAACTTTCCTCCTGGTACAACATGACTCAGTGGAGAACTCCATCACAACAATCACCTTATTCAATAAGAGGGAACTCTTTGGTTTTATCAAGACACCGGTACCAACATCTCTCCCAACGATGATAACTGCTCTTATAGAAATAGGTAATATTACTTTATGCACAC